GGAGCGGCAATGACGACGAAACAGCTATTTCCAGCTGTGGAACACTGGGCTCTCCCATGCAATAGTGTTAGCTCTGGTCTACTGTAAAGGCATGCCACTAGAGTGCCCCGAATGCGTAGGTCAAATTGGGCACTGGGGCTCCGTGGCCGTGGGACGGGGATGAGACTCCAAGATCGGTACCCAGCTGCCTAGAGGGCAATGGAAAGGTCCATCGCCCATCGAATAAGGCTGGAAAGCACATGGGAAGAATGTGGACGGGACAAGTGAGACTAGGCTCGATGCGTGATAGCAAACTGGCGCTGTTTTCAATGCGTCGCGCAGAAGCCGACGGGGCCCGCGGACTGTTGCGGATCCAATGAGGTGAATGACCTGAGTGAGCTTCGCTTCGCTAATTCCACGAGAGCAGCTTCCAATGAAACAGAGCCGTCTCTCTGCTGCTCGTTTATTAAAGTTTGGGACCACTAGGGAATTGCACATGGATATGGGTCTCTTGGGTGGGCAGATTGAAAAGTCCTACGCGTACTACTTTGGTATCAACTGGGTCCCATTATTCCCACAATCAAACCCCTCAACAAACAATACTACTGTAGCAATGAGCAGCAACAGCAGCAGAAACAGCATCAACAGTATTTTCGTCATCATCGTCATTATCACCATCACCACGCGAGTCGTTAGCGTGGTCTCCAGCAGGGAGAACAGATCCCGATGTGCCCGTCTATTGGGGACGATCGTCGGTTCAAAGTAATCTTGCAGCAACACCAGCTTTTCTGTCCTTGGAGAATCATTGGTTTTCTATGGATGATGTAATCCGGCGTCGCCGACGGTTGGCATGGATAGAACATGGATTAGCATGGTTGGCATGTCTATCACCGGCGAGGATCGTCTTGTTTTCATTAGCCCGGACTGTGCCATTGTGATGCAAGCTGTTTCCAACAAGGAGCTTCCCAGCCAGTGAGTTAGTTACCCGGACGGGGTCATTACCTCATTCGAGTGCCAGACAGAGCCTGAGGCTGGTTCCTCGGCGACTGCTCAGGTACTGTACTGTACGTATGCGGTAATCGGCGGGGATGGAGGCGGTGTGACCCGCCACTATCTGATGATCTTCCACTTCCCGTGGAGTGCAACATATGCCTTCCCGATGTTCCATCTATCCCTGGGAGACGAGGCGTGCTACGCATGCCTGCCTGAAATCCATGTATGAGCCAGGGGTTGGAAAGAAACGAAACTTCAAAGGTCAGATGTCCGAGCATGGGAGATTCTCATCAACTGATCTCGAAAAAGAAAAGCCAAGAGGAACCTTCCTTGTGCACTCATGATCACTGATTTACCTTAGGATGGGGAGTGGTCCACCTCGTCTCCGTAACCCTTTCCGGATACGCTTTGTCTGGCTGGCCGAAGTATTTTGTCTCGTGCACAGGCAGATACCAAACACCAACAGTCTAATCGTCTACCAAGGGACCTACCGAAGCCAGTCAGTTCATTTCTATTCTTATTTGGGGTTTTGACTTTGGCAGTGCTGTGGAAAGGGTAAGTTTACATCAGCTGTCGAAATCTGGCTCGAACTCGTACTGTTGACGAGTTCGACCCAGCAAATCCGGTCGATCCCAATCCAAAAAGATGATTGACAGCTAGGTTGGTGTCCCCTTCTCACGTCGGCAATTACATTCGGATCGGACCTGTACAGCCTATACAAGCCGCGCATACTCAAATCGAAAAGTTTGATGGCTAGGCCGTACATAGAACAGATACCGGTCGGAGATCCGGGCACTGGCCAGACAAGTTTTTTTGTGGTCGACGTCATTAATCAGGAACAATACCTGTACAGTGTCGGATCAGAGGTGATCCATCACAGGAGGATGCGAGGCAGAGAGGGGCCTGCCTTAGTCATGGATTGATTACATGCACTTTCATTGATGCATAAGCCATTCATGCATTCCCCTGCTATTTCCTCGCTGGTAGGTTGTTCTCTGCACAGGCCACCCCGTGCCCCAAATTCAAGCGATGAATCGATCGCAAAGAAGCAAACAAGTCTATTCATCACACGGACGAACATTCAACCCTAACACTTAGCTAGTCAGCCACCTCCTGGACCAGAATCACACAGTATGGGGTGTTTGCCAGTGATGCTTTTCAAGTGTTTCGCCAAATCTTGCTCTCTTTGTTTTTAAGGTTTGCATGATGTTGCTCGTTGGCTGTCAACGCCACGATAATCTCCGGGCTGGCCTCCCCTTGGCCCCCAATTCCTTGAACAGAAGTGGCCGAAGTTGGCATTAGGCGACAGATTCGTCCAAAGATTCCTTTCTGGGCGGCCTGGCCTAGCTGTTTGAGGCTTAGCCGAGCGCTTCCTGACCAAGACCTGCCATCTGCGCATCGTGCCGCAACTCCGTCATCCGGCCCCAAGGGCTTGGTTTGTGGATGGATGCAAATCACGGACTCATTACCTTTTTCGAGTTGTGTCGATTCAGTCATCATCTCGTTAAATTCATCCTCCGATCTACAGCCCTGCTTGTGGTCTATTTCAGGGTGGTGGCAGGTTCCCTTTTCCCCTTTAATGGAGGGTGAAGGAAGGTCCCCCGTTGCCTTGCACTGATGGATGATACCCTGGGAAATTGATTTCCCCGCTAGAAGCCACAGAGAACGGATCGGAGCTGAGCACTACCAGGGTTGAGTAGGACGCAGACCACACTGCATCTCTGGAGGCGGTGATACTAACTTACCACCGTTATTGCGTTGAAGTCATGACTGTCGTGTACCTGAAGGAGTTGGCACGCACTCCCTCTCTCAGGCGGCAAAAGTTCCTCCACTGATCTACGACCGCGACCCCCTCCGAGACAAAGGGACCGAACGATCTACAAATGAATGACGATGATTCAAAGTGGGAAGTTGGTCTTGGAAGATGAGATCAGGTTCTCAGCAATGTGTGTGATCGTGCGGAAACGATCAGCCGTTTATGGGGCCTGGGATCGTTGTGACAGGTAAAACCAGGACGGGAGGCTAACCTTTTTGTCTCATGCGCCTTTTCGTCCTCGATTATTGAGGAATTTCCCATACGATCAGCTGGCGAGAGAAGGGCGCTTGGTCAATTCCAGTCATTACCGCGGATAATACCAGCAGGTGGGTAATGGCATGGCTTGGGAGGGGAAAGCGCCGGCTACGCTACATCTTCCCCCCCACCACCCTTTCCCCTCCTTCAATCCTTTCCACTTCCACTCCATGAGGATCGATGATTGATTCCTGGAGGGCGCATAATGGAGAAGGAAAGGTGTCCGTGGATCTGCACTAGCGCCAGACTTACTGTAGCCGAGCCCCGAAAGTACCGTTGGTTCCCATCGGCCGATCTGTCGGCCCTCCGTACGACGCACTTACGTACGCCTGCTCTCGTCTATTCAGGAGGGCGCATTCTAGGCAATTTATTTTCCTTTCTTAATTCCTCCGTTTATTATATTACACAGTATATGCGAACGGAGGAGTTTCCTACTTCTATACTGAGATCCCACTAGCTTGTAGTTGACGGAAGAACATCAGGAAGAAATGTCTCCGACCTGAATCCTTCACTCAGCTACTTTTTTTTTTTTTTTTTTTTTTTTTTTGATGTCATGGTCGGGTAACCATTCACTCGGATGGAAGGGTTCAGCTGATTCAGCGTGGAAGAGGCTTCTCCCGGCAGTCGCTGTCTGTTCTTTTAGATTTCTTCATCTCTGGAATTTCTCTGGACCTGATCCAGGGTACGCCTGTCTTGCCGATGTGGAACAGCGGAGAGGCGCACGTTGTTTTAGCTCTCGTTGAGCCTACCTAAAACGATAAGCTAATGGCAAATCATCTTAGTTGGATGCGCGAAGGGGAAGGAGCGAGACAACACATGCGTTGTATGACTTCTGTACGGGTATGTACCAGAAAAGACAAGGGGATTTTCCCTTCGGAATTATTACACCGCACGTCAAATAAGACGCAGCTAAAATGATTTAACGAAGGCATCGCGTGTATCGGGCCAGTAGTCATTAATTAAGCTTTGAGACGGTGGTATCAGCCCTTGTCGAAGCGAATCGAGAAGAGCGATGCGAATGGGCTTTTGTGGCCACTGCGGCGCTTCGGGGAAAATTCCAGTAGTAGCAGCAGTAATTTGTACAGAGTATAGTCTACATCATGGGTCAGGCACAGATTGCCTTCAGTTGGCATGACTCCGTGTATAATGATGATGGTAATAGTGGTGGTGGTGGTGGTGGTGATGATTTTATCCGCATAATTTTTAAGAAAAAAACCCAATAGGGGAGAGGTTCGCGGCGGCGGCCTCTCCCGCTTTTTTTTCCTTCTTTTCAGTTTTCGGCTCCATCTTCGCTGAACTCTGTCTGTCTTTGAGTGTCGTCTCTTGCTCTCTTCTCTCTCTGTCTCTCTGGGGTCCCACTCGTCGTCTAACGCTACGGCTGGAGTATACCCAGCGCTATAATTAACATTTAATTGATGTGCAGCTTGTAATAAAATATTATTTCCATTTTCACCATCCATCTCACGCCTCCCCCCCCTCCACTTCCTCCACCTCCCTCCACCTCCCCCCATCTCCATTCCTTCCCCTAGGAAAATAGAAAAAAAAAAAAAAAACATAATAAAAGAAAATAAAATGGAAAATCTCAAAATAAAAGCCCAGATTTAAATGATTTTGTCGAGAATAATTCCAAGATTGTCAACCCTGCATCTCCACCATCGCTCTGGGTCTATAAACCAGTTCCTCCTCCTGGTTCTCATACCCACCCCCACCTTGTCTCGACTACCGTGCCTGGATTGTTTCTTAGATTTGGCCCTCTTTATACCCCGTTCCCATCCATCACTCCCCTCCGGATTTCATATATGAGCTCTGGGTAGCCGCCTCTTGTTGAACCTCAAGAGAAATACTTACCTTTTCCTCCTCCTTCCCTGAATCGACCTTGAGTTGACGAACACCAACATTCCTTCACCACTACACACCTTCACCACACCTACTACTACAACCCATCAACATCATCATCATGGATCTCGCCTGCCTTATCTCTCACCCGGGACCAGATCCTCTTGCGATGAACATGTCAAGAGCCTCTTACAGCCCCCCTGCGCCTCGTGTGGCTTCCTACAAGCGCTCGTCGGAATCATACTTCGCTTCCGTTCCGGTTTCTTACTCGCGCACCCCTCTTTCCCCGCCGGTCGAGGACATTCCCCCCAAGTGCTCTCTACCTTCCATCTCGACTCTACTTGAAGGCGCAGCTGCTGCCTCCATGCATGCAGCTAGTATGGCAATCCCTCATCCCTCCATGACTTCTAGAACGGCCTGATGGGTCATTCCCTTCGGTCAATGCTGACTGTCGCAATGTAGAGCGTGCACGAGTCACACCTCCAGTGCAGCGCGAGTTTGATTCCCGCCCTCCATCGCAACCTTTGGACTCGATGAAGGCCAATGGCCCCCAAATCGGCTTGCCACCCACACCTCCATTGCGCCCTGGCTCTGGTCTCAACAGTGTCAGCCACTCCCCCACCTCGTCGATTTCCGCCATCAGTGAGAGTGGCGTCCCCAATCGCGCAGAGCCATACTCCCAGGCGCCGGTGGCACTATGCAGCTTGTCGGATAGATCTTCCATCTCTAGCCAAGGCTCCGTGGCTCCTGTCTCCGCCGCGCCTTACGCCTCACCCGCTCCCAGCGTCTCTTCTTTCTCCTCCCCCATCGAGCCTTCGGCCTCCTCCGCCGTCTACTATCAGAGACCGACATCCTCTTCTTCGACCTACCAACCCGCTAGCAGCGTGCCTCCCTCTACTGCTCCTCTGTCCACACCCGCCCACCAACAGATGATCTCCCCTGTCACTCCAGCCTGGCAGCACCACCATTACTTCCCTCCCTCCAGCACGACCCCCTACCAGCAGAACCACGACCGATACATCTGCAGAACGTGCCACAAGGCCTTCTCAAGACCCTCGAGTCTCCGCATTCATTCTCACAGCCACACTGGAGAAAAGCCCTTCCGCTGCACTCATGCAGGCTGTGGTAAAGCCTTCAGCGTGCGGAGCAACATGAAGCGTCACGAACGTGGCTGTCACACCGGCCGGCCCGTTGCCACCGCCCTGGTATAATGGAACTTGCATTTTTCGCATAGCGTCAGTGTGCAGAACGTTCTCCAAGCTTACCATGCAGCAAGGCCACCCTCACCAAAAAAAGCAGAAAAATGCCGATGGGAGCGAGAAAGCTATTGTTCTCTTCTCACCGCGAAACTTCCCAATACCTAAGATCTCCAGTGACACTTCTTTCGCTCTGCACTTGCTTCTGATGATACCCTTTCCGTTTTGCGTGTTGGCGCATAAATACATATTGTTGTGCTCTTTTACTTCTCTGCTACTTGCCGCCGAACAAAAAATGTTTATTGCTTGTTTCGTTGCAAAAAGCTTGGGTGTTTCTTTGGGCCAGGATTGGTGTGTTTTTTTCTGTGGGAATGAGGTCTCCATACATATTTCTATGTTTTCTTTTCACCAGTGTATATTTTCTATGATTCTTCTCATTCGGCCTCTTTCCCATCGCCACCTTGATCCCTCAAACACCATTTTCTATTTTCTTTTTATCGTGCGAAGGGAGCGGGCGTCGCTTGTGGATCTTGGGTTGGGATTAGCATTTGTCTCCTGAATTGGGGATTATAGGGTGCTGTGATAAAAGGGTACCTGAAGTTGATTGACTCGGGTTCTCTTTTTTTCTCACCTCTGATGATTTTATTTTGTTTCTTTTTTTTCTTTTCTTCTTTTTTTTTTTTCGTATTTCCTTGTGTCATCTCATTTCCTATGTTTCATTGACGTGACATGACTACAACCTTGCACTGTGAACGAGACTACCAATATAAAATTCAAAAGAAGATTTAAGAGTTTACATTTTCCGTCAATTTGACCCTTTTTCTAGTACATCGACTGTAGGCAAAAAGCTCTTGTCTGGTAATTCAACTCAATTTTGAACTTGGTGTCTGTCCGTGTGGATTTTGGAAAACCAGGCTGTCAATTGGCTGTTCCTCGTCGGCGGCTATCCAACCATACAATTGTATGAGATTGATAACTTATTGCTGGATCAGGAGGCTGGTGGCGAAGGAAGGAGCACACAACTTGGTAGTTATAGTAAATTGGACTAATAAGATGGCACTCACTGCGCAGTGGACTAGAAACCTGTCTGGTTTATTAGTACTTGTAGGTCTTGGTAACTACTGTGGACATAGATTACTGTGGTTTCCGGGCCTTGAAGCTGGAGTGAACAAAGAAAAGGGATATCAAATCTCATGCGGTTGGTTTGTTGCAGGAGTTGTTGAGTTACTGTACCCAGCTGGGGATGATGACTTTTCACACCAATACTGACACCGATACCCATACCCATACCCTGACCCATACCCATAGCAATAGCAATACCATACTAGTAGTTAGTAGTAGCAATAGCCAGTCCTCAAAACACCCCCTGACTGAGTTCTTGCCCGCTGGTCTCTCTCTCCCTCTCTCTCTCTCTTTTATCCGGGTCCCCGAGGAAACTATCAAGCGATGCCTCAATTGAAGAAAGCCACACGGAAGCCCAAGCTCCGTTTTTGCTTGACCGGACAATAACAAATGGTGGTGTGAGGTACAATGCATAATTGAAGTGGAATGGGATGACGAACGCTGAGTACTAGTAAGAGAGAGGAAGGTGGCCTGATTTCTGGTTTGAGTTCTTAATCCTCGTAAAATGGGTCGGGGGGAGTTTACTAAGTTGAGTAGGTTGAGAGGTTGAATTGCCTTTATCATTTACTAAGAAGAGGGGTTTTTTTTTTTTTTTTCATGGTTGAGTGGTGGGCTTGGGGCTTTTTCTTGCGCATTTACTGGCGATGGGAGGGAGAAGTATGTTGTTTGGAGGGAAGGATTATCATGATAAAAGTGATGATGATGATATTTACATGTTACTTAGAGGGATAGAGAGTAGAATCTGGAAGATGGGTTTACCACCTGAGACAATCCTATTGACTCCATCACCTGTAGGATCTGGAATAAGCCGCGGGCAGTAAGGATCACTCGATAAGGTATCGGTTTTGGTATATGACACGTGACTATAAACAATTCTCCAATTGTTCCTATATCATGATAGACATTCGAAAATTACTAAGATCATTTTGAAACCCGGCCGTAACAGCGCTCTTCTCTCATTTGCATGAAAAAAAGTTCCCTATCCAAATGGAACAAAAGGTATCACATCGAGCGAAGTAGAAAAAACTCCCGCAAGGAACGAAGTTATGATACACACCCGATCCAAGTGTATCAGACGAAAAAAATCAACCGTAGACTCCCACGTCCCCATTGCTCCGCCCACTTTCAATGGCTCTTCCTTTGCCTTTACCCTGGTGATGGTTCTGCCCGGCCACGGCCCTCATCTTGTTCACCGCATCGCCGAAGCTGAGGAGATTGTAGTCCTCCGGCATGTGCTCGCCGCTGTAGATGCAGAGCACGCGCATGCCGGGCTTGTAGGTCAGGCCACTGAGGAGCTTGGGGGTGATGAGGAAGTACTGGCCGCCGCCGCCGCTCTCCGAGGGCGCGCAGGCGATGTCGACCAAGCGGCCGTGGACCATGCGCTCGTTGCGCGGGTCCATGCCCTGGTTGATCTCGTCGACGACGCGGAACGGCGACGCGGACAGCGACTGCAGCGCCATGAGGTAGAAGATGGTGCTGACCGCGCGTTCGCCGCCGGACTGCCGGTGGGCGTCGAGCAAAGAGAGATTCTCGTGCTCGCGGAACTTGACGTGGATCTGGATTGACCACTGGTCAAAATCCGTGTCGGCGGCCTCGCCGTTGAGGCCCCCAGTTTCCTCCTGGGCCTTGTCCAGGGTAACCTGGCCAGCGCAGCCGATGCGCGCAAACGAGTCGGAGAAGGCGTCGCTAATGCTCTTGATGATGCGGTCGAGCTTGGGCTCCCACTTACCTCGGATCTCGTTGATCGCGTGGTTGTAGTCGGCGAGTTTGGTGTCGAAGTCCGCGAGCTTGCTACGCAGCTTGTCAATCTGCTTGGCCCGTTCCTCAAACTCCTTAATCACGCCGCTGTTGCCTCCGTGGGTGAGCTCAAGGCGCGCTTTCTCTGAGTCGATGTCTGCATCGAGCTGGTCCGTGGTGTGATTAACTAGCGTGGGAATGAATTCAGCCAGGTCGGGCTGACTGCGGGCGCTGGTAAGGATCCTCTGTGCCTCTGTGCGCAATTTCTTCAGCTCTTCCGTGGTCTCCTTGATCTGTTGCTGGGCGGCTTTCACTTCGTCGCGCTTGGCACTGAGCCTCTGCTGGTGTTGCAGGTTCCGCGCCTTGAGTGCCTCAAAATCGGAAATTCCTTCAATACTTTGAACCTTGATCTTGACGAGGTCCTCGTGCAGTCGTTGAAGGATATTCACCGCATTCTACCCACCTGTTAGCAACCTCTTGGACGAGATTCGGTCTATGGGGAGCCTTACCGCATATTCGATAGCTGCCTCGGCCTTCTGGATTGAGACTTGGGCTTGTTGGTTGCGAATGTCTTGGACCCTGACTCTCACCGCATCAATCATCGCCTGAATCTCCCTCTGCTTCCGTTCCTCTTGATCTATCCCATAAAATTAGCATTCGACCCCAGAGCGATCCTGTATACACCTAGACTCACTGATTCTTTCCGGGATTGCTCTCCAGTTCGTGAGTGCCGTTTGTTTCCTGGCTTTCTCCTCTTCGATTTGTCTCTACAAGACAAGGATTTGAGGTTAGCATCTGTAGTAATGGCAAAAGGCGCAGAGTTGCTGCATACCCTCTCATTGTCGATATCCTCATGGCGTTTACCCAGCTGAGCGAGTCTGCCCCTATCACTGTTCATTTTCTCCTGTAGCTCATTTGCTTCGTCCTCAAGTGTTCGAATTCTTTGGATAATTTCTTGCTTGACCGATTCATCTACTGGCTGTGAAGTCCAGATCTTTGCGGGCTTGACCGGCCTCACCCGAGTGGAAGTTGCACTCGGCCCATATTCCCGTCGGCGGACTACAGCATAAGTCTGTTTACCGGCCACCCACGAACTGATAGGCCCATTCTGCATTCGCGTAAACTCTTCATCGCTGATATCTTGAAGACTGATTGGTGTCTGATGCAAGCGGTTCTCACTACAAAGCATAGCAATCACAGGCTCGGGGCCGCTCAAGAAGTCTTTGGCCCACCCGTCGAATCCAAGCTCTCGAATTTGCTGATCGGACATGGACGGACGAAGATTATCTAGGGGAATAGAGCAGGTACGGATACTGATGTCGGACAGTCTCTGCTCTACCAGGGCTTTTTGCAATGTCCTGAAGTCATTCCGGGTTTGCGTGGTAAATGCTGTAAAGTCCGTGCGTTGTAATAATGATTCGACAGCATGGGCAAATTCAGGATCCTTGACTGAACAGGTCAGAGCTGGTGGCCCAAAGACTTCTTTCTCGAACCGGCCTTGGTTCTCACGAAGCCATCGGTAGGCTTTGACAGAATCGGAGGATATGCGCTCGAGCTTGTTTTCCTGCTGACCAGCTTGAGAATCGAGATTCCTCAAATGTGCTTCCGCTTCTCTGATCTTATCCGTCGTAGATTTGTGTGATTCTAAAAGAGGTCGTCTTTCATCTTTGAGCTTCGTTGCCTGAGCCTCGATTTCTCTGAGCTCCGTTCGTTTTTCCCGCTACAAGAAATTAGCAGAAGACTTCGACTTTGCCTCGACGTACTTACAATTCTCTCGTTGTAGGAGTTGAGATCGACGGCTGCAGGCCCTTCCTCTTGCAAAGAATGCTTGAGTTTGTTCAGATTTTGCTGTATCGTGCTCATTTTCTGCCTGTGGCTCTTCGCACTTTGCTTTTCAGCCTCAACCTGGTTTTCCAGATCCTTGACCTTCTCCTCAAACTGTTCAATCTTTTTTTCGGCAGTGGAAGCCTTCTTTGCTGCAACTTCGAATGTCTGCGTTCTGTGCTTGATAACATCATCCAATTTGTGACAGTAGTCCTGCCTCTCATTCAAGGACCTCAGGGCAGGTTCGAGCTCTCTTTCGAGGTCAGCCAGTTCTTGATTTTTCACGTCCCGCTCTCTCTTCATCTCATTGTATTTGGTATGAAGCTCCGTGTACTGCGTGAAAGGGCGAGCAATTTCCAGCATCTCTATCTTTCTCTTGATCTGCGCCCGCTGGCGCATCCTCTCCACATCCGCCCTCTGCATCTCTTGTCGGTCCTTGAGATTGGCCAAGAGATCTCGGTCGCCCTGGTTGTCCGCCTCTAACTTCTTCTGTTCAGCCCTGAGTCTTTTGAGATTATCGTGCCATTCAATCATCTCGTCCCCTGCCGCGGCTCTCTGAGTCGAGCTGAGGAGTTCGATGGGTGTGAGAGCAGCGAATTCGCTGACCTTATCTTGCGGAAGAAATTGACAAAGATTATCGATCTGGATTGCGAAGGACTGGGCAAGCTTTAGCACCTGCTGACGAGAAGCCTGCTTCCCGTTGATTGTGAAAGAGCTTTTGTTGCCATCGCGTTTGATTGTTCTGGAAATCACGGGGTTGCGACGATAGCGCGAGCCACCTGCAAGCTCAATCTCGATGATAGCTTCTCGGCAACCGTGCTTGACAAACTCGCCGGGATCTTTGGCGCGCCCGAGGTGCTAATAAATGGAACAAACTGCTTAGAAACAGAAGAGAGAGGTATCACATATAAAGCTGTTCGTACCTGCGGTCCCCACCCCAAACCCAAGCATATCGCACAAACAAGTGTACTTTTTCCAGTTCCATTGGGCCCGATGACCATGTTCAGTTTCGGGCCGGGGAAGAACTCGGCCGATGTATAGGTGACAAAGTCGGTCACTTTGATGCGAACGATAGCACCGGGTTTGTAGCCTTCTGGGGTAATCTCGTTCGCGTCTGGGTGCTGCAACTCATGCGCATTGGTTTGTGGACCGTCAGCGCCGTCCGCGCCGGCGGATTGTGTCTCGGATTCGTCTGAACCATCCCCAGATTCGCTGGCAGTGTCCTCTGATCCTCCGCTACTTGGGACATCGGCTTGGCTACGTCGTTGAGATCGGTTGCCTGTGTTTGAGTTGTGCGGGGTGGATTTTAATGTCGCGGAGCCGGAGGACGAAGCTTCATCATCAGAGCTGTCGGCCGATCCACTAGCAGAGGCTTCAAGGTCTTCGTCTCTGTGGTCGTTGTTATCGGTGCTTAACCTGGGACGTTTGTTCATGGTTGATGCTCGAGTTGTTGAATCTCCAGAGCCCAAGCCAGAAGAGGGTGCCTCATTGCTATCATCATCATCATCCTCCTCCTCCGCGCGGGTGCGACGGCGAGGAACGGACCGTCCTGAGGACATGTTTGTGACGATGGCGAGCGCGCCGTTGCAATTCAGCACCGGCGCATTTGGAACAAAAGGGGGAGGGGGGAGATGGAGGGAGAAGCGAAACTAGATATATCAACCCCGCCCCAGAAGTGGCATGGGAAATATGATAAAGAAAAGACACTGTCAGGGCAACGCGGGCGGAGGACGCGACGCGAAAGGCGGAGGGCGGAACAAAGAATCTAGTCCTCCCCATCCCATCTAGCCCCGTTTGGGTTTAGCTCTTGCTTTTGACATCGACATCCTTTGAGTCTCCGCTCCCCTCCGTCCCTTCGAGCTTTGTTCTCTTCAATTGAGTAAGAGCTCAATTTCAGGTTCCTTTTATCAGTTTCGGAAATCAAACCCCGAGAAAGTTTTTTTATATCTTCGATCAGCATGTTTCGCCTGCCCAAAGACATCCCGCGAGCAACCCTCGCTGGCGCCGTTATTTGCATCACCATCTCAGGTACGCTGTTTGGTGCATCACAAAAATCTCAGCATCAGTATCAACAGGTATACATTCTCAAACTCTCTGGGGCTCGAATTGCTTTGTTAATAGACCCTTCCATTTGCAGAAAGTCCAGGAACAAAGGGCGCTCGAGCCAACAATCGATGAGCGAATTGACGGACTAAGAGGCATGCGGGAAAACTTGCTGGCCAAAAAAGAACTCGTGGAGAAGCAGCTGCAAAATCTAGAAATCCGCATCGCAGAAAGAACCCAGAATCAACCCAATGAGCCGAAGAAGGAACCACCTCACGGTAGGTGAAGGACTGCAACCCAAGGGATCGATGTCAATCCCAATTACTGTCGCCGTCCAGGATCTTGTTCAGATCACTACTTTCTGGTCTCAGACCAAGGGCTGGCGCTGGTATGCCAGATACCTGAAGTGCCGGCAGCCATCCACTGCGAACCCTAATGATCGAGGTTTCGAGTCGCACATTGCTCTGCATCAGAGATAATGCGCTGAGGAATATTGGCTTGACCGACGTCGCGACGTCTCAAGCGGCTACGGAGTCGGATTGTACTACATGACGAAGAACTTGAGCAGCCAGTCTGAAGTGGGACTGCATGGAGCTCAACTGCCTGGTTTTAGGAAACACCCTCAGTCCTGTATTGAAGGGCAGACGAGGCTTAGGAAACCTATTTTTGACCAGGTTCTCGATCACTTTGGCTTCTATTTCCTCTTTCGGTCGCCTCAGCTGAATTGCGCTTTTAAGGCTGCCTAGAACATGAAATACGAGAGAACTTAAGAGACTGTGGGCAAAGCGTTGGTATTAGCGATGTCATGAACTCGCAAGATCTATTCCAAGTTTCATTATCGTCTCTACGTGACATTTCCTCTCCAAGTATCTAGCCAAAATGGACAACTCGGACAGGTAATTCAAAGTGCAATAAATATGGTTGCAAAATACATCACTTTATGTCGTAGGCATAAAGGCGAATAATCACTCATCCAAAACTCCACGAGCGAGTGCAGCAAGACTCGCTTCATACCTTGCTGGGTTGTGGTCACTGAACATGCCCGAGCCGAATCTGAGCTCCCCAAAGGACGATTCGACATCTCGAACGAATGTCAGCTGTGCTCGGGTCGCCGGCCGACCGAGTACTGGATAGCCATCAGCCGTCACATCAGATGTAAAAGCGTTTCGCTGAAGCACCCTCATCGTTTCGACTAGAAACACCTCACCCGGCGGTAAGAGTTTTGGCGCCCTCATCTCTTCGCGAAGCTTCTTCAATGTGTTCCATGCCCATGCGTCTTCTCCCACGCCGTAACCGGCATGAGTGAGTATAGGCGGTTCGTTTACGTAGAATTTGCTCACAATACTCTGCCTAAAGCCTTCCCAAACTCGAAACCCGACGTGGGAACGGGCGCCAGAAACGTCACCCTTGAATGCTACCGCCACTGTATGCATATCATGCAAGATGCCGAGCGAAAGGCAAGGAACCACATCCTGACCATTGACGATGGTGGTGATTAGCCCACGCGTTGCGCGGCGCAGGAACGGCGACATTGTTGCAGGAGGCCCGTACGCATAGACATGAATTGGCCGCCCGGAGGGCACGAAGAAAGCCTTGTCGTAAGCTTGTGCCTTGTTGTCGGATGGACTCAGATTTGTGGTTTGATAAGAAGTGGTTGTGAACGATGCGCCGAAAGCATCGCTGCTTGGCTCAGAGATCATCGTTGCAAGCAGTGCAGCGACTCCTCCTCCCAGTGAATGTCCACAGAGTACCAGCCCATAATCTGAGAATTCCTCTAGCGCAGCTCTAATCGTCAACATGACTCGGCCACCTCCGCCCATCAGAAGGCGTTTTGCTGAAGCGTGCATCCCCTTATGCACTTTCCAACTTCTACCCTGCCATTCAAGGTCATCGTATTCGCAAGTCATGTCAGTCAGAATATCCTCGAAGCCCCATGTCCCGCGCAAGGTCAGAACCACGGCTTTCGATTCATGGTCGAGGGAAAGGTAGTGAACTAATGGAATTCCGCTTTCTGTTTCCCCTGCAGCATTCGTGCCACCTGCAGAGTCGACGAAGGAAGAAAGCAGTATCGTGGAAGCTGGCAAGCCCGTGTGATCAGAGAAGTCACTATGTTCCGGACTGGATACTTCTTCGGCGGGTAAAACACTCGTTAAGCGCGGGACACCCATGACCTTCAGAGCATGAGACCCATATGAAGCCGAGGAGAATCTGCAAAAGCGTCTAATATTTTGCATGAAGTGCTTTGCAGGGAAGATGCCGGGCACGGTGCCATCCCGATTCAGACTTTGAAGTGCTTCTGTATCGTCATAGGCACTTTTTCGAGGACGATGAGCGAGCACGAGCGACGTTTCGGACCCCGCTGTAGCGAGGGAATATATGCTCGGAGATGATGCGCGATTGTGCAGGTGCAACATAGAGGAGCTTTGGCGACCATCCTTATTGATGTAAACGGTCACATCACTTTCCGACCTCGTCAATGATAGAGAACTGCTACTACGCACATGTGTCCTTCTCGTGACCGGGGAGCCTGGTGGCGAAATTGGTGATTCTTGAGCGTAGGCTTGGGTCTGAGAGACGAGGGAGTCTTCTGACTTTTCACGAATAGCGAAGATATCTGTTCTTGGATTGCTTATGTGACAAGCATCGCGAGTATCGGAACGGTAGGTCTTTGGGATAGGTGCCTGATTCATACGCTGCTCTTGCAATGGGGTTCGGGGTAAGCCTCTGTTAGCTACGGGTATCGAAGATCCGCGTTTTGGTGATGGCGCCGCCGTTTCATAAACTTCACTGCGGTCGCATTTGGCAGGACGCTGCTGTGTTGATATCTTTCGTGTGTTTGCTGTTCCCTTGAATGGTCTTCCCTGCGCGATGGCATTTTCGGTAGTCGGCGGGGATTTTGTTTTCTCTGGAGTGAACTTCGTAGACAGGCGCTTGCCAGCGTCCTTTTTATCAACACTGCTAGCCTTGATCTTCTGCGCTGCTTTGGTCAAAGAGGACTTCATGGGACTTCCTTTGGTTGTGTTTTCCCGCTTCCCACGAGACTGGGGTTCAGAGACACTGGAGTCAAGCTTCGCCGAGTCCAGGCTGCCGCGAGGATCCAATGAAGGGCCGGTAGGACGCTCTATGGTGAGCACCTTATTTTCTGCTGGTTCCGCAGAGTAGGTGTTTGTTGTGGCATATGGCTGATCCACCACTTCTCGGTGCGACCGAGGCAGTTTCTGTTCGTCACCTGCGTGCCATGCCACACTGTCCTGCTGACTCGCGGGTCTCACATCAGAATTGTTGGACCTAGTGAAGGCAGTTCTGAAGACCATCATGTGCTTGGGAAGTTGTCCCTGATTAGATGATCTGCGAGGACTAGTATCATGGTGCCTCTCCTCAATCATCATTGTACCTGGAGGAGCCGCTATTTCTCCAATGTCCTCATCAAATATCTCAACGGTGATGGTTCTGGCATGTATCAGGTCAGTCCTGATAGAAGCATGGCATCCTTGAGGCAGTTGTCTCATAATGTACAAGCGAATGTCTTCATCGGAAATCCGATGCGGATTCTCAAGTGGCACTGATAAGTATGATCTTTCTGCGGTATCAGCGATGCTTGCTGGCCGTTGTATCGCATCGAAGACTTCATCATCATTTCCGGCAGTCATAAAAGACGAGCGCTTCGCGTCGTCACACGGCTCATTGAGAGCCGCCTTAGGCTGCTCGACCTGATGGGTACCGACAACATCTGCTCTCACACCATTATCTAGTATAACAACATCCCATACGGACTCAACTCCGCCGATTCCGCGTACGTGTCGTTCTGTACTTTTCCTGCCCCAACGCTGGAGCAATGCAAATCCGACACAGCCGACTAAAAGGTCAGCTACACCGATTCTCTGGGTTCGAAGTTCGGTCCCGAATTCTGTATCGTTCAATTCTCTGAGCTCACTCCGGAAGAGGGTCACGATTGCCGCAATGGCTCTAGACGACTCCGTAGAGCCGAGAGTTGCGTCTAGCGTAGACAGGAGGGATTGGGACACATTGGCTGCGGAAAGAAGCGCGGACGAGGATAAATGGAACGAGGCAGCAGCGAAAAAAGATGCCGAGGTGATTGTACTGTGCAGAGTAGCCAGCTAATGCTGGTGTCAGTTGGGCAGGGGTGGACACGACGACAGCGACTTACACTCCGTTCGAGCAGTGACTCTGCTTCAGCCTTGCCATACTCGCCGCTACTTCGAGTACTCAGGTCGCGCCCAGCTCTCGTCAGTATTCCCTCTACCATCGCTCTACTGAGCTCCAGTCCGGTCAATGTGGTGGTTCTAGCGCCATCTAGGGCAGCACCACCGACAAATGTTCCTATTCGAAGAGATAATGAAGTCGATTGAGTCATGAAAGATACCATAGACGCAAGCGGTCGTGGGAGAAGAGGCAAGCCGGATGTTGCGGGGACATGGCGGGTGTCGTTCTCACGGCCGGCTTGCTCGTATGCCTGCTCGAGATCATCCTGTTTCTGTGCTTTCCGGATCCTGAAGAGTCTCGACATTTCAGCCCATCAGAATCGCAGAGGAATTGACCCGTTTTGACCGGTGAGGAGTGTATAACTTTCCAGCCATGGACATAAGTTCGAGTGGTTCAAGGGGGGGCGAGTGAGATGAAGATAGCGTCACGCAGTTGATTTCACGAGAATTGGAAAATATAACAACCGGGCCATCAAAAAGTTGAGCTTGTAAGAGCTTGTAGCGGGGAATTCCTGGTTTGATGGAAAAGCCAGAGTTTGTGATCTGGGTTTGGGCGCAGGTGGCGAACTTGGAAGAAGCGATAAAACCAATTTCACTCTATCAGGGGTTATGCCGGTATTGACATGTGATTCCCCGGCTTTTGCTCTTAGCGCATGCTTCCCCGGGCCGTCACACTTTAAAGGCAGCACATGAGTGCTGCGTCTTCTGCTTCTATATACTTCCTGATCGCTCACTGAACATGCACCGTCGGTTATTCTGGTCCCTTTTGGTGTATAAGATTTAGTATACAGATAGAGGAAAGCCCAAAGATGAGATGAATTAATTATCAGGCATAATAAAGCGGGGTAAGCAACCTGCTGTGTCTGACGACTCCAGGTATGCCGGCATTGTCAATGAATGAGACTGACTTCATCATCATGGATGGATAGTCTGCCCTTCTGCCCGAATCACGCCGCCCCAAAGGTGTACAGTACTGTACCTTGTCTGGTGCGCCCAGAGTTTTCAACCACACATTATGCCATGATCAGGACATTAGAGAAACACTTGATATGTTGTTATGATACCGTCAGCCAGCTCATCAATCCCGTGAAATCTCTTGGCCTCGAATCGTCTCTTTGGTCGCGGGGCTCTAGCGCAAGCCAGTCAATTGAGTATAAAGCTACTAGTACCTAGTTACCTGCCATGTGTCTTTAGTAATCGCGACGACTGGCCTCCTGTGACTCTTAAGTGATCAATCTCCACTTCCCTTCCAAATAATCCCCATACCTGACTCAGTCCTCACTCCACATATGGCCTCCCTCCTCCGTTGTCAGGCAAGCGCAAGGAGCCTATGCAGGTTTCAGCTGTGGGAATTTCAAGGTCTGGGATTAAGTCACTACGCTAGGCACTACACATACTCGGATTTGAGCATAATCACCATGGCTTTGATACAATCCTTCCCCCATCATCCTTAGAGGGCATTTATCGCCTTCTGCAGAAGAGTGTAAGATAGAACCAGTTTTCGGTCAAGCGAATAGACTGACTGCCGAGAACTCTGATGCCGTCTTGAGTAAATGCATCGGTATTGGCGATCTTCTGGCGGCTGAATTTGCGCCCGAAGTTACTGCGGCATATCCGGACGTCAAGGTGATCCTCAACATTCGTCGGGACCTTGAGAATGATTATTCACAGTTTTAAGCTGAATAAATATGTATCGTGCACATTCAGAATCTCAAGAGATACTTTGAGTTTTACTAATTGGATGGTGGAGGCTGCCGTGGTTATAACAATTGCCGAGTCAATGCACTCCGACTTGTACTGTATTCGCTATTGTCAGCTATCCATGCATTGACACTGTAGACAAACGCCGGCAAAAGCAGCTAACGGTACATACAGTTAGACGCAGGCCGGGTCTTCGCTACAACATGTCTGACACACTACACCGTCTCGTGGGCCGTCGCCACTCACCTTGCTGGCATGCTGCATCAACCTATCAATGCCAGGAAGATTCGAAACCTGTTTCTGGGATTTACCTTGGTCAACCGCTAACATTCGTTCAGTCGCACACAGCCAGTATGCGTCAAGTGTTGCCGTGACGTAAGATACTCTCACAGGATAAGCGAAGATCATTAAGGAATACGAGCACATCATTCCAGTAACTCAGCCCGGTCATCGACTTTTGGGTATAATTGAGCTCGCTTCTTTCCCGTTTCTAGTATCATGCAGTCGTTTCCCCGCATGTTGTGCAAGAGGAGGTCGAAGCTACGCTCAGATACTGTACTATGAAACTATGACGATCTCGGAGCCACGATCAGGCTCAATGCTCAGCCTCTCTCAAGGCTGCCGTGATCATCCCCAAACACACCACCAGCTCTGGTCTACTAGTACTTATACCTTTCATTAGCTCAGCTCGTGCTTAACGAGTCTGCAATACAGAGCATCAGCGCAACAAGGAATACAATGTCCGACGGCTCGGCTACATCGTAAGCGGTATCCTATTACTATTTCGACGTCGACGTCGAGCTGACCCGCATAGATCGCTCCTTACCACGCTCGGCCTACGCACCACTCCCTCTTCACCCACTCCCAATCGCATCGCAATCGTGATCCTCATCAACTGGTTCCTTGCGCACGGGGTCCTCAACACTCGAACGGCTAGACAACAACTCCGGCTAGATTCTAGCGGTGTGGCATGGTACGATCTGCTCCAGCACGGCGAGGCCGCCGTGCGGTCCGGCAAGATGACCAGGCGACAGCTGGAGCGACTGAAGCGACGGGAAACAGCATATACCAACGTTATTGAGGGATTTCCACTTTTCCTTGCGGGAGGTATGTCATTCCATAGAAATATACCCGGGGAGTATAATGATGCGACTGCGGAAATAAACTGAGGGAAACTCACAGCCCTGCTCGCCTTATTCGTACAAGTGCCGCCTGAGATCATCAACAGCTTTGGAATTTGGTTTTCTATTCTGCGGGTGACTTATGCAGCGGCGTATGTGCTGATCGAATCGGAAGGCTTGAGATTTGTGCCGTCGCTGTTATGGTGGTGTGGCGATACCGCGTGCTTTGCTGCATTGATGATTGCGGGGAAGCGGCTGTAGTTGTCTCTCTTTTTCTTTTTGATGATGGCAGTGAGCAGAACCATTGCAGGAGAGATTTTGATTTGATAGTGGTTTGAGATCATGGCGATTAATCGTTGCTTTAGTAACTTGAATCCGGTACCTTATGGTATACTAAAATGCACTAGTTGAGTACAAGCTGTACACAATTACTCCCAGTCTAGCTCTGGGTTGTGATCAATTCCAGGTTACATAGAGCAAGCAAGCCGATAGAACATGTCCAAACCATGGAGGACAGAAGAGATCCCAAAGTACCATTTCAATACCCACAGTAGACATAGGGCTCTACTAGGTACTAACTCAGCATAGCCGAGGCGGCCAATCAGAAGTTTTGGACTGAAAGATCTATATACCTCTAGTTACCTAGGTACCTTAGATTCGTAGTTTGACCGGATTTTTAACGATCTGATACCGGCGCTGCGCTCCTACAGTAATTATTCTCGATTGGGATAGCCTGCCTATTTTCATAAGACGTATCGATTATACTGTTAAGTAAGACAATGGTGAAGACCATAGCCCTGGCCATGCCAAGACAACCTTGCCAGCGCAACCGGATGGCTGATCGTGAGGTCGAGTCCTTTGCCGAAGCCACATTTTCACTGCTTACATGTATCTCCTTCTGTCTCAATGGCTGGCCCTTGCAATTGATGATGTAGGCCCAGTCGTCAATTTGCTACCATCCTACAGTCTGTCTGGAAGGCTGCAGCCTTGCACAGCCCGCCTTTCCACACTGTTTCGATATCATGTTTGCCAAGGATAACCTGGGTTAGAGTCCGTCCGACCTTTTACATCATGGCGTGCTGATCTCCAAGGTGCACCACCTTTTGAATCCTGTCACGGTAGCATTCAGCGACATTCTGCCAAACATCTGCCAGAAGCCCTCTTATCACGATGCCTGCTCCTTCCTTCCCGTCAATACCCAATCAGTGAATCCATGATTACTGGCCTGTCAATCATAACTGCCTTGGCTCCCAAACAGAGTGCTTTGATAACATCCGCACCCGTTCGGATCCCAGAATAAAAAAGAACCGTCAATCTGTTCCCAACAGCGTCAAGTATCTCGGGAAGTACATCTAGAAAGCCGATGGCGCCAGCAACTCGTCGGCTTGCCTCGATTAGCAGATGACATCCATATGATGTTAGAACAACCTACCTCCATGATTGGAAATGACGGGCTCCGTCGCAGCCCACTTCTAGGGCAAGTTATGCGTCATCCCCGCTTTGATTGCCGTTGAGAAGCAGGGGACCATCCCAATCCTCACGCAGAAAAGCAACCTGATCCCAAGTATGCGGAGCACCGGATGAATATCTGCAAAATCCATGATTTCGAGGCGCCTGCGATACCTTCTTCTCACTTTCGAACCAAAATCCTTCTCATCTTTGGCCCGAAATACGGGGTCGGTGAAGCCGATCTCATTGCCTATGCCCGTGATGAAGAAAACATAGGCATTGTCCAAGTCGGCCAGTCGCCAAGCGAGGGACCATGTGTCCAAGGGGATCACCAGGACGCCGAAGCCGTTATCCTTTGCGCGTTTTAACAAGGAGAGGGTGAACCCTTCATCCATTTGCAGTACAGTTGGAACCATCTCTTCCCGTCGCCATGCTGAGACTATACGGTACCCCAACCTATCCGCATACCTCCGCGAGACCGGTCGCCTTGTCTTTATGGAAGATAGATTGCACACCGACGGGTACCACAAGCATTGGGGTGGGGTTTGTCTGTCCAAAAAGATTCGCTGAAATACCAGCAACATAGTTGAAGCTGCAAATTCCTGAGGCTTTCTTTGCCTGTTCCTCCAATCGACAAGGGTCTGTGGTGATGGCAGAAAAAATGCCTGACGTTGCTCCTTGGTAGTAGATCTGAGACTGGTAATCGCCGTAAATTTCAGGCATGATGGGTGAACGTTCAGCGGGTTCAGGCCTCTTTTGCTAATAACAAGATGACTTGCTCGCACCGAGCGTCAGAGAGCTGAATTGGCCTTCAAAAGTCCTGATATGCAATAAGATCTTGGAGGTCACGTCAATTTCAAAACCAGGGGTACGCACAAGTTACCGACTCATCCGCATCGAGAGAGTCAACTCTATCTTGTGTTGTCAAGCTTTACTGTCTTTCGAAAACACTTTGAAATTAGTTTTTCACGATTGCAAGCCCAAGACACCGTCCATTGCCGAAAGTTACTTGGCGACTACCCTCGGGGTAGCAACCTGAGAAAGTCATGCCTGATGCTCCGATGTCATGTTGTCAACAAAGTGCGGCTGCCTACCGAAGCATTGCCTTCTAATGTTTGTGCGTTCTGCGTGGTTCTGTAAGTTCGCCATCTTGATTTAGGTAAGTCGTGATTCAAAGCACTTGGCTCCCTGGCCGTGGGAAGGGAGTAATCGAGATGTGAGTGATGGTTTGTGCTCTCGAAGATGAGGTGACAAGGACTCTGCGATTTTGAGATAAATGACAGCTAAGAAGTCTCCTGCGCCGTGGTGTAAGTACAGTCGACAACCTTGAGTTATTTATCCGCAATTGCTTCGAAGCCGTAGTTGATCGACGGGTCTGAGTATCTTTTCCTCGCGATGTTCTTATGAAGTTGACCAATGTTAGGCTTTCCGAAGTATATGCACGGGCATCGTCTTGCTCAAGTGGAATATTCCAAAAAGCTTATTGCTACCTTGAATAAAAGTAGGGAACGCACGGCGCATGAAGGGGCTGTTCCTGCATCCAATCGGATTTGGTAGAGTCTGTCGCAGCGTGACGCCCTGTCAGGTGCTATACGACTATATGCATGCTCTTTTCTCTGAGGGTCACAATACTATTGTCTCCTTCGATACAATGTTCATGACAGCTCGGATATCGTCCGGATGCCTTTCAGGCTTATCATAGTGACCTTCCCAACCGAGGCACTCGACTGCAGATCTGGTCATTAGCAACTCAATTACTTCCACTCATTGTAGGATTTGCATCATTATTATGCAGGATCTAACCATTGTATCCTTGCGTCGCCAAGAATGCTGGCCCGCGGCGTGACCCCTGCGTTTTTTTCTTCTTTTTCTAAGGTTCGGTGAAGAAGGACGATCCACGATCCAGTTCGGCGTCTTTTTAAACACGGATAAGCATCAACTTTCATTTAACCGACTTGTGCATGCAGACCATCTCCTGGATGATGGCACTTCTATGAGCGCTTGAACAAGCTTATCCTCGATTTGCTCACCTGAATCGCAAAGAAAAAAAGCAAAAGAAATTTGGGTCTAGGTTCTTGGCGATTCTTGGCCACTGCGATTAAAAATCCCACCCTTTTCTATAGGGCACATTTTGCCTCCCCTGACTTGCAGCGTGGTGGGCATCAGAGCACCTCCGTGTTCTGTCAACTGAACCGCTTTACCCTCGACCGCTGCCTGGTATCTGGTCTTGGTGGAGATAACCCCACGGGGAAGTTCATCTGAGCGCCCAGACAGACCCTGCGGGATCGCCGCCGAGGCCACCACCACCGCCCGATATGGATCAACATCATCACAGAGAACCCAAGGCAGATGCGGAAGCGCATTCGCCCACACGTAACTCAACGGAGATAGACGGTGACGATCGATCAGATATCTCGTTGGCCGACGGAAAAGAGGCACGCCACTTGATCTGGAAGATAGACATCCACATCATCCCCTTCGTTGTTCTACTGTATTTGTTCAGTTTTTTGGACAGAGGTGGGTCCACTCCCATGCAAAGACATTCTCGTGAATGAGGAGTCGTTGCTAACAATCACCCGCAGTCAACATTGGAAATGCTCGCTTGTATGGCATGGAAGAAGATTTGGGCCTCGTGGGCAATCAATACCAGGTTGCAGTATCGATTCTGTTCGTTACCTATTGTGTACGCCCCCGCTTATACTCCGGGCAGTGACCGCAATCACTGATAGCTATCTGCAGCTGTTCGAAGTCCCTTCCAACCTAGTGATCAAGAAGCTCAGGCCATCGCGGTACATCGCCTCAATCTCGATCATCTGGGGCATTCTAGCTACCTTGACAGGGATCACGCAAAGTTATGGCGGGTTGCTTGCGTGCCGTGTTCTTCTAGGTCCGTCTATTGCATATACTCCCATTTTTGACTCCGTGCTCATGTTTATAGGTGTCGTGGAGGCTGGGCTCTTTCCCGGCTTGATGACATATCTCACCCTGTTCTACAGCAAACGCGAAATCGCACTCCGGACAGGATATCTGTTCAGCAGCGCCGCGGCCGCTGGTGCCTTTGGAGGTCTTCTTGCGTACGGCATTGGCTTTATGGATGGCGTCGCGGGGCTACGGGGCTGGCGATGGATCATGATCATTGAGGGGATGCCCACCGTCGTACTGGGCGTCTTAACCTGGTTCTTCCTCGCTGATGAGCCCGACACCGCTTACTATCTCAACGAGGACGAAAAAGCCATGATTGTCCGTCTGCGCCGTCGCCATGTCGGCCAGACCCCGTCAGCTCAGAAGTTCCACTGGGCGGACGTGAAAGAGGGTGCGCTGGACTGGAGGATTTACGCATTCTGCATTGCCCAATTCGGAGTCGACACGATGCTTTACGGCTACAGCACTTTTCTTCCCACGATCATCAAGGGAATGGGAGAGTGGTCCACTGCTGAAGTCCAGGCACTGACTATTCCGTGCTATGCGTTGGGGGCAATTGTGTATCTGATTGTCGCTTGGCTTAGTGATCGAACCCAGCGGCGTGCGATCTTCGTCTGTATCTTCGCTGTGATCTCCGTGGTCGGCTACGGAATCTTGATCTCCGACTCATCTTCCGGGGTGCATTACTTCGGTGCGCTGTTTATTGCCTTGGGACTCTATGTCACTGTGGGACTGCCGCTTGCGTGGCTACCGACGACGCTGCCTCGATACGGGAAGCGAACCTTCGCGACTGGCCTGCAGCTGACGTTTGGCAATATTAGCGGCGTCATGTCTCCTTTTCTCTATAAGACGGAGGAAGCACCGCGGTATGTTCGGGGGAATGCCGTGACGCTCGCTCTGGTGGGCTTTGCCGGGGTGGTCTATGGACTCATGTGGTGGTATTACCACTACAAGAACAAGCGGAGGCAGCAGGGTCTGGAAGATGACAGGGTTGCGGGCATGACCGATGAAGCCATCGAAGAGCTGGGTGATAGGAGTCCTCGGTTTGTTTATAGTATCTAAAGGGTCGTGAGAAACATTCTATGTCTGATATTTATGTCATGAATTGGAGTATTAGCAGCCAGAATAGAATTTGCCGGGTCCAAAACCTCGTCCCCTGCGGATGTTGCCCGAGTAGGTGTGGCCCTCTTACCGGATCCGCCTGTCGATGTCTCAGATCAGTTCCTACAATGCACGAGAACATGTAATTGCCATGTACAGTAATCGGATAGGCTATCAGTAGTATGGTAGTATCAGTGGTGTCAGTGTGACTCTGAAGATTCTCATGACTGGAAGTCGAAACTTTTGAATCTATACACCTTTGTTTTTCTGCATGCGAATGTTGCAGTGAGCTACTAATAAAAGCATAATTAGACCTAGACATCTCTAAGACTGTGGCCATACTATTTAGAATTGGGTGGAGTCCTACTCAGCACAGCATTGGCACATAACTTCAGAGATATAGTACCATTGCTGACTCAACACCGAATCAGACAACAATTCTAAGCCTCATTCGAATAAAAAATCAGCATATCATAATCAAATGATTTCACTAGATGTTTCAATGGGTGGATTCTTCATCTGCTAAACTGCACATACCAAGACAGCTCACGTGACGGTATCCCGGCTAACACGACTGTTTATGGGCGGAACCCCAAAACTTTTGGCTGGTCGCCATCCAGCTTCCAATTTGATCTCGGTATCAACCAGCACCAGTTCGATCTGTGCATTCGTCATTCATCTCAGCGAAACCACAGCACTTATCTTGGTCTCTTTTCACCAATCCCTAAGCGTCACAATCAACTCATTCGCTATCCAATCTCGAGACCCTGTCTTCCAACCATGGAATATCACTTTGTCCCTCCGGAGGAGCGTGCGAGAAATGAGAAGGGCGAGCTATTGCCTTGGGGCTACGTTTACAAGGAGTAAGTGACAGCCCTGCGATTCTTCTCCCTTTCTCCCCTCTACACACACACACACAAAAAGATACAAAGGAGAGCTTTCCTTGCGCCATTCAAATGAAGGACGAAGCATAACATTTTTCTCTACCTACCAGCGAATCCCTCAATCCACGCCGCGCCCCCGAAGAATCAGGCCCATTCGGCAAGCGCCGCAACGCCCGTTACGAACACACACGCTCTCGCACCCGCACCGGTACGCCGGCCGCGAAGCGCGAGAACCCTAATGTGACCGAGTTCGGCCGCCTGTTCGCGGCGCAGCAGGAAGAGGAAAAGGCCCGCAGCAACACGCTGCCCAAGTCGGCGTCGGCGTCGAATGTCGAGAGCCTGCGCAAACAACAACAACAACAACAACAACACCACCACCAGCAGCAACAGCAATTACAGCAACAACAACAGCAACAGCAGCAACAGCAACAGCAGGAAGCGGACAAGGTCGCGACAGAGTGTATCCTGTACGGGTATAAGAGCAAGGACGGGGAGTGGAAGGTTATCGACAAGTACGAGCGCATCTCGCAGGGGTTTATATGTGAGGACTACCCGCGGACGGATCCCAACGCGTCGGCGGGCTTCTCGCAGCTGCTCAGCGGCGGCGACGTGGTGATCCGGGCGGGCCTGTCGGCGGACGCGAACCGGAAGTCGAAGCGCTATGCGGGCGGGTACCACTGGATCAAGGTGACGTTCGACTCGACGGCGGCGGCGGATCGGGCGTGTTTTTTCTCGCCACAGGAGATCGATGGGCATCTGGTGTTCTGCGAGCTGTATCACGGTCGAGGCCCCGCGGAGGATGTGCCGATCGTAGTCGGGTCGGCCGAGGCCAGGCGGGTGCAGTCCAAGGCGCCGCGGACGCTGTCGACCTCGCATTCGACGGCCTTCTTGCCCACTGGCTCGGAGAAGGAGCGCAGCACGCTGCCTCGGTCGTTCGGGTTCAACAACAATCTGTCCGCCACGGTGTCGGATGTCACGGACGGAGGGGACTCGATGGACTCGACTCCTACGGCTAGCTCGACCACTGCCACCGGGCTCGAGGGCGCTACCGGTTCCAGCAATAGCAGCAGCAGCAGGAGTAGTATGACTATCCAGCAGCAGCAGCGCGCTCTCACGTCCGCCCCGCCCAAGAAGCCCGAGTCCGATTTCATGACCCATATCCCCACGGTGCGCCGCACGAAACTCCGCCCCATGACCGAAGCCCTCCCGCCGCGACTCACCTTCACCGAGAGGGTGCTGCGCACCATCCCCGTCCTCAGCTGGTTCACCGGCGACATCGTGGGCGACGGCCCGCAGCTGCGCGACGACGGCGCCTTTGATTACGACAAGTCCAACACCTACTGGCGGTTCTGGTACATGATTGACAGCCTCATCGGCACCGACATCTGCGGCCTGAAGGAGGAATCCTCCGAGGCGAAGGCGGAAGCTGCTGCCACGGCCACCGCATCGACAACCGCCCTGGATTCCCCCGCGGCTCTAGCACCACAAAGACAACATCAGCGCTCCGCGTTCCCAGACAAAGGCGGCCTCTTCTCCCGGGCACCGATGGAAGCCATTCAGAACACCATCACCGAGGACACAAAGGCTCTGCAGGTAACCGGCTCATCGACAGTCCTCCGGGATATGGATCCCCGTCGGCCATTTTCATGGGATTGATTTTATCTTGAAGACAAGACAGAAGAAGAAAAAGCAAGACGAAGAAAGATAAAGATACAACTTATCAACCTATGTGTCGTCCCGCTAGCTGCTTGCTACCCATACACTCTTCTCATGTACAACAACACTCTCGCACATCTGCCAGCGGTGGTGATCCTCGGGGAGGATTAAGAAGAGAAAGGCAAGGAAATCTCGAGCTTTCAGTCACTCATTCGACTTGATGCTTTTAGCCGCTTTTTGATCGTGTGTGTTTTTTCCCCCTTTTCTGGTGATGACTCTTTCTGCATTGCATATATGATCGTGGTTGAAAAGGGCGTTTTTTTCCTGGCGGATCTCCCTCATGTTTTATACTTGACACTTTGTTGTTTTTTTTTCTTGCACTCAGAGGGACGGAGGGAGATGACTCTCGTATAAAACTTCACTGACTACCTAATGAATGGCTCCCTGTCTATACTGGGGAATTGGGAGGGCGGAATATGGTTTACTCTTCAAAAACCCCCTGCGTAATGATACGTTCACTGTGCGTAGTACAGTACATGTATGTTCATTTCATGGGATTTAGTGTGTGTGCTACGCGACTAGCAGTGGGGGAATGTACCTACAGTTGTAGTACTCGGAGCAAAAAAAGATCGCGGGGCTCATTATCTTCTTCCTTCGTCCATCGCTTACAGTCAGTCAGTACAATGGCAGTATTGACCTGAGATCAGGCACAATATCCCCCCGCGAGAAACGAGGTACAGTCCCTAGGTGACCCTCCCTGAGACAAAGCTCCAGCCAGTCTCGAAGTCGCAAGGCACAAACACGGGTCTACTCTTCCATATCTAAGGTCGAGAAGAGGGGCTCCTACTACTTACTCACCATGACCTTGTAGTAAACCCTCTCACTAAATCCCGAACCCCCCAGAAACCCCACACGAAAAGGAAGCCTATTCCTTCATACAACAGAAAAGAAGCGAGCCCCAGCTCCTGCCACAATCGAAGACGGAGGTACGAGCAGCAGTAGTAGTAGCAGCAGCAGTAGCAGCAGCAGTAGCAGCAGCAGTAAAAGTAATCAGAATGGGTATTCGTTAACATCGTCGCCCTATTCACAAAGGACCAGACACGACGGAACACGACAAATAGCCGGCCGGACAACGGCAACAAAAAAAAGCTTAATATTCGTTTATATTAGATGGAGGATATTTTTGGCTTTTTTTTCTCCCTCTACTCGACGTTGCTCTCGAAGTTCTCGCCCTCGACGAGGTCGGGGATATCATCTTCCTCGTCGTCCTTCTTGCCCTCGGCGCCCTGGGCCTTCTGCATGTTCTGGTAGCTCTCGGCGAGCTTGCGGAGGGAGGCCAGGCTGTCGGGGCCGAGCTGGTTCAGGATACCGGGGACGAGCTCGGTGAGCTCCTTCTCCTCACCGTTACCGTAGAGGGCGAAGGTGTTGGAGGGGACGGAGGCGTGGACTGTTTTTTTTTATTTGTGGTTGATTAGCAAGATTTGGGGGTGGGAAGGTGGATGGTTGGTAGCTTTGGGTCAATGTGGAATTCGATGAGTTACTCACCCTTGGGGGCACCGAAGTGAATGACGTTGCCGTCCTCCTTGAACATGTTGACCTCCTCAATGGCCTGGATGGGCTGGACGTTCATCTTCTTCAGGGTGGCCTGGAGCTTCTTGTCATCGGCGCCGGAGGACTTGTGGACCTTCTTGACCTTGCGGCGGGGGGTACCCTTGCCTCTGCTCGAAGGTGGAACGGGTTAGTGATGGAGTTCAGTTGGGTATAGTCTGTCTGGTGGGAGCGACAGGGTGGGGGATGGCGAGGGAGGGTGGTTTGGTGGGATTCATTCTGCAATACGAATCGAAAAGTAGGGATTGTCTCATTGTGTTGAGTGGTGTGTTCAAGGAATCAAAGATACGTACCCTGTGACGCGCAGAAGAGATATATGTCAGCAAGCACATTTCAAGCATTAGGTAATTTGAAGGTCGACTGGAGGGGTGATTGGGTGAATGCCCAGTCGCGCAAGTCTTTTGTCACGAAGAGCACCTTTGGTGTTGACGAAAGTCCATGTACGAACAGAGGAGGAAGACATCACAGCTTGGGAGCTGTCATTCTTGCCATTTGAGTTCGGAGGAGCATTTGGGAAAATTATGACAGAAGATTAAAAAGGCACATACCAATGCGGTTGGCCTGGGCGGCGGCCTGCAACTTAGCCAACTTCGCGGGATCCATTGTGATGGTGATTTAGGGTGGGCGAGACCTGATCCTAGAAGCGAAAGCACAGAGAAAGTTGTTAGAGATGTATGTTCCGGTCAGATGGTGGGGGATTGGATCGTGGGTGGTCTTCTTGGAGGAGGAGGAGGTGGTGATGGCAGCGAGTGGAGAGGTCAGGTGAGTGCGAGATGACACTTTCTGTCGGTCGGGCTTGGGAGGGGAGAGGGGGGATTTTGCTCGATTGAAGGGACGGACCACAGGGACGAGGTGCGTATAAGTCCGGTGTTGAGGCTGGCAAGAATAGAGGGAGAACCTACCGAGAGGAGGATTGATGGAGTTTGTGGTTGCTGAAGTGAAGAGGAGGAGTAGGAATTGGAAGTGGGAGGAACACAACTGCGGATTGAGCAGCAACAGCAATTGTGTGGGGAGCAGCGCCGACACGGCGAGACCACCGCGCCGCTCGCTAAGAGTCGCCGTAGCTTCTACGTTATCTACAGCTCCCCGAGCTTCTACATGTGCAGGAACGATTCGGACTACAAGTTATCTCTTCAATGGTTCACATTGGATACGGTCATTGCCATCATCGCCAGTCTGCTCTGGTGGTTGTGGGCGAAAAACTCGATGAGGGAATCTGAGAGAGGCTCCTCGGCTAAACCCTAACGATCTCCCGCTGCTGACCAGCAATCATCAACGTCTCGCGTAGTAGTAGTTGGTGGATCTGTAACAGTGCCCGGAGGCCGGATGAGAATATGATCTATAGTAAACTATCAGTGGTACTCCGTCTACTAATGACAAAATGCTCACTACATCAATCGGCCTCCTCTATACTCATACACACACACTTTCTCTCTCTCTCTGGACCCTGGATGTTCACCTCCCGAGCCCCGGCATCTCATGCCTATTCGGGAAATCTAATCTTCCCGCCGCCGGGCTGTTGCTATCGGCTTTGGACGCATTCGCGCCACGACGTCATGTCTCCATTCCGCGCACTTCACCAACGGACAACATCTGCTCAAAAGACATGATTATTGCATAAGTCACTATACTACAATTTAAATCAACTCCAAAGAAGATACCAAGCTAGAGACAGTTAGAGAGCAACCGAGAGAATCAACTCTCCGCAATCTGCTGTTCAGTCCACTCCCAAAGACGTTTCCCCATCTCTACATCACTGGCGTACGGATTGCCACTGGCATGGACCCCGATCGGCACATAGTAAGCACCGTTGATCAGCGCTTCGCGCTTCGCGCCCGCCGCCCACAGCTGGTTCAGCGCTCCGGTGCGCAGGGACCTACAAAAGCCCGTCTTGATGATGTTCACCCCAAGCCTGAAGAACCAGTTCCTATCCATCGTATGATCGTAGAGGTCGCTAGCCACCGCACCCGGATGCACTGAGACAGCGAGGATCTCCGGATAGCGCCGTGCCAACTCCGCAGCGAAGAGGATGTTGGCCGCCTTGGACGCACAATACGCCACCAGATGAGGGGTCTCTGCGAGAGCGGAGGCGGAGGTCATCACCTCGAAGGGGGGCGCGCCCACGTTGGCCGCCGAGCTCAGCGATACCACGCGGACGTCTGGCGACAGGGCCAGAGTCTTCTGCATGACGGGCAGCAGCAGGGTGGTGAGCAGGAAGTGTCCGATGTGGTTGGTGCCCATGTGCATCTCAAATCCCGCCTCGGTGTATTTGGTCGGATTGTTCATGGTGCCTGCGTTGAGGATCAGGGTGTCCAGTCGGTCGCAGTCCGCGCGGAAGCGCTCTACGGCGGCTCGGATGGATGACAGCGACCCCAGGTCCAAGGGCAGGTATTTGATGTCGACTGCGGAGGGGAGGGTCTCCCGGATGGAGGCAATGGCATCCTGGGCTTTCGTCTCGTTGCGCGCGGCGAGGTAGATGCGGGCTGGATTGTGCTGGGCGAGTTGGATGATGGTCTCCTTTCCGAGGCCGGTGTTGCCTTTTCTCGAATGTTAAGCATTAGCATGCGCCGCTGGTAGTCATCGGTGGAGGAGGAGGAGGGGCAAGAAGGTGGGATAGTGGTACCTCCTGTGACCAGGATCACCTTTCCAGTGAGATCGATAATGTCACGCTGGGGTTGGAACGACCATCCCAACAACCCGAAGGATAGCTCGTTTAAGGTAGGACCGAAATGATGATAGTACTCCGAAGGGCGCTGCACTGCTCCCCAGGCAGCTTTGCCACGCGACGACGTGTATACCGATGACATTTGGAGGATGGCTAGAAGGAAACCTTCTTTCAGTTTACCGGTTCAGGGGTCCGCCGAACTGAAGTCGCCTCCGGGAAGCTCGGCCGCGGCCAAATTGCGGTTTTCTGGGAGTCACGTCCGATCGGATATGTCATTCTTGAATCCCAAGGGTATTATCGTCAGGAGAATTGACTGTAGTGGATGGATGTCATCCATCAAGGGGCAGAGGCGGTCATGAAAGTCCGACAAGTAGTCAACGATCATAGTTATAGTTATGTCAGATGCAGAACTGCTAAGTAAGTAAGCTTGCCCAGATTGGCTTGGGCCGGCGGTCGGAATCAACCCCGACATGCCACTCCGTCAGGTGTTGGTGATCGGTACCTGATAAGCTTGCCAGCCAAGCTATCTTGACTTCCTTCAATGCCCCTCTCGCCGTCCTCAATTTTCGAGCAAATTTGGTTCACATCAAGAACATAAACCCCACAATGCGGTTCCTCTGTCTACACGGTGCTGGCACCAGTGGAGAAGTATGTCTATCCAAGTACTAGTTGTTACCATTTCCCGATTTGTTTGGCGGGGCACAACAGATTGACAAGCCGCATCTAGATCTTCGAGATCCAGGCTGGTATGTCCTGTCCCCCAAACGATGTTTTCTTCTTCTGAAATACAATAAGCCTTCTAACCTTCTGACTAAAATAACCCACCAGGTGGAATCACCTATGCCCTAGAAAAGAAAGGCCATACATTCACTTTCGTCAATGGACGAATTGAAAGCGAGGGTGAAGCCGGTACTTTTACCCCTCATCAAGCGACCCCCTCAAGAGAAGAAAAGAGAACGAAAAGACATTTGACAGCCTTGCTTTTACCATAATAGATATTAAAGATGTCTTTGACGGCCCTTTCTATAGCCACTACCCGCGCGCCACCAAGCCAGGCGAAGACCTGGCCCGAGCCATTGCCTACGTCCAACAAATCATCGACAAAGAAGGTCCCTTTGACGGTGTCATGGGCTTCTCGCAGGGCTGCGCACTAGCCAGCGCAATGATCATGCAGCACGCCAGCACCTCAAATACCCCGCTGTTCAAGCTGGCGGTGTTCATCTGCGGCGCTGCCCCCTTCGACCCGGCGGGCATGGAGCTGGTCGAGCCTACCCCAGGATCGTACCCCATTACCATTCCCACGACGCACATTGTGGGAAAGCAGGACGCGCTGTACCCGCACAGCATGAAGCTGTACCGACTGTGCGATCCGACCAAGGCGGAGTTCTACGACCACGGATCGCGGCATCTGGTGCCGTTTGATGTCAAGAATACTGAGGCGATGATTGCGGCTGTCGAGGCGTCAATCCGGAGGGTTTTGGTGGGGTAAATAGAGAGGTTGTCATTTGGATTTGCTTACAATTAAGTTGGAGGGAGAGGGGAGAAACAAATATTCGATCACTGTTACCACGATCTGAGCGGCTTGCCGGCAGTCATCGATTTTCCGATTTCGTGCACATTAGTCTTTCGTAGCTAGAGGTAGAGACATTCGAGGGCATCCCTGGAAAGTGCATGGGTTTCCTCAGTCCTCTTTCCGGACAGAATCTTGGTCCTTTTCCTTGGGCCTGAACCGGGAGAACATGACCGCTGCCAACAGAACAACAATGGCTAAAAAAACAAGGCTAAACTGGGTCAAGGTACCCCAAGGGCGTGGGGTCTGTACAGATGTGTGATGGCGGTGGTGGCCATGGATTCATGAGGCCTGACCCTCAGGTGGGATAACACCGTGCAGGTACTTCTCGAGGTCCTCAATCTCATCCGGATCGGCAGAGTGACCAAGATAACTAGGAAACAGACCAAGAACATTAGCCGGGGAACTGTTGTGAAAACACGAGCTAAAAGAAACGTATGGGACAACATACGGGTAAGAGTGGAACTCGACCTTGGCCAGGTCCAACTCCTTCAACTTGTCACAAGACTGCTTGCCGAAATCGAATCTGACCACTTCGTCCTCCTGGCCGTGCGCGAGGAAGAACGGGGTGTCCTTGTTGGGGAAGCCCTCGGGGATGAAGTTCTTTATCCGGTCGCTGAGGAGTAAGTAGCAGGACAGCCCAAAGACACCGCCCAGCTTCTCCTTGCTGGTCAAGCCCGTGAACAGCGACATGGCGCCGCCCTGGGAGAACCCTCCGAGGACAATGCGCGAGGCACTGATCCCCTTGTCCATTTCTTCCTTGATAAGGGTGTTGAAGTACTCGCGGGAGCGGAGGATGCCGGGCTCGTCCTGGTTACGGATCGCTTCTTCGAAGTCCAGCTACTCATGTACACCTTTCGTTAGACATTTTCCTGACATCGTAGCATAGAAGGGGTAACTCACATCACGGCCGAGCTTCGTAATGTCGTACCAACCGGGCATGGTCATTCCGAAGTTCTAACCAGATGATCAGTCCTGTTATATCGTCACTGTTATCCAAAGACACCTTGAGCTTTCATACCACAGAGATAGGAATCATGGGCGCGTTCGGGAAGATGAAAGCCACTTCGTCGAAGACACCCCGGCGGCGCCAGTTCTGAGCCAGAGCCATCCTATCAAGATGCCATGTTCAGCTCCAATCACTTAGATCTGTTCGGGATCTTGCCGCATGTCATCGGCTCATCCCGACGTGTGTATGTATCATCGCATGAACAGGAAAAAGGAACGTACCAGCCGGCACCACTACCATTCACCGGAGTCAGTCAAAGACGAGGGAGGCGTTCATGTCAAGACGGAGCCTTACCTGTCGCCCAAGCCATGGGCCATGATCACCGTCGCGGTGTGCTTGGTGAGCGCGGGAACAACAAACGGAGCGCGGGTAGCCATCTTGATCTAGTCTAATCTGCTTGACTTGACACAGAACAGTGTAATGTATTGTTGGTGAACGAGTGAAATGGCAAAACTACAGGTAACGCTCCCTGGGCTTTTGTTCCCATTCCCCGCAATTCTGCCGCCATCGTCGCCGACTCACCGCCTCGACTGTCCCACCCAGAAGATCCCAAGGATCTTCGCCCCTGGAATGATCCGTGCCTGAATCCACTCTTTACGAAAGAAGTACCGAAAACCGCGAGTAGGCGATTCAAATTACGTCGATAACATTAGTATTAACAGTGATTGTCACTAGATATTGTGCACATATCCTCCGCAGCGGCGTACTGTCACATGCCATGATAGAAAACCAGATCAGAAGTCCTCCCCACAATCAAATCACCGCGCCGCAAGGTGTACCAATTTCTCGACCGACTCAATCATGCCTGAAACCAACTCCGGTTCCACAACGCCCTTCTGCCACCCAAACGATAGAACCAAGCACCCATCACCCCCGGAGATGACCGACACCACAATCGCGGCGCCCGCAGCGTTCGGACTCTGCGAGAAGACCACGCGACCCATCTGAGGTTTCGAAGGCCCATGGGCCGCCGCGTCCGACGACGACCCCATTACTCCAATATTCGACAGCTCGATGCTCTCGCCACGCGGCTTCCCCAGCTTCGACCGAAAAAAGTCGGCAAACCCGGTCACAAACCTGAGGAGGTTCACGCCTGTGTTCTTGCCCTTCAGCGCGACCACCCTCTCGATTGTCTGCCGCGACCGCTCCGCCTCCTTCCAAGGGAAAGCATTCACGTCGGCGGGCAAGCGCCTGCGGCAGTAGTTCTCCATAAAGTCCATCACCCAGACGCCGAGCGACTTCTCCGGGATCTCCTGGGTGAGCCACTTGCGCACGGAGATGGCCCCCGTGAGCCGCAGCTTCGTGTATTGCTGCGGCAGATGCGTGAACAGCGCATGCGCCATGGCCGACTGCACGGCCGCCGTGACGGTCGCGTTATTCTGGCGACAGTTCTGGCGGAACGCCGCCGACACCGCCGCAGGGATGACGATATGGCGGGCCTGCGCCTCCAGCGGGGTGAAGATTGGCGCCCCGGTCCAGAGCCCGCGTTCCCGCGAGCCGAACTTCATCTTAAGAAGCGCATTGAGGAGGAACAAATAGGAGAAGCTACAGGGATGCGCAGCCTCCAGGTTCGGCAGGAGCGGCGTGCCCACCGGCGTGGCTACGATCAGCTTCGCCTCGCCGGGCGCCGTCAATTCCGAGCCCGCGGCCGTCAACGCCTCGAGGAACGTCTCCTGGAAGACCTTGCCTGACGTGCCGTCGCCCAGCGCGTGGTGGAAGATGTACGCGGCTGTGAACCGTCGGTCGGACGCATCGTCCGTGAAGATTGCGAGGCGCCAATACGGCGCCCCGGGCGTCGTGAACCCCGTGCTGTGCTGCGTCTGCAGGAATTCATCCAGCTCGGGATCAGCCGCGTCCCCGTCCGGGAACGCGCGCGAGCGCTTGTGAAAGCTGACCGGTTGGCGGAGGTCGATCTCCGGAAGGCGCGCAAAGTACGACTCGTCGGACTCCTCGTTTACGGGGATCGTCGACAGCACGGGATGCCGGCTGATCAGAGTCTCGCATGCCTTGTATACATAATCCCGGAGCGGGAGCGTGAATGTCTCAGGAAGCGTGTAGGTGGCGGTGACGCCAACATTGTAGTAGAACCCGAGCGGATGGCGCACGATCGAGTATTTCTCTAGATATCCTAGACCGGGGGCGTTAGTTTTAACTATCGGTTGCTTTACCACTGCGACCTTAGGCAAACCCACCTGCCGGACGTAGTCTCTCGAGTTTAGTCTCGTCCATTATTGTAAAAAAAAAAACCAGTAGAGAAGACCTTCTCGACCGAAAAATGTGCGATCAACAGACAATAACAAAGAAGAGTAACCACGTTCACCACGTGACGATAAAGAACAATATGAAGAAGACTTCCCAAACTTTATATACGAAACTTTGAAAGATCCTGATTGTTCCCCCTGAAAGACAAGAGGCGATAAGATAACCGCCCCAGAACCCAGCAACGCAGTAAGGGCGCCCGGAGCCCGATGGTCCTTATATAGTTAGCTTCAGTTCCCAACCCAGCCCGACCCCGGGCGTACTGTGTAGTTAGTAGTTACGCGGTTAGTTACCCGATCGGGAAACCTTTGCGATCTTAGGTACCTTAACTTCCTCGTTGCTGCCTATGGACGTGAAGTGTCAATAGTCTGTGGCTGCGCATGGATTAGCATCAAGTTCCAGGGAAGTGGACATCTGTAGTCATCTCCAAGATCGATGGTCCTTAAGGTCGACAATTTGGGTTGGGGATTTGTTGTGCAAGCTGCCGGCGCCGCTGACAAGTTACGGGGAAGGTCAAGGCTCACGGATAACCTCTCAAGGTATGTGTAGCCGAGATGGGAAATGTTGCTGGGATTTTTTTTATGAGCGGGTGAGTCTGGTTAGACGGCTCATACATTGCGCATCTCTGCTTGGGTTATGGGGTCGAGTGTCTAGGCTAGTTGAAGATGGACTTTGAAGTTCTACTTCTGTGGTAGCTGTACTAGAATTATTTGGGCTTTGTATAACACGTCAAATGGCATGACGGTAAAGGTGGTAGGACGTGAGTTGTGTCTGGCTTTGTGCCTGCGCTACGGTAGAGTTTCTTTCACGAAAAGCTGGCACCATGAGAAGCGATCGTTCGGGTTCTCGCTTATTACCATATGCAGTGGATATGGCGGGTCAGGGTAATCGGCCTCGCATTCAAGTGTTGAACCACAGCAGGCTTAGCAGGGTTTGAGGACATAGGAAAGGAAGATGAAGACAGAAAAGGCAAGGAACTAGGGAAATAGTTTCAATGAGTAAACGAGTAATTTAAATATGCATATGCTTCATATTAAAGCGGTCCCAGTCATATATTATTAAGGAGTATGTACAAAGTTAGTACAGGCTCATTATTGAAAAACGAGTCGCGGGTGTGGGAATAATTATCGTCAATCATGATCATATCCTTCGAAATGTCATTGGGGCTTTTCTTTTCTTTTATCATCTTGAGGTGCTTTTTTCTCTCTCCTATTCATCCCACCTTACCAACGGAGTATACTTCTAGGGATTGTAGAAGCAGTCCTGGCGCACTTAAGAGTCTTGCTTTTCTGTTCAATCTTCTTTACAAAACAGCAAGACCACCAACCACAGCGGCACCGAGTATACCCCAGGCAGCAGGCTGCAGAGGAACAGCCGCACCGGTTGAGGTAGCAGTACTGCTGCTGCTAGAGCTGCTGGAGGTAGAGCTGCTGCTGGAGGAGCTGTCCTGAGCACCGCCGGTGGCAGTCGACTCGTTGGCGTTGCGCTCAGCAGCGGCGCCGGTAAACTCGACTGCCTTGACGCCGGTGTTGTTCTTGCAGGTGGACGGCTCATCGTAGCTGACGGTCGAGGAGAATTGGATGTCGGCGCACTGTTTTTGTTTTCACTGGATGTTAGTCATGCGGATTTTAATTTTTTTTTTTTTGCGCGAAGCACGGAATCAACATACAGCATAGAGACCACCAGTAGGGTCGCCATTGCTCTGCACCTGAACGGTGGCATTCATGCCGTCGGTGATATTGGTGCCGAGGATGGACTCATCGAAGAGGATGTGGGGTAGGCAGAAGGCACCCAAGCCCTCAATCTCAAAGGTCTTGTGCAGGGTGATGTTGAAGTTGGTGCCGGGGTCGGTGCCCAGGGCGAGGAGGACCTCGACGGCAGTCTGGGAGTGGCCCATGGACAGCGCCACGGGGAAGGAGCCGGCGGAGATGGAGACTTGGGTGCGGTTGGAGGACTGCGCTGCGCTTCCGCAGGGGAAGTTGACCATGTTGTCTTCAGTGCCATCGCGACTCGTGGGATATTTGAGCTCGAAATGGGCGGCGACCAGAGGGGCGAGAGCCGCCAGGGGGAGGATGGAGAGCTTCATGGTGATTTTGTGCGTTGGAGAGCAGAGGAAACAAGCATGCTAGCATTCAGGACTGGGGAAACTGGGAGAACCTTATATAGTATACTAGGAATGCAAATGGTGGGAGTTGTGGATATCCATCAGGCGGGGCGGGTTCGGCGGAGGAAACTCTCTGGCACCTCGCTTCTGTTGGAATGAATCCTAGCCATGAGCGAAAATACCACCTAGTAATCGATCCATTATCAATTGGGCCCTGGATTTAGTTCCATTGTGAGGGTGGAGGAATTGGCAGCTCCAGCCTGGACCGGACCCCAGTTCGACGCTAGGCCCAACGCGGTTAAGAAATGTGCTCATTTCTTCTCAGAGCGCGGGCAAATCCGAGGCAGTTCCGAGAGACCCCGTCTTTTACAGTATCAGATACAGCTGGCCATCCGGTGAATGAGAAGCGAAAGGAGTAGAGGTCATTGATGGATACTCTGGACAGCAAGAGAAACTGTACGGAGTATGTAGACATTCACAGCTCAGCATCACGTCGACTGTAAAAACCCTTCGAATAATGCGTCGGATCCCCTCTACCGTTGCTCTTGTACGAGGTAGACCCCATGACTCTCGTGCGGAGTAACCACAAGCTCCCAGCCTGGCCTCACCCTCACCCAAGTTGCCATCGCATCGGACCATCCATCCCAGTTAATGATTGAAAAACTGTAACCGCCATGGCGTCGATGGGCTTCTTCCAACGCATCTACAACATCATCTACCCATCCACGCCCGCGAAGCAAGATGGTGCAATTCGCATGGGCCTCCTCGGAGCCTCCAACATAGCGTAAGTCGATGCCTGCCTCCGCATCTAGATCCCCATTTATACTGACCATGACAAGCCCAGAGTCCGTGATCAACCCAGCCAAGTCCCACCCAGAGGTCATCATAGCAGCGGTGGCTGCTCGCGACGCAGACCGCGCTCACCAGTACGCCAAGAGATACAACATCCCCATTGTGCATGCGTCCTATCAAGGTGAGCCTCCCACCATAACCCAAGACTCTTATCCCATCCGAAAACCCAACAAAAAGAGCAGTGTGGTATCTAACCCAGGCCTCAGAGCTCCTCGACGACCCCACCATCGACGCCGTGTATATCGCCCTCCCCAATTCTCACCACTACGAATGGGCCCTCCGTTCCCTGCAGGCAGGCAAGCACGTCCTCCTGGAGAAGCCCTCGTGCTCCAACGCCACGGAAGCCCGCAGGCTCTTTACGCATCCCCTCGCGACCACTCCTGATGCGCCCATCCTCCTCGAAGCCTTCCACTACCAATTCCACCCAGCCTGGCAGAAATTCCTCTCCCTCACCCGCCAAACCCCCTGGGGCCCCGGCACTGTCACCCACGCTGCCTCGCAGTTCCACCTGCCCAAGGGCTTCATCGCGCGCGATGACATCCGCTTCCAGTACGCCCTGTCCGGCGGCTGTCTGATGGATCTGGCGACGTACCCACTCTCCTGCGTCCGACAGGTCTTGAATCTCTCACAGGGCCAAGCTCACGAAGACGAAGAGGACCTTGTGGTCGTAGAAGGGCACTACGCTCCACTCGGAAGCGAACACGACCCATCCGCGTCCCCAGAGGTGCAGATCGACACTGCCATCTCTGCCACCTACCAAACAGCCGACGGCCTGAAGACCGCCCACATCGCCGGCGACCTAGCATACACCGCCGCGACAGCAGCAGCCGACGCAGGCAAGAATGCCCGGTGGCCCTTTTTTGCCTCGTTGTTGCCATCCGCATGGATCCAGTCGCTGCCGGGATTCCAATGGCCCAAGACCGAGGCGACCCTGGCCGAGATCCTCGTGGCCTCGCAGGGCGGCACGGAGACGCAGCACTACGTGCAGCGCAGAGTCACGATCTGGAACATGATCCTCCCGACAGTGTACCACCGCATCGACGTGCGGGATACACATACCCTCTACCGCCAGGGAAAACTGTCGAAAACCTGGGAGGAGACGCAGTACCTCCAGGCGTATAACTGGCCCGCCGGGGATGCGCGCGCGGAGACCTACCGGGAGTGGTGGACCACGTGGCGGTGTCAGCTCGAGGAGTTTGTGCATCGCATCAAGGGGAGGCAGGGGTCTGGCGTTTGGGTGGTCGGGGCGGAGAGTATCAGGCAGATGGAGGCGATCGATCGGACGTATCGGCAGGTGGGGTTGGAGGCTCGGCCGACGAGTGCGTTTGGGGGTTGATGAAGTTGCCGTTTACTTATCTCGTATCGCGTGAGCATCGATATCGTCGATTATTCAATTAGGTTATGTTTAGTGTCTTCGACTCTTCCTAGTTATCTTGTACTTACTAATACTACGTATCTGCATGGACTTTCCTAATCCGGATTGGCGTGAACCCACCCGTATGATACTGGTTAATCTTGGCGACGGGACCTGGAGACCCTCCATGTCCGCGCCAATGGGGTTTCCGGCAGATCAGCCGATGATCATGCCACTGCCTTCGTCGAGCACCGCCGTTCGTCCATTCGGCTGGCAACTGTTGGCGACTCATCGCGTTCTTCAGTGAGTCCTTTCAGGGTTAAGTTGTACAGATTTTGATCAAGAATCAAATGTATATCTTCGTAGTCTATGTGTACTCAGTACAACCACACCCTTCCAACAACTCAAACAGAACACGGGGCATAGAGCGCCAGCTATGCCTGTCATCAAATCAAATCGTAAAGGGTTCGTTCCCAAAGGTATCTCGAAACCATGAAACCGTGCTAAGGCTGCAAATGCCGAATATAACGCCCATTCAGACCAAAAAGACAAAATAATAACAACCAAAAAAAGGGCTTTTAACACAAACATCGAAAGGCTAGTGATCGTGTTCATTCCACTGAATATACCGGCCAACGGCCAGATCTCCGAGAAAGGCCCCCGCCAGAACCGAGCAGAAGTAGCCCACATTCATCGTCATGACGGCCAACATGCTGGAAGAGGAACAGTTAGTGTTGAAACTTGGCTCGGAGTTCGGGTACTCAAAGAAGAAGAAAAGAAATAACAGAACACAAAGGACAAACTGGTGCTCAAGGACAATGCAACCCGGTGCTGGAATACATACAGAAGATACGACACCCCCGTGATGACGAGATAGATCAATGCCCGCGGGAGATCCACGCTGAAGCGCCAGGGCAGAGGTTCACGCGCAGTGCGGCGCACAACGCGGACGCTCTCCTCGACGCCCTGGGCAGTGATGAGCGTGGCTCCCTTGGCGTCTGGGTCGGCGTCGATGCGGCCCGCTTCGGTGGACTTGCCGGCCACGACGACGTAGCGTCGGTTCAAGTGGGCGCTGAGCCAGCGTTGCTCCATGATGGCCTTGAAGGCGACAAGCAGACGGCCGATGATGGCGAGAATGATCAGGAAGATGCAGGTGCCGGCATAGGCGCCGCTGGAGGAGGGGGTCCATTGGGAGGAGAAGAGCGGGGTGGCATGGCTGTTGGTGAAGACCATGGACATTGACATGGAGGAGGAGGAGGAGGAGCTGGAGTCCATACTGCTCATATCCATGATGGCGCGGGGAGTGACTGATAGTGTCTGAATAGAGGGGCCTGGGATGATGGTCTCGGAAATCAACTGAGCTGGTCAGACTGACTCGGAATAGGGTTGTCGGGGTTGTTTTGTATGACAGTCTAGGGACAGGGATAAGTTGAAGAAGAGAAGAAGAATAATTACGAAGAAAGAGGAGCAGAAAGAGGCCCGACCCGCGACGACGGCGACGACGAAGACGACATCTCAGCCATGGTGGGCCAGCCGTTCTGGATCTTTTGGAGTCAATTTTGGAGTGGAGGAAGAAGTCATTCATTCATTCCGAGCTTGAGCACATTTTGGCCCGACTCGGTTTGGCGTTGAGCACATTTTGAACCCCACCAACCAATCACACGGCAGTAAATCGCCCGCCAGCCCGAAACCAGCGGAGGAAGAGCAGATTATGAGCAGATTATTATCAATTCTGAAGATACAATTTCAATTCGTTTGCTGTTTGTTCTCCCCACTTCCTGGCATTTTACTTCTTAGTATTTGTCCATGACGCGGTATCAGAACTTTGGTTGAATAGCTGAACAACTCACTCCGTGGTCCTGGTCAATTCGAGATGCTTTGAAATTCCTACTACTCTCTTCCTCGTCGCCCTGTGTCATCTTCGCCATTGTCCATCTATACCCGAGTGACCGCAACACCGCCAAGGCAAGATGGACATGGACATGTCAATGTCGGGCATGGGCCACATGTCCATGGGAGATGGCGTGCCCGGCCTGTTCTATCTCCAGAAAATGTACTGGGTGGTCATTGGGAGTGCTATTGCTGCCGGAACTGTAGTGAACCTCCTCAACCGCTATCTTGCCTATCAAAGGTGATGATTCCCTCCATCCGTGTTCATCTGCCGGTACAGGACTCACATCTCCAGACTACGGGACACCTCCCTCACACCATCCAAGCCCAAGTCAATATTCTTCAACCTCTATGCTACTCTGACAGCAGTTGTCCGCGAGGCCAGCTATGCGACGCTGCCTCCTCTATCTATCCGCAGCCACACTTTCCACTTTGCGCCACTGGGCCCAGTGGCTGTGGTGTTGGCCAACCTGATTGTAGTGCTGGTCTTCTGCTTTTACAAGCTGGACACGACGGATCAATGGAGCTGGGAAAATGTGGGCTACCGGACTGGATTCATCGCCATCGCGCAACTACCCTTAATCTTCTTGCTGGCCGGGCGGCAGAATCTCATCGGTGCACTGGTGGGCATGAGCTATGAACGCTTGAACTGGTACCACCGATGGGTGGCTCGAACGCTGTGGCTGACGGCCACCATCCACATGGCCTTCTGGTTCCGCGACTGGGGCCGCTACAACTATATCTCCTACGAAATCAAGAACTACCCATTAATCGCTCGAGGACTAGCCGCCTGGGTCATTCTGACCTGGATTGTGATCACCTCGGCAGCGCCCATCCGGAGATTTGGGTATGAGTTCTTTGTCCTACAACATCTGGTCACCTTTGTGGGGTTCATCGCGGCCGTCTGGCTGCACGCGCCGGCCGAGGTCAAGGTCTGGGTCTGGATCCCCATCGGGTTCCTCGTCTTTGATCGAGTGGCGCGGTACATCTGGGCCACATATAACAATCTGTCCATCTTCCACCGATCGAAGTCCCCACGACACGCCCTCTGGGCCAACCGGGCGACTTTCACCCCTCTGCCCGGTAACGTTACCCGTGTCACGGTTGAGAACCCAGGTGTCAGGTGGAAGCCGGGTCAGCACGTGTTCTTGACGTGTCACTCGATTGCTCCCCTGCAGAGCCACCCGTTCACAATCGCGTCCATCCCGGACGACAACAAGCTCGAGATTTACGTCCGTGCTGAGAAAGGCGGGACCCGCCGGTTCTTCCGCTACGCGTCGAAACGCCACCATGTGCTCGGGTCAGGCGAGACCGCATCAGCCCAGACGGCGCGGACGGTGTTCCTCGAAGGCCCGTACGGTCAGATGCGCCCACTGCAGCAGTTCGACAGTGTGATTCTGCTGGCTGGTGGCATGGGCGTGACCTACACCATGCCATGCGTGCGCGATATTGTGGCCAAATGGAAGGCCGACTGCGCGCAGGACAGCGCATCACCCAAGCGCCTCGCGGCCACCAAGCGAATCCGCTTTGTCTGGGTCATCAAGTCGCGCACTCAGCTCGGCTGGTTCGAGAGCCAGCTGCAGTCCGTCCTGGCCGACGCAGAGGAGTGCCAACGTGCTAACCCGGATCTCATCCGCGAGATTGAGTTAAGCATCTACATCACCTGCGATGAGAAGCTGGAGCAACCGACCCAAGCCACCCTCTGCGCGCAGACCCCATCCACCACCGTGGCTCCGTCCCGAGCGTCGATGGAATCGGCCGACGCGAAGCGGAAGGAGCAAGTCGTGGAGAAGGATGATATTTCCGTCAGCGACACTGGCTGCCAACCAGGCGGGGGCTGCTGCTGCTGCACCGCCGCCATCGAAGATGAAGACGAGATCACCACGACGAACAAGTGTACTTGTTCAGGACACGCCGCGGCTGCATCGGAGAAAGCCATTGACGAACAGGTACCAAGCGATATAAAACTGCGGCCTCTAACGGTGCTGGCGGGTCGTCCGCAGACGCGGAATATCATCCGCAAGGTGCTCGAGCGGGCCGAGGGCGAGAGCGCGGTGGTGGTGTGTGGGCCGCAGGGGCTGGCGGACGACACGCGGCGCAGCGTGGTGTCCTTGAGTGATGAGCGGGCGGTGCACAAGGGCACGGGGGCGCAGGGGATATATCTGCATATTGAGCAATTTGGATGGTAGATATGATGATGTATACGATGATACCACGATTGATGTGTTATTTACGAATTACTATAGTCCTTGTAAATATATAGATAAAAGACAATCCATGAGTCGATGTAATGACAAGCGGATACCAAAGGATCAACGATTCAACCAGTGTGATAGACTGACAGACTGATACTGTAACTACCTACCTAGTAGTAACTACTTGTTAACTACAGCCATGAGTCAACCACCCATGACGTAATCAGCACACCTCCAATCGCGACCACCATAACCCAACCCAATCCAGACCCCGACTGCAGCTCCGGTCTGCAACTCACTACCTAACCTACAATAGTTTCAGTCCTTCTCCCTCTACTCTACCAGCAACAAAAACAACACAACACCAATCCAGATTACTCTACCAAATTCCCACACTCAACCTCCAGCCGACTCAATCTAGACAACACATCCCCATCACCCACCACCAAAATGGTCTTCCGTTTCGTACGCTCATCCCATCCCCCACCCCCCTTCTTAAACCTCAACCTCAACCTCAACCGCAATCTAACAAAACGAACAGGCGAAAACCCTCGACCCGATAACCATCTTCCACACCCCCAGCTCCACGACCTCGAAGAACGCCCTCAAGATCCTGCAACGCGCCTCGACGATCGCGCAATCGCCCGACACGGCGCCGGCGGGCGGCCGCGGCGAGTTCCAGTTGGAGATCACGACGGCGCCGCCGACGACGGACCAGCTGCGTAATATCCTGGACTACGTGACAGGGAACCCGGCGGGGGCCGGGGCGCCGGACAAAGGGGCACGGTATGCGGTGGGGGAGGTGGTGCGCGGGGCGCGGGATGCGGAGGATGCGATGAAGAGGTTCAAGGGTGATCCTGAGGGGACGTTTGTGAGGCCTGTTGTAGGTTTTTCCATTTCCCCCGGGGGGTGGTGGTTGAGAGACGAACGGGTTGTATGGGCTTAAGTGCTAATGTGCTGGGCTAACTTTCTTTCTTTCCTTCTAGACGGTCGATTGGACCAATGGACAGGCGGTCGTCGGGGATAATGAGTCGGAGATCCTGAAGATGGTGCAGCAGCTCAATGAGAATTGATTTGATCACCAGCACCAGCACCAGCTAGCTCAAGATTACTTGGATCACTCAACAGGCAAACTGTATTCTACGAGACGCTGTATCATACACTTCTCCCCTCACTCTGAAAATACCCAGCCATAAAGCATTAATTCATACTCGCTCAATCAACCCCTAACCCGAGACCCAGCTCGTGCTAGAATGAACAACCATGCAGACTAGAACATCGTGCCGAAGCTGCCGTCCGTGGCGATCGGCTTGCGCGGCGAGCTGCGCCCCATCCCGTCCATGGCTGGCTTGCGGTGCCTAACATCATTAGTAGAGCCCATGAACCACACACGACCAATACGTACCGGAATGTGAACCCGACAAACAGTCCCTTGCCCATCTTCTCGTCACGCTCCGCCATTTCCTCCAGCGCCCGCTGCTTGTCGTGGACTTCCTTGTACTTGGCCATGTCGGCCTCATTCGTGAAGTCATCAAAGTAACCCGCGTCCGTCTCCGAATCCAGCTCGGGCACGAATGGCGCACGTTGCTCACGCAGGGCCCCGAAATCGACTTCGCTGAAGTAATCGTGCGAGTGAATCTCCTGAATGTTCTTGAAACGGCGGTCCTTGGCAGCGACCAGCTTCGTGATCAGGTCCCATGTCCGGCGCGACAGGAAGTAGTTGGGGTCTTCATAGACAGGCTTGCGCAGCACCTTCTGCCAGTTCTTCAGATTCTGCCAGGTCTCATCCACCGTCGATCCTGCAAACGGTGGGTAACCCGCCAATGCCTCGAACAGCATGCACCCCAAGCTCCAGTAATCCACCGTAAAGTCATATTCCTCGCCCTTGAGTACTTCAGGCGCCATGTAATCTGGAGACCCGACGATAGACTTGGCATAGTTCACCTGACGCTCCCGAAGCGACCGATATCCTTGGCGACGCTCTGCCACCGTGCGCTGTTCCATGGGACGCCCAAACGGCACTGGAGTGTTGCCTACCTCCTCCAGCTTCACGCGCATGGATTCGATCTTACCTGGATTCAGCATTCCAGCTGCCAGGCCAAAGTCAGTCAACTTGACGTGACCGGTCGAATCAATCAGAAAGTTTTCGGGCTTCAAATCTCGGTGGATATAGCCGAGCGCGTGAAGCGCATCGATGCAGCTGAACATTTCGGCAATGTAGAAGCGAGCATGGCGGTTGTGCAGCACCCCAGTGTTGTTCAACAGTGTACGGAAGTCACCACCCGGAACATATTCCATCGCCAGGTAGATCTGATCTTCATCCTGAAAAGCGTAAAGCAGCTTCACCAGCCACTCACTCTTAGCCGCTGTGAGGATATCACGTTCCGTGAGGATGTGACGGATCTCGTCAAGCTTGAAGAGCAACTTCTTGCTCATCACCTTCAAAGCGCACACTTCCCGTGTATCCTTCTTCTGTGCCAAGTATACTTGTCCGTATCCTCCTTGTCCGACCTGGGTCAATATTTGGAAATCGTGCTGGCGAAGTCTGGTTCGGCGCTTGCGAAGGTGGGCCCGCTCCCGACCCAAGTATTTCATGAGTGCGGGTTCGTATTCTTCCATCGACGTCAGGGGCGGTTCCGGGTATGCGGCGCGAAACTGCGTGTAGCGATTCTGTCGGTTATGGACATAGCTCAGCAGATCAAAGTAATGGTCGAGGAAATCTAAACAGTCAGCACGAAATCGGGAGCTTCACATCTAGGAAACCTACAGAGCTGGGTGACGTTGACCAGGCGCTTGACCCGGGGGGTCTGGAGTTTCTCCAGCTCCTCGGGAGTCAGACCCCGCATCGGGACCTGTCGCCGCTGGATGCTCTCCAAATCCCGGGTCTGGTATGGCTCATTTCTAGAAATCGCGGCCGCCGCAGGGTTGGGACCCAAATCTTTGGCGAAGCGGGTTGAATTCGGAGGCGTGTTCTCTTTATTCGATTTGCGCGTCGGGCTGGCGGGGGTCTGTCGGATGACGCTCTCATTGAAATCCTCCCCCGCTCGCGGCGGAGAGAACATGGGGTGATTGTAGTGGTTATTTGTATTCTTCGTCGAAGAAGTGGGATTGAGCTTCAGAGCCTTCTCGAACACATTCGGCAGGTCGATCGCGCCGGGAGGCAGGCGGTTTTTGCTTGGGCTTCCTTGAGGGGTCTGCACGGGGCTGGTGAAGGCTGTGTCGGCCGGTGTCGAAGGACGATCCAACAGTTCGTTGCCGGCACGTGTATGAAGGAGAGGGGGCGGATTGGGGAGACGGAAACCGGAGCGGTCACTGGTGTCGAGATTGAGAGCCATGATGATGGGCGCAAGAGCAAAAGCTCCGGAACGAGACGGGCGCAATTAGCGATCGAGTGGTCCTTCCGTGCCCGATGGGACTCTGGCGACCGGAAAACAACTGGTGACCAAAAGTAAATCGGGATTTAGGCGAGATCCCAAACACAAGAGGGGCAAGGGGCGCAATTAAATCACAGCCAGAAGAGCGCTAGAAGAGGGGAGGGAAGCTGAAATCAGGAAAAAAAAAAAGCAACCAAAGTCACGTTGAAGTAGCAACACAACGCGCCACAAGATCGGACAATTTGGATCAATCGCTCTCGTTGGGTACAAAGGAAGAGGGAGGAAGGGATCAGTCACTGCGATGTAATGATAACAGAGCTTCTTATTGGGGTGGTCTGTGTCTGAGCCCCCAGGGTGGAAGTGGAGAGTGAAGAAGAAGAAGAGGATGAGAGGGAGTAAGAAGGGAGAGGCGAAGAGAGGATGAAGCGCTGAGGGTGTAGAAGTAGTAGCAGTATATGAAGGTGCCGCCGATGATGATGCCTTCTTTTCTTGTTTTATTTCAAATCTCCCCTTGGTTGTGGTAGAAGTGGCAGCAACCAACAACCAACTTAGAGAGCTCTCAAAGAGTTTATTAAGGAAAAGAAGCAAGCACAGCAAAATCCCCGCCTACAGAGCGTCAGAGCGCAGCAGCAGCAGGAACAGGAACAGGAACAGGAACAGACAGGTTGAGCCAGCCACACGATTAATTGAGTAACTGCCACCATCTCTCCATCCTCTCCTCTCCTCTTCTTCTTGGCTTTCTTCTTCCACCTTTTGTCTTAACTTACTTCTTCTTGCTTCTTCTTCTTACTCAATTCTCATCTCCTCCACCCGTGGCTGTCAGCCAACGAGAATCTTCCGAAGTGCGAATACCCCTCGACCCAGCTGGCCGTTGCCCCGTCAACTCCCTTGTTCCGATCTCCATTAACATTGTTATATTGCATCGCAATCTAATCTGGTTCCTGGCTAGATGATTGGGGGATACCATGAGGCTGAGGAGGAATCCCGAGCAGGCACCAGATCCATGTTCCTACGGAGTAGTAGTTGTGTCGACTTTCAGCTGGCATTTCAATGGATCAATTGCCATCTAGTTCGATCGACCGCGATCCATGGGTCCGATCGGATGGGGACAGGAACAAAGTGGGTTGGTTGGCTTTGAGATGCTGGAGAATGCAATTGTCAGTACGTACTACGAAGAGATGAATGGGAAGAAGACTCAGGAAGGAGAAAAGTCTGTCTTTGATATCCATCGTTCACTCGCATCCGAGAATCAACAGAGCCCGACCGAGACGGGCTTCTACGCTACGCTATCCACTCGACCACGATCCGTGCCTGTCTATCCCACTCCCTCCCCACATCTTCCCTGCGAGGGGGTCACCGATAGACTCCCGGTTGTGCACGAGGTCTCCCCGGCAATCGTCATTCAGTTACTCCAGGAAGGATTCCTACGGTCATACTCGAGTGGCTCGAACGAGTCTAATGTGCTGCTATTTTCATTCCAACTAATCCAGATGCCTGAACTCATCCTCGTCATTCCTGGGCCTTTTGATTGATCTCTGGGCAACGGCCGTCAACAAACTTGGAAAGGTACAAGGACGATGGGGTCAATGCCCCCCCTCTCCCCCCGATGAACCATGGATCGAGATGTGACCCATCTCGACAATTCTGTCGCTCTTATTATCAATTGGTCTAGGCTGAAATCCTTCAGCCCTTCCGCCTTTTATTTCAGCAAAGATGGCCAAGGCATCACCCATGACATCATTCTCCATCCTCGCTGTTTTGCTTTGATCTCGTCGCGTTTCTTACAAGACGCCCTTGGCCCGTTGTCCCGTCTGCCAACCCCATTGCAGTTAGTGGCTTTTTCTTACTTGCACTGGGCCCCGGTCGGCAAAGGCAATGAACAGGAGAGGAGAAAACGCGGACTCACGTAGAAAGCCAATCCATAGGAAGGAGTGGTGAAGGTGATCTTGGCACCCTTGGGGAAGTGGAAGACATCGCCGGGCTTAGCCGTGACCTTCTGCCCGGTTTCGTCGGAGATTTCGTACTCCCCCTCGAGGATGATCTTCATCTCATCGTAAGAGTACTCGTAGGTCAGCGGAGTGCCCTTTTCCAATCGATAGAAGCCTGCCGACATGGGCTTCTCGGGGTTGTAGTCGTCCCTGCAGGTTGTTGTTTCATCAGGTTAGCAACACCACCACCCTTGCATAAAAGAGGTGAGGAGGACTGTGCACATGTTTAATCACGCGAAAGACGAGCACAACCTTATTTCTCTTTCTCTTCTCAAAAGAAAAGAGGAGGGGGGAGGTAAGGAAAAGAGAACTTTAGAAAAATACATACGATGAATCCACATCACCTAGGAAGGCATTCTCATTGGCAATAAGAGGAGGCTTGAACGTCGACTGCGCCTGTTGGTGGTATCTGAAAGCGACGGACATGGTTGCGACGGTGTATGAAACGGACGCAAGGATGGTAGTTGATTGAGTCTGATCTATCTCGAACCTGAATCAACCTGAACTCACAGATGACCCTGTGCCAATCTCTTTATATCGTAGCAACTGGCACCATTGAAACACACAATCCCCATCATCATGCTTGGCTACATGGATGGATGATAGCGATGGCTTTCAATCCTTTGCCCGTGTGAGGAAAGAAATAGTGCAAGGGACTGGCTCAACGGATCGAACTTCTACAGTAGGAGACATCTGGTGCCGTGTTCCCCATGGGAGTCGACTGTGTATGCTAATCGATAACCACTGGTAGTTACTAAACTGTAAGTGAACCTTTCCTTTCTCCAATTGAGGGGTAAACGCAGAATGGACGGATGAGGGGGTACGGGTACGAGCTTAGGAGTGGAGAGCGTGCCTGATGCTCCTAGTCCTCTAACTACGTAGTTACACTGGTTCCCTCTTGACTAAGCTGAGAGATAACAGCCAGAAATACTGGAGTTGGAGTTATCCCCAGGGAGGTTATAGAATGGACGATAGAGTACCTTAGTTACGGGCCCCAGAATTGACAAGAGAGAAGAACCATGGGAAGTCAAGTCAAGTCAAGTTAGTCAGTGAGTGACTGGAAACTTTTGCCCAGAGGGGTTAGTACTTCCGCTGCAGCGCTGCTTGTCTTGTCAGCTGGGTGGGGGATAAGTTAAATTGATAGATAGTGAGAGTGAGATAAGTGCAAGTACGTGTGCGCAGTGCACGGAGAACCTGCCCCTCACTCGCTCATGTTGTTCTATCTACTTGTTGCGTGGATTTGGTGCACTGTATTGCAGGCTGCTAGGGAGGGGGATCATGGATGGTCGAGCGCAGTAGGCTCGCTGGCAGTGCAGTGCAGTGCAGTCTGCACTGCTCTTGGCTATTGGTCATATCTGGTGTTCCTGTATAGCAGTAAAGCAATGCACCTGTACATTCGTGGGTGGGTGCACTGCAGACTAAGAGACAGACTTCCATCCAAGAAAAAGAGAGAGAGAGAGAGGTACATACTTGTCCACTCTCGGTCTGTGCATACCGTCAACCATACAGAAAGAGGCTAGATTGGAGACTGAAGCCAGCACAGTAGTTAAAACGTACCTTAGTTGGGAAAAAGTCCTAAGCACTCTCTCATAGCACAACCACCGGCTGTAAAAGAATCAGGGCCAGAGAGATTTAGCCCAAGCCAGTAAGAAAGAGAGAGAACACCTTGAGGTCTTCTTTCCCGCGGCTATGCCTACTCGATTCTGCTCGCTGAGCCAGTCACTCCCATTTCTTTCTACACCTTCTCTCTCTCCCCCTTTTTGCCTTTCTCCTGAAGCAATATCTTCTTTTCATGCACCTCTGCCGTCATCTTCTCTCGCATCATCTATCACCCATCATCCATCATTCGGATCAGCCCATCGAAACTCAAATCCAGCACAGGTTGCAACTGCTTTTCTCCATTAAGTACTTCCCCACTGGCAATCCACAATCACAAGGCAGTGGAGAGAGAGGGTCTCCGAGGCTGTTGTTCGGTCCCTCAGGCTGTACTATTATATAGTGTTCTCATCCACCCACGTCTGCTATCATCCGCTTGCTTCCCCCTCCCCGCTTTCCTCCTCTGTTCAGTCTTTTGTAGCTGATGCGAGAGACATTACAATAACCAATACACAAAACATCGAAGGCGACAAGACCATCAACAGCCCAAGCAACAAACTATCCAGTTTCCACTAAAGCGCAAAATACACTCTCTCCCTGTGCAGTCATCCGACGAAAGTTCCACGCGACAACATCCCCGGTCGGTACGGTACTTTCAAGTAGACAGTTGTATCCGATCAACGTCCACTGTCCACTGCGCCAATTGCCGTTCGAGATCCACAGATCCTCGAGCAAAAGAGTCGAGGGCGACTTCTGCGTTCTTGAACCCGCCCAAAAGTGATTGCGCGCAACTTTTCCTCCGTATAGTGACAGCATATCTCGGGCATCTGCCCTGTCCCACGCGCCAAAAGAATCATTACAAGGACCGTCGCAACAACTACAGAAAACCCCCACCGCAGCAATAGTCCTCGGGATCGCCGTGAAGGCCGTATAGAATGTGATTGCTTCGTTGAACCAAAAAAGAAGTTCCAACTCAGAACGCCATGCTAATCCCTCCAATCCAGATTCGTAAGCCCAGCCAAATTTTGTCAAAATGAGTTATACACTCAAAAAGTCACAAACCCACTGCGTGATGCTGGACGCACATTCCGCAGACCCCAGAGAAGCCGTCCCACAGCCCCGCGCAACAATGGCTACCGTGTCCATGACAAGCGAGCTAGAGCCTTATCTAGCTTCCCTCCGGTCGTACCTAGCCCAAAGCAGTCCTACGCCCCCTGCTGAAACAGATTCGGAAGACAACGTGAGCGATATCACTCGGCCTCACGGACGTCGCACTCTGCAACGCGAGCGGACGAGTGCGAAAGAAAAAGGTGACGACAGTCGTCCTGGCTCGAGGGGATCGGTTGCGGAGAATCCACCTTTTCAGGTCTGTTGAGAGGGGAGGTCACTTCTCAAGTGGGATTATCCCAAAAACACTGTACATATGAGCCAACGTTCGTCACAAGATCATAAACAGAAAGGTTCTGTTGGGAACATGGCACAAGATGAGAACCAGAATAATGCGCAAAAAAGAGCTTACCTTCCCAACCCCACTCCTGCATCACATTGACCCAATGCAGGCTTCCACGCACGGTTCGGTCAAATTCTATGTTTTCTAATGGAGATATTGCGGAGCTCCGCCGTGGCTTCGCTGAAGAACCCTTGGTCGGTCCCCGTTCGGCCACACCCGGTTTCCTCCAAGGCTCGGCGCAGTTGCGGTTGAAACCAGGACCACCTGGCCCATGGCCCATGCGAGGTCCTCGGTCAGCTACAGACTTTGGTGTGGTCATGTGGTTCGGTTGTCTAAGGCCACGAGTGTGTCGTCCTCGGGTGCCATTTTCTGCCGCATCACGGCGATCCCAGACCTCATGAACAATGTCGATGCAACGATCGATAGACCCAAGCATGAGGCGTGATTGAATTGCTCGCCAACGGTCAAGCACCCATTGCCGATCCTCCTCTTGTTCTGCTTCACACCCAGCCGCCAAAAGAGGGAACATTTGAACAATGGTAGTACGGGAGCTGGGCGGGACGGTCGCGAGCAGCATTAGGACACGCTTGGATAGCTCCGATGCTGACTCGGAGGGCATTTCAGGGACTGCCTGGTGAAGATACAGGAGGGTCGCCCAGCGGTAAGCGTGTGCGGTTTGGATACTATGCTGTACTTCCGACGTTGGGTCATCTGGGGGCTCGAAGCAACTGGGGGGTTCCCATTGTTCGACGAGGCTTTTCAATTCTATAGCCTGCGACACAATGGAGAGGGTGTTGGAATCTGTTTTGCGGACTCGCTGAATTAAGCGTGCGACCTGGTGGATCAACGGGAACAGAGTGGTCGCGCAGCCCATGAGGGGATCGATCTCGTGCACGGCATCCTTGGGTGACTGAAAAACAGAAGTATCTACCTCCTGATCCCCGGATTCCTCCTGGGACGTCAGGCGAGAAATCACATCCATATATAGCCAGGTGTTATACAGAAACCGAATTCTATCCAGGTCACTGCCACACATCCCGCTCTGAAGACCAAACCCCACAACCTGTGACACCAATGCTTTGGCTCCCCGCAAATGCTGGATACATGTGCGCGTGTGCTGATCCCAGGTCTCCGCAAATGCTAGCGCAAGACTCGTAGCCAAAGCTGCATCTGCCCTCATGTTCTGTATGTCGTGCACCATGTGGGTGATACTCTTCCGCATATGCTCCATTCCATGAACCCTGAGACCGGGATACTCCTTGCTTGAATGGAACGCTGCCAGAGAAAAGACAGCATGGTATAACGCCGGTGTTTCCTTGGCTAGTGGCCAGACTAGTGTCCGCCACGGGTTCTCATGGGCACCATCTTTCACAGACAGAATTCCACAAGTGAATCTGTCAAACTGCAACACCAACATTTCGGGACTGACTATGCTGAATCTAGGCTCAGAGAGAATCTTGGGAGTCACTGTTGCATTGCTGGAGAGAGCAGGGTTGATGCACTCTGTGCTATTCAGGAGACTCGATCTCAAAGGCTGTTCCGACCTTTGTATAATCTCCTCGATGTCATCATCCTCGACCTCTAGCAAGGCCTCAAAACTGAAACTTTGGTGCATCTGTGGGCTTTCGTCGTCAAAAAAGCCATGTTGGACTGGTCTTGGTTGCATTCCTGGGTTAGACATTGACGTGTCGGAGGTATAAGAAGAGGGCTCCAAGGGTGGAATATCTGTTAGAGAGGGGGCCAGGGTGCTTTCATCGAGGCCTCCCATATCCAATGGGCACATCAGATCCTCTGCAGGGATAAAGAGGTGTTGTTTCTGGACTAGATTCGATCCTGCAGATTTTGAAGTCGGCTCATCCTCTCTAGAGATGCCGAGGGTTAGTGCAGACTTGCCACTCCTCGGTGGGGATAGGAGCAAAGCATCGGATAGTGACTTCGACCATCCTTCTGTAGATTGTGAATCAGGAGATGTTGAGAAGTCGACACTAGACTTCCGGCCCGGCGGTGACGAAGTAGCTGTAAATAATGCATATTAGCTATATCCAAGACCAACCGGCTGAAATCAAAGAAGATACCTTTCTTGCTTCTTACAGACGCATTTTTGCAGCCGATGTTAGTGTCTTCAAAAGGACGCCATTTGAAGTCTTTTTTGTACCCCCCGCACTCTACCTTCCGCTTCTTACATTGAAGGCACGTTGGCTTTGACTCGTCACATTTCAATCGTTTTGCCTTGCAGGTGATGCAGCCTGAGTAAAGAAGTGATAAGAGCGTCAGCGCACTGCGCGTTTGAATAAAATTTGAGTCATCATCATCTCTCTTGATGCTGTAGGTTCACTCGAGAAACCTGTTCCCATTTGTCGTCTCAATAGATTACTCTAGGAATGAATGGTACCGTACCGTTACGGCTTTTGGACTGCTTTGGCTTGTTAGGGTCCCTGGAGATACCAGACTGGCTTGTGGTGGTGGGTCTTTGAGAGGAAGAATTAGGCTTGGAGGTTCCCTCTGTGAGGGGAGGCGAAGGTTGAATGTCTAAGATAGCAGACGGAGAGGGGATCCTGATGTCTTCCATGCCCGGTCCAGGTCTAATGATGACATAGACTTAGCCAGGGTCAACGTGGTAGCGGTGGGAAAGGAAAAAAGGCTAGGGGTGTTGTTGTTTTTCCGAGCAGGAAGGATAATGTCGCGGAGTATAAACTAGCGGACGAGGGAGGTGAGAAATCACGAAGCTCGATTCGCGAATGAACAAGATAAATCTCTTTAGATGAGCCGGATGGCAGAGTAATCAGCGGAGATAGGGAAGGTGTGGGTGGGTGATAGATAACTCAGTGCCCCGACAAGGCCCCGGACAGTGAGGAGAAAGCGCCATGAGGGTGATAAGAGTTGCACTAGAGCAGCAGATTGCGGAGACAGCTGTGCGAGTTGTACAACGCGGATTCGTCGGTTTGTAGCAGGAGCTCAGACAAAGGCCGGGTTGGTATTGTAGCCAGAACGATTGGAGCTGGAAATATTACTTTCCTGCATTATTCGATGATAATACATGGAGGGGGTGGAGGCAAACACATCCATTCGCATCTTCAACATCCCCAGAACTTCAGTTAGCCCCGAAGCATCCGGTCCACCAAGCTTATCTAGCAGTAATACAAAGTAAGAAAAAGGAGGGAAAGCAAAACCCCCGGCCATCCACTGCAAAAGAACAAAACTGCAATCCAAGACGCAGGAGGTCACAGTCGGCAGGGTAAATTGAGGGGTTGCCACATGAAGAGCGAGCGGGTTGGAGAAACGAGAGAAATCGGCGAGGTTCGACTGGTCATGGCGACCCGGAATGGTGGGAGGAGATCCCCGTGACCCTCCCGCCTCCGTACTTCCTGTAGAGATGCAGTCAACTGCCTTGCCTCGGCCTCTGTCGTCAACTATACCCATCCTGTTAGGCAGATTCGTTTCTCGCTAGTTTGCAGTCAATGTCTCTGACAGTCCTGCATTGCACACAGTAAACAGCGAATCTACTGCTTTGCTCCCGCAAATTGTCCACTATACTACTAACAAGGAGTATATAACAACGCCGCTTCCCTTACAACTTATATACAAGTTACACTTCTTTTCCCTCCTGACGGTCAGACGCTCGGTCGGGTTAGACAAAGGGAAAGCCTACTAGCCAGCTGTAAGCTTCTTGAATGCCGACCTGGCACTAATCATCGGCGCAGAGCAATATGCGAGGGTGTTCACTGATCACACATTGCTCGGTTCATGTAAGGTATGTGGTCAGTCGACCAAACCGTCAACTGGTTTTTTATAAGTTCTAGTGTCATGGTTCAATTCTGGACCACGTCTGCAGGGTCATCGCATGCTGAACGATGCTGGACAGTCCTTTCAGCTTTGGAGAAACCCCCTGGCCTGGGAATGACATGGGCCTCCAGAATAACTGCCAACCTCGTGTTCGCCGCAAAGTTTGTGGAGTTCTTGGGCTTCTGCCCAATCAACGATGGACAGCAACTCGAATCATCCTAGCTGTTCGAGTTCCATACAATTTGCCGGTAAAACCAGGTGTAACAGTTAAGCTTTTCTATGCTATCAATACTGTCCGCGGATGAATAGAGTATATGCCGTGCTGGTCACGTGAACGGCATTGAGTGAGCACCTGCAGGAGAGTTGCTAGTAACCTGGATCCATGCCTAGGACTAAGGCTGAAGTCATGAATGAGTACTCCCTATCGTCAACGACGATGACACATGACGTATGCTTCATCAGGATGTTACATGGGATCGTCGTCAAGAGGCATACGTTTGAAGTCGCCTCTGCCGTGCGCGCTCATTATCGTCGGGCTGCGGTTGGCTCTTGACCCCCGTACGCAATCGGGGTGGAGATCGCAAGGCACTCGATCGACGAGATGTCCGATAACGTCTCCGCACGCTATCGCAGAGCTGACGGGCTGGTGCAAGCGTTTGAGTGCTGTCTGAGATCTAAGAAATATACAATCTTGCAGTGGCTAATCTATGTACTATCCATGATGACACTGAACCGAAATTGCTCGCCGGTGACAGGTCAACGATGCCCCAAAGAATATTCTAGTCATCACACCTTATCTCTTGAAGGTTTGCTAGCAAAGGTTTTACTTTATACTCAATCACTCGGTAAACTCGTTGAACATTCTTCTTGCTTCCCGTGTAAATATCTCTCTTTAAGACAGCACCACTGAGTATACCACTCGAATCGCAAAGGGTCTTCAACTCGATATCAACATGTGCATCATAATTCATGTTTGCAATGTTGAGTTTACTATAACCAGCTTATCATGTCTGTGTTATCGCAATTGTACCGGAGAATGGGGTTTGCTAGGATTGATCTGAGCCTCTAGTACTGAGATGCATTCAGCGAGTGCTCTTTCTGTTCGATTTTGCGGAAGACCTTTCCACCAGAACTTCGGAAGAAAGACGAATCGGGGTCGCTCATATGGATGCAACTTCCCGTACTGGATTGGAAAGATAGCTGATTAGACCACGCGAGTGCTGGAAATATAGGGGTGTGGCTAAGGCTATGCTTGCTGGCAGTTTTGGCGGTTTAGCTTTGCTGCTGCATGTGCCATCCTGCGGTCGACGACAATCTCCAATTCAAGTTCCTAATTTTCATTGACAGCGGATGATGTGTGCAATGCGTGGTCAGGCTCGCCCAAATATCCCGCATTAGGTTGCTTTAAAGAACGGCAGGAGAGACTTCATCTAGTCGCGACGCGAAGTCTTTCATTGATCATGGTCTAAAAGAGCGACTATATACTATATCTGTCTCGCGCAGCTGCAGAGCGCTTGTGCTTCGTATGACAGGGTAGCCCGGCGAACCCTCCTCTTCGGTGAGTCATGGAAGAAATTTCGTAGCGATGACAAAGTGCAATGGCAATCTTGTAATTATTCTTACTGATAAACTCATAGTCATTTGCCAGCTTATTCCGGACCCTATCCTAGTCATAGAGCTCTCCCTCCGCAATGGCTTGGGTTGTGTTGTCCATATCGTGAAGAAGCTGCTTGCCAGTCGGGTTAATATCTATAATGGAAAGGTCAACAGTATATGACCAAGCCCTTCAAGCGATGTTAGCTCACTTTCGTAGGGTCAAGAGTGCTTGACCTACCCACCTTTGTGTCAGGGCTTATTCCTCGCCTTCGCGCATCAGGACCTTTATATTCAGCCATGTTCAGGCTGCCGTTGATCTACGACGCTGGTTTCTTGAAGGACGAATTAGTGTCTTGATTGTTGCTGGCTCCATGAAGCGCCAAAGAAAGCCGTCAGCCTACACGTAACGGTTTGATTTAATCGTGCAAAGACCCTTGAGGCTTGGGAACAACAACTGCTATGCTCTCCAGACTTCTAGCTACGTTCCTATGCACCGGCAGTGTGAGACCATGCAAGTTGGAAAATAGCATGTCCGCACGCAATCTTGATCTTCTGAAGTTGTCCTACATTGTCAATTACTACACGATAGCTCAAGGTTCGGCAATTCCTTGTACTTCTCGATACACATACGACGCATCGAGCATACCGCTGCAACTTTCACTCCGAGCTAGATCCTTTTAGCATGGAAAGACAATGAATATCACAGTCAAAGCAATACAGGACATCACTGTCTATCGTACATGCAGGTTCCAGGTTATGTAAAGCTTAAGTCGGCAAGTGAGCAAGAGATATAATCCAATGTTTTGATTGGACTTTTCCGTGGTTGAAAGATGATGCAATGCTCATGCCCATTCTAGCACAGATTTTTATGAATCCAGAATAACTGCTACAAAATCAGTCATGTGGGATTGCAAACAAAATCCCATGATATAGCATTATATTGAACACCTTGATGTCCCCGAATAGATGGGTGATAATGCTAGTTATACATTAAAGCACACTCCGCTTTCGTAGAGTTTCAAGCAGATCAACTCATTCTATTGATTATATCCTCAGCACAGGATATCATAGGATAAGTGCTTCCACAAATATGCACGGTATGGCTGAGCGGACGTTTAAACTCTTACTGGGGCATACTTAGGCTGATTACCCTTCTACCTTAGAAGATCTACTCATGATTATTGTTAATCCACTTTTATGAATATACGAAGTGATGCTTACGAAGAATCTCAGTTGATCTGTATGCATTTAATTTCATTATATCAATATCGCAGCTGCCTAAATAAATCCAAATTGCACCAATTCACAGGGGATGTTCTTGCAATGCCTGACAGGGAGCTATAGCTGCGCAAACAGAATGTGGATACTCTTCTTCTCGGCGATGAGTCGCTCGCTGAGTCGCTCACGTTGGTCAAATAATTTCTCTTCATTTGAAGTTATAACACGCTTCATCATGGTGAGGACTTTCACACAGAAAAGTAGCCCGCCCACATCCATCTTCCTCACTCCTCCAAGCCTCACTACTGCCTAAGCCCCAAGTGCCATCATCAAGATCTTCGCTATGGCTCCTCAGTACCCTGACCTGAGAGATATCAACCATTTCCCCGGCTTTGCCGGCATTCCCACCGAAAACCTTGACACCGGAGTCATCACTCCTGGAACAGATGGCTGCCTTCTTCTAGAGATCGTTGCTTTCGAAACATCACCGACCCTCGTGGTTGGTACCCGCAGCAAGGACCTCCACCTCGTCACCCTGCGATTCGAAGGGGAGGACCAAGGTAGGGCTCTCGCTCAGTCTCCGCATCTGAAGGTCGGACATACCATCGCTATCCTGCACGCTCGTAAGCACCAGTTCGGCCATCAAGTTTACGGGATTCGTCTCTACAACTATCGCTCACTCAAGGTATTCGCTGAAGCCTGACTGTGCTCTGTCACCTCTCAATCCATTTTTACTGACCTCACTGTAATCCAGATTCTCCCGGGGGGCTTGGATGAGATTCTCCATCTGAGTGACGAATTGCGAGCCTGGCCTCTGAACTTCGCTCCCCATCAGAAGTGCCACTGGTGTGCCGCTGAGACTGACACGATTATAACCTGCAACGGCTGCGGCGTTATCGGATACTGCGGCACTGTAAGTAACCTCCTTTCTAGACTGGATTGAATTTGTCGAGACAAGAAGCTTGCTAATGCCGGACTAGGCTTGCCAGCTCGCCAGCTGGAACATTCGCAATCACAAGGAGATGTGCAAGGTTGTTGGCGATCAGAACTTCCGTTCCCTCATGGTTGAGATGGCGTATGAGGAAGCCTGAGTCGAGCACTCTCACTCTGAAAGAAGGAGCTTGAGGTTGAAGTCAATTCCCGTATCATGTCTCGGTGGTTGAGCTCGGGCAATATGATGGTTTGCTTTATTCAGTGTGAAATACCTTTGGTATTGCAGCCTTAAGAGGCGTTCCTGGAAAGATGGAAAGACTTAAAACCACGTCAATACCATTTCACTTGATAGTATTGACATTCTGTTCCCGAAATTTCGTAGTGAACTGACTAGCTGTCTGTACTGTAATGGTGTAAGTTATATTATCTGAAGCTAGTAAGTTAACGTCAAATACCTACCAGCCACCCCAGACAAGCGGGTATTGCGGGATGATGTGGATTGCCCGCCCCCAGACCGAGGCTGGTGCTGCTGATCGACCGGCTTGAAACGGTGCTCGGTCCGAGTTCCACCTTTAAACTGACCCCATCTCCCCGGACAACTTAAACATCCCACACATCCAACCCTTCTCCCTCCAACGGAGACTTTAAAGCGTTCTAGAGTTTCCAAGGTTCACTCACTGGTATCATGCTTCGTTGTCTACCTCGTCGGCTTACTCGACGCATTCCTCTCCGAGCCACCACCGAAGCCCATCTGTCGCGCTTCGCTGTGCGCTCCTTCACATGCGCTTATCCGCGGATGTCGACATCATCGCGCCTCACCGTGGAAGCACCCGTCTCAGCAACGGAACCGGCGGATTCATACCAGCTTCTATCAACAACAGACAAAGCCGGCGTAGCCGAAGACGCATTATACGAACAACAGATCAAAGATGTGGAAGAATGGTGGCGATCGTCTCGCTTCGAGGGTATCAAGCGGCCTTACTCCGCCGCGGATGTTGTCAGCAAACGCGGTTCCCTGCAACAAACATACCCGAGCTCGTTGATGGCCCGCAAGCTTTTCCACCTGCTGAACGAAAGGGCCGCAGAAGGCAAGCCGGTTCACACGAGTATGTATCCAGCAATAGAGGCCTGGACGCTTTCTATAGGTTTTGCTTTTTCCGGTGCGCTAATTACTTTTCTCAGTGGGCGCCATTGACCCAGTACAAATGACGCAGCAAGCGCCCCATCAGGAAGTGCTATACATCTCCGGGTGGGCCTGTTCGTCTCTGTTAACTACGACCAACGAGGTGTCTCCCGACTTCGGCGATTACCCGTACAACACGGTGCCAAACCAGGTTCAACGATTGTTCAAGGCGCAACAGCTGCACGATCGGAAACAGTGGGACGCGAGACGGAAACTCACACCCGAACAACGCAAGTCCACTCCATACGTCGACTATCTACGTCCAATCGTAGCCGATGGTGATACGGGGTACGTGATCCCCTCTCGCCTGGACAGCTTCAGCACACACATGTCGAGTCGCTAACTCTGGATCAGGCACGGTGGACTTTCGGCTGTGCTAAAGCTGGCCAAGTTGTTCGCAGAGAATGGTGCAGCAGCAGTTCACTTTGAGGATCAGCTGCACGGTGGGAAGAAATGCGGTCATCTCGCGGGCAAGGTACTGGTGCCCATTGGGGAGCATATCAACCGACTTGTGGCAGCTCGCTTCCAGTGGGATTTGATGGGGACCGAGAATCTGCTTATTGCTCGCACGGACTCGGAAAGTGGGCGCCTAATCAGCAGCGCCATCGATGTCCGTGATCACGAGTTTATCCTTGGAGTGGCGGAGGAGGTTGAGCCACTCGCCGAGACTCTGCAGGCTATGGAAAGAGAGGGCGCTGCGCCTTCCGAGATCGATGCTTATGAATCGGAATGGGTCAAGAAGCACAAGCTGGTTACCTTCGACGAAGGTCCGTCGACTACTCATCCCCATTCTTTTGCGGTATTTGAAACTGACCACTCGAGATGATAATAGCTGTCGACGCACATCTTGAAGCAGAGAAAGCCACACAGTCCGCTCGAGACGCATACAAAAGACGCGTTCAAGAGAGTCCGGACTTGTCAATCTCACGCCGGAGAGAACTGGCCAGTGACTACACGAAGAAACCAGTTGTCTGGTCTTGTGACAGCCCTCGCACCAGGGAGGGATACTATCACTACCGCGCTGGGTTCCCTGCGGCTGCCAAGCGCGCTCGCGAATTTGCTCCGTATGCGGATCTCCTCTGGGTCGAAACCGGTGACCCGGACGTCGCGAAAGCGGCCACATTGGCAGGGGAAGTACGCAAGGCGTATCCCGGCAAGAAGCTGGTATACAACCTGAGCCCGTCCTTTAACTGGATGGGTCATGGTTTCGACGAAGCGTCTCTCAAATCGTTTATCTGGGATTTGGCGCAGCATGGGTCAGTATATCATCTTTCTTGAGTATTTCAGACACGCTAACATGCTCAGATTTGTACTTCAACTCATCTCGCTGGCTGGACTGCATAGCAATGCAACGATCACGACAGAACTTTCAAGGGCTTTCAAGGAAGACGGTATGCTTGCCTACGTGCGCATGGTGCAAGCTCGGGAGAAGGAGCTTGGCGTGGATGTTCTTACACATCAGAAATGGAGTGGAGCGCCTTATATGGATGGCATTTTGGGGGCAATTCAGAGTGGTAGCAGTAGCAGCAAGAGTATGGGAGAGGGCAACACGGAGAAGGGTAAGTGGAGAATGACATTCCATGATCTGGGCTAACAAAATCGCGCAGGCTTTTGATGTGGTTGGGTGTGCATGACTATGTAAATCAGCGAGATATGACTTTCCAAGCGTAAGATCCCAATACGTTCAACTCACCAGCAATGTAGAAGCGATACCGCAGCATTCACTGCTACTGGGGCCTTAATTTTAGCTAGGAGGCCTCCCCTGATCAACAAATGAAACAAGTCACCATCTCTGGAGCTGAACTGCATATCTTCTCTTGTTCATAGTAACTTTCAGGTTATGATATAAGGAGACTCACAAGTAAAGTTCTTGAGATCAGTGATTACGAATCAGTAGTGAGACATTAAACAGCGTTGAACTGAGACTAAAACAGCTGTGCAGATACTAGTATGGTTTGCTTTTCAGTCAGCGCCGATGTACTCCCCACGTGCTATTCATTCCTCTTTCCCTCCCCTCAAGCCATCTTGATGGCTTTTCCCTCTGCTCTCTTTCTTCTATCTCCTTCCAATCATATCTCCTCTTTCCTTAGACATTACTGCCCACTTGATTAAAAGTGGAAATTGTGGAGAGCAGCAGCAGCCAACAAGAATGAACCGCCTCCACTGCCGATTTCATGCATGAGATCCAATTCACTCAGATTTCATTGGGTCGCCTGTTAGAGCGAAGCATCTATCACTGCATCCTGGATTCACTTCATTCATAATCTGCAACCAAGTCCTTCTTCCTCATCACCCCTTAACAGCACGTTTGCAAGTTCCACTGCCTCGTCAAAACACACTTTTGTCTCAATTTGAGACAATCACTTCAGTCTTTGGATTCAACAGTCCTAATCACAGGTTACTTGTTCAATCCAAACTGACTCTGTCATTCCTAGTCGCAGTTCCTCTTCCATCTTGTCTAATTCCCCCAAGCAACATTCCACTCCTACCTGAACGTACCTTCAGACCAGGAAGCGTTCCCCAGGCCACAAAAAGGAAATGATGTCTTTCAGTTCGAGCAGAAGGAGAGCCACATGCACCTGTACTTCATAGATCGCACTCACCAAGGCAGCCAAAGCTATGGCCAGCCGAAATGAAAGCCACCCGCCATGCAGCTCGCGCGCGCGGTAGTATGTGGATAACTCCTGCAGGCCCCAAGGACTGTCGTGATACTGGGGGTTACATGATGAGGCACCCAGCGAACTCTACGTAGCAGAGTCATGCTGAACTCTACTATATCTGCCCATGCACTTGATGAGAGCCACACCTGAGCATTTTGCTGATTGAATAGTAACCGCATGATTGCGCGAACTGACACTGCTTCCCTCACACATTGCTACGAGCTCCACACCTGTGATCGGTTTTGCGGTGAGCTTGTCTCGTTTTCCATCAACTGCAGAGCAAGTATCGACCTATCCTCCGGCCTGTGGGGGGCTTTAGGACGGAATAAGCTGCTCCATCATGGGAAGAGGGACTTGGAATACTGAGACCCCTTAAGTTGCTCTCAGTGCACATTCACCTACACACCTGCTTGTCTGCCACGCTCGCAGTGGCTCTGCCCATAGATGAAGGACCCTAAGGAAGTAACCAGAAATAGAGCGGTTGATTAAATAAGTTGAAGGTATCGCCAACGAAGTCTTGGCTGCGGCGGGGACAATTCATCGTCTCCTTCCTGGGTGGGCGCCAGATCCAGCTGAACTGAAGCTTCCCGGGGGACTCGGACTCTGCTGCGCTGATTGATAGAAGCTTTGGGTTATGATTAGTTTCTTGGGGAGCTTCGCCGAAGAACTAAGTTATCCAGGACGGATGACCTTAACTAATGTTTACCACCTACACCTACTATGATGTGATTTATCCCTCTGTTTTCTACCATCGAGATATGAAAAGGCCTGTAGAAGGACACACTTCTTATTTCCTGCATTTGAAACATAACTCTACAAAAGCAACCCTATCTTGAATCGATACTAGACTTATCCTAGCTACAAGTTCTCAGGACTGCAATTGTTCGTCTTTCTACACACCTTAGAAAAACAAATGGTACTACTACTTACTGCCTACAACACATGAACTGACCCTATGAACAACTTCTCGGTCAAGTTCCACATTTTATACACCATAACGAATACACTCGTCAAGTCAAGTGGAATAACTGTATCAAAGCCCACGAATTCTGAAACAAACACAGTAGTTATTTATACTATATACTAACGATAACTAACATGATGCTACCAATATTTACTAGTTACCCATTTCAACTGCGCATCGTCGGTAATATAACCCGCATCGGTATGTATACCTATACGCGACATTCAAAGGTAAATACCCGCACGAAGAAAAATGACAGGCCGCTTACGCATACAAACAACCTCCTCCACTTTTCCCTTCCCCAGATTGATAGCGACGGAGTGCTGAGCGGGGAAAGAAATATGTTCCCACGGAAGGAATCGCCTGCAGGAATCAAGGTAGCTCAATGGACAACTATAAATCTTTCGTATTGCGCGTGCATCAACCCGGTTGAATACAGATACATAGAGACACTAACACTAACACTACAGGTACGGTACCAGTACTTCGTACTAATACGCTATATCTGGCAAGAAAGCAGCCGTCTCAGTCAAATGCTGTCAAGTCCCTGTGTTCAACGACTGTGCTCAAAACAAAACGGCGCTTACCCCAGCCTATACATACATACCATAAAATTGACATTCTGCACATGTTCAATATGCTTAAAGCACGGTACGGGTACACGAGGCACGAGATTAATTACGACACGGTCAGAAAAGACGCTAGTCATGACAATTTGGGTTTCAAAATGAGACAGCAGAACGAAAAAAAATCTCCGAAGCTTACACATGGCATAAAGATGAGATAGCACCAGAAGGAATGAGAGACGCTCAAGGCCGAGGAATAAGAAAACCATGATAATGATAAAGATGATTAAGACAATCCAGCTGCAATCTGCTGCACCCACGACACTGGCGGAATGCAAAGCCCGTCAAGCAGCATCGTCACTGAGTTGGGGCTGGTATGAAGATATCGTCACTGATGACCCATGAGAGACAAACGAGCAGAGGTCGAAATAAAAAAAGATTACACAATTCGGCACATTCACAAGTACCACACAACGGAGCCGTTGCGGCGGGAGGAGGTTAGAGCTCTAGATTGAATGGCGAAACAGGGACGGGGATGAAAGACAATTCCCGGAGTAGAGAAAAATATGAAAGCAACTGCCCCCATGAAATCAGATTTGCTACTCGCTTAATAACGGACAAAATAGCTGCAATATCTCGGTGGATCAGTTGACGCGGAAAGCATCGAAGATGACTATGCAGAAGGATTAGCGACGCGACTAGATTGTAGAAGCGCAGGTGAATGAAGACTAACCTTCCTGGTTCCTGCGACAACCACTGCCGATCCACATCAGAGTGTTCAAGAATGCGTAACGTTCATCTCCGGTCTCCATCGAAAGGTTGATGCGATATTTATACGTGTTGGGGTTCACACCGTCAGCCACACTGGGATCATTGACCTTGTCCAGCACGTCCTTTGAGCCGGTCAACCATCCATTGGTCTTCACAATTATGTACGCGGGTGGGTCGTCGGCAGTTTGAAGCATATAGCTCGCTCGAAGACTCGTGGATGACTCCTTGGTCACGATCTGAGAATCCTGTCCACCAGGCTGTAAGACGTTAGCATGCGCGATGCCATTCTCTGCCGCATGGATGATAATTACCAGGATGATTCCTTTGCCCCATCGACCGGCCCATTGCCCTCCCACGAATGTCACCCAGTCACGGTGTCCCCAGATGCTCTCACCTACGGCGACCTTAGGATTCATTTTAATGCTCATACGGAAGTCCAACTCGAGGGTAGGCGCCGGGATCTGCAGCGAGCGTGCGACGTCGCCCTCGGGGAAGGTGTGGAGGAGGTTGTTGGCGGGGATCGAGTCCTTCATGACACTGAGGTAGGTAGGACATTCCAGCAGATGTTGGCGTTGACGACTGGTGTTCTTCGCGCGGACTTGCTGGCAGTATATGCATTGGACGGATAGACACTAGAAGAGAGAAACAAAGCCCGCGTCAGAACTTCTGCAATCCATGCGCGCGCTTCCTCCGAATCGACCCGGCTCATATCTTACCTTGTCTTCTTCCTTCGCTCGGAACTCCACGAAAGCGGCATGCACGTCATCAAGGGGTGGGGCGGGGAGGTTGGAGGATGAGTTCTTCGGCTTGGACTTGGGTGTCGCACGAGGGGCCTGCTGCGCGGCAGGGGCCGCGGAGGCGGCCCCGGCAGGGCCTGATGTCGGCAGAGAAGCGCGACCCTGCATATTCTGCAGCGGTGTCTGCATCGGGGTAGCATGCGGGTTGACACCGTTGGACATCATGGGTCCGTTCGGAGTCGCGAGGGCACCAGGCCCTGGCCCCGCGCCGGGAGCAGTGGCAGTAGCACCATTAGGAGTGGGAGGATATCCATTGGCGGACCCAATGCCATTAGGGGCAGATTGAGCGGATTGTGTTTGAGCTTGGGGGTTGGTATGACGAAGGCCGGGACATTCGAGCAGGTGTTGCTTCTGACGCGAGGTATTCTTTGCGCGGATCTGCTGACAATAGATACACTGGACGGAAAGGCACTGCGACAAGCAAACAACAACAGGTATGTCATGTCAGTGACAGTGACGGTGACGGTGACGGGGAGTGTGGTTAGAGGAGTGTGTTGGTTCTGTTAAGTTGGGTGGGCGTTTCTGGAAATATTACGAGGAAATACGGGAGTCACGCACCTTATCGTCTTCCTTGGCGCGGAACTCGACAAACGCCGCGTGAACTTCCTGGTCGACTGTCCGACCCATGTTCACGACAAAAGGGGTGAATAAATCGATATTGGAGGGATAAGAGGGGGGGGAACCACGCCTAGATTATAAGACGATCGAGAAAGGCCTTCCAGGGATATTTTAGGGAGAGCGAGGTGGGTGGGGGAGGGAGCAAAACGAGGGAGCAAGACGAGCTCAAGGCAGCCAAATCTCGGGGTGAGCGAGAGTGAAAAGGAAGAATCAATGAATGTTTGACAGGACGGGAAGGAAGTGGAGGGAAGAGAAGAGAGGAAGAAAAGAGAGAGAGGGAGAGAGAAGAGTGCCGGTGGGACAAGACAGGACAAAACCAGAACGAGAACGAGGACAAAACGGACGAGAAGTGGCGGTTAATTTACGCGAGCTCGTTTAAAAACAGAACAAGACGGACGGACGAGACCTTACACACCACCTGCGTAATTTGAGTCCTGGCAGTCGCGTAAATGACTAATCGCCTCCATTGCGCGGAGGGAAAAATGCATGGAAAAATGAGTCTCCCTACACCATTGAGTTATCTTGCCAATCAGAACCCTATGCACCTGAATGATATATCGAGAATAACAGACCTAAATTCTAACAATCCAAACCACTTTTCAACCTGGGATTGCCTCGGTCTGAAGCCACGCGAGACCCTTTGCAAAGTCAAAAACAAGGCTACCACACGGCAGGCTGACTTCCTTCACCTAAAAATAAGCCGGTGTGCAAGTTGCTGCCAGCAGCCCCCGAACTTTCTCGTCTAGCTAGATACATACAGTACATAGACCTTTTAGCCCATATCGATCTGTTAACACAAAAGTCTTATCTATATTCACATACATCTGGAGGGGGATCAGAACTGTCACAAGTACTGGTAACATGCTGAACAATACTGGCAACAGAGGGTAAGGTCGAATACCAGTCATTGATACCACCCGACCGGTATGGCAGTAAGTAAGAAAGTAACAAAACCAAACGGGTCGATGCAGATTACAGGTCCCAAGTTTTACCACTGCGTCCGGCTGTTTTGGAAACTAAATGGGACCAGGCAGGTTTCCTGTAACTGACAGAAATAAACCTGAGAGATCGAGATCGCAATCTGGAAGATCTATGCATACATCTGCCACTATCTTTTGCAGATTAGCTACCATTTGACTTACCTTTGATGATCGCTGATGAAACGGAAGATCAAATGTTGGGTCAGGCAGTCAAGGGTCACACACAGCCACCGCCAACCACGCGTGTTTTTCCGTGTCTTATGTACTTCTTGGGCGTAGTTCTCTTCCCTTAAGGGGATGAACACGTTGCAAAAGTAGCAGTACTCTAACTACCAGATGCTGCTCTGCGCTCAGATCCAGGGGTGATTACTACTAGGTATCAGTCACTAAATACTTAATAGAACGATGGTGAAGAAATGGTCTACATCAGATGGGGTACGCTAGTCAAGCCACGCTACCGTATAACTTTCCCTCTGCCTCATAATGTACGGAGTAAGGTGTATGCCAAGCTCACGAACTACTTCCGACAGCTGTCACATTCTCTTGCCTGTTCACATGTGAACGTTCATTGCGTAACTACGAGACTCTACCTTTCTTTATCAGTTATACTTCCAAGTTCCTGCCTACCCCTGCCCTTTTGAAGGACTGTTACGATCCGCTACTGGACCACCTTGGCCCTCTACTTATCAACAAAGAACAACGATCTGCTCTGACGCTGCCATTGAGTCATCATAAGCTGGTCATGATGACGAGCCCGAGGTGTCTGGTCTGGCAATGCTACAGTGACTAGGATTTCATTGAGTGAAAGTTCAGAAAAGAAGAATGAAGAACATAGAGCCGAAAGACGAGATGGAAAGTAAGCAGGAAGAAACACCGAGTAGGACAAATTGAATGCGCGCGAACGACTATGTGTATGGGCAATTAATACCGTACTGTAAGCCCATTCCGACACCAGAGAAGTTGGAAAGATTACCCACGAAAGATTAGTATAGGAAGAAAAACAAAGGCAGTCTAATAAGAAAGAGAGACAGATTTGTCGCATTTTCCCTTCTGGGACCGAAACGAATCAGTCATGCAAGTTGTGCGCAGGGCTTGCATCAAAGCCATGTACTCAGATTCCTGGCAAACTGAGGTAGATTTCGCCGTATAGGTAAAGTGCACCATACTCTTCACCACCTGTGTACTGTGCCTCGTCTTGACAAACTGTGAGAAGGCCCTTAGTAGCCAGGGCGAGGATGTGCATCAGACCTTGGGTAGCCACAATGCGGGATGTTTTGGCCGGAGGAAGCAACGATGAGAATTGCATCGTCTTGTTCGTGCCACCATGCTCCTGTCCGGATTCCTCATTGGTATAAGACGACAATGCTTCGAGTCTCGCGGCGAGATAATCCAGGAAGTTCAGGCTTTCCTGATCAAGAGTGGACCGTTGCGACTCGTCTTCATGGGTTCGAAGGCTCGCAGAAGGAAATCCAGTTTCGGCAGCGATGTTGTCACCATGGGTTTCGCCATGCTCCTGGTCCATCTCCGGGTGCAGGTATTGAGAGATATCGAAGTCATCGAATATATTCACATCATCCAGTTCATGGCCAGGGATATGTAGATTGTCAGGTGCATCAAGGTCAAATGGAAAGCCGTGACCAGCAAGAGGACTCGAGCTCGTCAGGCGGTTACGCGGTCTCATGAGACCTGTGTCAGAAAAGCCATGAGACGAGAAGTCGCTGACACTTCCGATGCCGGGGAGAATGCCGCGAACAATGGATCCCTGTCGAGAACTATGTATGGAAGCTGTGATGTTCCAAGGCATTTGGAGGAAACTGTCATCATGAAGTGCAGGCGCCGCGTGACGGCCAATCTCGACATCCTAATTCGTCTTGCTTAGCACTCGCGATGCACGCAATCATAGAATGTACGAACCTCATTCCAGAGACCGTCATCGTGAGAAATATCCATCTGATCAGTCGGTCCGCCGTCGTTCCTTGCTCGAACACGTCTCCCAATGTGCTCCTGAACCTCATCTTCTAAGGCATCATGGGCACGCTTAGGACTCAGAATAGCAGCAGGAGCTGTAAGAGACACATATAATTCATCCCCTGAAAACATGTGCAATGGATGCATGACACGAGACTTGCCTATTCCGACGCCAACAGATCCAATACCCTGACCATAAACCCAGAAGGCAGCGTTCTTCTTCGATGATGTAGGAACCTTGTTCTTTTGCTTCTGTTTCAAGGCTATGGCCATCAGGCTAACATAGTTCTGGTTCAGATGACCGAGCTCGCTGTTTTTCAGCGCGATCTGATCATCTGGCCGTATCAGCTTCAGAGCTCTTTGTTTCTGGGCCACCGACACTTCAATCGCTTCCTCTGGATGGACTTCTTCGCCTCCTCCTCTACCTGGAAATGGGGTAGGTCTGGCTGGAAGGTGGCGAGTTATTTGTGCGCTTTGCGCGGGTCTTTCACCTATCTCAGAACCCTTTTCGACAATGTTCATCTTGGTAAGTCATGAGGTTAGCATTGGTGGAGATAGGATCATCGCGAACATTAATCATACCTGATCTTCAATGGTAATATCATCTTCAGCTTGGACTCCGAAATGACTGTCAATTCCGTGTTCAAAATGACTGCGAGCAACACGCCGAGGTCTCGAATCAACCTGCGGAGTCCCCCCGAGCTCAACAATGTTGCCGTCTTCGTCGAATTCAAAGTCGGCCTGGAGAATCACGCCTGCCTCATCGTCGAGCGGAAGAGGCCTGATTCTCTCCGAAGCCATGCTTCCCGGACCATAAGCAGCAACATCAATAGTCGAGGCGATTTCCCCCAAGCCCCCTGCATAAGTGTCATCGGACGAAAGGCTCAATTGAAGAATCGTATCTTGTGAGACGACAGACTGACTGAGATCGGGCGTCTTCGGCCAGTTGAGATAGCTTGGCGCACTCCGATCAGGCACAGGGAAAGCATCGAAGCTGGTGCAGTCCAGAAGAATACCAGGTAGGCTATCGGGCAGAAAAGAGGGATCGTAAGGCAGGACGAGCTGCTCGGGCCTATGAAGGAGGAATTTAGCATGTAACCAGGGGCAGTCAGCATACGCAGAAGTGCTTCGTTATGTGCACGCTCGAGTGCCATTGACACAGACCTAGCCTTGCCAGCAGATGGATCTAGACCACCGCCCGGTAAAACCTTCAGCATGGTTTTCATTTTGTCGTGCATCGCTTGGACATCCGTGAGCGTATACCCGCATTGATGGCTGTAGACCCTCGAGACCCCGTAGCTGGTTGTTTGCATGTCACTTGTCAGCAAAGAAAGCGTTTTATCTCGCGGCAGAACGATGGACGCTCTCACAGAAGATTTCCTTGGAGTCTCAATGCCATAGGTGCCCCCGGATCCATGATGGCACCGCACGCCTTGGGAACATCTACGTCCAGTATAGTCTTTCTGTTCAGACGTTTGGTGACGGACCTGGAGCCCAGCGTCGCAACTAGCCTGAGAATCAGAACTGTGTTAGCTATCCAGTAACGCTTCAAGTTCGTGAATGACGCTTGGATCTGAAGCGAACCATATCGTAGCGACACCGTACTCGGGAGATGTAAGTACTAAGAACAACAAAAGCGCGTTAGAAAAGACCGTGAGGCCGCGAGAGGTCCATGTTTCACCTACTTTCATGACTGTAGAACATCGTCGAGTCGAGAAAAGGTATGATCAAGGCCCCAATCCGCCTGCTGTGCGGTTTCGGTCAGTGAACGGGGTGGGAATTCAAGTCGAATGGCGCAATACTGTCGAATATCAGTGGAGTGCAGGGCGAGGGATAATGAAGTCTTCTGGCATGGATCTTCACAGCAGATCTGGAAAATGAGGTGGTCAAGAAAGTGCCAGAAGTTGTCGGTGCTGATGGTCCGCTTAGTGAAAAGGTGTGGAGTATACTTGTCTCCGAAAGGGGTGGCAGTTAGTTAATGACTGAACATTCGGACACAAAGCCCGTAGAAGTCAAGTACGGTACGCGTGGATATAGGAAATCAGACTCGCGTAAATTGTAAATTGCTTAGATGGACTTTTAAAATCAGCGTGCGAAAGAGAGCGCGTGACGAGTATGGACGTCACTCTTCCGGTAGCCACTCGCTCGACCTTCTAGGAAGATTACAAGTGCTCAAGTAAGCCTGAATAAAGATGATGCCTTGTATCAATTTCCTGATGAATGTCTATCGAGATGAACGTAAGACACAACCGAACCACCATAGAGAAGATATTGTGCCCAATTGGCAGACTTAACAGGGAACGAATACAAGTGAAGCCACCCATTATGCGGGACATTGAACCAACTTTTTGCTCTTCTCCGGCAGAGAAGAAGAAACGATACAACAGAAATTGCTTTTGCATGCTTTTAGGAGAAAAGGAGGCTGATTAAGGTAGTCGCCAGGATTGTTCTATTCATAACCAGAAGACAGTATTTAAAGAAAAGAGACGAGGTGTTGACCATGAAAATGAAGAACGAGATGGAGTGTCTACTAATATCTCCAACCCATGGCAACCCGGGATGATGCACGTGGGGTATGAGACATGCAAGAAAGATCAAAAGACGAAACATGAGACTATACTTCCGCGACGTCGAAAAGAAACGATTTTCCTGTATTCGAAGGATTATATTTTTATCCTTCGACTGGATGGATGTTACATGGTGCTTAAGATGACAAATGGAAAAGGCTAATCAAGGGGAATGCCCTGGTACTCGCCGTAGCCGAGGGCAAGGTTCATGTTCTCTGTATAGCGAGATGTTAGCAAGCTTTCCCAGGTTTCAATCGGCAATTGGTTCAGGGTTACTCACGCAGACACTGGGTGGCAGCACCCTTGAGCAGGTTATCAATAGTGGCGCACACAACAACACGCTTGCCGCTGGAGTGAACGGCGAAGCCACCAACCTCAATGCCGTGGCGTCCGGCAATGTTCTTCACAAGCGGAGGCTCGCCAACAATCTTGACCAGCTTCTCACCGGCGTAGCGCTCCTGGTAAATGTTGCGGATATCACGGGAAGTCAACTCCTCCTTGAGGGGGATGCTGATGGTTTGCTGTGACTGTGTTAGCAAGATGTCGAAGACGAATCAGTGTGAGAGGCAAACGTACGTGAATTCCCTGGAACCATACTGCAACGTGGGGAATGAAGGCAATGCTGGTGCCAAGCTGCGAGCTGATTTCCTTCTCGTGGATGTGATCAGTCAAGCTGTAGGGAATAATGTTGTTCGTGAGGTTTTCGACGTCGTTCTTGGGGCTGGGCTTGGTGCCAGCACCAGAGTAGCCGGAAACGCCGAAGACCGTGGGTTGTCCACCGAGGTGCGGCACGAGAGGAGCGATTCCAATCTGAGCTGCGGTAGCATAGCATCCAGGGTTGGCAATCCGGGTAGCCTGAGCAATCTTCGAGCGGCTGACCAGTTCAGGGAGACCATACGTCCACTTCTCATCGAAGCGATAATCGGCACTGAGGTCAATAATCACGTTGCCGGTCTCGGAACCCTGGTCCACAGCATCGACGAATGGCTTACAAACACCATTGGGCAAAGCCATGACCCAACAGTCAACGTCACCGTTGGCAGACATGCGCTTGACATCATCGGGGCTAAGGTTCTCGTAGATGATCTCACGCTTATCGTAACCTTGCAACTGCTTGCCAGCTAGCTCGCGGGAAGACACGTGACGCAAATCCAAGTGAGGGTGAGCGTTGATCAGGTTGATGAGAGCCTGACCAGTGTAACCACGAGCTCCGATCAGGGCAACCTTGGAAGGACGTGTGTTGGACATGTTCTTCTCTCCAAGAGGGGGGTTAGGGTTGGTGGTGGCATAAGTCCTGAAAGCCTGCACAGGCACAGTAGGGCGACCAGAGCGAGCAGCACGGAGAGCGTTGGTGGTCGAAGAGAAAGCACGTCTCTGCTCAGTAGAGGCACCGCTAGCACCAAAACCCTTACCGATGTGGGTGGCAGCCTGAGCAGCACGGTGCAGCCTCGATTCGAGGTTGATGTCTCCGAACATTTGACGGCCGTGCTCGTTGAACTCCTGAACGAGCTGCTTCACCTCCTCACCGCTCTCAACACCGTACCAGAACAGAACTTCTCCCTCGCGGCTAAGGCTGCCATCAGCCTTGTCGAAGAACCAAGTCAGGTTCTCGTCATCCTCCTTCACCGTCCAGACAAGCTTGGGGAACTCCTTCTTGATAGCGGCGAAGACGTTGTCAGCGACGTTGGTAAGCCAGCCGGACTTGGTGATGGTGAAGGTAGCCAAGTGTGCAAGGGAAGAGGTGGCATCCTGCTGAGGGGGCAGCACAACAGCGAGCGCATTCATGGGCTCATCGTAATAAGCCTTGAATTCGCGCTCTTTCAGACCCTCAACATAACGATCAACAGTGGCCCGGGCATCCAAGCCTTCGCGATCGCGGACGAGGACGTCCTTAAGCTTGTCCAAATCCTCGAATTCAGACAGGGAAGTCTTGGTGTGGACCTTGTTGCCTCTACGGATCAAAGTACCGGCTCCAGAGTCGGTAAAGAGTTCCTTCTGCAGGTCGGCGGGATGGATGATAGCAACGCTGGAAGTGCGGGGAAGGTCGCTGAGAAGGTCCTTCATCTCCTTGATCTTCAGGCGCGTACCGTGACGCACCCACCATTGAGTCATCAGATGATCATACTCCTCGTCGAGGTTGATGACGGAGATCTTCTCGCCAGTGTCACCGTTGAATAGACCGCCCTTCTCCGCCAGGTAGACGATCTTGAGAGGCTGAAGGGCACGCGCCAACTCACCAGCGGCGACATCAGCATTGACGTTCAAAACTTGACCATCCGGGGTCTCAGCCATGGAGGTTAGGATGGGCAGACAGCCAGCCTCGATGGCAGACTCGATAGGCTTCTTGTTCACACCATTGATCTTTCCGACCAGGTTATACTTCTCCTTATCCAGGTAGTCGGCGGTGAAAACGCCTGCATTCAGAGGGCGGGCCCGGACACCCATGCGCTCCAATTCCTCAATCAACTTGAGGTTCTCCTCGAGGAACAACTTGCGGGCAAGAGCCAATGTCTTTCCGTCAGTCACACGAATTCCATCTTCGAACTGGGGCTCGACACCGGCATCCTCAAGCATGCGGTTGAGCTGAGGACCAGCGCCATGGACAACGATGGGGTAGAGTCCAACGTGGTTCAGGAAAGCGAGGGCGGACGAAAGAGTCTGAAGGTGCTCAGTGATAATAGCACCCCCAACCTTGATGACGGCGAATTGCTGCTGGGAGACGGATGTGAAGTGGGAGAGGTATTGCTGGACCTCCCGCTTGGAGCCGATGTTGCTCAGCAACTGAACGACAGTGGAGCGGGTGGACGAAAGCTGAGGATCGGTGGCTCGAGAATAGTGACGACCCTGCAACAAGGGAACGGCTGAAGCCTTGAGTGAGTGACGGGCAGAGGGGGAGCCGATCCTGGCGCAGGAGACGAGCGGTGCGGAGAGCGCGCGGAGGGGCTTGCTGGGGGAAGCTCTCCGCACGGCAGTGCGAAGGGAGAACATCTTGCCAGCCAACATGCGGCAGCTTTTGCGCCTACTCGAATAGAAAGGCTGGAGGGGAGCGGAGGGAGAAAGTTCCCTGGGTGAAGCTTTTGGTGTAGAGAAAAGAGGTTTGTTTGAGGGGAGAGGAGGGGAGAAGGAGAGGAAAGGTTGTTGACCAGGAAGAAGAGGTTAAAAGGTTTGGATTTGGTTGTGTGGAGGGAGGGAGATTTGGGTGCAGCCAGGGAATTTGCCGCAGGGCTCCAAAGAGTTTGGAATTGTATGGTAAAGTGACTGTTGATCGGCTACTCGTCGGAGCGGGCGTCTTCCATTTTCTGCAATCGGCCGGAAACCTACTCTTGACTCACGCAGGTTGGTAACAACTACCTAACGAACAGTAACAAGTTGGGGTAGTGAGTACTCCGTACTAGTAGGCTCATAGGCTGTTTAGTGCCCACTCCGGAAGAGATCGATTCCCTCCTGCAAGGAAAACGTAGGGTAAAAGAGAGTTACATTCTAACTAGTACAACAGCAACCCCCTTCCCTCTTTTATACCACTCAAGTTCCTCCTAATCTTTGGGTAAGCTCGGAATTGAGGGAAATACCAACGAGCCAGTGGAATAAATTGCGCACGCAGAGATGACTACCTCCTACTTATGGGCGCCGCACGACTGCCCGAACAACTTGCCTGGTCCTTGGCTCTCTGCGCGCTGCGAACTGCGACTTTCGGAGCTGTTCTTCCCAGCATGACTCACCACATCATTGATATTAGGTGACTGGTGAACTGATAGATCCAAGACCAAACTACGGATTCGGTTCTGGGCCCCCATCTGCTCGTTCCCTTGAAAAAAAAAAAAAAAAAAAAAAAAAAAAGAAACAAAAAGAAGAAAAAAAATCCCATACTCACGTTCTACTAAATCTCTCAACACCGCAAAAAACTTGCTGGCAATTGCTGGCATGCTTGCTCTTTCGGTCTCCATCCTTTCCCATCCCATCCCCACACGTAATGAAAATTGCAAAATGGAGCCGTAAGACGTTCCTGTTCAATTTCCACCATACAATAAAAATTCCCTGGAGTCGTTATCTGATCTAACTAGCCCCCTACCATCCCTCTACCTGACGAATCATTGCGATCAATGGTCAAGGGAGGCTGGAGTCCACTGCCCCAGCGCACTTCCTTTTCAAGTGTCATCTCCATCGATGTCTCTGAGACTCTGGTTCCCTTTCGTTATCTGATCCTCTCTTAACCGAACACTCCTCCTCCTTGGCTGGTCACTGGCCACCTTCTCATTCATTATGGATACCTTTCTCTTATTACTTATATGGCCCACTCTGTATCCCGTGTCCGCCAACGCGCAATGCTCCGTGGCTGCAGTATCACGTGTAGGTGGCGCGATTTCGGGATCGGTTACGTTCACGAAACTCCATCTCCCACACTCGCTTTGTTCCTGTTCCAAATTCTTTACAGAGATTGTTCATTGACATCCGGAGGATAATTGTTTCATTGAGAGGGCTAAAGAACGAGGAACACGCAGCAACACAACATAAGGTATACCCGTCAAGGTATCGCAGGAAACGAAGGGAGAAACACAAAGAGCACTGATATACTAGGACATGAGCGAGAACCAGAGTATCATTTACATCTTCACTGTCGATGGATTCATGTGGCATAGCCTCGGGACCCCCAGAGCAGCCCATTGCATTCAATGGTGTCACCGAGGCAAGAAGACTTCATTCGTGAGAACAAGGATAGTTCGACGCCCGAGAAAAAGCAAAGAGGTATTAGTAGCTGGAAACGAAAGCTTCATGGGCACAACACAAATAACCAGGACCAAGTGAAACAGGAGAAAAAAACGTCATCCATTCCCAAGACAATCATGACTGTCGCTGCGTTCGTAATTTAGTGCCTGGTGGTGATCACTATGTCGAAGGTAAAGGGGTTAGCGCTTCCGGAATCCATTGCCGAGTGGAGGGTGTGGATGTAGATCTTACCAGTAGGGACGATAATCACTACAAGCAAAATAATGACACAGATGATCAAGCATACGCGCATCTTCATGTCTTTCCACCACATCTGTTTCCGCACGCGATTGGCGCCACGGCGGAAACCCTGGGCTGATACTGCCAGATTATCGGTCTTGTCCTGCAGCGAGTCAAGGCGCTCGCCACGCTCCGAGACCTTGAAGATGTTCGAACGCATCGTATCGACAGTTTCTTGGATTTTCTGTAGGACGGAACAAGCACGTCAGTCATCAAGCTCATTCCATATCCTACAGTTGTCCACCTAAGCCGACGGCATGCCCAAGTCAGGGCAGCAACCGCTTTCAGGTGTTATTGAGGAACACCTCTGTGAGCAAAAGCGCCATGCAAGTCTTGCTCACGCACGCCCTACGCAGCATGTCGCATGGGAAGGGGGGGCCCGTCGTCAACTCACCTTGTCGATTTCTCTCGTCCGGGGGTCGCCATTTTGCGCGGCGGTAGCGCTGGGTCCGTTGGAACCAGACGGAATGTAAGGGTCGTAAGGCTGCTCAGACATGGTTGCAATGCGCGATGGAGTCAATTTTATGTGATGAACAAGGAGTCGGGCCTGGTAAATCACCAAACTGCCGTGTTGGAGATGAAGTCTGTTGTTTGTTCCTTCCGCAGGGGGGTGAGGGGGGAGATCGCAGCAACAAGTCTAGCAAGTGGGCGTAAAGTCGTGATGCGGAAGTGGATAATCAAATGTACAACTTCGAGATACAAAAAAAGTGGTGAGATAGTGAGGTTGATGTAGTGGTGAAGGTGGAGTAGGTCGATGTGTTGCTGGAGGGAAGCTGACAAGGTGTGATGAATCGCCGCCCGCCGTCTGGAGATTACAAGCGTTTCGGGTCGGTCGGGGGGCGGGCGCTACACGTGACCCGGCGAGAAGTTTGGAAGAACAGCCCGCCTCGCAGGCAGCTATTTTTATGCTGGAATGGAGTCAAACCCAGCCAACCCCAAGGGACAAAGACATCGTAAGATGTTTTGTGGGAATTACAGTAACATGATGTTTTCTCAAGGTGGTTTGCGACGCTGCGAGAAACCACATGCATATGCGACCTGCTAGCCGACAGGCTACCTATCCAAACAATAATCCAAACAGCTGCTGTGACAGATCGACTCTGTAGCCATACATGACATGCGAGCGACTGGCCACGACGGCAGATAATTTCATTCAGCACCAAATTCGAACAGAGCACAGGTGGCTTCCCGTCAACACGACCCATTGGGCATCAGAGGACGCCAAATTGTCATGCCAAGTCATTTGTTGCTAAAGTAACGGGAGAGGGAGGCTGGAAGCACACCAGCACCCGTTCAGCCTAGTGGCTATGCAGCGTTTGGCCTGCCGTCGGCTTCACGTGGCGATCCCTCCTCGCCCGCGCTCTTGTCTCCGGATCTGGAATAGGCTGTGGACCCTACACCACTGAGTTACTAAGCTGATCGAGTCCCAGTGGTCGTGAGGATCTTCAAGCAACATGAATCGTATTGCATCACTGGTGATGAATCCACTGTACTCTTGTTCTTGCAAAGAATGCAAAATATAGTACATGTCAGTCACTTCCAGCATCCCGCTGCCACATCGGTGAGCATAGATACTGTCTGCACATGCATCGCAGCTCGCTTTGCAGATACAAACCAACTTAAAAGGTCTACACACTAAGCTTCTATAAACATTCTGCTCTCAAGATAGAGCAAAGATTAGATCTACATGACATGACTATACCGAGACGAATGACCATGTTGACATGGATTTGCTATTTTACAATGATTCTAAATTAATCATTGTTCCATGTATGGCGATGCACGCAAACCTGCTCTTAGGCGGTAAACATTGGCTGCCATTCGAATCATCCACACAATCAAACATAAAAGCATATATCAGCCGATACCCTTCAAATATCATCATTTGTGTGATTGCTATCTATGCTCGACCCATGTCCAGCACGTCACAACCATACAGGTAAAATCTGGACTCTGGTTCTATCATCACACATCAATGAATTGAGATATAGTACAGTAATATCACCCGTATAACTCCTCGCATGCTTTTTGCCCCCCACCCCCAAAGTCTTCGATAGACCTGGCTTTTTCAAAGTTCCCCGAGCCTCTCTCACACAGGGTATAAATACATGACACTTACTAAACAACCACGAGAAGAGGGGAGGTAGGTCATTCCAAATATTCAGAAAACTGCAGTGCAGCCTTTTATTTCCCACCAAGCAGTTCCTTCCGCATTTCTTCCCTTTGTGCCTTCGCATCTTCCTTGGCCTGGGTATTTACCGTCTCCGCCTCCAAGCGTCTCTGGTTCTGCTGTTCTTGCGCGGCGATCCAAACTAATAGGGTACGACTTGTGTTAGACACATGCGTTCGGAGAGGAAGTATATCGCCGCACCACACGCATCATGACGACAGAAAAAGGATCAAAACGCACTGTGCTTATCAGACTTGGACCACTGCTTCAACTTGGTCACATATTCATCGAAATCCCGTGCGCGGCGGTCACCCTCCTCCAGACTCCGTTTTTGGAGGTCGGGGTTATAGCGCTTGAACAATTCCTCGTCGGTCGGTCGGATGTACTGCACGAAGGCCGGGCCACCGACACAGCATACAACACCACTGAATGAAGGAGAGTGTCAGAGCGCTGATTCAAACTATACACACTTGAAAACAAAATATACGCGCAAGGGGAAGTCAAGTAATCTTACACTCCTAGCATCTTCAGCCAGGTTCCTGCGCGAGACATGATGGCGATAATCTCGGGGAATGTGGATGATGTTTGGAGGATCGGGTTGTGATGTCAGAGTTTAGAGCTTTTCTAGCACGAGAAGATCTTCAATTTAATGGAAACTTGTCGTGCTGTAATTCGAAATGCCTCTCGTCGGTGATGAACAACCCATCGTTCATTCGCCCACCGCGAGTCTCGGGAGATAGCGCATGTGTGGCGCAGCTGGAAGGATAGGGTGTGTGGCTTAGTCGGTGGCTTTGCCGCCTGTCCGCCAATTGAGAGAGTGGATTACATACCCGTTCTCGACAGTAGCCTTCATGATTCTGATTTGCTACCAGATCACACGGATGCACCCCGGCTTATGGATTGCTCCACTTACGCGGAGTAGGAATTTGTGATTGACTGACATATTTACGGGGTATGCGTCAGGTATCATCATGAACCACGGCACTTCGTACGAACAGTCTGCGAAATTAAAGTGTCTCTGGCATCCAGCCTCGACTTTACTATGGCGTCTAGCGAGAAGGCATCCTCCTAGCTCCACATCCTTGAGCCTTCTTAATGTCTTGGACACCTCTTCACTGCATGTAACTATTTGAATTTAAAGCAGCACTGAAAGGTGTGAGTGCGTAGGTCTCTTAAGCAAAACTGTGTTCTTGGTCGCTAATGCTAGTTAGCCAGTGATTCATTTGAGCCCGAATCACAGCAAAGAAGCACGATCATGACTACTACATCTCGAATGGAAACAGTGGACGGACGACGGAGTACTCTGTAGTGCCGGAGAAAACTGTTAGATCTTATCAATCATTGCCAAGACAGTGGCTCGATCAGAGCGCGTGTGGCTTTGAACCCCGTGGCCGAACAGGCCTGGCTCGGGAGGATTATGATGTGGTGGGGGGTAAAGAACTACATTAACTACAACAAAACAAGGCCAATGGGAGACCAGCGATACTGAGAAGTTTCGTGACGGCTTATCGGAATTAATTAGTTACCACAGCTCAATTTAACACTAACCGTATTTTCTCCCCCTACCATCGGAATTATTGGCGTTGAACGCTTCCCCTCGGACTCTCATGATTAAAGGCATACGGCAGGTCCGTCGGTCGTCGAGCTTCGACCAAGTGAATGACGCTGCCGCCTGAGCTTCCCGACACATTGGATGGCAATCGCCTCAACGAGCGCATCGACGGTGTCCGGGGCGGCTCCATCGTGTGACGCGTGTCTGGACGTCTCGGCCAGACAGGCGACCAGCGACCATGTCGGGTAGAACGGGCATCCCAGGACGACGCGTTCGAAGGTCGCAGGCTACTACTGCGACGACCTCGTGAGACACTCTCACTATCCTGGAAGGAGTCCAGAGTCTCTGTTTCCCCTTCCTCGTCCGACGGCCCAATAATGGATTCACTCTCCGTGACGCTGCTCCTTCCATCCTGCAGCTCAAGCAGCACCTGCGGATTTAACCCCCTCATGCCTCGCAGTAGCTCCGCAAAGACGTGCATCAGCTCCCTAAACTCGTTCTCATGTAGTTCCCGCGACGAAAAGCGGGCACGTTCGTAGAGCGCGATAAACTCAGCGCCCACTCCCGGCGGCTGAATCACATCCAGAGACGCAAGGTGTTGCAGGTATTCCCGGAGGCCCATTGACACCGGTCGCCGCAGGACTTCCACCACTCGAGTATCTGGGAACGACTCATCGGTCTCTGAGAACGGCGCACGAAGGGACCGGTGAACCCCGGCGAAGATCGGATCGGGAGGAGCCAGCGAGACGGCTTTGGCTTCGATCAAATGTGGCAGTTCCTGGATCACGGTCCGGTACGAGAGGTCAGGCAGATCCGCGCATGACGGAGACGACCATCCAGGATGCTCGATTTGTCCCCAGGGCGGATGTTCGCGGTCAATCCGCAACGACTCATAATCCGCAAAGCTATCCCCGTCTGCGGCGAGGTCCCGCGGTCGGGCTTGGTAGGCAATGATTGCGCTGTGCGCTAGCCCCTGCTTCACCAGTCGTCGCACGCTCTTGCCGACATCTTCCTTTTCCACTGGAATCCAGGCTTTGGGAATTCCAGAGAGAACAGTCCTGTTGGTGTACAGACGCGTGGCATAAATCAGGATCGCAAGAATGAACGTCACAACATAGCCGCCCGTGATTATGAAGATGTTCGTCAGGCGGCGGGTGATGTAGCACTGATAGATCGCATCGGCCGGAGTAAGGATGATAAGAAAGAAGAGGATCGCCGAGAGGAAGGTAAAGAATGTCAAGTTGAAGAAGCGCTCGAGGTTGAGGGCCATAATCGCGCACACATCATATTGCGCATCATTAGCCCCTGCGCCGCTCTTGTTACAGGCACGAGCTGGTTGAAAGATGCCGGGGATGCCCCAGCGGGGGAAGAGTTCCGACCGGTTTAAAGGAGTTGCCCGGTCACGTGATACATGGATTTAATACCCCTTACGTCTCCACTGGTAAGATGGTGGATTACTGTCTAATGATTGAGGATATTTAAATAGAAATAGTGTTATATAGTCATCTACGCCCTGTACCAATCTAATGCTTCTACAAATTCACAGTAATACCGACAAGGCTAAAATCAATGCAAGCCCCTCAATCATCCTCAACGGCGACTTCATCCTCCGGCCTGGGCTCGAATTGGGCACGAGCACGGCGGATGACCCTCTCGATACCGTCCAGACCCATCTTCAAAACCTCCATTTTGGGGCCGTAGCTCAGACGAACGAAGTGGTGGCAGGGACTGTCGAAGAGGTCTCTTCTCTTAGCAGGGTTCAAGTCGAAGAAGATACCAGGAACCACAATGACTTTCTCGGTCAAGAGGGCATTGAAGAAGTTCAATCCGTCAGAGATGTTGGCCTCCTTCGGAAGAGGAGGCTCCAGAGAGGTGAGATCAAGCCAGATGTAGAAGGTGGCCTGAGGAACATCCTTCACGCGGAAGCCAATCTCGTGCAGGCGCTGGAGAACAAAGTCTCTTTTCTCACGGAAATGAGTTTGCAACGCCTTCATCTCGGCTCTCACCAAAGAAGGCTCGAGCATGGGAATGGCGGCCTCCTGGAAGGGCACGTTGGCACCGCCGTCCAAGTAAGAACCGGCCGAGCCCAGAGCATCAACGAACTCCTTGGGACCAACAACCCAGGCGATACGCCAGCCCGGAAGGCGGAAACGCTTGGTGAGACCGTCAATCAGCAACACATCTGTCACAGTTAGTATGGCAGGACACACAAGGTGAGCATAAACAAAGTTCAAACAGGGTCAGCTAGCGAACCATCTTGGTTGACGTCCACCACATGCTCAGCACCGCTGATCGTGGTTCCGTCGCAGTCGGTGGTATAGTTGTAACCACCGTAGAACTCGTCGAGAATCAATGTCGCGCGATCTCTGCAGATGTCCTGAATGCGAGCGAGCTCCTCGTTTCCAACGAAGTCGCCGGTGGGGTTACGAGGGTTGGAGGTCAACAAGACAGAAGTACCACGGGCGATTTCCTCGGCGATCTTATCAGGGTGGATGTGGTAGTGGTCATCCTCAGCAAGAGGGATGGGGATGGGGGCGATCTATGCAGCCCGTCTGTCAGTATATGAGGCTGCTATGGGCAGGTCGCAGCAGGCAGGCGAGCCTTCTAAGTTGTCGAAACACTTACGTTCTTGAACAAAGTCAACATCTCCGAATAGGCGGAGTAATCGGGGATGGGGAAAGACAGGTAGGAGTTTCCCAAGATGGCAGCGATACGGATTAACCCGGCACGACCACCGGGAACAATGCAGACATTTTCCCAAGTATATTGGCTCTCCTTGCCCTGACGGTAGTGTTCGTTGTACAATCGGGCGACGGCGGCGCGCAGAGGCTTGATACCGGCGGTCGGGCCGTATTCGCGAGCGGCGGAGGTGATGGGAATGCTTGTAGGGCGGGGGAAACTGCCTTCAATCTCATCGTCGGCCTCGGGCGCACCCTGGCCCAAATTGGCCCAGGCAGAGGGATCCTCTGCATAACCATGTTCGGTAGCACGCTCTGTACACCAGACGACACCCGTGGAGGCACGAGAAGCATCGAGACCAGCATGGGGACGGTGACCCTCATGGGCGCTACGGAATTGACGGTGGGTTTCCGATCGGAGCTCTGCAAGGGGGAAGATCTGTCAGATGGTATGCACGTAGCGAACAGCCGTAAGGACCATTCATGCAGCGCTAACAAGAATCCCAAGTAGACGTACCGTTCTCGGACAATTCCTTGCCCAGGGAAAACCGACGGTTTCCCGGGCGCAAAATACTCACGCGACGGCCGGAGAAAGACATGATGGACGGACTGCTTGGCAAAGTGAGGGGCCTAGCGGTATCGACTAGATGGACTGTATGTACAATAGTATGTACAGGGGTAGACGAGATGGACCGGTGGCGATTTCTGGTCTTTTTTTGGAGTCAGAACGAAGCCAAGAATTAGAGAGAGGCAAAGCACCAGTCACCGCAAAAGATAATAAGAAGGAGGAGAAACAGAGAAACGAAAGGGAGGAGGCAGAGAGGGAACGATACCAGTAGTTATAATATCAGGAACCGTACGCAATAGCAAAAGAAACAATTTGTCAATAGAAATGCAGCCAACGATGGGAGAAAAAATAGAAAAAAAAAGGCGGCCTGAACAAATTCGGTCGAGGGCCTCCAACCCTTTTTTTTTGTTCTCCAACCAAGCAAGACCAAGTTAGCCACAACCATTCATGCGCATCATGACGGCCGTCAGCAAGTGACTAGTCGTGACTAGTAAGTACCAAATAGTCCACCGCCATATGGCATAGAGCCATATACTACTTACTCGGTACTTGACTCAAACTCGCCTTAACTTTCACTATCCAGCATGCTGGTCGACTTGGTCTAGTCAGCGTCCTCCACATCATCCTTTCGAATGCCGGATGCCGTCATGATGTTATTGGCAATCCAACTCTTCGAGACGCTCAATCAGGCAGACAGGCAGGCAGGCAGGCAGGCAGGCAATATTGGAATCTCAATCAATTCCTTCCCCTGAATTATGAATAGATGGGGCATTTGTAAATAATCCCGCATTGCCGGCAGCTCATTCAGGCGGTGTCGACTTTTGAAACAGAAACAGAAGATAAATGCCTCACTAGTCACGATGCAAGTAGCATCCTGAGGACAGAGAAGCTCCTTCACCCTCTCCCAATCCTCCCGTCCAGACCGCATCGATTCCCGCTCCGATCGACGCGGCGGTGGAGGATGGAGGGGAATGAGTGGAATGAACCAAAAAAAAAGTGGACCTCGGATGGGACCCGAATTCCCGGTTCTTGTGCAATGGTGCTCAGCCCTGGACGAGAAAATCAACGATACTGAGGAAGTCCCCTGGAGTACTACAAATGACAGAAGGGGGAGAGGTCAGGAGGCGGGACAGAGGAGGGGTTTGGCTTGGGACGAGTCTCCTGCAGATAGATGATGTCTGTCCGTTTGCCCCTCTTTTCTGATAGACCTCGCCCTCGCTACCCAATGCTCTCTCCCTCCAACAGTCACAAGGCCAGACAAGGCAACAAGCTCTGTGCTATATTTTGTTTTCTTCATCTCAAATGTCAGGGAGGAAAATAAGTCTAATTCATTACAATTGAGGCACTCCGGCCGTATTTCCCAACCGTCGTAACCGACCCCGCTGTCTAACCCGACCCAACGCAACCAACAGAAACCGACAGGTGAAACACAATAGGCAAGATTCAAACAGCAAATGCAGGAACACTGTACAACTCATCTCTTCAACCCGCAGTCCAGTATGCGTGAAAAAAGAATAGCAGTATACATACATCATGCAGTCATGTAGATCAAATCAAACGCAGTCATCAACATTGCCGCAGAAATGATATTCCCCGTATATAGATATGACCCAGCACAATCCCCAAGACCTGGCTCCACGCAATAGATCAAGCAGAGCAGCACCTTGGCCAAGATCTCGGTCCCATCAAGGACTTATGGCATGCAAGAATCAAAGGCTTCCCCGGAGCCCACGCGGCCAATCCAGCGAGATGACGAGGTTTCGCACGGAGAGCAACCAGAAAACAGCACCGGCAAATGGTTTGGTGATGGTAGAGCCATCTCTGTCCAACTCATACAGTACAGGTGATATTGGCAGTAATCGAGAAACACAAGACGAACAGATGCGAGGAGGGGGAATAAATGGAAGACGAAAGCAAGAAAGACTGAGAAAGTTGGAGAAGTTTGTCTGGCTGAAGCATGCCCGGCTCTATTTTGGCGCTTTACCACACCTAGGTCTCAACTGCCTGGCAGTACAACTGAATCTCCCCTACTTGGCCCTTGGCGAGCATATCACGCTGCTGCTCCCGCCATTCCAGGAATGCAAGCTGCACGGCTTCGTCGCTGTCGATAGTCACGAAATCTCCGTCCTCATCGCGGTATCGCAGTCGGACTGATTTGCTCCCTATCGACTTGCTGGTGAATCGAGCCAGTTTCGCGTCGACTCGGTCGATCAGCGAACGGAACATGATATTGCTCGCAATAACCAACGTAACATAATTATCATCGAAGTTAACCTTCACTTTCAGTTGTGTGGGCATCAGTGGTTCCTCATCAGGCTCATAGCTGAGCGGGGAGGTTGGTTGATCGGTGGCTGATGTGTTGGGCCGATGATCACCATATTGCGGTTCATTGAAGTGGGTGGGAGAGACATGCTGGGGATTGGAAAGGTGGTTGTTTCGGATGGGCAGTTGAGTATTGGTGGGAGAATTGTTCTGGCTTCGGTTGACTTGCACCTTCATGTTGGCCATATGGGCAGGAATCGGGGGGACGGGGACATTGTCAGTGTTTTGCATGTACCGACGAACCTCCGGGTTATGAATATCAGGACTGCTAGCGGACCGCATCCGCTGAGCCATGCCGTTAGCGGACGATCCCGACATTGGAGGTAGTGAGGGGCGCTGGGCACTTCGTCCGTTCGGGGCGCCATTGAAATAGGGATTGGAGCTGGGTCCGTCTCTGGATGTAGCTCGAGATAAGGCAGGAGCCGTGTAGCGAGGGTGGTCTTCGCTCCAATTGTTGGTGGGTGTGGCCTGTCGGCCGCTGAAGTATCCGGTTGATTGCGAACTGGACCGAGTCGATGGGGTTTCAGCGACCGGAGAAAAATAAGAATTGGCATTTCTCTCGGCCGGTGACATGCTACCACCAGGAAACTGGGTGTGAACCGACAAACTGGGGTCAGGCACGGGAAAGCGAGGCGGACGACCGACCGGACCAGAGGCACCACTGCCGCCTGTCGCTGAGCGTGTCCGAAGACTCGTGCTAGAAGCGTTACGGCTCATGGGAAATTCGGAGAAGAATGCGGCTTCCTGAGTTGCAGCCTGCTCCTCATCATATTCCTGCTGATATGGGTTGGGCATATTGGCCATGGACCTCATATATGTGAATTCAGTTTCTGATGTGCTGGTGTTACGGGCGCTGCGCTGCTCCGCTTGAATAGACCGCTGGGCTTCAATGTCCCTGCTCCACTTGCGCATAAGGTCTTCGTTCTGGTAGCGAATGATGAAGTTGTCGACGACGCCTGGATCTCCTTTCCAAAAGATCTGGATGCGGTAGGATCCTGGGGGCGAAGAGTCAGAACATGAATCACACTGAGGAATTGGATCTCCTCGCGCATGCCCTCATGCAAAAGACGAGACCTCTAACAGAAAGAGAGAAAGCAGAACAAAAGAGGTAGGGGCAAGATGGGGGCGAGATAGTCAAATGGAGTCCATACCTGGCTTTGGCATGCACAATACGTCCGTCACATTTGCCATATAGATGCGACCCTTAAGTTGAAGACGTGGTTTGCCCTTGGCAGTCATTGCTGGCTTGTCCTTCCCAACCATCAACTTTGTCTTCTGCTTATTAGGATTGATATCCTTGCAACATAGAAGAATCCGTTCGAAAAGGTATATGTGATACTATGTGGGTCATTCTGAAGTCAGCCAGAATTCCTCAAGAGCTTTGGAAGCCATTAAATCCATGCAAACCGAGCAGAGCCAACTTCCTACTGGGGGTGCAGGATCGGAGAGATCAAAGAGGAAGCTATAGTCCCAGGACACGGATTGCTCCCATAAAGTTCAAGCGGCTACTGACCTCTCTTTCGGAATCTTTTCCGTTGTCCCCTTTGATAACAGAGAAAGTGCCGAATCGTAGGAGATCTCCAAAGGCCTCTATTTTAAGGGTCTTCCAATCGTCGACGCGGTCATCCAAATCTTTAACCGCCGTTTGCAAGTGTTCCTTGTCAATGGCGTCATTTGCGCAGTCAAGAACTGATTGGATGGCATCGATCGCCCGCTGAATATCGGTTTGGAGCTCTGGGTCTTCGACCTGTTTGCCGAGTTCCTATTGAATAGTTAGCGGCGAGGGGGTTCCAAAGGATGATTTGTGAATGGACCGGAAGACGACTTTACCTTCAGCATCAAAGGATATTTGGTCAGACGCTGAAAAGGTTTGACGAAGAAGCCGTTTAGCGTTGCGGGTTGCGCCACCATTTGTTGCAAGTCTAAAGACCGTGGGGCAACTCGAATCTTGTCCCATTCCCTCAGGCAAACCTCGTCACATCTCAGCTGATTCGCGATAAAAGGCTCGTATTGTTTGAACGCCTCCTCATGCTGTATGAACAATTCGCCCCAATTCTGTCTCTCTTCCGGTAAAGCGTAGTGCTGCTCGATCCTGATCAAAAACCGCTGCGCGAAATCCAAAAGGTTGTTCAGATTCAGGAAGATCTGATGACTATGGTCTCCTGTAAGGGCTCCCGTTTCTTCCAATTCCTTCTTCAGCGCTTGGAGATTCTGCAGATGGTGAACGTAGTCGCGCTCTGTTTCCAATAGTTCCTTCAGGATGTGCTCTCGTTTGGTGAGCTTGACGGCGCCTGTTACCGGAGCACGTGCTGCATCGCCCGACGGTCGCTTCAACTGTCCTTGCATCTCCAGGATGTCCAGAACACGATTCACCATCTTGATCACTTTGAGGAAGCCGGTGGTATTTTCCCCGTAAAGATCAGTAATCAAGAAGCAGTCCTGTTGGGGAAATGCGAGTTCTTGCAGAGAGGCCTGCAGGAATTTGAAGGTGGCGGCCTTGGGGCGTTTGGCCTCGGGCACCTTGGCGGGATCAATCTCCAGATTCTCATCGGGACCGGAAGCGTTGTAGATGGCCAAGAGGGGATATCCGTTTCGCAAGCAGTTCCAGAGCGAAGCCACGGGATCGGTATTGCCTTGCACCAAGTCGGCCTCTTCCATCTCCTGCAAATGAGGCTCGAAGTTGGGGACCTCTGCTAAACGCTTCTTGAGATTGACGCAACTCTGGTATATGGATTCCCCGCCACGGCGGTTGATGATGTTGTCCTCGGCGATAGGACCGCCATTTGAAACGACGGTCTCGGCCATCGCGTGTTGAGGCCCAGTAAGACCGGGTAGGGAGGGATGGGGGGGGTGGAAGTCGAATCTGCGCAGCAGATCACGGGCAGAGGGGCGTGGACGGGAACGACAGGCGTGGTTGCACAGGGAACAGCGAGTTGAGCATGGATCACTGAAGGCGAGCCGGTGGACCGATGCGGGATGAATGGGAACAAGCGAGCAGCTAGGGAAACTTAGAGTGGAGATAGTGGTACGGTTCACTATCCCTAAGTGAGTCAGTCAGTTTGCCCGCAAAGCTGGTTCTTCCGTGTCTCGACTCTCTGCGGGAGAGTCGCCAGGAGCGGATCGGAAATGGATAAATACCTCTGTGCTGAAGGAAAGTTGCGCGGGGTGAGAAAATCACAACTGCAGTAGACTGTCACCTCCTTCTGACCATCTATTAATAATTTGGGGTTTCTTTCTTTAGAGCGGCGAAGGGTGCCAGGTCTGAATTTCCGACCCTTGCGGGCGACAGTGGCTCTCCTTTTCTTCTTGATCGAATAGAAGGAGATTAGTAAAGATTGTCCCAGGGGAGATCAGCCCAAGGGAGGTCAAACGTGATATTTAGTCAATGAACAATTCAAAAAAGAAAGAGGGCGGGGTAAGGAGATTGCCGCTGCAGCCAGGCAAGCGCAAATTGACTTTGTTAGGAGAGTGAGATAGGGACTGCGACCGAGATAGGCCGGGTGGAGGTTGAGGTTGTGGTTGTGGTTGTTGGTTGTGATTCTGTAAAGGTGGTTCTAGTAGTGATTGGAGAGAGGGAGGGGAGCGGAAGGGAGTGGGAGAAAAAGAGGTGGGGGGGGGGGACAAAAGATGGAGGATGATGGATCGAATTTGCTTTGGCCTTTGGGTCGGCTCGGGTTTGCCCCTCAACCAAGCAGAAGATTAGTCTAGTAGTAGTTGGAAGAATGGATGGATGGTGTTACAGCCGCGGCGGCGGGAGGGGGGCAAAAAGAATCAACAAGAAACCGCACGAGGGCAATGACAAATTGCGTTCAAGGAAGGGGAAAAGGAATGAAGCAGAAGAGATTTCCAAGTAGAGAGAAAGAGAGAGAGAGAGAGGAAGAGTCAGAGAAGAGGGAGAAGGACAAAAGACGGAGGTACTCGGAATAGAACGAGAGCAAGAAGAACAAGGGGGGAGAGGGGGAGAGTAGGATGGAAAAGATTCCCGCGGAGGAGGATAGGAGGATTTGAAAAAGGAGGGATTTAAAAAGAAAAGGAGAGGCAGACAACCAACTCTGCCTACGTCTGACGAGAAGATCAATAAGTAGTATCCGTGAATTGTTGATTTGAGTGGGAGTATAGGGGTGAGTGAGTGAGTGAGTGTTTTGTGTGTGTGTGTGTGTGTGTGTGTGTATGTGTGAAGATAGATAGAGAGGAGAAGTTGACAAGAGGAAGGGGACAAAAAGTTTGAGGTTGGATATCGGATTAATGAATGATCTTCGCAGGGAATAATCACGCCTCTATTCTAGGCTTTTAGACTGGTGTAGGTAACTAACTACTAGATACTAAACTAACTAATGCTCCAACTGGACGAATTGAAAAGCATGAAGACAGAGGAGATACCACCACCAATGATTTGGGACTGTATTCATCCTCACATACGCGGAGCATACCACCCAAGACATACCAAGGCAAGCTGAGATGTCAAATGCGTTTCATCTTCCTTACAGGGCTATTTGTTTTGCATGAGTTCCGGCCGCTCTCCTTGCTGGATAAGATGAATGTAATCCATTGTAACTACAACAGGTACCGAGTAAGTACTTACTTACTCCATACTGACTGTGTCTGATGGCAAGTTTGGATGGATGTACTTCCAGTCCAGCCAATGTGCTTTGAAACAACCCCGGGTGGATCAATTTCGGCAACCCGCACCGTAACCCAATCGAGTCAATCTGACGTGACGAGGTCAACTCATTCAGTGCCATCCCAGTTCATCCAGTTTACTGCCTGACTTGACTCTCTCTCTCTCTCTCTCTCTCTCCCTTTTCTCTCTTTTATAATTCCTCCGCAAATCACTACATTCCTCGAGTTTCAGTCATCTTTATCCTCTTCTATTCTCTTCCGACTGACTTCCTGCTAATCTCACAGTTACTCTCTCTCTCTCTCTCTCTCTTCTATCTTGACTCTTCCCCTCTCTTCTGCTTCCCCCTTCCCCCTTCTCCCCGCCCGCCTCTCTCTATCCCTTTTCATGTGGTGTTTGTTATCCCCGATTTAGCTCCCTCTAACCCCACACCACAACAACCCGCGCTGGTTCCCAGCCCTGTCGATTGACTTGAAACAAACCAGAGCGAATGCAGAATATTCTTTGAGAAATCTCTGCAAGGTAGTGAGTGAAGCGCCCTCATGGCTCGAAGGTCCTCTAGGTCCGCTCCTAGCCCTCTTCTTCCTCCGCATGAACCTACCGACACCTACTCTGCCGAACTCCCCGACGCCCCCTCGCTGTCGGCGACTTTCAGGCTGGACGAGGGGTATTCCGATGAAACAAAAAGTCAAGCCGAGAAGGATTTGGCGATTCTCGCAGCCGATGAGTGGATGACTCTCCAAGAGTGGGTTCTCACGCACAGTGAGACGGAAAGAGCTGGTAAGTTTAATAACTGGTCTTCCCGGTTCCCCGACCCGCAGGATGTCTTACAAGTTACCACCGGACTGGGGCTGCGGCCATCACCTTGCATACTAATCAGCCCGCAATCTCTTGCCATGTAGAGCTCGCCTACAATCTCCTTCGATCCATGCGCGCATCCACCGTCGCCTCGGTGATCGAGCGACTGGCACCGCGCCTGCACATGGATCCCGTGCAGAAGCTGCCGCCTGAAATCACCTCCGAGATCTTCTCCTATCTCGACCCTCAAACATTGTTGATGGCTGCCCTGGCTTCGCGTGCCTGGCGGAATCGCATTTCCGACTCACGCTTGTGGAAAGATCTGTATATCAACGAAGGCTGGAGGGTGGATATGGATGCTATTCGCACATTTGAGCAGGAACACTCGGGTCTTACATCACCTCAATTGCGGAAATCCCGCTCTAGGCATACAGATCCGGATAGTGGCGAGCCGAAGCAAAAGAAGCGGGTACCGCCCAGCTGGTTGAACTCACGGATAGCCGAAACTCCCGGTCGGAAAGCGAGACAGGAGACTGGGCAAAGGCATGATGTGCAAGAGGCAGATACTGAAGGAGATCAATACATGGGAGAAGCCTCAACCGAGCGAGGCACGTTGTTCACTCCGGAACAGCAAATGACAAGCCCGACAAGACGGCGCGAATCTCAATCGACAATGACTCAACCCAAACCAACCCTGACCGGTCCATTAGCGACTATGCGTCGTCCTAACTCCTCACTGCTGATCCGGATGCCCAATGGTGCGGCTAAGATCAACTGGCTCCATCTGTACCGGCTACGAAGGAAACTGGAGGAGAACTGGGCCAAAGGACGATTCACGAACTTTCAACTGCCACATCCGTCGCATATGGAAGAGGCTCATCAAGAGTGTGTCTACGCGATTCAGTTCACAGGCAAGTGGTTGGTCAGTGGTAGTCGGGACAAGACCCTCAGAGTCTGGGATCTAGATACCAGGCGCCTGTGGCACCCACCTCTTCTGGGCCATACCAAGTCAGTCCTGTGTCTCCAGTTTGATCCTCGTCCCTCGGAAGATATCATCGTGTCGGGTAGTAGCGATAAGAGCGTTATAATATGGCGATTCTCCACCGGTGAGAAGCTTCACGAAATCGCAGCCGCCCACGACGACTCCGTCTTGAACCTTCGATTTGACGAGCGGTACATTGTAACTTGCTCCAAGGACACGCTCATCAAGGTCTGGAGCCGGCACCAGCTCTCCGCAGCCGATAAAGACTACCCTAGCGTGTTCTTCGGCTCGGGGGTAACCTATCCATCCTACATAGTCGATACCGCAGAGATGCCTTACCCAATCCTGGAGGCCGAGATTGCCAACGGCCACATCCAGAGCTTAGCCCCATACACCCTCCTAATGACCATAGACGGACATACCGCCGCAGTGAATGCCATTCAACTCAACGAGGATGAGATTGTCTCCGCCTCGGGTGATCGACTGATCAAGGTCTGGAATCTCCGCAACGGGGCTTGCAAGAAGACCGTAATCGGCCATGAGAAAGGAATTGCATGCGTTCAAGTGGACAATCGTCGAATCATTAGCGGCAGTAACGACGACACCGTCCGGATCTTCGACCATGCCTCGGGCGCAGAGGTAGCCTGTCTCCACGGACACGGCAATTTGGTCCGGACCGTCCAAGCCGGCTTCGGGGACCCGCCAGGCGCGGAGGAGACGCTTCGACTCGAAGCTCTCGCCGTTGACAACGCATTCCGCGACGCTCAACTCGCCGGCACCAACGTCGATCTTGGCCCACGGGCCCTCCGCCGAGCGGGCTATCAACAGAATACTACCGGCTCGCGAGACCCTCGTGACATCAAAGCCCTGGGCGCGAAAATCCCTCCCGGAGGTGGCGGCAGCAGATGGGCTCGTATCGTTTCCGGCTCCTACGACGAGTCCATCATCATCTGGAAGAAATGCAAGGAAGGCCGTTGGGTGGTTGGCCAGCGACTCCGGCAAGAAGACGCCGCTGCCAGCGCGGCCTACGTGGCCTTCGATTCTGCTGCTCGTGCGGCTACCGCTCGATCGAACGCCTTCGCCCAACAGCAGCAGCAGCAGCAGCAGCAGCATCCACAAGGCGCTAGCGCCGCAGCAGCGGCAGCACAGGGTCAACCCACGCCAACCGCAGCAGTCCCACCCCCAGCACCTCAAGGAGGTGGCGGTGGACCCTTGCAAACTCTCCAGGCCCTAACAGCCCGGTTGGCCGGGCAGGCTCAGCCACAGCAACCAGGAGGAACCGTCCCCAGCAGAGCCCAGCCTCAACCCCAACCGCCCGTGAACGGCACCGTCAACCCAGTCCTTCACCCTCACCCACCCCCTCCTCAGCAGCAGCAGCAGCAGCAGCATTCTCAACACCACCGCCCCCGCCACCACCAGGCCCGCAACGACCGTGACCCTAGCACCATCCCCACGTCACGAGTCTTCAAGCTCCAATTCGACGCGCACAAGATCATCTGCTCGAGTCAAGACCCGCGCATCGTGGGCTGGGACTTTGTCGGTGACGATGAGGAATTAAGGGAAGCCTGTCAGTTCTTCCGATGTCTGTAAAGGAGAGAGAGGGACAAAAGAAAAAAAAAAAAACCCTTCACCTCTTTTCCCCCTGCACTGGCATCAATAACTCCTACGCGAGCATGGTTCAAGTTTGCTTTTTGCTTCCCCAACGAAATGCAAACGAGGAGAAAAAAAGGAGGATTAAGCCATAGTCTTACTGAGAAAGCATGCATGCATGCATGCAACGCCAGCACCTCGAAGACACTCCTCTCTTCTCCTTCGCCTTGGCCGAAATTCTTTCCGCGAAAGGGTTTCTGCAAGTATGATAGCACAGTACATCCAGCACCCGATATACTGCATATGATGGATTTCACCTCGAAACTTTTCTTTTCTAAAAAAAAAAAAAAAAAAAAAAAAAAAAAAAAAAAAAAAAAAAAAAAAAAAGGGGGGGGGGGGGGGGGGGGGGGGGGGGGAAAGCAGGGTGCTTTGTAACCCTTCTACTTCCTTTTTGTCTAAATGGGTTCGTCCCGGTGGAGAGGGGTTCGGAGGGAACAACCTACATATAGGCAAGCCCCTCCCATTCTCCATTTACAAAGTACTACTACTGCTTTTCCCTTTTTGCTTCTGCTTCATCACTTTGTGATTTCCTTCTGGCATGGTCTTTACTCTCATAGCATGGATGATCGACCAGTTCCTCCTTACTTTACCTTAACATACTTTGTGTATCTATTTCAGTGGAGCTTTCTTTCTTTTTTTTTTTTTATCCACAGCATCCGCGGGGCATATTTGGAGCGAAGGAGTTGGACTGGGGCTCATTCCTCGATTCGTCTTGAAGACATTCGTCGTCGGTTACTTGGTTTGCATTTACATTCACTGATTCATATCTCCTTTCCCAATTTGTCATTTTTTCCCTGGCCATTCATGACAAAAAGGTTAATGATAGCGGTTGATTTCTTGCACCTTTTCTTTTTTCAATAGGGATGGTTATATGTACGTCTTGATTCGCACGCACTGCATCGCATTGGAGGTATAGCCTGGACAGCCATTCGTAATACTATACTATCTCTGCAGACGAGACATGAACAAGCTTCCATCCAAATCCGCCATTGCGGCGTAGCTCCTGCTGGACTATTGAGCCACGAAGTAGTGAATTTTCCACCCCCAAAGTCCACGGTACAGTCGACGAGTGCTAGTTCAACAAGCGGCCCATGGCAACGGCATTGCGCAATGCAAATTGATGGACAAACTGCCACGCTTCCGAGAGCCATTGCATCGGGTGCTGAGCTGATTGTGCCGCTTCCGCTTCCGCTTCTTGGTCTCCCCGAATCGGCGCTGCCGAAGCATCATTTGACGTGTGGCTGCGAGCAGTTTCATAGGTTTCATGAGAAGATGTATTGGAGTGGACACCACTGTCCGGGTCGTGCCGGACGCCCCAGCAACAGGAGAGACAAGAGCTAACGAGCGGAGGACATTGCAGCCACGAGTCGGGCGGGGTGTTGTAGGCTAGAGCGCAGTGATCTGCTTCAGCCGATGCCGCGGGGGATTCTGTAGGGATCAGGGAGCAGGCGGCAGACTCCTGCTGTGTGATCTCCGACTCCTGGTCATCCACCGTACTCATACGGTGTTGCTGCGGATTAGTCGGATTGCTAAATAGTTGAGACACGCACGTATGAAACGAGTCTATCCTGCTTGTAGTGTACGCCGTGTTTGCTGAGCAAGGCCGATGTGGGCTATGACTATCGGGGGTCTGCAGGCGAGAGACCGAAGAGAAGTGACCGTAGGCCGAATGATGACTGGCTCTGGCACCCGGGCCTATACGTGCCGGTGTTGGACGCCACGGCGCATTCCGCGCAACGTTTGTACTGCTGTACTCTCTCTTCGGTTTCCTGTCTTGTTGAACGAGGTTGCTGTGATTCGAGGTGCTCTCCTCCCGGGGGGGCGAAAGTGCCCTTTGGTGGAAAGGATGGTCCTCCATTCGCCTTACCACGCCAACCCCATGGCCGCTCTGCCGGTAAGGGAAACGACCTTGCACCGCCGTTCCATCCTCGGCCCTTGCAACGGCAGGTACCAGTCGTTGTGGCTGTGGAGGCGTGGAAGAAAAGCGGAATATCTTTCGGATCTTGTCTCCGTAAGACGCCGTTCGCGTGCGCTCGGAAGCACCACCACCACCACTATGATAAGATCTACTCGACGACGCCGCGGTGTGTTGTTGATTCTGACCATTACTGATGGTGGCGGACTGTACGTGAAAGCGAGAAGAGTAGTTCACAGCTTCGGGGGTGCCGAAAGTCGGGAGTCCCGGGGGGGTGGGCGACCTTACAGGAGGCGGATACGAAGGATAGACAGGATTTGCTGACCACTCGTACTCAAGCCATTGAGAGGACTTGGAGGCATCATCGGTATCATTGAGGCTGGCGGATTTTGGAAGGTGTAGGACGTCAAAGAGGTTTCGTTTCAGCGACCCGTCCTGAGGCGAGGCCACTACTGCTTTCCCTTCGTCGACGGACAGAATGCGACTGTGACCTGCAGGATGAGGATGCCAGCCAGGAGACGAGGTATTTTTCTCGGTCAAAGATCGAGGGTTTCGGCATGGCGGGGGTGGAATCCCCGTGCTCTGCACTGGTTGAGCTGCCAATCTGCTATCCAAATCTCGGTGGATCTTCTTAGCTGAGCCCGGTCGATGCGAACACTCCTCCGAAGTAGAGTATGCCCTGATGGCGTCGAAAATGTAGCTCTCCTCACTAGGAATGGAATCTGCAAATTCCAAGTGAGAGTAACGTGCCATGCTGACGGCGGTAGTATGGCCAGCGGAGGAGACTTCGCCATTGGCAGGCCGACCACGTTGCAGGACATACTCTTGAGCCTGAGGATCCATACTGCAAGGAGAGTGAGGGAGGCATTTGGCAGATTCTATTCGCGTCGTGGGATTCGGGATTGACGAGGTTGTGGAAGCAGTTGCAAGACATGCGAACCGGTGCGGACTGTTGCGCCTTCCCTCTCTGTTCGGAGGAGAAGGTCTGTCTGTCTGAAGCAGAAGGCGCGATAAAAGACACGAAACGACAGATCTTTTAGTTGATCATCACTAACTCCTGGATGCAATGCTGGCTGATAGACTCTATCTATGTACACAAGCAGTTCAGTCAAGCAACCGCGAATAAAGGCCCGAGATTAGTACAAGCAAGATGGAATATACAGGCAGAGATTAGGAGGGGGGCCTTGCAATATGTACGGGGAAAGGGAAGAAAATTAATGACAAGTCAAGCACCCCGCTGTAAGCTTATCGGGAGAAAGTAAAGAGGAATGGAAAACTTCGAGGATCGTGATCATCCGGCTGGAACAGGCTGACCCACAACAGGTTTGCCCGTCAGACTGGCGATCTCCTTGTTGAGATTCCGAATTGTAGTCTCCAGCCGACGGCGCTCGTCGTAATCCGCCTAGTTGTTCAGTGGTCAGCTTTGAGGCACACTAGATGGCGAATGAGAGGTGGAATACGTACCTTGCGTATCTTCAGGTTCTCGGAACGCGTGTCTCGCATCATCTTCTTAAACTCATTCTTGAGCACCATGGTGGACGTGGTCTCATGGCCATCGCGTCCGCTGCCCATCCAATTGATTCGTTCCTCATTGAGCTGTGTCTCCAGCTGTTCGCAACGGTCGCGCAGGGTGTCGATGACTCCCTCAAACTGCTCGCGTTCCTTCTCGAATTCGATGCTGGCCTTGGTCATCACTTCGTAATCGTCCACCGTATCTCGAAGTTCCCGCTCCAGCAACTCCACTCGGTGCTGTAGATCACTACTGCCCGGCTTTCCGGCCTTGAGCGCCGCAAGCTCCTCAGCCAGCTCCAGGTTTCGGGTATTCAGCTCGTCGAACTCCCTCTGGATTGCGGGATTGGCTGCAATGTCAGCTGCCCGCTGGGCCCGCGTACCATATGCACCGTCCAGCTCGGCCTTAGCCATCGTCAGCTCGGTCTGAGCCCGGACAACTTCACCTTCCATCTCCCGCAGCTCCGCCTGTAGACGAGAGCAATCGTTCTCTGCTTCTGCGCGCGCCTCGGTCACTTGCTTGATGCGCGACTCCAGAGCCTCGACGTCACCCCGGAGCTGGCCCAGAACCGTCTCAAGTTGCGAAACCTCGTTTTCAGCCTTGATGCGTGCATCTGTAGCCTCTTTCAACTGCGCTTCCACACTGGCGCGGAATTGACCCATTGATTCTTCCAGTCGAGCAACCTCACTCTCAGCGTGTGCGCGTGCATCGACGGCCTCTTTGACTTGAGCATCTGTCTCATCGCGGGTTTGCTGCAGCGCCTGCTGTAATTCCAGAAGTTGCTGCTCGGCGTCCTGACGGGCTTGCGTTGCCTCCGCTTGCGTGTTTGCTGTACTCTGCAGTTCGTCGATAACCGCTTGCAGACGGCTAATTTCATCATCAGTCTTGGAGCGCAGTGCGTTTAACTCCTCCGTGTGGGCGTTGGCCTGGGATTGAAGCTGCGCATGATGGGCTTCTGTGAGCGCTTCCCTCTTGGATTCGGTTTCCTGCTCATGTTGACTAAGTACTGCTTCTAACCGGGTCGCTTCACTTTGATGCTGCTCAAGCTCTGTTTGCAGCCGGGTAGCCTCGCTTTGATGTTGATCAAGCATCTCCTGCAAGCGTGTTGCTTCACCCTCCGCCGCTGAACGTGCGCTGGTGAGCTCCTCAAGGCGAGCCTCATGGTGCGATTGGAGTTCGCCAATGTGGGCTTCCAGGCGAGCCACCTCACTTGCGGCGTGCGCATGTGCCTCGTGAGCCTGAGCCTGAGCATCTCTTTCCCGCTTGAGATCTTCAAGGACACTTTCCAGGCGTTCGACCTCGGCTTCGGCGCGTGCACGAGCTTCCTGCTCCGTGGTCAGGGCCTTCGAGGTGTCCTCCATAACGTGCTGTTCTTGGTGATTCTCCAGCTCCTGACGCAAAGCGGTAACTTGCTCCATCGCCTCTTCCAGGTCGTCTCTGAACCGCTGGTTCTCATTCTCGGAAAATTCGAGATCTTTCCGGACATGCGCCAGCTGCTGCATCAAATCCGCGATGTGCGCATCCCTCTCGGCGTCCGACTTGGAGTTCAGTTCGCGCTGCTGTTGAATCTGCGTGGTCAAGATGCTTTTCTGCTCGAGGAGCTTCTCAAGTCGGTCTTCGAGACCAGTGATACCAGCCTGGAGGTAGGACAGATGCTCTGCTGGGGTGGCGCTGGGGGAGTCGGGTGGTGGAGGAAGACTTTGGGCCCCTGGCATGCCCGACTGCTGAATGATCTGGTGTAGTCGAGCGTTGACCTCGCCGAGCTGCTGCTGGGAATCATCCTCCAAGGACCGCGTCTGCGACTGGCTGCTCGGGGGATGTGCAGTGAGACTTCCCAGGGTGTTCTCGATATATGCCAAGTACGCTTCCATCGCTGCAGTTGGATTCGCCCCCGGGGGTGGCTGTGGGACTGGCTGAAGGTCCGCGACGGCATGCGACTGTTGGATCAAATCATATAGTCTGCCGCTCCAGAATTCCAATCTCTTTTCCGTATCCTGGACCGCCTCGAGTCCAAGTCCGTGCAAGCCTTGTCCGGCATGGTCGTCCCGAGGGCCGGATGGTTGGTAGAAACTCCGATCATCAAAGTCATCGAGACTATCGCGGATATTGTGACTGGCCAGGCTCTCCGGGGTATGAGGCACATTGTTCTTCAGATTCTTCTTCAGGCCCTTGTGCGTCATCTGCAGAATCCCGGCCGTGTGCTCCAGCAGCCTGTTATTGACCTGCTGCACCCTGCGCTCCAGGTCCCCGATCTCCTGAGAAAGCTCTTCGCACTTGCGCGTGCTTAGCGCCAGCTCCTCATCCGTCTTGTCCATGGTGGCCTCATGGTGGCCAATCAAGCTTCGGTGGGATCTCGGGGAGGCCGCGGGGTCGTCCCTGCCATTGACCGAGGGGCTTTTGGGGGTGTAGAGCCGGCTCAGCGACATGGCAGCGTCGCGCAATTTCATTTCCAGGGCCAACTTGCGTTTTGCGGCGTTCAAGCGACTGTTGAGGACCTTTTGCTCTTTTTTCAGTCCCTCCACTTCCTCCAGCGACAGGATCTCGTAGTGGATGCTGTCGCTCATCGCGGTCTCCGTGAGCAGGTACATGGCGACAGGGTCATGGGTGTGGAGTAGGGCGGAGTTTCGGGGAAGGTTCGTGTTCAGCTGCAGGGGGCCGTGAGAAATCAGTATGCGACTGGGGAGACGTGTCCGACTATAGGGGAGTAAGTCACGAACCGGATTCACTGGCGACTTGCCCCGTTGCTGGGGGTCGGAGGCATCACGGTAGCTGTTCCTCAGCATTTGAGTTGGGGGCGGTTGCGAAGCGCCATAGGAGGCTGAATGCCGGGGGTCGCCGTACGACGACAGGCTGGACCGAACATCAAGACCGTTCATGATGATATGTCTGCGTTGCAAGTGTCGAGGAATGGGAAAAGAGGGAGCGGTAGCGAGGTCGGAGGGGGGTGGTTTAAATCGAGGGCCGGCGGATCAACAGGCAAAGGCCCATCCCGCTCCGTCGCCCGAGCAGAGAAGGGAGGATTCTTTTTTTGACGTTGGAAGAAAGGATGATGACAATTCGAGAATGAAAATTGGTAAGAAGGTAAGGGCGGTTGCAGGAGGTCAAATGGTACAATGAAGGAGGTGGGAGAAGAATAGAAAGGAGGGGGAGAGGGGGAGGAGGAACAAGAAAGGGACGGGACGGACGAGGTTCAAGTTGAAGCTGGACTGGATGGAAGAAGAATCACCGATTTGGAGATCAGCAAAAAAAAAAAAAAAAAAAAAAAAAAAAAAAAAAAAAAAGACCGGGCACTTTTCTCTCTACTTCTCTCTTTCTCTCTCTCCCTCAGTTAGCCATACAGAAAAGAAATGGAATCCACTTTAATTATCCGGACCAGCGTCCATTTAAACTATTCGGTAGGCACAAATGTGGGTGTGATCCATCAAGAAAAAGGTGGAATCGGGGGTAAAACGACAGCTCGCATTCTTTGTTCCCCTTGAGGATGATGGATGATGATATTCTGGAGGAGATCCACCTCCCTCTGCTTTTTGCCGCTGGGATGGCAGCAGGTTTGACAGGCGGGAAATCCCAGTGGAATGTCCCTTGAAGAACTATTTAGTTCTTGTGGTTGTTTTTTTCTATTATTAAACCCCCCGGAATTTCCCCTGAAACAACGGATTCGCTGGTCGGGCTCCACTATTGCTGTCTTGTATTCCTCCCCTGTTGTATACGTTGTATACTCCGTACAGAGAAGATAAGAGAGAGAGAGGATGAGGCAGCTGCTGATTGACGATGATCTTCATCACACCCTCGGGATATTTGGGTGATACTCGACACATCACAACACAGCCCTACCACTGATTAAGTTAGATGTAACTGCAGTGGGTGTCGAATCAGCACGTCCAAAATTGAGATGGATGCATGGATGGATGGGATGATGTAACAACCACCCCTCTGGATGTAACCACAATTCGGCTCAAATTGAAACAATTCATCCGGGTTTGATCTGCCTCACCAGGCGGGATGAAAGGGTGCTACTGTGCCGCAGAGGAGGTGCAAATCACAAGCAACCGAGCGCACGAGTTGAATAACACTATCCCCAACCATGAGCCTATCAGCAGTAGTAGTTGTCACTACTAACTGATATGCCCCCCTCCCCCAGATTCTTGCCCACTGCACTTCCCCTCATTTTGCTTTTCACTCATTCAACCAATACCTAGCTTCTGGTCATCATGGCCACGAGGAATCAGGTTGAATCTGGGATGGATGCGCTCCCTCCATCGGGACCGGTCTACAAGGTCTACAAGCGACGATTCTGGGGGTTGAGCCAGCTGGTCCTATTGAACATCGTCGTGAGTTGGGATGTAAGTGCAAACCGTGGTCTTGCTTGCTGCATAAAAGAGAATGCGTGAATGGGAATGAATGGAATGGCGCTCTGTTAACCCACCAACCAACACACAAAACAGTGGTTGACCTTTTCCTCCATATCAACCACCGCAGCCGAGCACTTCAAGGTCTCCGAAAGCGCCATCAACTGGATGAGTACTGGCTATCTCTTCGCCTTTTGCGCCGCCAGCCCGTGAGTCGACATTTCCTCCCCATCGTCCCGCCCCATCGCAGCACTCACTGTCAAAAGCTAACATCAGAGTCATTCACCAGCATCGTCATCGTCACGCTCAACAAAGGTGGGCCGAAGCCCGCTATCATCATCACCTCCTCGCTGCTGCTGGTCGGCAATTGGATCCGATATGCGGGCACGCGAGCTCGCGGGGGCATCTTCGGGGTGACTATGTTCGGCCAGATCCTGATCGGCCTGGCGCAACCGTTCTGTCTCAGTGCACCGACGCGGTACAGCGACCTCTGGTTCTCTGGTCAGGGACGCACGAGTGCGACGGCCGTGGCGACGCTGGCCAACCCGCTCGGCGCAGCGCTAGGGCAACTGGTTGACTCGTTCTGGGCCAGCGAGCCTGACGACGTCCCCAGCATGGTGCTATACATCTCGATCATCGTAAGCTCCCTGCCCAAACCCCCCCCCGCCAGGCCAAACAACACCCCTATAACACTAAAAATCCAAAACACAAAGGCAACAGTCGCCTCTCTCCCCTCGTTCTTCCTCCCCTCCGCACCACCAACCCCACCCAGCGCCTCCTCAGCCAGCCACATCAACACAAGCGAACCAACGCCTCTTCGCCCAACCATCGCGCAGCTCCTCCGCACGGCGGAGTTTTACCTCATCCTGCTCCCCTTCTCCATCTACGTGGGCTTCTTCAACAGCGTCTCCTCCCTCCTAAACCAGATCCTCTCGCCGTACGGGGCCAGCGAAACCGAAGCCGGCATCGCCGGGGGCATCCTGATCGTAGTGGGCCTGCTATTCTCGGCGCTGATCGCCCCGCTCACGGACCGGTACAAGCACTACCTGGCGACGATCCGCCTCCTGGTGCCCATCGTCGCCGCCTCGTACATCGCGCTGGTGTTTGCCCCCGCCAGCGCCGCGGGCATCGGCGCCACCTACGCCGTGTGCGCCATCCTGGGCGCCTCCTCGTTCGCCCTGCTGCCCGTCGTCCTAGAGTTCCTCGTCGAGATCACCTACCCGTTCTCCCCGGAGGTCGGGAGCACCCTCTGCTGGACGGGCGGCCAGCTCCTGGGCGCCGTCTTCATCCTCGTGCAGGACGCCCTGAAGGCCGGCAGCCACGCGACCCCGCCGGATAACATGCGGACCGCTCTGGTCTTCTCTGCCGTCGTGGCGGCCGTGGCGGCCCCGTTGCCGGTGTGCATTGGCTTGTTCGGAAGGGCTGTCCGCCGCAGGCGCTTGGATGTGGACCGTGGGGTGAATCTCGGCGAGGAGGTGGTCGTGGACGATGAGACTGTGGACGACGCGGTCCGTCCCGACGAGAATGCCGCAGGGAGTGGTGAGGGGGAGAAAGGAAAGTCGAGGCATAAGTCGTCGGTCTCTTCGAAGCAGTAGACGTCACAGAACTAGGTAAAGGGGTTGTGTGCATGCCTTTGGCTCGGCCTGCATGTGGTCTTGGTCTGGATTTGCAATGCCAGTCACCAGCAACATGTACGAGGGCACTGGATGGATATAGGACGCGTGATGATTAGATGACTGATACCTGTTGACTTTGAAACTCGAGTCTAGTTTATCAATTTGCGTTAGTTAGTGTATAGTTGCTTCGCTACTTCCAATACAGCACAGGCATCAGAAGCATAAAAACCTACCTCTCATAGAAGACAGCACTAAAGATCCATGCTACCAAAACAAATACACCAAACTACACGGCCCGAACCCATAGCAGAAACAAATCACATTTCATCTAAAACAAAAGAGATCCAAAAGAAAAGTAAATAAAAGCACAGTTCAAACAGGCAGAGACCAGCTATCTGTACATACACAGTAGGAGATTCTCTTTTGAATCCCCCCGTTTCCCCCCGAAATTCGCATCACCTCACGAAAAGACGAAAGAGAAAAAGAAGGGTGCAATTTTCCTCCATTCTAATCGTGTTCATCTATCCATGCAGCAGGCAGGAGAGGAAAAAAAAAAACACAAGACCTAATCCGTGGTTTCAGCAGCAGGTTGACACACCCGTTTTTTTTTTTTGAACTCTCCGTCCTGGAACAACAAAAGAAAAAAGCCATCATACAACACTCTAGACTTTGACTTGAAAATGGTCGTCTTCCTTGGAGTACGAGATTTTGCCCTCTTCGTGCCCTTCCTCCGCGCGAGCGTGCTTTTCTTTCGTTGTGGTACAATCGAGATCGAGCGGTGGTCGTGACTCAGACACGTCGCGCAGGGGAGAGAGGAAAAAGAGATCCATCGTTCAAAGTCATAGCTCGTTTAGGCGAGCTGCTTCCAGAGCTTGGGGGCGGCGCACTGAGTGGCGCAGTGCGTGAGGTGGAAGACTGCATTTTCGTGATTAGTCACGTTGTCAACCTCCGAGGAGATCCCATCGAAGAACAAGAACAGAACTTACACTCCTCAACACAGTCCTCCTTGGGACCCTTGTAGTCCTCATCCTCCTCCTGCTTGGTTACGCGCTCAATGCACTCATCGAAGTGGTGCTTGTAGGGGGCGCACTGAGCGGAATTGGCGCACTCTGTTATTGGGGTAGAGACGTCAGCACAACTGGTCCAATTGAGTATGGAAAGCATTGAATTGCGCCATTCTGGCACCGCCGCCAATAACAAATGAAGGATACTTGGTGGTATCATCCGCGCGGACTCAAAGAGACAGTCGAATGTCCAGGTCCGGTGGTGTTGTCTGATATGTCGAGGACAAGTCATTGCGGCGGCGGCGGGTTCCCAGTTGTGAACTCAAAGTCGAAGCTCAATGCGACCCAAAGACAGGCATCGGCTGGTAGCAAGGAATATATCAAACTCACCCTCCTCGATCTTGGGCTTGGGGTCCTCGGGCTCCTCCTCCTCCTCTTCCTCCTCTTCTTCCTCCTCCTCTTCCTCTTCCTGGGGCTCCTCCTCGGCAGACTCCTCCTCAGCGGGGGTCTCCTCGGCGGACTCCTCGGAGGACTCTTCGCTGGAAGCAGCCTCCTCGGCGGGCTTCTCCTCAGAGGACTCGGCCTCCTGGCTGCTGGTCTCCTCGACGGCCTCGGCAGGAGCCTCAGCCTGAGCCTCGGGGAAACCGAAGGAGGAGATGACGTCGGAGAAAAAGTCGGCGAGACCCATTGTGTTGGTGTGTGGAGGGAGGAAACTGGTCACTTAATGACAACCGGGGGGAGGACCTAGGACTGGCGAAGGTGTGGGGGGTAGTGCGGTGGGCAGCAGCAACGAGCGAGTTTGGATGAGGTTGGCGGATTTGAGCTTTGGCACTTTCCCTTTGCCGTCTGGGAAAATCGGAACGCCCCGGCCGCCGGCGAAAGGCCAATTATCGCACACGTGATTGGCCAATTCCGTTCGGCAGAGGACTTGACTAATCACCACTTTACCATTGTTGACTGTACACCTTACTACCTACTCACTGTGGTTACCTCCTGTCGAAGAGATAATATACAAGCCATTCAATTGGTTTCTTAGTTGCTTTGTTCTCCGTCCTCTTTGAGCTGTTCTGGTAACACACCTACGTAATTCACATCAGCTGGCACGGCGCAATCTCGCCTCCAATTCATCCGCCACACTTTGCTGTTGAACCGTCTCATAGTCCGGGGGTGGTTCCACCAAACTGGAGTCTGTGTCTGCTGCTTCACCATGATGGCCGCGTGAACTCATCATTGGCTCGGAGGGAGCCTGCTCTCCTCCAGCACTGCTGGGACCAGAGTAGGCTGGCAGTTCATCCAAATGGATTGTGGAGAGGTCAACGTTCCGTGCTCCGCGACTGCTGGCTTGCGAGTTCTCGACCGCCTGCTGTAGACGCTCCTTGATCCGCTCAAAGTGATTGTGAAAGTCGAATGCCCCTCCTTCTTTGAATGTCACTTTGGCCTGTACAGCAGGCAAGGATGGAGGAATCCCGCCTCCAGACACGGGTTGGACCAGTGCGATCCATGCATTGGGCCCAAAAAAGGGAGCGGTGACGTGGGTATCGTGAATGTTCAGCAGTGGCGCAGAGAATGACTGGAAGGTCTCTGACTTCTGCGAAGGGATATAAACAACCTGCCCGGATCATGTTAATGATCATTTCAAGCCGCGAAAGAAAAAAAAAAAGTGCAAGAAAGGCAAGTGAGGAAGTTGGTTATACCCTTTGATTTGTCAAATAGATTTGACCTGCACTGCTCTGAATGGAAAAGGCATTTTTGCCGCCAGCTGAGCTCAGTGGTTGTATAGAGAGACTAGTGCGAGGAGGTGATTTATAGACCAGCTGTTCATGCGGCAGGCGGACAAAGCCATCCTGGTCCTGAAGCATCACCCAGCTATACAATCGCACATCAGCTCAAGAACATTGTAGGTAGTCGATAGCGGTGAGTTGGCACCGGGTTTGTCTGTATTCTTAGACACGTGATAACACCTTCGATGTACGTTGATGCAATAAAGACAACCTGGTAGGCTTCTTACTCGGGGCAAACGAGTAGACCGCCATGGGCTACTGGATGATGAAAGGGTCTTATACATACTTGATCGACATATTGGCTTATGTGACGGACTGGAAGGAGATGTTCTAGCCCTGTTGGATATATTGTCGCTCTTGGTACACGAATGACTGACCGTGGGAAGTCGTGCAAAGGGTTCCGTCACTGGCGATGGGAGAAGGGACTGGGTATGTGAAGCCAGCTCCAGGGCAACTCAAGCTGAAACAAGACGGACGGGAAGCCACAGGGGCAGGCCGTTGCTCTAAAGGTTGCAGTTCCGTTCACGGAGGTCAGCCAAAATAAGCTTGGATACTTGAAGGTTTCCCCGGAGTCATCAACAGGTCTATCGGATGATGTATATCAGATCCAAACTCGGGGGATAGTAGGATCAAGTGACGAGTGTCAAAGCACACCCCACCACGAGAATGAACAGACGTGCAGTGAGCTCAAGTATGTTTAAAGTAAGCTGCACAAAGACCTTTGAGCCAACCAAAGCCGAATAGTAATGTTGAAAAAATTATAGTTAGGTTGGAGGTGACATTGAATTGATTAATGGATGGAGAGTCTTGGAGGACAACACGGGGAGGATCCGTTCATGTAAAGCTGGGTCCGCGGGGCGGCCGTCAGGCGGGGAAATTCCCAGGCTCAACTTCCCTCAACAACAAACTGAACTCAAGGGAAAATCCAGTGAATTTCATACTCTTCTACAGGTAGTCTGGTCTTAATCATCCATATATCCCTAACTACTAGTAAGTTAGTACCTGTACATGGCACTTCAGTCACCCCAGTCACGTCGAGATCATCATCTCAAGATTGGATCACTTCGGAGCCTATGGATCCTGCACAGTATAATCCTCTGGAACAGCTTGCCGGGACTACATTCTACTGGTAGACTGCACACTAAACTAGTAAACTTATATCAAGTTTATACTCCATGCTTCATTTACATACTCCGGAGCACATTAAGGGTTTCCAGACAGACATTGCTTCTACCAACAAGTACGGCCTTCATTGAAGAAATTTAGAAACAGCCAAGCCACCCAGAACTTCTTCTTCTTCTTCTTCTCAGGGGCAAAGCAATCCTAAACATCTCACTCAGTCTTTCCTTTTGTCCAAGGCTCTTCGAAATATAGTCCCTTTTCGAAATATAGTCCCTTTTAAATGGTTTGTTCCGCTGACTGTCCGGGAGGCCGAAAGCAGGCAGGAATGATTTACACGTGGAGAAAAGCCGTGTTGCCGACCCACCACTTACTCCGAGTAACTCAGCTTACAGGTTACGTTTCCCCTTCGGTGTTGATCCTTGGCCTACTCTACTAACTATTGGTCTTTGATCTCACTCAGTCTTATTCCAATTGTTTGATCCCTGAGTTCTCCTGTTTGGCTTGAAATCTCGTGCTTGAGGTCTATTCGATTTCTCCATCAAGTGACTTGCGTGGCCTGGTGACCGCCTCTCTTGCCACCAAAAATTTCCCTTTTTTTCAAAAAGAAACAGCCTTGTAGCCTGCCTACCCATGGGCACGGTCCTATCAGTCAGGACCACATTGTGATACCGTCTCTCTGCACTCTATTGCAGACTGTCATTGTCTTCAGTTCATCTCCTTGAGGCGTCCAGTTTCCGCTCGTGTATAATCAATTGTGGTAATTTCGACAACGCCGCCAGTGCCGACCCGATCATCGCCTAACCCCCGGCCGCGTCGCGAAATCCCCGCGGCTTCTGCTTCCGCCAGAGACTCGTGTGCTTGCAATCCAAACAAACGACACATTATGTCGACCTCGATACATCTGTCGCGGTTCAGGAAATGGCTTCTGGCCTCCCCACCAATGGAGTTCGTCATTGCGCAACTCCGGGAACTGTTGGTTGGGGCAATCAGGCAGGGTCCAGTTCCACAGCATATCGCTTTTGTCATGGACGGGAACCGGAGATTTGCGCGGTCACATGGCATTGAGACCGTGGAGGGGCACAATATGGGGTTCGAGGCGCTGGCAAGAGTGAGTCCTTGCTCCCCAACGGCGATGCGCTATACGAGCCTTGCCCTTCTTCCATGCCATTGAAGTCTACCACCAACTAAACATTGCCTGACTTTCTAGATTCTCGAAGTATGCTACAAAAGCGGAGTCAAGGTAGTCACGATCTACGCGTTCAGCATCGAGAACTTCAAGCGGTCGAAATTCGAGGTGGATGCCTTGATGGAGATGGCTAGGGTCAAGCTTTCCCAGATGGCGCAGCACGGAGAGATTCTAGACCGCTACGGCGCCAAGGTACGGGTCTTGGGTCGTCTAGACATGCTGAAGCCCGACGTTCTGGCTGCCGTCAATCGAGCAGTCGAGATGACGAGCGGGAACGGCGAGCGCATTCTCAACATCTGCTTTCCTTACACCTCGCGTGACGAGATCACGGGAGCCATTCGGGACACAGTGTCGGCTTACAGCCAGCCCCTACCGGCGGACCGCCCTTCAGTGGCTAGCCAGCGTACACCCTTCTCCGAGACGCATATCACGCAGAACATTCGAGCCCAGGCGCAGCACACGAAAGCGGACGATCCCCCTAGCGATATTGAGACTGCCTCGGAATCTTCGGGCGAGGACGGTAGCCTAAAAACCCACCATTCGAACCAGGTCTATGAATCCGGCTCATCGTTCTCGTCTTCATCCACTCTGCATCTCGGCGGACAAACGGACGCAGCCAACGGACGGGAGAACTCGCCCAGAAAGGAGAGGGCGGTGTACATGTCCCCAGAAACGATTACTCGTCAGACCTTAACGGAACACATGTTCACGGGGGACAACCCTCCCTTGGATCTACTGGTCCGCACGTCGGGGGTGGAACGTCTCAGCGACTTTATGCTCTGGCAATGCCACGAGGAGACCGAGATTGTCTTTCTGGATGTGCTGTGGCCCGACTTTGACCTCTGGCATTTCCTGCCTGTGTTGTTGGGCTGGCAGCGGCGGATCTCCAAGGCGAAGAAGAACCCGGACGCGGAAGGAGACTTCGACGGTGAGAGTTACGAGCCGGCTGAAGATAGCAATGGCAAGATCAAAGGCTTGTAGTCAGGACTGCGATCTGCACATATATTATCAGAATCCCCAGGAGTGGAGTTTGGAGTTTGCATTTTGAGGCAGCACTTGGACTGATATTCCCCCGTGTTCTTTTTCTTTAATTCTTTTTTCTTTTCTTTAATGCCTTCTTGCGTGTTACTCATTTATAGCGTGATGCTAGAAAAGTGGACGATGGGCGTGTATATACGCATGCATACAGAGACATACACATCATAGAGATGGATCTGCATACTGATGCAATGGGCACTCATCGAAATAGTAACCAATGGGCGGGTCTTATCTCGCGCCGAGTCAGTAGCCACAGCTAATAGAATTGGGTGAATGAGTCGTGCTCCGATACCGCTGGACTTCACGTGACTTTGCGGCGGGGAACGATGGCCAGCGAACAGTAACCCACCCTGAGCTCGATGACTACGACTAGTTACTACTTGACTTTTCTTCTATTCTCGTATTTTCCTGCCTGCCCTATTTTCATATCACTTTCTTCCCCTTGACCATCTAAACTCATATCAAGATGCCTGTCGCTGGCTCCAAGGTTCTCCTGCTGGGCTCCGGCTTCGGTATGAATGGCACTCCTTCCGTGTCGCCCGCAATTGCGGGGTGACTCACTCACTGGGCACGTATGACTGACACTGGACTTTCAGTGACCAAGCCCACCGTCGAGGTTCTCAGCAAGGCTGATGTGCATGTCACTGTTGGTAAGTACTCTTCTCAAGCAAATTAAGCACGACCACATTCTCAATCGAATACAATTCCCCCGTCCCTCCAGTGCTCCATCTAAACTAACCCCACCAGCCTGCCGCACCCTCGAGAGCGCCCAGAAACTCAGCGAAGGCTTCAAGAACACCACCGCCATCTCCCTGGACGTCAACGACGATGCCGCCCTCGACAAGGCGATGTCACAGGTCGACCTGGCCATCTCGCTGATCCCTTACACCTTCCACGCGCAGGTCATCAAGGCCGCCATCCGCACGAAGAAGCACGTGGTGACGACCTCGTACGTCTCGCCCGCGATGATGGAGCTGGACGAGGAGGCCAAGAAGGCGGGAATTGTGGTGATGAACGAGATTGGTCTTGATCCTGTATGTCTCCCTTTACCCCTCCATACTGAATTTCCAACCTACTACTCCCAACCCTTTTGACTTTGCCCCCCCTTCAAACCCTCTTTCACCCCCTCTTTCAGCCCTCTCCAGGCACTCCGTTATACTTACCCAAGCATAGGGAATCGACCACCTCTACGCGGTGAAGACCATCTCCGAAGTCCACGCCGAGGGCGGCAAAATCACCTCCTTCCTCAGCTACTGCGGCGGCCTGCCGGCCCCGGAATGCTCCAACAACCCGCTGGGCTACAAGTTCTCGTGGTCGTCGCGGGGAGTGCTCCTGGCGCTGCGCAACGCGGCCAAGTTCTACCGCGACGGGGAGGAATTCAGCGTCGCGGGGCCCGACCTCATGGCCACCGCCAAGCCGTACTTCATCTACCCGGGGTTCGCCTTTGTGGCGTACCCGAACCGCGACTCGACGCCCTACCGGGAGCGGTACAGCATCCCCGAGGCGCAGACGGTGATCCGCGGGACGCTGCGCTACCAGGGCTTTCCCGAGATGATCAAGACCCTCGTCGATATTGGTTTCCTGGACGACACCCCGCGCGAGTACTTGGCGGCGGGTGCTGGTGGTGCAATTAGCTGGAAGGAGGCGACCCAGAAGATCCTGGGCGCGACCTCCGCCGCCGAGAAGGACCTCGAGTGGGCGATCGCCAGCAAGACCCAGTTCGCCAACAACGAGGAGCGCAACCGCATCATTTCCGGGCTGCGCTGGATCGGCCTCTTCTCCGATGAACCCACCACCCCGCGCGGGAACCCCCTCGATACCCTCTGCGCCACCCTCGAGCAGAAGATGCAGTACGCCCCCGACGAGCGCGACCTCGTCATGCTGCAGCACCGCTTCGAGATCGAGCACAAGGACGGCAGCAAGGAGACCCGCACCTCGACCCTGTGCGAGTACGGCGTGCCCGGCGGCTACTCCGCCATGGCCAAGACCGTCGGTGTCCCCTGCGGTGTCGCTGTGAAGTTGGTGCTGGATGGTACAATTAACCAGAAGGTTGGTTTTCCCCTCCTCTATACCTAGAAGAAAAAAAAAAAAAAAAAAGGGAATGCGCTAATCAAATATCTAACTAGGGTGTTATCGCTCCTATGACCATGGATATCTGTACTCCTCTCATCAAGGCCCTCAAGGAGGACTACGGTATCGAGATGATCGAGAAGACTCTGTAGAATGATTTCCGCAGTGTGTTACGAACTCAATTTATGACCGTGCAATTAGTGGGGTGATTTTTTTTTTAGATTCTTTCAAAAGCTAGGGTAGAGAAAAAGAACAAAATTTTGATCGCATGGGATTTTAGCCTCCAGCACTCCGTGTCGTATCTCTTCCTATCTCAATCAATTGGCGTACTTGCTTTGCTGCTACAGATACATAACCAGGATCGCACGATGGTAGATGGCAAGGACCAGCAGCTAGTCAAAGTATGTACGATTCATCTGTCTATCGTGGATTCGTCCCGCCCCCAAGTAAACCCCTGGGTGCGGGTGTATATATCATTCAAAGGTATGGTGACGGTACAGCAGGGCAGAATGCCTGCCTTCATGCCCTGGAATTCCCCAAACGCCTCAAACCAGCAGTCCGCTCAAACACAATAACTCGACGACGCGTTGATATGGACTGCTTGATGACTCTAGATCGTCCTCGCTCTACCCGGTTATGGTGTCTCAGATGCAAGAAAAAGATAAAGTCCTCAGACACTCAGGAATCCGCTCAGAGAATAGTGCCAAACCTATACCAAGCAACAAAACAACCAAGGCGATCAGTAGCTGTTTACCAAAAGAGGAGGCCGCGGGGGAGGACCTGGTTTATACAGGACCTGTAAGGAAGAACATTGGGGAGCATTGGGAGGAATAACAGATGGAAACATACCCGAAAGTCTGCTTGATGCTGCGGACGTAGTACATGTCCCAGTTCTGCTTGGTGACGTCCTCCTGGCCGACGGGAACACCGGTCCAGGTCACGCGCATCTGGGTCACACCGTCGACGTCGTTCTGGTCGAGCTTGATGTCAAGAGTACTGAAGTGACCCTCGGGCCATTGGGCCAGGCGCCACTTCTGCGTGATCTCGGTGGGCTCGAGCTTGACGTACTCGCCGCTGACATTGCCGTCAAAGATGGCAAATTTGCCGCCGACGTGGGCGCCCTCGAACTGACGGGGAGCGCCGCGGGTGAAGGCGGCAATGCGTTGAGGGTCTGTGAAGGTGTTGTACAGTTCCTCGGCGGTGGTGCGGAACTCATCCGAAGCAGTCACGGTGGTCGTATTGACGGAGACCTTGTTGCTGGTGGTGGTGGTGGTAGTGGTGGCGGGGGCGGCAGTCTCCTTCTTGGTCTGAGGGTATGACTTGGGGGCAGGAAAGCCGAGGGAAGGGTCGACACCAGGGGCATGCTGGAGGTCCTTGCCGTGCTCGCTGATCAGAGCCGGGCCAAACTTGGCCAATTCCTGCCGGAGCTGGGGGACAAGCTTGGAGCGGACAATCTCCTTCACAGCCTGCTTGGAGGGGGAATCGGAGTAGTTCTCGATTTCAAACTGAGTAGCCCAGACGGTCAGTCATCCCCATCAGCATGGCTATGGGGGCGGCTTGCAGGGAACATACGACGTACTCATCTTCCTCGGTATCGTGGGCTACCTCAGGAATGGTGATAGTACCGCTAACGGACTCCTCGTCCTTGGTCTTACCTGTCAAAAGGTCTTAGTCGCGCCTCGGAAGGAAAGCACTCTTGACATTTACGAACCTTCATACTCCAGCTGTACTTTGACGTCGAACAAAGTGATGACCTTGCCCTTTCTCTGACTGACGTCTACATCGCCATCCATCGACAGCAGGTTGGAAATTTTGGCGGAGGCGCCATTGTCCTCTGCGGAGATGACAACGAGCTTCTCCTTAAGGTAGTCTTTGGCCCAGCCCGAGGCGTCCTTGTTCACCCAGTGCCAGTTGTTGGGGTTGTGCAGAACCATGTTGATTGTTTTATTTTAATTATGAATTGTGTCTAATGACTGGAGGGTGCAAAGAGAAGCTGTTTCTATTGCGGGGCAACTTCGCTAGTGTGGGAAATTTAGCGAGTCTTTAAAAATTGCGTGAGTGCTTTCCCACGGGAGATGGAAAGAGGCTAGGTTCTGAGAGATTACACACAATGATTAGCATAAATTCTCGACCAAAGTGAACAATGGCGCCATGCATCAAGTATGTAAAGGAATTGTCAGGATCCAGATAGCGTTTCCCGGATCGCAAGCTAATCAGCATGGAGGATAGAGTAAATATCCCCGTCTGACTGGTGCCAGCTATGATGTCTCATCATGTAAAGGCCGTCGTCCCTCACTCAGATGGCCAATGGCCAGGGGGTGAGGAAGAGGGAGGGGTAATAGGGAGAATGAAGAGAAATTCCAGTGCGACTCACAGTTCAAAGAAGACGACGTCCACAATCAAGACGCTGCAGAGATGACAGATCAATCAAGTCCACTGAAGGCGTTGGGAAGTAAAATAGAAGTCGAGGTACCGTAGGGGGAAAAGGTTGGCGGGGGACCCGGGAGTGTTAAATTCTACGTTTTGGTGGGTTGTGAAGATTCGAAAGGAAAGCTCTAGAAGATTTAATTTCAAGGCATCCGGAGTTAGTCGATACCACGTGACTGGGGCGGTCTGGTGGGGCAATTCAGTTCAATGTCAAAACAAACGAATGTGGGTATCTTGATAGAAAAGCAAAGCAACAACAACATCATCATCATCATCACCAAACAGTACGAGAGCAATTTTGACCCAGCCTTTCCCTGTTAACTCCATGTTGACTTCCTTACGCCTGCTCCAACTGTTCGATTTCATCCCATCCATTCTCTGCCATGAGTTGCTCTTTGACCCGCTCCCGTAACCCTTGAATCTGGCTCCCAAGCGCTTCAGCCCACTGGCCTTCTACCGTAGCCACCTTGTCTTGGAGGTCGCCGGTCAATGTGCGTTCCTCGTCTGCTCTCGACGCTTGCAGCTCTTGCAGGACCTTGCTCTCTGCCTCTCCCTGGCAGATACGCTCCGCTTCCACAAGACTGCAGTTCGCCTTCATCACTGCCGACTTGACCTCATGCAGCAAGCAGAACAGGTTGATCTGAGACTCGATATACTGGTAGCTAGATTTCTCCGCATGCGAGACCAGTGTGTATAGATATTGTAGCGGATGTTGGTGGTAACTGGGGTTCTCGTCGTACTCGTGGACTGGGATCTGGACCAAGAAGCCACGGAGATTCTCGGGGATCTGCTGCACCAAGGCGAGGAGAGGCGGGGCAATATCCCAGAAAGCAGACAGTTGGATCTCCACCCCGCGGGCCACATTCTCCTCAATCACATCCAAAAATGACTCGAGACGAGCCAAGGCATCGGACTCGTGATTGACTCGCCGATCCATTGCATCCTTCAAAAAGAACTCGCTGGTTTCAAGGACCTTGTCATCGTTCCCTGCCTGCTTGTATGGCAGCAGTACCACAGCCTTGTACTTTTCATCCCGATCACTGATCAGCTCAAAGACTTCACGATGTAAATTTTCTCTGGCCTCGAAGAGCCACTTGAGTTGAGTGAGTTTCTCCAGGAGTTCCGGTTTCTCATCCCCTTCCTCCTGCGTTTGGTCAGGCGTCCCACACCGTGCGTCGTCAAATAGCTTGCTCTGCAGTTCATCAATGCAAGATGTCGCTCGTTCAATCCGATCTCTCAGTATCGTGCGCATCGGCCTAAAAACCGTTTCTTGAAAGTTATCCAACTGTCTTTGCATCAACTCTCTTTCCAGGGTGTTCTCCTCCACGATTAATGCTGCTTCGGCTTCTGCGGCCTCCGCGAACGTGATACTACCTTCCTGGATTTGGCTCTGAATGTTGGCCTTGAATTGTCGACGACCTTCCTTGACCCGTGTTAGGTGCTTCTGGAACAGGACACCCATGTCTGTTTCATGGCGTTGCCGAGTAGCTTTGATCTCGGATAGATCGGTGATGGATCGAACCAACGTCCGATATGTAACGAGTTCGGGATGGCTATTGTTGACCGCAGGATAGTGTCGGGGGTAAGGTGGCGGTAGGGTGATCAGCCGTGAAACATCCATCGTCGATCTCGCCTCATACCACCCGAGATGACTGGGACCTTTACTGGTCAGGTGGACGGGCATATCCGGCTCCTCGTGCCAACCCACCTTCTCGGGAGGGTATTCATCTGGGCCGTATGCCATGCGCTGGCCGGTTGAGTCTTGGTCGCCACCAATGCCACTTCCAGATAAACTCTGGCTTTCTTCCAGGAGGGCCTCCCGTGGCAGACCCATGTACTTGCTCTCCCTCTTCGATCGTTGAACTCTTCTCTCGCCTCCTTCACTACTAGAGCCAGTCTTCGATTCCCACCAGCGACTGGGAGCACGTCCTCTAGAGCTCATTTCGTCGTTGCTGAGACCAAGACTTGCAATCGGTGAGAGGCACGGCTGGTAGTTGTTCCACCACGCAGATTCGGGCCGCGATTGAGGAATGTCTAGCTTAGGTTTGGGTAATGCTCCGGTTGATGCCCTTTTCGGAGGCATAACGGGAACACTCATAGGAGTCATCTGAGTAATTTGTGGTGTTTTCGGTGGCAACTCGAACAGTTGCCGGACCACCTCGTCCCTGTCAAATGACCCGGTATCCCAGATCTTAGCATATTTCTCCCGTCGGATCCGAGATTCCGCAATGATGAACTCGGTGAACAATTCCAGTGCTTCCTTCTCGTCAACAGCATCAGCCTCTTTCTCGATGAAGATCTGATGCCTTTGCGAAGCGTTCCGGATAAATTCATCATCACGCTTAACGACAGAGTCTAACGAGGGCCCTTGCTGAGCTGAGAGGCGGCGCGGGGCTAGCGGCGATACCGTTGGAACACTGTCATTTGGCAGGTGCAAAATGTGTGATATGGGCCTTTCGTCTTCGACTCTCGACGACTGGGAGGGCGATCTTTCCTGCTTCGGTTGAAGTGGTGGCGTCGGGAGGGCTTTTGAGGGTAAAGCCGGCGAGGCTCGTTTCGATCTTTCCGTCCCTGGTGAGAATGGCGGAGTTGGTGCATATGCAGCTGGTGCCTCTAGCGGGCTCGGCTCGGCTTTAGGGGTGGAGAACGGGGAGCGATTCGAAAACAGGCCTCCTGAAGACGCTCTGGATCTTGCGGGAATTTGCTGCTGCATTTCAGAGCCAACGCTGCGCGTACTTCGCGGGGTGACCTTGGCCGAGGCTTGGTGTGGCGTCTTCTCCGTGTCCCCACTCGTGTCTTCTAAGACCAAGTTGGAGGGTTTGATCTTGTCCAGTGCTTCCGCCCACGGATTACTGCTCATGGACACGGCACTGAGGTCGTCCAGCACTTGACTTTGCCGGTTTCGCCGTTCTATCCGTCTCTCACGAATGCCCTTCGCGTTCGGGTCTTTGATGGCTGGGCTTCGGAAAAGACCACCACTGACGGAACTCTGGGATGTTTGCGAAGTATCGTGTGGCGTGGAACTACTTCCGGACGCTTTATTTGTAGTATCTATGCTCAAGGGCATCTTCTCGTTCTTGGGTCTGAGCACCGAGATGGTTTCGTCCACCCAGCCAGCAGGTGTTGGTGGTATGCTATCAAGCGTAGTTCCCAGCGCCGGAGGTGCGCGTGCTTTCCCAGTTCTAGCAGGAACCTTGTGGCTGCGTACAGACGATGCATCGGACAAACCATTCACACTTTGTGACCTTGTGCTCGGCGGAGGGCCCGGGGGAGGTGGAGGAAGGGGCATTCCTGGCTCCCAGCCTTGCGATAGTGGTGACTGACTTCGGGTTTGACTATGAGCCCGGGATGAGCTCGCACTGTTGACCACGGGTCCGGCCGAGACAGCTCTTCGCGAAGCGGGTGGACGGCCCGCGTCATCCATGCTGTCAGAGCCCGACAAGTGGCTGCCGTTGTTAGACTGCGCTGCTCGCATAGCCTCCGGCGAGACCACAATATATGGTCTCGAGCCTAATGGTGCGGCCGCTTGGTCGCGATAAGGCTCTCCTCTGTTACGAGAAGAGGATCGAGATCCTGAGAGGCTTTGCGGTAGCGGGGGTGGGGGAGGCAGTGAGACTCGTCTGTTCCGGCCCTGCTCATTCCCCACGAACATGGACATCGGACGTGCCCTCGGAAGACGACGCTGTTGATACTCCGGAGCTTGATCCGTACTCGGACGCATTGCTCCTGTGTAGGAGGACGTGGTACTCGGGGAGCTTGATCTCACGGAGGAAGGATCATGACTAACATTATCTCTGGGTTGATGCTGGTGTTGCTGACTAGGGGGCGAGTACGGAGGAGGTGGAGGCGACAACGATACATCTACAGCAAACACGTTAGACCTTTTCTCGACTGTGGACTCTGAAGGCTCGCAGCACTCTATATCTACAAGATTGAGATGGGTCAGAGAATATAGAATGGGGACCAGACCTGAGTGAGAACCCAATGGACGTGGTTGGGGTACAATCCTCAGCATGTTGTTCGTTTGGGGATAGGTCTGTTGGCCTGTATTGATTGCAGTATGTCCCACCGGTCCCCAATCTTGAGGATTATAAGGAACGTTGTATTGTCGGGACGACATGGGGGAAGATCCAATGGCGACTCCTCCCGGAGACGCTACGACAGGAGACTGGCCGTGTGTGAACGGGCTCGAGAGAGACGTCGTAGAAAGAGGCGTAGGAGAGTATCCTGCCCCTAAACCAAGTCCAAGGCCTTGGAATTGACTACTACTGAAGGCGGTTGTCAGAGGAGGAGGCTGCACGGCATGCTCGCGACGACGGGGTGAAACTTGGTGGCTGGCGCTGGAATAGGGACTCGGCCAGCTGCTGAGAGGTTGTACACCAGACGACAGCTCGTCGCCAGCATTGCTTGAAGACTGCCAACTAATGAGAAGGCTGTGATCAGCAACCCTCGGACCCTCGCAGCGGGAGACAGCTAAAGGGGATGAAATCGCTGGGTGGTGGTGAGGGAGGAAAGTAGGAGAAGCCAAGCACACCTATTCATACTCGCAACCGATCCAGAGCACGATAGCCATGGCTGAAAGTTGCTTGCCGGAACAAGATTACGGACAGGCGTAGACACGAAGGAGGCGAGCCGACCAGACAATACGATAGGTGGTGGAGAGAAAGTCAAAGGGCTTGAGAGTCGCAGGAGACTCTATCCTTTGCGATACCCCTCCAGCCCAACGGCAAGCCCCGGTGCCGGGATTCGTCGAGCGGTCCAGCTCTTCGACAGCCATTGTAGATGAGGGTCCACTGAATAAAGGAGGGGAAAGGCTGAGAAGATGAGATAAACGACAAAAATAGAACATCAGGAGACGCATCGGCCGGGTTGAGTGCAGGGACAAGCATGAATGTGACGAGAGATGCAGATGAAGCGGGTTGAATCACAGCCGGCGCGAGCACCGGCGCTTAACCCTGGCTGCTTCGCAACCACTCAAGAGGCGGAGATTGAGTGCCCAGGGTCTTTTCGCTGGTCCACTCCAACTCGGCGTCCGACCTAAGGCGCTACAGGGGCAGTAAGCTAGGGCTGATACAGAAAAATTGTCAAGAAAAGTTTCTATTTTAATCTTCGTCATAAGCTTTGTCTAATGCACTCTAAAGAATTCTGACACTGGGGTATCCTTTCCATCTTGCGCAGCTACTATGCGAGTTCAAGGCCGGTTTTGCCCCAACTAATTTTGGTCCTAGAGATCACTGCAGCTATATTAGCCATCTAGCCATGCTGCTTGTGCGAAGATGCAATAAGAGACACTAGTCTTTTCCATTTCAGATCAATGCCCTGTCACAGGCGGTGGTCATCAAGGTATTTCTTTATGTTGACCGTCGTGATAAAAAAGAAATAAATCATCATTGGAAAAGGGATAAAGAAAAGATATCAAGGCAACTTACATTGCTTTTGTGAAGGTTGAAGCTCAATCTGGGCCAAGACCCAAGCCAAGTCGAGCTTCAACCCAAGGTTCCAAGGTACAATCTCTCATCGAGAGATCCAAGCCCTGCTCAGCGGATTAGTACTGAGACTGGCACGTGAATGAAATTGTGAGGAAGCATGGTGACGAGTCAGTCATGACAGGTGTCGTCTCGGCCAGCAAAGCAGGCTTGGACATATGCTTGTCTTTTTATTTATGTCGTATCATCATGCAAGGAATCCAGGCAAAGGAGAGAGTCAGTGACATACTTAGACCTCTTTCTCCCAGTCAGGACTAGCCAAGGCACATAATATGTGACAGTCCATCTATCAATCACGAGTCAGTCAAGTCCATCAAGAGTCTAATGCGCACGACTTCTCGTAACAAGCATGTCAGAAATGCATGAATGGTTATAAAAAAAGATGTTGTCTGCATGGATAACTCCAATAAGACTCGTCATCTAAGGGAATCATCATGTTATGATGGGAGTTGGAGAGAACGGAGAGTATTTACCTTCAGGGTATTGAGAGCATGTATTACTATTACTTTGCGCAGCCTGAGAATACTTTCATGACGATCAGCCTCAGGCCATGCATCAATGATGAGATCCAGTATGCTTGGAGAGAGTATCTCAGTGGGCGAGGTTTTCTAGGCCTGCCGCAAAAAAGGCATATCCATCAGGACCGGACGCTATGTCTTAACGCCGTCGGAGCCCAGTGCCGTTTCATCTTCGAAAGTCGCGTGTGAACAGTGAAGGAAAAGTGAAATGCTTACCCTCTCCGGCTATGCATGGAAGCGATTCTGCAGATCTGAATATCTGTGGCAAATCTTTTGAGCTGTTAGCGAATGTCGACAGTCTCGTCCAGATTTAACAATTGAAAATAATGAAAATCGAATCAGAAATAGCCATTTGATATCGTCCAGGACCCGAAGGCCTCAGTCGGTAATTTCCAGCGTATATAAACGTTTGAAGCATCATGTGAATGAAAATAGAAAGCAGCGCGAGAAACAGGTGAATCCACGTACCATTAGTGCAGTTACTTCGGGCGTGGCATGTCGAAGGGAAGCTAGAGTGGTAAGTCTACTGTTGGCTGGTTAGCACCGTGCCAGTGACTTCAGTGTAAAGAGAACAACAAAGTCGAGTCCTTCGCGAAAGCATCAGACTGACGTGCAAACAAGTGAGTTTTCATTCCCCGGATGGGTCAAAGACTCTAGTTTGAAATGTGGTTGTAGGTATCATCATAGAAGGATGACGGCAGTTTGGGGGAAAGGTGGTTGGATGGCTGAGCAACACTTACCAAAACGAGTCCTGTTCAGCGAACAGTGCAGTCAGTTCCGAAGCGCATGGTCATTGAGCAAAGCAAGAGAGTCTCTTGCGTTCTACAAGCTTTGTTATATCTGAAGCCACGACATAATAGGCAGACAGACATTGCAACAGAGAATGTTGTTTGTGTGGGAAAAAGCTAAAAAGAAAAAGCGTTTCGAACATTTTTAAAGCTCTTCTGCTCGGAGCCAACTTTTACCGAGGGGCTAGCCTGCAAACAGTTAGACTACAACTTAGGTAAGCTGGGTGTTTTCTGCCAGCCCTTTCGGTTTGATCTGAAAAGCGGAGAGACCAAGCGGTCAGACTTCCAAGTCCTGAGATGGATTGGAAGGATAGCCGAGAGGCCAGAAGCTGACCTCGACTTTGCTCCGTACTTCGGAACTGATGGCCGCGGTCGATCAATCTCCGCATGTCTGCTGACCTCCTCAAGAGCCTCACACTATTGATGTTGTTTTCTGAGTAGTCAGATTGCTGGATCTCACTAGTCTCACTCGAAGCTGTTTCTCGGAAGTCATCATGTCAATCGGTAACCTGATTGATTATGGTGGTGATGATGATGATGATGATGATGATGATGATGAGTTGGCCTGCCCCTGGGATGATTGACCTTGTCAAGCTTCAGGTGTTTTCTCCATATGTCCAATGGCATTGATATTGATGCCTTGAGACTCGAGGATCCCTACTGTACTCACCGCTCACAGTCAATAATAGGCTTGAGTCTGGACCTTTTACGGAGTAGGCTTATAGTGTGTCCCGGTAAGGCGGGGAAAGTCGGCGCGTTCATCGGGGCAGCCGGAGAAGAGGTTGAAACTGAAGGGGAAAATCGGGCTACGACCGAAAGCGGAGAAGAAGAAGAAGACGACGACGAAGAAAAGTCGAAGAAGGGAAACTATGACGATTATGCGTCAATTGCATCGCATCCTGTTTCTCTCATACTCGGTGCTCCATCGAGTGACGTTACCCGGCAAAAGATTGCTCCTTTTATAAAGTCCGGTCAATTCTTTTCCTTCCTATCTGTTCTTCCTAAACAATTAGTTATATTTACATCTATCTATCCCTCCTACGACTAAGTGCCCCCCCTCCTCCGGCCAGACCCCTCCCACCCACTATAATCCTCGAGTCCTACTCTTCACGACTATCTCCCCGCCATCTTCCTGCTTTCTCCGTTGAACCGAGGTTGCAGTTTACTTAAAACCAAACTCCAATTTCACTCCCACTTCCCCCGCCTTCGCCGGAATTGGAAGTGTTGTATACTTGCGCAGCTCTCCTCCCTCTCTCTCAATCCCACACCTACCATCCCACAAAACAATCACACACACACACACACACATCATGGCTTCTGGCGGTAGTGCTCCTCCTGTTGGACAGGAGAATATCAACACCGACATTGTCACTCTCACCCGCTGGCTCACTGAAGAGCAGGCCAAGGTAGCCGAAGCCACCGGTGACTTCACGTGAGTGGTTTTTGCCCCTCTTTCCAACCTCCCCCCCTCGACCCTGTGCCCAAATAAAACCACCCCCCAAACCATGCAAGACTAACCCATACACTAAAACCCGCTGAATTCAGGCTTCTCTGCCACGCCCTGCAATTCGCCTTCAAGTCCATTGCCTACTACATCCGTCGCGCCTCGCTGATCAACCTCACGGGGCTGGCGGGGTCGTCCAACACGACGGGCGACGATCAGAAGAAGCTTGACGTCATCGGCAATGACATTTTCATCGCGGCGATGAAGGGATCCGGCAAGTGCCGGATCCTGGTGTCCGAGGAAGAGGAGGAGACGATTGTGTTCGACGAGCACCCGGACGCGCGCTACGCGGTGGTGTGCGACCCGATCGACGGATCCTCCAACCTAGACGCAGGCGTCTCGGTCGGCACGATCTTCGGCATCTTCCGTCTCCCCGACGAGGTGCTGGGGGCGGGCAAGCAGGTCAGCGCCAAGGACCTCCTGCGCGCGGGCACGGAGATGGTGGCCTCGGGCTTCACCATGTATGGCGCGTCGGCGCAGCTGGTCATCACGATGCGCAACGGCAGCGTCAACGGCTTCACCATGGAGAACTCCCTGGGCGAGTTCATCCTCACCCACCCCAACATGCAGCTGCCCGCCAAGCGCGCCATCTACTCGGTCAACGAGGGCAACAGCATGTACTGGGACGACTGGTGCAACGCCTACTTCCACAGCCTCAAGTTCCCCGGCGAGGGTCAGAAACCCTACAGCGCCCGCTACATCGGCTCCATGGTCGCCGACGCCTACCGCACCCTCCTCTACGGCGGCGTCTTCGCCTACCCCGCCGACAAGAAGAGCCCCAAGGGCAAGCTCCGCATCCTCTACGAGTGCGCCCCCATGGCCATGCTCTTCGAGAACGCCGGCGGCCTCGCCGTCAACTCCCGCATGGAGCGCCTCCTCGAGGTCGTCCCCGAGCACATCCACGACCGCAGCGGAGTCTTCCTCGGCTCCAAGGACGAGGTCCAGAAGATCATCGACACCTACAACCAGCACAACAAGAATTGAAAAAATTATCCTCCAATCACAAGAACGAACTGAATAAACCAAGTGAGGGGGGTTCACCATGTCACCGGGGCTGATCAGTTTTGTCTCTCTTCTTCTTCTCCCCATGCCATGTTACGAGTTACGTTGTACTTAATCGATACACTCCAAACACAAACCCCCTTAAAAAAAAACAATAAAAAACATTTCAAAATGAATCAGATGATTCTTGTAGTGTTCCTTTTTAGATATTAAACAAGTAGAAACACTTGGGGTATGAACCGCGGCGATGATGGTAATACTTAGTAACACAATTTCCCGTTGTCCCGCTATTATATATTTCCACCAATGACTCACCGCATTAATAGTCTTGGGGGGTACACACTACAGTAGGTACAGGGTGCGTAGTAATCACTAGAAGGCAAACCTTCCCTTCTAGAATCGCATTGAACAAAAAACCTCAATCCCTGGAGGGGTGACACAACCGATGCCTCCCTCTCGCCGACAAACACCCCGTTTATCTTGCCACAAACCCTGGTACAATTTCTGAAATGAGTTCATACTGAAGAAATAAAGAGGGGATTGATCAGCGCAATTGAGGAACATGATGTCATCTGTCCCCACTCATGACTTACCCCAAAAATCCGCAGTCACACTCACATACTGCAGGAGTTGATGAAAGTACACACACACACAGTATTCTGGAACCACCGGTGATAGTAGCCTCCCCTACGATCTGATTGCAACAGGACCGGCTCTAGTATGATTTCGAATTCGCTAGTTGTCTAATCCAAGATGCTAGGCAAAGCGGACGAATACAGACACATAAAAACAATAGAAAAAGAATGTACAATCTGTAATCGACAGACAACCATACCCCCCCCAGTCAAGAAAACTAATCCACCGGATCCTCCTCGAGGAGGGTCTTGAAGCTGAACGGGCTGAAGGGCAGGCCCTCGCCCATGAAGTGCTTGCTCATAGCTTCAACCCAGTGCAGACGGAGCGAGTGAAGCATGGCACTGGTGCCTTCCATCACACACAGAATGGCAATCGTCAAGGTAAACCACAGATAGAAGGTGACCACGATCATGATGACGCGGATAGTGCCAGACTCCTGCTTGAACGCGCCGCCGATGGTCATGTCCCACAGAACGATGGAGAGTTGCTGGTGAGCCAGGGAGAGCGCCCACAGACGCAGGTACGAGGCGGTGTGGGAGATACAGTTCAGACAAAACTCGATCGTGTGGATAACCTGGTGGATCATGATCTCAGAGAAGTCGAACTCCTCGTGCTCCTCGTCGCCGAGGTCTTGCGCAATCAGTGCCACCCCCTCGCCGTCGCTAGCCAGGCTGTCGCGGCCACCAGAGGCGCGGCCGTCCAGGTCACCGTCATCTTCCAGTGCGCTGACACGAGACTGTTCGCCGAGACCCCGGTATCCGAGCGCACGAGCACGGTTATGCTCCCAACGGAGGTAGAACGGCTTGAAAAAGAGCATGACTGGCACTTGAACCACTGCGAGAAGCAGGAGGACGACTTGGACTCCGGATTGTCCAGGGTACAATTGCTCCTCAACTGTCCCAGGGCTGAGGAACATGAAAATGAGCATGTTCAAGAGACCCGGGGGAGACTGTCCGCGAGCGTTCCAGTCCACAGACCACTTGTAGAGAATAGTAAGGACGAGATATCCGAAGATAGACTGAAAGAAAATCATTCCCGGAATGAAGTTACCAATAACATCAACCCTGGACTTGAAATGACGGGCATTGACATATTGCAGGCACAGGGCGTAAGTCATCTACTGAGAGTTAGTACAACCAACGCCACAGCACTGAGAAAAAGCATAGGAACCTACATGAGCCCAACCGAGAACGATACTCATCTTCATCTTCAAACTGTTGGTAAACAGCAAAGAGTTCTCCGCTCCGTGCCAATTCCAGTCAAGTCCAAAGGGATAGCGATAGCTTCCTTTCAGCGCTGCGTTCACGGTCTGTCCTTGCTGAATATCCTCAGGCCATTTCCAAGCACTGGAGAAGATAGTGAATGACTTGGAGAAGATATCATTGTAGATCAAACCCGTGTACATAGAGAAAATACCCATCATCAACATGATGTAACGACCATAGAATGCCATGTACGTTAATTCGTCCAGCTTGGTCTTCTGCAACTTGCGTTCCCAGAAGATCATGGCAGAGGCCGCCAAAAACATCAAGGTACCATGGCCAAAGTCACCAAACATGACAGCGAACAGGAAAGGGAACGTGACGACAGTGTAGAGACCGGGGTTGGCCTCGGAGTACTTGGGAATGCCGTAAGCATTAACAATGGTCTGGAAAGCCTCTGTAAACTTGTTGGTTCGCACGTAGGTGGGAGGCGTCTTGTTGGTCCGGATCTGGTTGACAATAGTGGGCACGCTCAGTCCAGCACGGTCGTTGACGTCTTGCAAGGTCGACTTGATCAGGGCCAGCGAGTTGGTCGGACACCAAGCCTCGGCGATGAGAGTCTTCCGAGCTTGATCATAAGAAAACTTGTTGAGCGTATCGTAAACCGCCTTCTCCTTCTTGACAATGATCATCCAAGCTGCTAGCGAGCGAGCAATCTGCGTAAGCTCCGCGTCGAGCGTGTTCTTGGTGTTGCGGAGAACGTTCCCGACATCGCTCAAACGAGTGTTAACCTCATGGATCTGGTCGCGTCGGAGCTCACTATTCTCATCGACATTGTACAGCGACGCGCCGAGAGACTCCGAGATCTTTCTGATCTTGGCGATGATGCTCTTTCCATGGGCGAAAATGACGAAGACGTTCTTGTGAGACTCCTCGTTGGTCGAAGGATCGATGATTGCCTCAGGGATCTCAGACTGGTTCATGTAGAGGTTACCACGCAGCGTACGCCATAGAATACGCTCGAAGGCCCCAATTCGATCCCGGGGAATCACACCTGCCACGAAGCCGATGTTCATCTCCAGGAAGGACTGCTGCTGACCTTGCGCATCCCCGTTGGTGCCTTGGTGTTCGACATCCCGGAGCAGTGGTGCCTCATCGTTGTCGAAGGATTGTCGGATCTCTTCGGTATGGCTGTGGGCGCGATCGAAGAAACCACCGGCCTCCCTCAAAACCCAACGCCACTCAGTGAGTTCCACCTCACGCTTCTTCAGGGTCTCGTAGCTATCGTTCAAAGAGGCGATCCGCTGTTCGAGGCTTTCGCTGCGTTCCGCCAGTTCGTCGATCTCCGAGGCGAGAGGCGCTGCCAGAGTATCCGAGAATTCAGAAGAGGACCTCATGGGAATGCTCGCCTTGTCCATCTGACCATGGAAATAGCCTGGCGAAATGGACATGTTAGCGTATCTACCTCAGCTTCCGTCTTTACGCATGGAGTTTATCACGTACGCAGCTGTCTTTCCACATTGTCCAGCCGGCGGATTTCCTTGGTGAAGGTACGCTGGAAGGCATTGGTGTCGGGGTTAAGCTAGTCGAAGCGGAAGGTCAGTCAGTGACATTGTGAGAAGGTGGAAGATAAGACTATCACTAACATCTCTGAACTCGACTTGACCGAGTTCTCCAAGAGCACTGACAACTTCTCGACCGATTTCATTGGCGATGTAGAGCTGGGTCAAGCTCATATCCGACGAGCGGAAGAAGGTGTCCCTTGGAGCCATGGTGACGGGGAAGGCTGCCTGCAGCAGTGTCTATCCACAGCAAAACCTCAGGTGCGCAGTGGCGCCGATGTCAGAGAATGATATATGAAGATTTAACGATAGAAGCTTTCGTGTTAAAAGGGAAACGGCTTTGAGCTAATGGAAAGAGCCCCGACGCCTGGGTTGTGAACAGACTCGATGATGCACTCCATATCAAGCCCGGTACGGAGAGCCGCGTGGCTGCTTGAGGTCACATGATCTAGACGGCTCGGGCAGCTGACTAATATATGACTAATGATCTTCATGTTCTGCAACTCTCGGGGGAGTCACTGATAACTTATAGCTGAACTACGAACCACGGATTACTGATTATGCATCCTATTTTAATGCCCGTAGAAACTCCGAATAGAGTTTAATATCTACTATTAGGTCCCCTAAACAGACCCTAAAGTTGACGCAGTTGAATAAAACTACCAATTTGTCATACATTCGTTCGTTCACTCCGTGTAAGACAGAGGAATCATGCAAAGTAACTCTTCCAAAGCACCCCAGAGAGGTCCTCTAGTTGGTCCGGTGTGAAAGCCTAGTACACAGATGTAAGTCAGGGGACCATAAAGAAACGGCATGATGGCAGCTTACCTTGGCATCGATGTGCCATGTATCCTGTCTAGTCTTCTTGAATTCGCTAATGATCGATTTGACACTGGATCCGACGATGCCAGGGTCACTTGCAGCTCGGACGCTTAGCGTGGTCAGAGCATCTGGCATCCATCTCGGAGGTGGACTGTTGTAGGGGAACGCTTGAATGAGCGCCCCAAGACCTAGAACTGCACCGTGTCTGGAAATGATGAGCCGAGTGTGTTCCGGGGTTGGAGTACCAACTCCGGAGGAGACTGGCGTGGAGATGCCCGAGCGAAGCACTTTGGGTTTTTTCGGAAGAGGATTGTCCACCAGGACCTTCGTGAATCGCTTCTTCAGTCGAGCGACCATCTCTTCACGAAGTGAAATAGGAGAACAGCGAATCATGCCAGACAAAGTGGCAGACGCACCCACCCTTACCTCATGCTGTGGGTCTTCCAGCATGCTAGCCACGCACTCAAAGAGCTTATCACGATCACCCGCAGACAGCAAGAACAGACGACGGAAGTAGATAATCTGAATATTGATCATGACACGCAGGCGTTGGTGCCAAGACGGAGAGGTTTGCCCGATGTGAATGAGTGTCTTGATGAACTCGGAATTGTGCTCGGCAGGATATGGAATGTTTGGCAGATGACGGAAGACGTGGTAAGCCAGAGACTGGAGCTCGGGGTCTTCCTTGACATCCATCATATGCAGAAGCTGTCCCGTGAACAAATCAGGGAAGAACGACACCAACTGCGTACATTCATGGGACGAAAGGGTGGAATCCAGCCATAGCAGAACTGTCTTGCATCCGGAGGTGTACGAAGAAGGCGTTTGTTGACCGGGTGTGCGGGCTTGCCGCCATGTTTCGATGCGGTTGAAGACTTCATGAATCATCTTGTTGAAGTCTTCAGTAGGGCGATAAGGATAGGTCCCGACAGAAGATGCTGACTTCTGTGCCTCCAGGAGACGCTTCAAATCAGCATAAGACTCATGATACCTGGTACGGAAGATAGTTGCTAGGGTTTGTCCCATGGCTTCACGAACCCCCTTGTACGGGTGATCGAGATGCCCAAGGAAATCCTCGACAATTGGCTTCTCCATCTGGAAATGCCAGCCTGCATCGATGATGGATTGATGCAGGAGATTGATTTTCGAACTTTCCTTGAACGCTGCGTTGGTGCCCATATCTAACCGGAAACTCGCAAGCCAGTCGACCAAAGGCCAAGCTCTGCGTGGGTCCCGGCATTGGAGGATCATATGCAAGAATGTCGTCCAGTAACCGGAGTTCTCGGGTGTCAACCCATCAGTGAAGATCTTCTGGACAATCGGGAAGGCATATTCCCAGACCATTGTCCGCTTCTCCACGCTGGTGTCGGCCACGGAGCTCACCAGAGCCCCAAGAATTTCTGCAGTGGCGCGATGTTGGTGTTTGTCACTCCCGTCTTCAAAGACAGTTTCAATTTCTTCTTGGATGTCCTTGAACGTAGCTGCTGTAAGCTCATCACGAAGCATCAATTCAAAGGCGTAGAGAAGCATCATTGCGCAGGGCATGCGGAATTTATCGGCCGAAGGGTCCCGTGGTTCCTGCTTCAAGTACATGAAGAACTTGGAAAACCATGCCCTGTCAAACAGTTTGCCCATGTGCGCTCGAACTTTCCATTCCACCTCATCGTATTCGATATCGCGTTTTACGTTCGACTTGTAAGCCGGCATGCTGTCTGACCAGACAAGCCAGCCAGGGAAATCGTGATCGACGTAGTACTCCGCCTCTGGATGAGCGAAGCTAGCCAAGTATTCCTTTGTCCAGCCTTCGTCGTAACGCTTGGTCGCTACCTTGAGTTTGGAGGGGAAATGCTGGTGACCCAAAATGTAGTTCTTGTAATCGTGACTACAAATCGCTCGGACATCTATCATTGTGAATAGTGCGATAAGTGCTTGCGAGTACATGCCTCGCAGTCCAGGGTGGTCATCGATTGAGCCGTGGGTCACGAGTTCAACTAGATTCTCGCTTGCGATGTAGTCGAATCTGAGGCCCATAGTGATCACGATCGTGGCTGCTCGACTGGCCACTTTCCAGTGGGATACCCTTGCAAGATTCACCAAGTCCTCCGCCAAGTCTGCCTTTTTCTTTTCAATGAGAACACGTTTCTTGTTGATGGCATCACGCTTGTTCGAGATCTCATCCTGGACGTCTTGACGTGGAGCAATCGCTTCGATGATGTCTCGATCGAGGACTGCCATCCTTTCCATGGCGCGCCCGTATTCCATAATCTGATAGACGGCACTCGAGCAGATTCTTTGCACAGATGGTTTGTCGACAGCGCTAGCGTCAATGAAGGTACGAATGAGGACAGGGGCGTACTTCCAGTGGCGCCCAACTGTCTTGGCAACACTCCCTAACAACAAAGAGAACAGGGCACCTTTGATTCGAGCATGATCGTTTTCCCTGATACCCTTCTGAAGAGCTTTCAACAGAGGAGGGATGACCAGCAGACGAGAACCCCAGACAGCCTTGAGAGCCGACTCTCCAGCGCTCTGAGCGTTGCGGCGAGTTTCGGTATAAAGAGAGACGCAGGACTCGGCAATATCAAGAAGCAAAACCTCATCAAGTTTGGAGCGACGGCGAGGAGCTGCGTTATGCCGAAGTCGTTGCAAGTGATAGACATTCGCTCTGCGCACGAGTAGTGGACGAGGATACTCTTTCCGAAGACCACTCATCTTGTAAGGATGAATATCCGCTGCAAGGAGTCGAGTGACTCTGTCCAGAACGTGGGCGGAACGCTCGATCCCGACATCAACAAACCAAGAGCGATATGCTGAATAGAGAGCTGCAAAGCAGGGCACATCGTCCTCCTGCTTGTCAGACAGGAATCTGTGCACATCGTGCAAGACCCATCCTGCCCGTTCCCTAATGTCGTGGATGGATGTATATAGCTTATCGTTCTCAGCCAAAGGGTAGCCAGTAGGGTAGGTGAAAGTATCTCTGACGGCGGAATCGTCGGAGCTATCGAGTGCTGCATCGGGATCCTCATCATCGCGCGGGGCATCTTTTGAGTCCACCATCTGCACATCAGTCGAACCGTCGACAAGCCCACTGGAGCTGGTTGTCGATGCAGCGTTGGGGTCGAACAGCACAGAGATACCAGAAAGGATAAGACGTAGCAGGACCAAATTCCGGGTCACCTCGTCCGACCAGTCTTTACCGCTTCCATCGCGTTTCACACTGGATGTTTCATTCGTCAGTGCTTTTAGCTGCTTTAAGGCAGACTCTGCCTGGTTCTGGAAGAGTTCCACGGCGAATTCAAGTTCCTCGCGTTTCGGCACGTGCCATTTTACACTCAATTTACAAGGATCTTGTTGATAGCTCCAGTGTTCGGGCTGGATGCCTTCGGCGACAACCTCGGGCTCGTACAACGAGTAATCCGATGTATATGTACCCGTGAGGTTGAGAAGCAGGTGGTGTATGAAGTTGGAGATATGTACTGTAGGGATGCCCCGACATTTCTGCTGCATATAGACGGCTATATCGAAGAGCTCTTGCTTGTGAGCCAAGACGGCATCTCCGACATGAACCACGCACATGCTCAGCATGCTGACGTTCCACACTAGACCACGGTCTCGGGGTAGGACATCCGTTCCTGTCGTTCTCGTGGAACCCGCGCCATTGTCGTCAATCTCAGTGCGAATAGCCTGGGTCAAGACTGGAATAAAGCGTTTCAAGGCCTTTGAGGGGTTCACCTTGCAGACTGAGTTACAGATGAAGGCCATTGCGTCTCGAGCCTGATGAATCACGTGGTTGGAGACGAAATCGACAACCTTTGACAAAGCGATATCATAGTACTCGGGGGAAAGCGATGACAGCAGTGGCATGAAAGTAGCCGGCAGGGTGTTCACAATGTTCTCTTCAGGAGATCCGTTCCGCACTCTACTGACGTCTGGCAGGTTCTCAAGTAGCGTAAAGACACGACCTAAGAATGACACAATGAAGTCTCCAAAGCCGCACGTCGAGGAGCGAAGAATCATCTCTTCGGTCTCATCGTCAAGCTCAGTATCATAGTTCAGCTGGATATCCACGCCCTCTTCTTCCATGCGCTCCATCTCGCCGGTGATCCATTGCATTGCGAGCATGTTACAGTTTACATCCTCCCTCCCCTTTGTCAGGTCGGCCATGGGAATATTGTAGCAAGCGGCCTGGATGAATGACAAGGAATGTAGGGACTTCTCCAGGTCATTGGCGTCGATGCCTGGTAACGCAAGCCCTAAAAGAGTTGTCATGTGACAGCGGTATCCCTTGGTCCGGGAGATAATCCGTGACAGCACTTGAAGAGCACGAAGAGAAGAGGTGGTTCGATGAACTTCGACGAGTCCTTGCAATGACGGGTATATGCGCTGCAGAGCTCCGGGAAGGATGAGGTGTGGTTCCAGGAAGGCCAGATTCTGCAGGGTCGACAACGAAAAGCTCATGGCCGTGCCACTCTTGGCGTAGATTCCCATGAAAATCACGTCGCGCAGGCACAGCACGAAGCGGCGTTTGAGGGGCTCGGTCAATCTGCGCTCTGCTGGAACTTCCATCTCCCCACTTTGCTCGCGGTTCCACCGCATTACGAAGAAATCTGCCAAGTAATAAACCAACTGCGACAGAGTCTTCGTCCAACCGCCCGAGTTCGATGGATGGAAGAAAGTCTCTACTGCCTGAATCAGTCCTTCAAGCTGAGTGAGGATCGACTCCGGTGCGTCAAGACATGCCGGCGACAGCGACATCACAATCCACCGGGCAATGTGGTGTGCGACCGGATGTTTCCGTGTGTCCCGATCAAGCATGATGCCCAACCCGGACGAAATATCGACCAGAGCGCTGTAGGGGGAGGTGGACTGCCCGACAGGGATTTCTAGCAATCGCAAAATAGCGGTGAAAATGAGCGAGGACTGTTCTGAAGTGAAGATACCATACTCCGAAAACGGTACATGACTGGCAGGCAGGGTATCTCGGGCAAGCCGAGACAGGTAATCCAAGAAAGTGATATCGAATGTCTTCGATCGACTGACTAACGACCAGAGATGGAAGTAAGTCGGCATGTAGTGCTGCGGTAGCAAATCCTCTCTTGACTCGGGTGGGGGGGACGTAGGCAGCATCAGGTTGATTAAGCCGACGACAACGAAAGCACCTTCTGAAAAAGACGTGGTATAGTGCGGAAGAAACTCTTCGAGCATCGCTGGCAGCTCACATGGATCGATGTACAGTTGAACGAAAGCACAGAGCTTGGTTAGGGTCTTGATGTTCCGTTTGAGATTCGAGGAATGCACCAAGCCCGACTCGGTCGGCAAAACAAACGATTTCAGCTCTCTATACAGAGGTTTCCAATCCAACGTCAAGTCCTTGACGGGCCTGAGATAATGCTTACGCCTGCGAATTTGATTAGCCACGAGGAGCGGGAGATCTAGGGAGGGTGCCTACTTGGTGAGCAGCATGAACATGCTCGCGAATCGTTCCGCAACATTGGGGTCGATGCCGGGGGCGAGTGAGAGCTCATAGTACAGTTTGACGAGGTTGACACGTTGCGTCCGAGTCGGATCGAATTTCAGTGATAGCCACCCTCTCAGCTCTCTAGTCCAGTGCACCGCGCCGGGACTGAAGTCTCCAGCTTCCACTGCGATGTAAAGTTGTCGTAGTATCTCGCAGAAGTTCTTGTCTCGCTCGGGCTCATCCTCGAGCGTGTATGGTAAATATTTGAAGTAAGGGTATGTGCGTGGGCGCACGCGCGCCTTGGGTTCACTGTCTCCGTTCATGACCGCCGATTCACCTCCTGTAGAGGTGGCTCGAGGCGGTTCATGTGTGTGATGAAAGTTTTCAGATGTCAGGATGGGCCCGGAGCTTGCGTGGTCCATCGCTGAATGTTGTGTCAAGATTTATCTTGTTGTGGAGGATGATGAGAATGGGGATGGTTCAGATGCGTTCGGATTCTAGGGATTCAAGATAGTTAGCCCGAGATCTATTCGACAGCTTGGATTCGAGAAGCATAGAAAAATGCAGAATGGTCGCACCTTGCACATGGAGATCGCGGTTAGATCCTCAACTGGAAGACTCGATGCCTAAACCGCAAGTTGCTGTGGGTTCGTCTCATATGCCAGTAGTAGTGGTCCGCTAGTAGGTGAGGTGACGGAAACCGAGAGCTCCAGAATCGAATCAAAGAAAGAGCTTAAAAGTAAGGTGTGTTGAAGGGAACGACACAGAAGCCCAACGATGGGGTGAGCACGAGCTTTCTGTACAGAATTCTGATCCAGGAATGAGTAAAAAATGGGGGTAAGCTTGGTAGTTGGTTGATCAAGATAGATTATCTCAAGCTCACGGGTTGCAGACCGAAGTTGGAGGTATCATTCATTGAGTCGGGTCTGGGTCAGTTTTGTCAGATCGGTGATGACATAATTCCGCCGTCGTAGCTTAGCTTTCACACTCTCAACTAGTAACAAAACCCACGTAACGGCCGGGAGCCTAACGATGGGTCTGACCCCAGTACAACCACATTGAAGAGGATGATCCCCGATCAAGTCTCTGTGCACCACAGCTCAGCGAGGGATCGGTGGGCAAAAAGCTAAAGGTAATATTACGGGTGTATGATAAAAAGGTGAGAGGAAGTGGGGGAAAAATAGGGTGGCAAGCAACCAACACCACTACCGTCGGACAGACACACCTTTGCCTGCCCAAAAGACTTTCTCTATCACATTTTCGATCGATTATGTTTTACATTGTTCATAAATCATTCGCTTGTCCCTCGTACATGAAAACTTTGACAGTCATCTTTTGTAGTCATCCACACAATAGTGTGAAAAGGTATGCCTGCGGTTTGCGATGGCTTGGAAGTGTTCGCCTCAGCCCGAACCTACCTCAAGCCGGTGGCAGGAATGAGCCAAATAATGTAGCCTGCACTAGAGCATATGCTACCATACTTTGTACCGCACTTTTGAAAGTGCGGCTGTGTTGAATGGAAGGCGGAATTTGACCCCAGTTCCCCGAAACCAGATACACAAGGTACCAGTACCATAGTGGATAGCCCGAGGCTATCCGATTGATGATCTGAACATGATAGCTGGTCAACGCCAGTAAGGCTAGAATCCCCTGCGGTGCAGCCAGTCGCAGGAGCAGCGAAGCTGTGGTCGCGGAGGACGAAGCATGATCGATACCACTTAAGGCTCTTGGGTAGATGAATGGAACCGCCATGTCAAGTGCCCAAAATGATGAGCGGCAGAGTATAGCCAGCATAGGCATAGCCAAAACGAATAATGGAAGGTTCGAGAGACTCCAATACCGCAGGAAGCCCACGTTCCTGTTCCGCACATTAGCGCGCTTGATGCCCTTCGAAAGCTCCAGGCTAGGAACATCACATACCAATAATGACTTTGCACCCAGCCGTATATACTTGGGACATACCACTGGCACCATGGCCGCGAAGTAGTGTTTTCGGCACAATACGCTATGTGGGCAAGATACTGGGGAAGAATGAGTCCGGAAGCAATGATACAACCGCTAATCAAGGCAACAAGCAGGTGGGCACAGGCATTCAAGGACAGGCTTTGAGACACGACCCGACGCAGCTGGAGAGAAGCATCGTAGGCAAACAGAATCCCGCTCAGGATACCATTGCTGCGAACCGTTGTGGCTGCACAGAACAGAACAGCAGACAGGACCGATTTGATGTCGCCGGACAGACGCTTGCCATTCTTGTTGTCCAAGTAAGCGGAAGAGTAGAGATAGAAACCGGTTATGTTGAGGAAGGAGAACAGTGACTCTCCATACGGTGCAGAAAGAAATGCTCCGGCGGGGCAAATGATGTGTAAGGCTGAGGACAGCAGGCAGATGAGCCGTTGCGTGGTAGTATCATTTCCAAACACATTGACGGATAGTCTATATAGCGCAAGGACGGAGAGATAGTGGGCAATATGTGAGAGTAAAATCGCTTCAATCGCGAGGATAACCTCCCCTCCCCAGCCGGTGAAATGTTGAATGGCTACATCCAGCGGTTAGTGACTACCGTAGGCTTGGTTGGAGAGAAAAAAAAAAAGCCTTTACCGGAAGTTAGGTGGGCTAAAGCTTGAGTGTATCCATAACCAAACGCCCACTCTTGCTCGAAGACATATCCATTCTGAGCTATGTGCACGAAATAGATAGAATCCCACCGGACGAATTTGCGTGGAATGGTGAGAAGCAGATGCTCAATATCTTCTGGAATGACATCAGAGCCGCTGGGATCGTGATAAAGATGGCTTGTGGATGTATCGTAGCCCAGGCCTGGGCACGAGACTATGACCAGGAATACCAGCACTTTCCAAAGACAGAAAGCGATTGTCAAGCCCCTAACGGGACGGGCAGGATCCAAGATGCTGGGGCGATTCGCCGCTCGCCAACCGGCGTAAGTGGATGAACTCATGTTCGCAGCCATAGATGATAGCCACCAACATAACCCACACTATGCATACAATTGATGATCTATAAGCATGGGGTGGTGGCTGTCATTGTGACCTCGATGAAGGCAGTGGCAGTACAATGGATCACGTGTATGGATGAGATGCACACCACCCTTCTAATCCTGGAATGATGATCCGGAGACAAGGACAAGGAACCGAGGTAAGTGGATAATGTTAGAGGGGGAGGGGGAGGAGAGGGGGGGCGGCGGGGGGCAGAAGATGAAGAACAAGAGAATGGGATGATTACTGAAGACGCGTTGAGGGCCAAGCCGTGGCTGAATGGATCGGAGACTTCGGCAAGCCATGGCTGTGGCTTATTCAGCAGACGAGCAGTGCATAAATACGTAATGCATTGCATCTGTGCATCTGGATGGCGAGAGTGGCGTTGTAAGTACTGTACTGTACATACATGCAAAGCACGAGCAAAAGTATTACACAGTACTCTCTTTTAGTAGATATGAACTACTGTGTTCCTGGAGTACTGGATATCTAACTAGTCTAACAATTTTAGTGTTCTCTAGTCCTCATGGTGATGATGTCAGAGGAGCGACCTTCTCCGGTACGGCGGAGGGCTTTTTTCCCACCCACCGGATGTTCTGGAAGTGATTCCTGTCCCCCCAGACAAAAGTCAGCCCTATCGGTTTAACTGGGTCGACTTCTTACTGTGGTTTGGATCTTCGGGAGACGCAAGAAGCACGTCAAAAAGCTACATCCTGGTTGGAGGAAGATCAAGGTTTCATCCAATCTGGGGTGGGAAGAGTTCGTTGGAATGAAAAAATAAGCATGACTTAAGAAGCTACCTACCTTACTCAGTAGTACTCAGTACCTGAATTCCGACATAGCTTGACTTGTCCAACCACGATACTTCCCGTGTCAGTCTCCATGTTTGCGGTGAAAAGCTCAATGGCCCCTGTGCCGTGCATACTTCATACGGCGTACGGAGTACTGTGTATGATCAATCCGTTTCAATTTCTACCGGTAACGCCTCATTACCTGAGGCTCCACTGTGTGATCACGCGGAGTGCTTGTTCCACCGACGAGTGGCCGCCTCCATCCATGAGCGTGTGAGTACTCAGTAGTGTACATAAAAACGAACTGAGAAGCTTGACTGGGATCACTTGTAAATCGACTGCTAGACCATCCGAGTAGCTGTGACCATTAAGTACCGACCGTCTCTCCTCAGGTACTGGCCAGTCAGGTTTAGTCAGAGTGTCAGACAGACCGACTTTCCGGCCATATCCATGAAATCAGTCCGCAAGAAGTAAAATTTGCGCGCACTAAAGAAGTTTTGCCATCGAGTCTCCGCTATTCAGCGTGTCTAATGCCAAGCACTGACCGAGCCAAGAGAGTGAACTCGGTCAGAGACTCGGACTTGGTCTGCTAATTGCCCCTCGAGTGAGCAAAGAGGGAAGTATGAGTCAATCTATGATTGACTAACTCGGTTAGTTAACTCTCATCTCAATGTCTATGGGGATTTGTCATATACGAAGAAGAGCAGAGTCATGTGAAGTGAAGTGGCCGGTATCATCTAGCTGTTTCCTGGGAAGCATCTGTCAGCCGGGCTCATCGTTGACCCCGAGAACAACCGGCAAATTCAGCCTTATGCTTGAGACGGATCATGGATGGAGAGGTGAAGAGCGAGGCCGAGCCTCCGTCAAAATCCACGGCAGGTCGGCGATTCCGGCTTCCGTGATGGAGAAGGATCTTCCACAATCCGTTCTTCCGTTGGCTGCATTCCCTCAATCTCCGAATACCAGCCGGAGATTCTTGTATATGCAATGCATAGACATCTCCAACATACACTGCTTGTAAACTATCAGACGGTCATTCTACATAGTCTTGTAGATCCAGTGGTATAGTTTAGACTCTTAGTGTATGGTGTATGTACGGACTGGACAGGGTCTTCGGGCGTGCCCGGTACCTTTTGTGTCTTCATTCCATGCATAACTCGTTATGCCCATTCCTGACGCTGGTACGACCTCCGGAAAGACTCCGTAATGGGCTGGCAAAAATGATAAACTTACGAGGAGGAGTGGAGAGTGGGAGTCAAGAAAAAGTGGTGCCGAAGATCGCCGTCTAGCCTGGTCGCTTCACAGCTCCCTGTTCCTCGAACCTAAAAAATCCATGATAGATCGGGGAGAACTGAATAAATCCAGTTAACTGGATCCATGATTTATGATCATTAGTTGGAAAGGATTGATTCTTGTTGGCCCATCACTGCGCCTTTTTTTCTCTTTTTTTTTTTTCCCCCTCTCTTCTCTTCATCACACAGACTCCTATGTAACTTATATTAATTACAACCACTCCTACCAGATGACACTGACCTTTCCTTTAACCTCCGGTGCTTCATCCTTACCGTCGCAACAACTGGAACTGTCTAGTTTTCTAGCCAGTCTACCGTTACCCACTTCCATCCATTGATCCACGATCCCCCTTGGTCTACCGTCTGACATGCAGTTATCATCCAAGTCTTATTCTTAAGGCCTTGCCATTGCCGACCGAGTAAAAAGGCCGAAGCTTTTTCTCCTACGGTACACCTACGGAGTATACGAGTATACTTCTACATCATCATCATCATCATCATCATCAGGACAGCTTTACTCGAGTACTCCGTACGACTGACTGCATTACCCACTTCTAGACTTATACCCACTCGCCCACTCTTCCCTACTTTGCCTCCTTCTTCATCCCCCAATCGATGACTTATTATCCCCACGTCTGTCCGACAGGATCCTTTCTTTCAATTTTGATTTCCCTCCTCTTCCGCTGCTGACCTCAGTCCTCTCCTTTCCCCTTTCCCCACCTCGTTTTCACAGCCTCCGTCTCAGCCTCGCTTGCAAAGAGAGCTGTTTATTGCCGTGCAGGTCACGGTCAACTTCATACATCCGTATCCTTATTTCCGCACAGCGCTTTTGGTAAAGCATCTTCTTTCAATTTTCTTCTCAACACGACACCCGTCTTTTCTCTCTCTTTCTCGTTCCCTCTCAAGGCAGCAACGTTGAGCTCCAACCAGGCACGCCTCCACCCCCATCACCTTTTTACTTGTCAATGGTGGCCTCGCAGAACTGGCAGGCGTGCTTGAAGCCCAGAAAAGAATGCTCCTCAATTTTGGCTTGACCGCGGATGCAGCAGCAGCTCTCGATAGTAAAATTCTTGGTCCCGAGTCTGAACCCCAGATTCCGTCGCGCCAGTCCTCGCCGGTCTCTTTCGCAGCACTGCAATCCTGGCGCCTGGGAAGCTTATACGGCCGGCACAAAGCGACGGAAACAGAAACGCCGCCGCTGCAAGAACCCCCACCACGTGCAATGTTGCGACAACCCGCAGTAGACCAGATATTGTTGTCGAGCGATGACGAACATTCGACCGCCGTCGGGCCGACTCTAGCGTCGTCGAGGATCGCGCGTTCATATTCCGTTAGGAAACAATCGTCGCGATCTAAAACGTCATACCAATTAGCGCATCCCGCATCCCATGCACGTCACAGGCGATTGAAACTCCGACCGAAGCTCCTCTTACAACTCCAGCAGGTGTCACAAACCCCGCGTCCCTTACCCGTTCTGGATGTTCTCCCCTCAACTGTGTTTCTGCCTAGATTAGCGCGCAAGTTCCCCACCATTTTTCGCGGCAAGAAAGGACTAGGCCCCAACGACCTCATCGTGGTCACCAGCGATCTCTATGATCGCAATCCAGGCGATCTGGCAGACAAACATTTAAGTTCCGACGAAGAGAATGGGGAGCATCGTGAAGTCGTCGCCACGATATGCCAGCTTCTGAGGGATGACGCACTATCAAAAGGCAAAGCGGAAATTTGCCTCAGCTATGGACCAGTATGGGAGGCAATCCCTCTAGCCAATGGCTCATACGAGTTTGTGGCCCAGACAGATGAAGGCATCCAGGTCCTGCGCTGGGTGCTACGGGGCGGGAAGAACCGTCGCGTCTCGGCGCCTCCCGATCTTGCCATCCAGGAAGACAGCAAGCGCTTCACCTTCAGCGTTATCAACCCCAACACTCGTCGCCATCCGGTCCTCGCCACAATGACTCGAAATCGTCTGGAAGTATTCAACGAGTACTCAATGCCGACGACCTCGGGGATCGCTTCGCCTACGTCTGCCATGTCCATTATCAGCGACCTGTCAGAAATGGATGAGCCATTGGGCCGCAGGACGGTGGTTGACGACGACCTCCGCATGTTAATCATCGTCACCAGCTTCTGGGTGGCGTTCCGAGAGGGCTGGTCGCATGATTTCAGCTACAACGATGCAGCTTCCACCCTTAGGCCCAAGGTCCGGTGTCCGTCGCGGCAGAGCTCTCCGACTGCTGCTAGGACCGAAACTGATCGCCCGTTGGAGGAAGAGATCGGTAGTCTAGCAGGGGGATCTACAACCAATCGCAGACATCGCATGTCGGCATCCAGCTGCATCTCAACACCTCCCAACACAGTCTCCGACCGATCAACGCCGGGGCATCTGTCCAAGCGCTCCAACTCCACCGGAGCAGCTTTCATCGAGCGGAGCAACCGACGTGCCTCTGGCACGATGGGCCGCCTCAACCGACACAGCACACTTTCGAGCACCCGTGAGCCCGGCCGTGACGCGGATGCCAATGCCGCCGCAACACCAACTCGACAAGATTCGAATACGCGCAAGCGCTGGTCTCATCGCAGAAAATCCGAAGTGCCGATCCCAGAAAGAGCACCCGACAAGGATCTTGACCGGTTTAACGGTACAGACACCCCTCGCCCGCAGCGACCACAGCAACCACAGCACCCGCCGCCGCCGCCGGACAAGGCAAATGGAAAACCATCATCCCAGAACCGATCGGTCGAACCGAGCTCATCTAAGGGCAAACGTCGACATCGAATCAGTAGTCTATTCGACTTCATCATTCGCAGAGGCACCCATTCCGATTGAACATACTACCACCCGCAAGAGAAAAAGCAAGAAGGAGCCTGGTGCTCGAAAACATGATCTCCATGACCCCACTCCACTTATCACCTGCTGCTGGACGACACACTGCCAGCGCAGCGACACCGCTGCACACAATTTCCCTATTTTTCTTGTCCAAACATCATACCATTGCATGTATTCTATTGTTGTAACATGAGAGCCAGGAGCTGGAGGTTACTATTGATGTCTTTTTTGTTTCGTGGAATCTGTCTGATACCTCCTTTTCGCCAAGTGACGGATGTATTTGTCCGTTCGGATCTTATCTCAGCGCAATATAGCCCGTACTTATGAATACCACGATTACCAATGGCATTTCCAGATATACTATCCACATTCTTCTCTTCCCGATTCCATGATTGAGGTACTGGAGTGGTATTTGCAGACCCTGTAACTGACTAAAACAGTGGATATGATCATTCACATCTATGGTGCTTGATAGGAGGTCTGACAATCTACCGCTCCAGGCTAGACAAGGCTTTGGGGATATAGGGTTCCTCCAGGTACTTGATCTCCTCGGCGGTCAACTCCACCTTGATGGCCGCGACCGCCTCGTCGATGCGCTCCTTGCTAGCGAGACCCAGGATCGGGTTCTCCTTCGGGTGGCTGAGGGACCAGGCGATAGCGACCTGCGCCATGCTGATGCCCTTCTTCTTGGCGAGCTCCTCCACGCGGTCTACGATCGCCTTGTCGGCCTCTGTCTCGCGGCTGCGGATCAGCATCTTGAGGGCGCCGTCCGTCGACTCGCGCACCGTGGAGCGCGAGCCCCACGGCCGGGCCAGCACACCGCGCGCCATGGGCGACCAGGGAATCAGCCCCACCCCCGAGTCCTGGCAGTAGGGAATCATCTCGCGCTCTTCCTCGCGGGCCAGCAGGTTGTGGTAATTCTGCATGGAGATGAACTGATGCCAGCCGTTGCGGGCGGCAATGTTCTGCAGGGTCTGGAATTCCCAGGCGGCCATCTTCAAAGCTCCCAACAGGAAAGAAATCAGTGACGGAGTTGTGCTAGACATGCGATGGGAGTGGGGGGTGGTTTTTTTTTGGGGGGGGGGCAAACAGTCACAGGGTGTTAACAGCATTGCGTTGAGTTGCTTACCGTGCTGGCTCCGATGTACCGCACTTTCCCGCTCTCCACCACGTCGTTGAGAGCCCGCATGATCTCTTCACGAGGCGTGTCGCGGTCCAACCGGTGAATCTGCAGCACGTCGATGTACGTGCCCAGTCTCTTGACACTGGCATCAACGGCGTCGAAGATGTGCTTGCGCGACAGGCCGACGCGGTTGACAAAGTCCCCGTCGTTGCGGCCGGAGGCCGAGATGGGCGGGAAGCCGCCTTCGTCGTCGACCCCGAAGAAGCACTTGGTTAGAATGACGACCCGGTTGCGCGGAATGTTGTATTGCTTCAACGCCTTGCCTATGATCTCTTCCGAGCGACCGTGAGAATAGACGTCTGCCTAGTCTGGGTGTCAGCGCCGTATGATGCTGCCAGAGCATTATTGGCGTTTTGGGAGCAGGGAGAAGATGTACCGTATCCCAAGTGTTGATTCCGCGCTTGTAGGCGTGCTCGATCAAGGGGAGGGCTTCCTCCTCGTCCAGCACCCAGTCTTGCCATTGCTTGGTGCCGTAGGACATAGCACCAAGAATGATCTTGGAGATCTTGAGGCCGGAGTTGCCGAGACTGCGATGTTCATATTGTTAGTAGGCGTTTACGCGTTCATCCTAGGAGCTTACAGCAGCATACCGAACATATTCCATATCGGAAGCCATGATGTGGTCGTCTTTAAATGGTGATTTCTTGTAAGATGACGGTCAGCACCGAAGCAGAAGGTCGACAATGCACCCACAGAAGCAGTACAGACACCTACATGATTGTCCAGAATAATGCCTTTGATGAAGGGGACAAGACAAGAGCGAGAGGAACCAGAGGAAACACACTCATGAATCATAGTGGAGACTGAGGGGAGGGGACTCTTATCAATCGGGTATAGCCCCAGAATATAGTAAGGAACCAATTGAGCTCCATCTGCCGAAACCCTGAAGCGGCCATGTTCTTGAGCCGACTTGTTACCGAGAACTCCGACATGTCGGAGTCGTATCTCGGGAGGTGAAACTGCATGGTGTGACTGTGTATTGAATCAAGAGACGGTGACTCAGTCGTGAACATGACTCATGGAGGGGGTGGAGGTCCCGTGACCTCGTAGTTCTCCTTCCCTTTGGGTTTCAGCTTCAGCTTCAGCTTCATATTCGACTTTCTTCTTGGACAGTCATGCGTGACTGCTCTTGACCATCTCCTCGGGCTCGTCTTATCCACCTTCTCGCAAGAACATTCTTTGCAACATGGCAGATGTCAATTCTCACTCGAGCAAATAATCTTTCTGTTTGCTAACAGGTCCATCACAACACCAGGCAAAAGCAACGGACCTTCTGATGGCCTGCGTAGAGAAGCCACGAGCGGCTGACGTTTGTGACGTGGACGCCTGCTGCGGAGATCAAACGTCCACATCGCGAGTCACCCTAGCATATAGATCAAAATCCTCGAACTGAATATCAACGAGATCGGGCTACAACCGTGCCAGGCACCATGATACGATGCTGTGTACCCCTCTACCCCAAAACGTGGGGATTGGTGTTACAGCATTCCAGTGCATCGGAAAGCAGGTTTGCCTGCGATGACAGATGACGAGGGGCTGGCTGAAATGCAGGTCGACGACCAGCTGTCACTGTACACAATGTCTGGATGTCATGCGGGTATCGCAGGGTCGGTACAACGAACCGTTCGTCCCAGACGAACCATGATGCGCAAGCTGGGCCTAAATGCAGCGTCCTCACCTGCTTATTTGTCGAACCTGACTGGTCCCTCGGTCGGCGTCTGCAGAACAGCTTGCAGGGAACGCTTGTACCCCTGTCTTGTGGAGCATATCTCCACTCGAGTTCGGTTACTGCCCCGGAGAATGGAAATGGCAGCCTGATCATCAAGTCTCAACGATTGGCGATATGCCACGTCCCTGCTATAGTGAGAAATCATGTTAGCCATTGTGCTCATATCGACTGGGACATACTCAAGCTGAATGCCCATTTCTACCTAATCAGGTTAACGGATTACAGAACGTTCGTAGTCATCTGTGGTGATTACGCTAAACTCTTGATTATCTGGGGTACAGCTTATACGGGGATGGCAGTATAATGGAACCAGGCAGATTTGCCACATGAATCAAGAAGCGATACGGTATCAGCCACTCCAACTGACTCGAGCCGTCGCGACTGCATGGAGGCAGCACTTGATTCATGCTTCCAAGCAGTCTCTCCCAGCCCAGTCCTCTCCTGTAAACTCATGCCATATATTAAACAGATGAAGGCCTTGCATAGTCAGCAGATCCAGCATCTGCTAATGTCGAATGCATACATATTTGCTATACAAACGGCGCAGTTCGCAAATAATTCTCGCGGGCAGCAAGCGATTGTCCGTGGTGGTCACTCGAGCGAATTGTCAATGGTCCCTATGCCTGCTCGCTTGCCATTGCCCAAGCGCCTAGATGGCTCGACACATCAGACTATGTTGTATGCCTGCTCTTTCGTGTCTGTGTGGCTAGCTGAGAAGAACCCGCAATGTCATACTAACATGCGCTGAGAAGCACAAACTAGGAAGTGTGGATTTGTGCCTAACGTGCGACTTGCGACTGGGAAACATGCAGCTGTCAGTAAAGTCGTAGTTCGTGGCGAACAACCTCTTCTATTGACTTCATTCGACGCAACATGTCAATAGCCTCAGAGTTGACATCACTTCGCAAATAATGGCTATTCCAGACAGTCCGGGCAAGAGCAGGACAACAGGATTTGAAGACTGATTCTAGTGCTTGGTCAAGTCTATATAAGCCACGAACAACACCCTTTAGAAGGGTCTTTCGCTATCATCATTACCCCTGATATCTCCGAACAACAAGCTCTTCACCACTAGGCCCGTCAAGCTCAGATCAAAGACCCATATCAACGAAATGGCTACCACAGTGACCCGTGCTGCACCCGCTGGAACCATGGTGTCTCTTCAGGCTGCCCAAGCTCCGCAGGTTGGCCTCGCCGACGACGAGCTCCTGGCCCTCTTCCGCCGTGTCACCATCAGCGGCTCCGCCGGGCATGATGTCTCCGAGAGACAGATCAAGAAGGCTTTCGAGCAAGAAGTCAGTCGTCCCTTGGGCCGTCAGGTGCTCGAGGCCTCGCTGCGGGAAGCGCACGAATGCTCCTGCTACCACTGGAACTACCATGACCGGATCCGGGGCAAAGTCGACATCAGCCGCGTCGATCTGACTTTTGACCTGACCTCCCAGAGCATGGGGCAGTCTGTGCGGGGTGAGGTGGCTGGGTTCTTTAGAGTGAACCACGCCTATATCAAGTGAGTAATTCACTTCGTGGTTTGAGCATGCATGCAACAAACGCCACGGCATCTGTATCATCCGGGGCGTACGGAATTTCGTCTAACTATGACCAGTGCCACCGTTTACTACGATGACCAGCAGACCCTCCAGGGAAATCAGAGTATCAAGGTGTACATGGATGGAAGCGTGAGTTCCAGCCGCTCGAGCCGCGGGCTTCTTCAAAGAAAGGATTCTTGCTGATACACAGACGCAGAAATTCATCATCGATTTCTATCCCACGGACACGTCGGAGAAGCCGATTGCCCGTATCGTGCAGACTAACTCCTCCTTCACCTTCCAGGGAACTTGCACCGGCGATTCTACCTGGTACAGCAACTAGACCGAGTGCGGTGAGCTGTGCTGAGACAGCCATTGTAGGGGAAGGTATGCGGATCGAGATGAAACTTTTGCTTTTCTGTCTTTCGCGTTGAGTTTTGTTTCTGCGTGGTAGTTTAGTAGGTAGCTTTTCGGTTGGTGTAATGATTGATGAATGCATGGTCACGATCCGCGTTGAAACCAGAGTCAGTTTATATGTAATCAATTGTTGGTCAACTTCTGAAAAGGTGTAGCATCAGAATGCAACCCATAACATATAAAGCAAATGCATCCGAACGATGACACCCCCCTCAACTCCTACACAAGAAAGAAAAATCACCAAGTCTCCACCAGGGAGATCCCCTCCTCGTCAGCTTCCCCCCTCAACAACCACCAACTGCCTCTGCCAGAGCCCATAATACCTCCCCTTCAAGGCCAACAACTCCTCATGCGTCCCCCTTTCGACAATCCTCCCCTCATGCAGCACGAGAATCTGGTCCGCGCGCACCACCGTCGACAGCCGATGTGCAATCACAAACGTCGTTCTTTTCGCCCTTCCAGTCCTCCCCACCTCCCCTCCTCCTCCTCCTCCTTCTGCTTCTTCTCTTTCTCCCTCTCCGACCCTGTCGCCCCGCCTTCGAACCGGAAGGGAACAAAGCCCGCTGCACCACCCACTCCGTCTCCGTATCCACCGCACTAGTCGCCTCATCCAACACGAGCACGGGCGGATCCCGGAGCAGCACTCTCGCAATTGCCAGGCGCTGCACCTCCCCGCCGGAAAGCTTGACGCCCTGCTCGCCGACCCGCGTGTCGTAGCCGCGCGACACGCCGCCTCGATCTCCGCGTCCGTGGCGTCTAGCTTGGCGTAGCGGAGGTTGTCGCGGATGGAGGCGTTGAAGAGGAGGGGGGTCTGCGGGACGAGGCCGATGCAGTCGCGCAGGGAGGACTGGGTCAGGGAGCGGATGTCGTGGCCGTCCAGGGTGATGGTGTCCCCCTCGTCCGGTGCGGGTTGCTGCAGATCGTAGGCGCGGAGGAGGAGTTTCGTGAGCGAGGATTTGCCGGCACCGGTGGCGCCGACGAGGGCGGTGGTTTGGCCGGGGCGGGCGGTGAAGGTGATGTCGGACAGGGTGTTCCGTGGTGAAGGGTGGTGGTAGGAGAAGGTGACGTGGGGGAATGCGATGTCGCCGCGGACTTGGTTTCGCAAGGGGGCAGGGGGAGGGCGTCCGGGCAGTCGGTGATGATGGGTTGGGTGAGGAGGAGGTCGAGCAGGCGTTCGCGGCGCCCACCAGCTCCGAGACAAACCACCGGTAGTCTTTGGAGAGGTACTTGATCGGCCAGATCAGGGAGTCCCAGTACTGGGCGAGGAAGACGAAGTCGCCGGGCGAGGCGCGGCCGGCCTGGTGACATCGCGCTTGGGAATCAGGAAGGGGAGAAAGACCCTGAAGGTCCGGATGTATGCGATCCAGCTGTCCGTCTTGCGGAGGTGACTGGTGCGCGAGAGGCCGAACTCATCCTCATCGTCGGAACACCCCGAATCGGACTCCTCTTCACTGCAGAAGGCATCGGCTCGATTCGGGGCCTGACTTGAGGGAGGTGTGGTACCGTATGACACTGGATTGTGCGCGGAATCGCCCCCGGTGTCACCCAGACAACGGCTCCTCTTCCTCGAGCTGGAGTGTTTTTGAGCGGCCATGCACCAGACAGTCTGCCAGAATGCCGCCTGCCAGGGGTAGTCGGACGGCGCCCACGACAAGCAGCGTTTGTGGCACCGCAGTCGTACTTTTGGCGGCCACCGCATCGAGGATCAGTCCGGGGATGCCGGGGAGAAGAGAGATCACACTGAGCCCCAAAGCTTCCGAGACGAGAATGCTCTCGCGGAGGCCAGCTGTAGCCCAGGCCAATGCACATGTGACCGCGGCGAAGATACGGTCTGGAGGTTGATCGGGTCGGTGAGACTATCGAAAGACGATGATGGCTTCGGAGACATAGCAGGCTGATAGGCTCTGAATCAGTACCACACGAAGAGCCGTCTTCCGTAGCCTTGCAGATTGGAGGTGCGTCTTGGAGTAGTAGTGAAGGAGGAAAGATGCAAAGACAAACAACAGGGTGACTGTCGTCGTCGCCAGGTACAGCCACTGGGCAACTCGCTCCATCGCGTGCATGGATGGCGCTGCCCGCTGGTTACAGCAGTTCTCACCACAGCAGCATGCGTTGAGAATGGGTCGATAAAGTAAATAGAGTGGAAAGCCAAAGTGAAGAGCCGCATTCAGTCAACGTGACTCACGTCGACTCAGAGGCAATTGCTGCTGCCTGGGCCTGAAAAATGTTTTACAGTCAGAGAGATGGAGTAAGACGATTCCCAAGTCCTGAACGACCCCCCTGTCCCTTGGCGAGAATGACTCTCCTGAGTAAGAAACCGTAGGGCTGAATAGAAGAATGTGTATCAATTCTTTGGAAATGTATCTATACACGAGTTCATCCCGACATGCTGTACCGTATATTCATGAAACTTTTGTAACTCCCCGTCACAACCAGTATCCAAACGCTAACACACAGAGAAACAAAAAAAGCAAAGGTGACTTTTTTTTTTTTTAAGAAGTACCACCACGACCGCCCACATTAGCCAGAGCCTTCTTCTGGTCCTCCGTCAACTGAGCCGTTGGCAGAGGGCGGGCTCCAGTCGCCGTGGGAGGCGGCAGGAATCCCGTGGCGACCAGGTACGCCGCATACAGTCCAACCAATTCCTCGGTGACACCAGCACCAGCTGAGGCATCGATGCCGGACCAGGCGGCGTCCGCGCGCAGGGAGGCGGCCGCGTTGACGTCGTCAAGTTCGGGAGCCTTGGTGTTGGAAGGAAGGTCGGAAGTGACGAAGTGGTAGAGGGGCATCCTGAATGGGGACACATTAGCCATTGCGTGGGGATTGAAGTAGACAGACAAAGAGGAAAGGAACCCAGAAGGTGGACTTACAGTGCGTGCTGAGACTCGGGATCATCGTGCTGGCCGTCATTGACGTACTGCTCCAAAGCCTTGGACCAGGGAACGTAATCGATCTGGGGCACTTCGTAGCCGTAGATCTGCAGGGCACCCAGGAACTGGTTGAATCGAAGACGGGGATGGCCGGTGACTTGGGCCACGCCGATGGGAGTGCAAGGAGGCTGGAAGGCGGCAGCAATGACAACGCGCGCAACGTGGTCGACGGGCACCATGTTGACCGTGTTGTTAATGTTCGGGCGGGCAGCAAGCTGGATACAGCCCTTGAGCATACGGACGAGGAAGTCGTCGGTGTTGGTGGTTCCGGTCTGGGAATCACCAAGGACGTATCCCGGACGCACAACGGTACCCTTGAGACCGCGGCGGCCAGCTTCCCGCACGAGATATTCACCCGCCCACTTGCTTTGGCCATAACCGGTGCCAAGGCCGACGCTGCTGCCCTCCAGGTCGTCCGCCTCGCTGATACCAGCTCCACCCTCAGCGACAATCCGTTCAGACTCCAAGACATAGTGATCGCTGTCGAGAGTACTGGTTGAACTAACGAAGGAGAACTGCTTAGGCTTGCCGCTGGCGCAGAGCTTCAGGGCGTCAATAGTGCCCAGCACGTTAGCGGGCTTGAGAGTCGAGTAAGGGTACACCCAGTGGACCAGAGCACCGTTGTGGATGACCGCGTCGACACGCTGGGTCAAGTCCTCCCAGAGAGCGTCAGAGAAACCGAAGCGAGGCTCGCCCAGGTTACCGCACACGCACTGGAGCCGGCTGGTCCAAGCCTCGTCCCAGAAACCGTAGGCCTGGCAGGTAGAGCGAATGCGACCCAGTGCCTGCTCGTCGGTCTTGCCGCGCACCAAGGTCACAACCTTCGCTTGGGGTGACTTACGGGTGAGCAGATCCCGCAGGATGTGAGCACCCAAGAAACCGGTGGCACCAGTGAGGAAGACGGTGGGCTCGGAGGCAAGGATAGGCTCCGTGCGGGTGGGGAAGGAAGCGGGCAACGTCTCTGCCAACTTGCGGGCATCCTTCGAGTATTCATCATCGAGTTCAGCAGGGGCTGCAGGCTCTGCAGCAGCGGTCTTACGGTCATCGTTGCTAGCGAACGACTCATGGTTCAGCAGACGGTCAATCTCGGCAGCAAACCCTCTAAGCGTAGGACTGCGGAAGATCGAGTTCATGCTGACATCAATCTCACGCCACTTGCGGCGAACGTCGAAGAACATCTGCTGAGCCAAGATACTGTGACCTCCCAAGTCGAAGAAAGAGTCATCAGGGCCAATCATGCGAGCGGTCACATTAGGAATGCGCTGGGCCCAGATGGCGGCCACGGCTTGCTCCGTCTCACTGAGGGCTTGGGCCACCGTGGACTTGCGTCGAGGAGCGGCAGCGCTGAGCTCTGCAGTATCAGGGAAAGGCAGCGCAGGCTTGTCGATCTTGCCGTTAGGGTTCAGCGGCATGCGCTTGAGGGGAATGAAGACAGTCGGCACAGCGTAGCTGGCAAGCTTGCCGCGTAGGTGCTCTCGAATGTCGTCACGAAGAGGGCGGAACCGTCGGAGCATGCCAACCATGCCTTCGGCGGAGTCATCGTCCTCAAGACCCTTCTGCTGCAGCCACGAAGCCCACTTGCTCATGTCTGGCACGAAATAGCTGACCAGAGTAGGCTCCTCAAATTTGTCACGACGGACCAGGGTGACATTCTCTCTAACCAACGGGTGACGAGACAGATGAGTGTCAATTTCGCCCAATTCGATACGGAAGCCGCGGATCTTCACCTGATCGTCCGCACGTCCGGAGCATTCAACATCACCGGTAGGAGTGTATCGACCAAGATCGCCACTGCGATACAGCCGATCTCTAGGGCCAACGTAGAACTGCCGCCAAGGTTCGCCCTGCGCTTCGGCCTTGTCCTTCTCTGTCCAGGTCTGAGGGTCAACGAACCAATTGGTCAAGAACTTCTTTTCGTTCAATTCGGGAGAACCAAGATAGCCCTCAGCAAGACCACCAGCGCGGACGTAAATCTCACCCACTTCACCAATAGCACAGATGCGATTGGGCTCGAAGCGGTTGACAACCAGCATCTGGACATCGACCATACCCCGTCCAGCAGGAATGACATCCTTCATGGTGTCCAGGTAACCTTCGTCGCTTGAGTAGCTGGGAATTCCGAAGTAGCTGACGGCACGTTGCGTCTCAGTTGTACCATACATGTTGACAATATTCACGTTAGGAGCCAGCCCTTGGAGAGAGCGGCAATCTCTCTTAATCAAGATATCACCCACGAAGAAAGCATGGTGCAACTTGGGAAACTGAGCTGAGGCACCGCCAACGAGAATTTGACCCATAGCTGGTGTAAGGTGGGTGACAGTCGCGCCATACTCGCGCATCCATTCGGCGAGCTTCTCGTTCTGGATATCCTCACGCGCAGGAACAAGAAGTTGCGCACCCAAGAATAGGGGGGTGAAGATGTCTCTCTGGATCGGATCGTGAGCAATGCCGCTAAGCATTGTGAAACGATCGTCGGGATTGAGCTTGAACGTCTCCGACATCCACGGAAAGTAGTATGCCAGAGAGAAATGACGGCCTCTGACACCCTTGGGCCTGCCCTCGGAGCCGGAGGTGAACGACAAGGTGGGGGTAGAATCAGGACCGACCACGACACCGACAGACTGAGCCTTCAATGACACCTGGTTGGCCAGCACGTCCTGTCCGTTGACCAGACCACCTTCAAGGGTCCCGTCGTCGCGGAGGGCAAGCGCGGGAACCTCAGTACGAAGCTGTAGGTTCTTGTCAATGAAGGAGCGGACTTCATCGGTCAACTCACCGGCATCCTTGGTAGCCTTTTCGATGTTAATCAATGCGCGAGGGCGGGCGACATCCAGGTAAATGCACTGTCTTGCCGGAGGATATGCTGGATCGATGACGGAGAAAGTTGCACCGGCCTTCAGGATACCCATCACGGCAACAACCAGGTCGACACCACGGTAAGCATAGACCATGACAACCTCGCCCCGTTCAACACCTGCTTGAACCAAGTGGTGCCCCAGAATGTTAGACGCCTCGTTGATTTGTCTGTACGTGAATTCCCTATGGGGAGAGCGCTCGGACTTGGTCTCGACAACGCAGAGCTTATCAGGATGCTTCTCCGCATTGGCGGCGAAAATCTCGTGGATGGCACCACGGAACTTGGACCAGTGCAAGTCCGAGGTGGGATCAGGAAGCAATGCCTGTTGGTCCTCCGTCATGAAATCGATCCGACCAATGGCCTGTTCTGGGTTGCTCGTCGCATTCTCCACAATCTTGGCGAGCTGCTTCAGTATGATCGAGATTCTCGCACTCGAGAATAGTCTTTGGTTGTAGTATGCACCCAGCTCCGCTTGAGCTGTTGAGCCGTCCGATGCGGCGGCCGGAGCAATGTTGACCACCAGATCAGTGGTCTCAAATGTGTTGGCGGGATAGTCTTGGGAGGCAGCAGGGGCGTCATAGGCAGCAAAGCGGAAGAGGATCGGGGAGCGCTCAGCGCCAGACTTCTCTTGGATGTAGTTCTTCAAGGTGCCCAAAGGTACGGTTTCGGAAGCTCCTTCTTCAAAGGCCTTATATAATCCAGGGTCAGATAGAGCGCGAAACAAGATTGACAACGGCAGACTGTACCTTCTTAACCTTAGCGTAGAGCTGGAGGAAGGTTTCTGAGGCCTCAATTGGAACTCTAAGAACGAAAGGACGACCATCGTCATTGGAACTGGTACCGATGGCGATGTCCTCGTCACCGGTCAAACGAGCAACGAGCACAACAAAAGCAGTTAGAAAAACAGTGAAGCTCGAAGAGGATCCCGAGATCTTCTCGAGAGCGGATTGAGAGCCTTGAGGGAGCTTCAGCGATTCAAAGGCTTCAATTGCTCTCTTGGGAAGCTCCTGCTTGTGATTGTCGGGATAGTCTCTTGTGAGGGGAGAGACAGTCAGGTTTTGTAGTCGTTGAGCCCATCGCTCAAGGCGCTCCTGTAAGGAGGTTGATTCAACACCCATGATTGCAGTCGGGAGGATATGATTGCAGTCAGGATGGTATGTGGGGGGAGGGGGAGGGGGAGGGGAGAAAGAAATAAGTTTAATAATTATTGTGAAGTTCAAGTTGGTTAGTTAAAGAGCGAGAGGCGATGAGTCAAGAGGGGCAAGAGTGCCGTTACTCATACAAGTCAGTCATCCTTCAGTACAAAAGTGCCGATGTCGGCCGCTTCTTCTTTTTGAGTCCCCACATTCATGCCTGAGGCATAAACATCTATGATCCAGCCACCACCTGTGGCACCCAAGGCCAAGGGGTGGCAGTGTGGCACCAAAAGAACGGGAGCGGACCCTGAACCGATTCTCTTTGGCCGCAAGCAGCGTCCGTGCCCCCCAGCTTTCGCGCTCAGGCACAGTGTCTACTCACTCCAGAGTCTACTGTCACTTATTCTTCTCACTACCCTGAGGATCAATCCTTTTCTTAATACCACCCTCCATCCTGTCCGGCACTTGTCCTCCCCATCTCATGACTTCGTTGACCATGGCTTGACAACCTGAATTTTGTGTTGTGACGTCTTTCTCTGTCTCATCTCCCCTTGTCCTATTCTGCCCCCACCTCCCCCCCTAAAAAGTGCTACTGTTCGTATTCGCATTGACAATAGGCGGACGATCCATCATCCATCCTGTTGCGCCTCCTCTTCTTCTCAACTCCTATACTGGAAACCATTTCGTTCTCTTGACGCTCTGTCCGCAACGGACATATCCATATGTCAACATGATTCCGCATAGGAGCACAGCTCTTCTGACCATTATTGTTTTTGTCGCTCTTCTATTGATTATCTTCTCCTCCTCTCCAGCTTCCGACTCCTCGACTGGTGCACCAGTCTCCGGCCCGGCTAGATTTGTCCCTCACCCAAAGCTTCCCTCCTTCAACGACCTGCACCTGCCATCCTTCCGGCCCACCGTTCATACTCCTCCTGAACCCCAACCGAATAGTACAAGCGGAGAGACCAGCTGGTTTAGCGATTGGTCGTGGATTAATCCGTTTTCCTCCTCCATCACTCTTGACGAGAACCGATCCGTTCTCCCTCCCTTGAGGAACCGGCCTTTCATTTACACCTATTACGAACCAAACAAGGGCAATGACGTGGACGAGAACAATGCTGATGCTCAGCTTCTTCTCGCATGGCGCAGAGCTTGGTATGCGCAAGGCTTCCGTCCCGTCATCCTCGGCCCGGGAGAAGCCATGAACAACCAATTCTACGAGCTGGTCCAGCGCGTCAGGTTCAAACCCGAGCTCGAACGGGAGATTTTCCGATGGCTGGCTTGGGGACATATGGGCGATGGCTTGCTTGCGGATTGGCATTGTTTTCCAATGGCTAGGTACGATGACGCCCTCTTATCCTCCCTGCGCCGGGGCTCCGATCCAGCATTCATCACCCGCTTCGACCGACTGGGCGGCGCTCTATACTCCGGGGAAAAGTCACGGATCAACGACATGATCAAGCAAGCTCTGAACAAAGTGGATGAGACGTCTACCTCCCTGGTGGACTTGGTCCCGAGCGACCTGTTCAAGGTAGAGGAGACTAAGTCGTTGGCGCTGTACGATTCGACGACCATTACGAGCCATTATCCCGCCATTGCAGAGAAGATGGTCTCGTCTCCGACCGCCGGCCGATTGGCATTGGCAGAGCTGATCAATGCGCATTTGCACAACACGTTTCAGAATGCTTTCCCGGCAGGCATTGCCATCCTGAAGCCTTTTCCCCAGCACACGACAGCTCTTGTCGAGCCCGCTTTACGACTTGCGAAGGCTCTCGTGCAGTGTCCGAGCTCGCCCGTGCCCCAATCATGTCCGCCCAACTTACCGAAGTGCCATCCGTGTGATGCGGCGAAGCCAATGCAACTGAGCCAGCCATCCACCTACCGAAACACAACCCAAGTCTTTACCATTGGCACGCTTCCACACCCTTTCACTTTGATTAGTCTGCAGCAGGATTCTACCGATGTGAGCATCCGCCACATTCGGCGCGAGACGGATCGGGATGTATGGTTGACAGAGGTTACCAAAGACCAGTTGGGCCTCGAGATTGGCGGGTTGCCCAGGTCTACTGTTTTCAAGAGAGCTGTCGCAGACGATGCCGTTGTGGGCACATCGTTATGGATGACCGTGGAATCGCTCCCCTCTCATGCCGGTCAGTCGCTTCCGACCGAGCTGCTGGATGAATTTGAGTGGCAGCTTGGCTTCAAGATCCCCCGGGATGGCAAGGTGGACGCCAAGAACGAAGACGAGAAGAAGGAATCCGTGCAACATGCGAACCCCAGTGAGCAAGGGGTTCCCCAAGAGTATGAGATCATCCAGCAAGCTCGTGAAATCATCAAGGCTCCGAAAGCGAATAACCGGCCCAACGTCAAGGCCGCCGCCGAAGCCTGGAATTTGGCAGACGCAGAGGTCTGGCGGTTTGTTAGAGCATACCGGTACGTAAATCTAAACTTGAAGCTTCCCTTGCTTCCTCCCAGACTTTGAAAGTCGGTGAACCCGGGTTAATTATATGTCATTGGACAGAGCTCGCAGTGTGGTTGAACGCAAGAAGTGGGAGGAGGATGAGCAAGACTTTGTTGGCGCTCAGCTAAAACAGTAGGAGAGGATCGAGCGTTTGTTTTCAAAATGATACCTTTTGTTCAATACTTATTACTTGGCATCATCATAACTACTTAGACAATAACTAACTAATTATGCTTATTCATGATTCATGAATACTGCCAATGGTTGCCGCCCATCGGACAGTGGCGATCGCCGGGGATCCCCTGCGATTCCCTGCGATAACCGAGTGGGGAATTTGGGGGATATGGGATCTCCTTCCCCGATAACAATCCATCACTTGCACCACTTCTTCTTCATACAACAATCACCTCTGACTTACTTTACTTACTTCTTAATATCATAGTGTCTGCTCCCTACTAGTATACGACTCTTATACTATCCTGGTCTACTCCCTCTCTTCTGACTTCCTCATTTGTTCTGCTTCATGCCAGCGTTGAGATCATCCCCCGCATCAACGCTGGTTCCGAGTGGCGGTTGATCCACCCTCCAAACTAAAGGAGTCGCCAAGAGAGATACATATCTAGAACGAGTACACCTACTTCGATCCAAAACCCCCCCGAACTACAGCAACATGGCTCCTGGAATACTCAGCTCATCACCGCCGACCGTGCCTTCCAAGGCCGTTTCTTTGGCCCAGCTCACAGAAGAGTGGGATGACACTATCCGCTTCTACCTGAATGGCACCAAAGTGACCCTTGACTCGATTAACCCCGAAACCACCTTGTTGGAATACCTCCGCGGGATCGGTCTAACGGGGACAAAGCTGGGATGTGCCGAAGGAGGCTGTGGCGCTTGTACTGTTGTAAGTATTCCATTGACCACCCTGAACTTGGTCTTCTCGCTCACCTAGATCAACCTTGAAACAGGTGGTTTCACATATCAATTTCACAACGAAGAAACTATACCATGCGTCAGTAAATGCCTGCCTTGCCCCGTTGATTAGCGTGGATGGGAAGCATGTCGTCACTGTAGAGGGCATTGGAGATGTGAAGAATCCCCATGCGATCCAGCAACGACTCGCGGTCGGTAACGGTAGTCAGTGTGGATTTTGCACACCTGGTATTGTGATGGTAAGCTTTTCGATGTCTTTCTGGGTTTATATGAGCTAATTTCTTGCGAATAGAGCCTTTACGCCCTTCTGCGCAATAGCCCTGAGCCATCGGAACATGACGTGGAGGAGGCATTTGATGGAAACCTCTGCCGTTGCACTGGATATAGACCCATTCTGGATGCAGCTCAAAGCTTTTCTGCACCTAAAGGCTGCGGAAGGTCTTCTGTCAACGGAGGGTCGGGGTGTTGCATGGAGAAAACCGGTGGTTCTGGAGGATGCTGCAAGCAAACCTCCGTCGAGCCTATCAAGGACGACAAGACACAGACATTCTCGCCGCCTGAGTTCATTGAATATAGGCCTGATACGGAGCTCATCTTCCCGCCTTCTCTGCGAAAGCACCAGTTCCGCGCTTTGGCTCTTGGGAACAAGAAAAAGAAATGGTATCGCCCTGTTACTGTGGATCAGCTTTTGGAAATCAAAGCTGTACACCCTGACGCAAAGATTATTGGAGGAAGCACAGAAACGCAAATTGAGATCAAGTTCAAGGCTATGAAATACCGTGCCTCTGTTTATGTCGGCGACATTCCGGAACTACGTCAGTACACACTACGGGACGACTGTCTGGAACTCGGAGCCAATGTTTCCTTAACCGATCTCGAGAGAATCTGTGACGAAGCGCTCGGTCGGTATGGTGCCGCGCGTGGGCAGCCGTTCAACGCTATCAAGAAGCAACTTCGTTATTTTGCCGGAAGACAAATCAGGAATGTTGCCTCTCCAGCGGGCAACTTGGCTACGGCGTCGCCGATTTCTGACCTCAACCCAGTGTTCGTGGCCACGAGGTCAACTCTCGTGGCCAAAACACTAGGCCAGACCATCGAGATACCGATGGATCAATTTTTCAAAGGTTACAGAACGACTGCTCTCCCTCAGAATGCCATCATCGCTGCATTGCGCATTCCGCTCGCAGCCGAGGAGGGTGAATACATCCGGGCATACAAACAGTCTAAGCGAAAGGACGACGATATTGCTATTGTCAATGCTGCTCTACGTGTCTCTCTTTCAGACTCACACACGGTCAAGAATGTAAACCTCGTCTTCGGTGGTCTCGCGCCGATGACTGTGTCCGCCCGAAACGCGGAGGCATTCTTGGTTGGCAAAAAGTTCACTAGTCCCGCAACACTCGAGGGTACCATGGCTGCCCTGGAACAGGACTTTGATTTGAAGTTCGGAGTTCCGGGAGGAATGGCGACGTACCGTAAATCTCTTGCCTTGGGCTTCTTCTACCGGTTCTATCACGATATCTTATCTAAGCTTGAGGTGAAGAGTGCGGACATCGATGACGACGTCATTGCTGAGATCGAACGAGCCATTTCGACAGGAGAAAAGGACCACGAAGCTTCTGCGGCATATCAACAAAAGATCCTTGGAAGGGCTGGTCCCCATTTCTCTGCCTTGAAGCAGGCTACGGGAGAGGCTCAGTACACAGATGACATTCCCATTTATCAGAACGAGCTCTATGGCTGCATGGTACTATCAACCAAGGCGCATGCTAAGTTACTCAATGTTGATCCGAGCGACGCGTTGGATATACCCGGGGTCGTTGACTATGTGGATCACACCGATCTTCCCACTCCAGAAGCGAATTTCTGGGGAGCACCAAATGCTGACGAGCTTTTCTTCGCCGTGGACGAGGTCAACACCGCCGGTCAGCCTATCGGTATGATACTGGCAACATCTGCCAAGATCGCCGAGGAAGCTGCTCGGGCCGTCAAGGTGGAGTACGAGGACTTGCCAATGATTCTATCGATCGAAGAAGCCATCGAGGCCAAATCATTCTTTGAGCATTACCGTTACATTCAATCTGGTGATGTAGAGAGTGCATTCGAGAAGGCAGCGCATGTGTTCACTGGTGAATCGAAGATGGGCGGGCAGGAGCATTTCTACCTTGAAACGCAGGCCTGCGTTGCCATACCGAAGAACGAAGATGGGGAGATGGAGATTTGGAGTGGAACCCAGAACCCCACAGAAACGTAAGTCTTGTTGTTTCTTCCGCTACCACAACGAGTGCTGATAATGCGACAGACAATCTTATGTTGCCCAGGTTACGGGTGTAGCGGCTAACAAGATTGTATCCCGGGTAAAGCGGCTTGGTGGTGGCTTTGGTGGAAAGGAGACTCGGTCAGTCCAGCTGGCTGGTATCTGCGCGACGGCCGCGGCGAAGTTGAAGCGCCCAGTTCGGTGCATGCTCAACCGCGACGAAGACATTATTTCCTCGGGTCAGCGTCATCCCTTTTACTGTCGTTGGAAAGTTGCCGTAACGGAAGATGGCAAGCTACTAGCCCTCGACGCTGATGTCTATGCCAACGGCGGCCACACGCAAGATCTCTCCGGGGCTGTCGTGGAGAGAAGTCTGTCACATATTGACGGTGTATACCGTTTCCCGAACGTTTACGTTCGCGGCCATATTTGCAAGACTAATACTGTCTCGAATACGGCCTTCCGCGGGTTTGGGGGCCCGCAAGGCATGTTCTTTGCCGAGAGCATTATGGAAGAAGTGGCAGATCACTTGAATATTCCTGTCGAAGAATTCCGCCTCCAGAACATGTACAAGCCAGGTGACAAGACACACTACAACCAAGAACTCAAAGACTGGCACGTGCCGTTGATGTACAACCAGGTTCTCGAGGAGAGCTCTTACGCAGAGCGTCGAAAGGCTGTGACGGAGTATAACAAGGAACACAAGTGGTCCAAGCGCGGGTTGGCGATTATCCCCACGAAGTTTGGTATCTCATTCACAGCGCTGTTCTTGAACCAGGCAGGCGCCCTAGTGCACATCTACCACGATGGGAGCGTCCTCGTCGCCCACGGCGGAGTGGAGATGGGCCAGGGTCTACACACCAAGATGACAATGATCGCCGCCGAAGCACTGGGCGTGCCTCAATCCACTGTCTTCATTTCCGAGACCGCCACAAATACCGTGGCCAACACCTCCTCCACCGCCGCTTCTGCCAGCTCTGATCTGAACGGGTATGCCATCTTTAACGCCTGCGAACAGCTCAACGAGCGTCTCAAACCCTACCGAGAGAAGATGCCTGGGGCCACGATGAAAGAACTCGCGCACGCCGCGTACTTTGACCGAGTCAACCTTTCCGCGCAAGGGTACTACCGTACCCCGGACATTGGCTATGTCTGGGGCCAGAACACCGGTCAGATGTTCTTCTACTTCACGCAGGGCGTGACTGCCGCCGAGGTGCAGCTCGACACTCTCACCGGAGACTGGACCCCGCTGCGCGCCGACATCAAAATGGACGTCGGCCGCACCATCAACCCGGCCATCGACTACGGCCAGATTGAGGGCGCCTTCATCCAGGGCCAGGGCTTGTTCACCACCGAGGAGAGCCTGTGGCACCGTGCCTCGGGCCAGATCTTCACCAAGGGGCCCGGCAACTACAAGATCCCGGGCTTCCGGGACATCCCGCAGGTGTTCAATGTCAGTCTGCTCAAGGACGTCGAGTGGGAAAACCTGCGCACCATCCAGCGGTCCCGCGGGGTCGGTGAGCCCCCCCTGTTCATGGGCAGCGCGGTCTTCTTCGCTATTCGCGACGCACTCAAGGCGGCCCGACGCCAGTGGAACTTGCATGAGGTCTTGCGACTGGAGAGCCCGGCCACGCCCGAGAGGATCCGTGTGAGCTGTGCAGACCCGATCATCGAGAGGGTGCGTGTGGTTCCGCAGGCGGGGGAGAAGAGCTTCTTTATTGCAATCTGATCTGGCGGTCAGGAATTTCGGTAGTAGTATATGTGGTATATCATGAATCTTACGACATGCGCGCACTTGATAATTCTACCTGACACATATTTAGCTAGCATCGTCCTTTATGAAGTAGAATACTTCCGGATTTCTCTCAATTGGAAAACCTGCAACCACGTTCTACGGGTATATCGCGTGCAGCTTCGAACTAGAAGTAATCACAAGAGAGACAGCAACGCTAGACGTAGAGAGTGCCCGCCAAAGAATCAGAAAAGACGATGAAGAACAAGATGAAAAAGAATTTGAAGGAAAGACAAGCAAGAAGCTTGATTTAGCTTCCGGGAGTAAAAGGGTAAGTTAGAGAGAGAATAACTCAATGCTTCCCTATTCCATACTCGACATAACTACTGCCTCTCAAGTCCGAGACCCCGTCCACACGTAATGCATTCCTCTGTCCTGCGAACCCGACTTTTTCGTCTGGATAGACGCCCAACTCTTCGGTCGGTGTAATTGTAGTGGCAGTAGTAGTAGAAGTGGTAGTACTCGCGCCGGCTCGCTCTGTCCCACCACCTCTCGTCGCAACTTCATATCGCGGAGCAGCCGCGTCATTGTCATCATCGCCAGCATCTAGAGCGAACCGATGCTGCTGCTGCTGCTGCCTCGGCATACTCGTCAAGGGGACATCGATGAAGCCCGCATTCGGACCGAGACCGGAACTCGGCGAGGCAGGGTTCGGTCTGGACGACGCGGGCGCAGGGCCGCCCTCGCCGCGAGTTTTGTCCTTTTTGGCCAAGAGGATCAAGGCCCGCGTGATCCCGCACAGGGCATTGATGACCCAGACCAGCAGGATGAAGGAGGCGATGATGGTCTCCAGGCGGATGCCTTTCTCAAGGGCGGTAATCACCTGGTTGACCACCTCGGTGATCTTGTTGGAGGTCTGGTCGCCGGCCTCCGCGAGGAAGCTGTCGTCACTGCTGCTGCCGCCGGCGGTATCGTTCAGGGAGGCGGCGGCGCCGCGGGAGAAGGTGTCGTTGGGGAAGAGGGGGAAGTCGACGTGGGCGTGGTCGTGGACCCAGGTAAGGCCCTTCTGGACGCTGGCGACCTTCAAGCCGACGAGGCAGTTGAACACCTCGAGGAGGGGATTGTAGAGGATGGTATCGCCGAACGTGCCGTTGAGGACCTCGATGGTCTTGTCGACAAAGGTGTTGAGAGTGTCGTTGAGGGCGGTGGTGCTGGTGTTGACCCAGCCGAGGACGTTGTCGTTGATCTGCGAGTCGACGTGCAGGATCGCCGTGTTGGTATTGTTGGCCCACTCCGCCGAGCTGTTGGCCAGCGCGTAGACGACCTTGTCAGCGAACTGGCCGACCTCTTCGGAGAGCTCGGGCACGGTGCGTTTCACGGCGGAGAGGAGCAGGTATTGGCACAGGCAGGAGAGGAGGCCGGCGAGGGCCAGGCAGAGCACGAACAGCGCTGCGGGCGTCGTCGCGTATGCAATCGCCCACCGCACCAGGATCTGAGCCCGGCTGTTGCTGAACCGGCTGGCGGCTTTGATCCCGGCTGCGGCTGTGTAGGGCCGTGACACGATGTAGACCACGTCCATCGGGTCGTGGGCCTCCTTGCGCACCAGCTGCGAGCGTTCCCTCATGTGGCGCCAGCGCCGAATTTCCTGCCATGCCATCGGGATGCACGCCAGAATGGCTGCGATGACCAGGATAGCGATAAAGATTTTGCGTGCCGTGAGAGCGACATCGGTGGCGCCTTCAAAGAAGGAGTTGATGCCGTCGTTCGAGTCGCAGAAGGTAAGTTTCTGCTTGGCCGGCACCGACAGCGCCGATGCGTTGAAGCTGTATGTCCCCAGCGAGCCATTGACCAGTTTTTTAACTTCCTCGAACGGTAGGCGAAGCACGTTCTCGGTGAAGTTGCTGACTTCGTCGAAAGTGGGGATGGAGTTGTTCAATTTATCGAGACTGGTGTCGATGGAGGAGGGGAGGTGGGCGTTCTCGAGGGTATTGATGGAGTTGGTGAGGTTCAGGGTCGGGACACTCGTACCAAGGGCGCTGAGAACGGTGTTGACTTTCTTGAGGAAACTGTCCAAGGTATCCTCGAACGTGTCGACTGCCTTGCCAATATCTTCCCCGACTGTCTTGATGGTTGAGTTTAGGAAATCGGCAGCGTCTTCCAGAATGCTGACTCCGATCTCGACTGCGCCTCGCACGACCAGCGTGAAGAGGCAGAGGTAGGTTTGATACATAACTTTGACGAAGAAGATGACCAGCTCTTCCACAGCGGTTAGCGACAGGGTCAACACGCTCTCCAGCCCGTCGATTGCGGCATTGACCGTCTTCACTGCCAGCTCGTTGACCCCCTGAGCCAAGTAGTGCGGCATGGAGGCCATCGTGCTGCCCATGGTTTCCACCGATGTACATGCTGAAAGCGCTTCCGTCTTCGCTTTTGCCATGTCGTTCTGTATGCTCGAAACGGCCAACAGTACTCTGACCAAGACCAAGAGCAGTAGGATAGTCCATCGGTTGAGCCATGACTGTGACAGGCGGGCTCGCAGGCCCAGGTAGGGTGTAATGCCGTCCGGGTGGAGTGGGATAATCCGACCTGAGCCTCCGCTGGGATCATGAGCGCCGTAAGGTGGCAGCAGGGGAAATATGCTTCGTGCAGGTCCGAAAACCCCCATGCTGGCGGAATGTGAGGGAATTATTCTGTTGTCACAGCGGATGGGATCTTGTCAACGAGAAAGAGAAAATCTGGTATATGTCACAAAACGCTAAAGACACTGAGAACAGGTAGGAATAAGATAATTCTGATCCGGCAGCAAATTATTCCAAAAGGGCAAAGAGATTCTATAATGAACTGTATAGCATGTCGAAGAGGAGATGAGGAGGATACACTGTCAATAGGAGAAAGCGATTAACACATCATGAAAGAGGGTACAAAACAATGGATACTAAAGACAAGGGAGCAGAGGAACACGCATTGTCTTATATATGGAATCTGTTTCGTCATGAGAAGCTCTCACTCAGGCAAGTGAGACAAAGATGGCTCCATCGCCGCGCCAAAGGAGACCACCACTAAGAACAGCGGCAAGGCGACCGCAACAAAGACTAGAAGACGCTCGCCTAAGATGAGCAGCTGATTTCAGAATAGCTCTGTTTCATCTGGCGCAGAGATGATCTGCTGGGTTTCTGCAGCAGGGCCCGGCCGAAGATAGTAACGGCGCTTAACTCTTCAGCCTCCTGCAAGCGCTCTGGTCCAGTCATTTCGACGGCTTGTGCATGGATATCCAGTCTTGGGCCCCACAACAATTGAAAAAGTAAATTGATTGTAGTATTGTAGGATGGAGTACTTCATTGGGGGTTGTTTTGAGGTTGCGGCGAGACAGCGCTTGCTGGGCTATGGCGGTGCTGGCAACAGGCAACGACGGTTGACTGTCAGTCAGACTGGTTCAGAAGACTAAGAGGGATGGAGCTGAAGGCATCGATGTAAGTTGAGTCAAAATCTACAGCTCAGCTGGTGATGTTCTGCAGCTGTAGCGGGTTGAAACGCGCAGTGGAAGTCTGAGTCGAACACAACAAAGTTGCGACAGAAAGAGAGAGACAAGGTAGCCGGCACGTGATGGTCGACTCTTAGACTCCCTGCTTGCTTCAGACTGCATCAATTGCTGGTAAATACTACTATGTTTACTCTAGAGATACGAAGCTGATACACTACGGAGACTGACCACTACAAACAGAAGAACTGCAGCAAGACATGACCTGATAGCACCCTCACTACAGCTGTAGTTCCGCTAGAAGAGACAGAAGCCCATACTATGAGAACATATAGCATGATTCACGTTGTCGCTTCAGCTTTTAAAATGCTGTGCAGTGAATGAGTATTGTGTCATAACTCCTTCGGTAGTCATAGAGCACAGATTATGACTGCGGTGCGCCTTCAGTGGTCCTCAAGGAGGTGAGCAGCACACACCGAATGGCAGACTTCACCACAGCCCCGTAGTCAAGACCCGCGTGGTGATGCGCTGATTAATCGAGGAGGCCCTTGGCCAACACCTCACGATCTCTGTATCAGTTCATCCTCTTCTCTCGGTCCTCTCTCCTTTCATCATTTTCATCCAAGCTGGCGGTCATCAAGTCACCACAAACAGGAATGCCGCACGGGTCGCTCGTGGTGTGAGCCGGAGTAGCATCACAGGTATACAAACAGACCTTAATCTATTAAAGTGAATTAGTTCTGACAGAGGTACTGATATAGGAACAGGGATCTAGGCAACATCAGAGGAAGAGAAGGAGACTCACCAAACCAACTGTGCATCCAACATCTTTCACCTCTACGCATCCTCGCATCCTCTCAAGTCGAGCGATGTCAATGTGATATCAAGATGGCGAAAAGTCCTCGAGACAACAAGGAGAAGGCATCCAGCTTCCTGGCTGATCTGGACCAAGCACTGGAAAGGCAGCCAGTGAATTGGTTACAGGCCGTGGAGTCTCTGAGGCAGAATCAAAGGACTGAGTCTCCTGGTCACGGGGACAACAAGTGCACGAAACAGGCAAACATTCATCACAAAACAGAGGAAAGTGAAGTAAACACCGCGGAGTTGAGCCGAAGCAACACCGCCTCAGATCAAGAGATATCGGCATCCGATATGAATTGTGCCGGTATGTGTTTCTCGTCTACACCATCACCATCACCATCACCATCACCATCACCATCACCATCACCATCACCATCAACACATCTCATCCCTCCACTCAACCTCCATTCATCCCAATCCCATCCCCCACCCAAGAGCCAATCGCCATGGGGCGTCTTTTCTCTTCGAGACTAACCTGGGGTGATTGGCAAGCTACAGATGAAGACGATGACTCCTCCGACGACAAGCAATCTTGCGCTGAGACGATTGACTTGATCCGCGCGAGAACCGCCACTGGATCGGACCCCACTCCAAGCTCTACCCCTACACTTGCTCCATCCACACCCGTTGAGACTCTCGGTGACCCTACATCAGAGGAGCCACTTCCTTCTTCTGTCTCTACTTCATCAGTTGAGAGTCAGACTGTCGAGCAGCCGGAGGTCTTGCCTGCCATCCCGGAATCTGCAGCCAAGCCTTCCGAGCAGACATCGAGCTCGCCTGTTGCTCCAGCATCTGAGGAAAAGGCTTCGGAGCAGTCAGCTAGCATGGCAAAGCCTTCGTCTTCGTCAGAGGACAAGCCATCTGAGCAGACTTCAAGCTCACATGTCTCACCCTCACCCATGTCTCAATCCTCTGAGCACCCATCAAGCTCGCCAGTCCTGCCAACATCTGATGTTAAGCTATCCGAGCAGACATTGAGCTCGTCTAGACTCTCGACATCTGAGGAGAAGCCATGCGAGCAGCAGCTAGCGAGCCAGCCGGAGCGGGCAGTCCCTTCTGAGGACCAGCCCACCGAGAAGGCATTGGAGTCACCCGTTCCTCCAACATCTGAGGCTAAGCTCCCGGAGCAGCCATCAAACTTGTCTCTCACTTCATCCAAGGAGAAAGAATCGGGAGACTCATCGGGCCCAATTCTCTCTCCCTTATCTTCCAAAGAGCAGCCTCCGCAGCAACGACAGGAGACCAAACCATCCACCCCACAGACCCAAGTCTCCCCCAACCTCTCCAAGAAGGCCAAAAAGAAGAAAGCGAAGAAGAATAACAAAAAGGCCAACAACAACGCTGGGGGAGCGGCACCAGCCCCTGCCGCTGCTGCAACTGTCACTTCGTCGAATACCGGAAAGCATGAGACTTCCAGCACGAAGGCTGCGGTGCCCGACAAGTCCTCGGATGCTAAACGCCATGCCTCGTCTGCGGAAGCAGCAGAAGCTCTGGGCGGCAGCAGTGCCAGCAGCGTTATCAAGATTACCACCACAACAACCACGACCACGACCAAAGTATCTAATACCGCAGGCAGTACCGCAGCCTACAAGAAGGCGGAGGAAAAGCTGGCGTCCCCAACTGCTGTTGCATCCCAAGAACATAAGACCACCGGTAAAGCCAGGGCGGATCCTGATGCGGCGGCCAAGCTGCTGGCTATCCAGGCGGCCATCGATAGACTGAACGCTCAAGGCAGAGCACAGTTTGACTTCGTCGAATCGGCGAGTACTCTGCATGCACCCCATTCTCGATCCTATGCCCGAGCTGTGTCCGGTGACGAGAAGACCCGGGATGTCAGTCAAGGACCCTTCGGATCGCCAAACGTATCTACCGAAAACGACCAAAGGTCGATCCACAAGGAAAGCGAATTGCCTCCATACTCGCCCAGCACGCCTCAGAATAGCGCCATCTCCATCCGGATCCCATTGCCTCCCATTGCAGAAACCCCCACGGAAACACAGCAGACAAGCAAAGCGAGCGAAGATGGCCAATCCGGCGCCAACACAGGAAGCGGGCCATCCGATCTGACTCCCAAGTCCACCAGCACGACCTCCACAACATGGACGACGGGCCAAGCTTCCCAGACCACGCCCCACACCACGGTGACCTCTGCGCCATCGACCACCAAGACGACCAGCAACACGCAGCAGAAACACCGAGGCGGCGGTGCGAGTGCGCAAACTAGCAAGCTAACCAGCGCTGCAGCAATAACTCAGCCAGCCAGCAGCAGCAGTAGCCACGCCCATCCCTCCCCTACAACCACCAACACCACCACCACCACCAGCAGTAGCCGCCGCCGCGTGCAGCAGCAGCAGCAGCAGCAGCAGATCTCGCACGCCAGCGGGGGGACCCTCTCGAGCCGAAAGCCGGAGGGATTCTTCTGGCAACTCGACAGCCACGGCTTCCCGTGCGCGATGCGCAACTGCCCCAAGCGCTGCAACTTGTGGGACGGAGCCACGGTGATCTGCCCGGGCTGCGGGCCCTTCTCGGAAACCCGCTACTGCTCTCGCGAGCACCTGCTGGAGGGGATCAAGGCGCACTGGCCCGTGTGTCGGCAGCAGGTCTTCGTGCACCCGTGCCGCGAGAGCACGATCCCCAGCGACGTGCGCGCGGGCCCGCCCATGATCCCCTGCCTGCACAACTACGACATGCCCGAGCGCCACCGCCAGGCGGTATACTTTGCCATGAACACGCGCCAGGGCGATTACTTCATCTTCTCGGACTGGGCGGACTATTCGCGCGCCGGGTTCCCCGCGGATAATGTGTTGCTGCGCTGCTCCAAACGGCTGGTGTATACTGTTCGCTTCGAGAATGCCGAGGAAAAGGATCGTTTCCGCCGTGTGCTGGCGATTTGTCTGTTTGGTAAGTTTTGACCTTGACCCCCTTTGAGAGAGAATTCCCCGGAGATGGCGGGGAGGAAGAGGAGTGGACTGAGCTTAAGGCGAACCTTTAATTTGAAACTGACCAAACCCCCCCGCCTTCCCCTCTCAGCTACCTTGGAGGTTCACGCACTGGTCGACTACCTCTTCCGTCTTATCAGGGACCAGCTCCGCGCGGCAAACGCTGCCAAACACCTCGAGGCCGCTGTGCGATACCAGCTCCAGCAGGAGACCAATGTGACCATCCAGCAATACATCACGGGAGAACGCCACGCCTGCGAGACGGACTGGAACGGTCGCAACCGTCGCAACTGTGCCGATGCCGTGTGTCGCTCCGAGTACCAGCGTCTTCTCGGGTCCATGGGAGGAGGCGGACTACGGGAGGTCGTCAAGGGGTGGGAGTCAACTTTCTGGATCCTGCGCGCCGCGAGAACAACGCATCCGGAGGTCAAGGACCCGAAGAAGCGCATGCTCGGCGAGGGGTTCGAGGGGGTGGCCGAAGAGGATCAGCGGGTGTTTCGACGTGGTGACGGGTGGGATGGCGCTGGGACCGGCGATATGGAGATCGAAGGGTGGAACGAGGACGAGGGTCCCGTTGAACAGTGACTTTCGAGTGACAGTTCCACGCGGACTATTATCCGAGTCATCACGCCCTGGTCTGTCGGCGTCCTAAGGCATGCTACTGTAGTTCGACATATTAACTTTTCTCATCTATGGTTGTTGTGGGCGGAGTTCAGGGCAAGATGAATGGTTCGAGCGGGGGGGTGTTCTTTTTTTCTTTTTTTCCACTTGTCGGTGCTCCAGCCCTGGGAAGATAATGTCATGTACAACACAGATAGCCAAATTGTAAATCTAGTCCATTTTACCCGGTCCAGTCTCCCTGCGACAGATGAAGTCTATATAATCGTAAATCCATTGTTGAAACCCATTGAATCACCAGCCAATCAAGCAGCGTCCGCACCATCCCAAGCTAGAACACTCACACTCACTGCTTGATGTATTTCTTTAGGCCACGAAGCCTCTCCTTAGCAGTCTCGAGAACATCGTCATTCTTGCAAACCGCAAAGCGCAGGTAGTCCTCGGCGATGTGGGCGTTGGCATCGGTGTAGAACTCGGTGGGAGGAATAGCAGCAACGCCGACCTCGTGGATGAGGAACCAGCAGAGCTTGAAGTCGCGAGGCCGGCTGGCCACATGGGGAGGGAAGGGGTAATCTTCGGGCAACTCCACCGAAGCCATGTTTGCGAGGACAAAGTAGCCACCCTCGGGATCCGAATACTGCATTCCATTCCCATTTAGTGGGTCTGTGTCTCAAACAAGGTTCAGCACCATCACTTACCGGGATGTTGAGTTCGTCGAACACCTGGCAGAAACGCTCCATCTTGGCCTTCATCTCGGTTCTGCTCTGGTCCCAGAAGCCAACCTTGTCTGCCTGCTCGAAAGCTACCGCGGCGGCCTCCTGAAGAGGCGAGACACTGCTGTAGCAGATACGCGTGTGGGCGCCAGACACATACTTAATCAAGTGCTCCGGGCCGATGAGATAACCCACCCGCCAGCCGGTGGCATAGAAAGCCTTGCCAGCGGAGCCGACGGTGAGCGTGCGCTCATAAAGCTCCGGGGACAAGGTAGCAATGCGGGTGAAAGGGACGTAATAAAGACGGTCGTAGACTTCGTCGGAGAGAATGATCAGGTTGTGTTTCACAGCTAGTTCGCCAATGCGCTCGCATTCGGCGCGTGAGAAAACCTTGCCCACGGGGTTGTGACTTGTGCGGATTTAGCTCGGTTTGTTCCCTACCAGGTCAAGCAGTGACCACTTACGGCGAGTTCAGAACCTGACGAGCCATGGTTAGTTGTTTTCAGCCACAACATCGTGCAAGTGCCTTACAATCATCTTAGTCTTGGAGTTGATCGTATTCTCCAGCTCCTCGAAGTCGATTGTCCACTCCGCCGCGGAGGAGGTGCGTGTAGCGCCATCCTTCGGTGGGTGAAGCGGAACATACCGAATGGTACCACCAGGCATTTCAATGTTGCTGATGTACCTTTGGGCGGCGTCAGAGACGGCTAGCGAGGGAGGGAGAGAGGCCGTGCAACTTACTGGTCGAAGAAGGGCTCAAAGACGATGACTTCGTCGCCAGGCTCGATGAAACCCATGAAGGCACTCAGCATACCTTGGTACTCAGTCAACTACAGTCCAGGCTCGTTTGATTTTCAGCGATCCCACCTTCATTCGCTCCTGTGGTAACGACAACCTCGGTGTCCGGGTTGATAGTCCGGCCGAACGATGGGGAGTAAGCATCCGCCAGGGCTTGCTTGAGACGAGGACGTCCCTGCAAGAGAGTGAGTCTATGCACTAGGGGCCGTTGGGGTATGAGTGTACCTTGGTTGGAGAGTACTGGTTGCATTCGACCCGATCGAGAGCTTCCTTGGCCGCATCGAGGGCGAACTGGGGGGGATTGTAGCCACTGCAAGCGGAGCGGTGCCATTAGTCTCCCTTCCATGGACATCTTTCGGTGATTGACTCAACTCACAAGAAACCCTGACCCATGTTCACAATGGGCTGAACGGGCGAAGCGGCGGCAGCCTCATTGACAATGGACCTGCGCGCCGGTCAGCGATCCCGACCGCAGCACGGCAGGACTGGGTGATGCTTCGTACCAGACATCTTGCTTCTGACCGGCGACCCTCTTGGCCGGGCGAAATGGGTCGGGACGAGCCGCAGTGGCCGACATTGGACGAGTGCAAGCTGGATAGCGGGGGAGTGCGGAGGGGCAGGCAGCGTGGACGCGAAGGAGGGTAGTCGATGAGGAGAGACGCAAACCACGGAACATAGAAGGCAAGCTGACGGTGGAGGCTAGTCCAGAGCGAAGCAAGCGAAGGGAAAGAGAGGAAGAAAAGGGAGGGAGGAAGGGAGGGAGGGGGAGGAGAAAAAGAAGCGGGAGTGACAGGCGTTAAGTCCGGGGATGAAACAGCAATCGATGGTGGGGAAATTCAACCATTGCGTGCTTTGCGCCTTGGCACATACTGGGAACTGATAAGCAACTACAAAGTAGGGGAGTATTTAACGTTATGAGGTCAGTAAGAGACAACAACAAACAGGATTTTCCTCCTGAGAATCCAATTCAATTGCTTCTTCGAGTCAATCGCATCCATGAATTGTCCCTTGCACCTTCAGGCATTCCATTCCAAGCCTCGCTGCAGCTGCCATCGGCTTAGTCAGCCTATGCTTCTTATCGCCGCCGCGGCCGACGCGCGGAGAACGCGTTGATTGATGGATGGATCTTCAAATCGCCTCGATGGTAAACTTGAACTTCGTCGTCGCTTCTATCGACGGTAGCTGGTCTATCGGATAGACTTGCACTTTTTTTGTCCGCCAAAATGGTCTCGTGTCCCATCTGCAGCAAGTCGGTCTCCAGCTTGAAGATCAACGATCACATCGACTCCGATTGTCAGAGCTTCGTCGACGAGCCAAGCTCAAGCGCAGAACCCCCCGCCTCTCAAAAAGCCCCTGTTCCTACCTTTTTCCAACCAGCCTCGGCTCGCAAGGCTTCTGTTCAGGGCACTGGAGCACGAGAACCCACGACGGATTCCTCCCCGCTGCGCAATGTCCACGGCAAGCGGACGGTCCCGCCAGCAGCAGCAGCAGCCGAGGTCTCGGGGAATGCGAACGACAACCCAGGAAATCACGAGCTACCGTCGGAGCCCAAGCGTCCCAAGATGCACGCTTTTCAGAAAGTCGCACCGCTGCCGGAGCGGATGCGCCCGCGAACACTCGATGAGGTCTGTGGCCAGGAACTCGTAGGCCCAACGGGCGTGCTGCGGGGGCTGATTGAGCAGGATCGCGTGCCCAGCATGGTGCTCTGGGGAGGCCCCGGCACAGGCAAGACCACCATCGCCCGAGTCATTGCCTCCATGGTGGGGAGTCGATTCGTGGAGATCAACAGCACCAGCAGTGGAGTCGCGGAGTGCAAGAAGATCTTCGCCGAGGCGCGAAGTGAGCTTGGTCTGACGGGTCGAAAGACTATCATCTTTTGTGATGAGATCCACCGTTTCTCCAAGTCGCAGCAGGATGTCTTTTTAGGGCCCGTGGAAAGTGGACAAGTGACGCTCATTGGCGCCACGACAGAAAACCCCTCCTTCAAAGTGCAGAGTGCATTGCTATCTCGATGCCGGACATTCACGCTCTCCAAGCTCACGGATGACGATATCAAGTCGATCCTCCAGCGCGCACTCCGCGTCGAAGGGCCCAGCTACTCGCCTACGGAACTGGTGGATGATGAATTGATCGACTACCTGGCGCGATTTTCGGACGGGGATGCACGGACGTCGCTCAATCTTCTGGAGCTGGCGATGGACCTTTCGAAGCGTCCGGGCATCACCAAAGATGAGATCAAGCGGTCCCTCACCAAAACGCTGGTGTATGACCGGGCGGGCGACCAGCACTACGACACCATCTCTGCATTCCACAAATCCATCCGAGGGAGCGACCCCGATGCGGCGCTTTACTATCTCGCGCGGATGATCCAGTCGGGCGAAGACCCTCTGTACATCGCACGACGTTTGATTGTGGTGGCCTCGGAGGATATCGGACTGGCCGACAACAGCATGCTTACACTTGCCATTTCCACTCACTCGGCCGTGGAGAAGATTGGTCTCCCCGAGGCGCGGATTAACCTGGCGCATGCCACGGTGGCAATGGCCCTGTCGAAGAAGAGTACCCGTTCCTATCGAGGCCTCAACAATGCCTTTGCGGCTCTGGCCGAGCCAGGAGTCGCCGGGCTACCCATTCCGATCCACCTGCGCAATGCGCCGACTCGGTTGATGAAGGAGCTTGGGTACGGGAAAGAGTACAAGTACAATCCGAACTATGTGGATGGAGAAGTGGTTCAAGACTACCTCCCTGGACCGCTTCAAGGGCGAAAGTTTCTGGAGGAACTAGACTTGGGAAGTCAAGTTGATCCAGATCTGATGAGGTGAGATGAAGATAGATTGAGAGATGTCTCTCTGGACATAATAACCGTTGGCTGTCGACATACGTTTACAAAGATAGAACATGAATTGCATACGACCTGATGACATTAGAAACCGTGCTTCATCCAGGGGTAGACAAGTTAGTAAATAGTAGTACATAAAACAAGAGTGACAGTCCAGTAAGTGGACTTTGGGTGGTGGTGAATGTTTGTTCCCGTCTTGGCTGCGCGTCTCCATCGCGTTTTTACTCCACCTCCGCCGACTGGCATTCATTCATTCCAGCCCGCCGTCTCTTCTCCTGAATCCCACCCACTACCCTCTCATCTACCAGTCCAGAACCATCACCCACCGATTGATCAGCTTCAGACACACACACTGTGCACACACACACTGTGCTTGACCGAGAAATCCCTGGGCAATGAGGCTCAACCACCTCGACACCTGAAACCAGGCCCGATCCCCAATCCAAGCCGCACCACCATCTCCACCTCCACTTCACCTTAGTCTTCGCAACAACAACAACAAAACCTCACAATGGCATCCTCCGGCCAACCCTTCGGCTCCCGCTCCTACGCGGCAGGCAAGCTCCCCGACCGCTCGCTCAACGCCGCCAACGCGCTCCCCTTCAGCGCATCCTCCTTCACGCGCCATCGCGGCCTAACGGGGGGGATCCCTTCCGGCGGCGGCGGCGGCGCCGCAGGAGGGGGGGACTTTGGGAGCGACCTGAACAAAGCCAGCCACCACCAAGCGCACACCCACCAAGGACCTGGGGTAGGAATAGGAGGAGGAGGAGGAATAGGCGGCTCCGCTCCACCGCCGCCGCCGCTTCACTCGCAGGGCGCCCACGGGCCTTCCTCCGCACAAGACACGACGACGAACCCATTGAGTCGATTAACCGAGGAACAACGTGAAGAGATCAACGAAGCTGTACGTTGCCCTCCCGCCGGGTCCCCCTAAAACTATTCTCCCTCAATTCCCCAATTCAAAAGCTAATTCCCAAGCCAAAACACCCAAACAACAGTTCACCCTCTTCGACCTCGATCGAGACCGTCACCTCGATTACCATGAACTCCGCGTCGCCTTTCGAGCCCTAGGCTTCTCCCTCCCCAAACAAGAACTCATCTCCCTCTTAACCACCTACGGCGTCCCCCGTCCACAAGTCCAACAACAACAAGCAGCCCAGCAACAACAACAACAGCAGCAACAACAACAGCAGCAACCACCGCAACCCCTCCAGAAATCCGCCAATCACAACAACCCGCAACACCCCTCTAACCTCCTCATGCCCCTCTCCGCCTTCCAGGCCGTCACCGCCCTCAAGATCCTCGAGCGCGACCCGCGCGACGAGATCTTGCGCGCCTTCGAGCTCTTCGACGAAGGCGGGAAGGGGTACATCGATCTCGAGGATCTGCGGCGCGTCGCCCGCGAGCTGGGCGAGACGGGGCTCGAGGAGGAGGAGCTGCGCGCCATGATTGAGGAGTTTGATCTGGAGGGGGTGGGCGGTGTGACCAAGGAGGCGTTTGTGAGTATTTGTTGGCAGTGAGAATGTTTAAAGTGTCAGGGGCTGGGTTGGTTGGTTGGATGGACGATCCTGTCCGCTGGCATCTCTGGTTCCAGTCTAGAAGCTTGCTTCGGAAAGTGCTGCTGCATTCGGTTGGTTACTTTGGTCATGGTATGGGGTGGATGATAGATACCAACTTGTCCACTTGGTTGTTCCGGACCTTGAAGTTGTTTTTTTTTTTTTTTTTTTTTTTTTTGCTTTCTTGCTTGTGAGCTCTTCTGCACATTTTGGGCATTGGGCAGGCGCCAATTGAGTTTCATTTCCACCTTGTCTGTCTGTCTGCTTGCATTGTACCGTCTCGGCTGTTTCGTGTGACTTGGCTAGTTGTTGTCTACAAGATATCCACAATCAGCTGCATATATCTATCAGCCAGTGCTCCCAAACGACTCCAAAGTAGCGACCCGGTCCCGGAATTGCTGCAGAACTTGACGCTGAAAAGCAATCAGACCAGCAATGATATTTATTCACGAAACTCTGTATACAATGCGGGGTGCAGAACAGCCGGTTAGGCAGAAATAGATGATTGCAAATATGATACCCAGAACGTATGTAGAATGCACCCTCAAGTAGGCCCCATGACCTGAGAATAAGCATGAATACCACAACTCCAACCCCATACAGCCAACGCCAAGAACCTAACCAGAAATAGCAGCAAGTGTCACAATATGGAGTCTACAATGCTCATCATGCAGTGCTCGTGTAAAAGCACGTTCTACGTGCCTGACAGAAAAAAAAATCATGCGAATCGCCCTTGCGGCGGATGTTGCGGGTACGGCGGTCCTCCCGGTCCGGGATATGGCGGCGGAGGCGAGGACATGCCCTGGTAGCCTGGAGCCGGCGGAGGGTTGGGCCATTGGTTCATTGCCGGGGGCGGAGGCATCCCCCCGTTCCAAGGCCCATAGGGTGGTCGAGGTGCAGGGCGCGCCATCGGCCGCGACTGACGACAGCGACGGAGCAAGCAAGACCCCAGGGCGAGAAGCAACAAGCCTCCCACGGCACAAGCAACCCCAATGACAATGGCCTTGTGGTCGTTGATCCAAGACTTGACATTCTGTCCCTTACAGTCACCGTTGCTGCAGTGGCCGCCACTCCCACAAGGAGTGCCATCGAGGAAGTTCTGGTTGAAGCCCACGCATTGACCACCCATCGAACTGGAACTGCAGATCAGCTCGCACGAGGAGCTATAGGCTGAGCAAGCGTACGTATTGTTCTCGTGCAGGACGCTGCCCATGACACTGCGGCATTGATAGTCGCGGCTGGTGCATTGCCCACTGGCGCACTTGAGACCAGATCCGCTACTACCACAGCTTGCGCCGTCAGCTTCGTATGAGTCCGTCGGGCATGAGCTGGAGTTGCCGCTGCAGGTCTCGGCCACGTCGCATTCACCCCGGCTTGCCCGGCAGACCGTGCCGGCAGAAGCATATTGGCAGGAGGAGCAGCAACTGTCATTGGAATCATCGCATACAGATCCCGATGTGAATTTACAAGTCGTGGGGTTGCAGCACTTGTTGTCGCCGCAGCCCGCCTCGCCACCACAGTCACAGTCCTCGCCTTCCTCGACGATGCCATTCCCACACTGGCTGCCGGTGTAAGTGGTGACGCCACGGTTCACTGAAAGACAGCTCGACTTGACACTATTACGCCCGATGGCTGAGCAGATATTCCCGATGGTGCACTGCGAAAAGGAGGTGATGTCGGTGCCGGTGGTCGGATTCATGATATACTTGCCGCTCGCATCACATGTGGTCGAGGTCAAGGGACAACATTGAGACGAGGACTCCAGATTCTGCTGGCAAGTATCAGAGTCACAATCGTGCACCGCACCAAAGGTATGGCCGGTTTCGTGGGCAAAAATCTGCCAACCACCACCCGAAGAGCGAACGACGACATTGGCTCCACTGACGGAATTGGCGCCGCTGGTGGTCACATCCGCATTGCACAGCTGGCCCAGCCAGGACACGCCCACTTCGCTCCCGGTCGGGCAATCACTAAAGAGCGTCCAATATGCGTTGGAGTCACTATGTGAGCCGCGCCACTCCGAGAACAAGTTCAGACGGGAGGTGAGGTTGCCGCTCGAGCAGGGCATATTCCAAGCCGTGGCTGCGGGTGGGTTATCAGGGCAGGAACTCTCGGACATGGTGAGATTGCGGAGGCCGATCGAGACGTTGAAAGACTTCTCATAGACGCTGGAAGCGCTGTTGACCGTACTGATGACCCATTGCTTGGCGGCGGTTTCATTCTTAAACGACCCCGTAAAGGAGCAGTCCGTAGCGACTCCGATTAATGCCACCTGCTTTGTATTTGGGCAGCCTGAGGTATCACCAATGGTTGACGCCAGATTCACGGTCCCCGAATTCCCAGAAACGCTGCCGGTATCCGATTGCCGCCTGCTGAGTCCGAGTAGAGAATTCACCGACATGGCGCCCCAGCGACTCGTATCCGTCTCGTAGGATGAGAGGACTGGGTGATTTGGATCCATGTTGAAGTCCAACTGGTCAGCTTGGCATGATGTCGTCCCCAAAACCGATCGTTTGAGCTCCGTGTGTATGCGGTACATGTCCGAGTCGCGATATACAACCATATATTCTCCCTTGGTGTCGACAATATCGGCATCTTGCTTGCGTTTCTTCTGCAGATAGGTTGACTTCAATTCGACGTGGTGGTTGTCCCCATGCACACTGAATACGCCTTCAAACAGGGGCTGATCGCCATCATGCTTGAGATATATTCTCGCCGACCCAACTGGGTCCCACATGCTCTGTCCTCGACCCACTAATGCCCTTCCCTTGAAGACTTTGTGGTCTTGTCGTGAAATGGGCTCCGCTCGTCGAATGTTCCCGTTAGCATCGAGGTATTGTACGTATGCATCAGCCGCCAGTATGTCATGATTCGGCTCCAATTCGAGCTTGACTCGTTGATTTCGATCCCGGAGACTGAAAGTGATGTCGAAGTTTGACAGATGGTCCACACGATTCGAGGGCGTCTGAATTGTCGGGTGGTCTAATGTTGAAATGTGTTGGATAGCATTTGGCGATTGCGAGCGGGCTACATTGTCATTATGTAAGAACGCAATGGAATTGCACGGGGGATACCAGGAATTACCTTGAACCTCTTGAGCAAGAAGGGAAATTGCGCCCGCAATGAATGGGAGTGAATATGAGAAGACCCTCATGGTCGCCGAAAGCTGGACTTCACGGCCAGCAGGAGGAGCGGAAGGTGGAATGGTTTACAACGAGTGAGCGACTGCGATGACAACAAAAAATACAAATGACAGCAGCAGCAAGGAGAGGAAATCAGAATGAATTCCCCCGGGGTCTTTCTAAGCCGAACATCAGGCAGCCGCCAAGCGCGAGAGAGAGACAATAGTTAGGGATGATCCAAGCGACCCGTTATTAGAGATTGGGAGGGGGCGGGTTTCAAATCCACAGCTATATGTATGCCAAGGGGTGGGTTGATTGACTGATTAACGGCGGCAGGGTTTGAGCGGATTAGCAGACCTTGGAGAGAAAATCAACTGTATGCATCCAGTGCACAACGAGTGGGATAAAGGGTCTGGTGAATTGATGTGGGTGTTGCAGGACCCTGAGACGGGGAGAAGAGACGATCAGGGTCTTCTTCTGCTCTGTGTCTCTGTCTCTCTCTTGGCCCGGAGAGGCGCAGCAGCCTTGGCAGGTGAATGGTGAATCAAAAAACGAATGGAGTAAGTATATAATGAACCAAGGCGGACACGATCGGATAGGGACTTAGAAACTCCTGGGGTAAAACTCCCAAGTGACTCCCCCAACACAGCAGAGCAACAGAAAAAACAACAAACAAAAAGAGAGGGTGAAGAATGAAGAAGAATGCAAGAATGCGAGATGGAGAGATTGACAGGACCCCAGGCGGAAAGAAGGAAGAGCCACTCGACGCCAAGCCCCTCCGCCCGCCCCCTTTGTTTCTTTCTTTCCCTTCAAACTCCTTCAACTACTCCCTACACACTCACTACACACTCACTACAGACTACAGACTAACTACTTTGCACTCCGTACGACGTTTCTGCATGCCTCAAAGGCGTTAGAGGCTGGTCTGACTGACTGCTTGACCGACTGACTCTGCTTTGAATGTACGGAGTACACAGCTTCTCAATGATAACTACCAGCCACTTATTAGTAATACTCTACGGACTATAACTACTCCGCGTACCGTCCAGGCACATGACGGCATTGTCTCCATGGCAATCATTCCATCGTCATCATTCAGGAACCGCGTGGTATAACGCATGTGCCTCCCGCGCAAATTGGGGAATCAAGGCGCCACAAATGTCACAATTCATGCCACAGGGTATGCCATCGTCGCCGTCACTATCCTCCCACGTCTCATCTCCCGGAGCGCTATCTACAATGTTGCGGGATCCCTCAGTCTCGGGACTCGCTCCAGGCAATCCCGCATCTTTCACAAGAGCTGTTGCTTCTTTGATCACTGAGCTTTGAGTTTGGAACATCTTCCCGATATCTCGTCCGCTACTGTGTTTCCGATCTCCGGCTCCATCAACCATATTCGTTACCGCAACATTCAACAGTTGAAGGTCCCAGCCAGACTTCTCCGGGTGTAACTTGCGAAACATGGATAACAGCGAATCGTGCACCAGTCGCTCCGCCAGCGCATCGATGCTTTCATCCAGACTAAACACATATGAGGGAAGCGGCTCGGAGCGCGAGGTTCGATGAACCAGTCGCCCGCCCTCAGTGCCTGCGTGTCGGAGTCGGGTTGACAATCGCAGTGTCCGAGGGTGAGCCAGCCATCGGACTGGAAGCTGCTGCGGGCCACCTGAGGTATGGACAGGTCGATCGGGCCCGGGATCGACCTCCAAGTCCTGCTCTGTGAGGTCAGTACGCATGCGACGAAGGAGACTGGCCGTCAGAGCGATCAGTTTCCTCCGAACAAGCTCCAAGGTATCCAGGCGCCCATAGGTATCTTCAATACTGATTTGAGTCGGCACGTCACCCGCTGGGATGACGGGCGCAGGGTCAACGCCGTGGAGCAGGCCCCAGACCCGCGCGCCGATGTCTTTTGGTGCACCTGGTCCGCCTAATATGCGATCCAGCAAGGCTGGTCCCATGCCGGCGCACAGCCGCACATCTCGAACAGTCTTCGTTCCGTTGGCGTCGCTGGCAGACTCAGACGGGAGTTCTGAGCCAGAAGGTGCGCTAGCCTTGGTGAGGTAAGCGATGATTTTCCGAGTCAGCTTGGAGCCTAGCCCAGGAATCTTGCGGATCTCGTGTGCATCGAGAAAGGCTACCACATGACTCTCCACGCCAGATTCCGCAGCATACGGCGGGAGAAGGGTGGTCTGGTTGTTCGGTTTATGAGTGTTACCGATTAATTTAGCTAGCAATTTGGAGGTCGAAATCCCCACTGTGGCCGTGTAACCCATGTGGAACTCGAGTTGGCCTCGCAGGAAGCCTGCCAAGTGCGAGGCCACGAGCAGCCGCGTGTAGAGCCCAGGAACCTCCTCCTTGGAGCCTCGGTTTAGCCCCGTTGGATCCAGATCCGCAGGGTAAGTGGATCCATGCACTTGGGTGGCATTGTAGTCGAACCCCACCGTAGGTTCCTGGCGGTCGAGATGAAAGAATGAGTGCTCCAGATCATGGCGATTCAGCAGGTCAACATTATAGTCAACCATCTCGGTTACGTCAAGAAACAACTATGGCCAGGTCAGAGGATTCGTACTAAAGATAGTGCATGAACCGGTGGGAATTGGGCCAGCGCACCTCATCAAAACCCAACCGTTCGACCCTTTGCGCCCAGACGAATGAGCGTAGAAAATGGAAAAGCCGCTTGGAGGCATCGCGAAAGCGGGTCAAATCCTCGCCCAGCACGATGACGACGTCCGGACAGATCTGTTTGGCTTCCTTGATCAATTGCAGCTTGCGTAGCCCTCTCCGTCGTGCTTCATAATTACAGGTTACCACGATCTGCTTCTGCTGTACCGCCAACGGCAGCGACTTCAATGCCGGCTGTTCGACCTCAAAGACCGCGGCGTAGAAGCAGTCATAATCCTGACATGCGGCATACGGTTAGTACCGGGACCGGCATGAATTTTGGGGTATACTTACAAAGTGCAGGATGATTCGGCGGTCGTCTCTTGATGGTGCTGCGGCCATGAACTAGTTTGGATTGACGTTTCAGACGGTGATCAGAATGACGAAAAATGGTGGTAGAGAGGTTGATACTAGGTAGTTAGTATGCTGCAGACCAGGGAATAAAACCGCAGAATAGATTCCTAAATCAGTTTGCTGCGCGATACTAAGTATAGTACTCCTCCGTACTGAGTACTCCGCACTTCTATACGGTAAGTACTGGCCTAGGCGAATTCATTATCGGAAAAAAATCTCGGTGAGTCGCTGTGAGATCCTGACGTGAAGACAGACAGACAGACGGACAGACGGACAGTACACCATGAAGTTGGATGAGGGGCTGATTGGGTGGAGACGGGAGGGAGGCTGGGGATTTGATTGTTGTGGCTGGTGCGCAGTGGGACCCTTGGCTGACTCATCGGTGGGTGTCGTGGTGCTGGGACTAGTCCGTTTTCGGTAGTACCCGCTGGACTCCCACTCAGGCACTCAGGCTGCACTTTGGTCCTTCGTAGTTTAGAGAATAGACTGAACCAATTCATCTTCTCTCCCCACAACGTTGTTGTCTGAAAGTTTCGAACCAGAGGTCATTCAGTTTGCCAAGAACTGACAGAAACCAAAGTCAGAGTCTCTTCCGGTCTCGCCCACAGCAAACACTATCTCCACCTCGAAGTGAACCCGCCGCGTGTCGTCTGCTTCAGTGCTCGCCCGACTGGACCCGGAAAGGACTGGATGGGCCTACAAAAAAAGAAGGAAAAAAAAAAAAAAAAAAAAAAAAAAAAAAGAACCAGTGCTGCTATATTTAGACGACTACTCGATGGCACGATCCCCGTTGCTGATAGGCAGACGGCTCTGCTCTACCTGCGTCTGGACTGTGATTAATTTCCACAGCGGCTAATCCTTTGCCATCCTGGTCGCCATCGTTGGGTCCTCTTCTTCTCGGGTTTCAGTAAAAGAAGTGCTTCTATGAACGGACCGTCAACTTCTCTCCCAGTATGCACGACCTGAGAAGGGTGAGATTTGGCATTGGATTTGATCCGAATCAATCAAGTTCATCATCAACTGCTGTCCAACGTGGATGCTGGGGGTTCATATCATGAGTATGACGAGCACGTACTGCTGATCGCCGGTGTTCTTAAAATAGGGCCCCGTCCCAGCGCCTTGTCTTTGCCTCTTCCATCCGGTGGCATTTCTGTAAATTAAGAAGACAGGAAGTCGCAAAACTAATAATCCTACCCTGCATAGACTCCATAGAGTCATCCCCACCCATTCTCATAGCCCAGTGGATGTCGGTCTGCAGCGCCGCTCATCCATCCAGATTGCGGGGCGACGTCGCACTTCCTCTTTCCCTCTTCTGGTTCTTCCTCTTCCTCTCATTTCCTTCTTCTTGACCTTCCCTCCCACTCTTCTACTAATCTCGTTTTACATGCCCATCGACATTCCTTTTACTCCTGCAACTTCGGCTACTTCATCGCAGAGGGGCCCGTCTCGACCATGCTCGCAACCCCCATGACCCCGCAACAATCCTCTTCCAACATGGCCTGCAGTTTGGCCCCAACCGCTAACAACCGATCGACCATCGCCTCCCGACCGAAACTCACCCTTCAGACCTCATCCCTGCCTCTCACTTTTGGCATCTCCTCCACGGGCCTGTCACTGTCCCTGGTAGGCGGCCCTACCGCATCTCCTACCGTCCAGAATACGTTCAAGAACGCCTACGATGTGACGGCGCCTGTGTCGGCTACATCCTCCCCCTCCTCGAAATTCCCCAGTCATCGATTCACCAAGCCATCATCGCCCTACACCACTCATAACCCATACCCACTACCTCTTGGTGTGCGCAGCATTCTGCGCAACTCGCCACTAGGGTCAACCTGCCACCGCCGGTCTACCTCGGTGGCTACCACCGGGTCGAACGGCGCTTCAGCCACGCGACGGGTGTTTTTTCCGGCCAAGAAGCAAGTTGGCTTTCGCAACCCGCTTGAGGAGGAGATCCACAATGTTGACTACATTGCGCGCCACTCGGACCTTCATGAACTAGACGAAGGACTTATCAAACCAAGCACGTGCAGCGATGATTCCGACTCTGCCGCAAGTAACTCGTCCACATCATCATCCGACACGAACACCTCCGATGATGAGGCCCAGACCCGATCCAAATATGACATACGGTCACCGGTGGAACGCAAAAAGAGAAAGCATCCAAAGGCCGAACGGCAGGTCCGAGCGGTCGCCTTGCGAGAGAAGCTCGAGGATATGACGCCACAGACGCCGGTCCGAAAGCGCGCCAAGCGGCGTTGCGAATGGCGCTGGACATTGGGGCCGTTAGAAAAACGAACCGACCTCCTTCTCCCTCCAGTCCGGGAAGATCCGACCGCCTCGGCCTCGGAGGGCTCGGTTTCAAGCCATTCCGACCCTGCATCGCAAATCTCCTCTGTGGACTCATCCCCGCTGCTGAGTGCCACCCCCTCGCAAGCTCACTCCAGTCCCTGTTCGTCTGTTGCATTCGAGCTCGAAGGAAACGAGTCCCTGAAGACCACGACTCACGAAACGCAACGCCCTGATGCTGATTTGTCACGATAGCCTTTTGTGGGGACGAACACCACTACTACTTCTTTCGCTACCTTGATGACTTGCCCTTCCAATTCACGACTCATGCATATAGACAGCAGACGAATTCTTTTTGATTCTACTTACAATAGACCTTCTACCGAGGGCTTTTTTTTTTTCTTTGTGTGTGTTTTCATGTCTATGCACCCATGGGCACATAGCTTCTTCCATTTGTCTCACTCGGGAATGTCTGAGACATTTCGGGCGTGGCGCAATGATGTCATGCTGCGACGTCGGACCGCCATCCCTTTCTTACTTTCTATATATATAATTTTAATTTTTCTATCTTATTTCTAATACATACATTGAAGGCACCCACAGCACCACGCTGGTGCCGAATCCATTGGACTATCTCCGTCGAAAATGCTCATAAATTCCCAGCCTCTGGTCTTCCCAGCAATGACAGCAAGCCCCCTTGCACGGTATTGATATAAATATAGCAACAGAAGTGGAGACCCGCACACGAGTTTTGCGGGCAATTGTGATGACCGAGAGTGTTTATCGATTTGGTTCAATAAATATAGATATGCATGCACGCCAGCAAGCACGGAGTACGACGGAGTGCATGTCTACATGTGACACGATCGTGTCGGCACCAACTAAGTCCTAAATATATATGTGTGCATTGTGCCTCAACGATATAACCCTTGCTGCGTGCGGCTTTTGATGGAGTACCGGATTGTATATAACTAGCTTGGTGGTCCACCACTACGGATCTGACACGACTGGTGCATTCATTCGCACGTCGGATCGGACCTATACGATTCTGCCTCATTAGGCTAATGGAGATTTCCACGCCACTCTCTCCTCCTCCTTCTCCTCCCCCCCTTTCTTCTGTTTTCCCTCGTATGCAGGATTGTGCAGGATTCTTTGGGCCATGTTGGCTGGGGGGGTGGGGAATGGTGAGAATAATGTCTCTGCGGTGAAGATATATGGGGCAGTTTGTGGTGTTTAAATCTGCTAGTGTCGTAATGCTGGATGATCTGCTGCCATTCAAGTATAGGTATGTGTCGGGAGGTGTAAGACAAAAAGACTATCATCTTGATTGGAAGCTAGTGGTATGGGAGAGACTCCTGCCGTGGGCCTGCTGTAGTGGCTTTCTGGATTGCACGGAACTGGTAAGTAGGCTCAGTAGGGATACTTAGGATATACCTACTCGTAGCTGATCCACCCAGATGGTGCTATACTGGGACACAGCTGCAAGTCATCAGGATTCTGCATATACCCAATACAAAGTCAAATCTCCATCCCAGCCGAACCACGCGGCAACTACCTCATCTCAGAGAATCATGTTCAACGATTGTAACGTGACAAGCCACGGCCGGTCTCTTTCTGGTGGAGTGTTCCGGTCGGCAACAACACCAGCAGTTAGCAATGCATCATACGTTGTACGCAAGCCGAGTTAGTTATACACTCTATAGCAAAGACCAACCCGCCCAGACATACAAATAACAGAATCATCATATCATATCATCGTTTTATTAGTAGTCCGCTCCATCACTCCAGACTGGAAATGAAACAAAACAATACATAAAAACATCCCTTTCCCGGAAAAACAACAACAAATGGAGTACTTTGTTTAATTGCCCGTCTCCGTCTCAATGTCCGGCTCCCGACCCGACAGATCCCCCGTGAACTTCATCTTCATCTTGCGGAGCGCGTACTTGGTCTCGTCGCGCGCAAACACCGCGTTGCGGACCGGCCGCCACTGCATCATGCCGCGTTGCTGGCGCTGTTCGCTGCGCTGCTCTGCCTTTCGCAGGACTTCGTTGGTGCTGGAGCGACTGGGTCCGCTGCTGGCGCTGGCGGTGGCCGTGGTCCGGTTGGTGGCGGTGTCGGAGGGACGGCGGAGGTTGCTGTTGACGTCGAAGGTATCGGCGGCGGGGGGTGGCTGCTGCTGTGGTGGTTGCAATGAGCTGTTGACCTCCTGGTCGTGGTTGTTGAGGGGGCCATCATACGCATCGTGATCATCGTCGGACTCGCTGGACGAGGAGGAGGAGGAGGAGCTGTCTGGGTGGGGACGGTTCTTCTCCTCGGGGTGCATGGTGCCATAGGAACGGGCCTCGGTGCGCGGCGGGTTGTAGGGGTTGTGCGGAGGATCGTCTCGGCCGGGCTCGGCGACCTGGTGGCCGTGCTGGTTGAGGTAGGCGCTGGGGTCGTGGCCGAAGGCGCCGCTCCAGTCGTAGCCTTGTTTGTCGAGCCAGCGCTTGCGCTCGCGGGGGTCGGCGTGCTTGAGGATGTCCCGGCCGTCCAGGAGGGACTGCTCGTGCAACTGCTCGACCTCCTCCGGGACGGAGGCGGTGATGTGCGGGGAGCGCACGCCCTCGGCGATGCACGCCTCCCAGGTCTCGAAGGTCTCGCGCGAGTTGCTGTCGACCACGAACCGCTCGTGCGAATCGTCGATGCCCGGCGTGAAGCGGCCGGTGAACCGAAGCCGGCCCACCTCCTTCAGGTCTTCCAGCCCGGGGGACTTCTTGGCCTCCCAGTTCTGCTCCGTGATGTAGTTCTGCGTGAGCCGCTTGCCGTTCTTGGTCGACCAGATCGGGATGTCGATCTCCGTGGCTTCGTTATCCACCAGGTGCTGGAGCCAGTAGACGGCGTAGGCGGTCGGGTGGTGCTTCTTCTGGGTGTGGAATTCGAAGACCACCGGAGAGCGATAGCGATGCTTGACGGGGAGGCGCAGGCTGCGACGGTAGTCCGCGTTGGACAGGTCGAAGGTGGCGTTGTTGTTCGCGTCGACCGAGCAAACGTGCTTGCTGATCTTGCCACTGCTCCCCCCGGTGCGGAGCTTGATCTTGCAGCGCTGGTTGAAGTTCACCGTCGTGAGCTTCTCCGAGACAAACTCGAAGGTGCCCACGTCCCAGCCGAGCATGTGCGGTGGAAGGCGAGTCTCGACGGAGCGGAATAAGACAGAGATGCGGATGCGGCCGAAGCCGACGCCCCCGTCGAGGGGATACCATCGGGTGACTTGCGAGCTGGTCTGCAGCAGATCCGAGATCTTGAGAGGCACGACCCCCAGGATGGGATCGTGCTGGCGGTACCGCTGGTCGCGTACGCTCACGGTGACAAATGCGGACCGCCAGTCGCGAATGAACCGCTCAGTGCCGGCGTTGAAAATGGGCTTGGAGCTCAGGGCTTTCGCGCGCGTGCGGTAGATCTGAGGACGGGTTTAGTAGAGGGGCTTACACGGGGGATCAGTCTGCGGGGGGAAGGAAATTACCAGCTCATCGTTCAGAATAATCTTGCAGTAACTTGTTGGCAGGTGACTGCCTTCTTCTTCAGTGTTGTCGCCATACGGCTTGGCGGGCTCATATTCGCGTCCCTTGCGGTTACCCTCGCTCCCTTTGACGTTGTTGACCTCTAGGTTGACCATCTGGTGCACGACGATGCTGAGGATGCCGCTGGGCCACAGGGGATCTGGCGGGGTGTGTGTGATGGCGTCCTCCTCCTCGTTGCTGATGACGCCTTTCTCGTCCTGGAACTCCTGGACATCCCTAAACTGCTCAGGGAGATCCTTCTTCTTGCCATCCGTCCGCAATTCCGCCCTAAGCTTGGGTTTGCCGAAGAAGCCCACTTCCCAGTGCAGCTCTCCCGGCATCTCGCTGCCTTCGTTGAGGCCTTGTAGCTTGGATACCTGTGCATACATCTTGCCCGGATGCTGAATCATCTGCCGAATCGGCAATTCAACCTTGCCTACGATGTCATCGGCAGTCGTGCGGTCCGAGTCCCACAGTTCAACGCTCAGACTCTCATCCGCCTTGATGAGCTCCGGCGTCACGAGTAAGGCGGCCGTTTCCTCCCAGACCGGGTTCAAGTCGTCGGTAATCACCCGAGTACAGTACATAGGCTTGCCATACTTGGAGAAAGACAGGTTGATGTACGGATCGCTGCCTCCACCGTAGCTGCCGCGCCGATCCTGCTTGCTGAGACCAATCGCACGGTGAATCCGCACCCACATGACACCTAGCGCCTGTGTCTCCTTGGCAATATCATCGCCCTTGAGCAGCATGCTAAGGTCCATGGTCATCGACTTGGGGGCAGCGAACAGACCGGCCGCGGTGGCGATGGCATAGTTGACAAAGTTGGAGATCAGGGGCAGGTTGAGGATGTTCACCCCTCCTTTGACCATGGGCATACATCCGGCCTTGACATGGGGGAGGCCCACCAAGCTGAAGGTCACGTCCTTCACAAACGGCGCCTCTGGCATCATCTGGAATCTTGCGCGCACGGTGCCTACCAATTCAGTCAATTCGACAAACACGGGAAAGGGTACTCCAAAGAGGCCTTTGACTCCCAGATAGAACACGATCTGCATGTGCATGTTCCGCGCCTTGGACGAAGTGGTCTGTCCGCTTGGCTTTGCATGATAGGCGAAGGAGGCTTCGATGTTGTAGTAATCGCCACCTTCCTCGGCGGCAGCAGCCTCCTGAGGGTCTTTGTTCTTGACGTTCTCCTCGTGGACTTGCTCCTTGAGCTGCTTCACATGGTCATCGGGCAGTGAGCGAAGACTCAGAATCCGGAGTGGGTTGTTGCCCTGATCGATCTCTGCAATGCGAACGTTCTCCACCACGCCGGGGGCCGAAGCCTGCATGATGTCTTCAATGGTGTCGGCGATGGGGGACAGCATCTCGGGGTTAATGAGACCCCAGAAGACTCCGAGAAACGAGTTCAGCCATTCGACGGACTCCGGAAGGAGATTGGCGGTAGCCTGTTTCAGTCAGGTTAGTATAGTTGATGGACGCTTCCAACACGAAAGTCCTCGTACCATTTGCCCCCGGATCTGCTCACTGCTCCATTCCATTTCCCGACCACTACGGATGACCTCCTGCACCCACAGCCACACCCCACTCGCAACGCAAAAGCTGAGCGGGAGTAGACCCCACAGCGATCCGTTGAAGATCCGGCCGAGGAAGACAATCCCAGCGACTATACCTAAACACAGCCCGATCCCGCGTCTCTCCAGTTGATCAAACATCGGTTTGTAAGTGACAGTCGGGGTGGGATGGAATAAGACGTTAGTTTTCTCGCCGTGAATGGGGACATCGGAAGTGGTGCCCTCTGCGATGGGATCGGGTGGTGCGGTAATATCCTGGTTCTCTTTATACTGCGAAAGGCTTTGATCTGGCGCTGTTTTGACCTCCTGCGCGTTTGTCAGCATCTACTCCAACTATCCCATTTTGCAAGTGCACTGAAACTTACGGTTGGTTTTCCAAGGTTGGCATTGGGAACCACCAGCTGTATCGACGGTGGTTAGAGAGTTTTCGCCTGCTGTTGCTGACAATTGAAGGGGACATACTCTAGGGTCTTTCACGGCATCCATTGAGTCTTCATCCAAGTCCTCGACCTCGATATCCTTGCCCGTGGTAGGGTCAGTGACCATGCGCGTCTTGCCGGTAGTTTCCCGGGGCTTATGCGGCATCTCCTGGCTCTGAGCGGCGCTGTCTCGCTTCTTGGCCGCCAGTGCCTCTTCATGGGCCTTACGCTCCTGCTTGTCATGCTCCAAGCGGTCCATGAAGTGGCTAATGGTCGGGACAGGATTCCCACCGCTCCAGTGTTCCCCCATGCGACGGGTCTTGGGAGATTCCCTCCCGCCTGTAGCCTGCGCCATCGTCGCGTGACTATCTTCTTCTCTGATGGTGGTGTTGGTTGGGTGGATATGCGAATTCAATCAGGGAATGTGGACAAGATGAAGAAAGCGTTGTTTTGAGCTCTCATCCCCCAGCTTTGAACTAGCTAGGATCTCTAGGTATCTGAATCACGAGTCCAGGTAGGAAGAAAAGTAAATGTAAATCCAAGCAAGCAAGCAAGCAAGCAAGCAGCGAGCGGTGGTGAAAGAGAGTGAAGTCACCTTCAGGCTCCACTACGTCATAGTGGAGAGATGCAGCCAAGGCCGATCAGCCAATCGATGGGAGACGCGTCCGATGCAGTATGTTATGGAAAATGTTATTGTGCTGGAAATTGGAGGGACAGCTGGAGTCCACTACAGCCTTACTGTCCTTCTTTCCGAGGATCCAGATCCATCTCTAGACCCGGTGGTTCTCTTCATTGTTTACAGGCTGGACTCCGTCATGTCTCGCGGCGGAAAGCTTGGCTTGGCGCACGCGGACTAACTTACAGTATATGATAGAAGGCATATCCTGAGAACCTCATGCGCTGCTACACGAGATGAACCAATACATACAGTATAGAGGATAGATCAAGCATCAAGAGGTGACAGGATACGACAAAGGGATGTCTCTAAGTATGCACAGTCTGAAGACCTTGACAGCATGATGTCACCTCCCGCTTGTTGTGTCCCTTTGCTGACATCGGATCAGCATCATGTTTCCCAATTTTCCCAATTTTTTCAACTCTGCATTCACTTGGTGGCTTGATACTGCTTTGGCCTTCGGTCATGGGCTTTATGCATCTGCCTGCGCTGCGTGGGGTCGAGATTCGTAGTCAAGGGCGCTTCAATGCATGTTGATACGTGATAGTGATTCGGGGAGCGGAAGGACGCAACACTATATATTAGTACCACTACTTCGGTACATAGCAAGCTCAACGCTTCAATCTATGCCTTCAATGGATACTGTTATGGCACTATGGGATCGTGTTGCTTCTCAACGAGGAGTAGTAACAGTAACTTACAGTCCTAGTTACTACTGGGTGATGAATGAATGAAATGATGAATGCCAGGTCGAGACCGGGGAAAAGGCGGGCCATGATTCGAGCTCCACCGCCCGCCAATGAGGCTGTCGCTTCTGCGGCGCCGACGACGTGACCTCCAGCTCTCGGCATCCATCATCACCACGCATTGACGACACGGCGACTTCGCCTCTCCTTTCAGTCTCCCATCCAGCTCTGTGTAATACAAGAGTCATCAGAAGTACATACCAAGCAAGACAATTTCCGCAAACAGCCGCCTCTAGTGCATATTCCCTGCCGATACGAGCCAGCAAACCCTGATCGATCACCTTCAAACATCACCTTCTTCGCGGTGTTTCAGAGATCCTCAACATGTCCTCTCCGGCTGAGGAGTCCCCTGCTCAACGAGCAGCTCGTCTGCGTCGCGAGCGCCGCGAGGCCAAGATCAAGGAAGGGGGAGCAGCTCGCCTCGAGAAGATCACCAGCTTGAGCGGACGAGCCCCCGCCAGCCGTATGTAGCTGTCCATTCCTTGAGACTTTCCAAATTCTTTTTTATCTTCAAGTACAAATGAATTCACTGACCTTTTATGTTAGTTCGCGAAGATACCTCTCCATCTCCTAGCCCGCAACCCGAATTCCAATCACAACATGCAGCACCACCAGCACCCCCGTTCCCTACTACCGCCCCAACTCCCGCACAACCACAAACCCACCCCGGAACGATCCCTGACCAAGCTCACGCAGAACAACCCGACCTCGACCCGGAGACCCGACAAGCCCAACAAGAACTCTTCCGCGCCCTCCTCCGCCAGCCGGCACCCTCGCCGGGCCCGCAACAACCGCAGGGACCCGGTGGCGGCGCTGCGCCCAACCCCGCCGCTGATCTCCTCGGGCTGGACGCCCAGGACCCGACCCTGAAGCTCCTCAATTCCCTCATGGCCTCCAGCGCCGGCGGCGGCAGCGGCAGCGGCAACCCGCTCGAGAACATCAACCTGGCGGATTTCGGCCTCGGCGGCGACGGCAAGGAGTCCGCCACGGATCTGCTGACCAACTTCGGCGTGCCGCCGTTCCTGGCCGGGTTGATCGGCGACGCGATGCGCCCGAAGACCGAGGCCGAGAAGCGCGAGATCGCGGTCTGGAAGGTCGTGCATATGGTCTTCGCCGTGCTCGCCGGCATCTACCTGCTGTTCGTGCTGGGATCGGCGGTGGGCGTGTACGGGCGGGCGCCGCCGGCACCGGCCACGGCGCAGGATCCGTTCACGGTGTTCATGACCGGGGAGGTGGTGTTGAGTGGGGCGCGGGCGCTGCTGCGGTCGAGGGACAAGGGGTTCGGACTCGGGATGGCGGTGCAGTTGGTTCGGGATGTCATTCGGGATGGGAGCTTGGTGGTGTTTCTGTTTGGGATGGCTTCGTGGTGGCTTGGGGAGAGATTGGTCTGAACGGACTATCTATAGCGTTCTTTTTCTGTTGTTTTTACGAAGATTCTTAGATGAGACGTCGAGGATGGTGGTATATTGTCAATATTCATTCATTCATGAACGTGTGTTTTCACTCGACTTTGGATAGTAGTCGTGTAGCGAACGCTATATGCTCATGATCGCTGAAGAAGTTATGAAAGTACTGTACCGATTCATGGCAACAACTCGTTGCTCAACCGACCGCCATAGAGTGACCTACCCGGCGATGGGCTTGTCCCCCAGTGTTTCCCCCTGGACCACACGAGACTGTAGAGTGTAGACAGTCTCCCCCCCCCAAACTAATAATTTAGTGCTTACACCGGGGCCATCGCGCCAACTGCAAGGCAATCCAGACCCAACTTGCCCAGAGAGAAGGTCTACTTCCAGTCCCCACTCCAAACCATCTAATCTAAACTCCCACAGTCAACCAACCAACCCCCTCTCCCGAAGACGCAGACGCGTATGATTTGATTCGATTTAATTCAATTCAATTCAAAATCAATAAAACGCATATTGATCCCTCCGCCGGTCCTGCACCTAAATTACACTTACCTTGACCATCACTTGCCTGGAATATCCTGGACCCCTGACAGGAGACATTTCATGCAGGCACTGAAACTGACAAAAGACAACCGACAGACGAGAGAGATAATCTGGTCGGTTGTCGCAGGCGTCCACACCCACCACCACCACCACCACCACCCACTACTTTGTACTCCGTACATTGTGGAGAGTCCTTAATCGTCGACAAAGGACGCACGCATTGGCTAGGGCAGCCCAGCGCGATCCGCCCGCCGTCTGAACCTGGGCCCTCCGAAAAGTGACCCGGTTGGTGGATTAGATTGAAGAGGGGTTGATAGGTACCTACCGGACCTTAGTACTTATTTAGTGCAATTGCGAAGTGGTGGGACACCGGACAGCGTAGCCGGGACGCGGCGTCGGGGAGGAGAGAGGGGGGGGGGGGGGAGAGGATATCAAGATGATCCTATTGAAATCTGGTAAGGTCAAGACCCAAGCCTGGCCTGCTAGTCTGTGGTCTACGGAGTCGTTCTGTGGGAGGCGGAAACTGGGCGTGGGTTGAACTACGGAGTATAGTTTTTTTGCTAGTAACTACGTTTAGATCGGGACTTGGCCGAAGCAGGCAGGTCCTTTCGCAAGTAAAGTGGGAATTTGCCCTGCACCGAACGAGACGAGAGACGGCGTTGGATTTGGACGTGGCATGGTGGCAGTCAGTTGTTCCGTTTGCCAAATTGTTTTGTTGCGCTTGGAAAGTGTGTGGGAAGTCCGTGCTAGAAGGTGGCGATCATTTTCAGTCTACCTACTGCAATATCCGTGGGCGCATGGGAGTTGGATAGCTCTCCCTGTAGGGAGTAGGAAGTATTATTTGCTTGTTTGCTTGCTTGCTTGCTTGCTGGTGGTTCACGCACTGAGTCGTCTTGGGTACGCACTCGCTGGTTGACCAAGGTAATAATGAGAGATCTCTCTCCCTCTGCAATTCGGGAATGGCGCTCAGTTCTCTGCAAGCAAAGCCTTCCGTCTTCTATCCACTTCCCCGTGTCATGAAAAGTAACCCCCTGCAGCCAATCGCTCTCTTTGGATGCGACTGGGAGTTGCCAACATGTACTGCGAGTGGGAGGGAGACTAGCTGGGAATCTGCCCTCGGAACACGCACCTGTTACTCCGTAGCAGGTGGCGGCAACTGCAAGCCGGATCCGGTAAAGAAGGCCATCCACTGCACCTCCCCTGGCAGGCACCCGCTGCACCGCCAAAGATCATAGATTTCCATATCACGGTCCTCCGTATACGCCGTATAATTACGGAGGATGAGATGTGCACCCGTTTTTTTTTTTTTTTGGTGAGCTCGTTCAGGCTCTCATGAGATCTCCCGGTTTCTTCTGGGTGGTTCTTGGCCAGTGTGGCATTGTCACTGACACCCACTGGACCCTCAGTGGGTGGTTGTGGGAGAGGAGGAGACGACACTTCGGACAGAGTAGCATAAAATGTGGGTAGCCGCCGTCGGAGCCACATTCAATTCAAATGGCTCATGCTCATCCGCAACCGGTTGGGGAACACGGTAACTATCGTTCCTTCTTGTGGTCAGCTGTCAGAAAAGTAAGGATTGAGACAAGGGAAAAAGCAGAGGGCAAGCAAAAACCAAAATCTCAGTACGTGATCATAACTGATGTAGTTAGATGCAGGACAGCCGGGGATGTGAGAAACTGCTAGTTAACGAGCAATGCGTGACCGACTGACCGACTGACCGACCGAGATTCCCTCCCCAGCGGCACTGCTGTACCTGGAAAATCACCCTCCCCCGGTCAAACGGTCAAACAGAGTTGCCAGCGGACGGTCCTTTCAGTAGGCCTGGTCATTATGGAAGAGGATCAGACTATCAGGATCTCCGGGTATTCGGTTGAGAGATCTCCTGTTCTCCGCCCGACGACACAAGATGCACCTCGACAGGATCCCAGCTATGGCCACGGAGACAAGGAGGGTGCCCCATATAATAGCCGAACCGAAAGGCAATGGCCGCGATCGACCCGAGCATACTGGGCACTCTTCTACTCCGTACCTAGGATCGACAAGTGTACCCTGTAACTTAACCTGCAACCTGTGCACCTGAAAGGTATTGTTGCTCGTCAGTGATCAGGCGCTTTCCAACGGATACCCCGGGGGGACTGCCTCGGCAGTCGTTCGTATAGTTAGTACTCTGTAAGTTATAGTGAGTTAGTAGTTTCTTCCCCCGCAGGGAGTGGCTTGGTCACTGGTGTGAATAAGATAACTACAGATTCTAAATTATGCTGGAGATCGGGCCAGCCTCCAAACACAACGTGTTGAACAGTGCCTTACAGGCTTTACATCCTGCCGCCCAACCCCAGCAATTCTGGTAACGACGAGAACAGAGTTAGGCGACACCCACTCGGAGTTGATCTACTCAAAACTGGTGGTCGTGCTCGGATTATCCGGGGCGGTAGCATTTCCCCTTTGGGTAACCGAGTTTACTCACTGACTGCAGGGCAATCATAATCCATCCATGATCACCGTCCGCAAACAGAGATGGAATGTGGGAACGATGCCATCCACATACCGTTACAGGTGGGCGCAGCAAGAAACCGATTACTTCACTAAGGTTTCTGAGTTTAATCCCCCGCACGGCACAAGCGAGCCTTGTTAGTCATTCACATACGAATCACCCTCCAATCGTGACCGTGGTGGCGGTCCTGGGAATGTCACCACCCCGCCCTTCTTTCCGCTGACGGGCTGTCTCTGATCTCCTTGTCCTGCTCAGATGAGCGGCGTGGAAAGGGCTCATTTCCTCCGTGTTGGGGGCATCGAACTTGTTATAGTCCGGGAGGGAAGGGGACCCTGGAAAGAAGCGAGGAATCCAGATCCATTCGCCATTGGACGATAGTCAGTCCATACGCGTGGTTTGCAGTTGACTCGAGTAGGTCAAAGCAGCTAGTGGGAAGCAATAGATTGCCAAGGGAACCGTCGCAATCGACTAGTCCATGCATTCCCCTGAGCATTCATATATTCAGATTAATATTGGAATGCGACTTGAAGCCTGACTGTCAGATCGTCGCTTGCCTTTCCCCGGAGCAACGGAAACCAGAGGCTGTCAAGCCCCGCATGGCCGAGCCCAACCTTTTTGGCGGCGGCGGCGACGTGACCAGACTAACCAGATTGTTGTCTAGTGTTCAAAGCGAGTCAGAACTACAGAACTAAGGAAGTGTTGGTATTTTTTTTTCCACAACTTGATTAGAAAATATGATTGGGGTTGGGGGTTCGATTTTGAGGGAGATGGGAGAGGGATATTGGCGGGAAAAGACTGTACCTGTTCAGGGCCTGCTTTAACTTATCAGGGAAGGGCCCGCATCGGCTTGTTTAAAAAGGAAAATTAGGGTATAAAAAGTGTATACTAGTAGTCTGGTAGTCTAGTAGCTCTCCTATCCAAAAGGAGGATATGGAGAAGAGAGGGGAGGGGGGGGAAAGGGAAGGGAGGGAATAACTCCAGATGATACCAGGTTCAATGGCATCACCAGCTGCAGCTGTACCATCAATCGGGTAGGAGGAAAAGGAAGTCCACCACATCCTCATCCATGGACCCAGACAGTCTGAATTTACCGGGACGGATGGAGGGAGGGACGAAGGAAGAGGGAGAGGCTGCAAGCCTACACAATAACGCAATTACACCGGGGTGACAGTACGGTAACTTCTTCCCTCCACTCTCCACTGTGGGCGCGCGACACCGGGGGAGCGGGACTGACTCTCTCAACAATAATACTTGCCGACTAAATAATACTACCTTCAAAAACACTCCAATGCGGACATTCTTAAATATCGGCGCCCCAATCCCTGGAAAAAGAAAAAAGAAAGTCGTCTCTTCTTCTTTTCTACTCTTCCTTTCTTCTTTCTCTTCTTAACTACAAACTATTCACCTTCTCCTTCCACTTTCTCTCTCTCTCTCTCTCCTCTCCTCTCAACGCAACTCCCCTTCCATCACCCCCCACCATCCCACCAACCAGTACTGGTCCATATCAGTGAGTGGCCCGCGCCATCTCCGTCTCACGTGCCGGGGCCGATCCTCTTCATTGCGCCGGGAATTGACTGACTCTGTGAATTGTCACCCCTCTGCAGAAGGCCAGCTTCATTCTCCGCCAATTTCCCTACGGGTCTTCTGTTGGGACGCACATAACCAATCATAAATCATGGCGGACGGCAGCATCGCGCCTCCCAAACCTGCTGTGGTAAGGGAGAAAAATTACCCACGCCCTTTGGGCCGAGAAATCTCCGGGTCTCCATTTGCTAACCATCCCGCCATTGGGTCCGCAGGTGCTCGAGGCCCACGATGTTGATACTTTCCATGTGCCCCAGGCTTTTCATGAGAAACACCCCTCCGGTACCCACTTGAAAGATCTCGACGAATACAAGAAGCTCTATGAAGAGTCGATCCGCAGTCCCAACACTTTCTGGGCTCGCATGGCCCGCGAGCTCCTCACTTTCGAGAGAGACTTCCAGACCGTTCACACCGGCTCCCTAGAGAATGGTGACAGTGCCTGGTTCGTCGAGGGCCGTCTCAATGCCTCCTTCAACTGCGTCGATCGCCATGCTATCAAGAACCCCAACAAAGTCGCTATTATTTACGAAGCCGATGAGCCCAGCGAGGGCCGCACCATCACGTACGGCGAACTGTTGCGCGAAGTGTCCCGGGTCGCTTGGGTCCTCAAGCAGCAGGGTGTCAAGAAGGGTGACACCGTCGCGATTTACCTGCCCATGATCCCCGAGGCGCTCATCGCCTTCCTTGCCTGTGCTCGCATTGGTGCCGTCCACTCCGTCGTCTTCGCTGGTTTCTCCTCCGACTCCCTGCGCGACCGGGTCCTCGATGCCGGTTCCAAGGTCGTCATCACTACTGACGAGGGGAAGCGGGGCGGCAAGGTCATCGGTACTAAGCGCATTGTCGATGAGGCGCTCAAGCAATGCCCCGACGTGACGGGCGTCCTGGTCTACAAGCGCACCGGTGCAGAGGTTCCCTGGACCAAGGGCCGTGATATCTGGTGGCACGAGGAGGTCGAGAAGTACCCCAACTACCTGGCTCCCGAGTCGATGAGCTCTGAGGATCCTCTCTTCCTGCTCTACACGTCTGGCTCCACTGGCAAGCCCAAGGGTGTCATGCACACCACTGCTGGTTACCTCCTGGGAGCGGCCATGACCGGCAAGTACGTCTTTGACATCCACGATGACGACCGCTACTTCTGCGGTGGCGATGTGGGCTGGATCACGGGTCACACCTACGTTGTGTACGCACCTCTGCTGCTAGGTTGCTCGACTGTCGTCTTTGAGAGTACCCCCGCCTACCCCAACTTCTCCCGTTACTGGGATGTCATTGAGAAGCACAAGGTCACCCAATTCTACGTTGCCCCGACCGCCCTGCGCCTGTTGAAGCGTGCTGGCGATGAGCACATTCACCACAAGATGGCTCATCTACGGGTCTTGGGATCCGTTGGCGAGCCCATCGCTGCGGAAGTCTGGAAGTGGTACTTCGAGGTTGTTGGCAAGGAGGAGGCGCATATCTGCGATGTATGTGGGATTGATCCGGTTTGAATTATGTTTTGTTTGTTGGGCTAATGTGGTTGGGACAGACTTACTGGCAAACCGAAACTGGCTCGAACGTGATTACTCCCTTGGGTGGCATCACCCCGACCAAGCCGGGTAGCGCTTCGCTTCCCTTCTTCGGCATTGAGCCCGCCATCATCGATCCTGTTTCTGGAGAGGAGATCTCGGGCAACGATGTTGAGGGAGTGCTTGCCTTCAAGCAGCCGTGGCCCAGCATGGCCCGGACCGTCTGGGGTGCCCACAAGCGCTACATGGATACCTATCTCAATGTCTACAAGGGCTACTACGTGAGTACCGCCAGTTCTTCGCCCTTGGGAATGTTGTACGAGGGAGCTAATTTGTGGTTGATCAGTTCACGGGAGATGGTGCTGGCCGTGACCACGACGGATACTACTGGATCCGGGGTCGTGTGGACGACGTTGTCAATGTCTCTGGACACCGTCTGTCCACTGCGGAAATTGAGGCTGCTTTGCTCGAGCATCGTAAGTGATTCGTCCCCTTCTTGAGAGCTAGCTCTGACTTCTGCACAGACATGGTGGCTGAGGCTGCGGTCGTCGGTATTGCCGACGAGCTGACCGGTCAGGCTGTCAACGCCTTCGTCGCTCTCAAGGAAGGTAACGAGACCACCGATCAGGTTCGCAAGGACCTGATTATGCAGGTCCGCCGCTCGATTGGACCTTTCGCTGCTCCCAAGGCCGTCTACGTGGTTGAAGACCTTCCCAAGACTCGCAGTGGAAAGATTATGCGTCGCATCCTGCGCAAAATTCTGAGCGGCGAGGAAGACAGCCTTGGTGACACCTCTACGGTAAGCTTTCTTTGTCTTGAAAATTCACCACCATCCACTCTAACCCAGACACAGCTCTCCGATCCCGCGGTGGTCGACAAGATCATTGCCACGGTGCACGCTTCTCGCGGCAAATAAACGCTTTGTCTCTACTGAATGATGTTAATGAAAGCGGTAGTTGGGAGGATTTATGGCACCACCATGCGCATGATGTCCGTGCAGTGTGGGCTTTTCTTCTGGCTGAAGATGGAGTTTTGTCTATTATTTTTTATTTTTTTTTTTTTTCCGTTTTTATTTTTTCCTCTTATCTTGTGATTCCCATCATGATCAGAAACGGGTGACATTCCGATGAGCTGTTAATCTTACCTACGTATATACCAATGATGAAAGAAGTACTTGTTTGGGTTTACGGGTGTGCTGCCGTATGGTGAAAACTTGTCGGATGTATATGCCGTGGTCAGACATGAGTGTGAGCAGGAATTCTTGCGGTGGAATTGGGCAAGACTTGAACTGCGAGCACCATCTGATATATAAGTATAAACTCATTCTTTCGTGTGTGTTATTCCTGGTCATATTGCATGATCATAGAAGCCAGGTACTTTACGTGTCATAGTCTGTCTCCGTGTACGCAACTGTCACATACGACTCACTCACTCCAGCCTTACCGACTAAATACTTTCCTCCTGCCAACTTTGTAGCGTTCATCGTTTCTCCCCGAGATTCATCCTCAGGCAGAAATTACTCGTTTGCAACGGAAGCATCAGGCAGCGGCGGGAGCTCCACGGGAGACGGCGGTAACACGGTGTATTGCCGGACCAAATTACCGGGCCACTCTGCCTGGACGCAACCAGATTGACAGCGGAGCAGTCTGTACCGGGAGTGTAAGCGAAGCAAGTTAGTCACCGCCTGCCTGAGCCTCGCCGCCCTCTTCCCTTTTGCAGCAAAGCAGCCTCTTTCCCTTCCCTTCCCGACCTTCCCTCTCCGTCGCGCCCCCTCAGGTCTTCTTTCGACCAGCTCTCTGGCTTCTTCTCCATTGTTGGCCTCCCAGCTTCAGATCGTCGACTTGCATCTTCGCTCCCGACGGCGACGGCCCGTCTGTAGCTGGCGAAACATCCCCTAATTTGCTCTCCTTTTCCAACCCACACAAAACACCTTTCCTCTTGGGCGCGTCGAGATCTCGGCCTCCCCCGAACCCAACCATCGAGCTCGTCGCTTCGCACGCCACTTACAGCGCTGTGATCGACCATCTCGCCTTTATCACCGCCCTGTCAGGGGCCTCGGACTGCATTTGATCATCGACGTGGACGAGCACTCGACCACTCAGTTGGGGAACGTTTCGGAACGGATGAACTCATAACGTCGCAACAATTTGACCTGCAAGATGTTCGGCGGAGGATTCGGACAGAATACTCAGCAGAGTTCCGGCTTTGGCTCCGGCAATGCTTTTGGAAGCGCAAATACTGGTGGAGGTAGGTGATCATCTGACCATAAGCCTTGTCCCTATCTCTTCTCCCTCCCCTGTTCCTATTTTTCCCGGGTGCTCTCTTAGCTTGTCTCAACACCCGCCTCGGTATCTTTCATTCGGCCCAGGAAAGGATTTCCATCTGGCTAGTAGTGCCTTGGACGTCATCATCATACGGCAATTATACCTACCTCCAGTTACAGCGACACTTGCCGCCATGTGGAAGCTTTTCCCTTGCTTGTCGACGTCGCGAGTAACATAGCAGCATTGCAAGAGAAGGGATCGCGGCTTCAGTACAGTCTCTGACAGTATCTCCCCGTCATCTAGGCTTTGGATCTTCCTCGTCTCCTGCTTTTGGGAGTGGTAACTCATCAGGCGGTGGCCTGTTTGGAAACACTTCCAGTAGCTTCGGTTCCGGCGGAGGTACGTGCTCGACGACACTATTTCCATGGGCTTGGCGATCCTTTCTCTTCCATCTGTACCTGGCGGTAGATCCTCGCGGTTTCCCCATGCCAACGATCGAGCTGGCCCGTGGACGGACAATACTGCCCTGGACCCGTGGACGACAGGCCTTGCCTTGCGGACCGGACTCTATTCCTAGAATTGGGGACTTTCGACTCCAGGCCGCCTTCTGTCTACCCAGGACTTATGGGGTTCATATCCTGTCTCATGCTCTAGGATCTGAGGCTTCTTACTGCATCACGGTATCGCTAACCTCACGTTTTCTCTTCTAGGATTCGGTACCAATACACAAACACAGTCAAACTCCCTGTTTGGTGCGGGGCAAAACCGCACCGGCGGCTTTGGCACTGCGGGACCCAGCACCGGCGGCGGTCTGTTTGGCTCAAGCAACACATCGAACACGGGTAACACTGGCTTTGGCGGCTTTGGCTCCGCTGCAAACACCGGCGGCGGCTTCGGCAGCAGCACGGGAGGCGGTGGGCTGTTTGGTGCCAACAAACCCGCCAGCGGATTCGGTAGTACAACCGGGACTACGGGCTTTGGAGCCAGTGGCGGCACCAGCGGGTTTGGAAGCGGAACAACAGCTCCGGCTTTTGGAGGTGGCAGCGGCACTGCGTTCAATCAAGCCGTCCCTCCCTCCGACGGCACGGGCAGCACTCCGTTCACTCCCTTCACCGAGAAGGACGCCGCCAGCAGCGTGACCAACCACTACCAGAGCATTGTGTTCATGCAGCCATACAGCAAGTATTCCTTTGAGGAGCTTCGGCTTGGTGATTATAATGGAGGCCGCCGATTCGGAAACGGCAGTGGCCAAGCAGGTGCCTTCGGCGCCTCCGCCTTTGGTGGCTCTGGGTTCGGGACTCAGTCTACTGGATTTGGATCCGGAAACACTTCTTCGCCATTCGGCGCGAACACAAGCACTCCTTCGGCCTTTGGCAGCCAGACCCAAACTGCAGGCGGCTTCGGCAGCAATACATCGAATCCATTGTTTGGTGCCCAGAAGCCCGCCAACTCTCTCTTCGGCGGCGGAACGTCCACTGCTACCACGACTCAATCAGGCTTGTTCGGTAGCAACACGGCGACAGCGGGAGGGTTTGGATCCAAGCCACTTGGAACCCCGCAGGGGAGCACTGGTTTTGGTGCCGGGTCGACACTGTTCGGAAACACGGCCAACAACAATCAGCCGCAACAGGGCCAATCTCTCTTTGGCGGAGGCTCAACTGGCGGAAGCGCTTTCGGCGGCTTTGGCACCCAGAACACGAGCACAGCCTCTCCATTTGGCGGCACCACTGCTACAGCTTCTCCCTTCGGCGGCCAAAATCAGCAGCAGCAATCGAGCGGTGGTTTGTTTGGTGGTGGTACCGGCTTCGGCCAGCAAAACCAGGCTCAGAATCAGGCACAGACCCCGAACAAAGGGCTATTTGGTGGATTTGGCGCTAACACCCAGCAGCAGCAGAACAGCACTTCGGGGCTTTTTGGCAGTAGCAACACCGCCACCGGCACCGGCACGACTGGCGGCTCCCTCTTCGGTCAGAACCAGCAGACCCAGCAACCTGCCGGCGGCGGTTTGTTTGGAACCAACAGCACCACCCAGCCGGCCCAAACGAACTCGCTTTTCGGCGGAGGTCAGCAGCAAGGCCAGAAGAGTCTGTTCGGAGGAGGCACAACAGGCACGGGCACGGGCACGAGTGCATTTGGAGGGTTCGGCAACACACAGACCCAACAGACTGGCGGTGGCTCGGGTCTCTTCGGTGGCGGTGCGGCTCAGCAACAGCAGAAGCCCAGTCTTTTCGGTGGCGCCGCACCCTCTGGCGGCAGTCTCTTTGGTGGAGGTGCAAGCACCACGACACCAGCGGCGACCGGATCTCTCTTTGGCGGCGCCACGAGCCAGAACCAACAACCGACCACTCTAGGCAGCTCCAGCCTCTTCGGCGGCAGCCAGTCCCAGGCTACCCAGCAAATGGGCCCCGCGCCTGGCAGTCTGCAGGCATCGCTGCTCGATGGAAACCCTTACGGCAACCAATCGATCTTCTCGGGATTGCCCGCGCCCAGTACTGCAAGCCCAGGCCCCTTGGCCACTCCGCTGTCTTCCTCCAACAAGCAGAAGCAACGCACTCCTCTCCCCGTTTACAAGATCACTCCGACTGCCGCAAATCGCCTGTTGACACCACCCAAACGGGGCTACGGATTCTCGTATTCCACCTATGGGTCTCCGTCGAGCACTGCGAATACCCCAGGCGGGCTTGGTGGCAGCGTCCTTGGGGGCAGCATGCGCAGCAGCTTTAATGCCAGCAGTCTAGGACGCTCTAGCTTCAGCAAGAGTCTCTCGACCAGCAACCTGCGCAAGACATTTGATCCTGAAGGCGATAGTGTTCTTTCTCCCGGAGCCCTTTCCTCCGGTAGCTCCCGACTTTCTAGCGGCAGCCTGAAGCGTCTCACTATCGATCGAAGCCTGCGCAACGACTTGTTCACGCGCTCGACCAGCACTCCTCCTCCTGCCGCCATCACCAACGGCGAGGTGGCTGCGCCTCTCGTCGACAAGGGGAAGAAGAAGGTTAGCTTTGAATCGTCTTCCGACCTGGCGTCCACTGGCGGCGAGATTGTACCCGTCGAAACCCAAAGCCCCGAGCCGACCGCGGAGGAGTTGGGATTCCTTCGTTCTGTCCGCAAGAGTGGCACGATCAATGGAGTCAACGGTACCAAATCCCCGGAGAATGCTGCTCGTCCCGAGATGGAATCAGTGCGCAACAACGACGCGCCCGCCGTCACGGAGCGTCCGGAACCGAGCGCGACCAACACCGCCCCCAAGCGACTGGCGTTTGTCCCCGGCGGGGACCCGCAGCCTGGCGAGTATTACATGAGGCCTACTCGTGCCGAACTCAGCAGGATGAGCCGGGAGCAATTGAAGAAGGTTGAGGGATTTACTGTTGGGCGCGAAAACTGCGGCGAGGTGACCTTTGATAAACCCGTGGACCTGACTACCATCGACCTCGATAATATCTTCGGTGGCCTTGTCGATATCGACGTGCGCAAGATCACTGTCTACCCCGACGAAACCATCAAGCCGCCTCGTGGCAAGGGCCTGAACGTCCCCTCGATCCTCCGAATCGAAAATTCTTGGCCTCGTGGCCGCGACAAGAAGTCACCGTCACCACTGACGAGTGGCCCGTTGTTCGACAAGCACATTGATCGGTTGGTCAAGGTGCACAACACCGAGTTTATCGACTACGAAGCGGAAACCGGCACCTGGGTTTTCAAGGTTCCTCATTTCACCACCTATGGTCTTGATTATGATAGCGATGAGGAAGAAGAAGGTGAGAGCCTAAACCAAAGCACTTTGAGTGCTGCTCCTGACACTCCGACTCCGAAGGCCCAAACCCTTGCCAATCCCGACAACACCGTGGGCTCGGAGCAGCTGTCGGCCTTCTCCACTGACGATTCCTTCCTCGGTTCTGTGGCGGGCGTTGATGACGACACGTTCGATTTCAAAAAGCGTAAGATAGTTCCCGGAGCATTTGGCCACCAGGCGATGGAGACGATGAACGACGAGCACTCGGGCTCGGAAGAGGAGGAAGACGATTCTTTTTTAGGGGACGGCTCCACGGGTTCAACTATTGAGCCAGACGGCGACGACATCACCGAGAGTCTGCAGTCTGGCGAGTCTGAAGTTGAATTCGATGAAAGCGAGGAAATGGACATGGCGGGTACGTTTCCGGACCTTCGTCACACCGTGGAGCACGACGACACCGCGAGCACCGACACATACATGGAAGACCCTCGGCTGTCGCTGAAGCCTTGGAACACGCCGGCGAAGCCGCGTCTGGATCTCACAGGCGATTGGGCCGAGCAGCTTCAGCGAACCATTAGTCCACGGAAGCAGAACCGCGACGCCCTCCGCGAGATTCAGGCGCATGCCTTCAATGACCGGTCTTTGCACGAGGAGACCCCAAAGCAGCCCACCAGCGAATCCAAGAAGAAGGGGTTTGCTACTAGTATTGATCTAATGAATTCGCTATTCCAGCAACCTCGGAAACACCAGACTACATCCCCCTCGAAAGCACAGAATGCGCGACCTAAAGGTCCTGAGGTATGACCCCGCCCCCTTTGAACCGTTGCAGTGGATTTGGTTTCTGGCGGAACGCCTCTTTGTTACTGCATTGCCACTTTGTTGGTGTTTTGCTAGTGCTCTTCTGACCGCCAGATTCACAGTGGCCATACCACAAACAGCCCAAGACCTATGCCGGCGAGTCCAATGAATTGAGCGCCGATGACCTTGCCTTTCACCACTCCTTCAAACCTCGTTGGGGACCTGGAAACTCGCTGCTTTGTGTACGGAACAGCTTCAGTCCTATTGAAGCTGGATTGAGTCGCTGGGACCATCGGCTGTCCGTGACTAGCGAAGGACGGGATGTTTCCCTACTATCATACTCGAAGGTTGACGAGCCGATAAGCATGCTTGACGCCCAGCGCGACCTGACGATCATCAGTCCCGTGGATGGGATCGTGCCCTTTGCTCGCCTGGTCCAGGCTGACTTCTACAAGATGTCTTCCGTAGCATCGGGTAGTCCGAGTGTCTCCGACCAAGAACGCTTGCTCTGGCAGCTGACCAATGTTCTATTCAATGAAGAGCTTGACGATGACATCTCTGCCGGCGTGCCCCCAGAACTCCGGTCTCAGTTCTCTCACCGTATCAAGAAGGATCGCCTCACCCGTCTATTGGAGGGTATCATCCGTCAAAAGCAAGTCCAGAAGCTAGGTCAGGTCGGTTCACCAGAGGAGCGTGCTGTTCACCTTCTGTGCGCACATCGAGTCGACGAAGCGTGCACTGTCCTCCTTTCGAGCCAGAACCCTCATCTTGCCACTCTTGTTTCGCAAATTGGCCGTGATGCCACTGTACGTGAAGACATAACCAAGCAAATCGAGATGTGGCGTCAGACCAATGCATACTCGGAGATGAGTGAGCCGGTGCGCGCTTTGTACGAACTGCTGGCAGGCAATGCTCTTCGGAGCGAGGGCAAGACCACTGGGGCGCTTGAGGATCGGATCTCTGCATTCACATTCTCAGAGCGCTTCGGCCTGGACTGGTTCCAAGCCTTTGGGTTGCGCCTGTGGTACGGGATCAGTGAGGACGAGCCGTTAGAAAACGCCGTTTGCAAATTTGTCGACGACCTGAACAGTGGCATTGAAACCGCACTACCCTCACCAGATCTGTCTCAGTTGCACCAATCTACCACCGCGCAGGATCGCGAATCGCCGCTGTGGGTGCTTTTGAAGGTCTATGCCGCCGCTACTGGTGCAGGTCAGGATTCTCAGTTCGACGGACTGGAATTCCCGGGCGCCTTGCTCCCCGAGTCAGTCACTGGGGACAGGTTAACCAACCGCCTGACCTTTCAGCTGTGTCAGTTCTTGGCTGCTGCTGTTGGACACAGTGGCCGTTTCCAGCTCAATGTAGCTCAGATGGACCAGCTCACTTGGGATTATGCATGGGAGCTCTGCGGTTTCGCTGCTCTTCCACGGAGCATTTTCGTCTTGTGTCACCTCTCGCGTACTGTTGACCGGGAACGAGCTATCAAGGACATGCTGGCTCGATTTGCACCAACGATTCCAGACTCTGTCAATGAAGACGGATCGCCCAACAACTTGTGGCGGTTCCTTATCACCGAGGCACGGATTCCGGAGAATTGGATCTGGGTGGCCAAGGCCCTCGATGCGCGGGATAGGGGGGATGCTGCCCACGAAGTGGACTATCTGGTCAGAGCTAAGAATTGGAACGATGCGCACACCACCTTCTGTCGCATCGTCGGTCCATCGGCCGTGATTGAGGGCGACTACGCCACGCTAGAAACGTTGGTTTCTGGCTTTGGCGCCGAGCCGGAGCGCAAGGTGCGCGGCTGGGCGCAAGGAGGCGGTGTTTACGACGACTTTCTGCAATTGGCCACAGCCAGGGCTGGCAGGCGAGATCCGGCACGACTGCATCGGCTGGTCCAGGCCTTGGTCCAGCGCGGTGATCAAATTCGGCAGGGTTCCGGCGTGGAAGGCTTGGAGGAACGAGTTGCATTCCGGGAGATGAGCCGAGCCGTGGCGCGCTGGACGGCATACGAAGACATCCAGGTAAGAGGCTTGATGTGTGTGTTTCTGGTGGGAGTCGGAACTAACCATGTTGATCAGGCAACCGATCTGTCTAGTGTGCTCAGTCTGCCGCTGACGGGCGATGCACGCCTCACGCAGACGGCGGAAATGAGTCGACGTTACTACGGGGTTATCATGGCCGGGGGCTATTGATTGGATGATTGAATGAACGCACGAATGGCAAAAGTCTCAGATCGTTGGGGTAGTTAGTCATTGGATCTAATAGCGTGTTGTCTGGTTGTTCTTGGATGACCTCTGGTAAAGGGGCGTCTTTCTTCTCTTCTCGCTCCTCCTGTTTTCTTTTCATCTCCCTCACTTGTTCTTTTTCTTCACCCTGTCTTACTCTTATTTGTATCAAATGGTGACATCATGGAGACGAGCCCATATGTATGTTAGCTGCGAATGCTTTGTTTCTTCAACTGCATGTATTTGTGTGTTTGCTTATGCAGAGATGACCTCTCGCCCTCTCGCCCCATCTTATTTTGATTTATCTCCAAGTTACCATGCCATAGGTGATCAAGCCATAGCGAATGAATTCCATCTCGGTCAACATTTATGCCTTGACGCGGCTTTGGCTTCAAATGAAGCATGACCGTCAGCCGACCACTTTCCACCAATGTCATATACAGAGTAGTTTCGATGAGGTGGCCAACAACTGGTGAAAGCAAGGGAAAGCCTGATCGGTCAGCTCGACTTGGAAGTATCCCGGCTTCCTGGACTTTAATCATCCACCGTTAGCACCAAGCATGAGGCTACAAGGGTGTTCGTCCGCTTTGACGTTAAGCAAGAAAGAAACAACAGCCTGTCTCTGACACAGCAGCTCGTTCTTTTCCCCACATCAGAGCTCGTCTCATTACCATCCATGTCATATTATAGTGTAATCCCATCCTACAGCACAACTCAACCAGACCATCACCACCTCAACACGAAGCTCATATTATCAGGAATAACGGCACTTTATAACAACATCCGATGTGGTGTAATGGCTAACATCGCTGTCTCTCACACAGCAGCTCGGGGTTCGATTCCCCGCATCGGAGTATACTTTTTGCATATCTTTGCCTAAACTTTTAATTCTACAGATGAGGGAAAATTCATATTGAATGAAGCATAAATAAGCAAAAAAGAGGTAGATTGAGCAGGGGTCAGTGAGGGGGGGCAACTGGGAGGGCTACTACACTACTCCTTGCCCGATAGGGCAGGTACCTCTCAGACGGGTGCCGTGGGCTCCTTCCGTTGGAAGCAATCAGATAAGATATCGATAGATTTCGGCTAGTAAGTATCTAACTAAGCCTATGTTGAGAGAAATAGAGTATATCAAGAATATCGAATCGGATGGGAGAGTCACTTTTCCTTCGGAGGAAAAGAGGAAGGAAAAGCAAAAAGTGTACTCCGATGCGGGGAATCGAACCCCGAGCTGCTGTGTGAGAGACAGCGATGTTAGCCATTACACCACATCGGATGTTGTTGCAGGCTGCATTCGTTCTTGATCATATGAATGATGGTAATGGTCTCCTCCCACGTAGTCCTATATCGTGATCAATCCCCCTCATATATCCCACACAGTCGATCACGACGTCGAAATGGCATGCGATTCTGTATAAAGCCAGAATCTACTTACTTGATGCGGTTCAATGATAATCTGCTGGTAGGGTGTGTATTTCCGATTTATCCTATCTTCGAGTCAGTCAGTGCTGATGACACGCACCTCTTTCTATGTTGCCTAAACAAACTGTGTCAATAGAACTTCAAGAAAGGAAGTAGTATAAGTGGCTAACGCTGCTTACGGATACACATACACAAGACAACCCCCATCCTCCCGATCCAGATACAAACCAGGGCCAGTCTCAGTACCCCCACCCCGCCACGATCTCTCGCGCCTCCTTGACCAGGGGCTTCGAACATCCCCTCCCTCTCCCACGTAATTAATAGTCATACCCTCCAGGTATACAGGGCCCGGTCACCCGAGATATCACAGTGGATCAGACAGCCACAAAGAACAGATGGATGGATCTCTTGACTGCGCCTCTTCCGCGGGCCCTCCAGTCGAATTCCTGTCTGCTGGATTGGACTCGGAAAACGATCTCCTCTCCCCATTTGGTGGTGCAGGAGATACAACAGGCTGCAGCACCTTTTCTACGTCTTGGATATCGATTCCGACGTCGTGTGGTTACGGTGCGTTCGGTCATCTGGGAGCTGTCTAACTTGGAAAAATTTGGTGGCAGTCACTGATCGAGCCCTTATGGTGCACCGGGGGGGAGGGGGGGAAGGGGGGTCGAAGTGTGGAAGCTTCGCATCTATGGGCGGCGTGGGGTGGGAGACCATTTTCTATTCCCATTGCTTGATGAAAACCCTAAGCCCTTTTTTTTCTAAAGCATCCTCTGTGACACGGGCGGCTTGATTCGTCGTCGGTCTTTGTCGCCTGAATAAAGGGTTTTGCTGAATATCCCCATGTATACATACCATCAACCTCCGGTCGAGAACCCCCGGTTCGAAAGCTTATCAAGAAGACACAAGGCCGCCAACGGTCCGGGATGGACAGGCTGCGCGCCGGCGTAAGTTGTACGAAGTTAGTGGTTAGATTGCGGAGTAGCCGTAGGACGCTCTTGAGAAGAGATCGAGTATGGTGATGTTGAAGAAACATGTGAATTGTCAATAGAGAGAAGGTTGCTCCGGACTATTACTAGAGCTTGACCAATCTGAAGACCGCAGTCCCAGATTCAGGGCTATCGCATGTTGAGAGATCGTGTCATACCAACTACTCAAAATGAATCAACCAACAAGGATCTCACGCAATAAAGAAAAGATATGAATTGCTACCAAGACTGTACATGATTGAACAAGACGTGAAAAAAAAGGAGAAATCATCCACTCGCACAGCCATACACCCGAGCCTTCCTCTAAGAGCAAGAAAAGAAAAAGGAAGATTTGATTCACACTCCTCAAACTTTTCCTTTCACTGACCCCCGTCACCACCAACCCCTGAAATTAACTACTGACCGGGAGAGATCAACTTGCCCTCAGCCCGGGCGTTGGGGTGCCATCCACCGGCATAGGGGGACTGGCCACCGAGCTGCTCGGCGTGCTCGCGAATCCGGGCCTCAAGCTCGGGACGGAAGTGACGGATCAGACCCTGGATGGGCCAGGCGAAAGCCTCACCCAGAGCGCAGATGGTGTGCCCCTCAACCTGCTTGGTCAGCTCCTGGAGCATGTCGATCTCACGCTCGCGGGCCTGGCCGGTCTCCATCCGCTGCATCATCTGCATGGTCCACTTGCTGCCCTCACGGCAGGGTGTGCACTGGCCGCAACTCTCGTGCTTGTAGAAGGTGGACAGGCGGGAGATGGCGCGGACGATATCGGTAGACTTGTCCATGACAATGACGGCGGCGGTACCCAGACCGGACTGAGAGTCCTTGAGGGCATCGAAGTCCATCAGCTGGTCGTCGCAGATAGACTTGGGGAGGACGGGAGTCGAAGATCCACCGGGGATGACGGCCTTGAGGTTGTCCCAGCCACCACGGACACCACCGCAGTGGCGCTCGATCAGCTCACGGAGGGAGATGGACATCTCCTCCTCAACGGTGACAGGGTTGTTGACGTGACCCGAGATACAGAAGAGCTTGGTGCCGGCATTGCGCTCGCGACCAAAGGAGGAGAACCAGCTAGCACCACGACGAATGATGGTAGGAACCACGGCAACGGTCTCGACGTTGGTGACCGTGCTAGGGCAACCGAAGAGACCGACGGCAGCGGGGAATGGGGGCTTGAGACGGGGCTTGCCGGCCTTACCCTCGATCGACTCGATCAGCGAGGTCTCCTCACCACAGATATAGGCACCCATGCCACGGTGAATGTAGACGTCGAAGTCGTAGCCCGTACCGCAAGCGTTCTTGCCGATCAGGCCAGCCTCGTAGGCCTCGTTGATCGCCCGCTGCAGGACGGTGGCTTCGTGGTAGAATTCACCACGGATGTAGATATAGGCGGCGTTGGCGTTCATCGCACGACCAACGACCAAGCAACCCTCGATGAGCTTCTGGGGGTCCTTGCGCATAATCTCACGGTCCTTGCAGGTTCCGGGCTCACCCTCATCGGCGTTGACGACGAGATACCGAGGACGCGGGTCCTTGTCCCAGTCCTTGAAGTTCATGAAGGACTAATAGCCACACCCAATCAGCCTGAAACCAACCATTTATTGCCTTCGCACCAGACGGGAAGACTCACGTATTTCAATCCGGAGGGGAAACCGGCACCACCACGGCCACGGAGACCAGAGGCCTTGATCTCAGAGATGAGCTGTACACCAAGCCAAAATCATCAGCATTGAACCGTCATCAATCTCCCATAGCCGTCCACGTGTCGTATAAGGGATTGTCTTGGTTATCTTGGGGGACAGCGTACCCAGTCGTGACCCTTGAGGACAATGTCCTTGGTGCGGTGCCAGTCACCGAACTTCTGTGCCGACTTGAGATCGGCTCCATGGTGTCCGTAAAGATTGGTGAAGATGCGATCCTGGTCCTTCAGACCGCCATAGTGTCGTACGGGGGGAGCATTGTCCTGGACAGTCGCGAAGGAACGGGCAGCCGGGGCCTGGGCTCGGAGGGAGCGAGAGGAGAGATTGGCGATGGAGGAAGACGAGGGAGCCGCCGCTCGGGATATCATGGTGAATGTAGGCCCAGTGGCTGCGGAACAAGACTGGGGGGAGAAAGATCGATTGGGGGGGAGGCGGAGGGAGGGGGGGGAAAGGTCGAGATGATGGAAGGCGTTCAGCAGTTGAGGAGCTTCCACCCTTCCGGCGCGGCAATTCCTGCGCCTGCTGAATATCCGCCTTTCCCCGCCCTCTGATTGGTGCTGCCCACCACACGTGATGGATAGTGAGTCAGCAAGATTTATGTGTCATCTTATGTATTTCGATCCTGTTGAGCCTTGATCTCATCGATTCATCATGGTATGTATTTATACCGTCTCATCTACTGGCTCTGAGGTATATACAAGTAAGATTCTGTCGACAGCATCACCTGCCCCTCACTTGCTAGCAGGTCCAATGCATTCTCAGGCATGAGCACGCACTCTTGCTCCGCAACCATCCACGCCCAGCGTATCCAATTGGGCGACAGCCACCAGTCATCCTTCTGCCATGCACCTGTATACGCCTCCAATCCGGCGAACCCATCAGAGCTCCTTGCTCTCAAATCTTCCAAAGCCTCATCGAATTGGCTGACAAGATACTCGTCATCCTCATCTTCAAGCGCCCAGGCTACATCATTTGGTGGCGGCGGATAGTTCTCGAGCAGGAAGCTCGCCCATCGCGTTAGTCGCGGTGACAACTGGGCTTCGCTAGATCCTGACACCTTCGTACCCGCATAGGCTACTGCAATCAGGCACAAGAATACAGGATAGGCGAAGGGCGACGTGTCAGAGCTGCCCCTGAGCGCGGGGATGGCGTTCTCCGCGGTGCTCAGGACCTCCTGGATGCACGCCTGGCTCGGTTGCTGCATCTCTGCTGGCAGGAGATCTGGCAATTCGGTCAATGTAAACAGCTCTCCATTCTGGGTTAGCAGTGATTTCCGCTCCAAAATCCGCATCTGCAGCCGGGACAAGATCCCCTCGGGAAATTTGCCAGCAGGTATCCGAGCCATGTGAGCCCCAAGGATTTTCTTGGTCTCTTCCCAGCTTCCAGTAAAGCCGTGTTGCCGCGCACGATTCAGGGTCCATGCCGCAATCACCAGGGCGGTTTCGGACAGCATGATCTGGCTGTCCCGGTACATCTTCGCATGGATCTGCTTCAGATTTTTCGGGTTCTGTAGATCTTGACCGGAGGTCCTCAGCTTCACAGCATGAGTGATGAGTTCGATCACTATCTGGCTCATCGCAGCTAGCAGCGCGCGTGAGCTCCCGTAGCCATCGGCAAGCTTGATGGCTTGGTCTGTGATCTCTAGTGTCTCCAACTCTCGATTGTTGGCCGCCAGGACGGAGACCGCGTTCAGCAGAGCCGGCGAGAAGATGGAATGCTCCATCGCAGAATCTGGGGCCAGTAGCGGATAGAAGATATTGAAAACATAGTAGTGGTCTTCGGTTTCCGCAGCCAACTCCGGGAACATCTGGAGCTGGTGGGAGCGGGCCTGTTGGAGTGGGCTGCCAGGCGGCGCGCGGAGACTCACAACGCGATAGTCACAAGGATTGTCGGGAAGACAGAATCCGTAGTTCATCATCACTGTGTCGAGTGTCAGAGCAATCGTCGAAAGAGAAGTTCCCCAAAGGGCCAGGTCGTACTACTCACACTGCTCATTATGACGAGGTCCGTAGTTATTGGAAATCTCCTCTCCAGCTCTCACATTCTCCAAAACCACAAACCTCACCTCGTCCTTCTCCGCTCGCCATTCGACCTTGGCCAGCGGCCGATGATTCGCAACATCAAAGAAGGGCAGCAGAACAGAGATCTTCTCCTCGGACAGCTCCTCGTTGGGAATCACACCGGACAACACCTTGGCCGAGAAGGCGCGCGAAAAGAAAATGGTTGAAGCCCACAGATAGAGATCCCTGCAGACCCAAGTCAGCTCAATCACGGTCCTTTGCTCTTCCGGCACCTCTCCAGCACCATACAAGAAGTACCATCAACAACATAAAAGAAGCGGAGGAGGGGGAAACTTACCAAGTATACCCATCTACCCCCTCAAACCCCGCCTCCCTCAACGCCCGCACCGCAACCTCATACTGCCCCCGCAGCTTCTCCACCCTCTGCTCCGTAGCCGCCCACAGACTCGTCCCCTGCAGCCACCGCAGATCCTCCCCCTCGTAGTTCGGCGGCGTCGTCAACGTCCCCGGCTGCGGCAAGGTCCGCAAATACGGGTACCAGAAACTCTGCGCGCCCCGCAGATACTGGCCCACCAGAAAGAAGACCGTTGCCTCCTTGGATCCAACCGCGTCAATGAAGGTACGCGGAAAATCCAGTCCGTGGGACTTGAACTCGATCTCTGAAGCTGCCCCTGTCGCTGTGGCTGCTGCTGCTGGTAACGGTGCACGGTACCCAATAACATTGAAGTACGAGATGGTGGTTGTTAGGGGCGTTTGAATGATGTGCGTGTCCACGGTCAGACCAGGACCCTCAGACCAGTCCTTGCGGACTTGCAGGTGCACCCCGCGTTGCTTGTCTCTGGCGACTTGCACAGCCTGGTGCAGGTGGCCGCCATGCTGGGTCAGCCATGTTTGCAGGTCGGCGTACATTTCTAGCCCGGACGTGTCATCATTGGTACTAGAAGGATGTGTCAATAATCTCCTCTGGTGGGTAAATTATCAGTGATAAGTGACAAGAAAGGTATAGAAAGCTTGTCTTGGTAGAATTGACTCGGCCTTGTTGTATAGATCGCAGCGAATCAGCCTCATATAAGGAAGATGAGGCTTACCTGGAAGACCTCGCGGTCGTGCTTGCAGCCATGTTACTGTGGAACAGAGGCTCAAACGCTCACTCAATCGAAGACCTGAGTAGTTGGGAGATAAAAATCACAAATGTGTCTCGCTGTTGTCGAGGGGTGAGAAGATGTCAACAGCAGGAACTGAAGAACCTTCGCGGGGTTGATCTAATCATTGTCCCGAACCGGAAATTGTCCCACTTTTCTGCCACTTCCGAGTTTCCTCCAATTTCATGAATTACTACGAAGTACGACTTCAAAAGTGCCATGAAAATGGATACTAATTCAATTCGAGGCCATCCTCGCCCCAATATCCTACATCCAGAGGAGAACAGCAGCTCAGCTAACCATTAGTCCCAAAGCCGCAGTAACATCAAAACGTTCGTCAAATACTTAGGATTTCCGTCCCTTCACATCACTTCAAAGCTATATCTGCCTTGTAAAGAGAAATGAAGAAGACAGAGGGAGTACGAATGCATACTCCCTGCGAGACCATGCTGCTGTCACACATCCACCACCAAGTCCGCCACAACCTCAGAGGATAAGCACACGCGAATGTCATACAGTCAACTAGTGTACAGATGATGGGTCCTATACCAATCCCACCAGGTCAAGCATTATCAAAGCACCACCCAAGGCGTGATGCCCGAGATTCACAATAACCACAACAAAAGGGAATCCGCATTAGAGAAAAGTCAGGGTGCAAAGGATATCAGTTAAGCAAGACAAAGACGAATGATTAGTGCGTGGAAGACGTTGAAGCCTTCCTGCCTGGCACAAGGATCTCAACCAGCCCATCATCCTCTCCATCGCTACTGTCGTTTTCTTCATCATCGCCGAAGGGAGAGGCGCCCATGCGTGATCGAGAAAAGCCCATGTAGCGCCCCGGGCCCAGGTCGGGATAGCCGAGCGACTCGTTCATGATGGCCTCATCCTCTTCGTCCGAATCCATCATTCTGGGATCAGCAGACGGCCCTACCATCTCTCCCATGTCATCATCGTCGTCCTCAACTTCAAGTGGGACCCGTTCCTTGCGCCGCATGCCTTCGGTTCGACCCTCTCCGTCATCATCAGACGAACCGGTAGAGAACGAGTCCGGCGGGCTAAATCCCGATTCCGGGAAGGTGGGCGAGGAAAACGGTTCGTCTTTGTTACTTGGTGGGAAGTCGGTGGTGGGGAAAGCGGCAGTTGCGGGAGAGTTATTGCCTTCCGTGTCGTCATCTAGACCAGCAATCACAAATGGATTGGTGGGCCACTGGGACTCAGTGGTCTCATGTTCTTCCACCAGATCCCTGTCTTCGTCGTTAGATTGCTGCTTCTGAGCCGCAAGCCGAGCGGCTAATTGTCGTCGGGCACGGGAGGGCCCTTGGCTCATCGGAGCAGGGGGTGGGGGAAGAATCGGTATCGGTTGGCTGGTCGAATTGGCAGATCCCTAAAAATCGAGCAGGATTAGCATTTCTGTAGGCAAATGACATCAACATGCTTGTTTGCTCATGCGCATGGCCGAAGAACATCGTGAATAGAGCTTCATAGACGACAAAAGATAGGCTGAACCTTATTGGGGTATGCAAGGGACTACTGGTACGGGAAAAGTCAGGCAATTGCTTGGCTGTAAAGAATCGCCGCCACATGATATCGGGGAGTAGTACGGTTCTGAATGACTTCATACAAATTGAGAAGCGCTGCCAGTCCAACACTTTGTACGAGGCCCTTCACAGCCCGTACCACTCCCGTCATCCATCAAGTGCCAAAACATCCAGTCGTCCGGATCGAAAACAGAACCGTTAAGAGCATGGTAAGAATTTGAGCTGCGAACGAGGTATAGATAAACCGTATAGATTGGGTTGATGAATGAAGGTGGTTTCGGCCATTGGCATTCAAGCATCGCGCATATCGATGTCTGTGAAATCGTGATCACCCACATTCTCTGAGCCACTTTCGGCGGCTTGATCGGCCAGGTGTCTGTCATCTTGGTCCTCCATCTCCTCGTCCTCATCATCGCTCGAGCTGGCGAAACCGCTCAGAAGAGAATTTCCGCCAAGTCCAAACGCTCCGCCCGAGACGCTTCCTTGGTTCATCATGTCGAAGCCCTGGAAGCCAGAGTTTCCCGCGGACCCGTTCAGCCCTGCATCCGCGAGAGCCGACGAAGCATTTGCGCTCTGACCTGAGTTGACCATACCTTGACGATGACCGATAGACATGTCAGGTCGTACGCCGCCGAGAATCGCGTTGTCGCGTTCCCTTGTCTCCGATAGTGTTTGCTCGACATAATCGATCCAATCGGGATTGAGGACACTTTCCAGAACAGTCGGTGAAAGCAGCTCCGGTGGGTGGCGCTCGCTGAACTTGACGACCTCCTCAGCGATCAGCGTGAGGTGACCCATGTAGCCCAACCTGATCTGTTTGGTACGCTGAGTTTCGTCGCTTCTCTTCTGCCCATCGACAATGCTCTGAGTTATCTGGCCCGTCTCAAACACATCGACAGCTAGCATTCGGTTGTATCCACGATCCATAGGGCCATTGAAGACCTGCTGTACTACGTCGTAGACAACATTATGAAGGAAGTTATTCCAAGGAAACCGGAAGAAGAAATCCTGTGAGACAGTTAAAACCGAAGTCGGACCATCGAAAACTTAGGGGAACAGACCAGAATGGTAGGAACGACCTGATGTTGTACGAACATAAGCTTGAGATAATCACCAACCACAGGCTGCCCATTCGAATCAACTTGGATATCAGGATGCAGTTGCTGCAGGGAAGGGGAAGAAGTATCGCCGACCTGGCCAGCAGTATCAGGCGTGGAGGAGCTGGGTGGCTTGTTTTTTTGATCGGGGGCTGTCACTACTTCAGAGACGGACGGTGACTGGCTGACTGGCTCGATAGTGCTCTCAGCCGACGACTCATGCAGCTCGGCAGTTTGGCGACCGTCGAGGCTGACCTCTTCAATCTGAGCTGCCAAGCCAGAGGTGGTATCGGAAACTTCGGTAGGCAGCCCTGCAGAATCCTCTGCCTTGCTTCCTGCCGCCTCGTTCGCAGTCGAGTCTGTCGCACTCGTAGGGTCAGAGCCTTGCGCAACAGCGGCAGGCTCGGCCTTGGGGCTGAGATTGCTTGCCTCTCTGACACCCGCATCTTTCTCATTATCAACAAGGACACCGGATGCGCTGACGTCTTCAAAGCTCTCCTCGCAAGTATTCGCAACTTCAAGAACTCTTGAGCCTTCTGGTGACCCATACCCGATGACAGATCCGTTTACGAAGTCCACAGTGGAGTCATTTCCATCGAAAGCAGACGTCTCTTCTCGGTGTGTGCTGAATGCACCCTCACGCATAAGCCTTTCGCGCTCTGCATCGCGCTGTCGAACATACTCATCGCTGCCTGGCTCGTTCAGCAGACCCATGTTACTGCAGTGCAGCAATTCCGCCATCAACTCGCAAGTTTTGAATCTGTCGAAGCCCAGAGGCTCAATTTTAGCGCCCCATGCCGAGTTCAGCTTCCCCCGTTCAACGGTCTTGACCTTTCCAGCATCGTTGACTGTGTGCTTGGAGCTTTTGATCAATGCCAGGAAATCCGGTATGTGCTTGGCAAAAAGTCGAAGCAGGTTACCGAGATAGATCGGGTCATAGACGGTGGGGGGTGAGTCCGGCCCGTTGATGTTCTCCGGGTCATAGTCGGAATTGTTCTTTCGAATGACTTCGATGACAATGCCGACACCCACGGTCAGCGGATTTCCACCTTTTAGCATGGATTTGATTAGAGTCTCTATACAGGTTGCGGATACCAATTGCCGCGTGAGACTGTTGGGGCCGATGCAAGACTGGTCATTCTGAGTTGCGTTTGCCGAGATGGTGATGATTGCTTTCAAGAAATCGCCTGCCGAGGTTTGGACGGATGCAGGATACTCTGGCGACAAGAACGATAGCAGGGTCGGAATTAGGTTCTGAGACCTCAGCCACTGGTGCGATGTTAGTTGTCTCTAGAGGCCGAGTTTCATGGCTCAATCAACTTACGTCAACAATGCCTTGGCCACCTTCAACCTTCTCCAAGCTGATGATCTTCAACAAGAGATCCATAACCATAGGGTTGTCAACATGTTGGAGTATGGCCGGAACCACGCCATCCATGGACTTTAGCAGGTCCAACATTTCAGTCGTTTTCTTGTCAAATAGTGTCTCGTTGACCTTTGTAAAATAACTCGCCTGCACAGAGTCCAATGGCGAGGGACGCTTGAGAAAGCCCCAGAAGTGCTTCAAGTGATCAGGGTTCAACATGACCGACTCCACGATTGACCAAATCTCGGACGACAAGATCTCACACGCGACATAAGCCCTTTTCAACCGATCCTTCTCTGCCCGCTCCAGATCTTCGGGGTCTAGCATATCTCTGAGTGGGTCTTGGCGTTTCGCCTTCGCTGCCGATGCATCTTTGTTCGACTCTGTGGCATTGCTGTCATTCTCATCGTCGTCTTCGTCGTCGTCGTCAGTCACCAGCGACGGGGCGATCACGTAGTCCATAAGCCGTTTCAAGACATTATCCTCTCGTAAGTATTCTATGAGCTTCGTATTATTTTGCTTGAGCTCCTGGATGAGTTCCGACTCATCCAACAGCTCCTCCAGGCTGACATCGGGTTTGTCTAGCAGGGTATCGATGCTGGAGATACTCGCATATCCTCCGAAACGCCAAAACATGATGAATTATAGAACCGGGCGAGCCGAGTCATGGAAAGAGGGTCCCGTTAAAATGCACTATTCTCTAGCGGCCGTCGTCCTCCGTCGACAAAATTGCGACTAGGACCTGATGTATGTTACAAGAGCCGTAAAAGATTGTCCAAAGCGTCTAGCCAATGGGACAACACATGCAATATTTTCGGAGTGTCGTGAAAAATGAAATATGTGGGTTTCAAGTCCGGGGTCGCAAAGCGTAAGAGTCGTTATGTTCACGTTATTCCAGGAATAGAAAGTGAGATCGGGAATTTCGTAAGCAAAGATCAGTCTGGTCGGAGCGTCCAAGCGCTAAATGCGCCAAGTCTCCCAGTTAGCAGACCTCTTCGCGCATCGAATATCATAATCATAGGAAAGGAAGGAGAGAAGAGGGCGGGGGTGGAAACGGTGATGGTGAGGATCGGGAACATTAGGGGTGGCTTTCGACTGAGGATCGGAGAATAGCAGGGAAGACTTCAGGCAGGCAACAATGGCCGGGTCAGGCATTGCGGCCGCGACTGCAAAATTCACCAGATCGCCAGGCATGAAGGCCCAGCAAGCGGAGGTTGAAAGTTAAAATGAAGAAGACAAGAAAACGTGCACATACCTTTCACAACCGGAGGGAGTGACAGGGGAAGAGAAAATAGGTGGTAAAACCCTTTAAGAAGGGGAAGAGAGTCGGGGTTCGTCAGCCTTGCGCTGCACGAAGGAACACGAGTCAGTCAAGTCAGATGAAGGAGGGAGGAGAAGGATGATGATGATAATGATAATGAAGATAATGATGATGATGATGATGATGATGAAAGAAGATTAAGGCAGTGAGTTATGGGGGCTGGTGTGTTGTGTCGTGCGTGGTGGTAGTACAGTACAATACCTCTGACATGCGCAGTTATCGACTATTGTGCTGCGCTGGCTGCTGGCCGACAGTAAAGTGGTTAACCAGTTAGTGTCTGGATCGGTCGGTAACTCTGATCCCTGGAGGTGACGATAAATGATCCAGGCGAAAATACCCAACACGCCCAAGCGACAGCGGGGGGTGGGGGGGGGGGAACGAAGACTTGGGAGTCGGGGACCAGAGATACGCGAGCGAAGAGTAAGAGAAGATGACTAGTTAAGTAAGAGAGGGGAGAGAAGGAGGGGAGAGGGGGGAGAAGTGGGAATGAATAATAATAATGATTGATGAGTTTCACAGTCTGAAAATAGCCTGTGGGTTCGTTGAACTTCAACCCGGATGATTAATCAGAAGGGGGCAAAGGCATGAAGAAGCTCAATCAGGCGCGTTTGATCTTTGCTGCTGAATTGTGATGATGTGGTATTTACTCTATCTCTTCCAAGAATCACGATTTTGATAACAACCCAAGTGGGAGAAGGAGTGAGTCTAAATTCAGGCTGGGCTGCACGAGATGGGAGGGCGATTCCATTTGGTATTGCTTGCATCCTTGCATGGCCGGTGCTGGGAGGTCGGGCCTACGTATCAGGTACCGCACTGGCCATACCCGCTCGTGAGTGGGTGCAAGTACCGGGTACAGTACGGACTCACGGGTACTGTGTATATGTACATCGTTGTGGAGGGCTGATTGCGTCGAATGCCTGCAGTGCAAATTCCACATGTATTGATGCTACTCAGCCTTCAGTCATTGTGGATGATCCCCGAGCAGGCCAGTACTCAATCCTGAGCGCAGAGGGTTACTCCGTACTCAGTAGTTGTTCAGTCAGATGACTGACTGCTGGTCAATTCCTGAATTTGGGGTAAGCACTGTCTAATCAGAAGCATCCTTGAGGTTCAAGCCGATGATATCCTTGTCCTGGAGACACGACCACGCTTGAACTGTCGTTCCGTCAAGTCCAATAATTCCATGGTAGACTCCGCGAGTATGAGAGCTGTTGCCTACACCTCCTTATCCTTCTGTAAAAATCTTTTTTTCTGAGTAGTTGGGGTGGAAGTAAGCGTTGCGATAAAGTCGATTGTAGGCGGCGAGACTAACAATATTTACTGCCTAACGGGGGCAGTTTTCTGTTCCCGCCCGCCTTCCCCCCAACTCCAGCTTCCCCGATCGCCACAACACAGAACACATTCAACCAACCCTCTTCTCACTTCTGTCATCGGCCACTTTCTTGATCATCAGTGATCGCGCTCTTACAAGAAAGATACCACAATGAACCGCTTATTCGGTAGCAAGAACACGGCTCCCAAGCCAACACTAGACGGGGCCATCAGCAATGTACGTGTGTTCCCTCGGTCGTTGAACCCCTCTCTCTTCCCTCGCTCCCTCACTCATCACTCTCCGCTCTCCGATGATGTCTGCCCCGCATGGAGTCGTCTTTCGTGTCCACTGAACCACACTAACCACAACCCCCCTCGCCCAAAAAAGGTAGAAAACCGCATCTCTAGCATTGACGTCAAGCTAGCAGCCCTGAACTCGGAACTCTCGACCTACCAGGCCAAAATCGCCAAGATGCGCGACGGGCCCGGCAAGACCGCCCTGCGCCAAAAGGCCCTGAAGGTGCTACAGCGGCGGAAACAGTACGAGGCCCAGCGTGATCAGCTGTCGCAGCAGTCGTGGAACATGGAGCAGGCGGGCATGATGCAGGATAACCTGAAGAATGTGATGACGACGGTGGATGCTATGAAGACGACCACCAAGACTCTGAAGAAGCAGTACGGGCAGATTGATATCGACAAGATTGAGCGCATGCAGGACGAAATGGCCGATCTGATGGACATTGGGAATGAGATCCAGGAGAGCATATCGCGCGCCTACGATGTGCCGGAGGATGTCGACGAGGCGGAGCTCGACGCCGAACTGGAGGCCCTGGGCGAGGAGACCATGATGGAAGGCGCCATGGCGGACAGTGCCATGCCCAGTTTTCTCCAGGACGAGGTCGCGCCCCCGCAATTCATTGATGAGCCGCCGGAGCAGAGCAAGATTAAGGAGCCTGCGGGCGGGCTTAGCTGAAAAATCGCGTGGATGGCGTGCAACTGGGTTCTGTGTGTCTAGCTATTTTGGAATTTTGAAGCATTCGGAGTTGGGTCATGTTAATTCCCCTTCAAGTTTTCACGGAAAGCAAATTCATCTAGTCTTCGTCTCCAACATAATACTATATACGAAAATGTGACCAGCGAGCAGATTCAAGCTCGAGTCGACCGCATCCCTGCGGCTGTAGAAGTTATGAGGTTTCGGCTCCGGCATCAAGCCTTGCCGAGACCTAGAAGAACAAGGAGCGCGACATTCATCACCACAATAATCAACCAGACCACAACGGCGATGATGGTCACAAAAAGGTTGTTTTTCATTTTCACTCCTCCCGCCGCTGACTCTTCGCTCTCGAAGACCCGGTCATTAGGGACGGTCATGTAACGGTTGCGACATGTAAAGTAGATGAGAGGAGCGCTGACAAAGGGAAGGATGACACTCAGAACCACTTGGCTGGCATTCAAGGTCTTGTCCAACCCATCCTTACCAACGGCGGCTGCAATGATTATGCTAGGGATGATGCTGACAGATCGAGTTATCAGGCGACGGAGCCAAGGTCTGATGCTCCAGTTCAACATCCCCTCGCTTACCATCTGCCCCGCCATGGTACAAACAATGCCGGCAGAAATGCCCGAGAGGAGCAGCGCCAGTCCGAAGATCAGACCCGCCGCGGGGGCAATCGAGCTGGAAAGCAGATCGTAAATGCCCCAGAGATCCGCATTATCGGCCCCAGGGGTGCCGTAGAGCGAGGCACCTGCGACGATGAGAATGGCGCTATTCACAAACAGAGCAAACGTGAAGAGTGATAGGGAAAGCTCAATAATGGAGTATTTCATGCAGCCCCGAATGGCGTGGATGGAGGGTCTATACTCGACTTCACCACCGGTGCTTCCGAGGCAAACGGTTGGGTCCACGTAGCCTTGAGTAACATCGAATTCTTTCAGCCGGGATTGAACCACCCCGCTGCCCAGAAACATTGAGTGAGGCATCACGGTTGCGCCCAGAATGCCGCAGCTCTGGTACAGGCTGCCAGTAGACGGGTTAGGACTGTGCATACACGATTAGATGATTAGGTAGGCTTCTCACATACCCTTCAGACTGTACGATGGCTGATGAGGGTAGGTAGCCCCGGAACACATCGCCAACGGATTGCTCCTTAATCAGCGACAGCTGAATGCAGAAACAAATCACGACTCCTAGTACGAGAAGCATGACAAAGAACTCAAATAGACGCAAACCCCACATAGTCCCATTTGGTCTGTAAAAGATGAGGATAAATAGAACATCCGCCAAGGTTATCGCGCACCCAGCGACTAGAGGGATTTTGAGAAGAAGATTGAGTGCAATCGCCGATCCAACTACCTGCGATGACGGTCAATTGCACATTCCCCCTGGAAGACTCGGGGTGGGCCATTGGAGGCAAATAACATACCTCTGCTATGTCGGTTGCGACAATCGCAGCCTCCGACAAAACGTACAGAACAATAGTAAGCCATTTGGGAAGATGTTCTCTGCAGTTCTCCGCCAGGTTAAGCCCAGTCACCGTGCCAAGCTTAATGCACAGAGACTGGAGGAAGATAGCGAACAGATTGGAAACGAGCACGATGAACAGAAGGGCGTAACGATACTGTGCACCTGCTGCAACATCGGTGGAGTAGTTTCCGGGGTCGATGTAGGCCACCGCGATAAGAAAGCCGGGGCCTATAAACCTGCCAAATTTGACAAGACTTTGCGCCACATGCGCAGGATATGAACGGAGGGTTGATTTGAGAGAACGGCAGGGCGGTCCACTGTTTCCCCCGGGGATATGATCCCCAGGAGCGACAGAGACCACCCCACCGGGGCACTTCTCCTCTATCTCGGTCTCGTTCCCATCTAGGCTATGCGGTCGATGATCCATTGGCGAAATGCCTTCCTCGGTAGTGCCTCCCATCCCTGAGGCGTGCCTCCTATGAACCTTGGAATTCGCGAGTCCGTTGAAATCACTTCGAGTGGTAACGTCTGCGTTCAAGGCAGAAGGGTTCTGATTCCAGTCGGGATGCTCGAGGGTGTCATCGGTGCGTGAGGGGCAATTCATGGTGGGCGAGGTTGCTATATGTGCTGGCACGAGCGTGGAAGCTTGAAAAGTGAGTGTGTCCTGGGATGAATGAATGCTGCAGTACCAAGTGTTTAAAGTGGACAAGGATTGCCACGAATTGCCGGAACAATTGATGAAGCCAGAACTACGTCGGGATCTCAACCGGAAGATCAAGTACCCTGCGGGGGAGACTGCCCGAAACTGCCCGAATGCGGTTATTCCCAGTGACACATGGGTCGAGAAACGACCAAACAGGACAAATCGCTTCCTGTGCGTCGGAAGTATAAAGCTGGCAGGGCAGCAGGATATGTGTTGATTGAATTTCTTCTAATTATAATTTTGTGACCATCGCAGGTAGCTCAAGGGACAAAGGTGAAAAGGATTTGGTGAGGGGGGAAAAGGAAAAAGAATAGAAAATTGGAGACATGACGGCATGCGGGATCTTCCCAGACGGATCTTCCAGGAAGGCTGTTCGCGGTGAAATGGTGGCCAAGCCTTCGCTTGTGACTAAATGCGATCGCGATTCTAGGCACCATAACTTAGGGTATGGCTTGGCTTTGGAATTATGTTAGCCAAAGGTGGGGTGGTGACAGGGCAGGTGAAGAGAGTTGAGTTACGGGAGATGGATGGAGGGACAGGATCGTATGCTTCCGAGTACTATACATTTATAGGTAGTTAGGTAGTGTAGTAGTTAGTAATATGTAGTAGGATTGATAAGCGGGAGAGAAGGAGGGGGAGGGGGAGGGGGATGTTTGAATGATATACTGTGAGTACCTGTGGTTATTTGGTTGATGATCGACTTTTGTCGCTCAGCTCCCTTGCAGCCTTCCCGCCTCAGGCGCCGGGCGCATTTCCCCGCGACGATTGGTGTGACTGCCAGGGCACTATTGAGTCCTACGAGTAACTATCGAGTCGACGCACTACATACTTGTCTACGTACAACTTTGACTGTCATCATAGGCTATCACTAGCCAGCCTTAGTCCGACGCCGTTATTAATTTATTTTCTGGAGTCTCAGATAGAATGTCCTTAGGTCTGTCTATGGTGTTTCCTCCCCTGGTGGCGATACTCCATTCCCTAGTCAGGGCAGTTCTTGCTCATACTCCGCAGTACTCCGTAGTGATCATATCATACCTATCATAATCTTCCAGCCTCTTCATATATCACCTCCTGAATCCCGGGTCAAAGGGCAGATCAGCCGTCTGAGAATTATGACAGATGCCATCACTTCCTCCACTATGACATCGTTCTCAGCTTGAAAATCCAGGCTTTCATGACGGAGATAGTCGGGCAGCAGTAACCCGCAGCATCCCGCAGCCCACCAACATCTGCAGTCATCTGCAGACGATCCAGGCAAGTACAGAATGATTCATCGATCATCATTCATGAATGATGAATGATGAATGATGATGATGTTGGTGTTGATATCAACTTTAATCTATCGCATCCATCAACATCCGCCCCCGGGCGGCGCGACCGGCCGAAAACAGACTGGTTGCCCCTGACGACCCCGCCGCCCATAGGATGTTTATTCTCTTTTCCCCTCCCGTTTTCCATGCGCGGCGCAGTCCATCTCCAGCCGTTTGGCAATGGCGTAGGGGGCTCCATTTTCCGTATGCCAATTAGGTTAGACAGTGGAGGAAACATCCTCGTTCTGCTTCTCTTGTCCTCCAGCCTTGGAAACTCTTCAAATGCCCGGCCCACCCCACCCACCCTCAAAGGTTGGTGCTGGAAACCGCTGCTGCTGTTACTGCTGCTGCTTGTCTGGTTGTCACTGGCACTGTGAACTAGTTTGTTAGTTTAGCACTTGCTCAACGCGTGCCGTGTTATTCTTTCTCTTCTCTCTTCCTTCTCGTATCCGTTCGGTTTGATCTTCGTTTTTTGCTGCCTGGATAGTTTTTGTTGCCTCAATTCTCGATTAGTCTGCTTCTTTTCTTTGACACTTCAATGTCTGTTGTGCCCTTAAACTGCATGTCGCCTGTATTTCGTTTCGCATAAGACTTTCCTCGCGTACTCTTCGTCATTGCCGTCATTCCGCGCGCTCTTGGTACTTCCCTTGACTCGTCCGTGCCGGGGCAACTTCACTGTGAGTGATCTATGCCTCACTTCCCCGTCCTTCTTCGTTACCATACTCCACACACTTAAAACTAACCAGATTGATTTGCCATCTTCTTCAGGTCAGCTCCTGATTGAAGGGCAATTTTTCGAAATGGCCCCCAGTGTGGAATCCCCCAGCATCTTTGACGACGCCACCCGAGGCCCTTCCAAGCCCTCAGTTCTGCGAGCATTCTGGTCCCCGAAATCTCACAAACGAAACTCCTCCGCTGATGACGCTTTTCCCTCCAAGGCTCTTCAGAGAAGCCAGCCCTTCGATGGGTCCACTACACCGCCTGATGGTGATGGTGGGGTCTATGAGTCTTTCAACCAACAACCGCTTGCAGAGATAGCCCCAAATCGGGAATCAGCAGACATAAGCTCGGGCCAGAGGTCGCCCGGAAAGCAAGGAAAGAACATACTGCACAAGAAGACCAAGAGTGCGGTCTCCCTGAAGTCCCTCAAAAACTATATGGAGCGCAAAGACCCCAAGCCAGAAGAGGGCCCCGAAGTCGACGCCGAGAATTTGAGGCCGAAAAAAGCAAAGTCGGCCAACAGTCTCTCTGCTATTCTGCGAAGATCGCAACGCGGAAACAAGACGGATGGTTCGAAGAGCGCTAGGGATAAGGAGAATCGCAGTCCAGACAGCATGCCCACTCCCATCTGGGATCACTTTGTGCCCCCTTCAAACTCCGACCACGCCGGACTGTCTCCGGTCCCGATCAAAAATAAGGTGGCGCAAGAAGAAAAGTCTCACTGTACCCCTAGGGCATATGGACCGACACATCAACCGAATTTTTGGGACTTTGACCAGCAACCCCCTCTCACGCCTCGTACACCACGGACCGAACCCAAGCCACGGCCAAAATCGGACTACCTCGCTGGCAGCCGCAGGATCAAAGAAGTCTTGTCCCCTTTACAGGTCCTCTCGTCGGACAAAACGGCTACCACTGACGCTCATGCTTCATCACCAAGCAAGCGATTCGGAAGGCCTCGAGCGTTGTCACGGCCAGAGAAGGGCGAAAAAACCGAACTTGCGAGAGAGCAGAACCCAAAGGTCTCGCGTGTTCAGGCTGCCATTTCCGCGCTGAATGCGAAGGAACAGGAGGCTGACTTGCGGAAACGTCTGAACCCCAAGGAACTGGACACTGAATTCGAGAAGTTACTGGTGAGTCTGCACGCTCCGCAGATTTCTTTTTCGAGGAGGCAGCGTTAACCAATGAGACAGGATGCGCGAAATATCCCTCATAACATGAGGGACAAGATGCGCTCGTTGGACACCAACATCAAAGCGGATTTCATTCTGAAAGATCGAACGGAGAACACGACACCACATAGTGGCAGCGGCAGCGCGAACGACAGCACGGGTCGCCGGGGGCGCAGAAAGGAGCCCAAAGAAGAGCAGCAGAACTACGACAGTAAAGGTTCACGTTCCCGATCCAGAAGTCGTGGGTTCACACTTTCCAAGGGTAGCTCGTCTCCCAAAAAGCGCCCAGACAGTGGGAGTTTTTATCGCCGCCCCAAATCTGCCGAATATTCTTTGCCCACGGGCTTCTCCAAAACCATGACTCCAAATGCATCTACCACTTCCCTTTCCGCGACGGCGCGCGATACAGCCAGCGATCCGTCCGACTTTGTCCACTATCTACGGGAGATCCAGAAACCTGAGATGGTAGAGATTGGCAAGGTTCACAAGCTCCGACTGTTGTTGCGCAATGAAACTGTCAGCTGGGTTGACATGTTCATTGCGGATGGTGGCATGGACGAGATCGTCCAGTTACTTTATCGCATCATGAAAGTTGAATGGAGGTGACTAACCCCCCTTGCGTAAAACAAACAGAATCCCCTTGCTAACGCGTCGACAGAGAGGAACATGAGGATAACTTGCTTCATGAAACGCTGCTATGTCTCAAGGCTCTTTGCACTACTTCTATTGCCCTGGAGCATCTCTCTCAAATCGAAGGAGAGCTTTTCCCGGCCTTGCTCAAGATGCTGTTCGATGAAGACAAGAAAGGACCCAGTGAATTTACTACCCGTGGCATCATTATCAACTTGATCTTCACACAGCTCTCGGCCGTGTCATCGGATGAGATGGCTGCTGCTCGCGCCTCGCGAATTCTATCGTACTTGCGCGACCCTACGCCGCCAGAAGAAAACCAGCCACTGACCTTCATTGCGGATATTTACCAGCCACGCCCTTACCGAGTCTGGTGTAAGGAGGTCACGAATGTGAGCAAGGAAGTTTTCTGGATTTTTCTGCATCATTTGAATGTGATTCCAACCCCGAAGGATGAAACACCTTCATCCGCAACGTACCGCGAGCGGCACTTCCCAACTCCCCGGCCGCCGGTACCTGCTGCACCCTATGTCGGCGGTGTCGAATGGGATGCAACTAACTATTTGGCGGCTCACCTGGACCTGCTGAACGGCATTGTGGCATCTTTGCCTACCACCGAAGAAAGGAACCAATTGCGTGCCGAGCTCCGAGCCTCAGGGTTTGAAAAGGTCATGGGTGGTACCTTGAGGACATGCAAGGAGAAGTTCTATTCCTCTGTGCACGACTGCCTCCGCACATGGGTTGCCGCAGCCATCGACGATGAGTGGCCGCACTTGCTTGTACGAGAGGGGCCTCCCCGCCCAGAGATCCGCTCGTCATCCAAATCCCCGGTCAAGGCAGCAGGTGGGAGTCCTAAAAAGGGTCTTCTGGATGAGCAGCCTCCCAAGCTGGAGCTGGCGCTGGACGTCCCTGCCAGTACTGGAGCGCCTCAGAACGATGGTATTGGCAATTGGTTGTAGGCCATAGCCATGAATCAATTTGTTGCCCGTGTGCGATTAATCTTTGCTCAGACTTCTCACCTCTGACACGGTCCACTTATGCAATGCTTGCCGAAAGAGCCCCTCATTGCTTGAGTTCATTATTTTTCTTGTTCCATTCTTCTGTCTAATGATTTCGGAGTCTCTGGGTTTGAAAGGCGCTGGCATTTTCTAAGGTGTTTGGGGTGCATTTGTCCGTTCCATGACGGCCACGGCGAAATGACTTGACGACGGCAACAGGGCCACAGACCTGACTGGGTGATCATTTGACAATCGTTTCTTATTTGTGTTTCCTGCGGGCATATCCAGGCAGATCATTCTTTTCCTCCTTCCGGGCCAACGCGCTTTAGGTTCGGACTTTTTTTCACGGCCGACAGTTCAATACTAAGGGTCTTCTTGGATGTCATTATTGTATCATCTTACTTGTACATGGACAAGGTAATATACAGTTTGTAGGTCTTCTTTGTCTAGATCGACCTTTGAGAAATAGCCGTCAAGCTGTGAATAGTAGCCAGTTCCTTTACTTCTCTTCATCAGACTGTTTGATAGGTCTCGGCGGTGCGGGCGTCGAGAACGCTCCCTTTAACCCTCCAAAGAAAGCCTTCCGAAGCTATACAACTTGTCAGCCCAGCCCAATCCCCACCACGCACCTGAAATGACAAGATCAAAGGCAAAGAAAGAAAGACAAGGCTTACATCATCGAACGGACCCCCCTTCTCATCCCACTCCATGAACAACATCGCATAAATTAGCACAACTGTTCCCCGAGAGATAACGTCCGGATTAGCAACCGACATTTCCGAAACCAATTCCAGCCAGTGAGTAGCGGTAGGAGGACAACAAGCCCATCCCCAGTTCCATCTCCACCCTTTTACCCCCCTCCACTTTCTTCTTCGCTATTCCTCACTCTTTCCTTGCACATAAAAGCGCAGCCAGGGGAAGAAGATCAAACTCACAGGCAATACTAAACCACTGCGCCAGCTTGGTGAACTTGGTCCACTTAGGCCGGGCGTACTTCAACGCCGCGCGCCGCCGGTACTTGCGCTCGAGCCGGAACTGGTGCTTCGGGGAGAGCTTCGAAAGGTCCGGGGGCCATTGGCGCTTGGGTTTGTAGGGGCTGTAGTAGGCGTTTGGGTCGCGGTAATGGGCTGTTTCGGTCTCGGGTTGGATCTCGGAGTGGGTTTCGGTCTCGGGTTTGGGTGGGGTGTTGCTGCTGCTGCTGCTGGTGAGGCGGAAAGGGGTGGAGGCTGCGGGGATGGGCGTTGTGGTTATGGAGCGAAGCTTAAGGATCTTTGTGTTAGCTTTTTCTGGTCGCTTGCGCGGGCTTTGGGCTGGGTATGGGGGGGGTTCGCTTAGGGATGTACCTGGTGCAGTCTGGAGGGGAGAACCGGGCGGATGGGGTTATGAGTGCGGGGGAGGAGACATTGTGAGGAGGTTGGGCGAGCTGATGGAACAGCTGCTTGGAATAGAGAGGTGACCAGGCGTCGGGGGAGGAGCATTGGGGTGGAAGAGTTGGTGGGATTGAAGGATTTACTACAGTAGTTGTTGTTGCGTTGAGGCTTGCGCTCTGGGTTATCGCGCGAGGAGATACGCGCGGCAGAAAAATGATGGGTGTGGGTTTTGCGCTCGCCGCCATTGGAGGGCTCACCGCCCTGCGTTACGTGCTTAAGTTATTGTTAGGAGTTGGTTCGAAAGGCTGAGGTATGTCTGGATACAAGACCTGTAAGACTTTCTTCTGTAGTCAGTCAATCACATGCATGTCAACAGCCCTGCCTGCTTACTGCTTGTACTGCTGATCTCATGATGATTTGATTTGATTTGATCATCTGCTCTCCAACATCTTCACATGAAATCCTATGCTTTTCGGCGATCCCGTGACTCTCTCCTCTGGAATAACAAAGACCCGGCCGAGCCTCGGTACTTTCACAGGATTCCCCCATAGTCTGTAGTTGATTAGTTCGACTGGGGTCAACTGGATGCCTCGTTCTCCACCACGCTGTCTCTCCCCCGGATTCTCCGTCTTATAAGAGCCAAAAAAAAAAAAAGGAGTTGGCTGCATCTTCTTCCTGATAACTCTTTGCGTGTGATACCCTCTCCCTTTTCGCGCTGCTGGGATATCTTCATCTACCTCCTGTTCACATCTCCAGTTGACGTCATCATGTCTTCTCGTGCGTTATCAGCCCTCTAGAGAAATCCGTAACACACTTTCAAAGCTGACAGTGGATTTCTAGCCCAGCAACGTCTCAGCCAAGTCGCTTCTCACTTCGGATACGGTGGCAAGAAAGGAGCAGATGCCATTACCGAAAAGCACCCCGATGATATCGTGGTGACATGTGCTCTGCGGACGGCCCTCACCAAGGGTGGAAAGGGCGGCTTTAAGGATACCGCTGCTGCCGACCTGCTGGCAGGTGTGTTCAAGGCGGTGATCGACCGTAGCAACATCAACCCCAGCCTGGTCGAGGATATCGCCGTGGGATCGGTCCTCCCTCCTGGGGGCGGTGCCACCGAGTTCCGCGCGGCTGCGCTCGTCGCTGGATTCCCCGAGACGACTGCCGTCAAGAGCTTGAACCGCCAGTGCTCCAGTGGACTCCAGGCTATTGTTGACATTGCCAACGCTCTGCGCTCCGGCATGATTGAGGTTGGTATCGGTGCTGGCGTCGAGAGCATGTCCTCTCAATACGGGTAAGTCGTCCTCTTCCCCCCATTATCGAGCTCTCCCGGGCACCCACTGAGGCTGGCTCTAAACTAGACCCGGTGCCGTGACCGAATTTTCCGAGCTGCTTGAGAGCCACCCCGAGTCCGCCAACTGCAAGGTCCCCATGGGCGTCCTGTCGGAGCAGATGGCCAAGGACCGGAAGATCTCGCGTGCGGCCCAGGATGCCTTTGCCGCGTCCTCTTACCAGAAGGCAGTCAAGGCGCAGAAGGCCGGTCTTTTCGACGAGGAGATTGTTCCCTTGCAGGTCAAGTGGACGGACCCCAAGACCAACGAGGAGAAGACCATCACCGTCAAGGCGGACGACGGCATCCGCGACGGCATCACTGCGGAGTCGCTGGGCAAGATTCGGCCCGCCTTTGCCAAGGACGGCTCCATCCACGCCGGCAACGCCTCCCAGATCTCCGACGGCGCCGCCGCCGTGCTGCTGATGAAGCGGTCGACCGCCGAACGCCTCGGCCAGAAGATCATCGGCAAGTACGTGAGCGGCAGCGTCGTGGGCGTCAAGCCCTTGCTGATGGGCATCGGGCCCTGGAAGGCGATCCCCGTAGCGCTAGAAAAGGCGGGCATCACCAAGGACGATGTCGACATCTACGAGATCAACGAGGCCTTTGCCTCGCAATGTGTCTGGTGCGTCAACGAGCTGGGTCTGCCGCAGGAAAAGATCAACCCCAAGGGGGGAGCGATCGCCTTCGGTCACCCGCTCGGCTGCACAGGCTCGCGACAGGTCAGCACGCTTCTGACGGAGCTGAAGCGAACCAACAAGAAGATCGGTGTTACTAGCATGTGCGTCGGTACGGGTATGGGTATGGCTGCTGTGTGGGTGGCGGAGTGAGGGAGCAAATTGGAGGAAAATTCGAATGAGCTGGCTTCATAGGGGACTTTCCTTGAGTATCTTACTTTTTTGTCTTAGTATACGGAGTATAAAGAGCAGGTTTCTTTTTCTTGGTAGGCTGACTTGCTGGACACTCGAGCTCTGCATTAAGTTTGATGAATATATAGCTGTGATCCGCTTCAAAGGGTAATTCGTCTCCGGGTGACATTTTACTCAGTAGATTAATGTTCAAACTATCGTAAAGTAAAAGGACAACGCTGCAGCCTAGCCCAGCAATGGTACTACTCCAAGGAAGCCCCAATCAGCGATCCCTTGACTGGATTTCTCTTTTCCAGTTCAAATCTTCGTCCGAAATTGCTTAAAGGCCTCCGATACCAACATCCCCCGCCCCACCGCCTCCTTCACCCGATCATCCATGGCCACCAACTTCGGCATCAACTCGAGAACGGCATCCAGCAGATCCCGCGGAATAGCCACGACGCCTTCGACCGGATCACAGAAGATGATATCTCCCTGTAGAACTCGACAACGTCATCACGGTATACACATTAGCCCAGCCCCAGATCCGGTGTTACAAATGTTCCCCCTGTGGTAGCTTCCACAACCCATATCCAGCTTTTTTTTTTTTTTGAAGATTGTTTGGAGGCAGGTAGGATATAGGACAAACATACCGGATAGACGACCACCCCGCCAACATCCACAGGGACGTTGCGCGCCACAGCCACCGCCTCAGCACCACTCCCCACCGTCGACCGTCCGCGCGCCCACACGGGTAACCCGCACTCCCCGAACTCGGCGAGATCGCGCACGCGTCCATTCACAACCGCCGCCTGCACCCCGAGGCGCTTCATGCGCAGCGCCATGATGCCGCCGACGACGGCGCAGTGCTGGTCGCGAGGTTGGTCGACGACGACGATGGTGTCGGGGTCGACGCAGTCGACCCAGTGGGAGCCCGGGGGGAAGGTGGTGGTTTCGTCGTTCTTTGGTGGTGTTTCCGGTGCGTGTTTGGCGGTGAATTTGATGGTGCAGGCTGGGGCGATTATCTTGGTGGTGGTGGTGGTGGTTTCAGACTGGGGGTGGTGATCATGGTGGTGATTTTGAAGGTAGGGGGCTAGTTGTTCTCTTGGGTTTAGTTTTGTGTGGCTGATGGTAGTATGTGTGTGTGTGTGTGTGGGTTGAGTAGTACTTACTGAGGTCGGCGAGATGGCCGGCACGCGCTGGAGTGCCTGGGACGGGTTTTTGAAGTTTCAGAAGCGCATCGGAGACCTAAGTATGGAGTGGTTTAGATGATGCGGGGGAGAGTGGGTGAGGAGTGTAGGTGGTGAAGTTGTGTGTCTTTCGGGGCGGGAGTGTACGTACGTCGCAAGCGGAGTAGTTATAGAGGAGACGGAGCTTTTCTTCGAGGGTGGTTGACATGGTGGCGTGTGTTTAGCTGGTGCTTGTGTCGGAGGATTGGAAGTCGGAGTAAGGGTCGATACTTTTAATACAATGAACTGCGGAGTAAAATGGGTCGATGCGGGGTGCATCCGGGGGAAGGGAAGAGTCGCGGGATTTTTACTACAAGTGAGTGAGAACTTGAGCAATGCTGTTTAGAGGGGATGCTAAAGCGCGTGCTGAGGATCATGAGGAATATATTCCGAGGGCAAAGAGCACTATTTATCGATCTCTTCTCAGGATTAACCGAGGATTGGAGTGTAATCTCACATCATTAGTGCCATTGAGGAGTGGGAACAAGGATGTGCTGTAGTAGAAGTTGATCGGTGAGCTTTTTCTCGTTGATGAAGCCAGACTCGACAACATAAGTTCGCATCATGGTTGTTCTTGGACAAAGTCGGCAATTGATGAGCCAGTGATAACTAAGTTAGTATAGAAGCTGGAGACAGCCGAGTTCCACCCAAAGTTCCGCGGTCTGGCAGGTTCAAGTTACATCAACTCCGGTCAACTCAAACGCAGCGACCAACCATGGCTAGTGCATCATTGGCAACATATACTCCTGACCAGCTGGAACTCTACCTCCAGCGCATCGATTACCCTCGCGTCAGCAATCGTTTAGATCATGTCCGCGCTACCATCCAGAAAAGCCCCCTGGCCACTCTGGCCGAGCTGCAACGTGCTCACATAACCTCGATCCCATGGGGTAACTCGGCACTGCACTATTCAGCCCACCATACCATCTCCATTGGTCCGGCGTGCGTTTTCGAGAAACTTGTGTCCCGTCGGCTCGATGGATACTGCATGGACAACAACGTACTCCTCTACCACGTTCTTCGATCGTTGGGGTACACCGTCTACCCAACCGGAGGGCGAGTGAACACGGCAGCCTCCGCTGCACCCACTGAGAGCCGCGACTGGTTCTATGTAGGCTTGTAAGTTCTTGTGTGCATGGTTTACGATCCCGCCGAAAGACTCATTGCGCCCTGTTACACCGCAGGGGACACATGGTCTTGATTGTGACCGTTGATGGCCAGAAATATGCGGTATGGTTGCCCTAGACCCTGAGAACCAATCACCCGACGACCCTACAAGATTCCACCACGCCTAGTAAAATACAACCTGCTCACTCTAGTACGGGGACAGGTGGACGTCGGGTTCGGCAACAATGGACCGACCAGCCCATTGCTACTGAAGCATGATTCTCCTTCAGGGTGCATAGACCCGTCGGAGATGCGGCTCATCTACGACACTTTGCCCGAGTTCGTGGATCAGACACAAAAGCTTTGGATCTACCAGGTCCGGTATTCGCGGGACAGCCCTTGGATGCCCATGTACTCGTTCGCCGAGGTGGAATTCCTCCCGCAGGACTTCGAGGTCATGAACTTTGCCACCAGCCAACGGCGAACGAGCTGGTTCACACAGACCCTAGTTTGCACGCGGATGATGTTCAATGAAACCGAGACCGCGATCGATGCGGTCTGCGTCCTGGCCGGGAATACGGTGAAGATTAGGGCACATGGGCGGTCGGATGTGGTCGAGACCCTGAAGAATGACGACGACCGCGTCAAGGCATTGGCCAAGTGGTTTGGCATGCACCTCCAACAGCATGAGATTGAGGGGATTCGTGGGTTGGTATCTCAGATCAAATAGCATTTTTAAATAGTCTGGAAACTTCTACCGTGGCAGTGGGGGAAGCCCCATGGGCCCGGTAACAATTGTACAGAAAAAATGAGGTTATTTCTCTCTAACCCAAGGCGTGGATATTTCTCTCAAAGCTAATGCAGACAAACAACAAATCAAAGATTGACATGGCGGGGTTTCCCTTAGAAAATCCGTTTCTCGAGCTGCAGCGGGGGTCAGTCACCTGCATAAGAAGCGCACAACGTCGCCGAAGTGATTGGTATTGTACCTTCCAGGGGTTGTTGAGTTCAAACCCTTTGGGGGCTGTAGGGTTGGCCGATTGTCCTCGGAAGGTTCCTGTGATTCTGCGGTCTCTGTCCATCACTGCAAGGGAAAGGCAATTGTAAGCTTTGTGTTTCTTCTCGCAGTCGGACATTGCGCGGGGTAATTTCTTCCATATTCGAGAAGCGTGTGGCATGGAGCCCGCAATTGGGTCGTTAAGGATGGATCACATACTTTGCTGCACGTATGTTAGTCGATTGGCCTTTCAATTGCTGCAAGAAGAGGTAAGACTTACTCTGTCCCACTGATCAAGGCCCCAACGCGGCTGCTTGTAGTCGTTGACCCAGTACTTGACAGCCCAGATACCACCAGCACCAGCAGTCATGAACTGTCACGTCATGGTTCAGTTCAACCGAGCGCGAGGACGAATGACAAGAAGGGCAATGGCAGAACTTACACCAACAATGATTCCGAAAGGAAGCAAAGCCTCGAAAGGGACACCCATGATGTGTAGTGTTTTGTAGGGACAGCGACAGGCGCAACGGGTAGACGCGGGGGAACTGGAAGGTCTGGAGAGGTTTATCGATTCCGGATCGACTGCGAAGTTGAAGCCCGGAGAGTCTGGTGGATTGACCCAAAGCGGCTTAGACCCGAGCGGTGACCCGGCTTCTAGATGAGTCAGCAGGCGGCACTCAACCTCACAGGGACAGGAGAAGCAGAAGGGGCGAAGTGCGTAGAGTCCGGGAAAGTCGCCTGTAGACGGCCTGACCAGCTGCTGAGATTCTTTTCTACGATCCTCACTTTTGATCGAGGCTACATTGGCTGTGCTCGTGGGAGAGGTCGGTTCCCCGTATTTGATGCTTGACGCGTTCCAGCCGCCATTGTTTCATCCCGCTCCTCTCCCCATCTTTACCTCCACTGACTGTTGTTTGGATTGCGCCGGCGCTCAAGATACTAACTTTGGCTTTCCAGCGCAGTTTCCCTACTTGCCGAACCCGACGTCGCACTAGTTGGCGCTCCGAGCAATCTCTTCTATGATTTCCCATGCCCATTTCCTGCGGCGCCAGATGATCGTCGACTCCTGCGGGGAGCCTGTATAGTTCTAACTGCTGGGCTGCCTTTTGCCTACTACGATCCCTTTTCATTCTCGAATTTCATCTTCGGGGAACTTGTGCCAGCTGTTGGTTTTGGCGACCGTCGTTACACACACCATGCCGGCAACAGTGCCGCCGGTCAATGATGACCCGGACAAAAACACCCTCCCGGATTTCGTGGATAGTGAACAGGATGCGGAAGGAGAAGAGGAGACAGACCTGTTTCAGATGGATCAGCAGCTTCAGGATGCGGTGCACCGCGCCCTCTCAGGTGAACCCATCGACATCGCGGCGGCAGCTGACCCTGGAACTGATCAGGATGCTGAAGGAGAAACCGACATCGAGATGGACGTGAATGGCGCTCCCTTGGATGCCGAGCCGGTTGGCGCAGTGAAACTACCCAAAAATGCTTCTTTTGGGGACGAAGAAGATGTGGTTATGAGTTCAGCAGACGCGGAGGCGGACGCAGACGAAGATCCGGCTTCGGAGCATAATAGCGACAGCGAACACGAACAAGATGGTTCGAGCTCGTCATCCAGCAGTCAGGAATCGGACGATGAGTGGGAAGGCGAGAGCAATGACCATGAGGATGCGGAGGCGGAGAACACGGTTCGCGGCAACTGCATGTGAGTCTAGAACCTCACCCTGGATTGCGCGTGCCCCCTGACGATCGGGCGGTTACCTGAAAGAAAACACCCATCACTGACAAGGAGATCCCGTATAGATTCTGCGGACAAGACGAAGACAACGACCCCGGTGAAGAGTATGAAGAATATTTGACCTGCGGAGTCTGTGGCGATCACTGTATGTTGGTTCTGCGGCCCCATATATTCTCCAGTCCCGGATGTTGGCGATCATTACTGACTCGGCAATCCGACAGCTCATCGACAATGCGCCCGGGAACAGAGTGCATTGGACGACGCGGAAGGTATCACATTCGCTTTTTCTCCCCCAACATTCCTGATTCTGTACTAATTCATGCCAGAAGCCAATTCATGGCGATGTCCGACTTGCGTCCGAGAGAAGCTGAGACCCACCCCCAACGAGAGAGCGCCGATTCAACGGAAGAATCGAGCCAAGAACATGCGCAAGGAGCTGCTACCCGCCCATACTGGCGAAGAAGGCTCCGATTTTCACTCGATCTTCAACACAGTCACGGTCAATGATGAACTTTTAAACAGCTCTCGGTCGCTGCGTAAAAGAAAAGCTCTTTCGACGTCGGTGGAGGCAGATGAGCATGCGCCTGTCCTACGTAAACGCCAACGGCAGGCCTCATTGCGCTCCGATCGGGCCATCTCCCGGGAAATAAAAGATGTGGTTGATGGCATGTCGCCTGTTCGAACGCGGTCTCGTCGCACGCGCAAGAGTGAGCCGGAGAATTGTCGTGTAGTGTTGAAGCAGTTTGGACGTCTCGTGTTAGCCTTCCGCCTGGATGAGGCCAGACTAACCAAAGTCTTCAATACTCGGAGCAGGTCTCAAACGCGAAACCACCGGACTCCTAAACCACCCCCGGTGGCTCCTGAGCCCCAAACCCATTTTGCCCCCATCACACCTGTCTCCTACTATACCCCCTTTTACTCTTTCAATGACCGTGAGATGGATGAGTCCAAGTCTAAACCTTACGGAGGCATTCTCACTGATGTCGACGCGGATACCTCGAAGACGTTGCCCACGAATCTCGATCGCGAAAAATTTGAAGTAGCCCGTCACAGAGCAGAGGAGGAATGGCGACGGAGAATCATGCAGACCGAAACCAGCGGCGAAACCGTACAACATGCGTCACAAAAGGTCTCCGGCCCTCCTTCGAGAATCAAATACATCAACTTCGGTGGTTATGAGATCGAGACCTGGTATGCTGCTCCCTATCCGGAAGAGTATAGCCGCAACCGAGTTCTCTATATTTGTGAATTTTGCCTGAAGTACATGAACTCGGATTATGTCGCCTGGCGTCATAAGCTAAAATGCCCGGCGAAGCATCCGCCGGGCGACGAAATCTACCGTGAAGGGTCAATATCTATTTTCGAGGTGGACGGGCGGAAGAACCCGGTGTATTGCCAGAATCTCTGCCTTCTTGCAAAGCTTTTTTTGGGGTCTAAGACTCTTTACTACGATGTCGAACCTTTCCTCTTTTACGTCATGACTGAGTACGATGATCTGGGATGTCATTTCGTTGGGTACTTCAGCAAAGAAAAACGTCCTAGCTCCGCCAACAACGTCTCGTGCATCTTGACGCTCCCTATCCATCAACGGAAAGGTTATGGAAATCTACTCATTGACTTTTCCTACCTGCTTACGCGCATTGAGGGTAAGACAGGGTCTCCGGAGAAGCCCCTGTCTGATATGGGATTGGTTTCCTACAGAAACTACTGGCGCCTCATTCTATCCTATCAACTACGAAACCAAAAGAGCCCTCTCAGTATCGCCGACATCTCAGAACGCACAGGCATGACAGCCGATGATATCGTGTCGGGCCTGGAAGCATTGCGTGCTCTTGTGAGAGATCCTGTGACGAAAACTTATGCTTTGCGCCTTGACTACAAATACTTTGAGGAGTGCATTGAAAGTTGGGAGAGCAAGGGCTACGTTCAGCTCAATCCGGACGCCCTCGTCTGGACACCTTACATCATGGGTCGAAGCAATCAATCACAATTCGATCGAGCTCCACTACATGCAGTGGCCCCCCGCGAAGGGTTAGACGACGAAGAGAGCGAGGATGTGAAAGAGTCCGGGGACGAGGAAGAGCAACCACTCTCAGCTGATATCGACATGTCGAAAGAAGATAGCACGGCTCCACCCGTCATTAATGGGACCGTTGACCTAGAGTCAAAGCAAATTCCGCAAGAGCCGGCGGGACCTCCTTCGACAGATGCACTGATGAGCAGCGGTGGCCTCGGTCAAATAGCGGCCACTTCTGCAGAGTCCAGTACCTCGGCTGGATCTAAACCCGCTGATGGCATACCTGCCTGGAGATTCGAGGTCTGGCCACCTGTTCAAGCCCCCTCCTACAAAAGGCGTGGCGGGCGACCGTGGGGCAGCCGGACAAACCTCAAGATGGTTTCAACCCCTACGACCGTCCGAACAAGCGGTCGCAACACCCCTCGTAGATCATCAGTGCTAGCATCCATGACTCCCAGTGCGAATCAGATGAGTGTCCGCCGTGGCCGAAGTGCCAAACTTATGGAATCCCCTGCCGTCGATTCTGGTAGCGGAGAGCCACCTGGCGCCGAGAATGATCAAGGCAAGGACATCGAAAACCTGAGAGCCGGTCACCCGGAAGAGCTGTCCCCGACTGCCATGCCGTTGGAGACCGAGGACCAAGTGGATCGGACTGCTGAGGCGGATGCAACGCCTCAGTTAAATGGTAGCCGGGACTCGGAACGTGGAGCGGAGGGCCAAAGCGGCGAGACTCAATTACTAGAAGCGCCTGCAACAGTCAAGAAGACAAAGGTCAACAAGTCTGTGAATCGGAAACCATTGGTTGAACAGCTTGAAGTGGTCATTCCTGCCGACGACCAAATCCACGCAAATGGTATACCGGAGCAAAGCCTAGTCAACGGAACTGATGCCGATGGCGATGTTGTGATGGACACCTGATCTCTCCCATTTTGGCGACGAAAAATTTAGACGGAATGGATGCAGTCATGGATCCGAATTCGATCTGTTTCCCTCTAAATGGGGGCGACTCGGGGCGTTATGCATTACTCTTGAGCGGATGGTTTGTTTACACGCGATTTCTAAGGGGAGGGAACATGTTTCATGACCAGGATTGTTGGCTTCCTGCTTTTGTTGTACCTTGCAAGCACGGAGTGGGCTGGAAAACCCGGAGTTTTTTTGGATCTTTACTTGTTAATGCACAGAAGCGACGTTTTGTCTCTCTTCATTATCATTCGAGAAATTTCTTAGCTATTCTAGCGGCTGAATCTTTCCTTTTAAGCCTGGGCATTTGTGTGTTTTCCATTGATTGGTCGTCTGTCATCTGGGCGATTGACCCCTGATCTCTGATTCTCCTTCTTTTTCTCCTCTTTTCCCTCGCAGAGACATTCCTAAATCTTTGGTCGGTGGCTTTTGTTCCAGGCTAGGATTTGCTTGTCACTTTGTGATTCTTGACTCGCTTCGATTCACTACTATCATGTATTGTAGCTCCCATGAGATCCCTTAGACAATGTGATGCTTGCCAACAGCAATGAGTATCTACTTGGCTGATGTGTGCAGTGCTTGTGTCTGTGCTGCCCTACCCATTACCAACTACTAGTACCCCATTATGAATGCATGTACACATCCGCTGCTGGTAGCTCGTTCCCTGTCATGCTAAGGGTTTGATTACAGACTACAGACTACTTACTAACTAGTAGAAACCGACTCAAAGTTCCGACCTCTAGGTACGTATCTCCATTCCCCTGGTAGATCAAGAACGATGCGACGCAAAGGTACCTACAGAACGCGCGACCCGACCGGGAAAGGAAGGTGAGGGGGAGGTCCGTCAGTAAGTTAAAGCTCGCTGTAACTGAGTTACACTCGACAGTTCCCCAGTGATGCGCTCCGTACTTGTGGTTTCGTCGGTTCTGAGAAGGGGTGTGCGCGGGAGAAGAGGAGGAATTGCGGCTGTAAGTTAATTAATTACCTTTGGTGCCGTGACTCAGGCGATGAAAGTGATCAACTAAGTTATCAGAAAGCATCAGCACTAGATTAGAGTTCGACCGGCGCATAGAACAAGAGGGACGGGAAGGTGTGCGAAATCCAGATCTTGAGCATTTAATTACATGCATTATTATTACTCTCTTTCGGTCAGGATCTTCTTTTTCTTTTTGTGTATATGGTAGATCTCATTTCCTTCTTCTATTGAGTAAGACTAACTTCCGTTGACGGATTGTAGGTCATTGCTGTGCTAGGGGAGAACTTCTGGACAAGGATGGGCATGCATAACTTAAGGTCTATACTGGCTTTTCATGGAGGGTGGCGGATGGCCTGGCTCTGTATTCCGTAGTTCAAGTATCTGCGCGATCAATGGATGGTGAGTTAGTTGACTAATGGAGTAACAGTACGATCTACGGGATGTTATCCAGCAACAGGGACTTATTCCGACCAGCCTTCCTTCACCCACGTTTCGACCTGTGTGCCATCCTCTACGGCACTGGCCTTTGATCAAGTGCCGGTATGGTGTCGAGGCATGGCTGAGTGTGAAGTAAGTGGTTGTACGCATCTCGTCGTCTGGTGACATCTAATCAGGGCTAGTAAACCCTTTCTATACACTATGATTAGGGCTATCCATGCGAGGCGCGAGTGGGACCACGGAAGACTCGACTACGAAGTACTCCCTAAATAGGGTGCAGAGTGGTCGGCTCGGACAGCCGAGGTGCAAACCCTTAATGCGAAACGAAAGAACATGCACTTCATGCGCCCGAACAAAGCCGGGGTGAACGAATCTCCCGTTCAGCGCTGAGGTGGCGATGGAGCGTACTTTTGTCAAGTGTCTGTGAGGCCGACGATGACGAAGAGCTATCATAGTGATTATTAGTGCCCACGGGATCTCTGGGCGGCGTCGATAGTGTCTGCTTCCTCCATAATTCGCTAAAAGAGCGACTGCGCGATCATGTCGTCGCAAAAGGGGCCCATAATTTGGGGAAACTGCATTGTCCGGATCAAGTAGGAGGCTTAAAGGAACAGACCTCCCCTCAAAGCCCCACGACGACTGCAGGACCGAGCTGAGGGGTCGTTAGCATGTGTGGCGGACCTGGAGACAATAGTGATTGTCTGGTTTAGTGGGATGTGGCGGTGAAGATCAAGTCCGCAGTCGGACATCCCTTTCCTGTGGGAGATGATGAGAACTCCTTGAGAAAACCTTCTCAGAAGGGGACCAGGAGCTAGTGGTAGATGAATGAGGCCGAAGATGAATAATGGGAAGGTGGTTCAGGAACCACGAAACGAGACTAAAAATAAAAGCAAGAATGGAGAACGCAACAAGCGAAGTCTGAATTTCGTACTTTGCGCACACCCCCACGTCGGGATGATGGATCATTCGATCGCTGAGAGGCGTCTTAGCTAGCGTGATATCTCGGATGCCCGAGATGATCTGTAAGACGAGCCAGATCAGCCCCCCCCCGGTCCGTTTCCTCTCAGGGACTCTGGTCTACCTCCATATAGACTAGTCTGACTGGTCGTTTATCTGATAGGTCTGGATCGTCGTCATTGGTGAGCTCTTCAGATAGCGATTCTCTTCAATGACAAGATTCCATTGTGCAAGGGTGTGATTGTCGTGATTGGGGTGCAATCAAGCGGTTTCGGTTGATCTTCATCAACAGCCCCCCTGAAAAACGCCTCAGCGGGACCAACCCTGAGGTTCATTCCTCCAGGGAAGGGTTACAGAAAAACACGAAACCGGAGGCATTGAACATCCATGGTTCGGAAGCAGGAGAGATAAGGGCGGTGATCGCAGGGCCAGAATAAGCATAACGGTAGCGTAGATTAAGCGCCTCTGCAAAGTCTGGTTCACACTGGGGGATGGTCGGGCGGTCCGCCTGTCAAGTTAACAAAACCCGGGAACGGCTTCCGCGTCCCCGTGCGAGAGTTTTCTTGGACTTCTTGGACATCTTAGAGATGTTCTGGCCCCTCAAGAAGGCAACTGAACACTTCATCGTGCATTTAATTTTCCCATCCCTTCTTCTCTTTCTCCCCGCTCCCCTCCGCCCCACTGCAAATGTACAAGGACAAAAGAGGAAAAGGGGTGGTGGGTATTCCTGGTCCTCAGTGATGGGAGTCTCGGGAAAAAAGAAAGAGGGAGAGAAAGAGAGAGAGAGCTGTGTGAGACCCAAATAAGCACGTCCAACTTCGAAACTTGTCTTGTTCAAGAGAAATCAGGAAATGGAGCCACACCCTTCTTTGTTAGACGCTGTGCCTTTACCCTTACTCATGACTTGATCTTCTTCCTCCATCAAAGTTTAACCAGATCAATGTAAGGGTAGAGTGGGAGCCAATTGCAGCACTGGGAACTCGAATCCCCATAATAGCCCCATAAGATAATCCACAGCGGTGGTTTGTGGTCGTTCTCTTGTGTGTGTGCGTGTGGCTTTTTTTCTGCCGGTATTATGATTTGTTCGCCTGGCGTACGGCTGGCGTGGTCTGGTCTCAATTCAATAATTGACCAGAAATTGACCAGGAATATGAAAACAATAGCTAACAACAATAAGAGCAGGGGGATAGATCTCGATCGAGGTCGGCTTCCTCCCCCTCCATAGAGCCGAAGAATCTCGTCCACTATTGACACCGTCACAACGTGGCACCCTCGACCAAACAGAACTTGTTCGGGACAAGGACAATAAGTTAGTCACTGGGAGAACATCGCTCTCGGAGACTTGCTGACAGGTTTCTTTTCCGTATGGCGTCGATCACGAGCGCTCGTTCAAATCCCGACCAGTCGTCAGATAGAATGATCCTGGCCCATTTTATCTCGTTACACGGATTTTGTCTTGTTCTTCCTTCTGTTTTCCCCCTCGAATGGTTGACTCGTTCTCGCTTGCATGACGCTTTTCGAGTCCAGGCCGTATCAGTCATTGACGCCAACCCTTATTTGAGTCCGTCTTGTGTGGTTCTCCTGTCGCCTCTCGTTTGCACATCCACTTCCCTTTTTCCTTCCTTCCAGAATTTGCTTTTTTCTGTCGGGGTCTGCAAGCACTTTGATTGAACGCTCTGTTATCTCCGGGCTTCCGACCCAGATCGTATAGGCCTTGGGAACTGGCCTCTTGTCACCCTTGCATAAGCCGTGCCAATCTTCGGTCGCTGGCTTTTTTCGCTGATCCAATCTACGCGATCAGCCTTGCCATGAGTTTCCGAGCTTGTACGCACTTCTGCGTCAATCCTTCGGCACAATGACGACAGATATTTCTTCCCACTGCAGGATAAGATAGCTCCATCCTGTTCCTATGAGAATGAACGGCCATGTTGCCCTGGAAGCCACCTCTCAAAGCTTGCAGGACATCCTGTTGCGGACTTCTGGGAGCCAGTAGCTCCGCAGTTGATGCGGCTAGATGCAGCTGCCACAACCATCTGTTAAATTCCAGGATTCGTATGCGTCTCGGAACGCAGTGCATCTGAGATAAGTGACTAACGGGCAGCGGGGGAGAAGCAAAAGTCGTCATCAAAAAAAAAAAAAAAAAAAAAAAAAAAAAGAAAAAAAAAAAAAAAGAAAAAAGAAAGAGGGAAACGATAAATTGACATGGCCCAGACAGTCGGAAGGTGGGAGAGGCAACCAAAACAAAAAAGGAAACCGATACGCTGTATGAACTGAGGAAGAAGAAGCAGAAGCGTAATTGTCAGCCGAGCTCTTACAAGTGTGAAGCAAACAACCCTCAGGTTATGCACGGCGAGGCAGCGTAGTCCAACCAGAAGGTCGACAACACTATTTAAGTAAGGTTAGCTCTTCATTGCTGCTGCATTTCGTCTGTGTCAGAGGAAAGGTACCATCCTATGTACAGTGCTTGGAATGATCATGCTTACTTTGTCAACACTGCTTCAGCAACGACTCTTGACCGGTGCAGGTGGATCCCCGATCTTCGGTGGTTTGATCGTCTTTCCAGCCAGATGGGATATTCTTCTCGATGGGGGGAGGGGGCGAAGGAGCCTGTGGGGAGACGCACCCTCTGTGAGCTGCGTGTCAAATCCAGGCAATGTGATGCATCCACCGAGCTAGAATCATAGGATGCAGCGAGCTAAACAAGCTGACTTTCCAGCCTGATCTATTCCCCACGGCTGCACGTTGAAAAGAGGCCCACACCCACTGCTATTCTTTTTTTTTTTCATGTCTCCCTCTGGTATAACCGGTGCGATCACTGACTGGCAATTGTCGTCTGAGCCTCCTCCTCCTCTTCCTTATCTCCTGTCCGATCCTAGCCCAGGTGGTTGTTGTTCCTCCCCTTCGACTCGGATTCGCATTTCGAGGCAAACTACTGCCGTACTTAGGTAGAGGCAACGTCACAGGCGATTAATACACCCGTCTCCGAAAGAGGTAGATTGCGCGGTGGTACAAAAAGTACGAGGGGGTGGGAAGTTGCGAAGAATATCCCCGAGGGTGTCGGTTTCGATAGGGAATTGGCTGCAGGTTTGGGTAAAGGGGAAGACCGAAAGGCAGGGGGATCGCACCTCGTGACACTGACTCGGGTTGTCGTCGCCCACCAGATCCCAAACGATTAGCCAGTCGCGACCTAATCAAGGACCGTACGCACCCAGAGCGTGCGCGCGCGTGTCGCAGCAACGAAGTCAGCAAAACGAAGTCAATCAATCCTGAAAGGTCATTTTTTGCAGCAGCACACTTAAGGGTTTGTTCGCGCCAGGATAGCTCCGAGTGGGCCTGCAGGGCCCTGGACCCCTCGCTCTGCCCCGTCCTCTCGCCCTTGGATCATTCTTTGTCAAGAACACGGATCCCGGTGGATGACATAAGAAGAAGCTCTTAACTCTAGGTTTGTGTCCTTGTGACGGGGATGGATGATTGTTGATACGGGTTCCTTTGTGTGATGTACTCGGACCACGCTGATTCTTTGTCCGCTTAGGAAAGGCCGTGAGGGAATAGTCATTGAGCCTGACAACCTTCCCAGTACCCAGCGCTACTTCCGTGGAGGGGTGAGTGTGGGCGTACTTGCGTGCGTGGTGTGTGTCTCTTTCTCTCTGCGAGCGCGTGTATCTTTTGCTATCTACAGAGGACCTCCTTTCTCCGCTATCAATTACAGCGATAACGATCCAATCAATACATACAGTTACGGGAAAGGGCCGCGGACTGGAATGCTTAGACGCGCGCACCGACCAGCATTGAACAGTCTGTTGGCGCCAATTCCAGGAATTGGAGACCCTGCGTGTGGCGCCTCGCCGCCTAGATACGGGTCCTCATCACTTGCATAATCGGCTCCATCTCCGCGTGCACGAGGCCAAACCGTTGCGTCTGTGGGCTGGGGTTCGTGCTCGGGGAAGTGAATGGTGGTTTGCCGCAGACGCGGTGGATTTCATGCTTAGCTCGATCAAACCGTCGTCAGTCGATCTGGCCTAGACGAGGTTGACTTTTGGCGTCTGCTGGATCTGACTTTTGAGGCTGCGCCCCTCCTGCAGCACAGTTGCGTCGGAATCTGCCAATGTGCGCATCATCTCTATGTCGCTGCGGTTCCTGTCGGATCGTCAAGACTGATACGCACCTTAGCCCGCTTTCTTAACCGTGGTCGTCTACCTGCGACTGGAGACGACACCATTATTCACGACCGAGGAGTGGCCGGCTGTTGCTCGATTCGTCTGGAACTGCTCCACTGGGCCATTTGTCTGGTTCAACTGGCACTGGCCGTTTCCTCTTTTTATTTTCTTCCTCTTTTTTCTCTTTGGTCGTTCCAGTAAATCTCTACCCTAGGCTCACCATTTTTTTACGCACCTCATTTTCTGACACATTTATCGACCTTTTATTTTATCATTTGATTTTTTTTCCCTCCACTTAGGAGAGAAAACATTTTCGTTGTGCGTCAGAAGACAAGGCAGAGGCGACTTGGGTTGACCCATCATTCAGCTACAGTCTGATCGCTGGGCGGTGTTTACGATTCCGCCACACTTACTCCTCCGTCTTGTCTAGGTAGCTGTTCTCGCTTCCTATTGCTTCATTCCGGTCTATTTTTGACTTTGATCAAAATTTTCTTTTAAAAAAAAAAAGACGTGCGGGGGGGCCCCAGTCCTTAGTGTTGGGTTCGTCTTTGACCGAGCGTGGGTTTGTCTGTGTGTCAGGTGTTGGTCTGCGTGTGTGTCTGTGTGTGTCTCTGTGTGTGTGTGTGTCTGTTTGTGTGGATATTAGATCGGGTTGATCGGATTTTCTATTATTCACACCCAAATATTTCCCTTGATAATATTTGAATTGGGAAATCATCTAAACTGGGTGTGTGGATTGGATGAACCAGGTATTGTTCGGTCGCGAAAGCTCTGATTCGATTTCGGACAAAAATTCGTGAGAGCGACAGACAAATTGATTGCAGTTGAGACGAGATAATCGATATTTCGTCATTGGTGAAGGAATTGTTCTGTTAGTCCGGGCATTACAATTTCGGATTAGAAAGCAGGAAAAGGGAAAGGCAAAAGAGAGGGAAAACAAAAAAAAAGGAAATCAAAAGGGAAGAGAAAAGAAGAAGAAAACCTCAAGAAAAAGTCCGGAAGTCGAAGGTCCAGAAGAATATAACATCGACATCATCAGCCGGAACAAGAACCAGCCAGAAGAAGGAGAAGAAGGAAGAAAGACGATCATCCATTCGAACGGACAAGACCAACAACAAGCAGTGCAAACAATTCATCCATTTCCAACAACAACGATCATTTACGCAGGGAGGGAAAGATTGAGAGAGAGAAAGCTGAGAGAGATCTCCAGGGCTCACTCAACTTTAGCTGCTGGTGCTGGTCCTGGTGCTACTGCTGCTACCACTACTACTAATTTACTACAGTACGAAGTTACGGGATACTCTACTAGTACTGAACGACTACTACTACTACTAACTAAGTTAAACTGACTAAACTTCCAGCTCAAGGTACAGTACATACAACTAGCGGTTCAGCTGCAGCTCTGGTGCATTCTTCTGCTGCTTCTTTTTCTTCCTGGGCAGTTAAGGTTTGTCTGGAACCGTGCTCTCTTTCCTCTCGGCTGGCTGTTGCCGCTTGCAATCTGACGACACCATCCATCCATCTTTTCCTTTTCCCTTCTGCGGCAGCCGTTTTCGTAACCAACCACCAAGTCAAAGTCATCCACTCTTCCATCTTTTTCCAATCTTTTTCAAAGGAGGTGAACCATTCATTTACTCGAAATACAATTACCACAAACAACTACGATAACTGCTACGACATCACTACCACCACCACCACCACTACTGCTGCTGCTGCTGCTGCCGCTACTACTACTACCACCACCACCACCACCACCAAAACTGCTTTCAAACGGTCTCTACCTTCACTACTATTACCTTCACAATCAACACTCCCCTCAAATCTCCATCCATCTCTCCCCCCAAAGTTGCCCTCCATCAATCGAGCTCGAAGGTTTACTACGTTACCACTTAACTATTCCGAAGCTGTTTCTAATCCCGCAACTGGCAGCTGGAAACTACCACCAATTCCCACTTGGTCTCCACCCCGGTACTTGGGTCCCAGAAGTCCAAGAACAGCTCTTCTTCAGCTGCAACGGGCTTAAACTCACTGGTCGTACCCTTACTAACTACAATTCTTGCTATTCCTCCCCTCCCTTCCCCTCCTCTCCTCATCCTATTGAGCCATACACTGCTCTGTCCCATCCTTTAACCAACTCCGATTCCCCTCCCCTCCAAACCCATTCCCTTACCCACCCCCCACCTACCACTACTTTCACTTGCAACAAGTGACGAGGGTAGGTATCATTCTTTCTTTCTAATCCTCCCCTCCGAACCACGCCCTCTTCCGCAGCCAGGTTACCAGAGCGGACGCCCCTCCGGTTTGCCCGTTTTTTCTTCCTGTAAAACCACCGGTTCACCATTTCTCTCTTACATCCATCATATCCAACTGTTCCCCTGAGTATCCTGCTATTATCTGGACGTGGTTCAGCACTCGTTTCCTGACGGCTATCCGACTTGGATCCCTTGGCTCCCTTCTATTTGGTGCTATCTCCCCAGAGATCTCGCCTTGATGAGTGCGTCGACGTTTTCGGACGCTTCCCTGGCCCGCGATTCTCAGAGGTTTGTGCTGACGTCCCCTGCAGCTCTTGGTCTTTTCAAAGCTGGCTGCTCAACTCTCACTCTGTCATCCAGGGCTTCTCGCTGACGATGATCACCTCCAGCGCGGACTTTGACTTGATCGTTCGCCAGCAGCCCAACCGGGCGCGCGTGGCTGGTGGGAAGGAAAAAGGTAAGTCGCAGCCGGGAAACTTGGTCCCATGGACGAGCAGCCGTTGACTTGACAATGTTGTTGTCCGCACAGAACGCAAACCAGTTGATCCGCCTCCAATCGTGCAGATCCGAGTGAGAGAAGAGGGGACGTATCTCGCGCAGTATGTGGCCCGACCTCGAGCTTGGGTACTCGTCGCAGTCGCCTTTGCTAACGGGTGCGGATAGGCATTACCTTCAGAGTCCCTACTATTTCATGTGCTGCAGCCTTTACGATGCTTCAGAAGATAACCCGGCCCCCATGGCTCCATCCACCGCACTAACTGGTACACTGGTCTCCTCACTTCACCGGTTGAAGGATGTGGACAATAGCGGTAAGAGAGACTGGAAGTCTGGAGAAGACATGCGCTGCTTGCTGACGGGACTGTTCTAGATGGAGGTTTCTTTGTGTGGGGGGACTTGTCTGTGAAGGTTGAAGGCGAATATCGTCTCAAATTCACCCTCTTCGAAATGCGCAAGTAAGACTGCCCCGATGATGTTGGTTCCGAATATGAGAGGTCTCTGGAGTTTCCTCTGGGGGAGAGAATAGCGCGCGCGCGCGAGAGAGAGAGAGTAGGGGTCAAGAGCCGAGGCTGACTCAAGTCTTTAGGGACATTGTAACCTACCTCAAATCGATCATCACAGAACGCTTTACTGGTGAGTACGCATCATTGAAGGATCCAGAGCGCAGTCAGTTTCGGATCTTGACCGGATGCAGTTTTCCCTCCAAAGAGCTTCCCTGGAATGGGAGAATCGACCTTTCTGTCTCGATCCTTTGCAGACCAAGGAGTAAAACTAAGAATTCGAAAGGAACCGCGGACGCTCATGTAAGTAGACCACGGAAATCACAGCGACGGCCGGATTGGCGTTGGCGCCCTAACTGACTTGAGACACAGAAAACGGCCAGCACCGCGGCCGGAGGACTATCCTCAGCCGATGCCACGATCACCAGATCGCTCGTCAATTCAGATGTCGGGTAATGCGTTTAGCGGGTACCCGCAGGCAGCAAGCAGGGACTTCACGTCGTACTACGGAGCACCGCACCCTTCCAAGCGAGCACGAATGTCATCGATTGATATGGGCACTAGGGGTGTCTACGACGCGGACGGCCGACTTCGTCATATGGATCCGTACCCCCAAACTGCACTATACAATCAAGCCAGCGGCTATCCGGCTTCCATGATGCAGGGATATCCAACCGGGCATACGGGAGTAGCAGACTACACGGTATGCCAACTTGTTCCTTTCCCGCGGTCACGGATTTGATCTCAATGGGGCCACATGAGTGACCCTTAAAAGACCATCACTAATGCTCGCTCAAGCTGACTCCGGAGCAGATGAGCTACGGGATTCCAGCTTCGGCGCAGGTACCTCAGATGCAGGATCCAAGTGTCCACGGTCGAACAAGTCAACAGGCGACGATGCAGTCTCTTGGGATGGTAAATCAGCCTGGCACTCCGGTATGGACCTTGTCCCCATCATTCACCGACTCGCAACGAGAGACTAAGAACAAACCATTTCTGGGTAGACAGCGGATGCAACCGGAGCGATGATGTCTCAGGGTTATCCTCGAACCCAGCAATATCAGACCAGTTCGACGATCCTCCCTCCTCTGCAGCGCAATCGCAACTTTCCCCAGGGGACTAACGGTGCAACGGCTCGAGGTTATTTCGACCAGGCGTCTCAAGCAGCGACACCTATTCTACCCTCACAGCCCATGGGTACGAGTGAGGCGGATCGGTATGGTTCTGCGCCTGGCCAGGCCGCTTTCGATCACCCTGGATCAGCCAACGGCACCCCTCGATGAGCGGACTAATAACGTCCCGATGTATGTGTTCTGATACTGACGGTTTCTTGCTTTTACCTTACTTTTTGCTGTTCAATTGTTGTTATGGGTTTCTTTGGATAGACAGTTCGGTCGGTGTTACTTCATGGGAACTGGAATCGGCGGCTCTGGGGGGATACATGGCGCCTGGGGAAATAAAATGGGTCACCAGGGAGTTGATTGCTACGTCTCTTGCTTGTTCCTCTCTTGTTCCCGGTTTTGCGGCAAGAAAGGGGGTTACTGACTTCGCTGTATATATTATAGTATTATTATTTGACCTAAAGTGGACAGCTGGGCTTTTCGTCAGTTTTGGCTGCTTACTTTCTTCGCTTCTGAAATCACTGGCTGGCATTTTTGGTCACTGGAGCGTGTACTTTCCATATCTGGCAGGGTTGTCATCTAACACATTCACTCTCGCCCTCACAGTCTGCTCTCCGCTTCTTCCCTTCCCATCTCTTTCCCTCTGTCTCCCAGCATCCTTGATTGTCTCCCCTCCTTCATCTCCTGCTCGTGTGCCTCACACTCGACTTTGCCAGAGTTCTGCTGCTGTAAGCACCGGGTTCCAGTTACGATAGGATGGCATCGTGTCCAGGGAAGGCACAAGACTCTTCACCCCAAGCCTCGCTTGAGATTTCGAACTTGGAAATTCGAAACACATGGACGGGCAACTTTGAAGACCCAGTGGTAGCCAGGGTCTCCCTCGAGGTAAGCAGGTTTTTACTCCTCTGATTCTATGAGAGTACCAAGTGCTTGTAGAATCTACCACTAACATTAACCCTCGAATCGCTTGAGCATACAGCTCCAATGTCTACCCAACAGCCAGGCTCAGATTCTTAACACGAGGCATTCAGACATCTCCCTAGTCAACACGTCTGTGACCCGCGTTCATTCACATCATTTCGGTCAGAGCGATGGGTTGAAATATGAAGATCGCCCTCCCAGTCCCCTATTTGCTTTCTCATCCTCAGTGACTGAAGTGAGCGATATCGGAGAGGAGCCTACGCTCGATCCGGACAAGTCCCCCCAGAGTATGGAACACGAGGCCAGCGGAGCCCACTCTCCCAATAGTGCTGAGTCCTCCAGCAGGGGTCCATGTGTGGGAGATACAGATCGTTCGGATAGCACCAGTCCTCAATCTGCAAGGCCTAGGACCACACGTCTAAGAACCACCAGCCTTCAGACTGACTGTCACCGAGCTGTGACTCCCAGCACCACCTCAACTGAATCACTAGCCTTCCGGCTCAACATTGCTCGATCTCAGGGCTGGAACCTTTCTCAGAATCTGGGCAAAAGAAGCGCTGCAGATGCGTGTCTCCCGAGCTCCGCATCGGACACGGAAAGTGAAAAGGACGGCAAGAAAGCAGCAGGCCGTGATAACACATCGCACAGTGCTCCTTCTAGCGGCCTTGTCTACAGAAGTAAAACTCTGGCGAGAAGTCCCCAGCATGGCAGGATGCAAAGATCGAGAAGCAAGCTCTCGAGAAGCTATTGCTCTAATCGCTCTAGTCAAAGTTCCAAGTCTAAGTCTGCACCTACAATTGGAGATCCAGTCGAACAAGCGCGTTCAGACTCATCGCCTGAGCCTGGTCTGTGTTCTTCTAGCTACATAGAAGTCGCAGGAAATGATCTTTCCAACACCACATCCAGTTTCGTTGACATCGAACAAGACGCAGTCAGTGTCGTGTCACCTGCGACTGAGCAACCAACCTTCGTCAGTGACTCAATTTCAAGCGCCAAAGACCTTGGGGTCTTGGAAAAGTCTCTCTGGGAACATGAGTCTTGGAGACACAAGGAATGTCGAGCGGATGTTCACCGTATCTCTGATGGATCTGATCAAGAACATACGCATGATCCGGAGACTGTGGCCGTTCCCTTGGGAAAAAAGCAACAGCCATTCTTAGGTGGCACAGACGGAGCTGCAGACACTGAGAATATGTCCGATTGTGTGGACAATGATGAAACTCCCAAAGTGCCTTCCCTGCCAGGCTTGAGCTCCGAGCACGGTGGAATGATAGCGGAAAGTCAGAGCCCTGAGGGAAGCCCCAACCCATGCCCGGTCAAGTCTGAAGCATCCAAGCCACTCAACCTGGACGATCCAACTGAGAGCCCTGAGATACCATCCAGGTCATCCCTACAAGAGGTATTTGGTGAACCGAGACTGACTCTCGTCGATGGCATTCTGTTTCTTGAAAGCCCTCCCAATATCACGCCAGTACCATACAAGGTGGTTCTCACCATGACCATCACACTTGGAAAAGGCACACCAAGTGGCTGGAGCTATTTGATTATACCAGGACTGCCTAGGTTGAGGAAGGGGGAAGATGGAATCTTGCTCTTCCAGATGCCGGCAAACCATGGTTTGGAGTTTCGTATCACAAATCTGAGCAGGTATCATATGCTGGAAGATTGCTTTGCGGCCGAGTTTGTCTATCATGGAGACCTTGTGGTTCCTTTTCGGCGGTGCAACCAGAAGTTCTACGGAGTTCTCAAAGGCTTCACTGTGGAGCAAGAGATCATGACTGAGATCATTCCGTGTCCTGGTGTGACAAACAGCACCGCAGACCTCCTGACGGATATTTGTATTCGTTATCACGCATTTTGCTCCGTGAAGCTCCACAATCGTTGCTTCTGCGCTGAGAAATGTTGCATCTTACTAGCGATAGATGGTGGGCCAGAAGGCTCTTTTCGCATCGAAGCTGATACTTGGGAGACAGGGCTACTTGTGATTCAGCTTATGCCGGAGACCGACACGCCCTTGGGCACTTCAACTCTCAAACTCATTTGCAGCCCAAAGGACTATGCGATGTTTTGTATAAACTGGACAGTCAGACTCTCCCCAGCCAAGGCGATCAGTTGGCTCCCTAGAATCTACCCTGGATCATCTGGTTCAAATGACCGTGTTAATCATTATCTTCGTCACACTCACCTGGACAATGGAGTCATAATCTTTGCTAGGAATGCAGTCAATTGCGAGCCTGAAGCGTCTCCCACCAGGTCAGCGAGTGGGCAACCTGGGGATTCCGAGGCCAGCTTGCCAACAGAGGAGCAGTCACTGGAGCATATGCCAATGGAGTCTGCGACTCCGACTCTCTCGTCAGAGAGCCATAACAAGGACGTACTTAGCACCTGCGGAGAGGCCTCACCAAACACGATAGGCGAAGTGACAGATCTTGAAGCAGTTCCTAAAGAGTTTGGTAAAGCAGTGGATGAAGAGACAAATAGTCAGCGCGATACAAATGCGAACACTCATGGTGCTGGACAATCGGCAAGCCTCGCGACGAGGGGCCTTGCTTTGCTGTTCTGCGCGGGGTTCGCTGTGGGTATCATGTTCGCATTTGCCTCAGTCTGGCTTAGCACATCGTACATGAAGGCACTCAGTTATCCCATTCAAGACCTATCACGGCCGCCCGTCCCCGAGGAAGGATGTCTGAATTGCACTGGTGACATGAGCTATTTGACCGAGGATGAAGACCACTTTCAGCAAGGATTCGAGCCTGAAAACACCGAATTACTTGCATGGGAGTACAGTATTCCGAAGGAACTAAGTGAGCAGGAATCAATTAGTGTGCAAGTCGAATTGGAGGAAGTGGAACCTGAAGCAGAGGTCAGATGGAAGGAACAGCAACCAGTTCATTCACCCCAAGTCCGTTCATTCCGGGACCGGGTGGATTACTGGCTTGGATGGCGAGGGCCGATTAATCCAGTTGGAGACCAAGTTTGACGGTGGATGACATGAAGCAGATACCTCGTATATCTCTAGTCTACGTAGAATACTTACAACACACATGAGCTCTTTCTTTGTACTGAGGCGGTTCCGCCAGATGCCTCAGCACTTCCTCCACGGCCCATTCTAGTATCTCCGCCATGGGTCTGTCCCCTCGCCCTGGAGCCACCGTAACCCCAGCATCCCTTCTCAAGCGCGTCCCCTGACCCACCAGCCTGACCAGCTCCTGGGTATCCGTCTCCTTCAGCAAGCGATCATCATCATCATCATCGTCGTCGTCGTCATCGGTGCCCTGTGCTGGCAACAACAACCAGGCATGATCCTTGACATAATTCGGCCATACGATATCATCCACATACCCGGGAGGATCCTTCCAGAAATTCTGGGGGGGTCGATCATCCTCCGCCTCGAGATCAATCTCCTCTGGCTTGTGATTGGGGGTCTCTGCAGCCGTCGATAGCGACTCTGACGGAGGCCCGTGTACCACCGGCGGCGCCGGCGCCGCCCCAATAGTCACATACCCACTCCTCCTCTCCCGCCTCTCCTTGACCGTATCATAAGCCGCCGGCAAAAACAACCGTCCATCCAACCGATCATGCACCTCCCTTAGCGGATGGGATGATGCTGATGATGATGGGGATGGTGCTGGCGGCGCAAAGAGCAAGAACCCTTCCATAAACGCGATTGTCCTTCCTGCTTCAACCCCAGCTCGAGCCGAAGAATCCCGTTGGGCGATCACCCGCCTTACCCTCCCCTGCAGCTCCCCCACCAATTCCTCCTCCACCGAAACACTCGCTGCCGCCGCACTGGTCGAATCCGACGACGAGGCAGGCTGCGTATCGTTTTGATCTTCCTTCGACCGCAGCCGCGGGGGCAGACGACCCTCGCTGCGGATGTAGCTCAGGGAAGCGGCCAGAAAGGCCAGGTCGAGGGCGTCGGCGGTGTCCCAGTTTTGGAGGGTGGTACCGTTGGGGAGGGTAGTGAGGGGGATTCTTTTTAGTTGGTTGGTTAGATTGGGTGTGTGTGTGTGTGTGTGTGTGTGAAATTCCATATGTTTGTTTTTTTTTGGTTGGTAGATAGATAGATTGGCCCGAGGGGGGGGAATGTCAGGTATGACTTACTTATCGTCTGGGTGGTAAAAGTCATCTTCGTGGATGAGGAGGGATTTTAGCGGTGCTGCTGATGCTGCTGCTGCTGCTGCTGGTTCGGTTGCTGTGTCGCTGAGGTTGAAGATGCGGTGAAGGAGGCGCGCGAGGGTGGTTTTGCCGCTGCTGGAGGGGCCGGAGATGCCGATGATGAGGGTCGGGGGTTTGTCTGGTGGCATTGTGGGTTTTGGTGTCAATCTTGAGCAGTAACAGTTATTGGAGAGAGAGATGGGAGGAGGGAAGAATGAATGAAGCATGGTTAGTTAAAAGAGGGGTGGGTACAAACAGCTGAGGTGGGGCTGATTGCATCGTCTCTTATCGGCAAGTTGGTTATCGCTTTCGCACAGACTCTCTTTGTACTCCATGATTTACCCAGTACAAGTACATCCGTATGCATGCATCAATGTAAGCTGCATACATAGATTGTGAATTGTTATACAATGTACTGAACAGCTTATCCCTGTCTGTACCATCATACACTTAGAACAGTACACCCCAAGTTCGCGCGCTCATATCCAGATCGACTGTTACTACTATACTGTGTACAACCACACCACCGACTTTTTGTCCTTCCTATCTTCCGATCACTGGCAGACTTGGACTCCCGCGACTACTCGATGATTCCCCCGCCTGTGCCATAGGTCTCGGCGACTTGGAACTGCGCGGGGGCGTCATGAGGATTCCCTGTGCCGACACAAACCCCAAGCTAGGCGCCGAGGTCCGCCGCCGTTTGGGCGTGACGATGTCCGGCCCGGAGGAATTACTCTCGCTGAGGCGCACCGGCACGAGACGCGCGCGCTTCCTCCGCGGCAGTGCCGGCGGTGTTTGCGGAGCCGAAGACCCCGCCCCCGCCATCTCCACGCTCGCGAGGTCCTCATCATCGGCGATCGCGAGCTTATGTCGGTCAAAGAATCCTGCAGGGTGCTTGAGGTACGCCAGCCGCGTGCTGGATGGCTCGGAGTCTGCCATGGGGATGAAGCGCTCATTCTGGATGATTGAGCTCATGGTGCTATCGTCCAGCAGGTCGCGCTCGGCATGCTGGATCTCGCTGTCACTCATGGCTTTTCGCCGTCGCAGCATCTTATCCTCAAGCGTGTCCTTCAGGACGAGGGTCTCGACGAAGACAGGGCGTGTCTGTCCGATGCGGTGCGCGCGCTTGATCGCCTGACTCTCAACGTTGGGCTGCCAGATGGGATTGACGATGTAGACGCGCGAGGCGTGGGCGATATGCAGCCCATGCGAGGCCTGCCGGAGGTCCATGAGCAGGACGCGCACCTCATCAGATTCGCGAAACAAGGTCAAATACTCGGCTCGGGTGTCGGGTCGGAGCGTCTGTGCGTAGATCCGAAAATCAATTCCGAGCAGCTCGATTCCCTCTGCAATCCAGTATGCTGTGTTAGGATTCTCGTAAAACACAATGATCTTCTCCGTCTCATGGTACTCGGAGATCTGGTCCAGAAGGTATGTCAGCTTGGCTGAGGCGGTGGCGACAAGCTTTGTTTGCGCGAGTGGGGAGTCCGGCGGCAAACTCTTCACCAGTCCCTTCTTGTAAGTCTTCTTCGGGGATTTGCTCTTGACAGGTTTGTCCGGTGTGGTCTTCCTCGTCTCGGCGGTATCGCCCTCGTTACCGGCCAGTCTGAGTTCACGACGCACTCTGATACCTGCCCCAGCAAGCCCGTCGGCCGGGTCAGCCGAGTTCAATTGTTTGGTGACGAACCGCTGCGCGTGATGCGCTTGCGTGATGCCAATCAGTAGAGGCTCGTCCTCGGTGCTTGCACTATCAAGAGCCCACATGCTTCGAGCATGAGAAGGGAAATGCTCGACGAAGACCCCGAGTTCGTGCATATGCTTGAATGCCTGCCAGCTGCTACAAGCCTGAGCCTGTTCTGCAATGCGAATGCCTTCTTGTAACATCTCAAGATCGTCTGAGGTCATCTTGTCACGGTTCTTTTCCAGGTACTTCAAAGCATTGTCGATCGTACTCGAGAGGCCCCCATCTGACCCAGCCCACCAGAACCCCGCCTGGCGAAGATTGCTGATAACTTGGCCCAGGTGCTTCCGATTGCGAGGGTGGAACATGTAATCTTGGTCCTTCCGTTCCGACGTGATTGCGTTGACGGCCAAGATGAACAGAAAGTAATTTAGACTCATCTTGTCATAGAACGTCGGCTCCAAGTGCACGACACGGTTGTGAAGCCTCGGGAGAGTGATTTCCTTGTGGATGACATCCAACCGGTGACGGACAACGAGGCTCTGCAGGGTCGCTCGGAGCGAAGGGGCTTTTCGTCGTTTGTCCCCAGGGCCCACCGGGGTCATGTAGGTCACCCAGCTGGCCTCGTCGTCTGTTCGATTCCGAGAATTCGACCAGGGCTTCAGCTCAAGAAAGTCGATCACGATCCGACGCAACTTCTCCATGTCCTTGAGCTCGGTGTCCCAGGCTTTGCCGGTCTTCTTCCGACCTTTCAGCACAGCTGTTGTGGCCTCGGTCAAGTCAGTATCGCTGGTATGGGTCTCCTGTGAAGCCAGGCTGACCTCCACTCCATACAGCCCACTTGATGGGGTTCCAGACACAACCCATCGCCGCTCAATACGTAGCTGCTTGAGTATGTGGTTCATGTTCGACCGATGACCACTACCCGCAGCGTTGTGGCCCTCGTCGACGATGATTCGTAGCCAGTGAATCTTGGTCAAGGGAGACGTCTGAGATTCAGGAAGATGCCGAGTCAGATGGGCCGCTTCACCAGCCTCCTTCTCAAAGCGCACCTTCGAGAATAAGATGATGTCATATTGCAACAGCTCATCGGGCGCGGGAAGCTGGTCACTGTTGTTCCGTAAGGTAAGTACCTTGAGGCCTTGAGTATGGGTTTCGATCTCCTTTTCCCAGTGGTTGACCAGGTTCGGTGGGGCAATGATCAAGGTGCCAGAAGAGAGACGAAGCTTTTGAGGGGGCGGCCGTGGATAAGGTACACCGCTGCGCCCTCCATGCCTAGCTGGAGGGGGAGGTATAGTATATGAGCCACTATTCCTCTCACATGCTTGGATACACCTGTGGTATACGGTGCCGTAATGGCTGAGCTCGTCAAAATGGGTTTTCCACGGCAGCGAAAACCGGCCTGCAACGGCGGCGGCCATCTCGACCAGACTTCCGGTTGTCTTCCGGACTGGGGGGACTAGTTCCTGGTATTCCAAAGGAATCTCTGGAAAATGTCCGCGCGTTGCCAAGATCACAGCAAGACTTATCAAGGTCTTGCCACAACCCATGGTTTCCGCCAGGATTCCTAGGAGAGAGAGAGAGAGAGAGCGTCAGCGCTGTTGTCGTTCGAGGATCCAAAACAGACACAGGAGAGAACAAACCTCCACAAGCCTCTGAATACATCCGTTTCTCGCGCACAATCCGTCCCTCCTCCTTGTCATAGTAATACTCCTCACCCGTGGGACTTCTGCGGACCTCAAGGCGAGGATCCAGCATCTGCGCTGGCTGAGCTTCGCGCTGCACCATCATGGCAGCCGAACGACGCTGGTAGGGATACAACGGCGTCTTGAGCCCCAGGACCCCCGAATACTCCTGTCCGGGACCCCCCGCTTCCTCGTGTTCTGTACCAGCCAACGCCAACGCCGACGCCGGCACCGCAAGTAGCTGCTCCATCGCCCTCCTGGCGTACAGGTTATTCCTGACTGCATCCGCACGAGGTGCGGGATCCTGCAGTGTGTTGAAAATGTACCAAAGCGACTCCTCGTCGTCTTCACCTCCTTCTTCCATCTTCCCGTGCTGCAAAGAACCCTTCCGGGCTGATGGGCCCCAGGTATTCCAATCCACGTTGAACTGGCCCATCCACGTCTCGACCGAGCGATCAATCCTCTCCATGACCACCTTCAGCGCGCGACGCAACGCCATATTGGAGCGGGGGAGGAACTTGCGCCCCACGTCGTCCGGCAGCACATAGACCCGCACCCCGCACCACGACGAATGTTCTTCCTGATATGTGAAACTGATCGTCCGGATCCACTGGTGACTCTCCAAGTTAGCGACCTGGGAAGCCGGGTATCCGTCTGCTTCCCCTGCGACCGCTGCACCCTCCGTCGTCGTGGCCGCTAACTCCTCAACTCCTCCATAGACCAGGTTGCGCTTGCGCAAAACTCCGACGGCAATGTACGAGTCGAAGGAGATGTTCAGTCCTCCTTCTTCTGCTTCTTCCCCGTGTCTTTCTGATGCCGGAGGTGCCACGAAAGGCGTATCAATCGCGACGATGCTCCGGGGTGCGAGGCATTCGGACTGGGGCGTTGCGGGGGTCGGCGATGAGGCCGGCGAGTCGACGGATGATTCTAGCCCCGGGAAGACGTCATTGGCGGACAGGGCTTCCTGATCGGATTCGATGGTCATGGTCTCATTCTTGATTCCGGAGCGATGTGATGAGGACTGTATGTATGCCACCAAAAAAAAAGATACCCCTGTTCCCCCACCGGTGGGGGAGGGAGTGGAAGCGAATGGTAAGCGACCACTTCATCTTCAATAGTTCTGACGTTCCACGCAGGATAAAAGTTGAATGATTGAGACTGGCTAGACATACCTGGCAGTTCGGGGTGCCCAGAGCAGGCAGGGAAGTCACATTGGTTAATTCGGTGGATCGTAACATGGTAGCTCAGATCACCCAGGCCGATTTTGACTAATAATCAAATCCGGAGCTAGAATGTCCCTTCGCAAGACAAGTGGTCGTGACTGTAGCGGATCCTGTTGTCATCTGGGCATAACACATACACACACAGCAAACCCTCAGAGTGTGGGAGAGTGAGTGGGCCACATCAGCCCCCTGCAGGTAAATGAAAGTGACTACAGAATAAGTAGTTACTAACTACGGAGTACTCCGCAGTAACCAACTGTGGCGTCGCGATCGAGACTCGGTGGGGGATTTGCCGATAAGCGCCACAATCGATTGGTGATAGTTGGATCCAGCACGTCACCGCCCTCTTCCATCGCCGGATAAGGTTATATTGGATTTACAGGGCACTGAGGCTCCGAGCTCCGCGCTGCCAGCCTGAGGCACCCGTGCCCACCACTTTCCGGTCTTACCCCTGATGAGAACATATTATATTCGCACACATAAACACATAATAACCAGGATATGAATATATTAGAGTATTTTTCAATTGTCCCCCGGACTTGACAAAACCTAGCCCCTTTCCTCGCTGAAAACAATTCAAACAACCGCCCAATCCGAAAGCGCCGTGCGATCCCGTGGTTATATATCGTATACAATAAGATGCCTATGAAGAGTCGGCATCAGGCGCTGGAAGTGAAAGATCTGGAAACACCAGAACAAACAAGAAAAAGGAAAAAAATCCTACATCAGGAATGAAACAATGAGCGAAAGGACTGCAGCACATTTACTGCGTAAGAAAATCCTCAATCTCGAAACTGACTCTTTTCATGATCTTTTCCTCCATCTCTCTAGAAGAGGACGCCGCACGCCGTACAACGACAGTGCGTGCATCCTGCAGGCGAATCTCCACGGGGTTACTACCGTACCGGTCCAGCTCTTCCTTGTCGCACTCGCGGATGTAAACTGTGATGTCGGGGCCTACGCAAGCACGCCACAGAGATGCCATCCACTGCCAATGGTCCAGCGGCGCATATGAGTCGCTAATCTGCACGGAACATGCAAATGCATCCGCCGTGGTCAGCTGGTACCGAGGAACAAGGGCAACGGGTACTCGGTGGGTGTTTGTGTTGGCTTCTGTGGAAGCCGCCGACGGAGACGCATCGCCTCCCGATGGTTTCGGTGAGCTGATTTGCATGTCGGCCGTTTTGGGACTTGTTGTTCGAGGTGACACGCCCGTGTGCTCCTCCTCCGTGGATTTAGCCTCGGACGAGGCCCGCGGGGGCTTTACAAAGTTAATGATTTTGTCTGAGATGCGGTGCCACTCGGAGATAATATTGAGGTAGTCCACCGTGGCATCTCCCATCTGCTCTGAGTCAGAGTAGCTCTTCCTGGGGTTGATATCCGGTCCCGTGAACGTGTAGGTCTGATATCTGCCTTCCTTCTGCAGAGTGTTGTTGAGATGATCCACCATGGTCTTGACCAGAGCCAGGTCCTGTCCGTCCACCGCAATAACGGCTCCTCGTGGTGGCATAGTGTTGCCGTGATATGGTGGTGCAAGCGGAGGCGATATCTTGGCAAGAACTTTGATCTTGTTGAGGAACGGAATTGTCATCACCGTGGCCTCGAGAGTGGACTCTTCGCGTGCGAAGGGCGTCATTGGGGTCATGACTCCCGACTGAGAGGGAGAGGTGGTGGTCTGCAATGGAGGGAGCTTCAGGCTTGGATCTGGCTGAGCGAAGTCTTTGGCGTTTCGGATGGGTCGTTGCGGTGGTGCCAATTGAAGAAATCCTCTAGTGTCCGAGACAGTCGAGTGAGGCGTATACGGGGAGATGGGGTAAGTTGAATCTGGACTTCGATCGCGCGGGATGTTGCTCTGGAGAGGAACTTGAGTGTTAAACCGGCGGCGCTTGTTATCTGGTGACCGACTGCCACTTTCTTCGAAATGACGCTGGTGAGGAGACTGAGACTCCGCAGTAGGCGCGATTCGAACCACGCTTGCTGGCCGATCCATGTCTTTCGACCGACCTTGGCTACTGCGCACGGTGACAGTCTCGATCCGGGGAGAGACCTCATTGAAGCCCGAGGTGCTGGGAGTAAAAGGAGGCGCGTCCGGTGATACGGGCGGGTTCATAACTCGGCCACCGCACCGGCTGCATACTGTGGAGCCGGGCGGGTTATGGCTGATGCCAGAGCTGGCGTTTCGGGAACTACCATCTCGGCCATAACGACGAGGCTGATATCTGTACTCCGGATACTGCTGCTGATGACGGGCTTTCTCTTCCTACAGCATCAATCACATCAACAAGGGACTGTTCAAGTCTACCAAGATACATGGTCAACTTACCTCGGCCAAAGCCTTCCATGTATCCTTGGTCTCCTGGGGCAGTTTTCTCCACTGCTCTCCGATGATCTTGGAGATTTCAGGGTTAGCAAGTCCCGGATGTTGCGCAACAACTGAAGCTTGCCAATGTTGACGGTACAAGATAAAGGCTGCGGTTGCATTTCGTCAGCTGGGCAGGGTAAGGGGATAATACTACAGGCACTGCTATCTTCCTGCGTGCAGCGCTACATACCATTTCGGGGGCGGGGAATTTTCGGGTCGGGCTGGCAGAGGCAGAAATTGGCTGCTGATTCCCGCGGGGTCGGAGCCACTGATTTGACCGGGCTTGATGACGAAGAGCGTTCTGACATGGAAGAGCGTTCGCGAAGAGGAATGGGCTTGGTGCCCATGAGAGTCGTTGGCTTTGCAGGCTCGAGGGAAGCTACACCTGCGACAGCCTTATTCATGGCCATCTTGTACCGATTGAAGGCCATGTGTGCGTGGGGTAGATTATCGGCATACCGGCGATGCCCCCCAAATGAAGTGGCATCGCGATGATGATGGTCCATCACAGGCATTTTCGAGTAACCGTCATTCATGATCTTATGATCGAGGAGACTACCAGTTGGTCGAGGTAGCGTGACCGGTGGAGGATCATATTGTAGAGCAGGGGGCATGGGGAGGACTCGATCAAAAGACATTTAAGAAGGTGCTGTAAAGGTGGGGGGGGGAGAGGTTAACCGATAGTCTCTTGAGCGAGCACAAGGAACAACGCGTGAAGTTGTGGGTGAATGTGGCTCGGCTGACGTGAAAGGACGGAACGACCGCTGAAAGAGAGAAGAAGGGAAGGTGGGGGGTGGGAAAGAATTATAGAGGATTGGATTGGGAATCAAGACGAAAAAAGGAAAAGAGGCGTAGTTTAAGCTGATGAAAGAAGGAGATGCACATATCAATCAGAAGGGCTGAGCAGGCGATGAAAAACGAATGACTTCTGCCTCGTGCTTAGGGAAGTAAGTAGCTGGATTGGCAACAACAACCCGGTGCTGCTCTCACGAATGATAATAGAAAGAATAGAGAAAGTAATAATGGCGGCGGTGATAATAATAATGATAATACTAATAATAATAATGATAATAAAAATAATAAAAATCAAATCAATAATAATGAAAATAATGAAAATAAGTAATGAGAAGAATAATACCAATAACGATGGGCAAGGGACTTGTGTTTTCCTTTTGTTTTTCTCTGGGCGTCAAGGGTAGGGTTGGTTTGCCTTTTTCTTTGCTTTATTGGTATGTTGTTTTTTTTTTCTTTCTTTCTTTCTCTCGCTCAATTTTCCAATTTCTTGAGGGAGGGAGAAACTTTTGACAAGGAAAGATAGGATGTTCCTATTCAAATCATACCTACCAAGAAGAGAAGCGCCGGGGAATAAAGCCGGAGGAGGAGGAGGAGGAGGAGGGAGGGAGGATTTTGGGTTTCTCAAGTGCTTTGTTATAAAGGTTGACTATCTTTGGGATCCCACCCCCCTCCCCTTCTCCCTCCTACGTCTTAAGGTCTTAGTCCACATGAAATCACCTAATTCTGGAACCGGGATTTCTTTGTCTGTCTCTGCCAGGGTAAGCCGAAGAGCCCGGCGTGAGTTAAGTGATCCCCACCCCAAGACAGGTCGTTGTTTCCTCCTCGAGGTCCCGAGATGAAACCCCACACACACACATCTTTCAGGTGGGATACGAATTGCCATACTACAAGGCATAGTTACTACTACGATAGAAGGTAGAAGGGGGTACCGTAGTTGGTAGTCGGTGGTGGTCGTGCGGTTGACATCATAAGGCGATGATTATGATAAGGAACGGAGTGGAAGCACACCCATTGCAAGGGAAGTAGTAATTGAACAAAGGAAGAAGATGGATGGATGGATGATAATAATGACGGTGTTGATTGTCCATCGGGGAGGAAAGATGGATGAAAGGGAAGGAGAGGGGAGGGGGGAACCGCACCATCAAACAGGATGGGGCCCAGTGATGACCTACTTACCAATTGCCCGATGATCTATGATGAAGGTGATAGTAAGGAAGAAGAGAAGGGAAGATACAGGTAAGTAAGTAGGCAAGCAGGCAGGCAGGAGGATGGAAGGGTATTGTTTTCAATATCCATTTCCTTTGTTCAGGTTGACTTCCGCATGCGTTGGACGGCTGGCAATCCGAGGCCAATCACCAGCCGTTGCAAGCCCCATTCATCCCCACCGCCAATGTGACACCCGGAGTTAGTGCAAGAGAAGAAGCTCAGCTGTATGTACAATTGATTGCCTCCTCCCACCACCCCCCCACCTCCCAAAAAGATGACAGAGGACTACTACTTAGGTTAGTGACCGACTCATGCTTGACAATGAAGTAGCAATCATTGAGAAGGATCCTTGGTTGTAGGCTGAGTTATGAACTGGAGAATACAACTTTGGATTCAAGATAACATCAGTTTCGAGTACTCCGTACTTCGTACTATAACTCACAGTAGTACAGTAGTGATAGTCTAGGCTACCGGTAGTCCCAGGTACCGGTACCTGGGCTTCGGGGCTAAGGAGCTAAACAGCCCAACAGACCAAGCGGAACTAGCGGTCTCGCATCCGAAAACTCGATCAGCTCCAGTCCAGTCCGTCTCTCTGCCTATTTTCCCCCCAGAGGAAACAGCTCGTGACTGATACTAGTTCCTTTGCTTGAGCTACGAGGTTCATCAGCTAGTGACTGATCGTCCCGAGACTTGTGTCTGACAGCCGCTCGCACCGCCTCTTTACGATTCAAACAAAGGGGCAGATAAGTATCATAAGTTTAAATCGGTCCACTTTGCACCTGAATGTACTGTACTTCTTAAACGAGATGCACCACACCAATCATGAATGGGAATGTCCTTTCCCCCTGCCAGCTCTTTTTCCCCCCCACTTCCCCAAGTCACATTATGTTGCCTTTCACAAAGAATCCTACTCAACTCCCTGAAAAATCACCTTTTCCCATCTTGCATCATTCTCAACGAACTTGAAGATCCAGACCTCTTCTAGGCCTTCGGGGAGGAGGTTGCTTCATTGATACGTTGAGGTTGCAGGGCCCAGTCTTTGGCTGGTTCCCCACCCCTGGCATCCCCCCTCCCTCCCTCTCTCCCTCTTTTTCTTCCTCCCCAAATTGCAAGTCATGTTACAATCATGATACAACAGCCATACGCCCCAAACTGAAGCAGACGTCACGGCCACTTAGGCCTGCCTGTCTTGCCTCTCTCGTGTCTCTGAATGAGACGTACCACCTCCCTAATCCCTGATTTAGATCTGAAGGCGTGCCTGAGACCACTGAACCCTGTTAAGATCCGGTTCAGCTGCGATGCCAACCGGACAACACTGGTCTCATCCGGGAGAATTCCACTTGGTGACGCCACAGGTCGCCCGCAAATCTCACTGAAGCATCGCCTGAACTGCGACGGTGCGCAGGCCCGATGAAAAGTTGAGCCCAAGACCTCCTAGTCGTCTTTCCGCCAGCGTCTGGTACTTCCGGGAACTGGCCAGTGTTCGCGGGTTATCGTCTACAGGTCAGTCACTCGCTGCAGGGCGATTTACGATCAGGTGGCACGGCCAGGATCCCATCAAAGGGGTTTTTTTGAAACAGTTCTTTGTATGCGATTTTTATCTTTTTTTTTTCTTCGGTCTGTCTCTCTTTTTCCATTTGTGTCTGGTAGGTTTTCTTTCCTTTTGTTCGTGTCAGAGGGTTCACTGGAGCCACATCTCCTGAATTCCGTGAAAGACTTCCATGCCCAACAGCCGGTGCGCGGAGGGTCCCAAGTGCATCTCGTTCCTGAGGGGGAAAATGGTCAGCCTTCCAGTCGAGTCAACAGCGCCAAGCATAATGCCTTGTTCTTACCAAAACAAAAACTTTTCGGGACGATCACACTGTTTCGTCTCTGATGTCACCATCCATTGCTGGCTGCTCTGGACGCAAGCGTCCTCTACGTTTTCCCAGCCAGGGTCTTCATTCTTGCCCAGGCCGTTTGTTTCCTCGATCCCCGCAACGAAAAGCTGCCAGTCGCGGATCTGGTCGGCAAGGAAGGCATTCGTATCGAACAGATAGATCGTTCCATTGCCCCATCCATCTGCTCTCTGTCGCAGGTGCTGATTCCAGTAGTCGGACATGCTGACGGCGTCTTTCTGTTTGGCCTTGTGCTGTTCAGCCTGGACCCGGAACGCAGGCAGGAAGGTCACATCCGGGGTCAAAGTCAGGATGAGTTTCAAATCGTTGTCACCCCAAAGCTCCGCCAGCAGATTGAGCTGATCCAGAATCACGTCCAGCGTGTGGTCGATCGATTGGGTCGCTTCTTTGTATGTCTTGCCCACAACATTCCACAGGTCCCACACGCCAAAGGAAAGGATGACAATGGTCCGGTTCTGACGGTTGCCGATCGCTTCTGCACTCATCGCCTGCATAGCTTCTGTCTCGGCTGCCAACCAATGGCTGACCTGGGCTTTCAGGTCGGCCAGGGGGGACTTGTATAGGTGGAGTAGAGAGCCCGACAACTCCGAGTTATCCACAACCGAGCCAATGTAATTTCCACTCAGAGACTTGGCGGTTTCGGCCAAATTCTCATGGTGACAGGAGAACTAGCAGGGAAAGAGGACGATTAGCCTGTCATACCCGAGTGGGATGCAAACCGATCTCATAGTACAGCACAGCACTTACCGAGGAGCAGAGCCATTCCGTCCAAACGGACCCTTGGATCTCAGCGGCATTGTTGTCACTCCAAGAATCGCCAAAGACCACTAACCGGCGATCGAATGACGCCGCGGGGCGAAGCTTGGCCGATGGCTCATCGTCGGCGACAACCCGGCGGTAATAGTGCTGAGAAGCTAGGAACGAGGCAGAAAGCAGGATACTGCATATCGCCAAGGCGCACACGGCGTGAAATTTGCTAAAGAGGCGCATGAGTACGGGACATCAAGGGCCGGGAACAAAGACACGGGCGGGCGAGTTTGCGACAAAGGGTTGATGAGGCTGGAGCGCGGAGAAGCCGATAGACAGACACACTTGAAAAGCGACCGGCCGACTGTCTTTGTTGCGGCGTGTTCCAGCCGACAAGGAGAGCCTGCGCGGTTTGGAATTTGAAAAGGAGATCGCACGGATTGTGCAGAAACCAAAAAAAGGCAAGAGTAATAGTAAAGTATGCTAGAGAAGAGTAGTAGAGAGAAGAGAAAGGCAGAAGGGAAAAGTGGTAAGTGGACAGTAAATCGCTCCCTCCAACAAAGCAAAGCCAGCCAGCCGGGACTTTTTCCTTCTTTTTTTCCCCTGATTTAATGGGGGCGACAAAGAGAAGACGTCGTTCTTTCCGGTAGTACCGCAGACGATAACTTAGCGTGGCGATAGACAGCGAGTCAACCCGGGTGAGAGTGGAGCAACCCAAGACTGGAGAACAATTTTGGTGAGAATGTCGGGGGAGGGGAGGGGAGGGGGAAAACGCGTGGAATTGAAAGGGGAAGAAGAAATAGAAGAAAAAGATGATGATGATGATGAAGAACAGTGTAAGAGAAAGCTTTGCCCCCCAGATTTCCCAAGGGATTGCTTTATTTTAGTCCTCAAGAGATCCTATTTTGAGAGGGGAGGGGGAGGGGGGTAAGAAACAGGCCGTGAGCAGACAACGATTTCAACCATACAACTCTATAACCATACTGTGTACTTCTTATTTTCTAACAGCATCATCTTTGTGGCTAAGGCTAGGTATGTGTTACTGCTGCCCGGTGGCCGCAATTAAGGCTATCAAATCATCTTCTAGTGGCCGCGCGGCGGGCTTCGGAACGGCAACCAGTCGCGTGCTTCTTTTCTCTTGGCCCGGCTGGAGGATTGCGTCAGTGAGCTGATTAACTACGGAATAGATATGAATAACTAGACTAACCGAACTAACTAACCGGAAATCGAAACATCCAACTTTTATGCATTGAGGCATCCATCCATGACTAGGTCGGTCTAGCCGGACCAAAAGTCTGGGGTTGACTCGATCAAGGTACCCAATTCTTCCATTGAGAAGGGTCCCCCCCCCCATGTGTGTATCACCTTACTATGGTACACTTCCTCTCATCGATCTGGTATGGATCATCCTGTGATCGATCGATATGCGGACTGCATGTCTGCACGACATCCCCCCCCGTCTCCCTCTAAAAGCCGCTATCTCGCAATAGTCCATCTTGACCGAAGCCCGATGACGAATTCGGGGAAATTGGTCGGTGGACAATCCACCAACAACGAAGCACAGAAGAAGAATAGATCACGGCAGAGCGCCTGGTGAGATCAATGCGTGTTCACATCGAAATGAAAAATAGGGTTAGGATTGATTGGTAGGCTACAGTACTTTGGCAGCAAGCATCTCTTTCGCCAAGGAGGTGGGGGATGAATGGAGGAAAAATGCTTGCTCCTCGCCGGTTCTGGGAAAGCAGACGAGCCGCATGATCAAGAGGCGGTTTGATTGGGACTGTGAAAATGATAATGGCTTAACTCACTATGTGCGCTGCTGCTGACTATAGTATATGCATTTGTACAAGTATGTTTGACATTGATGCGGAGAAAAGGCTTCGGTGTTGTTCATGGTATTGACTCGTATTTGACCCATGAGTGCATGTCAGACATGCGGGTATCGCCCACCCGTAGTATTGTATGCAGTGAAAAATATACTGTAGTATGGATCGGTGCTGGGTGGCTGTGAGGTGATGAGGCAGAACGAGGGCAGGAACATGTGGCTGGCAGACAGATCACGCGCCTGAATGCTGCCTGACGGCCTCAAGACCGGAATCGGAGGTCTCGATTTCTGCCCTCCCTATCAGGCATCAAAGAAGATCAGGTGCCATCGGCTGACATAAGAGCCCTACCGAGGACGCTAGCGCGGAACCGGCTAGTGGCATTAGTCATCCACCCACACAGGGAAATCTCGCTACACCACCAAAAAAATCCCACGAAGAACGAATCCCCGACGACCTGAACCTCATCGACCTGTCGACAAACCCGCGCCCTCCGTCTTGACCGCGCAGCCCCGTCAAGATGAAGCTCAACATCTCCTACCCGGCCAATGGGTCTCAGAAGATCATCGAAATCGATGATGAGCGCAAGCTCCGTCCCTTCATGGAGAAGCGCATGGGAACCGAAGTCAGCATTACCCTCTCCTCCCCTGTTTGAAATGGAAAAGACAAAAAAAGACGCGCTCGGAAATCATACACCAAAAGAACACACAAACCATTCAGAATCATGCACACGATCAACGACGGGAAATGGATGAACAGAAATGACTGATTGGGATGAATTTTGCAATCACAGGTTCCCGGCGACTCCCTCGGTGACGAATTCAAGGGCTACATCCTCAAGATCACCGGTGGTAACGACAAGCAAGGTACGGATTGGGCACGCCTTTGTACTTCGTCTTTCATCTGCTGCGCCGATATGAGTAAAATAGGACGTTGAAAGGGAGGGAGAGGGGGTTCCGGATGCGCGCAGCAGATTGAACGGACATTATACTTTGATGTCTCTAGAATTGAAGCTAACTCACCTTTCTAGGTTTCCCCATGAAGCAGGGTGGTATGTACCGACCGAGAAAGACGCTCAACCATAGCACACCAGACAGAAGACTTACCGATTCGCCTTGAACAGTTCTCCTTCCTACCCGTACCCGCCTCCTCCTCTCCGAGGGCCACAGCTGCTACCGCCCCCGCCGCACCGGTGAGCGCAAGCGCAAGAGTGTCCGTGGTGGTATGTTCTGCAGATCCGATCCCCTGAGGATATATATGAATAGGGGATGTTGACAAGCATTGTTTCTCCACAGCCATCACTGGTCAGGATCTCGCCGTCCTTGCCCTGAGCATTGTCAAGCAGGGTGAGGGTGAGCTTCCCGGTCTCACCGACACCGTTGTCCCCAAGCGCCTCGGCCCCAAGCGTGCCACCAAGATCCGTCGTTTCTTCGGTCTCGACAAGAAGGATGATGTCCGCCAGTTCGTCATCCGCCGTACCGTCACCCGTGAGGGCAAGGCCGACTACACCAAGGCCCCCAAGATCCAGCGTCTGGTCACTCCCCAGCGCCTCCAGCGCAAGCGCCAAAGGGTTGCCCTTAAGCGCCGCCGCGCTGAGGCTGCTCGCGAGGCTGCGTAAGTTTTCCAAAATCAATCGGAGTTCATTCGGACTCCCCCCCCCCAACGCAACTCCTTCTAACCTCTATCAACAGTAACGACTACGCCAAGCTCCTTGCTAGCCGTGTCCACGAGGAGAAGGCCAAGCGCGACGAGCTCCGCAAGCGCAGAGCCTCTTCGATGAGAAAGTAAATGTTTTTTTCGTCCACGGGGAATAATGGTCGGGTCTTTTGCCGTCTCTGTTCAAGTGCATGTCTAGAGACTGCAGGAGGGAAGATAGACTAGGAAGGAAATCTCAGCAACGGGAAGGGGGTTTCCTTTCCTCTTCTATTTTGTTGTCTCTTTTTTTGTCCTGTCTCCGCACTTTCGTAGCAGGAAACGACGTAGCTCACGACTTCCTTGAGGGAGAAAAAGGTTGGGGGACGGAGGAGATTATGGGCGTCTGCGGGACCAAGACTTTGGCGTGCCAATTTATTTGTTTTATCCAAAAAAATGGAAATGCAATATCCCAAACTTTTGACGGACATGAAGAAGGAAAAAAAAATGTTAAAAGGGGTTTTCTTTTTTTTTTATATATACCATGATTCATTTCTCGCCTTTTCTCCAGTCCCTGCATTTTTGGAGGTTAGGTTCCTGTTACTTTGCCGCTCCTTCGGGAGGAAACTGGCATAGATTAAAGGCAGGCTAGGCTTTCTTCCCGGATTCTACCTCGATATACTCAGTATGAGGAAAGAAGACTCCGACTCGTCACTGGCTGATTCTCAAAACGAAGTTCCCGATGTTCTGCTCCCATCAAGTGCCTGCCCCTCATCTGCACTGAGGCAAATGTATCTAGCTAGAGTATAATCAAAATCAACCATATAACTACAACCCAACAGCACTCAAGGTGGGTGGATGGACTTCGTCCAACATCTCCCAATTGAAACTCCTACTCAACATCTATGATACAATAAAATACTCAAGAAAGCATTGACATTGTCGAGTGTACTGTACGTAGTAGTAGTGCACACTGCAATGCAGAGTAGAGTTGTGGTTGGTGGTCTCCACCCAACGATCCAACACCCAAACCCGGGCGTCTGTCCCACACACCAACGAAGAAGAAAAAAAAAAAGCCCACCCAATTGCGGAGGCCAGACACCGAGGTCTGAACCCTTATCAATCAATCAATCAAATCAAATCGAGTCCAGTCCGTTTGGTATCCCCCCCCCTTCCTTTCTTACGGTGTCAGTATACCTACCTACCAATACTTCATTGATCACTGTTCTCCGTACTGTATTGTCCGTACACAACCAATTAGTCGTCCATCCAGTATTGAAAGTAGTACGAATCAATCTCCCCGTGGAGGTCGTTGTTGGTCTCTCAAACAGTGCGGTTCGTGAAATCCCCCACCCCCGGGGAATATGATCTGCAATGCAATAGCATGGAAACTGCGCTTTACACTGGTAATTGGTAGTGATGGTAGATGGAGACTGTGATAGGGACTATATATAATTGGAGTGGGGGCGGAAAGCCACGAAGAGAAAAGAGGAGTGATTCAATGCGTAAAGAGTCCTGAACTCCCTGTCTCTTTCGTGGTACGTAGAATCACCGTGCTGTGGAATGTCTCTCGTTCCCTGAAAAGAGACCTTGCTCCAGAACATGGCCACGGTATGTGTCCAAGTGAGCGGGACAGAGCTATCCATGAACACGTCCGGTTCACTCCACCCAACCAGAAAGCTCGAGGCCAGTTTCTATCAGATCCAATTCATATTTCATTTCGTTCATAAAGGGTACTTGGTAATCGAAGTTCTAATCGAGATAGTGCGAAACTCCGAGGGGTGTGGTAAATATATGTACATATGCTCTAATTGGAGTTGATAACAAAGCAACAAAAAGCCGGGCAAGGAAGAGACAAAGGCGACCTTGATTTCCCTTTTGAAATTTTTCCCCATCTCAATCCATTCCCATTCGTACCTCCGTCCATACGTCCATCCGTAGAAACCCCACCAAGCTCATATGTTTCATGCATCTTCAGAACTTCGAGATGCCGCGTTCAACGGTAAGAAAAAAGAAAACAGAATGTGAAATAGCAGCGGAGAAGTGATAAATCCCGCTCAATCCATAAGATCGTGAATCGAGAACTTCTAGTGAGAAGGTCATACAACCATCACCATTTCGAGGAAGGGCGTGGCCACGCCTTTGCGGAGAATATGACCGACGTGACATGCCACCTTGACCTTTGTCACTATCTAAAACCATTGGTGCAATGCCTTTAAGCCACGGCATGAGAAAACAAGAAGCTGACGGATTCACCGTTATGTGTACGTCTGCAGGCCTCGGCAAGGGTAGGGCTAATGTCGATAGTCTCGATCTTGTCGCACTGTTCCTTCTTTTCGGCGTGGGGGACGGTGTTGGTTACGACGACACGGCTGAGACAGCTGTTGTTGATGTTCTCGGTGGCCTTGCCGGAGAGGATGCCGTGAACAACGATGGCGTTGACCTCCTTGGCACCGTGCTGCATAACCGTATCAGCGGCCTTGACGAGGGTTCCGCAAGTGTCGGCCATATCATCAACGATGATAGCAATCTTGTCCTTCACGTTACCGACGAGAACCATGCGCGAGACCTCGTTGGGGCGGGGCCGTTCCTTGTGAATCAGGGCGAATTGCAGGTCAAGACGGTCGGCAATGGCAGTGGCACTGTCTGCCGTTAGAGATCTCATCCTCAAATCTCCTCTCTTGGATCCATCGAGTGCTTACCGCTTGGCACCACCAGCATCGGGACTGACAATGACGCAGTTGGTTACATCCAGATGTTCCCGAATCCACTTCAACATGCTCGGCTCGGCGTACAGATTATCGACGGGGACATTGAAGAAACCCTGAATCTGACTCGCGTGCAAGTCCATGGTGATGACATGGTTGCAGCCGGCCGTCTGAAGCATATTGGCCATGAGCTTAGCGGTGATCGGCGCACGGCTCTTATCTTTCTTATCTTGACGCGCATAGGGGAAGTTAGGGATGACGGCTGTGATACGTCTAGCGGAAGCAGTTTTGCAGGCGTTGATCATAATAAGCAATTCCATTAAGCCGTCGTTGATGTCGTTCGGGCGCGTCGATTGCAAGATGAAGACTGCAGACCCGATACTATATTAGCCCCGAGTCTTATCCCCACTGATGGAAGAGAACATTAGACGGGAGGGGGGAACAATACCATCCTCGTCTCGTACACTTTCACCGATCGTGACGCTGGTTTCCTGATTGGAGTATTGCAAGACCATGATCTTGGTCAATTCAATGCCAAGCCTGCCGGTCAAAAGCAACTTGTTAGCCCATGATATGCAGCAGGCCTGATCCGAGGCTCCTCCTAGAGCGCATACCGAGCAGCCACGAGGTTTGCAAGCTCAGGGTGACTGTTACCAGTCAAAAGCTTGATTGAATTGGTTGCCATTGTGAGTTGAGAAGGTGAAGTTTCGGGGCGGTTGCAAGGCACGGAAAGTGATGGAAAGGAGTCGCCGAGGCACGAGAGGCTTTCAGATGTCACGAAAATAGGACAGCTTCAGTAGGATTCAAGACAGAGCATGCCCAGAAGAGAGGAGAGGCCCATACACCGGAAGCACACAAGCGACTGAGGGAGTCGAAGTTGAGATCGAATGCCCCGCCGGCAGGTGACTTTTTCGCCCAGCAGAAAAAAATGCTATCCCGTGACCCCGGACCCACTTCCCCTCACCGCTTCCAGACTTCCGGCACCGGGGGAGGGATGAGTAATCAATCGGCTCTAGTTAACTAGTTAGTTCACTAGGTTATTATTAGTTGATAATTTAGCTTACTTACTACCTAGTCAAATACTAGAAATGAGGTTGGAGTATCTGGAAGACTACAACATAGTATTTAAATTGTTATAACCATGGCTGATGGCACAAAAGTACATAAGCCGGAAGAAAAGAACCACTGGACACAGAAACTGCAAATGACAAATTGTAAAAGAAAAAGATAACAAGAAGGTAGGCTGAGACCAGTAGCATCTGTAACAGAGTCGTCTGACCTGCACTTCAGAGGACTTGTCAAAGAGACTATGGTCAAGCCACACCATTGTCTTGAAAACATAAGCATCAGCCCGGCATTGTACAAATTAGTTCGGAGGAAAGTTCATGGAAACGCCATCATATGCTTCGGCATTAGGGAGACGGAAAAAGCATGTTGAACCATGACCCATTGGTCAGATGAACAAATGATAGATATGCACCGTCACTTCATGCAAACCCGAAATATTCACTACCGGCAGTCATCGCAGTGTATAGACGTTGCCGCAGGGTCTCGTAGCTTTCGTACTCGGGCAGATCGAGTTCTGCAGCCTGGCATTAGCATGTGACACACCTATTGGTCAAATGTGTATGGTATACTTACGGTTGAAACAAGTGTGAGAACTTGGCAGGCGATCCTTGTTGCCGTAATCTCGGTGGATATTGAATCGACTAACACCATTCATACCCTCGAGTTCCTTGAAACCATTCAATGGTACCTTGCTCGTTCCTGTGACGAACTGTAATAGCTTGGCACGTTCTTCTTTGTCGAAGGAGCGGACAGCACGCCAGAACCATTGAATCTGGGGCGATGAGGCTGAGTAATTATGGTACTCAGTGTGAACCTTCCAGTCGTCGACATCGATTTCAGGCAGACCCGAGATCAGCAACTCGAGCTCCTGCTCATTGAAGATCGAAATAAGATCGGCAGGGATAATCTCATGGAAACCCTTCAAGAAGTTGTCCAATTGCTCTTTGACAGACCCAATCAAGCGATAATCGACTACACGCTGCACGTATTCCTCTTTGTTCTCCTCAGTGACCGGGATGTTTCTACCATTCTCAATAAGGTCGATCACCTGCTTTTCACCGAAGTCATCCGTTTCCACAGCAAACGTCTCAGTGATAATGTCCGTGATATCATTTTCGAGCATCCAAAGAAGAGACTTGTAATAGTCCAAATCCAGAGTCTCCATATCCTTGATGGACACTGAGCGGCTGAGGATGCATTTGTAGACGGCGCGACTGAAGTGGCAGTCAAGGACGCGGCCTTCATACAAAGCCTTGCCGATGATGCGTCCAATGAATTTGAAGAACATTAGGTGCTCAGAGTTGACACCAGAAAGACGATTAGGATGGAAAGTGGTCCGATCCGAAGCAACAGGGATGAACAAAGCGTAGTTAGGATTGAACATGCCGCGCGCGAGAACTTGGAACCATTCTCGAGTCACACCACCTGCATCAACACCTTCCTCGCCATGGAAGCGCACATTCAACTTTCCAAATTTGAGCTCGTCCGCTGTCTTAAAATACAAAGACTTGAACGAGTCGAGGAAGACTTGATCACGCCGGACAGATAGCTGAAGAGGAGGATGGGGATGGCGAGGCTCCGCACCACGGGAGTGCAAGCGACGAGTGAAATAGTTGCGCTTGTTGTCAAACTCGAGTACCTTAGGGTTCTTGACTAGAAGCGAAAATGTGCCACTCATCAGTCGCGGATTCTGCCGGACAAGTTCATTCAGAATCTTGCGATGCTCTTCGGTAAATTTGAAGAAAAGACTCTCCATGTTGACACCATTGTCAACTGAAGTGCTCGCTACCGAAAGTTCACGGCTGGTTCGCGAGACGGATGTATCTTTCAGCGTGGTGTTTTTGCAAACCACCATCAAAGCTTCGATCAAAGGAAGAAGAATAGTCGCCACGTTCAGCATGTTTTCTTTCTGTCGGATGACGGTCAAGCATTCGCTTAATCTAGTCCATAAAGGTCCAAATGTAGCGCATTCGTACAAGGTTTGCATGACATCCTCTTTGGCAGCATTGTTTTCAGGCTCGCTGCCCTTGACCTTGTCTGCGCGATTGGGATCGAAAAGATAATCAAGCGCTGTCAAAACACGCAGCAACTTGGCCTGATCGGAGCTAGCTGGGGAGAATTTGGCCAATGCCAAGCCCTGCATGTCGGTACCATCTCGGGCTTGGTGAATGTGCGACAGGAGTTCGTCCAGATCTGTGAGAATGACTGTACTCAGAGTCTGAGCCTGCCTGACCAGCTCGTTCCCAATGATATCTCTTGCTCCCGGGACAGCAGACAGATTGTTGATGGTAGAAAGCGTATCTCTAAATGTCTTGCCATTGCATTCGCGAGCTGCAAGAATATGAACCACCAACTGTAGATTGTGATCGGGCACAACCGGTGGCTCGTAAATCTTCTTCTTGTGCTTCTCTTCCTCGGCCAAGCTCTTTGCCTTGTCATCTGTGGCACTACCCGCATCTTCTTCAGCCTGTACCGATGCCTGCGTCGTCTCAATAGTCGGAACTGGAGCATCAATCATCGTAGCATCTGCAGTAGAGCCTGGATGTTCCGTGGTAGCGCTATGCTGTTGCTCGCTAGTGCTTTGCTCAATCTGCGGTTGCTCGGATTTCTTGCCTCTGCTCTCTTCCTCTTGTCTCTCCTTTTCACGTCGAAGAAGATAAGTCAGAGGTTGAGTGATGCTGCTCAATAGACTGGACAATTGTTCCATGCAATTGGGATTCTCCATGATAAGTTTGCGGTCGAGCAGAGACAGCAGTGCGTTGAGCGCAAACTTGTTAGCCTTATTCTCTTTTCCCTTGCCTTTGCGGAACGCCTTAAGCTTGAGAGAAGACGATGAGTCGTGCTCCGTGAGAAAGAAATACGAGATATGGGGATTGTATTGAGACAAGAATGACAGGGTCCCCAAGCATTGCTGCACCACCATAGTGGGTGTGACCTCGTTGCTGACATTTGAAGAGGTCTGAAGCGACAGATTGCGCTTAACAGATTGAGGCGTCTTCTGAACAGATGCTGGCTTGGCACGGAGTGAGAGCTGAGCGAAGCTGCGTTCGATGGCAGAAACATCCCCACTTCCATCTTGCAAGACAGAGAGTAGGAGACTGATGACTTCAACCCTATTCTGACGATTCTCACATACGTTGTGGAGAATGTCATTCAACTGATGACGGGCATTACCTTGTAAAGGCATGAACATGAGGCGCAGCAATGTAGCCACGCCAGGTTTGTCAAGCATCTGGACAATCTGACGCCGTTGCGGCTTCTTTGGCTCTTGGTCATCAGCTGGTTCATTCCTATTGCGGTGTTCGACTCTGGCAATGTCTTCAAATTGCTCCAAGCGTCTGCCAGGCAAAGCACGAGCTTCAGCTACGTACTCCGGTCCCAAGGTCGCAAGGACTTCGTCGGGTTGGTCAGCAAGAATAGCTTGTCGCAAGGAGGGGTTGAGGGTGGCGAAGAAATCGGGTACATCCATCTCTCCGGCGTGAACCTGGGCGCCTTCCGTGGTAGCTCGCCTGCGTGTATTGTCACGTTCCCGGCGGCGACGATCAGCTGCTTCTTGCTGTAGCAGTTCATCTCGAATCTCCGGCGGCAAGGCTTCCAAGAATTCTTGGTTGATTTCAGTAGGCTCCTCGCCAGCAGCCGCAGCTTGGGAACGCTGCTCTGCGAGCTGCTGCATGATCACTTCCTCCCTTAGTTCTTCGGGTAGGGCTTCGAGATACTCAGGGTCAATCTCCATTCCAGTGATATCGACTTGACGTCCTCTGATTGTTGTGTGCACGCGGCGAGCAGGCTCCGCTGATCTTGTATCGCCTTGGACTGAATCGGTAGTCTGCACGACCGTATCGGTTTGCTGCACATCATCCATTGGCTCCGTGTCAACGCCGGCAGCACGTCGCTCTGCTTCCTGACGTTCGAGCTCTTGTTGTCTCCTGACATTCTCTTCTTCTTCCTTTTGCTTGCGCTCCTTTTCCTCCTCCTCTCGAGCGAGACGCTCCTGGCGTTCATGCTCTGCACGCTCCTCTTCCTTCCGTTTGCGTTCCTCCTCCGCCTGTTTCTCAAGTCTCTTTCCTTCCTCAATAGCAGGGGGCACCAAGATCTTCAACAAGGAATTGATTACCCGCTGGGTTTTCTCAACATAATTGTTGCTAAACAGGATCCGGGCCTCCTCTTGCCATCTGGTTTTGGTTGTTGCCAGAGCAAAGCTCACAGCCTGTGAAGGATCATCTCTTGACCGGGAGGGTGTGGCCTGTTGTCTACCAAGCCCAAAAATGTCTTGAATACGGTTGGGAAGAATAGCCCGTCTGTCGACATGGACGTGGATGCCATCGGGGCGAGTGACAACGCCGAACCCTGGAGCCCCTTGGTTTCCGATAGCTTGCATGATCGCGTTCATAAAACTCACAGGACTGTCCATGGGGAGAAGACGGCCCGTTGAAACAGGCTCCATGCCATGAACCCAGTCAGTGAATGCCTCGTTCCCGGGTCCACGAGGTTGGCCAACAGCTTCAGAGCCGCGGTCAGTACGAACAAGCAGAGGATTTGTCCCATCGTCAGCCCCACCTCGTGGAGCAATTTGGGTTCGATGAAGTCTATACGGAGGGATAGGGACGATATTATGACGACTTGGCATGATTCCTGTGACAGCGGCCCAGGCTGGTTGAGTACCACGGAATCGGTGATGGTGATGTCCACGGGGTGCCTGATCGTCGCCATCCCATCCCCATGGGTCAATGAGATCTTCCTCATCATCGAAACCCTGGTAAGAACCCTGATCGTCATCGGCGTCCTCGAGCTCCTCCTCCAGCTCATCGATTTCTTCATCTTCTGCGGTAAAATGAGCACGTTGTCCGAGATCGCACTAAAAGCAATACCATAGGAGGGGTTACTAACCTTCATCCTCTGCCAAGTCGTCATCGACCAGATCGTCATGCATGTCGTCGAGGGCATCAGCCTGAAGTCCCTCAACGCCACCAGCAGCTTCATTAAGGACTCGGAACAAGTCATCGAACCGCTGCCCATCGCCACGTTGATCTGCTTGTCGGATGTCGTCGAGCTCGTCTTCGAATTGATTCATGATCTCAGCTTCCTCATCATCTTCAGACATATCTTCGCTTTCCCATTCGTCTTCATCCCCTTCGTCCAAACTGTCGTTGTCATGGTCACCGGTGATTTCACCGGCAAGAATATCGTCATCATCCATTTCAGAGACGTCATCGTCCTCATCATCTTCATCGTCGTCCTCATCGTCCTCATCGTCATCTTCATCGAGGACGACTTCAATGTCCATGCCATTGTCCCCAGGAAGACCTTCAATAGGCCCCATGCCCTCAATCTCATCCTCATCACTCACAACCTCCCCATCGTCTTCTGGTAGCTCCTCGTCATAGTCCATCTCTTCATCGTATTCATCGTCGTACATCTCATCATCTTCTTCCTCAGACTCTTCAGAGCTCGTCTCCTCCTCATGACGAGGCTCCAACATTCCTAATGTAGAATGGCGGAACAGGTCAGGAGTCTCTTCACGGTCGTCCTCCATATCCGAAACCGATGTGGCCGAGGAGATCTCGTCGTCCTCGGTCTCACCTAAGGTAGACAAATCTGAATTCTCACTCAAAATGAGGGCCGTCTGAGTCAGCTTATTGATGGGCCGAAGGATATACTTAATGACCCGTTTAGAAGCCGGGAAATTGAGATCGATCTCGGCCACCGAGGCAGTAAGGGCAGAAAGGAAGTGTTTCTCGAACATGGTCTTTCCTAGCTGCGAAGCAGACGCTGGAAAAGACGAGTCATTCGAGCCGTATGTGTACCCACTGAGCATCTTGTCGAAAAGATCCGCCAGAGACATCAGCCTGGCATACTTGGCATCCAGAGGCTCACTCGAGGAATTCGCCTCCTTGTAACATCTTAGAGCATGTTCTAGAACGAACCGTCGTACAAAAACGAGTTCAGGCTCATCGTCTTCGTTGTAGTTGGGCTCATTGCGACGCCTAGGGGGCCCACCAATCTCACCAGTTTTCGCGCAAAGAGCGACGAGCACACGCATAGTCCAAGCAGATGTGTTACTGCGCTTCTTGAACGCAACAGACTCATCGTGCTCCATGGTTCCGACAGGCACAAGGACGTTCAGCAGGTAGTTCAGGATTCCGGAGCGAGGCTTTGAAGGGGTGGTTGCGAGAGGGTCCGCTTTGCGTGAGAAATTGATAAACTCGACCTTGGTTCTATTGTATGACGACAAAAGCTCTGTGAGACATTGCAGTAGGAAGCAGCGATAGATGTAGATCGGGTGATCATCAGCCTTGAACGCAGGTTTGTCAGATTTCTTAGAGCTTCGTGGGCCTTGTGCATCATTACTAGTGACCGATGGCAGTGGTTCGTCAACGGACATATCGACATCAGTTTGAGTCTCTGACTGATCGAGAGCGGCTGGGTCTGCGGGTTCGACAGGGGGTTCTTTGTCATCAACATCCTTGTAAGACAAAAGCTCAGAGAGAAGATAGTGTATAACGCCATCCGGGTTTTCTACCACGGGTGGCTTGAGTTCAGCTATACCCTTTGGTTTCTCTTTGCCCTCAACAGTTGACAAGTCAAGAGACCGAGCTTCACCGTTGCTCGACTTGTCATTTCCTTGCTTAGCTGTGGAGGAGCTTTGTGAGGTTTTATTCTTATCGGATTTCAGGACTAGGACCTGGGGACGTTGTCGATTATCAAACCTCTGCAGCTTGAGCTTATCGTTCGTAACCTCCACGAATATCTCAGGCGATCTCAACACAAGATGGTACATTTGACGTACATAGCCGGTGGTGTCAATTTGGCGAGTAGACTTGCTTTCGAAGTTGGCAACAATCTCACTTCTCATGATCTGACGAATCGTGTCCTCATCTTCAACAATATGTCTCAGGATCAACATGAAAGCTGCCTGCAGCTTGTCATTTGTGGCACTAGACAACTGTTTGACCATAACAAACAGACGCTGTAGGCTGCGCTTTTCACCTAGGCGAGTAGCAATTTCGCGGTTGCGCGTGAGAATCGCGAGGATCCGACAGATTGAAAGAGCCAGAGTATCATCTTTTCCAACCCTAGGCAGGACTTCGACTAGTGCCTCGAACAACTGCATCTTCTGCTCAGGTGCAACAAGCGGTTCCTCCAATTGAGCCGGCTCTTCATCGTCTGCATTTGCATCATTGCCAGGTGGGGCCCAGCGGATCTGAGGCGGTTGGGCATCATCTGAAAGCAATTTTTCCAAGACAAGCAACACATGTCCAATCCAGGGAAACGATTCATCCGTGGTCTTCTCCGGAGTCACTTGGATAAACCCAAGGAAGGTCGAAAAGCATTCTTTAAGCTCTGCTAGCGCAGCAGTGTACATTTCCCGGTCTTGCACAACTAGAGCGAGAAAATGGGCATACGCAGCCACCTTCTTACCAGCTGCCTGGAAATTCTCCATTTGTAGTGAGACGAGCGACTGGACCAGGATCTCGCCAACTTCTTTGCGGAAACTTTCGGGATCGCGGTGTTTTCGCGTAGCAGAAGCGATGAGATCAGCCAATTCAAAAGACACATCATGGTGCTCGTTCAAGACGTCCAAACAACGTTCGATCAGATTTGAGCGTACCTTCTCTCGTTCTTTATCCAGCTCTTCAATTGTGATCACTTCGCGACGCTTTGTCGGTTGTTCTGAATGTGGTTCAGATGACTGATTGGCAGCTTGATTCAAGGGTCCAGAAAGAATGCCTTGGGAAGCCGAAGTGTTGCGTGGGATTGTGCTAGATGATTGGCCCCGCGCATCGTCCCCTGCTCCGTGTTCATCGTTGAGAATATGGGTTAGTGCTCTGGCCAGGATATCCGTCCCTTCGCTCTCATCGTTTCTGCCTCGAGTCTGCTCTGGACGTGAGCCGTCTCCAGTGGGTCGACCCGTAGCCCGGGACAAAAGCAGGGACAAGGTATTCTCAAGGGGAGCGCTGCTGAACGGATCACCCGCAGCGTCTTCGGCTGGATCACCGCCAAGGGATGTGAAGGAACGGATAGATTCAATATCGTCCGGGGGCGGCGGTGCTCTCGCCGGGGCCCGCAACCAGGTTTGCGCTCTGCAGTACTCTTCGGCAGTACCGTTATTGTAGCATCGGTACATCGCTTCCTTCAGAAGATCACTATCGAAGCCCTTCTCCAGATGGACATTGAAGCGATCCTTGTTTATGACAAATGCTCGTCGTGTTACATCTACCAAGGCAGGAGGTGTATCAGACTGCCGAGCAGCTCCAGATTCATGGTCTCCATCGAGTGAAGAGCGCAAGATGTCGATAAGACACTTGACCACAGAACTAGACGATTGAGTTGCGAAGTCTGAATTCCACATCTCGCGGGCCATCGGCAGGATTTCCATCCGGAGGTCGACCAGGAACTGAGCAGGTTGGAAGTAATCCGGTCGGTCCCGGTCCCGATCACCACTTGTTGTCATCGACTGTGTCTGGCTTGACTCCATTATGTTCTTGCCCGAGGCGAGCTCCGAGAAAAAGCCGAGAATAATCTTGATGCCACCGTATGCGGAAGTAATTCTCGCAGAGACATCTGGTTCAGACTCTGGAACGTTCTCTGGTGGCGTGAGGGCCTTTACCTCCTGTACAAAAAGGTCACAGATATCCTTCATCACTTTCAAGCCATGAAGTCTCTTGAACGCAAACAGTACCATTGTCAAATAGTGTGCGTGTGGACGATCTGGTGTGACTATAAAACGCAGAATTAGTTAGTTGTAAGGTAACGGTGAAACGCGCTGAAAGGACATAAGTACTCACCTTCGAAAAGCAAATGTGAGAAAGCAGATAAAATGACGATGAGGTAGGCAAAACGTAGTTTTGAGCTTTGACTTGATCTTGGAGGCTGGAATTGCAACTGCCCCAGCACAGCCTGCGCGATCTCTTCAGCCACCAAGGTTGCATTTTGTTTCTGATAAGGTTCATATCTCTTCTTTCCGCTCAAACCAAGACCCAGATTGTGGAAGAATCCCGTGATAGATGAAGGCAATGAACTCAGCAGGTATCGAAGAGCTCTTGCGTTCTTGAAAGCCATCTCATTTTCAGGTACCTTGGGTAGATTCGACTTCTCTTGTGTGGCACTTGCTTGAGCGGCATTACTAGCTGCTGAACTCTCGCGTTGAGCTTCCCCGCTATGGTCAGGAACACCAGCTTCAAGGATCGGCTGCACCTGGGTATCAACAGGCTTTTCGGGAGTAGCACCGGACTGCTGCACTTTCGTTGCCTGATCCCAGGTATCAGGTATGTTCTTCTCAAGCGAAATCTCCTCCCAGACACAAGCCGCATGCAAGCCTCCCAACTTCTTTACAAGCGAGCAGTAATGGTCAGCCAGATTCACTTGAACGAATATGGGAAGCTGTAGGCTTGGTCGAGACTGATAGAGGGGCATAGAGAAAATCTCGCGCAAGAAATCCGTCAAGACAAGTACGGCTCCCATATGCTTTGCAAGATAAGTTCCACTTGTCATGGCAGAAGGAAGCATCTCTTTTACTTTCTCCTCCGACTCAGACTGGGACGACTGCTTGATCAAGGGACCAAAGAAACCATTTTGTAGATCGTCAGGTTTCTGCCAGAATTCAGAGAGCATATCGACGGCTCGCTCAGTCCGCTGCAGAAGAGACGGCACGATCACATGAGGTTTAGTTTCTGCTAACATGTGCACTAGGACGGCAAGCTCTTGATTCGCTTCCGTGTTATGGAAATCAAAAGGAAGGCTCTGCAGAGTCGCAAAGTCGAGAATGAACTCAGCGGCACCGGACTCGATGAAATACGTGCAGTTGGCCTGGTTCTCAAAGAAGGCCCCCAAGAACCGAACAACAGGGTAGAGATAGTCTGTAGCCGTGAGACCTGTGTCATCTACATCCTTGGGCTCAATTTCATTCTCCGGAGAGGGCAGGATTTCACTCAGATCACCTATTTGTAGCTTTCCGCCGTTTGGGAGCGAGTCAGAGTTCAAGAACGGAACCCCAAGTGACGTCTGAGAGCCAGAAGAATCCTGGCTCTCAACTCCGATGGCATTGAACAAATGAGAAGTCGAGCCCGCAAGAATTGGTTTGCCCGACTTATCTTCTGTCCATAGTTTCGCTCCCAAACCATGCGACCAAGCTTTGCTTTTGCATAACAGCCCAACACGCGCGACCATGACAATGACCGCTGTCATGACATGGGCTTTCAACGCGGGATGGTGTCGCACGAGTTCGTCGAAGGTGGTACCCAGGGAGCGCACCAGATTAGGATCGTCTTTCAAGCACCTTACATGCTCCGGGTTCTCAAAGATCTCAAAGAAACTTTCTAAGGCGTGAGAAGACTGGAACAAGTCCAATCCTGATGAATTAAGGCAGATGGCTCCGAATGCCGAAGGTACACATGAAAGAGCTTCTGCAGCCGACATAATCCCAGGAGCCAGCCGTGCATTTTTCGATCGTGCAACCCTATAGACGCGAGGAGCTTTATCCTTATTCGCGGTGGATTCAGAGTTTCCCATGCTTGGCGTCGTTGATGGTCCCATATCTGTGGGAACATCCTCCGCCTCGGCTGCTGGTTTTTCAGAAACCTTCAGCTCGGAGAAGGTGACAGCTTCCAGCAGACTTTTACTGAGTCCAGCCTCCGCAATGACTGCATAGCTGGTGGGCTCGTTATGAATGAAGCTGCTTAGTATATTGACTGCATTACTCCAGACATGAGAGCCGAACACGCGAGCATTCTCGAGCACAAGCCGCAAGGATGTCAGCAACTGAGGCGAGTCGATCAGATTCCGGAGGACACGATCGAAGCCACCGCCATTGTGCTGCATAATATGGTTGACGAACCGAAACATCCAGCGAAGGGTTTGCTGCTGGAAATAAGGGATCTGATAATCGATAGAAGGTGTCTTGTGTTGTGAAGGAAGGCCTGCTCCTCGTTTTACATGCTCGAATGAAGATTTGGTTTCATGATCGATCAAGTCTGAGATTGCATCGAATCCTTTGGAACTAGTAAGAGTACCAAGTGCATCACGAACTGCGTGGACGAACGTGTCCAAAAATTCCATTACTCGGGAGTATACTCGACGAGCCTTCTCGGTTCGTAGCTTCAAGACATCCACGAACATTGGTATGAGTCCGGCGGAAACAAGGGTCTCTGGAGTCCTAGTGCTTGAGCCGGGCAGAGTCCGCAGCAAGGCAAGCAAAGCATCGCGCCATTCATCCTGATTACCGTCATCTTGTTCGCCATCCTCGGACCCAAGCTCATTGACTACCTTTCGGGTGAGGAACATCAAGACACCATGGTTCACGTTCACACTTAAGGCGGCACAGACATCGATGGCACGAGCCTTGTGTTTCGCAAGAGCGTCGAGAGCCTGAAGGGCCAGTGTCTGCACAGTCCGCGAGACCTGGAGATCGCCACTCGCACCAAGATGAACAAGTTCGGCCAGTTGAAAAGCGAGCTGGAGGCGCTTGGGTTGTTCCATATCATACTGAAGTATCTTTTGTTGGAAGAGCGGCTCAGGGTAAACGTATGCCAGATTGGTGAGAGCAAGGATTCGGATAGCCAGAACCTGCTCCCTACTTTCCCGGGACGCTGCCAAACCCTGCGCAGTGCGGATCCTGTGCAGGAGTTCATACTTAGAATCATCTGGAACTTCTCCAATATGTGCGGCGACAAGATCTTCGGCCTTGATCGATGAGATCTTCGAGTATGGGATTTCCAAGGTCGTCCCGCCTCGTAATCCTTCGTCCGACTTTGCGAGGGGCGTGGCAATCACGGAACTAGGTGAGTCTTCCGTTGTGGATAGGCGACTTAAACGCGGAGTTGGATGGGTATGACTTCTGCGCAGAGGTGTTGGAGTAGTAGGGGGCTGTACCGAAGGGCCGTTATTACCAGCATCAAATAGCGCCTTTGCTGAATCCGATGTTCCGGGTGGGTAATACAGCAAACGAACGTGTCCCCACTCATCCCAGCTATCGTTCTCTCGAGTCAAGGTGATGAGATCGTTAGCGTTGTGTTTGGTCAGAGGCTCCTTCACCTTTAGACCAGCAACAGGCGACACACCAGTCCTGTTGTTTGAGCCGAGAGGGCGAGGGAACGGCGCGGCGATTTTTTGCAGTTTCTCCAAGTCAATGTTGTAGTGGGCTGCTAGTAAGCTCTGCTGGAGATGAGAGCCACCCCGATGGCGTGAGTGATACCTTTGTGCCAGGCAAAGTGACAGACGTAAACTTGACTGGAGGAGCGAAGGCGACGTCGTGTTGAGTAGGTCACCAAGACGTTCACTGCTTCCATACAGACTGCGGTTACCGCACTTTTCCAGCAAAAGGCGAGAAAAGTCGATGATCACCTCCAGCAACTCCCTGTCTCCTTCGGGGCCGTACTGTAAAGCCTCAAGCCGGGCATTGACATCCTCTGGAGCTTCGGAATTGTCATCGGTAGTATAACATTTCGCCAAGAAATCTCTGCTGAAGGATCTGGTTTGCGGGCCTTGGTTCAGGGCATAGGTTTCAATCACGGATGCAAGAATCTCATCGAATCGGTTGAGAACGTTGATCCAATGGTACAGGTCGCCTCTGGGGAAGGGCCATAGGCGAGAGAAGCTGTTAAGATGTGAAGGGAGCTCGGGGACCGAGATAGTCGTAGCACGATTGATGAATTCCGCTAGGTATGGCGACTAAATGCCCCGAAAGCGATAAACATGTTAGTTAGTCTTCACATCAACAAATATGGCACGCGGGGTTGAGAGATGAAGGGACTTACGATCGTGGCTTCATGTTTTTGGCTGGCGACCTTTTTAATTCTCCCCATGATTATGGTTGTGAGGACATGCGGTCATTAGGAGTTGCAAAGCACTCGAAGGGAATTTCCCTCGAGAGGGTGAGAATGAGGGGTGGTCGTGGAGACCGGGTCGCGGACTAAGTCGCGAGAAGGCCTTATGACGTTTTTTTCCGGCTCTCCTCTGCCTCCAAGCAAACGAAAGAGTGAAGCGGTCAGGGAACCAACCCACCGTGTTGGTCGCAAGTCAGTAGAAGGCGGAGAACTCAGCCAGATCGAAGAGGTTTGGAACAGGGAGCGAAGTGTGAGTAGATAGATTGAAGATTGAGAGGAGCGGCCTTGTGACGGTACCGCTGGCGATGATCAAGAATGACAGGGAACGGTGCAGGTCGTTGCCCTGAAATTTTGATCTCGATATGGAGGATTTAGACGGGAGGAAGAGTGGGAGGGGAAAAAAAAAATTGAAACTCACACCTTGACGGAAGGATGAGAGATATGAATGATTTGTGGATGGGAGGGGTGGGTGGGGAGAGAAATGGGAGAGATGAAGCGAAGGAGGAAGAGGAGTGAAGAGGAGGAAGTAGTGAGCGTTGCTTGCAGCTGGAAGGTTCGTGAAATTAAGCCGATGAGGGAGGGGACTGGAACGGGAGCTTCTCTAGCGGGCGGCTCTCACACACACTCTCTTTCTCTGGGCAGTGTGTTCACTGTTAGGCTACTTACTACTTACTGTGTACTAGTAGTTACCTACCAGTCTAACACCAGCGTCCGGAGCGGGTCTTCTTCTTTCCCCGCCGCCAACGCTATGGCACTAGTTATGGCATCAGGGCCTAAGGCCTTCCTACAGGTGTGGTACAGTGAATAGGGCATCACTTTTGACAGGAACCTATTTCAATAGACCCATTTATCCCACATGGTGGTACCCACTTCTCTTGTGACTGTATGATATCTATTTTGGCGCATGATCATACTTCCTGCCTTTAAATGACACTATTCACTGTTGTCTTCCAAGTTGGGGATATATATTGGGGATCCCTACTGGTAGTTGCTTCATGATGTGTGCCATACCCAATGCACATTCAATAGTAGAATATCCACGAAGTAAGTGCTTACACCCACTCACTACTCATGATAGCTGATCGAGTCAGAGTAAGCATAGAGCGATTGAAGCATGACCTGAAGCTTGCACCCTGTGTTCGCAAAAGTGGAATTACTTCTCAGCCGGAAATATGATACAATATCTGTCCGAGCTTCACTCGACACGAGACCGTTGGGGCTAGTCGGAACCAAGAAAACAAAGAAGAGAGATCATACATAAATAGGCTAACCAACATAATAGGATACACACTAATAGGCTAAGCAACATAAGAGAACACACACTAAAATCCTACCGCCAGCCCTGCCGACCCCTTAGTTCGTTGCAAGAGGCGGCAGCTCTCCATCCCACTGAATCTTCATAGTGGAGGGGAACGGCCAGAAACTACTCTGATCGGCAGTCATGTAGATGGTTATGCCCCCGTAGCTCGGAATCTTCTTCAGCTGGCCCTGAGGGCCAGGGGTACGTCGAAGGTTGTCCAAGCGTCCTACAACCTTCAACATCGTGGTAAGAGCCAGCTTACACAGACTCATTCCAAGACATTGGTGAGGTCCCCAACCAAAATGAGCATATGCGCTCATGTCACGGTCAAGCCTCACTGTTTCAGGCTCTGGAAAACAAACGGGATCCCTTGACGCGGCGACCTATGATACAATGTTAGCATACCCATATGAGAGTCGCATCTCGCGGCTTCACCAAGCCATTTGATTCACGTACCAAGTTGCAATATACCAACTGACCAGTCTTCAATGCCAGCTTCGTGCCAGCATCATCGATCACCGTAGGCTTTGCCACATAGCGAGGCAGAGCCACGGAAGAGCGCAAACGAGCGCCTTCCATGAAGCTATAGGCATATGTTAGTAATCATTTGAAAGATATAACGGTAATCAACAAGTCGGCAAGACTCACTATCTTAGCAGCAGATCATCAGCTTCGGGGGTGTCCTCCTTAGCAAGCCGATTAATTTCCGGTAGGTGAGCGGAGCCCTCATCGGACAGGTAGTAATCAAGACATTGCGAGAAGAGTTGAGCCTGGTTGGCAACCATTCCACCGGCGGTCGGCAAAATGTGAGTCCAGACGATTTCAGTCGGGGAAATCTGACTGGCGAGCAGACGCTGTATCATGTGCACACCATATTCGCTTAGAATGTCATGTCGATGCAGGCTGTGTACCAGATTCTGAATAAAACCGGTGTTCCTGACAAAGTCGACATTGGCCATTGTCAGCTCTCCGAGCTGCTGTGTTGCGCTCCGAGCGCCTTGGTTAAGCTCGAACGATTTCCCAACATCTGCGTCATAGAAGATTGAGGCAAATACGAGGGCCATTATCTCATAGAGTTCTTGTTCAGTGAAGATGCCCCGGGGGTTCGATTCGGTCTTGAGGGGCAGAGAAAACACATTCGCGCAGAAATGGACCTGCGCGAGGTTGGCGACGTCGCGAACGATGTCGACCTGGTTGACTCCAGCAATTTTATACGAATGCTGATGCAAAAGCTTCAGAGTAATGTTTTCGTAGAATCGTTTGGCTTCGCTCTCCCACTTGTCACGGTAGAGAGCTGCTCCCATCATTTTGCGGGATGCAGCGTTTGGAGGTTTGTCTCCCGACAGCATGAAGTCCCGGCCGTGAGGCTGATTGTTATGGCTCATCAGAAATTCAATCTTCTTACCCCAGATGACCTTGAAAGTGTCTTGATCGCTCAGAATAGCCGCGCAGGCGGCATTTGAGGAGATGAACTGCGGCGGCGGGCTGAGGCTGGGCCGATCCCAGCTATAGTCATCAAATCGGCCGAGATCCTTGAAAATCTTCTCGTTCTCGGATGGGACAACGAGAGGGAAATGAGCATAGACAGAGTTACCGGTGAAGGTATTGGGGAATGCACGTAAGACCAGTTTGTAGAAGACATGTCCTTGATCAACAGTATCCTGGTACTGAATCTCTTTATAGGCCCAGTTCGTAAGGTGTTTTGGTGTATAGTCAACCGTATAGAAACGATCACCGCGGACCAAGGCCACCGCATCGGAGAGAATAGCTCTCGAGATCGTGTAATTCGTGCATAAGCCACTTCCAGGAATCGTCGACTCCTTCGCGTCTTCGACAATGATACCTGGGTAGATTTCCACCAGGTCGGGGTGCTCGTACAGCCTCTTGAGCTGACCGGAGATGTGAGGGTCCGAGTTGATCTCCTCAAACGTCTTGTACGGAGTGAGGTTGAAGTACTTTCGGAATTCATTCAACGTGGCCAAATTCCAGGAACGGGCTTGCATGATGCCGAGAGTCTCAATGTTGCGGAAGACCGACGGGACATTGGATGCTCCAAAGGCGCCTGCACAGTCCTCCACACTGTCTGCGAATAGCTTGGCGAGTTCACCTTCGTCCAACGACCCATTCTCCTTTCGCTGCAGCCCAGCAAATGGGCGCTCTGAGGGTTCCTCTGGCAGTCTAGCTTCCCATTGACTAACTCCCTGCAGGAACTCTCTTAGAGAGATCTCTTCCGGGTCTTTTCCAGGGAAAAGTTCGCGATACATATCTTGCGTCCATTTCTCGTCTCGCTTGGAGATACAAGAATGCCAGCGATACACGAGATTGAACTCAGCGGAGACCTGGTTACCGGTGGCCTGCGCAGGTGCCTCGCCAAGAAGGCCATCTTGCATCTCTGCACGAGGGTCTAAACTCCAGGTACTGTCTGTTCGATTGATGTTTAGGATGGTGCGAACATAATCCTTCAAGATAATGTTGATGTACAAGCCGGAAGTCACTAGGCGAGCAGTCTGGAAGAGGTCGTTGTCGTATTTCGCGTATGCTTTGGCGTTCGACTCATCTGGCTTGGTGAACCGGCCACCCTCGTTGATGGTAGCCAAATTCTCGGCCACGTAATTATGGAACCGGTTGAACATGATCAGAAGGACACCAACACCGGGAGGGAAACCGAGGATACGTTTGCTAGAGAAGCAATCCGGCTTCAATCTTCCATCTTGAAAAGTCCTTACCTGATTTTGTTCGTCTTGATTGTTGCCGTACAGTGGTGAGAGATCAAGATAGGACGATGTCAAGCTCACGGTATAATCATTGCGGTCGGTTTGGAAAAGATCTCAAAACCTGTTAGTCGCACATTCGAAAGCATCGCCCCCTCCAGCCTTACCATGAATAATGATGGACGCAAGGTAGAACAAGATACTGGAGATCTTGTTCGGATGCTCCTTATATTCCTTTCTCTCTAAAAGAGACGCAAAAAGTGTCTCCGGCTCCGGAAGAGATGGGGACTGGACCGTCGTTGGGCGTACAGACCTAGCATAGTGAGAGCCAGCGGCGCCAATGTGAGGCCATAGGTAATTCTGAGAAGTCAGTCCAGATCTCTAAAGGACTAGAAGGGGGATGCATTACATTGCCTGAACCATCCGCTTGTCGATATACGTGCTCTGAACCTAGATAGCTGCGGATGAAGTCAGTTTCGCGATTCGTACAAAGGCTCCGTTCTTGTCGATTGACTTACGAGATTGGCGGGTGCTCCAGATCATTCCAGAGTTGTTTGAGGAAGGTGTTCGTCAATGTTTTTGCATTTCGTGAGGTTGAAGGTAGGCCGGAAGCGAGCTGATCAAGGGTTAGGGGGTTTCAAACAAGACGTAGACATACCACTGACCTGGATCACCCGCTCCATAATATAGTGTCTGTCATTGAGCGGCTCGCCTGTTGCTGTATCCTTGACAATCTCCAAAATGGCCTTGATATTGTCGAGGTCGACATGGCTAAGGTCTTTGACTAAGCCTGTCTGCACTTGCTCTGTGACATACGTCCCGTCGCCCGTCGTAGTGGGCAATGGCCGTAGAGACGCTGAAATAACCTTCTCGACCTGGGATATTCTGCTCCCAACGCCATTCAAAAGGGAATTATCCTGCTTGGTAGCCATGATGGGCTAGGGTCAAGCTTCTTACTATACAATGAAGGGATATTTCACACTGCGCCAGGTGTTAGTGATTGTTTCAAGATTCTCCGGCGGACGAATGCAGCAGGCAAAAACGAATGTGCCATTGCTTTGCTTCCTCATTCCAGTCGATCCGTTGGAGGCCAGTCCGGGCCCCCGGTGATCCGCACAAAAGTACGACCATAACGAACGCATGAATAGTTAGTTTGGCTCACCTAATGTGTTGAACACTGAAATCCGGGAAAGCCACCAAGCAATTGAGCCAAAGAATGTGGAGGTACTGCCAAATGCGGGGAGGAATAAGTCAGGCACGATAAACAGTGCACTAAGCTAAATGTGTGCACAGGCTTTGAAAGCTAATAGAATATCTGTGCGTGGCAGCGTGAACATCAGCAAGCAAATGCGATCGGCAAGAGAAGGGGAATGCCATGCTCCTTTATAGTATTGGAGCATTATCAGCATGGTGGCTGTGAAGAGACAAGAGGGAGTCGGCGACCCCGATACGAGCGAATAAGAAATTACGGCATGAGAGGCATTGGCATCTTGTCTAGGCGAAGAATGCCCCGTAAAAAGTGCTAGACCGGCGAGGTTCTGCTTCGTATGTATGAGACAAGGACAAATGAGCATTATTGATCCAGCTGAAATTTCCGCCACACTGAGCTGACAGACTGAATCGGCTGTGATCGGACGTGCCTTAGCGGACATCGAAGGTACAGTAAAAGGCGCTATGGCCTAGACGGGAGGGGACCGGTAAAGCCCGAAGGGGGGCCCCCCATCTTAGGGAGGCGATGCAAGCGTGGAGAGCTCCTCGTAAATATCAGTTTCTAGACAGGGTTGAGTTTTTCTCAACTTGGGGTGACCCGGAGGGAAGTTCGAATTGTGCAGCTAGAGCTGTCGACTCGTTTCATGCCGGTGGCCCAGGCAGGCGATTCTAGGTTGATCCTCTCCATGGAAAGACCGCCTTCCAGGATCGAGGGCCACGCATTGATTTGTTTGTGGGCAGTACGTATTCGGGGAACGCAGTTGGGTTTTGGTTCAAACCTCTGGGATCCCGGGTCGCATTGCGGCGCGCACACAATATACCTACTCAGTTTTGTTTGCTTCAATTAGTGCTGATGGTTGTTATCAATGGAAGCATTGTCATTTGAGGGATGGTATTGAGAATACTGGGGAACGCCTGACACTAAAATGGTCGCTAAGGCGTGCTAGTAAACAGTCGATGAGAGACGAAAGGCTGGCTGACAGGCCGACACTAGAGCGACACTATTTGATTTTCGGGACGCTAAGGCTTGACACAAGATTAGCCTAAAGATTAGTTGTATCTGTCAACGACTTCCTCTCAGCTGGATATCCAGAGCGAGACACCATGTATGGTAGGAAATACGGTCTCGTAGATAGTCTAGACTCTTGTTTGATTCTCTGCCGCGTTAGTAGGTAGTTTTAACTTATCACATGGCCCCCAGAAAACATGGTGCCATCCTTCCTTCAGCCTTGCACTTGTTATCGCTTTATCCCTCAGGCATTGTAGAAAAGCAAATACGAGTCAAGGTTCCATCCGGACTCCGACCCGCAAAAATCCTTCGAGCTTCAGCTGAAGGATGGTGGGCCGCAAAATGATTAGTTAGTTAGTTAGCCCAATGAATGCGATGTAACTACTTACTTCATAATGCAGACTGGATTAATGCACTTTGTTATGCGGCTGAGGGCGGTCTGCCACGTGATGGTTCCCGAAGTGCGGAAAGCCGAGGCTCCTCCAGACTTAGCCTTGTACGGTAAGCGCAGTCAACTAGGTAGTTAAGGTAGTAAAGGTAGGTATCCCGTACGTGTTAGTGTATTCTTCCTCAACCACACTACCGACCTATCTTCACCCGGTCCAGCAACCCCCCTCAAAAAGACTTCGTCAGCTCATTCATCGTCATTGGCTGTTCACTCATTGTTTTCCAGCAGACTGGTGCATCTGACAAAAGACTTGCTTGTCTCTCAGCTCATTGCAATGGCAATTACATTAGTTGTTGAGCCGCGGGGTATGTTTTCTCCCAACCGATCTTATCCATCCTTGCACAGTTATCAGACTAACTCCCCTTTGTTCCTCCAGGGAAACCCATCAAAAAGCTCCCCAAGGAGCTTCAGGTGGCCTCCGATGCCTCGACTGAGGATTTGTACAAAGCGCTGGCGAAAGCCTCGAATTTTTCCATCCACCGTCTCCGCATCACCAAGGGAAGCGACCGCACGCTCGTTCCCAACTCCAAGGACTTGACTGTCGATGGCACCGGTCTCAAGGAAAGGAGCGTAGTTCACGTTAAGGACCTCGGTATGTCCATCGCTCACTTTGCATCAAATCCCCCGAAGCTGACCTCACATTCTCTCTTCCCCCAATTTGCAGGCCCTCAGCTAGGATGGCGCACCGTCTATCTTATTGAATACCTGGGACCTCTCATCATCCCATACCTATTCCTGTATCCCCTGCGCCCTTTCATCTATTACAATTTCAAGCAGCCGCTCGCCGAGCCCTCGGACTTCCAGCGCCTTGTTTGCGCCCTCCTGACCGTCCATTTCATTAAGCGCGAGTATGAGACTATCTTCATCCACCGCTTCAGCAATGCCACGATGCCCGCGCGCAATATTCTCAAGAACAGCGGCCACTACTGGCTTCTAGCCGGGGCAAACATTGCCTACTGGGTCTTTCGCCCCGACAGCCCCGCTGTCGTCCGCAACCAAGACCCCTTCCTGTTGTACACAGGTCTGGCCCTCTTCATCTTCGGCGAGCTGGCGAACCTCAACGCCCACTGCATTCTGCGCGACCTGCGCCGGCCCGGCACCACCGAGCGCGGCATTCCCTCCGGCTTCGGCTTCAGCGTTGTCACCTGCCCTAACTACTTCTTTGAGATCGTCGCCTGGATCGGCATCTACCTGCTCAGCGGCCTCAGCTGGAGCGTCCTCCTGTTCATCGTCGTCGGGTCTGCCCAGATGGCCATTTGGGCTAAGAAGAAGGAGCGTCGCTACCGCAAGGAGTTCGGCGACAAGTACAAGCGCAAGCGTTTCGCTCTCTTCCCTGGCCTCGTTTAAAGTTGGTGTGACGGGGGAGCGGTCCAATCGAGAGGGGAAAACATGGCAGCACTTTGGTACCTTTCTCTCTCCAACAAAAACACGAGTTACAAGGGGCATAGTACGACCCCTTTCTTTATTTTTCCAACCTCGCATCTGCAAAGGAAATGTAAAACTCAACGAATGGATGAATTATGGCAACAGAGCCTGCACTTAGTGGCTGGGAGGTTTCCAATATCCTAGTATTCGTTATCGTCTGACACCTCTGTATGGCAGCTGTGCGTTGCATCTAGCTCAATGTCGCAATCGGTCAGGAGAATCCCCTGCGCGGATAGTATCTGAGAAAGTATTTTCAAATATAACCTATAATGATACACGCGCTCGCTCTATGTGTTGCATACTCAAACTCCTCAAAAACAGAAAACAAGAAACATAATTTCGTACTCCGGCCCCCAAACCACAGTCACACAACTCCGGAAATCAGCAAGTGGAAATAAAGAGCCAGCCCCCCAAATTTAATCACTCAGCCTTCAGTTTCGTCTGCCAAAGCCGATAGTAAGGCTCCATCTCTTTCTCACAGTTCCGCTTCGTATCGGTGTCACAGCCAAGGAATCGGATGACAAAATCGCCGTCCTTGTATATGCCGTTCGCTGCCGCCGCCGAACAATCCTTGCTGTAGGCATTGATGGTTTGCTGAGGCAGAAGCGCCAACCGGGCTAGGATGGTCGGATGCCATTGGACGATGTGATCCTAGAGAACGATCGGTTACTGTGAGTCCAACATATTGTGACACAGAAGGGAGAAAGAAAAGCCCAGAAAGAATTCCCCCAAGCAGACCCTGACCACAAAGGAGATCGAAAGAAAGGAGAAAAAAAAGGTAAAAGCCCTTACCAGCACATGTGTCTCCGCTTTCGCGAAGTTATAACTCCGATACAATGGATCAAACCACAAGTCCAGGAAAAACTTGGCGAAGTCGCCCTGCCGGAGTATGAAGCTCCCGGGGTTCATATCTTCGTTGTCGGTGGTGATGATCAAGTCGACGTCTTCCGGGTGAACATGCGAGAAGGTCTTGATGATGCTGTCGGGCGGCACCACGGAGACCTCCCTGAGCATCAATGATTCAAGCCGCTGCTTGTCCAGTACATGCGACCCCAGCGATTTACTCGGGTTCATGATCAGGGCGTGTGCGTCGAGGTGAAAGAAGTACTGCGAGTATGGGTGGGAGGTCATCGCGTGCCGCACGGCGGGGATAATGGCCCAGCTCTGCGGCGAGTCGCCGATCGACGACTCGTAGTCGGTCACATTGGCGAAAAAGTTGGTGTAGCCTGTTTGGAAGCAGCGCAAAGTTTGTCAGTGTCATAGTGGGACAAAGGTGATAGTAATGGGCTGCCTGATCCCTTTCCCCATGGCCACTAGTGCTCACCATGACGCTTCGCATAGTCTTCTCGATTCTTGACAATCTTCTCGATGTACTCATCGGTAAAACGCACTCGGTCCAGCACCGTGACAATGACAACGCCCGAGATGCTGGCGGACACTGCTGGAGTTCCAGTACTAGTGTAGAAGAATTGGGAGAGAAGGAAGAATATCGTAAGGAGCGCAACGGCTAGAATGGCGATGGCCTTGAGCTGTTTCCTGCGCTGTAGCGAGAATCGCGAGGATCGTCCGTACACAGGGGTGATAGGAACCCTCCGTGGAGGTAGTGCAAATTGCATGATGATAGAACCTGTCCCCAGCGATCGAACGAATGCTGGGCGACTTGAGGAGAAAGAGGTTTGTTGAGGGAGAGTCTGAATAGTTCGTATGTACAGTACTTCGATCGGAACGAAGCGTCACCGCATAGAACGGTAGTACCGCTTCCGGCCTTAAGCCGCGGGTCCTTGGTTGGTCCGAGACGTCGCAACATTCCCAACCACGAGAGGAGATTCCGAACATGTCCGTCCTGAGTATGAGTTATTATTAGGTAGTTTTTGAAAGACGAGTCAGGTTCAGTCGTTTGAAGGAGCCTTTATCCGCAGAGCGAAGCATTCCGCATGACTTTCGGCCAGTGTATAGATACGAGGTTGTAGTACGGAGTAATGTCGTACATCGACCATTCTGCTCTGCAGTTTATAAACAGCTCTTCGTCGCGTAAATCCGTTAAATATCAATGTTTCACGGCCAGCATTTTAATCCAGAATATCATTGGACAAGAGGATATGAAGTATAGATACACCAAACTAAAATCGAATCATGCAAGAAAATGAAAGCCAGCCTGACAGCCTGACAGCTCGACAGTTCTTCTTCTTTCATTGAGCAGTCAGCTACTTGGGAGCACTTCACTAACACTGTCTGCTCGAAACTGTCAACCATGATCGCAAAAAAAAAAGATATCATACAATAGACGCCCTCATCGCGCCGGTCTCAACTCGGAATGCCTCGAGCACATGCCCAAGCCTCCACATCCCATCTCCCGCTCTAGCTGCGTTGTTCCCGTTTCTTCAGTACTGTTTCTCGTTGAGCGTAGGCTTCGTCAGATCCCTGATATCTGTCAAATCCACCTGCTTCTGCGCCTTCCGCTCGGCCTCCTTCTCTGCCACAAACTCCTCGAAGGTTTGGGGTTCGGGAAGGCCCAGGAGCAGTCTTCGACGCCGGAATTGCGCCTGCATCTTGGGTGAGTTCATTAGACGCCACCGCAGCTCCCAGCCAAAGATCCCCAGCGCCTTTATCCGTGCCGTTCCGTTGCCCAGGAGGTAGTTATCGAGTCCACCACACAGCTCGATCGTTCTCAATGCCTTCTTTGTCACCTTGATGAACAGGAATTCCTCGAGACCCTCACTCCATAGCTTCTTGCGGCGCACGTTGGGCTTCCAGCATCGGCGGGTCTTGCCTTCGTTCTTGCCCTTGGAAATCTTGTTGCCGAATTGAATCATGGTGCCGTGGTACAAACCAGAGTTCGACTGTTTGAAGACATAGTTGGGCCCGTACGGGTATGGCGGACAGCCTTCCGGTAGTTTGTATGTCTTCTGTACGGGCAGTGTCGTGGAGAAGGAGCGCTTCGCGGTGTTGAGGGAGAGGTTGCGAAAAGCCGCAGAGATGGAGAAGGGGAGAGACATGACCGAGCGAGTCTGCAGGCCCGCCATCTTTAGTAGTTTTGTAATTATCGAACGAGGACAACTTCAGCTTTTGATCATAGCAAGAGTCCGGAGAATTGGACGCGGATATTCGGAGACGGAGAGGGAGAGCTCAGCCTACTGGTAATATAGAACAAGGCTTTGGATGCCCTCCAGTGGGAGTGGGAAAGAAAGAATTTGGGGTGTTGCGGCTGACCGCCTTGGTCTCGGGCCGCTCTGATTGACCGATCGGAATTTCCGCCCAGCAGCAAGCAAGCCAGTGCTCAGCATCCATACCAAGCCATCCGATTGAATCCCTCCAATTTCTTCTTTCCTCCATCTTCTTATTCTCTGTGCTTTAATCAGTCAGCTCTTTGCAGCTTTTACCGGAGTTTCTATAACCCCGACCTCAACTTTCCTACTCGCTTGTCTGTGGCCTTCCGAGTGAGCTCGCAATCCCTTCACCATGGTCCAGATTAGTGAAGTGAAGGGCAACTCGCGCGAGAACAGAACCGCAGCGCATACGCATATCAAGGGCCTCGGTCTCCGCCCAGATGGAACCGCAGAGGTGTCTGGTGATGGCTTCGTTGGACAAGCTGCTGCCCGTGAGGTATGCGACGCATATCCCTCTCCTAAAACTACGGTCTTCTATCTTGCAACGCAATGGCAACGTTACCTGACAAGAATACATTCTCATCCTACAGGCTTGCGGTGTTGTGGTTGACCTGATCAAGGCGAAGAAGATGGCTGGTCGCGCCGTGCTCTTGGCTGGTGGCCCTGGTACGGGCAAGACGGCTCTGGCTCTCGCCGTATCACAGGAACTGGGAACCAAGGTCCCATTCTGTCCCATTGTCGGCAGCGAGATCTACTCTGCCGAAGTCAAGAAGACAGAGGCGCTGATGGAGAACTTCCGAAGAGCAATTGGTAAATGGTCCCTTTCCTGCTGCCGCCGTTAACAGGTAATGGGAGCAACAAGTAAGCTTGCGCGCGGCTAACTTAAATTGTCAAAAGGTCTCCGTGTCCGCGAAACCAAGGAGGTATACGAAGGTGAAGTTACGGAGCTCACTCCCGAGGAAACTGAGAACCCACTGGGTGGATATGGACGGACGATCAGCCACCTCATCATCGGACTGAAGTCCGCTAAGGGCACCAAGAAGCTACGCCTGGATCCCAGCATTTACGAAGCAATCCAGAAGGAGCGTGTCACCGTGGGAGACGTCATTTACATCGAAGCCAATACCGGCGCTTGTAAGCGTGTGGGACGGTCCGATGCATATGCGACCGAGTTCGATCTGGAGGCGGAGGAGTACGTCCCGGTACCAAAGGGCGAGGTTCACAAGAAGAAGGAAATTGTTCAGGATGTGACGCTACACGATCTTGATATGGCCAATGCCCGGCCGCAAGGCGGACAGGATGTGATGAGCATGATGGGTCAGTTGATGAAGCCCAAGAAGACCGAGATCACGGACAAGTTGCGCCAGGAGATCAACAAGGTCGTCAATCGCTACATCGACCAAGGTGTTGCAGAGCTTGTCCCCGGTGTTCTCTTCATCGACGAGGTATGTCATCTTCTCGTAGCTCTTATCTGGAACATTGCATTTGGCTAAACATCGCGTTTTCCAGGTCCACATGCTCGACATCGAATGCTTCACGTACCTCAACCGGGCTCTCGAGTCCACCATCTCCCCGATCGTCATCCTCGCGTCCAACCGCGGTCATACTGTCATCCGCGGCACGGACGATATCTCGGCCGCTCACGGCATCCCTCCCGATCTCCTCGCTCGTCTTCTTATCATCCCTACGCACCCTTACACGCCTGACGAAATCAAGACTATCATCCGTCTGCGCGCGAAGACGGAAGGCATTACCGTCACCGACCCGGCTTTGGACAAGGTTGCGGAACACGGCAGCAAGGTCAGCTTGCGCTATGCTCTGCAGTTATTGACCCCTGCCAGCATTCTCGCCCGGGTCAATGGCCGGCCGGGTGGCATCGAAGAGGCCGACGTGGCCGAGGTCGAAGATCTCTTCATCGATGCCAAGCGAAGTGCTCTGATTGTCAGCCAGGACGACGAGAAGTTCCTGAAATAGATAATACAAACAAAGTGGTCCCTTGTTATAGGAGTTTAATGAATATCAGCTTTTCGAGATCCAGCACCGTGTTCCTCTTACTCGTTATGTGAATTTGCTAGGAGATAGGTCGACACAATCCATTTGCAAATCACAGAATAAAAGCTTGGCTGGCAACAGTTAATACCATACTGAACATTCTCAGGGAAGCAGTCGAGCGAATCTATGCCTGGTGAAGCTGTTTACTTGAACGCAGAAACAAACGAGGAGATCTATTCAATCTATTGATCATCCACATTGAACCGACTTGATAGATGTGAATGTGGCCCTTATACCTCCCTTGAGAGAAACCCATTCACGCGGGCTTCTCTGGCTTCTGACCGGGTATGTCTGTTGCAGCGGGCTATGACCCGCGAAACTGGCTCAGGTAGCAACAGCATGAGCAGTTTCAGAATGAGGATGCATAATTGAAGCAGGCGAAGTAGGGTTCGTATCATGTGAACCGAGAGGCCTATGCTTGGTGTGGACAAGTCCGCTGCGAGAGGTTCGGGGTGGTATCTGACTTGGAAAGGCACTTCCGCGTTCAGGTGCTCGGTCGCAATCCTTAAGCCTGTGGTGATGGCATCTTCCAAGTGTCCACGACCTGTCCAACAAAATCCGTAGCTCAGACCTCGCTTGTCCTGGATGATGGGGAGATCCCTTTGTGCCTGGAGTGTGCAGAATGTTGGGTCTAGGTCGGTGAATTCGCATACACTCTGAACGACGCTAGGGTGAGGTGGCATATACGGGTTCAGAGTGATGTAAATGGGACCGTAGATGAAAGGTGGAAGGCCATCCAAGGTATTGACATTAAAGCTAAGACTTGATCTCCTGGGCGTGAAAGCATCCAGTGAGTGCTCAGGCACGATGGACTCGAGCATATAGTTGTAGGCGGACGTGGGATGCTTGCTTTCGAGCAAAAGCTGGCCCAAGTGGTGAGCAGTGCTGCCCCAGCCGTCGCCTGCCACAGATTGAATAGACCTTAAACCTTCAGCCACGAGGGAATCTGAATGTAGAACGGATATGTTCTTCGTCGTTCCCAGACCTCCAATGATTTTCTTCTCCTGCGCGCTCGCATGCGTTCCCAGTATCCGCATTGTTTCCTCGCCGTCCACAGCGAAAATGATGCGATTGAAATCCATCTCTCGCCCATCTTCTGTAACCAGCCTGTAGATCCTTTTGTCATACCTAGTCACTTGCCGAATTCTGGCCTCCAAATGTACCTTCGAAAAATCGAGGTCACGAGACAGAGCTTCCACCAGGTGGTTCGCGCCTAGTTCTATACGCCGCCATCTCGGAACATTCTGCCGGGGCCGGAGCAGTTGGTAGTTATACAGACAGCGGATGGCGACTTGGACGGGTAGCCGTGGAAGGAGCTTGCCAGCGTTTGTACCCCATAGCACCGATAACATTGGAGCTAGGTATTTATCGCGAAAGCTAGCAGAGTATCCTGCTTCGGAAAGATATCTCTGAACTGAGAATCGCGACTCGATACTGTGGGCGCTGGCGGGCTGGATTTGGTAGCCCAGCACGTCGATGGCTAGGTACTTGAGCCATATGATGTCCGATAGTACGATATACGTCTCCTTGCTGCAAAGCATCCAAGGGCGACGAAGAACGCTGTGTAGGATACTGCCACACCACCAAGAGCTGCTGGCTCCGTCAGTTGTCCTGACGCTAAACCGGTGCTCAACGGTTGAGACTCCCAGAAACCGCAGCAATGAATCCAAGTTGGCTGGGCTGCAAATCAGTCTTGTACAAAAACCACCATAGGAGAACAAAACTAACGGGAAGCCTCAACATTAAAGATGGGCGATTCTGAATTCACTTTGACTTGGCTGCCATTGTGCTCGAAAGACAACGACTTGATACGCCCCCCAAGACCATTGGAAGCCTCAAAAAGATGCACGTCATGACCTGAGTTCTGTAAGGCCCAGAACGAGGTGATCCCCGTGCAACCGCCCCCTATGATGGCAACACGTTCTGACTGTGAGACTGACATGAGAGTAACGACGCTTGACAGTTACTTCGGCCATTGGCTTCTGAAATGGTTACAGGATTGATCGTGAGCTCTTCTGTTGATACCAACCAGTTCAACGATTGTGTCGTTTGTTTCAGACACGCGGATAATTGTTCCCTTGCCTACTGGAGACGGACAGCGAGAGCTTGCTGGGCTTGTAATATGTTGAATGGCTTGGGAGAACTCGTAACAGAAAGTCAAGGCGACCGGCTTATCAGCACAGGCACGGTCAGATCTTTTCTACCCTACTGTTGCTTCCGCTCTGCCCTCATGTGGCTTTCCGGTGTGATCACATCATATGACGAAGACAGAGGGGTAAGACTCAGCTTAATATGTAAATTCCTCAGCCGATCGAGTCATTCTCCTGAATGAAGCAGAAATAGATCTTCTAGATTAGACTAGAGTGAATAAAAGGCGTAGTTATGGCTTCTCTAAGCGAAAGTGTAGGCTATACTCAGTAGGTCGATCGAAGGAAGCGACCCTGGATGGCGGTCAAGACGCAGCTCCACCCAGCCAAGCCAACAACAGTAAGTAAAGCGGGGGTGGATAGAATGCGATCAACAATTTACAAAGAACTTCACTTCCTTTCGTTGCACGTTTATCGGCGTATGATCATCTCGTTCAGGATAGTAGACTTTGGCTTCTTGTCTATATCTGAGACACAGCAACATCTTCAAGAGCATCCAACTGGATTTAAGCGACCATGAATAAAGACAATGGAATCATAAGTGAGTAATTGATATAGACTTGGCGACGTCAGTCCGGAAACAAACAACAGCCTCGGAGGCCAGCCCCGTCACGTGCGGTAGCCCGTTCCTGGTTGGCAATAGGCGACTTCACCAATCAGTTTCCCTTCATTCATCTCTTGCTTGTCGTTTTCCAGCGTGATTTTCCAGAGTTCGGTTCCAAGTCTATCTATCATCGTACCATTTCATCCGTATTGTTGACGTTTCTCGTGCGCTCAATTACTCTTGGACCCAGCAGGAGCAGCGGCCAGCCACCACGAGGATACAAGTGGCCAATCTCTCCGCTTTATCCGGTCCACAGCCCCCTCCTAGGCACTATCGACGAAGTACCTAGTCATCCATCACTCCGACCGGTGTCTATTAATTCTCAAGAGTTTCTGCAAATAAGTCAACATCAATCAGAGATCCTTCACGCCACAAATCACCATGTCGAACCCGTTGGACACCGATGCCGGCTCGGAGCTCTTCAGCAGTTACGAGACCGAGTTGAAGCTGGTCCAGGCAGACCTCAACCAGAAATTAGATCAGATCTCAGAGTCGAGCGGTGAACAACGAAAGTCTGCCATCCGACAGGCGGAAAGAGCATTGGACGAGGCTACGGAATTGGTGCGTTGCCAGACACTCTTTCAGAGATCTCATTCCCCCGCGCCGCGATATCCCGCTTCATTCTAACGTCTCATGCACATATACAGTTGGATCAAATGCGCATGGAAAAGCAGAACATTCCCTCATCCGCCCGCTCAAAGATCAACACCCGAGTCCGCAATTACGCGACGGATATTGACGAGGCCAAGCGCAAGTTGCGGTCTCTCTCGGATGATCGCAAAGCCCTCTTCGGCGACCGGTACACAGATGACCCGCAGGATCAGCATCTGGAACAGCGACAGCAGCTTCTGTCTGGCACGGAACGTCTGGAGCGCAGTTCTGCCCGGCTCCAGGAGAGTCAGCGCATCGCTCTTGAGACCGAGGACATCGGCCGCAACACATTGGCTGATTTAAATCAGCAGCGGGAGACTATCATCAATGCCCGGGGTCGACTCTTGGAGAGTGAAGGCTATGTGGACACCAGCATCAAGACCTTGAGGGGCATGGCCCGTAGGTACTGACCCCTTGGGCTAACCCCGCAGCAATTGCTGCAGCTAGTATACACACGGATCATTACTAATGTCCATTGCAGGATGGCTACGAATCGGCTAATCACCATTGCGATCATTACCGTGCTGATTCTTCTGATTTTCGCTGTGATCTATAGCAAGTTCCACTGAGCGCGGGTTTCCAGTAGGCGTTACCATGGGATGATTATTTTGCCTTTGGAGTACTTTGTTAACGACATATACAAGTCTGACGACGCAGACTTTCCCACGGAATCTTGTATGATAGCAAACCTTAGCTCTAATCAAAGACCGTTGCGTCCATGCACTATATGTATCGGGGTCAATCAACGCAAGCTAAATAAGTCCGAAAGAAAAACACATTTTGGGTATCACGCGCAAGAAGCTTAAGGGAAGAGCAGTCGAACACTCAACAAGGCTCTGCTACACAAGACACTAGTTCATAATCCGCATCGCCCCAAAGGCGATGTTCACTACCACCCCAACAAACACGGCCAACCCTTTTCGCCAACTCCAAACCCCTTCCTCTCGCCGCAACCACATGGCACACCCCACGGGCCAGAAGAATCCCATCACCGCTCCCCAAAGCATATCATCCATCGCACCCCTCGACCCAGGCCCGAACCCACCGTCGTCGTCCGCAAACGAGATTCCCTCCCCGCCACCCGCAGCCCCAGCACCAGCAGCTCCCTCGGCCGCCATCGCCGACGATCCCTCATCCATCCACCTATCCTCCAACTCGCGCAGCTCCGACCCACTAGGCATCGTATCCGGCGTCCGCGAAACCGCCTGTATGGCCATGAACTGAGACCGCAACGCCGTCACCTCGGCGGGTGTGAACCCGGCCGCCAGCAGCCGGTCGAACCCTCGGGGCGCGGGCGTCGTTGTCATAGATTCCGGCTGCTGTGATAATGACTCCCGATTTCTTGATCGAGAACCAGACGACGACCCATCGTTGCCTTCAAGTTCCGATTGTGCATCTTGTGGTTGCCGCAGAGTGGACGCGAGGGCTGCTTCGGCGGCGAGGTCGGCGGCGGAGAGCACAATGTCGCCGATCGAGCAGTGGATATACAAGCGGGGTTGGTCGCGGATGGGAGCCTTGCCCTTGCCCTTTGCTGTTGCCGTGCAGTCATCTTCAGAGAGGGGCCGCGGAGTGGAGCGGGCGGATGAGGGCGAAAGTTTGAGAGATGCAGCTAGAGTGGTGGCGTCTTCCAGACCACGACCGGCGTAGATTAAACGAAGACGGTGGGAGGAGAGGTACGGGGGGAGACGAGTGCGGATGAGTTGCTTTAGACCGGCGGTTGTAGTGGTCTCTGGGGAGAAGATGTCGAGGGGGAGGTCGGTAATGGAGGCTGAAAAGCGGATGGTGACGCAGAGGGGGGTGTCGGAAGAAGCATTGTTGGATTCGAGCGTGGGATCAGGAGTTAGAAACTTCGGTGTGGACATTGTGTTTTATGTGTATGCGGTGGCTTGATCGTAGGGAGTACATAGAGTGGAGATATTGTTGCAGGGAAGCCAGCGATATGGCCGTGCGTCACAGGTGGTGCGGGATGAAGAGCGGAAAGGGAGCCTCGATAAGCTGATAGTACTTCGTAGCCTGCTTGAGAAGGGAACTTCACGTGATACCTAGTTACGGCTACTGTATGGAGTACGGACTACGGAGTCCTTTCCGAGCAGTAGCTTTGATCCCCCAGTCCAATGAACCCCGCGCGTCGACCTTTTACTTTTCTCTAGTCTAAACTGTTCCCCGTTGGTTTCCGACTGTACCCGGTGTTCTCGTTCCTCGCTTAATGATCACCATCAGCAGCGCATTCAGAAGAGGATGATTGGCTTTTCTAATAGCATGATAATTGTTTGTACGTAGTATGATAGTCGATTTGTCTTAGCTATCTTGATACGGACATTCACCTGAGACCGAACGAGATTTCTCTGACACCCCGATATCACCTTGAAAAGACTCCTTGGGATCGTTTGCCCCGCGGTCATTGGGTCAACACATGTCATCATGAGTAGGGGTCGTGGTTTGGCTGGAACAACCGTAGGTAATCATCCGCCTTCGAAAGAGAGAAAGAATGTATTGCACAATTGGTGGGCTATGTGCCCGGGAATCAAGATGTATGTTCAACAAAACAAAGAATAAGCTCATTCGCCGAAAAAACCGCCCACAGGAACGCCATCCGATGCATTTAGGTCCGCAAAACTCAGTTCATCCAATAGTAAGCGATCAAGTCGTACAAAAGCGCGAGTAGATCCTCTAGACCATGAAAGATTCACCACATCCGCATTGTTCCTCTGTAATATATCGTTAATATGCGCTTCATACGGTTGCCCGGGGACTCCAGGTTGAGCTTACTAATATTGGGGTTGCGGAAGACGAATTTCCTGCTGAGCTTATCCTCTTGCCAATCCATCTCGCTCCCAATGATGCTGAAGAGAGCCTTGCTGTCAATCAAGACCTTGACGCCGTCTTGTTCCACAACTTCATCGAAAGTTCCTGGCTTCTCCACGTACTCCAGGTGGTAGGCGAGACCAGAGCAGCCCCGGTTCTTCACGCCGACACGAATCAGCTTGGGTTCAGGCTGTGACAGGAGTTTACGAAGTTGCTCAATGGCCACGGGTGTCAATTTCATCGCGGCTTTACGGGCGCGAAGTTTTCTGCGGGGTTTCTCGGCAGGCTTAGCGGTAGTGGCAGGAGCGGTCTCGACGGGCTTAAGCTTCTGGGCCTCTGCTTCGTGAGGACCGATGTTCGGCGAGTAGGCTTGCTGTCCAGGGAGCTGAGGTGAGGTCATCTCACGGAACGAGGGGAAGTCGGCAGCGATAGAAGTGTCGGACGACCCTGAGCTCCGAGGTGGCGGGAAGGAGGTAGGCAGGCTGTGTGGACGGTATGCCGTTGCAGTCTGCAACTCACGCTTTGAAGAGGATCGGTGTGAGTTTCCGTATGAAGAGAACATGCGGCACGTCTGCGCTGTACGCCTGCTTGATGACTGTCTCAACAAGCTGAGCAGCGTGGCGGATGATGTCACTGAAGACTGCATAGTGACTGTGTAGAACCGAAGCGGTATATGGAAAGACTAATCGCAAATAATCTATGAAGCGATAGAGATAGCTTGTAGGTGGCCTCGCACAAGATCTCAAGTGTGGTTGAGTCACAAAAATGATTGTGGTGAGAACTGCGAGGGGATGATGGAGGTGAGTCGGGAAAGTTTGAGTTCTGTTTGGGAGGCGGACGAATGCCGGGTCGGGTCTGAGTCGGTTAATGAAGGCCAGGGCCAGGACCGGACGGGCCAATCAACGTTGAGGTGTTTCTACACAGGTCGGAGTGGCGCCACTGCGCGCTGCGGTTCTAGAACAGAAAATAGTAAGGAAATCATCCATTATTGGAGTAAGACCGGGGTAAGACCCAATACTAATTAATGGATAACGCCTGCCTTCAAATGACATGTCCTTTCTGCGTGCATGACGATTTGTTTCACCCCCCGTTATTGCTGCATGATTTCATTGTTCTGCCATTGGTTATCAAGTTTCTTAGTCATAATTTGGCACCTGAGCACCTCAGGCGCCAGCTATGATGACTAATTTAGATCACTTCCACATTCGAAAAAGAATTCATTAACTTATTCAAGGTGATCAGAAACAAAGAATTTACCGTGTGGAAACATCTGGAGGGGAGGGTCTATCTCCCACCTGTCCATTCTCCTTCACTCAATCCCTCTTTGTGAAAAATATAATAGGCCTCATAATCATCCTCAAGACCCCCCTTCGAGGGTCTAATCTGATGATGCCACATAGTCAAACTCTCTCTTCCAGTTAACCACTAGTTACTGTTAGTTATCACACCCCCTGATTATGTCATCTTCAACAACCGAAGCTCTTGTAGCCAGCTACCTAGCTACTAGTCATAGACTTGGGAGGAGGAATTGTGAATCACGATTGGCAATGTTGCAATTGAATGGCACTTTGTATTTTGATATAGCTATCGTAAGAGTCTGTCTTCTGAAGAGACAGACCACAGGCTCGTGTAATGAAGAAATACCGCCCGGGTACTGATAGGGGATGTGGCTTGTGGTGGTGGTGGGGGGGGGATTGATGGCCTAAATGGGCAGAAAAAGAGTGGTGTCTCGAATAAGGCGACGGGAGCTGAAACTCCCCCCAAGGAGCATGAGATGTCAATAGCATCCTCCTCATCTGCCAGACACTTCGACCAACCTCATCCTTCTTGTTCTTGTAGTACAGTACTGGCCATGATCTTGTGTACTGCGCCGACCACCCAATCTTGTTGTCTAGCATAATGGATTCCCCTTTGACCCAGCAAAGTAGACCGGAAACCTTCAAACCGAAGATCGTGCAACTATACGAGAACCTATTCCAGGTACGCGCACCACTTTGACAGTTATATCATATCATAAAGATCTGACAGATTCACTAGACCACAGACTATGCGGAACCCTCGGAAGGGTTTTGGCGAGAATTCTTTCTGCTGCCACCGGATCGGAGCCAGCTCAATGCACTCCTGAACCAGCTCAGTCCTGATGAAACTCTTAACCTACAGGTCAATTAACCACGTGATTACGAGTATGAAGATCTAGGGACGACCATCGCTAACTGGTCAGCAGGTTCAAACCCAGCAGCTCTTCACACGTGCTATACGCGAAGCTGCTTCGGGATCCAGCCCCGTAGATTCTTATGCTCTTGAGGTAAGTATATCTTTATTGAGCTTGAATCCACATCTCTAAACAATGCATTAGACCTTGACGGTCTTTCTAGCCTGTGTATTGAAGAAAAAATACACCAATCCCAGCTCCGATGTTATCACCATTCTTGCCGGTCTCGACCATGTTGACCATGCAATTTTCGAATTTGTCGCTGTTCTGGATGGCATCATTCGGAGTGGCAAAACCTGTGAGCTGTGAATGCAATGGGATGATACCGCCCAAGCACTGATTTGGAACTACAGATGGCTTACGACTACAAGCGATCAGAACTGCTATTGCAATGACTGCTGGCGCATACAAGACCAGCCTAGTCTCGTATCTCACAAATCGCGACCTGTTCCCTTCAATCATGAAGGTTTGTCTGCTGCTAAGTTCGTCTTGGTTTGGACGTGCTCGACTGACTTACCGTCACAGTTTGTCCAAGAATCTGTCACGCCCTTGCAAGTATTCGAGCCGTTTCTTCTTCTCGGTTTGTTGGCAAACTACAACAAATTTGAGATGCAGAATCCGTATCAATTGCGACTCGATGACTTTGTGAACGAAGCAAGCATCCAGAAGATTGCTAGGGGAGTTGGTAGTTCCTGTGGCGGCCTCAGAAATGGATACATTGCCGTACAGGATGACTCTCCAGAAGGTTGGACGTTGATCAGCACCTTGATGTATTTCGGTTTGGGCGCTCTTGCTTCTGGTAAGAAGGATCGGCCGAGCCCTCCGACTGCTGAGGAAGCGAAGGAAATGTTTGCATCCCTGTACGACCTCCAGCCGCCCACCTGTCCCAGAGATCAACTAATGAAACCAGTCCAGCGCAACAAGCAGCCATTCTCTTAGCTACATACGATTTCATCAATGCTAACAAACTGTTCGGGCTCCATCTCATCAGCTTGGCCCCAGAGAAGGACAGTATGGAATCCCCATTTGCGTCATTCCTCTCTTTATCCTCTTATATCCTGCAGCATGCCTATCGATCCCCAAGAGCCGCACACTACGCAGAACTCAACCTCCTTACTCTCCGCATCATCTCTGAAGATAACGCCCTCTGCAAACAGCTCTGCAGCGACGAGAGCAAGCGCAAAATTCGACTGTGTCGCCAGAAGCAACCCTATTTGCCCCTAATCACTGGCGAGCGGGTCCCAATAACAGCCATCTTCGATATCCTGATAGATACCCTCACTCACAACCTTCGACGTCGCCTCGACGTCAACCTTTACAGGTATGCAATTCCACCTCTCTGGTCTAATCGAAGACTCTTCTCTATATATTTGAAGCCCAGTTCCTCACGATCTTGAATCCCAGCCACTGCATCGCCATTCTTCTTCGCCTTCTCACCTACCTTTCCAAGAACAAGATCCGCCTCGCCTACCACTGGTCGGAACTCTGGCGCACCCTTCTCTCTCTGGTGCGCTTCTTGACCACCTACGTTTCCGACCTCATCACCAACACTCCGCACATTCACACCCTCACCACCTCCCTGGTCAATTTGATTGCCTTCTGCGTCTCCGCGGGGGACACCTTTCTTCCGGACCCGTCCTCCTACGACGACCTCTTCTACAAACTCGTGGAGACCGGCCCTATCATGGCCAGATTTCGCGACGTATACGCCTTCAAGATCAGCAGCAGCAGCATTCCCAGCAATACCAGCCCTTCCTTGGCGGTAGGGGTGGACCACATCCCCAAAGCGAATCCTACCGTGCCATCCGGCGCCGATGTCCACGTCACCGCGATTGAGACCTTGATCTCCGTCTCCACGCACTTCCACACCCTCCTGTTTGTCCCGAGTAAGGGCGACGAGGCTGCTGCTGCTGACGGTGAAGCCCCCGCGCCAGTGTCTGCAAATATGAAGAAAAATCTCAGTCCGCGGGAGGTGCATCGGATCATCAAACAGGGATATGAGACGTTGAGCATTCCGCCGTTGGAGGGTCTCAGTTCGTGGCAGAAGTTCCGTGAGACCGACTGGAAGGTGGAGTTAAAGCGGGCGGCGCGATGCGCCGTGGATGATGCCAGGCAATTGGTTGCGTAGGCGGTGTGTTTATGGTGTGTCATATGTGTTCCAAAAACGAATCATAATGTGTGTGAGACAAGAAGTACGGCCAAGGTGGAGAAGAGGTTTCTCTCGTCATAAAGCACTGGGTATCTGTTCAAGAGCTTATGGAGGTGTCCTTCCAGTCGGTGCGAGCTGTATACGTGCATGGTGCGCTTGTTAGGTTAAGACTCTACGTGTTACTGTCAGTCCGCAAATATCACGTCTATTTGACTAGCTTATTGCGCAAGAGGGAACATGCTGTCGCTCAAGCTTGGATGTTTTGGACTCTCATCAATTTATATCCTTTTAATGTTACAGTGATAGCATTATCCATAGCGTGCGTTAAGGCACCACAAGATCAGTGCCTAGCCGTAGTCCACAATACAAAATTGCCCCGCCTCCCCAAAAAAGAAATCGAAAGATGCATACACCGGACGCATTCGAGTGTGCTGAGCAAATCCCACTAATTGCTCAAAAAATTACCGCATTCTTTCCGCTAGACAAGACGCGATGTAGCGGTGGCTGGAGCCGGGTTCGGAGCACCGCGTGACTTTTCAATATACTCGTTGCTGGCATTCGTGTACCTGGTTGAAAAATATTTAGCAGAGTTTCGACTCAACCACATCGTGAACTTGGAAAGCTCCTCCCGAAGTCTGTTCGTGGATTGAGCGTCCATATTCGTTTGTGCAATGAGCTCCGGCATGGTGGCTACGGTCAATCAAGGTTAGCATTCGCATTTGAGACATCTAGGCAGCAAAGCTTACCGAAGAGCCGCGTCAGATGCTCAGCGCCATAAGTCTCGAGGGGACCTTTGTCAGCCCATTCCCCATTGCCGTCCTCCCATCTCTTGCGGATCACACGATACTGTTCTCGTTCGAAGCGGTAGAGAAGGATCTTGTCGAGCGCCTTGTAGAAGTACTCGCGAATCCCCATTACTATTTCATCTAGCACGTCCAAGTCGGCCGTACTCGTCCGCCTAGGCTTCTCCTCCTTGACGTAGTCATCCAATATCTGGCTGACTGAGCACTTTGCAGGCAGAGCCACCACTTGCTGGTTCTTAGTGATGTTCTCCCAGTCATCCACGAGTAGAGATTTCAGATTGTCGGGCATGACAATCCGCACTGAAGGCCGCACATAGAAGCTCTCCTCCTATATTACTACTGTCAGCGAATCCAATCATACATGTGGTTGTGCTCTGAGCACATTGCCACCAGACATGGCAATGAGGTGCGAAGAGCGAGAGATCTGCATGTAAACTGGAGAGGGTGCAGCGAACATACCTTTTCAATGTCATTTTCTCGAGCTCTCTTCGTCCCGCGACCCGGGACTGAAGTTTGCCTCTCCTCACTGCCCCGGGCGGAACTGCGATCGGAGCCGCCTCGTTTCTTCACAGCGGGTTTCACATTTTTCTGCCGAAATGCTGCCTCGGCCTCACGACGGAGAGTCGTGGCTAATTCCCGATTCTCATCTGTAAATTTACGGAGTCGATCCTGCGGGACCCAATCGTCCCACCTGATTACAGTGTGTCAGCATGTCAGTTAGCCAGGCCTCGACGAATCCACCCCTTTGCCTTAGGGTAACAGCAGCCAGTAAACAGATCAGATCAAGCATTGCTCGATCAGAGGACAGACATAAGTAAGGCGACGATAAGACGGACGACACCATTCATCAAGGTCAAGGATCCAGCGGATATGAGGGATAGAAGTAGTACAGGTGACAGTGCGGGGATCAACGTACGTGTTCTTCCACCCCTTGTAATGGACAAGATACTCAAACGGACTCTTACGGTCTTCGGGATCAATGTGCCTTAAATCGAGAATTTTGGCTTCGTAGAGGATCTCATGGTGAAAGCAAAGGACTCGCTCGTCCTTCTGATAGCTCATTTGGCTTGCAGGCGCCATGCTGAGTGATCTGAGAGATACTCCAAGTTGGCGGATGTTTTTATGTCAATGAGACTGAAGTTGTGAGAGACTCTGGGAGGGGCGAATTGTCTCTGATCCAGGGCTACTGCCAAATGAGCCCCGTTGGGTAACCTTTTGCTCCTGAACAAGCACGTGTGATAACGTGACTGAAAAGCAGATAGAACTCCTTGAAGCCGGAAGCTGATTCAAAGTCAGAACTGCGATATTGCAGACTAAAGTTATTTGCAGCCACTGACAAGTCGTTCCGAGTCTTCTCAAAAAACGAGTAATATTTTACTTCTAGTTGGCTAGGGTCATGGTTAATGTCAGGAACTTGATGAAGTTTGGTCAGATGCCTCACGTTGCAACCTCAAGTGCCACAGATCGATATATCACGGGTGGGAATATAAGGGATCTTTCTTGATTGTATTCGAAGAAGAGGAAGACAGAGTTGTGGGGGTGAGTATTAAGTTATCATCCTTGGATGTCGCGGTTGGGCCAAGAAAGAAGAAGCCCGCGGGATCCCCGTCCGTGGTGGACTGCGAGAAACGCGTCCGAAAGGGCAAGTCACGGCCTGGTGGCCTAAATTGGAACCATTCGCCCTTCCTCAGGCTCTCCCCAAATCCTTTATCTCCTCCTCCTCCTCCACCACCACCACCACCTACTACTCCTCCTCCTACAACAAAATCAACACCATTCGCATTGCTACAAGTTCTACAATAGAGTAACAGTAACATTTAACACTTCTGTCTGCCTTGGTCGAGGTGCTTCTTTCACCTTCCCTCGACCACATTCATATCGCGGTCTTCAATTTCTGATTGGGTTTGCACACGCGATTTGTCCCGATTGAGCGTAACACCCACAGCCACCCAATTGTTCTTTCTATATCACCAAGAAGAAAAGCGTTAGAGTTGCACTCCTTACGGCTCTACTATTCATCATGGCACCTTCGGAGATTGCCATTCTAAGCAACTTCCTCTTGACTCCAGCTCCCTTGCCAACGATCATGTCGTTGCAGCAGTTCACTGAGCTATTTCCCAAGAGACTACGCTCTCACCCGCACATCAGAGTTCTCTATCGTGAGCTACAGGAGATACGCGAGCAGGACATGGATCTAGTCAATGAGAACATTGACAAACAAGCAGTCCAGGGCGAACGTCAGAAAGCAGAGCTTCGTAAATCCCTGATGAAGACAGGCATAGATGGCATCAGTGCTGCTGACCAACGCGAAATGGATATGGATGTGGAATTGTTTGGGCAGACGAACTCAACGGCTGATTATCACTCAGTCTCCAGTCTTCTCGCGGCCATGCAGACGGCCTGCTCCAACGTTGAACGCGAGGTGGTCGAAGTCGATAAGGAGGCGAGCTCATTGCTCTCTGATCTTAATGGACTGGTTGGTGATTTAAGCGATTTGCGGTATGGCAAGATGCAGGGCCCGGTGGGCATGACAGGCGAGGAGGTCGTCAATGAGGCCATAAGGGGTCTTCGAAATCTTGAAAATGCTTGTTACCGCAACAGCTGAGCGCTTGCAGCCTCAGAATCTTCAGTCTTCGGTATATCTGTCGGTCTTGATCCCCAACTACATAATCTTGACATTTCAGTCGGCACAATACCCGCCTAACATGGGCTACGGCATCGGGAATTCTCTAGGTCACGGTCTGCTCACGCAAGGTCCGCTTACATCTGAGAAAAAGACATGTCTTGAAGGCACAGTGCCGTCACAAGAAAATTGCGTCCCTTCGTCCGCCTGATTAACCCGTCCACAAGACTGACCAGTAAATGTTATCGAGCAATTACGGTCAGCATCAGTGAAAGCACTTTGGACGCATGCTATTGGTACCAATTGAGTGGATGGAAAGCACGATGAATCGGCTCCTGGATATCTAAACGTCGTGTTGGACTCATTTTCGCCTGCAATGACAGATGAAACGTTGTTTCGTTTTCGGGATACGCCTTCTTGTAATATTTACTTTGATCCTATCCAGACTAATAGTCACAAGAAACATCGTGCGTAAGCCTTGTCCTCAATCATAGCCCGCAAAATCTTTGATTTGAGGCTGTGGAGATGCCATGTTCATGTGATGGGCACAAAATGGATGGCCGATAAGATATCGCGCGTCACTGCACGTTCCGACGCGCTAACTTTTTCCAATCGGCTTCACGACCTCGACATTGACCTTTGAACCACCAAAAGCAGCACATGCTACTGCTTGCTCGACTTTGTCTTCACCGATTACAATATACAGTTCATATCGCTTTTGAACCCTCGAGTCTGGTCAACTTGCATCGCGCAATGCCAGCCATTACCCTCCATCCTCACGCGTCGCGATCGCCATCACGCGTCGCAAACCCTCTGCCCCAACTCCTCCAGACCCCCTCCGGCCTGGCCCTGCTGGAACTTCAAGGAACAATCAACATCCCCTCCCACGATGAAGCCTCGACTTCAGCCGAACCAGCCGACAGCCGGTCTCAGGAGCCCTCCGTGTTCGAGACCCCGATCGGCAAGCTCATGTTCCCTGACTACTCGCCGCAGGGCCCGGCTGACGACACGACCTGGATGAGGCGGGTCTACCTGTATGTCGGACGCTACCAACGCATAACAGGTGAGGTGAAGAAGCTGCCCAAACCACTGGCTATTGTGCAGCGGAGGTCGACGCAGGTACCTGCCCGAGGAAGCGCGCGGAACGATGTCGACGAATTGGAAGTGGTCGAGGTGGTGCGCTACAAGATTTACTTCAAGAATCGACCGGAGCCCGTCAACGACCTCTAAAGCCATTCTTTTGTCCTTGGATAGCAATGCACTTGCTCCAGGTTGACTGCTGGAAAACAAGCGGCGCAAAAGAAATCTACCCTGGTAGGAGCATGTCATGAAGATGTCAGAGGCTGGACCTTGTTGCCTTCGTCCAGACTCTGGATGGTTGCGTGAGTCCGGTAACGGCCGCCAACAACCATCTTACCGGATCTCAGCCATCGTGACACAACCGAAGCGAATTCGTCAGCAGACGGCTATATAAAGAAAGGGTCGATTTGAACCACAGTTTGGAATGGCTGGGTTGCATGAGGCTTGCTATCTATTGTCGCATGGACAGAGTCAAGAACCGCTTCAATCGGTCTTCATGGTACTGTCCTCACTATGACTATTTCTCCTCGGTCGAGAAGGATATCTCTCCTTCGAACCTGGGTCCAGAATACGTCGGCTTTGATCATATGACAGGGTACGTCGGTAATGCTAAGCAGGCTGCAAGCTACTCCATTACCCTCCTGGATTTCGAGCATGTTGCATATCGGGGGCCTGGGACCAGTTCTCGAACATAGTGTCCTATGTGTTTCCAACCACGGCTCCATCTTTGTCCTTACGTCGCCCGTTCATAGCCCATACCCCCTCGGAGACTGTGGAGGCAAGTGCTCGTGACGAAAAGCCCTCTCTGGCTGAGATCCAGGCCCACTTGGCCAAGCACGGAGACGGGGTCAAAGATGTCGCGTTCCGGATCGAAGGTGACGTTGAGAGTGTCTGGAAGAGAGCGGTCGACAACGGTGCAACCTCAATCGCGTCGCCCCCGACGCTAGTAAATGAGGAGAATGGCAGTCTCCTTATGGCCACAGTAGGGGCATTTGGAGATACGTCTCATACGCTGAGCAGCCGGTAACACTACTCTTGGCCTTTCTTACCGGGCTATGAATCAGTTTTGGAGGCAAACTCTATCAATCAGCTCCTTCCGCCGATTGACTTCGTCGAAATCAACCATTGCGTGGGGTGTCAGCCATCGAATGTCGTTGATTCTGTGGTGAAGTAGTAAGCTTTCCACAGTTCATAAATTGAGAACTCACCTCTGAATGTGAAGATAATGCTACGAAGAGTGTCTCGACTTCCATCGATACTGGACCGGTGGTGACTCGAACATGTGCGGAGAGTACTCAGCCATGCGCTCCATCGTCGTCGCGTCCCCCAATGAAGTAATCAAGATGCCCATGAATGAGCCAGCATCTGGGGAGAAGAGGTCTCAGATCGAGGAGTGCGTCCCTCAACCCCTCCGGTCGGTCGCAACGGAAGCTCATAGGTGTGAATATCAGCAAGTTCGTGGAACAGTGCCGGCGTACAGCATATGGCCTTTCAAACGCACGATATTGTCACGGCCGTCACCGGACTCAAGCAGCGTGGCATGGCGTTCCTGCGCGTTTCGGACGAATACTATACCGAGTAACGGCAACGGCTGTCTCAAGGGGGACCACAGATAGCAGAGGAAATCGACAGATTGCGAGAGCTGCACATCCTGGTCGACTTCGACGAGAAGGGCTACCTGCTTCAGTTCTTCACAAAGCACGTACTGGATCGACCAACTGTGTTTCTCGAGGTGATTCAGCGCAACAATTTCGACGGGTTTTGGCGCGGGGAACGTTCAAGATTCTATTCGAAGCACCTGTGAACCAGAATTTTCTTGAGGCATATCGCCTTGCGGTACAGAACATAGATAGGTAGCTACAGGATTATACCCTATTATAGGCACCATTTTACTCCCTACAGTACACGGTAAGGAAGGAGGATTAATTCCGCATCGCCGGCAAGGAAAATAGCCGGGGGCGGAAAGAGGGCGCGTTGGCCGTCTACTCTGTATGTATGCGCCTGGACACTCGCCGATCGCTCCTGTTCACGCACCAACTGCCCCTCGCTTATCTTCAGTATATGCTCTGCTTTGCTATTTTTTCGCCATCATCATTCTAAATAGAGTCTTCCTTGAATACACCGGTTCAGCAACTAGATCACTCCAGGCACACGCACTCGATGCCTTGCCCCACGTTCCGGGCCGCCCTCGCGTAAGCCAAAAGCCGCGGCCCCTAATACAGTGATGCATGACTAGTTATAGAAACTAGTTAGTAGTACTACTAAACATTCACCAAGGCCATCGATACAGAGTCTTCGTGCCAAATTGAGCTCCTAATCGTCTATGTAGTGTACGAAGTACCTCAAAGAACATGGATCACAAACCCACGCCTCCATCCGACCATACCCGACACCAGCCGACATCCGTCGGAAGCCATTTTCAAGGTCGACATCGGAGTACATACAGTACAGCAACCCCAGCGCGGAATGCTGTTTTTTGTTGGGGTCCATTGTCTAAAAGTCCAACTAGCCTATGTGGGAAAGCAGTAGGTAGTAACTACACTTAGTTATCGTACAGTACAAACATCTCTCCACAAACAGCCGACTGTCTGATTGCCAATCGTCTGGCATCCTCTCAACCCCGCAACTGCCTACAACTACGGAGAATACATAAAGCTCTGCCCCTCCTGCTCTCTCCTGCTCTCTCACTCTCTCTCACACACACACTCTCTCTTGTGCTTCCATCTTCTCGTTCCCATTTAAATTAGAAAAAGAGAAAACCGTCCTGTCCTCATTCACCAGCAGCAATCTTCCTCCAAATCAGCTGCCCCAGCAAGTGAAAGAAGTAAATCCTGCCCATTCACCAAACCACCTTAACCCCTGCTCGATAAGAAGTGGAACTGCCCAGAATGGCTCCTACGATTGAACGCATCACCCTCTTCAAGATCCCCGACGAGGCAGCACGGGACCGCGTCCTGGAGCAGTACAAGGTCCTCGCCAGAACAGCTGTCAAAGTAAGCATAAGGCAACCTGACCTGCCTTCGGTCTAAATCAATCAGAAACATTAATCCTCCATGTAGGACGGAAAGCCATACATCGTCAGCGCGGCCGCAGGTCCCTCGTTTCCCGACCCTCGCAACAAGGGCTACAACCTGAGTGTCAAGACGACGTTTGCCTCGCTGGAGGATATGAAGTATTATGACACCGAATGCGAGGCGCATAAGGCGTTGAAGGCGGTGGCGGGCCCCGTGCGGGAGGATGTGCTGACGACGTACTTCGAGAGTGTTATTTGAATGGAAGACCGATACCAGGGATCAAAGGTTTCGGTAGGATTTGTATAGATGTGAGGTTTGATTTGGCACTCTCTTCATTGTGGAGAATGTTTTGTCTAACTATACTCTACTCGAACACTCATTTGATGTAATATAATATCCAATTCAGGAATTGGTGCTTTGCATGCATGCCGCCGGATCACATGCCCGGGTTCTCTCCGCTGTCACAAGCAGAAGTTAAGAGAAAAACATAAACATGAAACAATGAATATAGTCCTCGCCCGTCATCCCTGGGAGTAAATAGTACAAGGTACCCAAGGGTCTTTGCACCTTGCCAGTCGCTTAGAATGTACAAAATGAGCGTCAAGGAGAACGAACGAGAAGAGCAGGGGAGGAAAGCAGCGAAGCCGGGCATTCACTCCTTCATCGCTAAATTGCTCGGTCACAGTGTACAACGACTTAATCAAGAGCCTTGCGGAGGTCACTCCATTTTTGTTTGAGATTTTCGTGATTCTCATGGATCTAGAATGGATTGATCAGCATTGTACTGCATGTATCAGGAGTTTAGGAGAAAACTCACCTCAGCCCATTTCATTTTGGCCTCAACAAGCTCTTTCTCCATTTCTGCCATCTGCTCGACCAGCGACCGGTTCTCATTCTGAACCTCTAGATTGCGTTGCATGATGCGGTCCATCTCGGTGCGTAGCTTTTCCTCTACCTCCGCTGGCTGTTTGTCCACTACGATTTTGAGCTCTTTGACTTGCATCTTCAATGCATCATTAATGTCCGTCAGTTCTTCGTTTTCAACCTTGATGTGAACCAGCTCCGACGCGAGCTGAACGTGCTCTTTGTCAGAAGCTTCATTCTGCTCCTCCAGCAGGCGAATCCGAGCACTTTGCACGGCTACAGTGTGTTTCAGGTTTTCGAGCTCGGCTTCGCGTTCCTTTTCCATTCGCACTTTTTCCTCCCACTCAGCCGTGTACGCACTGACGGTCTCTGGTTCCAGAGGTATGGCGCAGGCGTCCTGCACCATGATATCCGCCCTATAGACTTCCTTGTCGGCAGCACCGGAGCTTCCAAAAAAGCCCGACTCTAGGATCGAGGACGGTGTTGGTTGCCTATCGATGTAAACGTCGAACAACCGCTCTTTCAAAAAGGTGGTCAAAGGCGCCATATCCTTCATCTCCAGTAGCGTGCCTGCGTTTCGTCGCATGATGGCGAGAGCAAACTTGAGGATAGCATTCTCAAGGCCTTCATCGAAAATGAGATCATAAACACGAAGGACTAGCTGTAAAGGGAATCGGTAAGCAAACAGGGTAAGAAACCACTGCGTTGCGTACAGTTGCGGCGGCACGCCGCGTCGCCGGAGATGACAGTAGAGGGCCGGTTCAAAGTCCTCCAGCAAACGCTCAAAGACATACAAGCAGCGGTGAAGACCGGGCATCTCCTGAATGAACATCTCCCGGAAACCATACTGATTCATGAGCTTGACGAGAAGTGTAAATGCTTCCGCCTCGTCCATCTGCAAGAACGTCAGCATAAACTCTTTGAACCTTGTACTCCATCATATCCTACATTGAAGAGCAAGGGCATGACAATGAAGTTCATTCCTTGGGCATATCCCACACCCTCGTCATACAGAGCATATGCCTTACACAGCCCAAACAATGCTTCCTGGTTTCCTTGTGAGACAAAGTAACGGGAATAGCTTGTGCGAGCGCCCAAATCACGTCGAATCGTTTTCTCCAACTTTTGTAATGCCAGAGCTTCCTCCTTCGCTCTTTTTGCTTGTTCCTTGGCCAGCCGTTCGGAATCGAGCTCATGCGAAGGGCTCGTGGAGCCATTGATAGAGTGTGCCAGGGAGGCAGACCGCTCTGATCGGACTGAAGAGCGCGATGACGACCTCGCCGAGTCTTTCTCGCCCACTCCGTTAATCGCGCCGCTGGAAGTCCGCTGCTTCTCCTTGTCTGTGCCACGGGCAATGAGTTCCCGGTACACCTCTTCTAGCTCGGGATTGCGGCTGTCAGCCAGGACTTGCCAGATCACTCCCCGGATGGTTTGCGGGATTCCTCGTTTGATGGCGGCATTCAGTTCCTGAGAGTTCGTCCCTTTTAATGCTTGTGGACCACGATTGACTAATTGCTGCCAGAGCTCCCAGTCTACGGGTGCGGATGCATCTGTCGCCGAGGCTGAGAAGCCTGCAACCGTACCTGGAGGTAGATTAGGATTCACGGTCGACGCTCCATTCGGTGACGTTGCGGCTGGGATGACGCTGGTGTAGCCATCGCCTTCTTCTGGAATACTCGGTGGACTTCCTGCGGAGTGACTAAAACTGGCCCGTCCTGACGCGACACTTGTTTCGTCTTTCTCCGCTATGAGACCTTCCTCTCGCAATCGGAGCTGTTTGAATTGGTCCTTGAGACTACTTCTTCGCGGCTTCCTCGAGTCTGTGCCATCCACATTTTCCCCGTCATGGTGTCGACCATCAGGATTGCTGGAGAGAGTAGAGATTGATGCAGCCGTATTCCGGCGGGGCTGTGGTGGAGGTGATTTGGCCTCCTTGTTGGATGATGAGCTCCGAGAGAGCCATGCAAAAGGACTGGTGAACGAACGCGTTGGTGGTGGGGGTGGTGCAGGGGCGGCCACTTTGTTCGTGGGAGCACCATTAGGGGGATTGTTCGTCGATTCCTGTAGGCGCGAGCTCTGCGAAGAAATCGAGTCTCTAGATGCGATTGGTGGAGGCGTGTTCGATTTGAGCTCCTGGCTCGAACGCTGATTCCCAAGTGACTCCTCCTCCTCCTTGTTGCTGGCGAGATTTATCTCGTCAAGAGAAATAGTGGATAACCGATGCGCAATCAGCAGTGGTGATTTCTTGTTCTTGCGAGGAGTTTCCTCCGCTTCGGATGTTCTGTCTACACTGGCAACATCGCTATCGTCGTTTGTCTGAGAATTATCTTGAGCGTTCGTGGGTAGAGGTGGTGCTTCTGTCAATTGAGGTGTTACATTCGAACCGCTGGGAGGGCTGTCTGTCAACGATCTGGAGGAGGAACTCTTCGGAATGGAAACACTAAGATCGGCGTGTGAAGTGGGCGATTCAGGCGCATCATCGAACGATTCCTGATACGAATAAGTTGTCATTATGGGGCCCTCGAGGAAAGTGAGTATATTCGGGTCGAGGAGGTCAAAGGCTCACTGCTTCGTAAGTTTCGCTATTGCGTCTGGAGGACGACATATTTCAGACCCGACCACCTGGGGAGGGGGGGCCAAAACTATGTAAAACCAGTTGGTATCCGAATTGGAGCTTCCAATGGATACAGACGAGGCTGAATACAGGCGCGATACGTGGAGCGGGGGCGATTGAGGAGGTTAGGATGATAAAATTTCCATGATAGGGAGGTGGAGGCAGGCGAAAATGGAGACGATAGCCACCGACGGTTGTCAGAAGATAGTAAATTAATATGGGTGGTGGAGAGAGTAGGTGAGGAGTTGAGAGCTGAGGGAAGGAAGAAGGGGGAGGGGAGGGGGGTGGAGAGAGAATTGTGAAGGGACACACAGCAAGAAGCCTGGAGGTTGGATGAACGGACGGAGATGGGGATGAATGGAATGAATGGACCCAGAAGGTCAGCGCAAGCAGGTGGAATTCCAGGACCGTGCCACGGAACTAGGAAGTACTCCGAAAATTCAGGAGGTTGACTCCCTTTTCCTTTTTGATCCTTGAGTAGCAAGACACAGAGATACTGTGCAGTTACTGTGAGAATCTATTATGAATGATTGAGACTGACTGACTGTTACTGACTGTTGTTGAATGGAAACGGAAACTTCCTCCCACCCCCCTTAAACTTGGTACTAATCCATTACTTACTAGTCAGGAGAAGAAGAACCTTCCAACAAAGCAATTGCCTGACCGACATCAATCACAATCATTGATAGGAAAACCCTGTACTTGTGTATTGCAAGATATTTGTACCTTCCATTCATCTATATGTTTTTCTATATTCCCCCTATTCTTCCTTATTGACTCTACTGACCTGTGATGTTGTTATTGTTCGAATACCTAACCTGCACAAAAGAAAACATTACTTCCTAAAGCCACACCTGTTATTCTGAAACCGACCAACGTCCATTAGTTTTATTCATCCGACCCCCTCGACAGCTGCCGTCTCCACAGGCTAGTTTTGTATCTACATAGATTCCACTATCTTTAGCAGTGGTTTAGTCGCACCTGCGTCTACTATGACGAATTGTAATACTCCGTACGCAGAGCATAACTAAATAACCACACTAATAAGCAAGGATTGATTGGCAAAAAGGGACCCAAGTATTGTTATCCTATCAAAATCCTCCGAAAAATGGCTGCACTCCATCAGATTGTGATGCGGACTGTCCAGATCGGTCGGCAAGGGATGATGATCATGATCGTCTCAACAGGCAAGTGACTGTTCGAAATCCAGCCACCGACGCTGTCGCAGCGGGTCCAGCTTCTTTAACTCCGCAAGCCAGCTTAAGACCGCCCGTTTCTGTGCATCGCCGGGAGTAATTCCCTCCACCTTCCAAGCCAGTAAGGTGCAGTCAATCAAGGCTTGGTAGAGATATTTACAGTCTTCCGCCCCGTCCAGCATGTCTTCGATCTCTTCAATTTCCTGTCGCAAATATTCCAAGCGGTCCGAGTCACTGAGATTGGGTGCCATCGTGTGGGCCGCCACCGTCGGGTCAAAGACGCACATCAAGTTCTGGTGGTAAAACCATAGTGACTGGTCAAATGGGTCGCACAGGGCACGATGGATCAGTTCCAACTCTTCCGATATGACATGTTAGTATGCCCACGCAGTCATACGCTTCTGTTTAGGCCACACCGCAGGAAAAGAAACATACCGTCATCGAGCATCTTTCTCCGCTCCTCATCGCTGGCTGATCGCTCGTTCAGCAATCGCTGGATCAACTTGGTACGGTAGTGCCAAGCAGAAAAATTCGAGAGGTTGGCGCCGATCATCTTCTTTGCGTAGTCAAATTCAGCCTTGGTCATGTCCTCGTCGGTCTGCTCTGCGGACTTGAACTCGCGGAGCGTCTCTATGACAAATCTCCTGTAGCCCCAGCCGTGAAAGTTCCTGCTGTCGAGGTTGAGCATCGTGCTTACCAAGCCCAATTCTTCCTGCCAGAATCGACTGGCAATTGAAGCTGGGAGCAGGCGTTTGGCTTCGTCCAGGAGCCAGACGCGGTAGTTCCATATCCAATAGCACTTGGGGAAGCTCTTGAGTAAGGGAATCAGAAATAGCAGGTCACTCTTGATCAAAGCAGCGACCTGTTCCGCTGCGGCCTCGTTGGAGCCATTAGATTCCGCACGCGCGAATTCACTTCGCAGGACCTGACGACGATAATTCCAAATCGTATAATATTCTGGATTGCTACTCAATAATTCTGATATCTTTTGTAACGTCTCTGGCGTGTATTGATGTAGCGCAATCTGGTTATCACTGTTAGGTCACACCTCGCGGAAGTATAAGTGCATACTAATAAATATTAGACCTACCCTTTCTCGGACCGACTGCTCGAGTTCTCGATATATCTCGATTTTGCGAAGCTCTTGCTGTCGAGCTTCTTCGGTTCGGGCTCCTTTACGAGCGTATCGAGGAATCCCATGCTGTAGTCATACACACGGTCAGTTTGACATGTGTAAGTCGATCCGGTAAGGATAGGTACGTTACTTCAGCCATTATGAAAAAATAAGATCTTGTTGAGGCTGCTCAGTCAACCGTGTTTTCTTCGCCAGATGGATTGCAAATCGGGGGGTAACTAAGGTTATCGATAAGAGACGAGCTCGGAGCGAGTATATGAAGCCCGTCCACTTACCGTGGTCCGAGTGACCGAGTTACCGGTTGCCTTTTCAACGAAGGGAGACGGGAGCTGCAAGCCACTTTCCCCTATAGGATGGGTCACGTGCCATGCTTCTATACAACATTCTCCTGAGCACTTTGTCGAAGGTGGTTTACTCGGTTGCTTCATTCCGACTCTTGCCAACTATCACTCCACCATGCTGCTACCTGGCAGCATGGCTGTATATCAATAAGAGCTCCGGCTGATTACTTGGCTTCACGAGCAAGACCACAAGACACGATAACTTAACCAAGCGTTCTTTATACATCTGGGATTTTACGTTCTATGCTTCCTCGCAGACCGAGGCGGGGAGAGCGATGACCCCAAGCACTCGCTCATCGCGAAGCTCAATGCTGACAGTTTCTCATTCCCGTTTAGATACAAGTTCTTTACCCAATACTTCTTCCAATCGGGATGGGCGGGTATCATCGTTTCACCTGCGTGCGAGTGCCCCATCACTTTTGGAGCCTGTCGCTCATTCTAAACTCAATATACATACTCCTCCTTCTGGCTCTAAGTACGTGCAGGATCCCAAGGGCGTTCAATGTTCTCCTTTCAGATCGAGAGGCAGAGGATCGCTCACCCCCGAAGCGAATGTGCTGAGGACACCAGAGCACGGAGTGTCAGGAGTCTCCTCGAAGACTACAAAGAAGACTAGACCCAAAGTTAGGCTCCCTCTACATTACACACCGTCTGGCTGTAACACACAGACTATATTGCCTGATCGATATATCCCCATGCGAGGGTCCCACTGTGCACCTACTACACCATTTCATATTATCAAGAAACCACGAGAGTTGTCTCCCGAGGAGAAGCTGCTGCGACGACGACCGCCTAGAGATGATCCATTCATGCCATCACACCTTCCAAGGTCCTTCAGTGATCCAAAGCCGCCGTCTAGCCGTATCTGCAGCACCCATTACCGTCCTCACCTTGTCACTGAGCCTGTGCTTACCGGGAATGATTCGTCGCGTGATTTGAGAGACATGACTAGGCAGATCAGCCATGGAGCCGTATGGAATGTTGGAGGAAACTCTGCAGCGCTGGGTCGAGCATCTCTAGCAGTTCCTCATGGCTCAGGCACTCATTTTGCCAGTGGCACGACCGCACCCATGTTCACTGCTAAGTTCTTGCCCCAAACCGCGGCAACCGAGGAACGAGAAAAACACAAATCGAGGGTGGCTCTGGCTTTGGACTTCGACCCGGCAACAAGACTTGTTAGAAATAGTAAGCCCTGGCCAATGCTCCGCAAGTTGCCCAGTCCAGCTTCGACAGATTACGAGAGGTTCTCTCCGTTCGTGTGGAAGGATAACGCCTGGAAACGGAATGGTAGAGATCTGTGTAAGTCCAAGTCCTAACCGTCCTCACAAGGTCACCCAAGCGCATATGCTTTTCGTGGTACTACTTAGAACCAGACTTTGTCAGTCTTGTTTGTCATCCTCTCAATTTCCCCTGGGTCACTCACAGTTTCAAGGGCTAACACTGATTGTTGAAACCATTATCAGGGATGCCGGTTTCGAGGCCGAATAAACGAGTAGTCCCCAATCGTCCATTTCGCATCCTAGATGCACCCCTCCTTCGGGATGATTTCTACTGCTCGACATTGGCTTATTCGCCTACATCGGGTATTCTCGCTGTTGGGTTGGGTCATCGCGTGTATTTATGGTCCGAGGATTTTGGGGTGCAGCATCCTCCTCTTAGCGATCAGCACCCGTCAAACTACGTAACATCATTGGCATTCTCTTCGGATAATGGTGGAAAGAGTATACTGGCGGCTTCACGACAGTCGGGGATGCTGTGTTTATGGAGTGTCTTTGACGCCGAGGTTCGGTTTGAGATTAGCCATCCTGAGAGTATTACATGTGTGGCCTTCAAGCAGACGAAGTCCCGCCGGCTCTCGGAGAGATTCCGTCATATGGAAGTTGATGTCGAGGACCTGGCCGTTGGGGATGACTTAGGGAACATATGGTATTACTCCGTTGAGTGGCCCGATGATGCCATATTGGATCGATACGACTGGAGTGGAGCCATGACTTTGCTAGCCAAAATTGCTGCTCACACACAGCAAATATGTGGGATAAGTTGGTCACCAGATGGTTCGTTTCTTGCAACAGGGGGTAATGACAATTTTTGCCTGCTATTCGAGCTCCAGACCATTCTTCCTCCACGCGAACTCAACCTTTCTGTTCAGTCATGTTCGTCATACCACTCCTCACACCAATCGACTTGCCGATCAGGCCAGTCAGGAGGCACCGAGGGTACGGGTTCGCTTTCTCACCCTACCGAGTCGAGCAGACGCCGCCACCGAAGGCGCAGTCTCATTGGCAACCTGCTTCCGCCCTGGGCGTTATCCTATGTTCGGCCTTTTGCTACATCTCTTCTCAACCATACAGGGTCCTTGATTACCGGTGGTGAGAAGACCATCATGGTGCCAGCCAACCGTCAAAAACATCGATTGCTCCACGGTGCAGCGGTGAAAGCGATTGCATTTGCACCCTGGCAACCATCTCTCCTGGCCACAGGCGGAGGATCAAATGATCGAACTATTCACTTCTACCATGCTCCGACGGGGGCATGTTTGGCCACAATCCATGTATATGCACAGGTGACAGGTTTAATTTGGAGCAAGACCCGGCGGGAAATTGTAGCTACATTCGGTTTTGCACAGCCAGAGCATCCTTACCGCATCGCCGTGTTTGCTTGGCCCACCTGTGAGCAGATCGCTGCAATCCCTTGGGGTCCGCACGGCAGCAGTTGGGACAGTGCAGATAATGACCCCGTGGTCGATTGCGGACGGGCACTCTGCGCTGTCAGTTACCCGGGAAGGCCCCATAGTTTCGAACGCGGGATATCCGACGAGACTGACGACGCAACCACGTCGAGCGCAGCAAACCACGACCGTTTAGCAGGACAGAGCCGGTATCAGCCAAGCCGACGCCGTACGAGTCGCGCCTTCGTACGTCCCCGCGCGAAAGAGGGAGGCTTATGGTGTTCGCGTACAATGCACGAAGGGTGCATTATCGTGGCTTCCAGCGATCAGAGCGTCAAATTTCATGAGGTTTGGAGTGGATCTAAGCAAAGCACCGCCGCAGTGGCGGGCTCATTTGGGGGTAGTGGCATCCTCGAGGGCTTGGAAGGTTTAGAGAAACCAGGGGATGAGATCATTCGTTAATGCTGACGATCCTGATAGAGAGGTGTGCTAGGGATTGGGACGTTTGCTTTGGTGTATATCAATATTGCAACTCACTAGGTCTTAGACTGTAACTCATTATCCTTACGGGTCGCTTAGGCATATTCGATACCTTTACAGACTTTTTGTGCCCGAATCACGGAGGTCTATTGAATGGAAATCGGACCGGGCCGACGATCCCTTGCTGTATGGGTTTTGTCTGTCCATCAATAGCGCGCCTTGACTCAGTCAAGCTTTGTTCATTGCGATCTTGCATGCTTGAAAACGAATGATAATACTCGGTAGACTAGAGGTTCAGCATCCACCTTGCTGAAAGATTCAATTATTGCCGCCCTTGGGTGGGCACGTCATCCGAAGGAGTTTTGGTCTTTACTCTGGAGTATGTAGCTCCTCACCCACCACCCTATGTATGCACTTGCACTTGCACCAACACCGCATCCTCCTCTAAAACCGAAAAAAGATCCAACCTCCCAGCCCACCACGCTAGCCAGGATGGGCGCAGTCACCGCCATTCTCATTTCCCCCCTCCTGGCCGTCAGCACCGCTGCCCTAACTACCACAACAATGAACAGTGGCAATAGCAGCGGCAGCGGCAGCGGCACTACATTTCCCAGCACCCTCAACATCACGACCCTCACAGCCCACAACAACCAGTCTGTACTCGAATGCTGGGCCCTCCAACCAGGCTACTCCCTCACATCCGAAGCCGGCGTATCCGGTAACGTCGTCCTCGACCTCGGGCCCATCACCAACAACGCAACCAACATCCTCATCCCCGCCAAGTATGACGGCGGCCGACATAATGCCCCCGCGCTGCAGTACGTTTCTCCCCTCAGATTCCTTCAATCCTCCGCAACTTTGCATTGTGACTCAATAACTGGGGGCGGGAGGTGGGGGTGCCGGGGGGGGGGAAGGAAGATAATTAACAACAACACAAAATTCAGGTGGGTGATTTTCCTCTCCGGACTGGCGCATATCACACTACCGTACTCCGACGATGAGGCGTGGGTGAGCGGGGGCAAGAACGGCGCGATCCTGGCGCTGGATACGAAGGAAGTCAGCGCGGAGGGCCATGCGACGACTTATCCGTCTGGAGAGATGACGGTCGCGTTGGAGGTGCCCTTGTCGCAGGTGCCGGAGCATCGGGTGTTGCACTCGGGGGCTTGTCGGGTCGGGGAGACGTTGGCTTAGCGGTTCGGGCTTCACTAGTGACACATGGTGTGTGTGCTATACATATCGCCTAACTATCTACGGTACGGATAAGTACCGGGCGAGATGTGAGGAACGTGTCACGTAGACGTCTGGCTATGACGGACTGCTTACTAGTAGTATAGTGTCCGACGAGGACAACAAGACTGACTTGAAAATTTGCTCGAGCAATGGAAGAAGATGGGAAGAAAGACTCGGATGGTTGTTACAATATATTCAGGCATCACATTCCCCTCTCCGCCCCCTTTATTTTCCCACTCCCTAAATCCAACATGATGCAGAAGATTCGGGGGAACCCCAGATCAAGAAGATACAATAGTACGAACTCACAATTAGATCAATCAAGCAAAAACATAATAATTCTTTACTCATACTCTCTCAAAACAACTGCGCTTTGCACTTTTGGGGTTGGAGGCCATTATGAAACATCCCGGAGAAAGACATCAACGTCGCTGCTGCTGCTGTGATTGAGAAGAACGCGGGGTATAAAATCTAAAGGTCAGAGGGAGGAGAAGAAAAAGAAAAGAAATTTGATCTATATCGCCTATCTTTTTCCTGCCTTCTTGCCCTTACCTCGTCCACCGCCACCACCGCTCAGCCTGGCCTTCTTGGAAGGCGGAGGCTGAGGAGCAGAAGTGACCTCGTCATCAGACTCGTCCTCGTCTTCCGTGTCTGCGATGAAGTCCGCCATCGAGCCAACGCTCGCGGCGTCTTCGTCATCCTCGTCCTCATCTTCCTCAAGGGACTCTTCCGCGTCCGAGGAGCCAGCAGACTCCTCCGCCTCAACATCGAGAATGTTCTCGTCCTCATCCTCCTCCTCCTCGCTACCTTCTTCCTCATCCTCAGACGAGTCTCCGCCGTAGTGCACACCGTTCATTATCGACTCTTCCTCGTCATAGGTCTGGTCGCGTATCGACTTGGTGCGAGGAGTGACAGTGTCCTTATGTGCCTCAGCATCGCTGTCATCGTATTCGTCCTCCTGTCCCTCGACGTAGATGATGTTCTCCTCGTCCTCACTGTCCATGGCCTCCTCGCCCTTGTGCATCGCCCGTCTCAGTCCGAGCTGAGCATCCAACATATCAAGCTTGCCCTTCAGCAGAAGCAGCGAAGGAAGGCTGGAAGCGCGTTGCTCCATGACCTTGAAGAGGGTCGACATGCGCTTCAGAAGCTCGGGCTTGCCAGCAAGGGCGCCACCGTGAGCGACACAGGTCCACTGCACCCACACGAGCAGGTGTCCGTAGCGGCCGGGACGACCGGAAAGACGCTCGGCGAGCTTCTGGAGGAGAGTGGCTGCCAGGGACGAATCAAGACGCTGAATGGTGGTGCGGATGATGGAAAGATCGCTTGTCTGAAAGCATGATTCGAGCATAGCGGTATCGTTGGTCTTAAGAGATTGGGTGAGCACGGTGGACAATGATACACCCGAAGGAATCTGCTGCACGGCGGCGTTTGGCTTTCCGGGTATTAAAGATCCCATGTGCACGTCGTCTTCAAGCTCGGCTTCGACGTCAACAATTTCCTGGTTAGCGCGCACAAGCTCGCCAAATGATGGCTCGCCGGTCTCATCTTCTTCCTCCTCAGAGCCTGACTCCTGCCCATTGCCCATCTCAACATCGCTATCATCTTCCTCCTTCTTGTGCAATTGCTTCGAGGGCTTTTCATTGTCGGCGTCAGAGTCGGACTCTTCTCCACTATCGGCCATGGAAACAGCATCTTCTTTGGTATCTTGCATTTCAACGTCATCTTCCATCATGTTTCCTTGCTCGACTGTGACCCTGGTTTGGTCGACGTCGACGTCCCTTGCGCTCTTCTTTCCGTTCGTGGCCACTGACCCCAGAACTCCGCCAGTCTTGGTTCTAGGAATGGTTTTAGTCCCGGTGAATAGCACCTCATCAGTCTCTTCATTGAGCCATTGGATCCGCTCAAAGACGGGAATGACACCTCCGTCGGCCCAGACAAGAATTAACTCGGGGCCTTGGAATGCCGCTGCCACAACAGAAACCAGGGCCTCGGAAGTCGCAGAGATGGTGACCTTGATCGATGCCTCTGCTCTTCTGATAATCTGCTTTGATCTGGCCTTTAGGCTAGCAGCACCCTTGGCTGAAGCCTGTTCAATGGGGAGAACAAATGGCCGCGTGAAGAGTTCAATCGTGCCATCTTCAGTCACAGCGGCAAGCACTTGCTTCTCTGCCGGCAGAGCAACGCCGTTTTTCTCAACGCCAGTATACAGAGCCAGGGAGCTCACACCCTGCTCAGCAACGAGATTCATGGCAAGACCTGTATTCTCGATATCGAAAACATTGATGTAACGATCACTATCGGATGTAAGGAACAAGCCTGTAGCCGCGGATTCTGTGGACGAGGTGAAAATTTGTCTGATAGGGTTGCGCATGGCGGGAAACGACACAGGAGATTCGTCCTTCTCCACACTAACGATGTACGGAGTTTGAGAGGCACAGATGACATGGGGGTTGAAAGGGAGAGGGCGCGAAAGCGTGTTGTATGTCGACGTGGAGGGTAGATGAATAGATCTGACCGCATGATTAGCCGAATTGGAAGTGATGAGAGGTGACTTGGATGAGCTTACCTCGTCTTCTGTCCAGTGCGGAGGTCCCACTGCACGAGTTTGTTATCTCCACCGATACTCCAACCCTCCTGGCCAGGTCGACTAGAAGTGAATTTGAAATCCCGAATTCCTTTCTCATGTGCATCTGCAAGCGTGCCAACAATCTTATCCTCCACAGGCGAGTACATTTTGATCTCGGAGGTGTTGGTCCCGAAGGCGACGACAACATCGCCCTGATCGAAGGCATCACCATTGATATCAGAATTCCTCTTTCTCTTCTTCTTCGACAAATCCTTGTCCTTCTGACGACCGATGAAGTAACCCCAGTCAAGCGATGTGACGACCTCCTTGGGACCTAAAACATGCTCGCACTGTAACCGTCCTGTATTCGTATCGTGAATGCGGAGATGCTGAGCACCGAGACCCTGGATTACCGACGCGAAAAGTGCCAGTTGGTACTCCGATGGGGCGAAAGATGCCTTCAGAATTGAAGACTGATTCCCAACCTGGGTCATTCCGACCATCGCGGGCGACGCAGCGGAGGAAGTTTTCGTTGCGGCCGGGCGAGACGCTTTCTTGGCCATTTTCAACGGTCTCTGCGGGTAAAATCAAGGCGATAGACGCAAGATATATTTGTGTCGCAGGAGTTGTAGCGGCGATTGTATAAAGAGCCTAACCCCACGGCAAAACCGAGCAACAATCTCTTAACTCTGGAAACCTGTTGTGCTGGTCGACCGTCGCCGACTTTCTGAACCTGAGTTGAGGTTGCTGAAGAGGAAAAAAAAGTTCTGTAGTGATGCGCTTGGCCTGTTGCGGCTTAGCCGCCCGTGATCGAGTTCCGCTCCGGGTGTCTTATCTAATCCTCCGCCGCGGCCAAGCGCAAACCCCCCCCCCCCTCTGCACAAAGTACTAACTAATCACTGCATCTTAAAATGATTTCCATGTTTAAGTCTACGTACTCTGGCACCTTTCTCAGCTTAGCATCACTATGCAAGATTCCGAAAGTTCAAGGCCTTGAAAACAGACAATCATTACCTCTAGTGCCGGCGGTCTCGACAAGAACCGGAAAGAGTCCTCGTTTTGTCGTTAAGATCATTTATTCCTTGTGATTACTGTCGCAGCCACTTGCACTGCCAGAGCTACAATGCTTGGTATACCAGCTCACAGCCAGCTAATCAGATTCGTGACGATGTTTCGGTAAACTAACACTGAATGTGCCACATCATTATGGTCACATCGTTCAAGTCACTGATCCCAACCAAAGACAAATATCTTAGCTGAGCAAAATCGTATCCAACCTAATGGAGCGACTCGATGCCATTACTATCGAGATCACAGGCGCCACAGTTTGTGAACGGCTGCCTAGACGAGTCACCCTGACGAAAAGCGCCCAGTGACAACTATCCGATATGTGTCATACTCATTGAGACCCATGACCTGAGAGCGTCATGTTCTCTGTGTGAGGTCCAGCCTCTTATTTGATGATCGTGGCGGGCACTTCTACGAATCTCTCACCTATACGACTCAACATGCCCTGTCTCCAACATTGATGCGACTTATTATGACAAATCCATTAAATTCGTCGAATGCTCGAAGTTCGGTCTTTCGGAGATTTGATTTGCAGCGACCCAAGGGGTTTGTTACATCAACATTGACACTAATCTTGATGCGATGCAAGGGGAGGGCTCAGGGCACAACCCTGGGGTTATGGCAGGTCAGCAGACCAACACATCCTAGCTCGGGCGACCAGCAGGCAACTAAGGGAAGTTCCCATCAGATCCATGATGCATCCTTCCACCGCTGAAGGCCTAACCCGTCTCTATCGGGTATGTCATATCTGATTCCACTTGCTCAATGTACCAACAGTGATGCATCTGGTCGATAAAATCACAGGGTGCAGATCGGTAGTGTCACCGATTAGTGAGTTGGACTGGTTTTGTTTCCGTTCGTTCTTTGAGGATATTATTCTCATCGATCACTCACCGAGCGAATCTTTTCTTTTTTTTCCAATTTTTTTTTTCTTTTTTTTTTTTTTAACCCCCCCTTTACCCTTACACTCCCTCTGTCTTGGGTGTCGAGGACTCGATGTTTCCGACGGTCACTGGGATTCTCTGGTACGGAAGGGCCCATCGGCCAGGACTTGATACAACCAATAGCAAGATGAAGTTCGTCGAACGCGTCATCGGCCAACCAATGAGGAGATGTAGAATGGCTTGAACTAGATAATTTGGGACTAGCGTAGCAGATGGAGTTAGCGGCAGAGAGCGGATGGGCGCGACGCGGCCGTTCGTACTTAAGGATTCTAGCACCCCCTCCGACTTTCTCTGTCTCTGTTTCTGGAGCTGAGAGCTGAGAGCTGCGCGCCGGTCACGCTTTTTCCCCTACTTTCCCACCAACGCACCCCCCCAAACAAATCATCCTTCCCTCTCGCCTCTGACCGCCCTCCTCCTCACTCAATCCCATCACCCTTCGTCTGCTTCCCAGACTGTTTTGCTGCCCCGTGTTATCCTCGGTTGCCCTGGGATATTACTCACGCGTCCGGTCTCGCGTCGCGCGCTCTCTGTCTCGCGGGTCTCCAGCCACAGCTACTGCAGCTGCTTATTTTTAGTTGGGATCATTTTTATTCTATTTTCTTTTTCCCAACCTTTCTTCTCTTCCCCTTTTTCCTTCCCTTTTCCACATTATTATTAGCAACGACTTCCGTCCAAGCTCCCGAACCCAATTCATTTTATCCGTCTCCTCCCCCCTTCTCTCCATCAACCGCGTCGCAAAATTCCTCTGGCCTCAGGCATTAACAAAGGGCACGTGCATGTGAAGCACGGTTGAACATTCAACCTCTCGGGCATCCATTGACATTCCCCTTGACTGTCATCTTATCTCTTTCTCCTTCCGCTTCTGATTTCGTTTCCTTTTACTTCCGTCTGGCGCCGTTGCCTCCCGCTTAGCTAACACACGCTCGCCGCCCACGTGACTGCTGCATTTACCGCCCGCCGCCTCTTGGCGATATAAGTACTTGCTCTGTCGCATTCTCCACATCTGCGACCCGCGCTAATCTTCATCCTTTCCTGTATCTGCTGCAACTCCCGTGGCGTCGCATCAATCTGGGATTGCTCATTCAACCGGTTTTCCCTTTCCTCATCTGTCATCTAATCAGCTTACTTGCTCGCCCGCTTATCGAATCCATTCATTAGTCTGTGATAGCGCAGAGTGTTCCCTATTCAGTTGATTGTTGTTGCCGTCGCTTCCTAAAATCCTCGGGTAACCGAGACTCCCATTGGAATCGCCGCCTGCTTAGATTTCCTGTATCTCGGCCACCCCAAGGAGGGCTTTCTTCACAGCGAACCCAATGGCGACGCCGCCTCCAGAGGCCTCTTCTGTTGTCAAGGAGGAGAAGCCTCAACTGCCGCCGTCGCCCAATGGAGTCTCGCCTGCTGGTGTCGATCGCGCAAGGTATGTATCTTTGTTGCTTCCCTTGGCCTTGTTTACGTGTCGTCGCTTACTGTTCATGCAGTTCGCAGGATGCTGTAGTCGGTGTCAAACTGGATGCGCCGGTCAACGGCGCAGAGACACCCTCAGAAGTGGCAAAGTCCGCTGCTGTCAATGGGCATAGTGCCGAACCCAATTCCGTCCCAAACGGCCTGTCTGCAGCCGCCTCTCCACCCAAGTCTCCCCTGCCGAGTACAGATACACCCGCACAGCCAGCCGTCGCGTCCGAAAATAAGGAAGCTTCCAACGTGGGTTCAGTTGCGACTGGCGGCGAAGATAAGGCTAGTGCTAGTAACAGTACATCTGTTACTGACAAGGCTACGGGTGCGGGTGCGGACACCCACAGTCCGAAAAACACACAGGCATCACTGGATACGTCAAAGCTATCAACTGATCGGTCCGAAGCCAAAGTGGAGAGCACTGCGCAGTCATCACAGAACACTGGATCCGTGAAAACAGAACTTCCCCACCATCCTTCCAACAGCCCATCCAAAAGTGATACTGTCAAATCTACCTCTGTGGTGCCACCTCTGACAAGTGTTGATCAAGAGATGCGTGACGCCCCAGCGGTTCCAGCTTCCCCGACGAAAATCACGAGAGAGCGAGAGTCTGATCATGTTGACGAGCCCGCTGCTAAACGTACCAAGTTTGGCGGCGAAGGCGCGTCTGCCACGGATTTTAAAGTTCCTAGCGCGCCCTCACCAGCTCCTGAAAGTCGCTCCGCCGTCTCGAGCAATGGTTACAGCGGGATCACTAAGGTTCAACACAAGTTCCTGCTCAAGTCGATTCAAAGCCTGAAGCGCATGCATGACTCGCGCTTCTACAGAGATCCTGTAGATCCAATCAAGCTGAACATCCCTCATTACCCACAAATCATCAAGCAACCGATGGATCTGGGGACCATTGAGCAAAAACTCAAGATGAATGATTATAGAAGCGCTCAGGCTGTAATCGATGATTTCAGATTGATGTGCCAAAACTCCTTAACCTTCAACGGCCCCGATCACTTGGTTACAATTGAAGGTCAGAGACTCAGAGGGACTTTTGAAAAGCAGATGCACAATCTACCTAGGCCTGATGAGATGGAAGAAAAGAAGCCGAAGAAACTCCCTCCCAAGACATCGGCAGCCCGTCGAGAACCTCGGGCGGCGCCAAGTCCCAGTACGGCCCGTGCTACCGGCAACTCCCCTCAGTCCACCACCTTTGCTCTAGGTCCCGAAGGTCTTCCGCTGATTCGTCGTGACTCTGCTGCTAATGCAGATGGTCGTCCTAAGCGCTCTATCCATCCTCCCAAGCGGGATCTTCCATACGCTGCAAAGCCAAAGAAGAAGAAGTATCAATGGGAGCTGCGCTTCTGCACCGAAGTATGCGAGGAAATGTACAAGCCGAAGCATTTCAACTATGCAGCACCTTTCTACTACCCTGTTGACCCAGTCGCCCTTAACATCCCTACCTACCACAGTATCATCAAAAAACCGATGGATCTCTCTACTGTACAGGCCAAGTTGAAGGCCGGTCAGTACGAGAATGCCAGGGAATTTGAACTTGATATGCGCTTGATCTTCAAAAACTGTTTCAAATTCAACATTCCCGGCGATCCCACTTATGTTGCCGGCCAGCGCCTAGAGGAGGTCTTCAACCAGAAATGGGCACAAAAAACCCGTTATCTCGAAACCCACGAACCGCACCCCGAGCACCAGAGTGCTGCCGAGTCGTCCGAAGAAGAGAGTGAGGAAGAGGCCGAGGAAAGCGACTATGACGCCGAGAAGCTCAGTTTGCTGCAGAAGCAGATGGAAGAAATGTCTCGTCAAATTGAGGCTATAACCCAGAAGAAGAAAAAGACTCCTCCCGGCTCTAAGAAACTTAGCAAGTCTAAGCCTCCCATCAAAAAAGAGGTCAAGAAACCTGGAAGTGTGGGTCTAAGCAGCGTCAAGAAAGACAAAAAGATCAGTAACAAGAGTGCCAAGCCTGAGAAACAGCGCTGGGTCACCTACCAGGAAAAGCAGATCATTTCGAATGGGATCAGTAGTCTTCCGGACAAGAAGATGCAGGAAGCGCTCAAGATCATTCAGAGCAACGTTCCTTCTCTTAAGGTATGTTTACCTCTTTTCTTTTAGCCTTGTGCTGTGACGTTGACACAGTTAAATAGGGTACACAAGAGACAGAGATTGAGCTTGATATTGATGAGCTTCCTAACGAGGTTCTCGTGCTGCTTCTTCGCTTTGTCAAAAAGAACGCCCCTCACGTTTTGGAGGATGAGGATATTGCGACTCCTACTGTGGCGGCATCAACTACGACCGCTGCTCCAAAGCCTAAGAAGAACAAACCTATGAGCAAGTACGAGCAGGAGGCGCAGATTAACATGCTTGAAAGCAATCTCTCCCGCTTCTCGCAGGGCGGCGGTGGCCGCTCGCCAGACCCGGTCCCCTCTGTTGAAGCCAATGAGAGTAGTGATGATTCAGAAGATGATTCTGAGGAGAGCGAGGAGGAGTAAATCTCTACCAAGTGGAGCCCTAGCCACAAAATAATGGGCTTGGGCCGTGGTGTTGTTTTCCTGGCACATGGAATCCATCACGAGTCTCTAGGACCTCTCATCGTTGCTACTCTGCGCTCCTGTCTGTTCTTTTTGCCTTGTTCTCCATACAATAATGAGCTATCGTTCGTTCCTTAAGTCCTTTCTCTTTCCCCCTAGCGATTCTTGACATTTGGGGGACTGTTCGTTATTCCCTAGCTGCTCCCGAGCTGTACATAAGGCGAGGCTGGGGGGTCCGCTAAGTGATTCGGATTAATGCCGGGCGCACAGCGCGACAATATTGGAAGATTGAAGTTGCTTTCGTTGGGCAGTCCCTGCGTTAGCCTCGAGCTGGCGAAATGGCCAGCCAGTGTTCAGACAAGGGTGACTATCCTAATGAGCAAAGAGTGGTGAAGTGGTGAGGGTTTATGTATGATTACGAAAGAAACGTGAAAACGGAAGCGATTGCGAAGCATTACTTGTGCTACGTAGGCCGTGTTGGTCTCAACGAATATCTCCCTCTGGATGGTAAATCTAAGATACTATACTCTTTTGATATTTCACATTCTCCAAGCAGTCCTGCGCTGAGAGCTCAGGACTCGGGGGCCTCGTTGCCTGGAGTTATGGCGGTGAACGGACCGGCATCTCCGCGGAGGTTTAGCCAGTATGTAAGTAAGATAAAGCAAGTAAACATCCTCAAACAGCATCATCCCCCCCGCCCCTCCCCTCAGATTTCTACCAAACAATGATACCACCGTGTGATCCAGTCATTCTCCACAATAATCCCCAGTTCAAACGCCTATATGAACAGGTGACTACCACGTTCCTCAATCCCGACGGCTCGACGCGCGCCGATGATGCACAGCCGACGAGGAAGGCGGTTTTGGACGTATGTCAGCCTGGTACTTCACGGAACTCTGCAATCTATTCCTCTAAGCAGGAATAATTTGATCATTCTAGGACCTGAAGGAATGCCGCATTCGCGATGCGAGGACGAAGATCAAAAAGCAGACCTTGCGACGATTGGCATTCGACCCTGACAGCGGGCTTCCTGAGGAGGTAAGGGACCGCAGCGGACTTCAAAACATAAATGCCGCCTGTCATACGTTATGCGCGTCAGCGACTGACATGAGTAATTGGGACACTCTTTTTTGGAGCAGTTTCGGGATCCCGCAGCAATCGTCTACCTCTACCTCGAGTCCTGCCCCGACCTGTTCAACCTTCCCGCGGACAACGACAACCAACCGGATGCCAATGCCCTCCAGCTCCTCGCCCCCGACATCAGCCTATTCTACTGCAACCTTCCGGATCTCATCGAGCCTTTTTCTCGTATCTTACTGGCTGACCTTCAGGACCTGCGCACCATCACCGATGCAGGAACAGATTCAGATACGTCTAGCGCCGAAGCACCTACAGGAGAGCCCTCCCGCACCCGCGCTCGCACGCGTCAGATGACAACGCGCAGCAGAAGGGCCATAGACTCCCAGCCATTCACTCTCGCTTCGCAGCTGAACAAGCGCATCCGGGCGCTGCGCCACCTACAGTTGAGCGAGCTACCTGCAGCACGGACCCGCATGGCTGCGACAGCAGCCGAGGTACTAGCGACGCGGGCGGCGGTGCTGGAACGGATGGTGATCCTCCTAGAACGGGCGAAGCACGGGGCATTCGCTCGGGCGACGAAGGCCAAGGCAGAGCATCTGGTTACGGTCGCGCAGGAGTTGAATGGAAGGCTCAAGTACTTCTGCTCTTTTCTTTTCTCCTACCTTCTCGGGGCCTTTACGGAAGTCGCTGACGCTAATATGTTGGTATGTAGAGTTATGAAACTGGAGATCTCGGCCACGATTCATACACCGGAAGTTATTGCGGCGCTTGGTCGGTATTGGGATCATCTCGAACGAACGCGGGAACGGTGGGAAGAGAGGCGTGTAGCGGCACTGGAGGAATTAAAGGCATACGGCGTTGAGGATAAGGATGGAAAGGGTGGAGAAGAGAATGCCTCGAGAGACACGATACGCTCCGAGCACGAATCTATGAAGGAGGTGTACCGCCGCTATGGGACACTGATCCGAGAGATTGAGGCCAAGAGCCGGGAGATAAAGCGAATGGACGAGTTGTGTTGAGCGTGGTGCTTGACGATGAAGTTTCATGATACCGAACCTGATGATGATGGACATAATACCTCGAAGATCTTTTTTTTTTTTTCATTTTTCATTTCTTCTTGGGAGTGACGAATATACATCTATAACTACTTTATAGTGATGCCGGCTGCACAGGACCACACGCCATCCAATCAGCCACCCCGCAATTTTATCAGTCACCTGACTCAATTCCGCCAAAAGTTCTCCCTTTGCGATAAACCTGAACCAATCTGAACAAGATCATCCCCGCTTCAGACACTTTTTCCCCTACTCAAAGAAAATTATCTCACGCGCAGCTCCCAAGAGAAACTATAATGGCGGACGACGCGATCTCCATCTACGATGAAATTGAGATCGAGGATATGACTTTCGATCCAAATCTCCAAATCTACCACTACCCGTGCCCATGTGGCGATCGGTTCGAGATCGCGATCGATGATCTCCGCGACGGCGAGGATATTGCCGTCTGTCCTAGTTGCAGCTTGATGATCCGAGTGATCTTTGACGAGGTAGGCTCCTTTCCTTTTCACTGAAGTACTGAATTCTATGCGATGATCCACGAACGTAACTGCAGGGGCTTGGGGCTAATTTGTCATCTTTCTTCACTCCATGCAGGCTGATCTTGCGAACCATGATGATAAGAATGGATCTGCTGGGGCGGTTGCTGTGCAGGCTTGAAGGGTTTGTGATCACCAGCAAGGGATGTCAGGATCGCTTGCTCATTGGGAGACTGCAGTAGACAGTTCGAGTTGGGTAGTATTCAGTAGGTGGATTGGTGCGCGTGATTGAATGTCTCGACGCCTAACAATCTTCTGGCCCCTTGGGCTTCTATATCTGACTGGTTGGCTACCTGAAAGGAGGCCGTGGTGCAATCGACCGCGCTCCCCGATATTGGGGGTTTGAGTTACCCTATCGCTCTGGGCATAGGCTGCGAGCATGCAGGACATCCCTTCTTGGGGTCATACTCAAGTCCCGTCACAGCCTGAGTGCCTGCCAATGCTCCCCAGATTCGCCGAATCGCAGCTCTATAGCCTCAGGATGGGGATATTCTCTCCCAATAGTTCGACACATCGATCACACCGCGGGTGCGACAATACAGCCGAATGTTACCAGGTTGTTAAACCAGGGTCCTCCCTGACCACAGATTATACAACTCTGCGCATCAAGCTGGCCATTCCAGGCAGCCTCGGCCTACAGATAGTCTAGCAGTTACTCGACAGTGAATTCATAAAACAAACTCTTGAGATATTCTCAAGCGCAATGTAATAATTTACATGACTCCTTGTAAAAACACCCACCTCATAAAATCATTTACCTACACACAATAGTATCCAGCTTATAACTCCCCCGTCTCATAGATGTCCACCCTCTCCCTTTAATCCAGCTCACTGTAGATATCCTCAGGCAGATTCAAAGTCAATTCATGGTTCAACAGATCGGTCAAGTTCGTTCCATCGCGCAGGTAGATCCATTGCCCGTTGACAAAGGGCCGCGACTCCTGCTTCTCATGCATCTGGTCCCCCTCGATGACCCAATCGAACCGCTTGGGACCAGAGATGGGTGAACTGAGCCAGATTTGCTTGTTGGGAGGCTGCTTGTTGAGCACGTACACGCCAACTCCGGGAACAGTGACGTTCATGACTCCGGCCTGGAGATGTCGCAATGCCCATAAGACATAGGGCATAAGGTTAGCTTGAATGTGGTAGTAGCGGGGAGAGAGAGAAGAGGGAGAGAAGAGCCAAAGGAAAACGAACGCTGTATTCGGCCTCAATTTCTGAGCCCTCTTCTTGACGGGATTCCACCTCCTCGAGCACAGTATTCAGGTAATGCTCTGCGTAGTCGTGGTACTGCCCGTCAGTCAATGGAGACGGCTCCGAGACGTGGGCGGCGCCGCCGGCGACATTGTGAGATTGCGGGTTCGGAGCGGCGGGGTCGGCAGAGTCGGGAAAAATGCCTTTGCACGTAGAGGGAGAAGTGTGAAAGCTCCGAAGAAGAGAGTTTCGAGAGCTTAGAAGGGCGGACTGTGGGAGAAGAGGTGTTGCTGCTGCTGCTCGTACTGCGAAGCGAGCACCTGCGCCGGCGCGGAGAGATGGACGAACGATGGCGGCGACAACAGCCCTGGGCATACTAGAGTACATGGCTATCGATGGTCACTGGAGATCAATTGACACAAAAATGAGCAAGAAGAGCGAGAAAAGGGAAAGAGTAGGAAGGGGGAGAATTGACTTGGAAAGAATCGGGGGCGGGGAGGAGGAGGAAAGCGGAGATGATTTCATCACATTACTTACTCCGTCTTAGCTCCAACCTCCAACCTCCAACCTCCAACCTCCCTCCACCCTTCCCCTCTTTATCCTCATCTTCATCTGCCTCCTTTACTTCATACTTCTTTCGCTTCAATTTGCTCTTCCACCTTAATGGCATTTCTCTGCTTTGGCACTACTTCCAGGCTTTGCACACTCTCTTTAAGTTTTAAATGAAAGGGCCAACTCTGTTGTGTCATGTTGTCTCTATTGCTCGGCTAACTTCCCAGTACACTCAACAATGCCATTTCACCGAACTGTGACCACCGCCACGCATCACTACCACCACCACCACCACCACTAAATGCTCGTCTTCAGATCCTGGAGGTATGATGCCTCTGGAGTCTTAACAAGTCATGCCCCATCTCGTTGTTGCATTCGCCCCGCTCATTCGTGGGCCCTTGTCCGCCAGAAGAAGGTTATTCACAGACAACATCGCAGAACACATGCGCTTCTGATACCCGTGTACGAGGGTAGCGCTCTCCAGCAATGGGTAACAGCATTTGACATTTTTAAAACTTACAACCGGACACGGGGCTTCCATCCCCGTCTCCGCCCGCCCGGCACACTGCATCTAACGGTGGGAATGTTAAACCTGGACACCGAAAGACTCGTAAAGAAAGCATGTCGATTCTTCGAGTGCCTCGATCTCGATGCCATCAGACGCTTGGCAGACCAAGAGGCCTTCAGACAGATCGTGGGCTATGTCCCTGCAGAACCTTCCCCGCAAGATAAGCCTTTTACTTCATCGCCAGCTGGCCCCCCTCAACCACTCACCGTCACCATTGAAAACCTGGTTGGGGCGCCTTCACCCGAAGCAGCCTATCATCTTTACGCAGTTCCTGTTGATCCTACTCTACGCCTCTACTATTTCATGATTTATCTTCGCCAACGCTTCATTCAAGCCGGCTTCGTCTTCGACGATCATACCGAGGAGGATGATTATTCTGCCTATATGCTGGAACAAGATCAACCTCCCACAGAGCGGTCGAGCGAGGACGAGCTCACCCCGGCTACGGCCTCAGTGGACGTGACGGAAGACTGCTCGGTCTCTCCTGCTGTGGAATCTTCCCCCTCTCCTTCCACTTCTCTCAAGAATCTGTCTGAGGACGTTTCTCGGCCCCTTAATCCACCAAGCACCAAGTCATCGCCCCCGGCCAAGGTTAGCCCGATTTGGAAACCATCCTACATCCATGTCACCGTAGCAAGCATGTGTTCTCGTTTGAATGGTGCTTTATTGCAAAACTCAATAGACGTGAGGGATCTTGTCGCCCATTTTCAGGATTATCACCTCGACGAAGAAAGAACAATGCCGCGCCGCGAACAGATCACTTCTAATGTCCTGAAGTCGAAAGCGGACCTTTTTGCTAAGTACTTGGCGGAGGAGGAGAAGAATGGAGAAGACAGTTTCGAAGGGGATCGACATGTAGTGTCGGTTAGCATGCCTGGGGAACCCGGGGACTCCCAGAACAGCGTACGTCGGACGCTTAAGTCTTTCACTAAGCCAAACCCTTTCGTCTGGGCCAAAAATATTCGTCTCGAAACTCTGCAGCTATGCCCCTTGATGAGGGAGTTTGACAAGTGTGATCAATCATCCCCAATCGGGAGAGCGCGGAAAAAGATGCATCGGGTTCTTCTCGAAAAAAGCTTGCTGTAGTCAATATAAGAAATGATGGGGATGGCGACCTCTGGCACAGCTTTTTACGTGAAAACTGCACACACGTACACCGTGTGTGGTATCGCTTGTGCTGAAGGGCATGTAAAAAAGTGCGGCTTTTAAACTGGAGCAGCATAGGATGCAACTAATGTAAACCAAGTCTTCTACAATTGGACGTATGAGTCAGGACTCAATCAATGTTGTCTATTTCGCGAGGAAACGTAGCTTACATTTCCTTTGCATTTATAAGGTGGTTCATAATCAAGACCAGTTAGTTACCCAAAACCAACTCCGGGGCGGACACCCAAACGCCACGCTGGGAAACAGACATCAAACTGAATGGACATAATGATACCCACCCTCTTCCATGGCACAGAAATCAACCAGACACATGACATTCAGCAAAGTCACCGAAGCTTGCTCATGAGCGTCTCCATGCCGCGCTCGACGGACAACTCCGCCGCCTTGGCCTTGATGGCACTGATCATGCTCCGCTCAAAATCGTCCCTGGTGCGCACGACAGCCTCGACCCACGAGAGCTGCAGGTCCCAGTACTCAGTCTTGAAACTCTCGTAGACGGCGACGAGGGCGGGACCCTTTTCGGCCTCGAGCAGGCGCACCAGCCAGTCGACCAGACGCCATTTCTGCTTGATGGTGCCGGCGAAGGAGTCCGGGTAGTTCTGGAAGAAAGCGAAGACGGTAAGGACATCATCCTTGAACTTTTCGGTGTAAGGATCGGTGTGGTGGCGGAACTTGACGCCGCGGTTGCGCACGGACGAGAGGTAGCGGACCAGGAGCTCGTCAGAGAGCTCCTCGACGAGGATATCGATGAGGGACGGGTGGAGGACCGGGGTGTAGTCGGCCATATAGTCCTCGAAAGTGGAGGTGATGCGCTTGATGGCGAAGTCGCCGTACCACTTCTGGGTGAAAAAGTCCGGGATCGTGGTGCGGAAGTCGACGGCAAAGATGAGCTCGACGAACTGGTTCAGGCAGTGTGTGCTGAGGTCGACGTACCCGTCGCGCAGCGCTTCCAACTCCGGGATCGCCCGCGCCGCCATGTACTTGGGGTCTACGATCGTCTCGAAGTCGCGCTTGAACCGCGTCAAGTAGCCCAGTTGACCCGTCTCCTCGTTGTCGTCGATGCAGGCGATTTGGTCGTTCGCGATCGCGATGAGCCAGTCCTGCAGCAGCTGGAGGCCGTCGAGCTGATCGCCACCGGGCGCCTTGTACTTAGCGCATTCCTCGTCGACGAGGACCTGCCATGCCGTCTGGCGGCTCTTTAGCACCGCGAACATGGCATCGATGATACCCTCCACAACGTCCGTACGCGAGGAGGCCCCCGAGGCCATGATCTGCTCGTGGAGCATACGCCACATGTCGGGGAGGGTCTTGGTGCGGAAGCAGCCTTCTGGGTTGGTATCCAGGGAATCGGGAATTCTCTCCACGAGATTCTTCCTCTCAGTTTCAGCAATCCGGTTTGTCCATTCCTCCACGGCACGGATGATGATGTTCTGCCACTGCCGGATGAGCTCGGGCTCCCGGTCGTCGAGAAGGTTGGGCTGAAGGTCGGATTGTTGCCAGCCAAGCTTGGCCATTTTCTTGTAGTACTTCTCCGTCCAGTGTATAATGGCGAGCAGGTTGTCAGCCGGCAGTTCCGAGTCGTTGATCATTTCAATGAAGAGATCATGAATCATGCGGTGATAAATGTCCGTGTATGTCTTGTAAATCTTCCACTTCTTCGGCATCAGCGGCTGCATGCCTTGCTGAACGGTGTACAGATCGTTGAAGAACCATCGAAAGCTTTTGTCCAGACTGTCGGGGTTCGAGAGAAACTCCTCCTTGGTCTCTTCGAATTGATTTTGTGCATAAAACTCAATAGCTTTCAGGAACTTCTCTTTGTAGCCCCGCACGGTCTTGGGGCCCACGTTCATGGATTTGAACCGGTCGGCCAGGTCCTGGTGGTCCTTCTGCGCCTCTTGTAGAGCACGGACGGTCTCATCGTTCTTCTCCTCGTTCATTACAACCACCGCCAACCGAACCACCATGCCCGGGTTATCTGATTGTACCAACGGAATAAGATTCATGCAGGCCGTCCCCAGATGATCATCGAACCAGTCGATGACGGAATCTAAGCCCTGGAAAAAGTCCCCCAGCGTCTGCTCACTACTCGGATCCTGCGCCTTGCGTATCTGATCCATGGCCTCGTCCCGGAAGTCGCGCAGTCGGGAGATCTGCATATGAGCCTTCAACAGGTTGGGCTGATTCTCCAGGTCGTCATCGTCCTCCCGCAGGAGATCCTCGACAACCGCCAGGTTCTCGCTGAACGTTTCCAGTCCTTTCTTCATCATCAGTGTCGCCTCAAAATTGCGTTGCACCTTGGCTAATTTGTCAATCTGAGAGAAGTCCTCCACACTATTTTGAGACTCGGCGCACAGCTTGTCGATGCCTTGCAGCTCGTCCTTGGTCTTGGACACCTGCCGCTGACCCTCGGTGAGAGCGTTAATACTGCGTTGAACGGATTCGAGCTGGTCCCTAAGCCCCTCGCGCAGCTGTGCATCAACAGCGCCTTTCTTCCGCGAGTACTCAGCTTTCAGGGCCACAATCTTGTCAAGATCTTCCGGGTACCGAAGGATATCCTCCAGTCGGGGCATGGCCACTGTGCCGTTATTGTCTTCGCCTCGCGCCATTATAATCCTAGGTATGTTTCCGAGATATATGGTGTGTATGTTGGCTACCCATGTAGAGGTTGACCTTAAAAAAAAGTCGCAACCGGGAAAGCTGAGGGAGGCTCTCTGAGAGTTACTGAGAGTTTCTAGGTTTGCGAGGACAACGCAGGGCTTCAAGACGCACAGAGTTCCCGATCTGAGAGCTCTGAGTTATACGGTATATGTAAGGGTCAAATATAGGTACAACACCTGTATGATCGTACTAAGGTCAAATCGAGCGACAAAACGACCTCTATAGAACGAACAAGGCAACCGACCCCTCTTGACACGCGCAGCGCTTTAATATAAGCAAGTCTAGGAGTTAGAGTAGGGCAATCAGTAATTTAGTCCCCCATGGTTAATTCCGAAGTGGGAAAATAGTTACCAATGGCTCATCCCCAGAGTCTAGCACAGAGCTGAGGAAATTCCCCTCGATGTTGCAGCTAAAGTTGTTCGATTATACGTAGCTATCCTATTCGCCCCCCGTAGTTTCCGCCCGCCGACTGACGACAGCAAAGCCACCCCCCCGGCAGAAATCTAGATCATGTGACTCCCCGCCTGACAGACCGACGGAGGATCGGGAATTTTGCGGCCGGAGCGATTGCGATGGGGAACAGCAGCAGCAGGTACCACCACAACCACCACCATTTCTTCTTGAGGACCTGCAAGAGATTAAGTACTGAGATTGACCAATCGGGGCGAATTGAGACTCAAGAGCTTACATACTTTTTCTGAACGGCGCAATCCCCAAAGCTTCCTCCTTCCTCCTCCTTCCGCTCCTCAAAAATTCGATAACAAACCCAAACTCCGCAACATCGAACATTGATCACGATACAACTACCAAACACACGAAAGACCAAAAGCAATCCGATTCTCACTATCTTCACAATTCTCGCCAAGTTCTCATAACATTCTCTTCCACATTCACAATGAGCTACTTTCGCATCACCCTCGTTCGCTCCGCCATCGGTCTCCCCCGCCGAACCACCGACGTCCTCAAGGCCCTGGGCCTCAAGAAGCGCATGGCTACCGTCTTCCACGCCGTTTCTCCCTCTGTAGCCGGTCAGATTATGAAAGTCAAGGAGTTAGTCGAAGTCCAGGAGGTCGACAAGCGGTTAACGAAGCAAGAAGTACACCTCGAGCGCAAACCCGACCCGGGCTACTACATCGAGAAGACCTCTGGTGTTGAGTACCACGAGAACAGACGCGCATGAAGTTCCGACAGCATTATTTCTCCTCCCTTTTTGCTTTTCCGCTCTGTCTCATTTACCTCTCAAGCCATCGCATCGCTTTCCTTCTCGCTCTGCGCCGTTCTTCTTCTTCTCCTTGTTCATTTTTCTCTACTACTCTTAAGAGTCGTCCGTTTTACGCTTCCCATATCAGCCACCTACAATCACACTTCTTCTCCTCACAAGACTCAGCATCGTTGATTGGGGGAAAGATCATCGATATCTGGGTAGGCAACCTGGAGTCGAGTATGGGAAGGAATCAATCCACAAAAATCGCATACCTCCTCCCTGGGCACGCGCACTAGCAGCTACCTGTCGCGGAGATAATATATCTACCTAAACGGCTTATTGTTCGACGAATGGCACAATCTTCGAAGAGAGATCATCTTGATTGAGTCGGCCCAAGGAGAACCTTGTCTTCAGCCGTTGTTGGGAATTTTCTTGCATGAAGCGGTTGTGGTTCGACATTGGCCCTTATACCGGCTAAAATGTATGTGGCCTTGCTAGATTGACTTCTGTACTGTAAATCAGCCCAGTTGCTTGTACTAGGATGTTTTTTTACTGTCATTCTTTACATGGTAGCTTCGCATGTGAAGTCAAACGTGCCTGATACCGATGTTGGGTGGCTTTATCAATGATAACAATAGCAGTTGGTGGTCGGAAGAATAGGAAATTTGCAAACGCCGCTCATGACACCCCAAACCCACAATTGAACTATTTGCAAAGAGAATAAAAAGCTCCAATCGCAAGGAAGCGTGTGCGAGCAGCCGCTCGCTATAGAACGTTTATAGGAAATGCTAATTTTTCCGGGTCAAGGACCGTCTATGCTTTGTACAGAGTGTCGAGGAATCCTTCTGCCAAGCGGCTGACGATGCTTTTGTCTGGCATGCTACCAGCGACACCGTATAGGGCTGCGGTGTCACCACGTTTGACGATATACGACTTGCCTTGGCGCTTCCTTTCTTCGGCCTTCTCCAGTTCTTTCTCGACTACCTCGACCAGATCAGTGGTAAGCGCATCCACTGCTGAAGCTGTGGGGACGGTGAAAGCCACGTGAATAGCAGGAGGCGTTTGAAGAGCGTTCAAGTGCCAGCCTTTGGCCGACAAATCATCAGCGATATCGTAGATGTCAACAGCGTCATTCTTGCTTTCAAAGGCAACGACGCTGACCATGGGCTTTCCAACAATCTCCAGGCTCTTCGACAGTACCGAGTGCTCCTTGATTGACAACTCGAACTTCTTCGCTGCGCTTACAATTTCGTGGCAGCTCTTGATGTAACCCGACTCACCCACGTTCATCAGACTAGCCCAGCAGCCTGCAATCAGCGCCCCAGGACGCGAGCCTGCGATAGATGGAGATGCATAAACACCGCCCGACCAGTCAGGGTAGATGAAGTACTGGTAGCTGCGGTACACCTTATTGCGGTAGAGCAACACGGAGTTACCCTTTGGCGCGAAGCCATATTTGTGAGTATCGACACTGATACTTGTCACACCGGGAAGACGGAAATCAAAGCCACCCTCTTCCTCGTACGGAGATGCAAAGCCCGCCTTCTTGAGAAACGCGATAACAAAGGATCCCAGACAGCAGTCGACGTGAAGGGGAATCTTATACGAGGTTGCGAGCCGAGATAGAGCTGGAATGTCATCAACAATACCATGAGGGAAGTTGGGCGCAGATCCGACAATTAGGACAGTGTTCGAGTTAATCAACCGACGAACCGATGGTATATGAACCTTGTAGTCAGGAGCCGGGCAAGGGACGCGGTGAAGCTTGATCCTGAAGTAATTGCAGGCTTTGATGAAGGCAGCATGTGCTGTATCAGGAATAATCCTTGGGAAAGTATCAATAAGATGACGTGTAGATATGCTTTGTGAAGTGATTCAACTTACATCTCAGGCTCCGTAACACCCCGTTCGGTATATGCTTTCTGACGTGCAGCCAAGCAAGCCATGATGATAGACTCCGTTCCGCCACTAGTTGTGACACCCGCGCCATCTGAGGGGGCATTGAATAGCTCAAGGACCTATATGACATATGTGAGCTAGTCATGCCACATACGTCAATGGAAAGAGGTAAGTACCATAGCCACAACCTCGGCTTCCATCTTCCGAACACCAGGGAAGACATCCGGGTGAATGGGATTCGCAACCCCAAACTGGCCGAAGGCTTCTGCTTGAAGCTTCAGAAGATCTTGGCCTCCATGGTATACAGCACCGCTAACACGGCCATCTTCCCAGCGAGTATGTTCCATATTCGCCAGGTTGTTCAGCTCGGCGCGGATTTGTTCGGCCGACCATCCCTCCTTTGGAAGAGTCAAATACCTGGTGACACCGGGACCACTTGCAATCAATTTTGACTCTAAGCCCTCAATCGCCGTTGACACTTGCTTGTCGACTTGACCCTTGACACCGGGGAACCGCAGAAAGACAGAGTAGCAGAAGAGACGAACAGCAGAGTAGACATTGCGGATGCTGCCGAAGAGACCGTAACCGCGCAGTGAACGATATACCTTGCGAACGTAGCGAATAATGAAAAGAATGAAAACGATATTTCGGATACTATTTCGCACATGAGTCAGTGGTTAGTGAGACTGAAACCAAGGGTAAAATGCACGCCCCATGGGCTAAGGACCATCCGGAGCTGCAACGCGGGGAAACGCAATGCGGTGCAGATGAACTTACACATCCAGTTGCAGAACTGCTAGTTGCGTGTTTGGAGCCCTGCTATAGCCCAGAAGCTTGTTCTGCAGGGCCACAGGAAGAACAGACGGTGCCATTATGAATAATCAGTTGATAAGAAGATGGAGAGGACCGACTGAGGGCGACCTCCCGAGAGAATGACGAAGGTGGGAATGGGAGGAGAGAGCCTCCCAAGGAAAAGGGCACTGCAGGTAGTTACCGTACTTAGTTCGGTCGGATGATCCAAGCGATAAGGGCGGCCGGCCGCACGGGAGGCTGCCTCGGCTTTTCAGTTCCACATGCCATAATTTGGCATACGGAAGCCATCGTCTAATGAAATACATTTTGCTGGGATTTGAGTCAAGCACTCAAGTCAGTCGTATAAAATGCAGTATGAATATTTGATGTCTGCGTATGTACATGGTCCAAAAATAAAAGGACCCAGAATGTCTTTCCCAACACCGAATAACCTTCTTTTTTTTAGAAAGTCAGGGACAAAGACTTTTAAAACCCCGTAGTAAAAAAAAACAACCAAATCAGGATCCTTGACACATAAACGTGGAAATCATAAGGATGGAGAGTAAAACGAAAACATTTCCCCTCTGAAGGGGAGCCCGCTGCAACACGAACAGGATTAAGAAATTCTAGGACAAAAGCAAAACCTCTAGTCCCATTAAAATCTTTCAATGGCGGCGCTTGCAAATGAAATAATACGCAGTCAAGCCAAGGGCTTAAGCAGTAATTTGCTCAGCAATCTCCTTCTCCTTGGCAGCGAACTGAGCCTGCTCATCGGCCGTGAGGTCAAGAAGGGGCTTGTTCTCGCCCGACTTGAGGTTGCGATAATAGGCGCGGATAATGCTGTCAGCATCATCAACAGCAATGGGACGAATGTCGGCAAGAGCCTTGATCTTGGCAGTGCACTCCTTGTACTGGGCGTCCGTCATCGTGATGTTGAGCTGTTGAGCACGCGACTTGATGGCATTCCAGCCAGTCAGGCGGGAGGCGAAGTGAACGTATCTGCTCATACCAAAATCGGCAGGGTTGATGATTTCATAAGTGCTAGGGTTGTTCAAAATGGCCTTGGCGTGGATACCGGCCTTGTGGGTGAAGGCGCAGAATCCGGTGATGTAGTTGTTGAAGGGGATGTTGACTTCAACGGCCTCGGCCACAAGGTCTTCAACCTCCTTGAGCTTCTCGAGCTTGTACTTGCTCTTAACGTACTCAGGGTCCGCAACCATCATGCGGGCCATGAGACCACCAAGAGGGGTGATACCGTTTCGCTCACCAATACCGAGCACGGAGGTATCAATGTGAGTAGCACCAGCCTCCAGGGCACAGTATGCATTTGCAATGGCACAGCCTGTGTCATTGTGGAAGTGGGTCTCAATATCGCAACCCACGACACCTCTCAACACACGGACGAGCTCGTAAACCTGACGAGGAGAGGCGCATCCAACCGTATCAGCGATACCGACACGGTGAACACCGACCTTGTCGACAGCGGAGTAGATGGACAGGAGGTCGACCAAGTCGGAACGGAAGGAGTCCTCGCTGGAGAAACGGATCTCAATACCCTTGGACTTGACGAATTCGATGACTTCAATGGCGGTGTTCTTGATGTAGGTCATATCCTTTCCGTGAGAGTGCTCACGGAGGTAGGAGGAGGTTCCAATGACGACATCACTATTTTTCAGGAAATTGTTAGGGTTGATTCGCTCAGTTGAAGAACGCCTTGAAAGCAGCTTACACTCCATCAACACCGGTCTCAACGGCAACTCTGGCATCGTCCATGTGGCAACGGATGTGAGTGAGGATCTAGGATGTATTAGACTTGCACGACAAGACATTGAGCCATAAACGATCACTACGAACATACCTTCGCCTTCAGGCCAAGCTTGCAGATAGCCTCGCAGTCCTTTCTGGACTGTTCGGAAGCGCAGGGGCTGGTGAGTTCAATCTATGAGATATGGTCAGTGCACATGCTCCACGACGGCTCAGCCTTCTCCACTACCCAATGTGACTCACGTAGTCAACACCGAAGTCATCCAGAGCCTTAGCAATTTCAATCTTCTTCTCGGTGTCAAAGAAAGCGTTGGCAAACTGCTCTCCCTCACGGAGAGTGCTCTCGATGATCTTGAAGCGGGAGACGTTGCTCAAGAAGTCGGTAACGCCGACGTTGTGGCCGTAGGGATTGCGAGAGGCGGAGGGGTGGGGATTTTGGCGAGTCTCAATGCCGGTGAAACCTGGGTGGTCACCTTGAAAACATGTCAATGCTCGATGGTACAATTGATAGCAGCAGATAATGCGATCTCAACTTACCATTGGCATTAGTGGCAGCGCCGTTGGCATGCCCATTGGGCTCGTTGTCTGCACCAGGACACATTGTGGACGAGGGTATGGCGGGGTAGGTTTAGTAAATAAATTGAAGTATGTAGAAGATAGAGGCTGCGGAAGGTAAGAGCAAGGCCAGACGACAGCAAGGATCTAGGAGGATAGGAGTGAAAAAACTTTACTAACAGGAAAAGTTATGGTCAAGGTAGGATGAGTTGAAATAGTGAAAAGATCTAGTAGGGGAAAGAGAATCAAAGTAAGAGTCATAGGCTCGAGGTCGACTTAAAAGAGGCGGGCGGTCTGGTCCTTGAGAAAGTATGACTCTTTCTTCTCGGGCGGAACCCCCCTTTGCTGCTGCGGCAATGATGAAAAATTCCTCGCACTAGAACTACCTACTACGCCTCAGACCGTGAGTACCTCTTTTTTTGCCATCTCCTTCCTGGCTGGATGTGGGGAACCTTGACCCCCGGCTGGCCGTTCACGACGCCTCCGACCACCCCAATTGCTCAGCGCGAGGATCGTCTCCAGTTTCCGATGGGGTCCAGTCAATATGCAGTAGTCATCATCGTTATTAAGGTGGTTCCTTAGTTATCCAAACGGGCCTCTTTACGTAGGTTGGTTCATCTGGACATTTGCCACGGAGAGAAAGAACCATGTCAAGTGAAATACTACTGCTGCCGTACTTTGGGTGTGTCGCTAATTGGGCTCCTGATTGAAAACCCAGCTGAGGCAGATCTTCGTTTATGCACCCTATCATTGCTCGTGGCCCAGGGTTTGCCTCTAGGGCACTTCCTCGATTGATCGGGGCCATCCAGCGCCGGATTCGGGTTGCATATTTAGAGGGTGGCTGCAACCGACATCGGCACGCGGCCATTTAGTTATGCTTGAGAAAGCGCCCGCATCATGATCTTTAGCGTCGGCCGCAGTGGACAGCCAGGCTCGACCGACACGAATTGATAATCAGATCTCAACTACGTAGTCATTCTTTCTACCAATTATACTAGTGGCTCTTTCTATAATGGTCTTTTCACTAGCTTGGCGTTCTTGTCATGGTAGACGACATTTCACTTCATTCAACAATATGCACGGCTACTTCTACACCTTAACTATGCCCGGCCGCCGACCGCTTGTCCCAGGCAGACCCTCCGGCATCGCTCCTGATTTTCATTTCCTGGCTTCTTGTTGGTCAGCCTGCTTACGTGTTACTCGACTCCCGCCCTTCCATTGGGGGTCTGCGGCCGCGGATCTCCGAGTCATTCTCCAGTACCGGTGGCCTGTGCGGCCTCAGGTCAGAAATCTTGGAAGGTCCTGTGGCTTGGCTAGGCTAGAATTAGTAAGGGTTGAAATAGGCTTGAAATTGTGGAGTGCCTGTGTCGTCGGAGTCATATCTCAACTTGGACGTGTTGTTACTATCAATTGACTATTAGAGTAATAGTGATACTTAGTACTTCGCAGCAGTAGATTGCTGCAAGGTGTAAAAGAATATACGAATAATCTATTATCTACACTAAAGCTTGCATTTTGCCCGTTACTGGGTTCTAGAAAGTGAAGACAATAAAGCGCTGTCAAGTATATTCGTAATTTTCCACTTGCGCAATGCTGCTAACCCAACCTACATTGGACCTAGCACCGAGCATCAAGCATAAACAAATCGACGGGCCGTCTCTCCAACATGTTAGTTAGGCACGAATGAGACCACACCATCTTTGTCAATGGCAGGACAGCACGGGACCCTTCCTGCACGTAGACCCACAGTTCGCTGTCAAATGCTCCATAAGAATGCGCCTCTCTGACCCGGAGGCTCAAACTTGCCAGCTCCTCAGCTTGGATGAGTCCCGCCTGAATGTAAAGCTCGCACTGTGTTCAAGATCGCAATGATGCTCGGGCTGGAATATCTCTGACATGCCAGTGTCAAGGTCATCAGTGTATCTTCCAATTCCCGAGGACGCTTCTGATCCTTCGCGAATGTCTACCTTCGAACCCAGACGCTGATCTTTGGATTTCGCAATACCATAGCCTTTCCCACGGGACACCTTTATTTTTGCAAGGTCAATCCGTCTACTCTCTCGCATTCCAAAATACAGACCGGCAACCACAAGTACAACAATCCCAAGGCTGACAGGAAGACCAATGTACAATGCGAGTCTGTTAAATGGCAGCTGGGGAGAAGGCTTGTGGTGCTCCGTGGGCCGAAGGTGGAGCAAAATAGTTGGTCCTTGTCGAGCACTGGCTCGCTTGTCTGACACGGCATCTAACTCGATGATATAGAGCGTCAAAGCATTCCACTGCTTTCCTTGCAGCCATTCTTCGCGCATATGTATATGGGTATAACCATAGCTGTTGTCAATTCTCTCGGATGTGTATGCCGAATCGCCTTCTGAAGAATTAAGGTATCTCAGTTCAATGGTGATGGTGGCATTCAAAGGATAGAAATCGGCATTCCAGGTCACGTAGTAGGTAGCATCCACTGTCACTTGAGTTCCGTTCCTTGGAAGACAAAATGGCCGAAAAGAGGCACCGAGATCAGTACAAATAGGAAAGTCGGTGGATGATGCCATGAGGGATCGCTTGGGGACGGCTGTAGGGGTGGCTTGACTGCATGCAAACTCAGTGACTAGAGTAGTTACTGCTTCCATGGTTAAATATGCTCTTCATGATCCTTCAAGCGTACGTTGATGAAGCTTCCAGCATACCGAGCTCAGTATTACTGCTTGCCAGGGCGCTCATGCTCCATAATGACATTAATAACAGCACTGCTGCCAGGATAGTCCTAGAAAAGGATGATACGCGACCATAATGCATCATTGTAATAGTTGGCGGCGCGTCACAGTTTTAGTAAAATCCAAACTATAGTGCAGTTTTCGCGATGTATCTATACAATGAGAAGTGAAGTGGGAGATGGATGAGGAGGAAAGAGTCCATGGCTACCTAGCAGTATGATATTACATTATGTGCTACGGAGTGCTTCGCTCCACTTGAGGTCTAGCAGGTGCAATGGGTAAACCGAAGGATGAATTTGGAAGCAGCAACACTTGGGGATGTTAAGTCCAGCAGCTTCATAGTACGGAGTAACTACCGGAAGGGAACTTCAATTGCATTTGGAAGCTGCAAGAAATTTTAGAATTGTTCTAGAACGGAAGGTCGCAACCCGGTCCCGATCGCGTCTTCCCCGAGTCACTGAGACACTGATATTTGCTAAAGTAATTGTCTCGGTAAGCAGATGATCGAGTCATAAACTTAACACATTCCAGTAGCATCAGGATAGCTGCCAGCGCGCACACAAAAGACTTTTGAGGTAAGGTATTGAAGTAGTTAGACCTCTCCGTACTTTGTCAGCGAAAGGGATTCCGAAACTTGAGGTGAGGAAGCGAGAATTCCCCGCTTCCCGCGGCAGCTCCAATTAGACCTTAGGCCACCTGTCGCGGAGACTTTACTAGTCGTAGCAGGACTTAAGTTAGGACTAGGGACAGTACTGTCAGTCACTTCCGTCCATCGTGGCTGTTTCACCCTAACCTCTTGTCAACACAGGTTGCCTGTTTCCCTCCGCCGCCTGCTGTCCGCTCCCTGGCCATACCATCCTCTCCAACCTTTTTTCTTCCAAATTTGAGGTGCGCTTGTCGCGTGATATACATAACAGACCATGTATGTTTCCTCTCTCCCTCACTTCCCGGCGGTCGCGGCTGCGAGCTTCCTTGTCATCCACAAATTGCCCTAGTACTGACCACGCGTCGTCTTGTCAGCATCATGCGTCTTATCCAGGTCCTCGCTCTCGCCCCTGCGCTCGCCGTGGCACAGGAACAAGTTCCTCTTGCGGATCGTTTTCAGGGTTGGCTCGACAAGGCCAAGGCTTATCTGCCAACTGCTACCCCCGTAGTGCCTGCTGCTGTTGAGAAGGTCCAGAAGGTGGTTGAACAGAAAAAGATCCAGGAGAAGCCCGTCACTCAGCTGAACCTGACCAACTGGGAGTCGATTCTGGAGCCAGCCTCGGATCCTCAGGACTGGTTTGTCTTCGTCACTGGTGGCAATAAGACATGCTTCGGACGCTGTGATCAAGCGGATAAGTCTTTCAACGTAAGACAGCCCCGAATAGGAGAGGACATAAGCGGGACCCCCCCCTCTCCGAGGCTCGTGCTCATGGCCACTAAATATGTCATGTCAATCTTCTAGGAATCCGTCATTCTGTTCTCCGCCGATCCCACCTCTCCGAATCTTGCACGTCTGGACTGTGAGGCGAACCAGGTTCTCTGTGCTGCTTGGTCTGCGAGTGCTCCCTCAATTTGGCACTTTGAGGTTCCCCAGGCCCAGCTGGGTGAGGGTCGCGCTCCCACCACTCTTCACACTGCACACCTCAACACGACCACCGTTACTCCTGAGACAATCTATAAGCTTCACTCGGAGAAGCACTTCGAGACGAGCCCGGCCTACGAGGGTGTCTTGCACCCCACTGATGGCTTCTTCGCTAAGAACGGGCTTCTTCTTCCGCTTGGCTATGTCATGTGGGGTTTCGGCTCTATCCCGAGCTGGCTCTTCATGCTCTTCATCAGCTTCTTCAGCAGGACCTTCATGTAAGTCTTCTGGGCTTGTCTCCGGAATGAGCAGTCACTAATATATTTGACCAGGGGCCGTCGTCTTAACCCCAGCCCTGCTGCTCGTCCCAACTAAGCATCGCTGTTCATGAAGTAACGATGGTGGTACTTCATTTTTTCGTGGATAAGGATATATACATATATATAATGAATCAGCAGTACTTCGTGTCTAGTCAATTGGAGTACGTCGGCTTTTGGGGTGGACCGTACATTTTGTAAAAGGCATACAAATATCCTGCGCTGCGTAATGACAAAACACTCAGAAAGCTAAGAGATTTATCTGCCTTCACACGGTGTATTTAATGTTGCTCTGAACCGAGGCTGTTATGGTCATGAAAATTACCCTACTTAGACTACGCCAGTCACGTCTCACGTCACCCGCCCACACCTCAAAAAGTAAAAAAAAAAAAAACACAGCTTGTCCATCTGCCATACAATTAACCACTACAACCACGTCACAATCCCCCCAAATCGGTCGAAAACTTACCATACAATGGCCGACTTCGAGCGCGCAACCCCTTCAACGGCAGCTTACGTCGTCGCGACGGCCATCGTCGCCGGAATTACGGGCTACTTCATTGGCCAAGGCTCCTCGCTCGGCCTCTTCTCCAACAGAGAGAAAGAGGGGTGGCCGAACAGCTACAACGTGAAAGTGCACCGCGATTCGTCCGATGAGGAGTTCGAGGAGGATGAGGAGGAGGAGAGTGAAGATGAGGGCGACGGCTCCGAGTTGGCGAGTTTTGACGACACCGCCGAGGAAATCAAGTTGGTATTGGTCGTGAGGACGGACCTGGGCATGACCAAGGGTATGTCTCCTCTTCACTGTCTTCATGCAGCTTGAGTAGCTGCTGCTTGGCTTCTCGTTCGACTACTTTGTTTGTCTCTATCCTTTGTCTTTATGTGGTTGCCTCTTCATTAGCACTTTAGTTCGACTTAGAAGTCCTTTAACTGACATGCCATTCTGGTGCTTGATGCAGGCAAAATCGCCGCTCAATGCTCACACGCCACGTTGGCTTGCTACAAGTACCTCACTACGCACACACCGAACTCGCCCTTGCTCCGTCGGTGGGAATCGCAGGGTCAAGCGAAGATCGCGCTGCAGGTCAAGTCCGAGGAGGAGATGGAGATGATGTATGCGCAGGCGATCAGTCTGGGACTTTGCGCGCGCGTGATTACGGATGCTGGGCGCACACAGATTGCTAGCGGAAGTCGGACGGTGTTGGGTGTCCTGGGCCCCAAGAGTATTGTGGACGGGGTGACGGGGCATCTGAAGCTGTTGTAAATCTACACAGCACTATTTACTTGTCGGCGTCATCGTGGAGTTTGTGGTGAGGAGGGGCAGAAGAGCATGGAACGAAGCATGTGCAATACGATCCTTTTAGACAACGTTGTCGAGCATGATAGCTGGCCAGCGTGGGATAGCTATGGACGGCATCAGCCAGCCGGAGTGGTTTTGGGTGACCCAGTCTGAGCGCCTCGATACTGAATGCTTCACGAGGGGCGGGCGTGGTCACTGCACGTAGCTCCATATGCTCGTCTCGTAGCGGTCTTGCGCTTGACAGCTTACAAGATGGCTGCAATATTGACCTGCACGGCACAACACAAGACGCTGAACAGGCAGTATGTTTCTCGACAGAGATGGGCTAACATTCCACCAGCGTAATGAATTACAAATGAGGCTACAACTGCGCGGACTCACGTCAAAATCCGAGGCTATACATGTGGAATGTTGGCTGGTCATGGTTTTTCCCTAACCTCATCGGCCGACGGCCAAAATCGGTAAAGAGAGTAGGAATATGACGCCGTCAGCAAACCGGGAACTCCGGCCGAGCTCACCAAGTCCTCTCCCTCGATGAGGGAAGAGAACAAGGGAGCTCAAGACCAGAGTGAACCCCCAGTGCCGACTTTCAATCTGAGATCTGTCGACCGGATAATGTAAGACCACCAACTAGACAAGTGATGGCTCCTTAAGTCGTCGAACTGTCCGGTAATCAACCGTAACACAGAAAGAGAAAGAGAAACAGCATGCTGCATTCTTCCCCCTCCATGAACAGGATCGCCTGACACAGATCCGTGATGTGTTGAAGAAAGAAAAGAAGAAAACAAAAAAGAAGAAAATCGACACACGGGTTTTATTGGTGGCGCCAAGCCCGCACTAAGAGAATTGCTCGCGCTAAACCTTACCGAGAATTAGACTGATTATGTAACTTACTGCAGCTCACTCGCCGCCTTCCCTTTCCCTTTCCCTTTCCTGCTGGCGGGAGGCGATTGCGCGGGACGGCGATTGAACCGAGTTGTCTTCGTACTGCTCCAAAAACCGACCAAGTACCGTATCCATATTTGTCGCCCTCTCCCTTACCGGTACTTCGACCTTGCGCATACATTCGTCTACGTTCTTCAACCTTAACTCCCAGCAGTCTCCCGCTCGCCTCAAGATGGCCGACGCTGTGTCCATCGAGCAGAACAATAAGATCCGAGCTGCGCTCGGTCTGAAGCCCCTCCCTGTCCCCGGCGCTCAACACGATGATGACTCGGATTCATCTTCCGGAGATGAGGAAGAACCTGGAAGTACCCTTGAGTCGCGGGAGGCGATGGCCTCGGAGAACTGGAAGCGAATGCAAGACGAGGCCGAAGCGAAGCGGAAACGCGAGGAACGCAACATCGCCATCAAGAAGGCTAGGGACTTAGCTCAGCGGAATGCCAAACTCGAGGGCGCCACACTCGGAGAGGCAGAGACAGAAGATACTAAGACCTGGCTGATGCAAACCAAAAAACGCCAGAAGAAGATCGAAAAGGAACGGGCACGTCGTCTGGCGGAAGAGCTGGAGGAACGCGAACGGGCAGCGGAGTATTCGGCGGCAGATCTCGCCGGCATCAAGGTCGGCCACGAAATTGACGACTTCGGCGGCGGCGAGGATCATATTCTGACGCTCAAGGACACGACGATTGACGAGAACGAGGAGGAAGGAGATGAGTTGGAAAACTTAGATCTGAGGGAGAGAGAGAAAGCCACGGAGCGGTTGGAGCTGAAGAAGCGGAAGCCAGCCTACGATCCTACGGCAGAGAACACTGGAATCTTGGCACAATACGACGAGGAGATCGAAGGCAAGAAGCGAAAGCGGTTCATCCTCGACTCGAAGGGATCAACCGCCGAGGAGCGAGAGGCCAAGCGCCAGGAGATAACGGAGAAGCTCAACAAGAATGTCATCAGCTTGGATCTTGATATGGAGACTCCCACATCCGACTATATGGACATCAGCGAGGTCAAGATCAAGAAACCGAAGAAGAAGAAAGCCAAGGCCACTAAACAGCGGGCTGTTCTGGATGACGATGACATATTTTCCACACCCGCGTCGACAGCTACACCAAACGAGAATGCTATGGATTTGGACTCCAGTAATGGGCAACCGGTCTCTGCACCTGCGCCACGAAAGTGGGAAGATCAAAATATCTCCCTCGTCGATGATGATGACCTACAGGCCTCTTTGACTCGCCAACGAAGGGCTGCCTTCAAGAAGCGGCAAAAAGTTCGCCCAGAGGACATTGCCCGGCAACTCAGAGAGGAAAGCTCGCAGACACCGATGGATACCGGAACACCTGCTGAGAACGGGGAAGAACCTGGCCTTGTCATTGATGAGACCTCCGAGTTCGTCTCCAATTTGCAGAAACCTATGCTTCCCGAACGCGCCGAAAGGCAAAGCATCACACCTGCCGAAGAGCTTCGTGCCAAGAGCGAGGGACCTAGTATCAAAGAAGAGGTCGAGGAGGACGGCGATGTGGACATGTCTCGGACATACAATGATATAGAGGATGAAGAGGATCTCAAAGAACGCATCAAGCGCGAGGAATCACTGGCTCAGCAGCAAATCAGCACTACTGGTTTGGACGAGGAAGCTACACTTGATCAGGGTCTCGGTGCTACGCTCAATATGCTGAAGCAACGTGGCCTAGTCAAATCATCCGATGCTGCAGACCACAACTCCCTCCTACGCGATCGTTCACGTTTCTTACAGGAGAAGATGCGCATGGAGACCGAAGCAGAGAAACGAGCCCGGCAGCAGCGTGAACGCGATCGAGCATCGGGCAAGCTCGACCGCATGTCTGCCCGAGAGCGAGAGGAGTACGCTCGCTGGGAGAACAAACAGCGTGATCAACAAGATGCGCGCCATATGGCGGAAGTGTTCAACCGTGAGTACAAGCCTGACGTTCAGCTCAAGTATGTGGACGAATATGGCCGAGCAATGAACCAGAAAGAAGCATTCAAGCATCTCAGTCACCAGTTCCACGGCAAGGGCAGTGGTAAGATGAAGACGGAGAAACGTCTCAAGAAGATTGAGGAGGAGAAGAAGCGCGAGGCCATGAGCGCCTTGGATAGCAGTCAACACACGGGCATGAACAATGCCATGGGGGCGACTGCTCGAAAGAACCGTCAGGCCGGTGTACGACTGGGTTAGGGGCTACATCTTCGATATAATTTCTGCCATGGTTGTCGTCGTCGTCGTCGCCGCCGCCAGTTATGATACTATTCAGCTCTATGGCTGGAGATAATTTGATGAATGGTGTGGTTGAGAACGCAGCCACTCGTTATGCTGTATGTACAATTATATTTATACCATTAGAGACAGCGTGGGATTTTCCATTGAAAGGTCATGAGGAATCAAGCATCACTACTGCATTCACTCAGGAACCTATTTCGAGGTATGGAGACTAGGACACCAATCTGGTCTGATGCAAGTAGTCCTTTGCAGCCGTCTGAGATCGGAGATCGTATTCCGGAGTAAGGCTTACATGGTGTGATTACATGTCAGACTTGGGAGTGTAGGGGAATTTAACCGACTACCCAAACTGGTTTCTTGCCGACACCGGCTAGAGACCACTCACGCCGGGGGGGGGGGTTTCCAAACCCGCCGCCGCCCGCAGAAATGAGTTTCTTGTTACTCCATAGAAGTACGGAGTATCGTACACACAATGAGATCATTGACACTGTCGGGGCGATAGTTAACATATGCATTGAACCACATCTGGAGGCGAATGACTGGGGATACTTGTGCTCCTACGGTATGGTTTTTTTTTCTTGCCTTTTATTGTCTTGTTTCGGTGATTGAACGAAGGTGAAGTAGTTACAATGATTACCCCAATTCTTCGTGAGGGGGAAAGCAGGGCCTCAGACCATTCCTTCTCAAACAGTTCACCGAAAGCGGGACGTGGTCACGGGAGAGGGGAAGCCAACATCATCCCGAATCTACTCCGGAGTATGATCTGTCACCTCTCAAGCTGGCAGGGTAATGCAGTAGTTACGTAGTCTAAATTGGTAGCCGGCCCGGCATCTACTGCAGACTGACCACCGCTATCCGTAACTGTACGGTCTGTCCAGTTTCCTCCGCATCGGTTCTATTAATAAGCACCACTACGAATGTCAAGGGGAGAGATGAATAAATCAATGAATTGTAATGGTAAGGTATAGGTATAATGTACGAGTCATTCAGATTGACTTGACTTCATTGGCATGCCATGTTGATATGGATGTACAGTTTCCCGTAATAAGGTAGATACCCAAGTCAGGTTAGTGCTGCAGTGGGAGGCTGTCCATGCGCTTTTCCCCAACCGGCTGAGGGTGCGGAGGACAGGGCCAATCCGAGCCCGCCCGCGTTGCTCCCCGGAAACTCCCTAGTTAGTTCACATGAGTCAAAAATAAAACACATCATTGCCCATTCTTGAACCTTCCTATTTATCCTTCATCACCTGTGCTCCGATCTTCTTCGATCCTGCATCTCTCTCAAGCCTTCCTGGGTGCTTGCTTGTCCCCTTTCTCTCGGTTGATTACACACCTTTGCCTTTATCACCATACAGCACAATGTTGTCCACTCTCCGAGTTGCCAGCCGTCAGGCTGTTGCGCGTGATGCTAATATGCGCACCGTTGTCGTCGGTGCCAGACATGCCTCCGCCTGGTCCAAGGTTCCCCAGGGTCCTCCGGTAGGTGCTCTGACAAATGAGAGGCTGTTACTTAAAGCCATTGCTGATGCATTGAGTCCCTAGGATGCCATTCTGGGTATCACCGAGGCCTTCAAGGCCGACACCTTCAAGGAGAAGATCAACCTTGGTGTTGGCGCTTACCGTAAGCAATTCCCCGTTATGACCGACTTCGCCATCATCCATAGCCCCACAAATCAGCATCGCTGTGCAGCAGTAACTAAAATCCGGTGTTTCGCCCAGGTGACGACAAGGGAAAGCCTTACGTGCTTCCCTCGGTCCGCGCCGCTGAGGACAAGGTTGTTGCCTCCCGTCACGACAAGGAGTATGCCGGGATCACCGGTATTCCTTCCTTCACAAAGGCTGCTGCCGAGCTCGCCTACGGATCCGACTCCGCCGTGCTCAAGGAGGACCGCCTTGTCATCACTCAGACCATCTCGGGTACCGGTGCCCTGAGAATTGGTGGTGCTTTCCTCCAGCGCTTCTACCCTCACGCGAAGAAGATATACCTCCCCACCCCCAGCTGGGCCAACCACGGTGCTGTTTTCAAGGACTCCGGCCTCGAGGTTGACAAGTACCGCTACTATAACAAGGACACCATTGGCCTCGACTTCGAGGGTCTCCTTGCCGATATCAAGGCTGCTCCTGAGAACAGCATCCTCCTCCTCCACGCTTGTGCCCACAACCCTACCGGCGTCGACCCCACTCAGGACCAGTGGCGCAAGATCAGCGATGTCATGAAGGAGAAGGGTCATTTTGCTTTCTTCGACATGGCCTACCAGGGCTTTGCCAGCGGTAACGCTGACCAGGATGCTTTCGCTCCCCGTCACTTCGTCAAGGAGGGCCACAACATCGCGCTCTGCCAGAGTTTCGCCAAGAACATGGTAAGGCTCGAAAACGTGTTCTTTTTGGATAGCGATTGTTCATTGCTGATGACTTATCCACATATAGGGTCTCTACGGAGAGCGTGTTGGTGCTTTCTCCCTCGTCTGCGAGTCTGCCGAGGAGAAGAAGCGCGTTGAGTCTCAGATCAAGATCCTCATCCGTCCTTTTTACTCCAACCCCCCCATTCACGGCGCTCGCGTCGCCTCCACCATCATGAACGACCCCGAGCTGAATCAGCAGTGGCTGGGTGAGGTCAAGGGTATGGCTGATCGGATCATTGAGATGCGTGCCCTGCTCCGCAAGAACTTGGAGGAGCTTGGTAGCAAGCATGACTGGTCTCACATCACTAGCCAGGTGAGTTTCCAAGGGAAGTTTAACACAACAAGCGATGGCTAATCCGGAATAGATCGGTATGTTCGCCTACACTGGTCTCAAGCCCGAGCAGATGGATGCTCTGGCTAAGGAGCACTCCGTCTACGCCACCAAGGATGGCCGTATCTCTGTGGCTGGTATCACCTCGGGCAACGTCAAGCGTCTTGCGGAGTCCATCTTCAAGGTGACTGGCTGAATGGTTAGTCGGCTAAAGAGGCCGGGCGATCATATACGTAGATTTACTGGGGATGACAATCCCTCTGTACTGATATCCATGTGTTACATTAGCATATCTAAGCATTGAATTGTATAACGAATTATTTTGCACTAGATCCTCTTTGCAACGGAACATCCATAAGAGGAGCGACGGCCTCTTGTGTTGTTGCGTCTCATGCATTCACGCCGTGAGCTGCATCAAGGCATCTAGCGGTGAAGCGGAGAGGAGTGTGCCAGCGACTTGGGGACACGGTTCAAGGTTATCTGCATGAAAGTGCCATCTCCTGGAGTACTCGCTACCGCTTCTGGAATTTCGTGTTGCAGGGAATGTGGTTAGCTGTCACTCGGTGGCGTGGTTGACCAGGACTAGTAATCTTCCAGCACAGCCAAGCCAGTGTGGTTTTGCCCAATGTGGCAATTAGTGAGTATAGCTGGAGCTTATTGTAGGGTATTTGAAGTTAGCCAGCGGTGCTGTAGTCAGATGGTTGTTGATCTGCGTACGGAGTACAGGGGTCGGCCACAGCACATTTGACTAGCGAGAGATATAATCAGAGACTACGGAGGGAATAAGCCCTCTTCCCCTGCGTGCCAGTGAAACTACCCACAGAATTACTGTAATGTACTCCGTACTTCCAACAGTAGCTTACTGAATCCTGATTTACCGGTAGCTCGTGGAATAGCTACCGTCTATACGTTACCTTCCTGTCTCTCTCCCTCTGCTTTATATTTTCTCTAGCTGCACTTCCCCTTTCCATAACCCTCAATGCATGGGATGTAAGTCTAGTGTAGTACCTATGAGGTGTAGTGGCCGACCTTGCTGGGCCGAGCCCCTCAATTTCCCCTAATTCTCAACCCTCTCACAATTGAAGAGTACAGTACATACAATACACTCCCTACTCCCTAGTAGCCTACGGAGTCAAGGACTACTCCGGAGTACTGCCACCACCACTAGAGCCTCTAGACTACGTACGTGTCATAGCCACTCAGCAGTACCAGAGTACCAGAATGGGGCCATCCGAGACAGAAGCAACCCACAAATTCACGGACGGGAGTCCCTCATCCGCGGAATTTAAGCTAGGGGAGGTTTACGGGCTACGGAATTGGGTGGGTGCAGTGGGGAGTGGAGAGGTGCCCTCCTCCTCCTCCTCCTCCTCCTCCTCTCCCTTTCACACACACACTCTCTCTCTCGGCGATGTCTCCGTACTGGCGTGAACTCCACTACTCGGGATAAGAATAAAACGGCACCGACTACCTATCTAGTCTTACCCCGTCTATCACTCTGGTAACATATGGTTGTTGTACCGAACGCGGAGGTGAACGGGGCGGGAATCAAGAAAATTCCCACTTTGTTCACCACCTAGTTTTGAGTGTAACGAAAGCGACAACGGAGGAAATTAAAAGGCCTGGATGAAATCATGTGTTGTTGTTCTAGATCTCTCGCAATGCATGCATACATACTACTACCTCCATGTAACGGATTTCTTTCTGGTGATCTGGTACTGGACGTTATTGCTGCGGTGGCGATGGTGGCGTAGCGCGGCTGTGTCGCTTATTCCAGTCTGATAACTGGGCATAGCTGCTGACCACTGACTACGGGTTCCAGCCCTGGACTGGGGCTTGAGGTTCCTGTCAATTCATCTTGTAGGCTCTTGGCTGAGCAGCTCGATCCTCGACATTGGCAGATTTTATGTATTGCTGAAATAGACTACTATGATCCGATACTTTTTCCATATTTCGGAAAAGGGACGATGAGAAGTGACAGGCGGCTGGCTACTTATGTTACTGCGTACAGTCAGTCAAATTCTATGTCTCCACCAGTCAACCAGCATAATGATGTTAAGTTATCTACGGGGTAGAATTGCTATTGCTGGTGCCAAGTCAATACTGGTAGTCCCAGGTAGGATAGCCAAAGAGGCGCAGAGAACGGAATCGGAGCAGGTCAACCATCGTAGGTAGTAGTAGCAACTCTCTGCAGCGCATAGCCAGTCCGATAATAGGCTAAAAATGGAGGAAGATCGTTCTGCCCAGTCGTGAGGCGTGAACTTGATTGAATCGACAACCGCGATCGTGCTGATGATGCACCACCGCAAGCGTGCAGCTTGCAGAGCGACTTGAGAGCATCAATCCACTCTCAGTATAGGCCACTCAATCCTATTTTCCCAATCTACCTTCTTCTTCTTCTTCTTCTTCTTCTTCTTCTTCTTCTTCTTCTTCTTCTTCTTCTTCTTCTTCTTCTTCTTCTTCTTCTTCTTCTTCTCACAATGCTGCTTGCCGGCTACTGATAACGACACTTTCTTGCGGACATCGCGGCCCGGGGGGAGTGGGCGCAGGAATATTTATTTATAGAGTTTGGGCCCAGGTATGCTGACTACCACTACAATCGTGTGTAAGCTAGACCAAAGCCATCTATCTAATGAAGACGATTGTCTGTGGCACAGAGTCGTTTGAGATCCTGTGGTGGCTTTTTTTAGTTAACTCCAGATCGTGGGTCGTAGCAATCTCAAAGGAACTCTGATCAGCGACAGGGTATGGACAATTACTGGAACCTAAATACTTGTAGATTAGGGAGGGGGATGTCTTCAAAATCTTCAACTCCTTGAGTGCTGGAAACATGATGAGACAGGGGGAAGTCGAAGTGATTTGAGCTTTGAGGACTAGGCACGTTTCAGCTGCTTCCTCCCGGCTCGAACTGCGAACTGCGAACTGCAGAACTTCAGGTACGAGGTTAGGGGAGGGGAAAAAAGGGGAGGGGGGGGATGGAGGGCAGCGGTTGACTGCCACTCGGGATTGTACTTTAGATTGCTGTATTTCCGTTTCGCTGTCAACCAGATGATGACAGGCAAAGGTCTTGAAACTCGGGAGGGAAAGGATTACCTTCTAGTGGGGGAACTTTTTTGTTGCAGTTCACATACTACTGTTGTTCTAGGAAGTGTATGGTAGGAACCCAACGAATAGACAGAGTACGAAGTACTGTGTAGGTGTACTGAATAGATGTGTTGGCACCGGCAGGTAAGCCTTGTATCGTCCATCTTACTGTATGATGCTGGGTTTGTACACCATAGCAATACTGTACCACTAGTAACTGGAGTGATACGAGACATGTTTTGTAGGTAATATCCTGTCACCAAAATACTGAGTACAATACTTTTCAGTAGACATCGGTCGGGAGTCCCCTTCCTCCCTCGCATAGATCAGGCCCACAAGCCAGCCAGCCATCTGGTAATCAGTTCCAAGTCGCTTCGAGCATTGCCCATTTGTTGAGGGTTCAGTCAAACTGACAGGCATGAGTTTGCTTGATCTAGAAGGCAAGACATTAACAAAGACTGGTTGTTCGTGCATCTTGAACATCCACTGAACATCGCTTAGGTTTAGCGTATAGTATGTACGTGAGTCCGGTACTGCGCGCAATCAACATTCAACAGTACATAACAGTCCTGTCGAGTTCGATTCCCAGCCAGCAGTAAAGGAGGAACCCTCTTCTGAGCAAGACTTCTCTGCTCATAATAAGGCTGCCGTCAGACTCGAGTGAATATTGGCAGTCAGTCCGTCTTCACTAAGAATGCGCGCCCTAGCGGTAGAGGTGAACACGCGGTGAGGCCAAAGTGCTATGCGAGCGACCCTCACAAATAGAGCGATCTTTGGCAGGGCAATTTCGGTTACGTCACTTGTCCTCGTAGTTTGGCCCAGGTTACAGAGTAGAGAAAAAAGGCATTGAAATACGGTATATGCATGAATTCAGCCACTACAGTATATATGCTAAACTGTCAATTTCTTTTGTTACGGTGGTAGGCACGGTAAGACGGGCAGAGTGTGTCTGCCTTCCTCCTGCTGCGCTACGCATTGTAGTAACTCCGATAGTAACTAAGGCGAAAGCTCACGGCAGGGCCGGATTTCCCTGAATAGTGTGGCAACCGTTAGGCATTCTCCCTTGGAATACTGCGACTTGCCTGTACACTGCATTACCCATAGGTATTGATCCCATGTCTCTCAAGGTTCCCTTATCCCATTTTGCTGTGCTGCCATTGTTCGTTTGTCCTGCTCGTCGCATTGCAGGTCTAAAACACGTGGATCGCCTCGCCAATCATCGACACGCAGCTCAGGGACTGTTCACTTGTCCAGCAAGGTGTGAACATCGTACAAAGCTGATGCGAACCAAGTACACCTTCAAAAACCATACCATAAGTCTGTCTATCGGGTAATAGAAGGCAACCAGGGGGGCTTATCGAGGTATGCTCAGGTAGCGTATATGCATATTCTGGAGGCTGACAATTCAAGACGGGGAAGGATTTGGGGGTCCGAGTGCCTGTGCACATAGTGTTTCCTCACCTTTCTCTATTCTCACCCTATCCCGTACACTTAGCAAAGTTAAACCATTTCACTGTTTCTGGATCTGCCTCCATTCACCTTGATAACTTGAGCCTGATCTTCTCGAGTATGTGGCAATGTGCACAGTTGGCAATAATGGCCTTGTACCTTGACTGAGCATCCGATTGTCAGCTGTCATTATTTCGAAGGGGAGCAACTACCGGTATCTTATCGACTCTTCGTAACTCGGTATTTATTAGCACTTCACTGTAGCACTAGTTAATCTTCCATCCCTTCATTACTGCACCGGAATGGTCAGAGACTGGCACATCCGGTTCTGGGCAGACGCGAGCCAGGAACTAGGCTCATCCATCAAAGAAACTCTTCTGTATTATTCAGGCTTTATTGCCCTAAGCCTTTTACCGTGAGGCTCTCGCCTGACTGGAGCAGCTGGAACCATATTGCCATTACAAGTCTTCAGCAGCACAAGTAGAAGGGAAGACCTGCTGTCCAATAAATCTCTAGAGAGCCTCCTAGACGAAAGATCAGTCGGTTGGTCTGTCTTGGTTAGACCTCGGCCGACGTGCTGCAAGCTGAGGCTGGGATCCTTGTCTACCTGGTGGGAAAGTCAATCAATGAATCTATTTCCGCCCCACGATCTACGGAGTACCTAGTGACTGTTGCATTCGAACCATCAATGCGACATCACTCGCTCTTTGGCTGTAACGCTGCCTGCAATTCTTAACTACAATATGCTCTGCCAGACTATCATATATATAAACTAAGCCGTAGACAAGTTTGTCTAACCCGTTGAACTTGGTCCCGGGTCGGGTTGTTAACTCGTGTGGTTTTATCCTCAGTCATCTGAAAGTCCGAGAATGATCACCAGTGAAACCCGAGCTTCCGCGCTAAAGCTATCGCGGATGCTCTGTCTCTGTTCCCGCCTCGGTCTGCACGAGATGAATCTCTAACATAGCTCTTCTTCAAGCCCTCCTCTTGATCCTGCTCTTGATCCTGCTCTTGATCATGTGCGATGTTGCGCGCGTTTCTCAGATCCCTTTTCAGACTTTCTGAGAGGGGCGAATCCAAAAAAGCTTGGAGGGGAGAAAGGGCGAGGCTGGTCGGCGGATGATCTACCGTCATGCTAAACCAGTGGATCGAGTGAGGTTATGTGATCCTGTGACAGCATTGGTACCTTGTATTAATTTATCATGGGATGGCTGCCGATGACGACCGGTGATGATCCGTCAATTGACCATGGAAACCACAATCAATCTCAATTCTGAAACATGTCTCCTGAATGAGTAGCACCAACGACTCTCTGATTGTAGCCATCAACTAACAATCCCGTTGTGAGGGTTTCTCCCAGAAGGGGAGAAGTACTAGTCAGTCAATTAGAAACCCACTCGATGCATTCGCATCCATACTTTTGTTCTTTCTCACCAAGTTAAGTTAATTATTCATTTGCCTTTATTCCGTGTCACCCTAACATAGCTTTCCAGATACATTGACATGTATTGGCCGAACATCCCTCCTTCTTTGCCAAGAAATGGAAAGACGTCCCATGGAAATCATGCTACCGCTCGATCTGGACTTCGGCATCTGGCCCCCGCGCCATTTTCGAGTAGGATCCTGACTTTCCCTGGGTCATTCAGTGTCGATATCAAATAAAAGTCAAAACTGTACAAGGAGGAGGCTCTCAAACATTGTTCCCTTAAGAGAGTACAAAGATCCATTTTACCAAGGCATCCAGGCAAAGGTTGATTTGGATTATCTGGAGACCTATCATTTTTGTCGTCGGGTGGTGGTGGGGACGCCCGATGGCCGGAGACATGGCGATGGCATACAGTCACTAGTAAAATATCTATAAGTTACCTTACGCTTGGTTCCCGGCTGAGTTAGCAACGGAGATCCGAAAGTAGTCAAGGCACAGGTCCTTTGATTCCGGGCAGCACCGTTTCATTCCGTACATGTACCACACCACCTGAGTTGGCTCGCTGTACGAGCCGGAGTCACGACACGTCTGGTCATGTATGGTAAACCCATCTCCGTACAGATCATCTGCCAAGATAGGCTTCTTGCCCAAGGGAAACGTCAGAAAAACAGAAGGGATCCGAAATCAGTCATTCGACCTCTGAGTGATGAGATCATACATTCCTTCTGAATGAGCTCAGAGAATCAGGAGGGAAACAGGTTAGATGGAGGATGTTCTAAGAGCATGCATACAAAAATGGAAGGAGGATGCACTGTTGATGGAAAAAGAAATAGTACTTTTAGAAGTATTAGAAGAGGCAGAAGAGTAAAGAGAGGGAAAGGCCTATTGAATCAAGTCCATCGACCAATGTAACTTGGAATCCATCCTGTCTTGCCCGATTGATTGTTGGTAAGGACCAATTGTTCCAGAGCCCCGACCTTCTATTCATTCATCACCTGAAGCCACTTCAAATCGGGATGGCAATGTAGACAGTACAGTATTACCAGTAACCAGCTCGTAGAACCTTGTTAAGTACGATACGCATGGTTTGCATACCCACTCTGCCCAGCCAGCAACGACCGACTTCTAACATACACGCATCCCTTCTCCGCCAGTTCAGGATTCGACTACCGCTGTCGACTTGAGAGATCAATTTAGACGATGGCCTACTTACCGGTACTACTTCTCACTGCTTCATCTGAGGGGCTTGGACGATAGGCGGGGTTGAGACGCCCATGATCCGTATATTCATCCTCTTTTGTCTTTGAAATGATTGTCTTCCAGCTTACGGCGTAAGGAGACAATCAAATCGATCAATGTATGTCATCTGGAAAGATGAGTTATTGTGTCCAAGGACCCCGTAGCCAGCGCTCACAGACGGGCTTAGACCTTTCTACCCCCTCTCAGACTTTATTGGGAATGCCATAGTAAAGGAATGAAAGCCTATGGTTCTTCGCCTTGCGTTGAGGTGCTTCCCCACTTTTTTCCTTCCCTCCGCCTCTTTTGTCCTCCCGGGATTGTCTTTCGGGTGCTTCTTTGAATCTTGCATGCGATCAGACTTGACAATAATTTTGGCCAATTTGATAGCCCTTCTTGGAGCACTGGATATTTATCAGATTGGGAGCATCATCAAGCTATGCTCCTGTCTAACATACAGTCTCATCATCTGCAGCACAGATTCAAAGGTCACTGAATATTCAATTTAGATTGGTAACTCGTATAATGGATGGATGGCTCCTAATTACCTATGCTGTTGTGCTCTAGTTCGTACCTAACCTTCTCCTAGTCTCGACTTCTCAGGCGTAGTGGTCTTTTTCCTTTCCTTTTTCCTTTTTTCCTTTCAAAGGAAAAGAAAAAAGAAAAAACCAAGAGAAATAATAATATTTTCAATAATAATAATTATTATTCTTTCTCTCCTTTCCCTCCGACTACTACTATTATTAATGGTTCTGTTTCTTCAGACCTCTTTAATTAATTCCTGATTATTGTTCTTTGCCGGGTGAGATTCGTTAATCTTCAGTGGGCCTTACCCTCCTTCACTCTCTTTGAATCCCCAGTTTCTACACTCCTTGTCCCAAAGAGTAATAAACAAAAAGGGAAAGGAAAAGGGACAGAAAAGGTACAATACCTGGTTTCCATTACCATACCGCCGTCCGCTTTCTCCCCACTTCTTAGTTCCATCTGGTCCTGACGCTCTCTTTACGCTCTCCGCTCCAAGGCCGCCTTACACTCTCATCCCCGTTCCTTTGGCATCATCTCAGCTCATCTTTCTTTCTCTTTCTTTCCTGCCCCCTCCTCTCCTCTTTTCTTCTCACTTTTGACGCTCTCTACATACTCATATACAGTTAATCCAAGACCATCTTTCTTGCCATGGGTCTTGTTAACTTACCATTGCCGTTTGCTCTCTAGCCTGCAAACTACTCTTATCCTCTCTTCCCACTCTTTGTTGCTCAATCTATGGCGGATTGTCCTGCTTCGCCTTCCCGTGCATTCGGCCGCTGACCTGCAGCGCCCTCGCTGCCATCCGCCTCTATCTCGGATCCCAGGGCAGCTCGCTCCCTCAGTGACTACTTACCGTCAACAGCTGGGACGTCTCTTGTCCCGTTGAACGTCGCTTGCCTCTCCTTATCCTCATTGCTTCTCCGATAGCGCCTCCTCATGTCCGCCCTGGAGGTTCCCGAGACTGGGTTGTCTCTCTGCAGAGACAACCACAGCAATGATCCGACAGCCAAACCACCTCAAATCATGCGATTGAATCTCGCCCAGAGCACCCTTGACGAATTGATTCAAAGCCTTCGGAACGATCAGACAGCTCGGCTTCGCCTCGGAAAACATCCGTCCCTCCACTACGGCACTAAATCCCATTCGTTCCATTCCCGTCCTGAAACGCATCGATCCGAGTTCTATACTGGCAGTGCCGCTGATAAAGAGAACCTCTACTTTTCGGGTGTTTTGAGCCATAGCTTGGAGGTTCAGAAGGCTAAGGAGGCTACCGCAGCTACGGATCAGGCGCTGGCAAATCTCGAGCAAAGCCTGAACGCTTTCGAGAGGGGGAAGGGCAAAACTCACTTCATCAATGGTAGTGATGATGTGCGAGCTCTCCGGGCCGGTGACAATCGGACCAGCACCGGCAAACAGGCCGCCCGCCTGGCTCGTATGCCTGCTACCAAAGTGGAGCTGGAGAAAGACCGATTGCTCACTGCTGCTAATCGGTCGGTGTCGTCGAGCCCAGCTCTGGGAGTGGCTCGATCTCCAGGAGGGCCTCTCACTCCCCTCACGCCCACGTCCGTGCCCTTTTCGCAAAACAAAGATCGTGTTCGCCTCGAGGCCCTCAAGGTCCCCTTCATTCACCTCCTCGCTATTCGGGCTGTATCTGCCCAGTTTCTGGCGCGCCAGACCCGCTCCACCCTCGAAGACTGCGAGACCTTGGCTCGGAGATACGGCGTGGAGAATCGAATCAACCCGGAAAAGTACGACCTAAGAGATAAAACGTACAAGGATCTCGATGTCTGGAAATTCCCGTACCCGTCCCAGGAGGACCGACAGGAAGCTATCGAAAATGCCATTTCTGCGTTCGATCGCATGCGCATATCTCGCACTGACAAGCTCTGGCAGATGCTTCTGCCGAAGGAGGAACGGGGCAAGGGCAAGTGTCTGTCGCGGTTGGACTTGCGAATAGGCCCTATAAAGAAGGCCTTGACCCCTCGGATACAAGTGCAACCTTCCGAGGATACCGGCAAGGATGGTTACACCACTGGCCAGGACACCGATAAAGGCACTGCATCCGGCTTTACGCCGAAGGCAGGAGAACCCACATCGGCTCCTAGGTCTGTGCCTACTGTGTCTAAAAAACGAGTCGCTGAAAAGGATGCTTCGATGAAGCGCTCGACCACCAAAACAAAGACTGCAGCCAACAGTACATTGACCGGTCGGGTGACAAAGAAGGCTGAGCGTAAATTCACTGGGAAGCCGGAGGCCAAGTTCAAGTCGGCTGAATTTGTACATGATTCTGACGAGGATGACACGGATATGCCTGAAGCCTCTTCCTCGGAAAAACCTCCGGCGGAAGCAACCAAGCTTCAGCCACAACCAAAGCCTACCACCAAAGCGGCCGAATCAGTTCACAACAGGGAATCCTCACACGTCCCAACACCCAAGGTGGAGCAACCCGAGCCTACCACAAAGCCCGGCCCTTCTCCTCAAGTCGCTGGCAAGCTTCCAGCTGCAAAGAGACCACCTTCGACGCGGCCACCCGCCCAAAAGTCCCCTGCGAAGCCGTCACCGCTCGGATCATCACCCCCGACAAATGTTTCCGATGTTCAAAGTCGTAGCCGCTCCTCGAGCCAGAACAATTCGTCCAGCTCTTCCTCTTCTCCGCTCATCTCACAGATTTCCAAGCCATCCCGCTCACTTACCGCTGCCGCGCCCACAATCCGGAAAGTAACCAAGCCGAACGGTGCGACCAAGGGGACTGAGTTGTCAAATCCATTGAAACGAAAAGCGGAGCTAGACCGACCTCCAGCTCAGGCTCTAGGCCAGGGTCGAACAACTGGAAATCTAGAGCATAAAAGGCGACGGGCAGTAAGCACGTCCAGTGGTAGCACTGGCAGTGCTTCGCCACCACTCAGTCGTGAACTACTCACTCAACAGCTGCACGAGAAGTCGCGGAAGTTCAAACAGTTCTATGCCAAATATTACGAGCTTCATCGATCACTAGCGTCGCAGCCCAAACCGTCTCAGGTCGACCTAGACCGACTTCACAAACAACATGTTCGCCTACAACGGATGAAAAAAGAAATTTGGGATGAGGATCGACAGTTGAGGGATTGACTATAACGACAGAACATGGCGTACCACAGAGGACTTGATGTCTCGCTCATTGTCTTGGTTACAAAGCCCGGATCGTCCACAGCGTGGGCTTCTGGTACATATAGGATCTCTGCTAATTCTGATTGTTGCATGTTGATTGCATGACGAAGCAATATGGTTCCATGCTCCGATGGCGTCTGCAATGCTTGATATTTTTCCTTGCATGGTTCTGATGTTTTTCTTTTTATCTCTTTTTCCTTTGTTCTGACCATATGCATATCTGCATCACACAATCGCAATCTCTTCGAGACGGCGCGCGTGCATGTACTTGAATGATTTATTAATATTATGTGAACCCGGCTGCCGGACTTGTCCTGGCGGCCAGGAAGCCAGGAAGCTGCAAGGGGTCGCCCCTGCGTAAGATGAACTTGCAGCAGCCTCGAAGAGGAGAAGAGGGGCAAACTACTACACGAGATAGGAAGACTCAATGAGAAGACCAATTCAAACGCCAACATTCATCAAACTCGGCGTCGACTAGTAAAATCATACAAGTACGTAGACTGAATATACGCACCAGCGGCCGAGAGGATCGGAATTGTCTGTGGTCATCAGTTCATAATTTTCAAGGCAATTGAGGACGTCCACTCATGCATGTCATTCAGTATGAGCCGCGGGCCACTTACCCCTCGTGTGTGGCTGACAATGGGGGGTGATTGTTGGTTGGGTTCCTCGCAGCTCTTCAACCCCACCACGAAAAAACAGAAGGGAGAGAGGGGTTTCGGGGTACTCTTGTTCCCAGGGACGCACTTGAGTACGTATATTATTGCTCTTCTTCTTTCCCTTCTTCCACCATTCTTTCATACGTACCAGCCCCTATTGCACCCCGTCACATAGGTTGTAAATCAGCTAAGTTATTCAAGTTATTCGCAGTCAATCTTACTTCTGCTGAGTGCTCAGCAGTACGGAGTGACTTACGGAGTGCCTTGGTAACCTTCGAATTTACCCCGGATCAACCCTGAATAATGATGGACCGGAAGTTAGGCTAATCCTGATCAGGAACCAGCCCCCACCCCAATGCACGTGGCGGTCTCATTCGTCTCTGTACTGTCTAACTCTTGGTAATTCCAGTACTGTTATCTTTCAATTGGTGTATATTTTACCAGTATTGTCATTGGTCACAGTGTCTGTCACGACGTCATTCTCCCGGTGCTGCTACCGAGTCGCCGGCCCTTTTCGACAAGGCGGTGAGTGACCCCAGCAGCTGCTTCTGCTTGTGCTTCTGCTTGTGCTTGTGCTGTATCGGCCACTCCAACTGACCGACCACGAATTTATTTCCCGGGGGCAAGCCAATTATCACCATTTCAGTCATCAACCCCATCTATCGTCAGGCATTTCTTTTTGTTACAGCTGAGGTCTATCAGCTGGTTCAGAAGTGCTGTTACTTGGGCTGACTCTTCCACGGGTGATAACTAGTGGCATTGGACTTTCCAGCTGCGCATTGCGGATAATTTCTTTAACCTCCCCTCTTTCGCCCCCGACCGGGCACCCGGTTGTCCTCTACAAGACAATAACCTTCTTGGTTCCAGCTGTATCATCGGCGGACTTTGCAGGAAAGAGGGTCTTGAAGTGAAAGCTGCCTTCAATACACCTCAACCTCGTGATATCATGAATCCTTCAAGAGGCCGCGGGCTGGGTCAACGAAGTCCTCATGTCCTGGTACGGTCATCATCATTTCCAGCTTTGTCAGCCAGCGTCTCAGCTCACTGTAAATACTGACTCCATTGCTTCTGTTATCGGACTAGGTAACCGACTCTCGCGACCAACAGACATCCTCGCAACCCCGCCGCCGGCGCTCGCCCGCAACCCGCTTCATCACCGTCGACAACGTCCTTCAATACACCTCCGATGTGCCCTCCATGCAGCAACGGCATCCGCCTCAGGGCACCCGGACGCGGCCGCGCTCTCGTATCGCATCGGCCGCCGGCGGGCTGATCGGGGCCGCGGCCGGCGGAGCGGCCTCCTCCAGTGGGGGTAGCATCGGCGCAGCCAGCGGCAGCACCGCAGCGGCAACGATTCGACGTCTCGCGGCCCAACCGCGCCTTCCACCTCGTACTACCAAGGTCAGTGAGAAGCTCGTTCTGCTTCCCGAAGCGGACGGGAAGTTACCTGAGGACGACGAAGGCGAAGAAGAGGATGAAGAGGCCGTAGATGAAGAGTTCGTGCAGCGCGTCGCCAAGGATAAAAACCTGGACCCCGAGGCTGTGCGGCAAACCCTACTGGCGCAGAAGAAGATGCGCCTGGATGGGGCAGACTTTGGCGTGGACAACGATATCGCGCCACTGCTAGCGGATGAGGAACTGCTGCGTAAGCGGAAGGTCGCGCCGGAGAAGGCGAAAAGTTATGCGGAGCGCCTGCCCAAGGCGCGCCGGGCCGAGAAGTTGGCGCGCGTGACGGCGTACTGCACCGCGCAGGCGTACAAGATGAGCTCGTTGGCGTCTTTTGTGAAGGAGAGACATGGTGGCCGCACGAAGCTGTATGATGACTGTCTGTACACGGCGTATCATCTGCCGCTGTTGCCGGGGCTGGATGGGTACAGGTTGAGGAGTAGCCCCATGGTAAAGAAGCCGGGAGGGAAGTCGATCTTGGACGAGGAGATCGAGCGCAATGAGCTGCGGGACCATCATGAGGATTACCTGGTGGATGCGGAGGAACATTCGGTCATTGGAGGACGCCATGAGCACAGGTCCTCACATCAGCAGCACAGTGAGGCACCTAGAGACAGGGATGAGGAAGGGCACCACCAGCAGGAGGAACACGAAGAAGAGGAGCATCGATCCGTACCTGGCTCTGAGGCGCAACCTTTCGTAGGTGGCATTGATGGTTCTGGTAATCATCATGGCTCGGCAGACGCTGCGGCGGCGACACCAACCGCAACACGTCTGCCGTACAATGTTGCAGAAATGTTCGTTTTCAGCTACGGAGTGGTGGTGTTCTGGAACTTCACCGAGAAACAGGAGAAGGATTTACTTGCTGATTTGGCGTTTGCGACTTCGTCCGCGACCGGGACACCAATCCCGCTGGCTACTTTGCCCTTGCAGGAGGAAGACTTCGAGACGGAGGAGTTTCATTTCGAGTACTCGACGGAGATCTCTCGCCCGCGCGTCTACAATGATATGATCACTCTGCGTAGCGGTGACCACATGATCAAATTGGCTATCAGCCACGGCATCGCGCAAAGCACCAAACTCTGCTTCTTTGAAGAAGTCATGGCTCGACAGATGGCTGAGGCTAAGGATGTCCCTCGCCGACTGGCCATGACAGGCAATCTCGGCATGAAACGAGACGAAGTGTTTCGCATCCTCGGTAGTCTTTTTAAAAGCCGCGTGGAGGTCAATCTCTGTACGTTGTACCCATATGTTTCTAGCCCCACGCCAAGTATTTACGCTAACGGCCAAACCAGCATCCAACGTCCTTGATGTTCCCAATTTCTTCTGGGAAAGCGAACCGACCCTATATCCCCTTTACATTGCCGTGCGCGAGTACCTCGAGATCAAGCCTCGGATTCAAGTCCTCAATGAACGCTGTAAAGTCTTCTTAGATCTGGCGGAGATCCTGTCCGACTCCATAGCCGACAACAAAACCTCCCGTAAGGCTGCCTTGCCACCATTCTGCAGAATAGCTGCTTCCACTGCTTCATATCTGATGCTAACCTGAGAATGAAAATCACAGATCAAACATGGATTATCATCGTCCTCATCTGCGTTTCCATCCTGGTCACCACCTTTGAAGTTTTCCTCCGGTTCGGCCTCCTCTCCTCCCGCGAAGGAGGTGCCTCGACGGCAGCTACCGCCCCTATCAGCTCCTTCGCAGCCACGGTCCTAGCCCGGGCCCTAGGCAGCAGTAGCAGTAACAACTCGGCCTGCGCATGTTCATGTCCTGCTCAATTACCAGGCAACGGGATGACGAACACAACATCTCGAACAATAGGAATGCTGTCTTAGAAAAGCAACCCTTTTCTGATCTCCGATTCATCCTTTCTGAAAATCTGCCAGTGCTCTCATCTCAATTGGGAGGAGTCTGGCAACCAGACCGTCGAAGTACTGACCCAGTCAGTGTTCCAGCCCAATCCACTGACGGATGCTTCGTTATATGACATTGCCACACCTCTACTGTTCCTTGCTCTTAACTGCACATCACATCCCGATATTATCCGGCAACAAGCCGACTCTGGGCAACTAACACCTCTAATTTGTATCTCACCATCCCCCCAGCCGGTGCGAGCCGTGGGAGCGAACGGCAGAGCAGAAAGGATAGAGTATACATCCTGATAACCCTGTCCGCTTCTCCCCTTCTTCTTATTTCTCAGGCGCCATCTGTTTAGATAACTTATGCTGCTGTAATTCATCCAATCAAGCAGTTATCACAGCCTCTCTTTGCAACTTCTTCTAGGTCTATGAGGATGAGTAATACATTCATTCATCGAATCTGCCCAAGGCGGTGGGTGGTGGGTTGGAGTGGGTCTCTTTTCATCGGTCACCCCCCTGATCGCCGTGCTTTGTTTGACTACCTTGTAGGTAGCACTATTTTTTTTTACAGCGGTGACCGAAGTAACAGGAACCCCCCATGCTTGATAGTACGAGGGCTTGCCGGTACTAGGGTTGCCTAAATATGAAATGACGCCACCATGGACCGTGTAAAATGACGTGTCGCACATTCTCAATACTATTGACTTTTTCATCTGTACAGAGGGAGATTCAATTCAAGCTTCTATATGCTGTTGGATTTTCTGATAGTAGACCTGATATATGTGTTCAGGCTTTATATCTACAAATCGGGGATTGATGCCAATGAGTGGGGGGAGGAGGAGAGGTTAGGGGCTGAAGGAGTGACAAAGGGAAGTGAGGTAGGGGACCACAACAAATGAAACAAGGGTAAAACAAATCTGCAGAGGAGGATTAGGTATACAACAATGCAAATTGGAGGTTGAAGATTCCAGACAGAAAAAGACACAAATGACAACCATAGAAACCCCATACGGCCGAGCCTGAGCCTAAATGATGAAAACCTTTTCCAACTCTATCTATGCTTCGTCCGATTCATTTCGCCATCGGGAAAGAGAACAACAACAAACAATAATCAGAATGAGAAAGGGAAATAACGACGATAACGAACAGCCAGGACTCCATCCAGTGTTCCTTTTCAAACCCACACTGGTGTATGCTATGATGATGTTGATGACAGGAATATCGAGAAACAAACACGTGCCATGATGATGATGCTCTGAAGGATGAAGAACAATGTGAAGATGCTAGGGGATTCATCGGCGCAACAAAGGAAATGTGACAAATGAAAAGGGAAAAAAAGCAATTCAGGATGTTTGACTTCACTTCCTAGAGTGTAGTCCAGTCATCCTTTGCGCGACCTGGTGGCCTCTGATTCCTTCAATTGCACGGCCCTGCCGTATGATGAAGTATCCATTGCCATTTTCAAACTGGAGTGGACCATGCGCTGTCGCCAAGTCTGGGTTTCATTTCATAGTTGTCCGGTTCAGTGCTGGCAGGCCGTCTGAGGGTCGAGTTGGGGAAGTACATGTGGGGAGGCATAGAGCTTGGATACGCCGCTCCGCTCTGCTCAGGGTACCCAAAGTCGGTGGCAGAGCCAGGAGAAGGAATACTAGAATGCGATGGGGAAGCCCAGCCCAAGCTAGTCATATGCGGGCTACCACTGACGCTGTTGGGCCGGTGATCGTTGTTGGCAGGCGGCTCCAGCGGCTGGGGGGGGCCATATCCCGATGGATGCGAGGTCATTGAGGGGCGAATATGCGGAGCACTGCCGTAGCTGGACAAGGAAGGTGATGTAGCCGTGGGAGAAGCTCGGGGGCTGACTTGAGGAAAGCCACCCCGGATATGAGGTGGAATGGAGCCATTGCTCATGTAGTAATCAGAGCGCGGCATATTCAACGGAGGCAGATCGCCAACGGGAGAGATGGGGTGGTGTGCTGGCGAAGGAGTTGAATGAGCAGAGCCATGGTCAGAGAACATATCTCCCGAAAGTCTTGCCCGTTCCTTGTTTTGCCTCAGGTTGGCTTCAGTCTCTGCGGCGGCCTCTTCAATGGTCCCTGTGTGGTGATTCTGATGCCGCGTCAGCGTGGTGCGGCGAGTGAACGTCTTCTGGCAATTTGCGTAGGGGCACTTGTAAGGACGCTTTCCAGAATGGATCCGGCGATGTCTAGCAAGAGACGACGAATCGCTGAAAGGCTACATAAAAAGAGTAGATATTAGCGAGAGTGGGATTTATTCCGGGGGACCAAATGATCCATACCTTGCCACATCTTTCACACATGTGAGGTTTCTCGCCAGTGTGAACACGAGCGTGCACTGTCAGAGCTGAGCGCTGGATGAATTGTTTGCCGCAACCTGGCCAATCACATGCATGGGGCCTAATACCCGAGTGAATGCGCTCTATATTGGTGTTAGGGTCACCGGCGAATTGAGCACTGTCATGATGTACTTACCATGCCGTGCCAGGTCACTACGACGAGCAAATCCCTTGCTGCAAGTCCCACAGTGAAAGGTCTTTGGAGGAGGATCCGCCCGCGCCTGAGGGGCAGTGTTCGGGATTTGACTAGCGCCAGTGTAGGCACCGGGGATAAAGGTATTCTGCAAAAGAGGCAATCCTTGGTGTGGATGTGTCTGTGGTGCATAGCGTATATCTTGCTGCATATTCGGCATCTGGCTCAGTTGCGCATGAGGAGGGTACGAGAGAACCTGCTGGTCGCTAGACTCGGCGCCAGGCTCTGCCTTCATCTTTGGCGAATGATCCATACCAGGATTCGGGACCAGGTGCGCTGGATCGAAGGGTGTGTCCGCGGCAACCATGGCGGTAGAACCTTTCCTGTTTAAGATATTTGTGATGTCCATGACCCGACCCTGCGGGGAAGTAGAGAGATGGTGGTCAGGGACGAATTAAGATCTCCCACGGAAGACCGTCTGCTGCTGAGCCGTAGGTTTTCTCCACGGCGCTTGCCTCTCGAAATGTTTGTAAGCGCTGGTATTTTCTCCACAGACGCCCTGGCGCTCAAATTCAGGTTTTCAATAAGCAATCAATCCACAGGACACGCGCTTGTCGTCAGGGATCGTCAGGGATCGTAATCTAGGCAGCCGCGGTATCCGGAGGGCCACGACAGAGTTCACTAGAGTGCAATATCTAGCACTGATTGGAATCTTTCCTGAGGACTGCAGAGGCACCGCGAGGCTTCAGAGAATTGAATTATGATGCGCAAGTCGAAGAACTTCGAGGTCGTTCGGACACACTAGGTTGGCTTGGTCACCAGAAATTTGTTTCGCCACGTCTTTGCCGCGAGTCTGCAAGGATCCTCAAGTCACCGGGAGAGTTGGCCGGGGATACCCAAGGTAGGCGCACTCGGTTTGTTTCGGCGGATTTCAACGAACAATGCTCACCACGCCTGCAACGAGGGAGGAGTCTGTCGGAGTGAGAATAGCGACGAGGTGAATTGTTTCTGCACTGTGTAACAAGATCGTAATACGTTAGTAAGCTGCGCATAAACAATGATGATATGATGTCAGATGAATTTCAAGCGCCTAACTGGACCAGTCTGCAACATTCCTCGTAAGAAACGCGCGAGTGATTGGAGCTCGTTATGCTGTGTTTCTTTTTTTTCCCCTTCCTTTATGCAGGCAAATTGATGGGGAACCAACAAACCATTGCGCGCCAAACCAAAAAAAGAAAGGAAAAAAAGAAAAAAAGAGAAAAGACACAGCAGTAGACGATGCGCCAGGGGAGACTGCAACTGTGCGAGAGCGAAATCTGGTAAGTGTGCACCTCGAGTATATACACTTTGAGGATAAGTTTTGAAGACTGTGCTTTGGAAGAATTTCCCCCACAGGAAGGCGGCAACGAGCGAGATGGATGGTGGGCGGAGCGCCATGAGAGCGAACGAAGAGAAACTTACGGAGAGAAAGGCTGACGGGTTGCAGAAGCACAGCTCGTTGCCAGCAAGTACTGTGCGTTGAAGCAGGGGTTCGTCGGAGAATCCGTGGGCGTCAAACAAAGTGCACCAAAAGGCGTTCTTGACGGGGCTTCTCGGGGATATTCCAGAAACTGAAGGGAGAGATCGGGGACGATCGCACCACCGCAAATGAGATCACGTAGGGAAGACCTCGATGGACAAGGAAGTAAAAGAGGCTCTGAGTGGTTTGATAGAACTGTGCTGGGAGAAGGAATTGAGGGGGACGGTCAGCTTCGGTATGAAACAGAGAGAAGGACAGGGAGAACGAGAGTGACTGAGATAGAGAGAGAGAGAGAGGGAGAATGAAGTACCAGGTTGATGGAAGTAGAGAAGAATAGAAGACGCAGAGTGGAGGAGGAGAAGTAATGAATGGGTAAAAATGAGTATCCGGATGGTATTGAGTATACTGCAAAACCCGAAACTCTGTATTGCTTGTCCTTAACTAGTATTCTCTCTATCTTCTTCACAGAGCAGCATGAAGCAAAGCAGAGGCGGCGCGTGTCTCTCTTTTCTTATTTATTTGTTACTCGAAAGAATATCCTTTATTCCCTCCCCCCCCCAGGAGAGCCGAATAATAGTGGTAGTTTTAGTTTAGCTGGTTAGTTGAAATTAATGTTTCTTATTATTAGTAGTTGCTCCTAGTGCCCGGCAGTAATAGATTGGGAATACTTTTACAGAGTAGGAATAATTCAGGATGATTTTTTTTGATTATTGTAATTAGTCGACGGAGGCCATAAACCGAGCGGGACTAAGCCCTGTTGGTCGGAGACTACAGCTTCACACGTTTCCACTGCGTGCCCCAAGTGGCTCCAGTAAACTCTCACGCCCGAAGAAGCTGGCGGCACCAGAAGGTCACCGTCAGCGCGCTCGGCTCCACAACGTGGCTTTCATTTCTCCTGGCCGTGCGCGCGCAAAAGAGGGGAAAAAGAGGGAGAGAGTAGACCACTCTCAGACCTCTTTTTATTCTCTGAAATGAAAAAGAAAAAGAACAAGAAAGAGAGAAAAAGATAAGAGAAAAGAGCATAAACATGATGAAAGAAGGAAAGAGAGAGAGAGAGAGAGAGAGAGAGAGAGAGAAAGCCGCGCTCCTTTCCTCTTCTCCTTCTTCCTCCTCCTCCACCTGATGATGGTAGTGGGTGGGTACTGGGTACAGTACGGGTTGATGCCGATCCATATGGACTCGGATAGACCGTTGGTGGTATTGGTGTTGATTTCCTGAATTTTATTTTTATGCTGAATCGAGTTCTCCGAAGGTCACACTCTTTTTACCTTTCTTCTGGCAACACTTAAATCTCCTCATCTCCTCGTTCGCCTTCAAAATCTCCCGGTTGCTGCCATGTTGCTAGACGATTCTGACAGAAACAGGAACCGTGTCGGACAACGCCCTACTCAGGAGATTCGATCCGCTAGGCCCCTAAAGTATCTCGGCATTCTGACCTATACCCTAGCAAAGTATACGATTAACGTAGAGGTCAAGGTGTTCCCGTTCTCAAACCACCCCCCTCCCCCTCCCTCTTTCCCCTCTCCGATCGTGCATGAAATCGAGACTAGGGACTAGACTGGTGACCGCATCACTGTCTCGGAAGCTTAAGTTGTGCTTACCCCGGGGGCGGTTCTCAAGGCAATAGTTCCTGCAGGTGATGACACCTTCACAGGGGGAGGGGGAGAGGAAGGTCCGATTTCCAACAGGTGACCATTCATCGTACAATCTGCAGAAAAGCGCCTCAATTCTGTATTTGGTCGCGATCAGGCATCAACCGCGTGAAACGTTTGCCTGGGATCCCCCTTCTGGCCTCTTGGTCTTTCTGAGGTCATAATCATCATGGTCGGACAAGACAGTTGTGCATCGGGAGAATACAAGTGTGCTCATTTGTTGATGGAACCCCTCCAGGAAATTTCAGGAGAGGGAAAATAAACCGTGGCGGGTGACTAACCCCAGGCGACCCGGCTTTGCAGCGGACGGAGAGTAAGAGTAAGAAGTAAGAAGGAATTCGAAAGCCCCCTTTCAGGCCTTTCGGGCCTTTCGGGAGAGGGTCCCAAACCTGGCCTGTGATTACGGCAGAGCAACGGCTTGAAAGCTAATTTCCTTCTAGAAAGGTTCGAATGAGGGGTGGAAAGCGCCCGGAGACTCGGAGAGGGTAAGGAAAAAAAGGGATCGGGCATGGTTCCCAGATTGGCAGATTAAGCCCAAGCCCAGAAGGAGCTTTGAACACACCATTGCCTGGTTCAAGACAGTTCGCTCCCCCACTCTCATTGCAGCTGCAGGGACAGGTCGCCCTGGACCTCTCACCGATCTGCATGTCACGTAAGACCGCATGCTGACTGTCGCGGCAATGGGGGAGGCACGGTGGGCTAAACTACTATTCGCAAAAGCAGACCTTCTGACGGCTTCATCATAAGATGAGTTGAAAAGGGACTAAAAAATAAGAGCAAAAGGGAGGTTAGCGGCTGATGGGCCGTGGAGCTAGAGTCGACGACTCATCAGGAACAAGTGATGTTTCCTGTTACTGTGTAGTTTCTGCGACTAGTCGCCTAGTCCGCCTTGCTAGTTGTTGACGGACCTGACGGAAGCAGCAGCGAGGCGACTTTCAGTGCTCCAGTTCCAGTTTCCACTGACTGACTGCCTTTCCCTTCTCCTCCTTTTCCGGCTCTTTCTTTTCTGTTACCAATCACTCTTATCCTCCTACCGATATCCCCATGCGCTCGGGAGATGATTTTCGTGTTAGGTGATGCTCCCATTACCTCATACCTCCTCTTTTCCTTTTTCCTTTTTTCCTTCTATTTTTCAGATAGATGGAATTAGTTCCTGTTACCCTCTATTGACATTTGTAACATTGATGCAGGGTATACCATCCCCCAAGTGGCCTCTCCTTCTCCCTGAGTCGGCTTCTCCTTTCCCCTTCTTGACTTGGCCTGTGTTTTCCTTTTCCCTTGTACAGAGAATGGTTCCACTGCGAGACACGCTACTGGTTTGCCAGTAACCGCACGAAGACCAATCCAGCCAATGAAGGAAAAGTGCCAAGGGGGGGGGGGGGGGGGGGACGGACTTCCGTCGAGCTTCTAGAAGGAGTCGGTAGGGGGGCATGGAAGGTCACCAAGGCTTCTAGAGGCCTTTCCTTCCATGTGCCAGTGCGGCTGCGTCACCCACCTTCTAAGCCGGTAAGTGGCCGGTGGGTGGCCATGTCTTTCCTCCTGACGCTCGTGTCACATCCCTGTCTGGGGTTGAATTATCTGTATGATGTGTGTGTGTGTGTGGTGTGCGCGTTCATGTTTGTGGTTGCGGGCCAAGCGCGGATTGTCACAAAGCAACGCCGCCCCCCCTCATGTCATTACTACAAGTTCCAGCACAAATATACGCTGGTCAGAGAGTCATACTGAATCGCTTAGGCGTACCAAAGAATGGGATTATTGTTATGATCCTGATCCGTTCGCATCGTCATCTTTGCCGGTCATCCCTGCAGCGTCCGTGTTGGCCGTGGATCAGCATGGAATGATTTTCTTGGGCCCCACGCTTGTATTTCCGTTTCGGGGCGTTGAGCCACCGTAATGCTGGTATTGCTGGTATTGCCTGTATTCACTCGTACGACTAATCCCATTGCGATTTCGCAGATCGCCCTGTCGCCTCTCCTTTCTCTAGACTTGGCACACGTAGATCAACGAGTAACGACACTCAGGGAGCTAGGTTGCAACAGGAAAGGGAAAGGCAGGCGGGATGAAAAGGATCGATTGTTCGTAGTAAAAGTCGGACACGGGGCATGACGTTCTCTGCCGTTTCAATTAACTAAAGCAAGTCTTGCAGTTGTAACAGGGGGAATCAACGGGAGGACAACACGATTGGGTGACCGGATTCAACTTCATTGCGACTGGTCGATTGAGGTTTCATCTGCTGGTTTGAAGTGCGCCAACTGCGCTCAGCGCTCCACTACCCAAAGCAGAATAGGGGCAGATCTCGTGTTGGCTGGGGACTTTGAGTTCGACGAGGGCAATCTGTCTGCCATCAGATTGACGAGAGACTCAGGGAGACATGCAGAAGCATCCTTCTGGTGGTGCTCTGCGCTTGGACCAGGCAAGCATCAGATTCATACTAAGCAGATGACATTGAACTGCAGACCAGACACTGAGAAGCAATGACAGACTCTCATGCACGACTCCCCTTCATTCTTGTCTCTTATGCTTATCTGTCAAACATCATTCGCCGCAGTTTCCTCGTCCTGACTTTAAGGTAAGTGAGGTCGTTGGGTGCCCTTTAGTCATCTTTACCCAAATGAATTCTCATAGCTTCCCAGGCTCAGTGTTCATAAAGTGTAGCGAAATTTCCAACCGATACACTTAGGTTGTAGCCACACTCTCTTCGTACAAGACCTGGTGTCCAGCACGGATCATTGAGCAGATAGGCAAGTAAGTCATGAGCTGCATTCATGTATGCATGACGTGCCTTGGCAACCTTCGCATTTTACTACTCAGTGGCCGTGATGGCTTTGTACCACTCTGTACCTAGAGAGGTATACGGAAATCAGTCTATTCTCTTACTAATGTGGTGCTCGAGTGGTGACCGCATCATAGTCAGGCTAATTCATCTACTTGCTAAATGCTGTAGTACCAATGCATGACATTCGGCTCCTCAAAAAAGGACTATTGCAGAAGACTTACCTTTAGAGCCCTCGGCTCTCCCACACCGTCCTGTCTTCCATCCTATTCTGATCGACACCATGTTGAACTACCGACTTGGAGTCTTCCTCTACCAGGCTATGGTGCACTTCCCTTCTGCTTTGATCCCCATCTCCAACCATCCATCATACCGACTCTGATCGTCATTTTGACCTCCAGAAAATCAAGCCAACTCAACACTAACGGCTGAGAAGTTAGACACTTAGTCTCTAAACGGTAAAGTGAGCGTGCTACTCCCTGTCCTTTTTTCCAGTCTCCTTTCCATCCTTCACCGTCATTTTCTCGAGTTAGACTCCGGCCGAAGCATCATCATTTCCTCCCCGCCCTCCAGCTCGGAGACATCCACGTACAACATTCTTCCGAGGCATAAGTCACCAAAGAAGGAGGCCTCGATTCGATTCGACCCTCTTTGAGCCGAATCTTGACTTGACAGCTCATCCACATTCCCCATTGACACGAAATAGGGGAGACCAGAGCCCCATAACCCTACTTACCCGGGTGGAGGACTATGGTGCTGGACTCCATAGCGCTAAATTAGGAATGTTTCTGGAAGCAGCGTAGAAGACTTTCAGATTTAGGGGAAGGAGGGCTTACGGAGAGGGATGAGCAAGAGAATGGGCTTTTTGGATCTGCTTCTTTCTTCCAATTTACGCCACTATATGTGGTCTGATTTGGGGGTAAAGAGAAAAAGGGGATGAAGATGTTGCTGGTTGAATTGCACATGTTACACCGACACCCACGGAGGTGGCTCCTCTCTTAGGTTTGGCTTGTTTAGTTAGGGTTGAACCAGGAAACTGAATGGAGTCTACTAGCAACGAAAGAGCGGTGGACGTGGATGGACAGAACTTCGCTGATCGAATAGCTGACTCGTCCCTCTTGTGGATTTGATTTTACGGACTAGACAATACGCGAGAATCATCTGTCAAAGAGAATGCTGTGTGTAGCCGAGAGGTCCCAAAAGTGGCTTGCGCAGAAATTCATGTACATGTGGAGGTAAACATGCAGCAGCAGAATGCCGGAGGATTTGCCAACTGGTTAATGTGTAGTACGTGGTCAAACACGAATCGGCTTGGCATGTTTGTTGAATTCGCCGCCTTTCGCAACGGAGACTGTCCCGCAAGCCAAACTTCGGCTTCAATTCTGCCCATTGCAGCAAGCGGTCATCTCATCTGTCCTCTACATCCTAGATACCCATTGCCTTTTAAATCAGTGATAATGAAATTTGTCTCCAGTCAGACTTTATAGGTACGTCTGACACGTCATCAAATTCAGTCTCTCCCAAACGCTAATCAGTAACCGGAAAGTCAACTAAGCACCTTTCCATTTCACCATTACCTCCCAACACTCGATAATACTCGACCTCTCCCAACCAATTGTCAGGGATCATGGCGACCCGTCGCGCTCTACGCACCCTCAACCACCTCACTACCCGGCGCGCTCACTCTACTACCTCTGTCTCCGCCAATGAGCTCTCCCATTTTTCGGCGCTGGCCAGCAGCTGGTGGGATCCTCAAGGCCCGTCGCGCGTGCTTCATCTCATGAACCCCCTTCGCCATGACTTCATCGCATCCTGCCTATCCGAAGCCCTTCCTCCTCCGTCTGCCTCCGCTTCCTCTTCGGCCTCCACCTCCTCAACCATCCCCGCACCGAATCCCAACACCCTGCGATACCTCGACATTGGCTGCGGCGGCGGCATCTTCGCCGAATCCCTCGCGCGGAGCATCAGCGCCTCCCCGACCACCACTACTGCCACACCGACCCGCGCCGCCTCCATCACAGCCATCGACCCTTCGACCACGCTGATCAAGATCGCTCGCGACCACGCGCGCCTGGATCCCATGGTGGACGCGCACCTCCGCGCCGGCCGCTTCGAGTACAAGAACTGCACCTTGGAGGATCTGATCGCATCATTATCATCATCATCATCGCAACAAGCCTCTCCTTCTCCTTCTTCTTCTTCTTCTTCTTCTTCTTCCTCCTCTCTCCCCAGCTCATCTCCATCTATCTCTACCCCCATCGTTACCGCTCCTGCTGCTCCTGCTCCTCAAAAATACGACATCGTCACCCTCTTTGAAGTCATCGAACACATCGAATCCACCCCATCGGCGGGGATTTCGCCGCAATCCTTCCTGACGGACTGCCTTCGACTCGTCCGGCCGGGTGGCTGGCTCATCGGTTCGACGATTGCCCGCACCTTCCCGTCGTGGCTGGTCAATCAGGTGATCGCCGAGGCACCCTGGCCGATCGGGGTCGTGCCCCGCGGGACGCACGAGTGGCAGAAGTTTGTAAACCCGGATGAGCTGGAAGGCTGGGTGCAGGAGGGTTTGATGCGCGGGGCGGACGGAGTGGCCAAGGCGGGCGCTGCGGTGCTGGATGGCATGCGATGGAAGTGTGTTGGAGTGGTGTATGTCCCGGGGCTGGGGTGGAAATTAGTGCCCGGGTCGGAGAGCTGGGGCAATTATTTCTGGGCGGTTCGCAAGGGGATTTGAAGATACTACGAGTGCAGAGGAGTGCCAATTTATAGGAATCCTGCTTGGACTCATGATGTCAGGATTTGATATGTGTGATAGATGGGGTCTATCTATGTATGATATGTATGAATAAACTACTAGGGTTCACTCATGCGACCTTTAAAGCGCGTCTTTCTTGTTCTCCTTTCAATCTCAGACCTTTCGCCTTGCATCTGGAAAGAATGCTGTCTGATTACATTTAGGAGTTGTTCAGAACATGACGAAAAAGACAAATCTGAAGTCAATCTCAGCAAGACGAAAGATCATCGTGTGCACACGGCTATTTCCTCCTCCCCTTCCCCTTCTTTTTGGCGCCACCACCACTCGGCGGATCAGACACACTAACCGTTCCCTCCTGCACATCCTCACCCCGGCCCTTCAACCGCTCTGATCCGCTGATGAAAAAGGTCAGGTCGCGATTCTGCTCCGTCAGGTCCGCGTTCGCAAGCTTAAGGCCCTCCACCTCGGCGCTCAAATGCTGAATCCGCTCCATCAGACTCTCATTGATCGTCTTCTCCTCGCGCCACTCTTTCTCCAACTTGCGTGCCATGGCCTCAAAACGCTCCGCGCGCTTCTCCGCACGAGATTTGTCTCGCTCCAGCCCCGGAATCGTCTCCGTTATTAGTTTATCGTACTGCATCTGCAGCCCTCCCAGACTAGTCACCGCTTGCGACGCAGCTTCCTGCGCGGTACACGCCGCTGCACTAGCCTGTGACGCTTTGTCTACGGCGCGCTCGACTACTTCCTCGAAGTAGGCGCGCTGGCTCTCCAGCTGGCTGGTGAGAAGATGCGTGTATTCCACACTCATGTTCTCTAGTTTCTCGCGAGGTACGGCGTCCGTCCAATCCGGAGGGTCAAGGGCACTGTGGTCCGCCGCGGGGAGCTCAACGAGTTTGCCATCCGTTTTGTTCTGAATGATGCGATGCACGTAGGCATCTCCAACGTAGTCCCAGACGCGTTGGGTGGCCAGGTCCATCGCGAAGGCGTGCGTGGTCTCCTTATAGTGCGCGTAGGCGTGGGCGCCGTCGTACCGCCCGCAGCCGACGCTGCCGCAAATTAGACAGATCCAGAGGTTCATGTCGGAGTGGCAGACGATGCACTCGGCCGATTCATCTCCGGTGGCCACGGGCCCCTGGCTGGCTCGACGTAGGTCGTGCTGGGTGTAGCGGCACACTGGGCAGCCGCTGCCTTTCCATTTCTGAAGGCAGGTGCAGTGAAAGACGTGCTGACAGATAATGGTCAGCAGCCCAGTCGTCTCGTCCATACGTTCCAGGCACACGGGGCATGTTGGGAGCTCGATGAGTGCTGGAGTAGGAGGGGCGAGAGGCCGAGACGAGAGCGTTGCAGACGGAGTAGCGGAGGTAGAGGCGGGAGCTGTACGGACAGGACCGAGAGTTGCATTGTGAGAGGATGAAAGCGTCCTCTGTTCACCGTTGCCCTCAGAAAGTGTCCCGGGTTCGACCGCTTGTATTTCAACCGTCTTAACAAACACGACATGGCACGTTTCAGGCTATTGGAAGCAAGAAAGAGCGGTTAGCATCACGATGCGGCTGCACCACAAGACACTAAACTTACCTCCATGCTATTGAATACCTTTCCATTCCAGTCCCTCTGCCAATCTTTAGCCCTCTTCCAACTGCGGAATTTCATCAAAACCATGTATCTATTGGCTCGAGCTGTCCTAATCATCCGGAAATGGCTGACGTCGTTCATCGTGGTCTCGCCCACGAAACCCAAAAGATCTGACGGTGACATGTACGACGGAACTGCAAGGATGCAGAGTGTTGTGCAGTCTTCATCTGGCATGGTCTCCTGCCGCGACACTCGACTACTGTCCCCCTCAGGTTGTCTCGCCGCGGCAGCAGACCCCTTCAATTCAGAGTGATAGTCCTCCTCGACCAAATATGGCGTCTCCTGCGCATCACGGTAAAGATGCACTATACCCCAGACACTTTCAGACGTACTTTGATCCAACGGGATGTATTTCCCTTTCGTGCGCAATCCACCCAAGATGTCCGTTCCGATCCCGGTCGCGATGGGGTTGTCGCGGGATAACCGCCAGCCTGTCCGGTTCGAGGCAGCTGATTCTTGTTCGGACGGAATCATGTCAATGCACTCAATCGAGACTTTATCTAATCGGAGGTCCTGCTCGAATTCTGATACATTTCTCGAAGATGCTGAGTAGAGGTGTGGGTTAGATGCGTTTGGAGCGACAGCGTGAGTAGATTCAGCAAGATGACTTGGTGAGGAGGAGCTCTGGTGTCTTTTGCCATTCGTAGATTGGCGAGCGTAACGGAGGGATCCGTTCTGCGACTGTCGTGGGCGTTTCTGAAACGGATACAAGGCTTCACATGCGGAGTCGAACGATAAGGAAGTAGAGTGCGAATCCGCGCCTTCACCGGTTCTTCTTAATTTAGAATGAGGCCGAGCGAATAGTTCAACCGCAAGATGATAGAAATATGAGGGCATGCCGGCCGTCGCTCACATTTCATCTCTCGCTGGTCTGCGTCTGCGATTGCCCAGCCTTGTCAAGTGATTGCTTGTACTCTAACTGGCCGGCGGACAGTCTTTCGCCGCGCGAAGAGTAGCCCGGAAATCACGTGTGGGTGGTTCGGGGTGGCAAGTGGGACCCGGTGAAAGCGTCTGAGGTCATCTTTATCTATACGGGGACTATCGGCTCAAGCTGATGGGAAGTACAAGTTTATCGTACTACTGTACCATCTTACTGCCTTACTTTCAAGCTCCTGAATATTTGGCCCAGTCTGAAGAACAGCTATAATCCGAAGATTGTCGTCAATTCTTGATAGAGAGAGAGAGCACCACTAAGATGGTGATACAAAGAGGTATGTACTAATTATCAGTGTCATAACAGCCAGTGAAACCATTCCGAACGCCATGCAGTCCAGTCAACCCGTGAATCTGAGACTGTGCAAAGAACTAACAAATCAGTTTCCACCACGAAGTCGGAGAACCAGATGGAGAGTGCTTTCCTTCTGGATGTTGTAGTCAGAAAGCGTGCGACCGTCCTCCAACTGCTTGCCAGCAAAGATGAGACGCTGCTGGTCCGGAGGGATACCCTCTTTGTCCTGAATCTTGCTCTTCACATTGTCAATGGTATCCGATGACTCTACTTCCAAGGTGATCGTCTTTCCTGTGAGCGTCTTGACAAAGATCTGCATACCACCACGGAGACGTAGGACCAAGTGCAAAGTCGATTCCTTTTGAATGTTGTAATCGGAGAGCGTGCGACCATCTTCCAGCTGCTTTCCAGCGAAGATAAGGCGTTGCTGATCCGGGGGAATGCCCTCTTTGTCCTGAATCTTGCTCTTCACGTTGTCGATCGTATCGGATGACTCAACTTCCAGTGTAATGGTTTTCCCAGTAAGAGTTTTGACAAAGATCTGCATACCACCACGAAGGCGCAGAACTAAGTGAAGGGTAGATTCCTTCTGGATGTTGTAGTCGGAAAGGGTACGTCCATCCTCAAGTTGCTTTCCAGCGAAGATCAAGCGCTGCTGATCGGGAGGAATACCTTCCTTGTCCTGAATCTTAGACTTGACATTGTCGATAGTATCACTAGATTCAACCTCAAGAGTGATGGTCTTGCCCGTGAGGGTCTTCACAACTAGAAGAAGGTTAGCTTGTGCTTCGGTCGGCGTAGCCACCTTAGTGGCAAGTCAGCTTTGCAACAGATGAACTTACAGATCTGCATGCCACCACGAAGGCGGAGCACGAGATGGAGGGTAGACTCTTTCTGAATGTTATAGTCGGACAAAGTACGTCCGTCCTCGAGCTGCTTGCCAGCGAAGATCAGACGCTGTTGATCGGGGGGGATGCCCTCCTTGTCCTGAATCTTGGATTTGACGTTGTCGATGGTATCGCTTGACTCGACCTCGAGGGTGATGGTCTTGCCAGTCACTGAAGAGAGAACAGTGGCGTCAGAAGTCGGCCCGACAGGGCTATGAGAGAAGTATTACTTACGGGTCTTGACGAAGATCTGCATGATGGCAGACTTAAGAAGAGTGCAGTAGACGGTGTGAGATGTTATTGAGTTGATGAGTGAAGGTGTGTAGAGAACACAGATGAAACTGTGGGGAGACAAAGGTATACGATTGATGATAGGAATGAATGGGGGAGAGTAGGAGAAGGAGACTTAAGTAGTCAGGCGAAGAGGGAGAGATGAGGGGAGGCGGCGGCGGTGGAGGCGAAGCGCCTTAGTCAGAGCCCAACAAGTCAGTGATAGGCAACCAGACCGATAACGTGATGCAAGGGAAGGGAAGGTAAAAATACTTAATTAGGTAGTGAAAGAAATAGCTTGGGACGTTTTGGGCTTACATAGTACACACCTAGTTACTGCCTGCGCCTCTCCAGTGACTGGTTAATAAGTACCGAGAGCATTCTAGCATCTCCTGGGCCATTCCTGCCCGTCAATGAATCATAAAACATGGAAAGTGAAAGATTGTCATCTTCATGCGTCATTTGGCTCTTCCAATCTACTTCATTCACTGCGCGCTTAAAGAGGGGGAATCTACTAGAAGCGTGCACTGTAACTGTCGGGTACTCAGGACTCGCCCATTGCTTCCCGAGCGGTTGGTTATCTTCCACCTGAACGCAACCATGAATAGGCAAGAAAACTTTGACAGATTCAGGCAAAGAAAGAATTGCCCTGCTCAGCCACACAGTTGTTGAATCAACGGATAGGGGGGTGGGAGGGGGGGGGAGGAATGCCTGGTATCAGTTCCGGCGGTAGTGAGATGGTCTGGGCAGCGCCCGTCCGCACCCGCCACTGACGCCACCAGTCGGCATCTCCCCCCGGACACAAACTTCCTCGCTCGTGTTATTATTTCAGCCGGCTCCGGTCAAAGATCTAGGAGTACGTGAGACGGTCTATCTGCATCAAACATATTTTCAAATTTGGAAATGTACTTTGTTCCCGCTCTCCAAATCTGAAGCTGTGCAGTGCAATCTGGCACATAACCTCGCCTCGCTGGTGTCACAGCGATGACGTGTGGTCAACTCCTTATCGGAGGCTCACTTGCTATCGGAGCTGGAAGCGGGATAGCGGAGAGACACTAGCGCTTCGAGAGGGTCAGGTGATCGGCGCATCCGGGACCGCCCCCGCTTCCTATTGTCGGCTATACTTTGGGGTAGTCCGATGGAGATCACCTCATGGACATCTCGAATGAATGCCATGACTGTCTCGCAGAGCAAGTACCTCGTCTATTTACACCACCAATAGCATCAACGTTTCCTCTGAGTATACTCATGCTGCCTAAGGATTTGAAATCCGCGCCAATGACTCATAATCAAATCACGCTACCGACTCCCAAGGTTCTCCTAGTCCGCTTAGCGCAGCGTTGCTCGTTTTTGGGGCACCGACCGACTCGGATTGCGTCTTATTGGAACTCCATTCTATCACGAATCTTAGCACCTTTTGAACCAGATGGCAAGCATAACCATTCGTCTTATTCCTTTGAAGTATTCCAGCCTTTAATTATTGACGCTCTGCACATCTCATTCAGAGGTCTGGAAGCGAGGCTAGAGTCGCGCCGAATCAACAGACCCGAGTTCTATACTGACTCACAACAACAAAAAGCAGGCTGAGTATGTATAAGTTTGTCTGAGATAAGTTTCTTTCGCCGTAAATGCCTGTATAGTGTATTTTCTGCGGATATTGTGGCTGCCTTAGCACTGCAGGGAAATGTTCCTATCTTAGGCGTTATGGAAACTAAAGATGCAGTGTCAGAGATCTTGATCTTAGTACTTCTTCTAATTCACCGAAGTTACAAAGAGTATTATGGGAAGTATATCAACAAATATCGTAGTGAAAAAACATTGGTACAAGGGCAACTGGTGCTCTCTAACTATGTTATGGAAATACTCTTACTTCAGCTATACTGATATGGCCTATTATTATGCTGAATGACAGAAGACAAGCATACTTGCTCAGGCGGGATGGATTATAGTTGGGATTATGTGTATCAAACCTGGACACATGGGCTAGTATATCTATCTCTCTGCCAGGGATATGAAGTGATTCTAGGCTTCAAGCGTCTCGATCCAACTACTCTATGCTTTTTAACAAATGATATTCACGGTCTACATGCTCGCAACTTGACGGAACGCTACAGGAAGAAATAGACTACTCTTCTCAAGGAAAATGAAGACAGAGCATGCTATGCTGTGCCATTGAGAGATACACGCAAACCTTTCGTCTCGAGTATTCTTGGTCCAATGGAAGACCCAAGGTCTCTCTTGATCTTGAATGTTCTTTTCACACGAGGTTGATTGTCCAAAATACTTGATATCGAATCTAGAAGTTGAATCCAGACATGTTCTTTTAAGGCTTCATATAACAGCGCCGCCGGCTTTATAGGTAGCTCCCGATTTGTTTTACCAGTGTGGGCTGGTCCGCGCCGCTGCAAAGCAAGGTATCTTGATTAACATTGATCTCCTGGACTGCTCCCCGACAGTCGTCATATCAGAGATTGTCAGTCATGAGGGACTCAAGTCATCAAAGCTCAGCTCGGGAAATCGCAGGCTAGGTCTCTTCCAGTGAATGTAATCTTTCTCACTTTTATCCCCTTAAATGCAACTATTCCCTCGGCCGCCTACACCTCGCTACTAACTTCACATACTTCCAGCGAACTTCTTAGCTTTGACAGAAAGAGGTAGATTCTTTCTTTGTGTTACCTGATTCCTGTCGTAGAGCCCAATCGCGATTCACGAAGCTTCCTCTCGTCAGCCATCAACATCTTCGCCCGCGACAAGTTTATCGAAACCCTTTTCCAAATCATCACCCACGATATACGAATGCGAAACATGTTCTCGTCAGCTTCAGTCATGGTCAGCTTGTTGCCAACATATGAACGCAAAAGAATACCGAGAGACTTTCGATTATGAGGCCTGTGATGAGGTCTTTGACACAGAAGAAGAGACAGATGAGCATATAGCCGACTATGGCCATTACGGTCCTCAATACCCTTGCGATACCTGCTCCAGGGATGTTCTTCAGCTCTCAGGCGGCCAGTCAGCACATGGATGCGCTACAGCACTGGGCTCCCCAATCGAATGCGAGACATGCACTGCCATTTTCTATACACAGCAGGCGGCAAGCCAGCAAATGACCGCAAAGGCACCTCGTAGGAAGTACTGTCCCAGCTGCAATATCCGGGTACAAAACGAAAACAATCCAACAGGCATGAATGATCCTCACAGCTTCCCTGATGATGATGACGACAATCATATCTGACTAGTCCTCTACTCCTGGCATCTGAAATCAAAGACCCACAGCAGTAAGAATATGCTTTGTCCTTTCTGCAGAAACGCGTTCACTACCGCTAGTGATTTAACCCATCACCTTGAAAATGGCTCCTGCGCTGCTGCTCCCCATCTTGGAGTCCATCTATGATCTGGTGCGCCGCCTTGATAAGAGCAGGCTCCATCACAAGCAAGCTGCTAGAGTGGCACGCCGGTGGGGCCGCTGAGTATTTGGCTCCTCAAATGCTGATCACGATGGCGTTTGGGGGTGCTATATGTGCCACAAGACTTTTAAAAGTAGGTACGCACAAAATCAAAACCTCAACTCGCCTACGCATCAGCAGAAGATCTATCATTGTCCCAATCCCACCCAATGTGGGAAGCAATCTCCCGCATTGGTCGCTTTGTTCAATAACATAGACAACGAATCTTGCTGTATATGAGATTTGAGAGTGTCCAGAAGCATGCTCATGGTGTCCTCACCAGAAATAGCCTTGTAAGCTTCTGATCATCTTCTTGACTCTGGCAGATCTGATTGCTATGGCATCTGAAGAATTCATTTGAGCAACTTATGACAAGTCTGCAAAAAACATGTAAAAATAAGCCCAGGAAGGGACGGCTGTTGTGCTGCACGTTTTACCCCTGAATATAACGTTATGTTTGCTTGCTTTCATGTTGTGCATCATTGTTGTCTCAAGATATTTTCATCTCGCTCCGAACTACACTCTGGAATTGAGCAAGCTTCGCTTCCAGCAACTCGTCAAGAAGTATTTTATCTTGGCTGTCTCGGCTGTCTGGAATCAATACAGATAGGAAGGAACCACGAGCACTCCGAACTACGAGCTTAAGCTCAAACAATACACTCAATGTAGCTCTGTGTGAGAGAAGTCGAATTCACCATTGCAGCAAGCCTCAGTCGCCCAATTTCATCCTCTCGAGCAGTAACCCTCCATAACCAATATGAACAACCATGCTACGAACTTATTTCCGCATCACAAGAAGCATGTTCTTCTACAGACCCAAGAAAATAAATCCAATCCGATCCCAAGATCTGCACAGTTTGCTATATTGTCACCTCTAGCAGTATTCTGGCGTCAATATACCTCCTCCTCCTACCGGAGCACCATAACGTTCACGTGGCTTTGTCAACATAATCCTAATGCATCTCAGCGGCACAATGGAGGGGAGAGAGGCGCCATCAATTTTCTCGTTATGAATACTGACCCTCACGGGCAAGCTGCAGCCCTCAAAAGTATATGCATATCTTCGGAAGAGTCCCTCTGATGACTCGAATGTCCGCGCGAATGCCTTGGGCTCTCACCTTCTGTACCACCTCAATGCGAGTATAGCGCAGAGAGACCCACCTATGCTCATCCAAGGACGGCCATGAGAAGAGGAACCGGTTTGAGACATAAAGGATGCATCATGGTGGAACAGTTACTCACATTCAACAACGGGTGATAAGCCATCACAGACTCGGAGGAAAAGAGTATATCGGCTGAAGTATACCCACCGCCTCAGGATAAATTTCACCATGAGATAGAATATCGACCTTTGGCTTGGGGGCACACATTTGACGCAGAGCTTGCATGGGCATGGCTTCTTTCAAAGTGCGTGATCTGTCAACGCTTTACGGTTGCTGCTTATAGAGTTATGTTCGACTTGACAACAGCCGCATGAAGAAGCCCCAGCAGAAGGTAAAACTCAGAAAACAGAACGAAACCAGAGGTCCCCTTGAATAACTCCGAGGATGTATGTCGCCTTCAAGAATTTCGAGAAGCGAGTTACGTTGCAGCGAGGAGTCGCGGCTGTAGGCGTACTCTTTACATCAGAGGTTTGAAAATCCGATATACTCCCGAGTACGCTGCTTCACTGTCCATGATGCACGCAAAGGGACGTACGTCTGCTCCAGGAAACACAGTATCAATCAAGAACTCAAAAGAATTGACCCAACTTGGTCATCCAGTGATGACTGTGCAAAAACCTTGTGCCCTTTGGTAGCGAGAGGCATCAGGTTCACTAGATTTGTAAAGACCATGCATCTTGTTGGGAAGCAATAAGGAAAACTCTTCAAGCTCCCACGAGTGGCGATGGTATGAGCAAGAAGGAATACCTGGAATAGTTGAGATTCTCCCAGAAAGGCATGGAAACCAGGAGATATCGAGGCCAACCTCTAGGAGAGGTTTGAATCAAATTTAACTAGACGCCAAACGTTACAAATCAACACTGCACAGATCAAAATGGCCCTAGTCAATAGCTTTTGCTGCCTGACTTTGGTAGATCGCGAATCCCCCTTAGAGTTCGTCAAATCGATCGATATCAGATCCAGCCGCCCGGTTGCTCCGATGAAGAGAGCGTCCTTAGAGTGGCGAACTCCCTATCGAACCAAGATTTCGCTTAAAGTGTGTGTGTGGAGATGAGTCTTGTGAGTTTCTGTTCTGATAATCCTCGGCAGTTGTAGCCGCAACATGCTTCTACTTTTGTGGAAGGCGCCAGGTAGACGGGACAAGTAGTACGTAGAAGTATTGAAAAGTTTCAGGTCTAGTTCTAGTCCGTAGGTACGTAGTCTCCGTTGTAGTCAAGTTCATGGCTAACTGAGTGAACTACTACCTTAGTACTTGGGTAGTAGTTAGGTAGGAGTACTAGGAGTATTCGAACTCGAAAGAAACAGGTTCCACCTGGCACGGAGAACGAAGCCAGCGAATAGCATGAGGAGGAATCTTCGGCAATAGAACTAGCTTACAGTGTAACAGTACGGCTTAGTTACCCACTTTAGCAGGGGGACTTCATGCTATGTACCATGCTAAGTACAGTACGGTATATACCTGCCTGTATTATACATTGTGGCAAGTGAAAGGAGAGCAAACAGATAGACTACCAAAAGGGTTAGTCCATACTTTGTATGCTCCTGGTTAGACATGGCCGAAACTGTCAAAACAGATACTTGCATAGATGTGCCCTGTCGTATCGACCTATAGGGCGCTGCACTATGGCGGCCTGTCAGAATTGAAGACTACTACGTAGTATGTAGTTGTATACTGCTAGATACCGTTGGAGGTGGTGGGCTGTAGGTTGGATAATTGTCAAAGAGAGTACGGGGGTCGGAGACCGGAGTACATCCCCTAAGTAGGCCATGATCCCTAGACCACATTGTACAAAGTAGATATGCTATAAAATCCCTTTCTAACGTCAAATCTCAGTCAGAAGACTGACTGACGGCAGTGCTCCCGACGGTACGACGTCGGGGTCAGACAAGGTTCCATCGGCTGCACGCTGATGTCATGGCTCGTGGGTTTGGCGGACAGGGGCTAGTGATCCGGTACTCCGTACTGTGGTGATCAGTGATCAGTGATCACACGCTGGGCGGAAGATGGTATTATTCTTTGTGCTCGGAGGACTCGGCTGATGGAGATGTCAAAGCTCAGCTGAAATATAGCCGCAAAGTAAATAAATAGGAGGGTCAAACTAGTAGCTGTGGTGAACTAGAAGGAGATCATGAACCCCCTATAAAAATAGCATCAGCGCGTCCACAGTACTGTCAGAGTACGGGTAGCATCTCAGCAAGCAGATTCAGTGCTTCGCAATCGGTGGCAAATGACCTATTTGCTCCGAGAAACGGAAGGAGAACGTGCGTGGCAGACGCGGACTGTACGTACTACGGTAAGGAGTACGATAACCCTGTGATAGGCAGCTGGTAGGCACTTCACGCCTGGGGACTGAATTAGAAACTTGTGTTCGAACCGTCGCCGGATGAGCTTGACAGCGAGAATCGGCCGGAGCGAGACAAGCCACCTGTACGGTACTGTAGAGCAATCGTTCTCGTAAGGGCAAGAGATTATCCCCGGTAACATTGGGCTGCGCTGACTCGAGCAACCACAATTGACTTCACCCGATGGCACATTACTTGACTCAGGCAATACAACAAGCTCTCACGTTTCTGCCAGTTCTCCTCTCTGTTAGAACATAGTAGTGAGTAGTTTACAATCACCATTCCGCATATAATCCACAGAAGACCAAATAGAGACTTTTTCGCCTCGGAGGCTGAGCCGGAGAAAGAGATCAGTGGAAGACGGCCCAAGCTTTGTCTGTCTTGGCAAGACCCCGCTGGCGTCAGCGGCGGCCATGATTGGCAGTATTTTTACCCCGCTATGATATCACTGCAAAACCTGCTCCCTTGCATCATTGGTGCGTTTGCCCGCCAGGCCCCAGAGGGCTTTCTCATCGGCGTTCATGCGTCCTGATCGTTTCTGGATCGCTTCCATCTTTTGTTTGAAAAGAAAAAAAAAAAAGGAAAGATCGAAATGAACATGAAATCAGATCAAAAGTAAAGCAAAGTGAACCAGGCCAGGGCAACGGCATGTTCAATGACGACTTTCTCCTCCACCGCATCTCGCAAATCGTAGATATATAGATGGGCTTACTACAGATGAACGCCTGTCAATTGCTCGTTGTTTTCCATCGATTTCCGTGAGTGGAATTGCCGATATGCCATAGACCTCGATTCGCGTCCGCCATAACATCAGAACACCAATGTCCCATGCCCTTTATTCTCGCCTATGATCGATCCTTCCCGCAGCGAACGGACGGACCGAAGCATGGAATTCATCTTAGAAAACGATTTTCCTCGTTCCGCGTCCTGATGACCATGAACTTCCCTTGTGTTTGCACCATTGGTACTAGTCCAACCAACACCGGCCGACCCCTGAGAGCCTGAAGGGGCCCAGAACCCTCCTTCTCCCTTCTTCGGGACATCGCCGTGGCGACTGCGCACTTGCACAGGGTCCAAGAATCCTTGGTAGTGGCGGTTGGTTGTCGGACAATTCGTTGTCGACACGGAACGTCGCAAGCAGCATCGTCAACTGGATGGAGACCAGATGCATGGGCCGCTGCTATCCCCGAGCATTTCCAGTCGGAAACATATTTACCTCTTCCCTGGTTTCCAAGGCATAGCTCTATCTCTATCACTACCTAGGTATACAGGTTTGTATCCAGTACCAGGGAAGGTCTCCTAACTACACGTGCCATCAAGCCTGACTGCCTTGCTGATGAAAGTTGGTTGATTTGGGTGTCCTGTGGTAGGAGATCGATGCACAGGCACGAAGAGAATGAATTTATTAAGACGGACTCGCCCCTACGTCAACTGTGGCCCTATGATTTCAGCGTGCATCACCTCCGGGTGGAGCATGCGAATCGGCTGTTCCATCGTCTGACTCTGGTTAAGGAAGCCAGGGAACAAGATGCATCGAAAAAGGACAGCAAGAGCAAGACAACAGGGTTTGTCCAGGCTCCCTCGAACTTGGGAGTTAGCCTGGGCCCCTATTGTCTGTCATGTCTCTGCAATACCATCCCCTCTTGGGGTTTCTTTTCTTTTTTTTTTTTCTCCTCTCTTGCAAGAAGCACGCACCTTGACTGGAGCCCGGAGCTGGGCTTTGGGGAGGTGCCGATGATGGAACTGTGCATTCTTGGTTGGGATCAAACTATCCACCATGGATGGATGGATGGATGGATGGATGAATGAACGCATGAATGAATGAACGACTAGCCTCCGGCTGTTTGTCCTTCCCTTTCTCGATGCCTCTTTTCCCTTCAATCCTTCGAGGTTCTTTCTTTTCCCCACATCCCCTTTCAACCAATCGCTGACTTCATCATTTGTTTTCCTTTCTTTGCGCTCTCCTGTGAATCCTTCTTTCTTCCATCAAATATCGCACAAGGGAAATAGCTGATCTTCTGGAGTTCTGCACAGGTAGTAGGTCTAAGAAATTTGGCTCAGTGGATAGGCAATGGTATTTGGGAAAATACGCACAGCAAGAAAATGGAAGTAGAGAACTGGAATGGCTGGGATGTCAGTCAGTGACCCTCCCCAGGTTAGTGAGAGTCTCGGGATGACGCCAGAGGATCCCGTCATCGGCTGTTTTTAAATGCTTGGGTCCTGCTCCCTCCCTTTTCCACTCAGCACTGATCATCGTCCTACTGCAATAATCGCAGTACTTCCCCCACCGGTCATCCCACCTCCCCGACAATTTGTAAGCTATTCGTTCCATTTCCTAGTAGTTACTTCTCGCTTTTTTCCATCTTCAAACCTTTGATTGCTCGATTCTGTGCCCCTCGTCAGAGCCTCTCCATTGACTTGTCAGCCTAGCTTTCTTTTCATTGGCGTAGCATCATCAACATCCCATCTTTGATGTGGCCTCCTCTACCATGCCTGCTGCAGCCCACTGTGTCGGTGTCCAATGAAGTGACCGCTTTGCATGAATCTCCATCCTGTCACTTGTTCCATCTTGTCTCCATCTGTTAGGTTTCTTCTTCTACAATGCTTTTGCGTCCCTCTCGCTCGAACCCCCCTCCCTTTCCCGCCTTCGGTTCGTTCCATGAGAGCAGATCCACAGTACCAAATCACTAAATCTCAATAATCATAATCTCCAGTCGCTTCCAACCTAACGGTGACTAAAATAAGGAACTTACCCGTAGGTAAGCCCACTTGGAAACCGAAGACACCACTGTCTTTCCTTACCTTGCATCATTTTTGATCTGGTTGATACCCCTCTGAGTATTTTTCTAATTAAGATTCGATTGTCCGCTGCAAGTCGTTTTCATCATCAGGACTAGTTCTGCAACTGCTCGGGTTCTCAGATTATACCTGACCATCAATGAACTGTTTCCCATATACAAGAGAAAATCAAATAGAAAGGTTAAGGAAAATGAAAGGGGGGAAAAGGTGCCTTACCTCCTATAGGTACCATACTGTATCGTTCTTCGTTATTATTTGATCTGTTTATCGCTTGCCCGCCAACCCAACCCACTTTCTCCCCTCCTTTCTCTCTCTGCCCCTCCACTTTCTGGTTCCTCTTTGACGGCGCGCCTAATCGAACTGTAAAGGAAATAAAAAAAAATGCAAAAAAAAGCTGAGGGGAGAAAAAAAAAGTAGCAAAACAAAACAGGAGTGGGAGCGAAAACCTCAATTGCTATCTTTAATGTATCTCTCACTCTCCTCTCTTCGTCTTCTTCCCCTCCCTTCTCGCTAACACTTCCATCAAAGCCACTTGCCCGAATCGGGAGCCCTCCTGTCCCATCGCCTCTTTTGCCTTATCGTCATCTTCTTTTCCCCATCTCTCTTAATCTATTTTAATTTGGTCTTCTACCGTCACAGGTGTGCAGCAGAACTCCAGTTGACTATCCGATACCCAAACTGCTGCGTCGTTGGAAAGGAAGTTGGCTCCAAGGTTGGAAAAGTCCCCTCTTCATGCTTGACGCGGTGTTCTCTTTTTCTTGTGGCTACTGTTGCTCCTGCTTCTTGACATCTGAACGCCTCCCACTCTACCTCTGCCTCTACCTACCTACCCCTCCCCCTCCATTCTATTCTCATTATTACCTTGCGTGGCTCTGTCTCCTCCCGATCTAGACAGCTGTTCTCCCTGGTCTCTAGCTTGGCTCCATTTGGTATATGTTTTATTGTGGAAAGATATCTGCATTCTGCACTGCACTGCATCGCATCCCTTTCCCTTTCCCTTCATCTTCCCACACGCCACTTTTAACCTGGATCTCAGCCTCCGGCGGTTCCCTTCATACCCTACCTCCGGTGGCAAGAGCATATCTGGAGTAACACTGGCAATCCTGCAGCTTAATTAGATTCCTTGTCTGTTTCTCTCTCCCTTTGGCCTCTTTTGAGCATTCCTCAACTACCTCTTCACATCCTTGTCTTTTCTGAATTTCGACCCCACATTCACCACATATCTTACCAGCTGCTTCGAAGTGGTAAAGATACCCTCTGTCGTCTTGTGTGCACTGCTGTTTTGACAGTCTGCTGTATAACTCGATTTCTGTGTGCGGTGCTGGCTTGACTAGCCTGCAAACCTGCCGTAACACCCTCATTGCGTAGGGCCATTTGACCAGGATTGACTTGTGTTCCTCTCGCTCCTGCTGCTGTTACTGCTGTTCTTGCTGTAAAGTTGCTATAATGGAGTGAGAAAGGCGAAAACTGACCAGTGAATCCTCTACAGATTCGTGCGTGTAATATTTTTTTTCTCAATTCCAAGTATACCCGTCGTTTTCGCAGGCTTCCGTTTTGGGCTCGGCGAATATCCGGAATAGACCGACCCACAGCGTCAAAACAAAAGACAGCGCGCAAGAGCCATCCATCCATTCCGGGTGATCGCAAGAGGGCGTTTGGACTTCCCCTCCCCCGCCAACACGAGTCACTTCCACACCTCGATCCAGCCAACCGAGTGACAAGCTTCATCTCATCACTACCGATTTCCACCATGGCGCCCAGCACCACCACTAAGACCGTGGAGGAGTCTGTATGTGCCCGGAACCCTATCCCCTTGTTATCTTCTCAACTGCTGTTTGTTAATGCTAATGGTGCGCGCTAGCCCAAGGAGAAGATCAGCAACACCACCACCGCCTCCTCCAACAACACTGCTGCTGCTGCCAACGAAACCTCCAACAATACCAGCGCCGCCGCCGCTGCTGCTGCTCCTGTTGATACCCCTAAGAGCAGCAGCAGCGGTGCCTCTGCTGCTCCTGCCCCCACAACAGCCACCAGTACCACCGCTACCAATCCCCCCACTACCCTGGCAGAGATGTCTGAAACTATCGACCAGACCACATTTGAACAGATTCTTGAGATGGATGATGAAGGCGACAATGACTTCAGCAAGGGCATTGTGTTTGGGTTCTTTGATCAAGCGGAGAGCACGTTCGACAAGATGGAGAAGCACTTGTAGGTCTCTCGACTTGCGTTCTCAATTCTGTCTCATGGATCTTATTGGACTGACCTTCATCCTCATCAGGGCTGACAAGGACTTGGCCGAACTTTCATCTCTGGGTCATTACCTGAAAGGTTCTTCCGCCACTTTGGGTTTGATCAAGGTCAAAGATGCGTGTGAGAAAATCCAGCACTACGGAGCCGGCAAGGATGAGACCGGTACCAATGATGAGCCCAATCAAGAGGTTTCGCTGGAAAACATTCGCAAGACCTTGACCCAGGTAAAGAAGGATTACAAGGAAGTTGAAGATTTCTTGCGCAGATACTATGGTGAAAGCCCGTCGTCTTAGACCACGAGTTCGAAGAACACCGAGTAGTTCAGATGACCGAGGGGAAAGGTGAGAGAATGAAGAAGCAAGCAGGCCGGATTACAACTGGACAATGCCGCGTAAGGGCGCGAGGCCACACACTCCGTATAAGAAAAATGCAGACCGATATCACGCGAGCGGAGATGTGACCACGAGAGCCAGCCATTCACCCAAAGAAAAAATGATATTCTTTTCGACCAAGGCTGCCAGCAGAGGAAAAAGGGAAGGGAACAACAGCATCTGTTTATATCTTGTCTCTTGCACATTACCGTCAACATCATCATCATCATGAATCATCACGAGGGTCGATCGCGCTTTTTCATTTCTCATCTAATACCCAGCCCTTTCCCATATCTTCGGTTTTGCGTCTTTTTCGCGTTGAACTCTAGCTCGATGTTTGTTTCTTTAGACCCACCTTGTATATGAACCTGCAATCCCTCAAACCCAAGGGTAATTAGCATGAGACAGACAAGCAGACTCAAGGTAGATGATATGCCTTCTTTTCCCTTCTCGTCGCTCTGCCCTTATCTCGCCGGCCTAATGGTAGTTGTTGATTCGTTCTCGTGCAAAGACAATTGGGGGTGGCGAGAATGGGAAGAGGGGAAATGAAAGGCAAAGGTGGATTCGGGCCTGTGACCGTTCGATTCTCGCTGTGCAGCTTAAGCAAAACGGGGAGCAACAGGAGTTGGAGGTGTGCGTGATGCGTATGTGTGTATATGTGTGTGCATGTGGGCGTGAGGCAGTGGATAGATGTGGCCTTGCTCCAACCAATTTCTCCGTTAGGATGTACAAGCCAACGCCTTGTTTGTGACCTTTGACGCAAAGACACAGTTTGTGCAACTGTTCAAGAGTCGATAGTTCAGGGATGGACAGTGACGGCGATTGAGGGAGGGAATAGGGATGAGGTTGGAATTGTGGTCTGGATAAATTGAGTGTTGTGTAGTAGGCAAGGAGATTGTGAATTCAAGGTTCGGGATTGCCGGTCCCTGTGTTTGTCTCCCAACGAACGAGCGAGCGAACGGACTTGATCCGGTCATAGTCTGATTATGGTATCCTCGTCGGAGAGGAAAGGGGGATAAGAGTCGGGAAGACAAAAAAGAGAAGAAGAGAAGCAGACACTGAGGCTTTTCCCTGTATGGTGGAATTTTCCTCCTCCTCAGCTTAGTACCTACTTGATCAAACCTCTTTAGAAGTTATCCTGCTTTCAAGCATACACGATGTTTCTCGTCCTCGTCCCCACCTTCTTTCTTATTCTTCTTCCCTGCTGCTCCCTCAACCTTATTCCTCTCCAGGCATGGATCGCTTGCTTAATTCAAATGTCCACTGTAGAAAGGAAAGCAGCCATGATTGAATCGAATTTCAGATTATAATCCAGACCGGAGTGTTTGTTTTCCCCGTTTCCCACTCCTGGCTGTCGCATATTATTCATCCCACCATTCATCCCATCCCACCCAATTGCTCGCCCTGCCATTCAATCATTCACCTGATGAGTTATTCCCTGATGCGTCCTGCGGCCGGAGAGGTCGTCTTAAGAGTACGGTGTCATTTTTGCTCCTACCTCCTTCTCCATTGTCGGGGGTCCATACCTACACAATTGAAGACCCTCACTGAAGCACAGTTTGGTTACACAACCGACGGTTAGACCAGGGGGATGGAAGCCTGGGAGAAAGTTGTATGGGTTCCACCGTGCACACACTCCCATCTTTGGTTTTCTCTTGTTATCCTTTGTGCGAAACTGTTCAGTTGCTCGAAATCCGACTATCTCGTCTTGGAGTTTTCCAGAAATGTCTAGGTTGATTGCCTACCATGAGTTCACCTACCATGACCTGCAGACCGGAATACGAGACCGGTTCGATTGATTCCGAGATTGACAAAGGATGTTCGCTCTGCCTGCATGCATCTCAAGATGACGAGAAGAGGCTATGTTACATGCCAAACCTGAACCTAGCACCCTCTAAAGTCAGTCGGGTTATGCAAGTAGGGTCTTGGAAGGCATCGCGTGACCCTCTCTTGAGATACAGTATTGACTATATTGTCTTGTGTTCAATGGGTTGTTCTCAGCATAAGCACATTACTGTGAACTTTTTCTCTGAAAACCCAATAAAGGGTGGCCTGACGATTGATCTTGTCTGTAGTTCAGTCGGGAGAATCCAGCCCAGGGTTCCCCTGTCTTCAGATACATCTCCTGACACTCGGATGGATACATACACTCCCCACCATCGTCCCTTGTCCACTAAGTTGGACGGTGGACGGATGATTCCGACCCGAGGCTGCTGGGATTCAAACGCTCCACTAGGTGATCGTCGTTCGATCTGAACTTCGGGGGAGAGACGGCGAGCGATGCTTGGATTCTATCATTGATTGTGGATGAGAACGACAAGACTGCAGCAGATTCCACAGGGGGCCTATTGTGCATTCTACCGTGTGATCCATACTGTCTATTTGGCGTATATAACTTATCTATCTTACTGAAGCGAGCTTAGTCGTAGATAAGTGAAAAAGAGATAGGTCAAAATACTACAGAGCCCCAGTTGTAATCTTGCATGAAATAGATCTTAACTTTTGGATTGAATGTAGCAATGCTCAACGCATCCATCCCGCCTTGGAAATCCTCGCTAAGCTCCAATCAGTCCCTGTTGTACAACTCAACTCACCACCTTACAACCCACCTAAATCCCTAATTTCAGGTCCAGTTGCCCCGGCCAAGAACTGGTCTTCAAGGACAGGGCTATCTGTTTGACTCTCTATTCACCTGTTCATCCATTTTTGTACTCGACTGACCTACTTCACTTAGCAACAGAATCCCTGCCACGCCAAGAAGTCGCTACACGTTTTTGCAATCCTCCCTGTTCTTCCCAACCCGAGACTGCATACGAATCAAAAAGATCTAAGGGAGAGAGGAGGGGGGGCCAGGTAGGGAATGGTAGTGGGCGGGGGTTTATAGGGGAACTTGTATATGGGGCCTATATATCTGAACATCACCATTCTGCGACTTGATGGATAACCTCCATGAACTTGTTCCAACCGCCTTCATATTCCAATCTCTTCGCTTTGACCTATGGTTACTGTTGCATAGCTGCTTTCATTGCTCTCATTCTGCTCTTGTATAGCTTCGAACACTTCAAGGCTTCGCTGCCCTCCATTCCCATTCAACCAGTCACGACTACATATTGCCCATCAACACGCTACAGCTGCCCATACAGAGCATAATTTGCAGACACCATGGCCGTGGGCCCTCGAGCATCCAAGGAAGAATTCATGCAAGCCCTAGGATTGAACTCTCATGATCCGCAGCACGAGCAATACTACCGTGCAATGAGGGTAAGTGTATCTCATTCTCCCTTTGTACTATTTGCAATTGCTGTAGATTTTTAAACATGCAAACGCATGCACACGACGAACCATGCAACTCTATCTCCCGTCTTGAGAACTCTGCCTCCCGAAATGCCGTCCTCATAGTACCTTCTCTGCGCGGTCTGTTGAGAGTTGTACGAAAGAAGAAGAAAAGAAAAGCAGCAAGACAGACCGTTCCAGGCATATACAAATATACAAACATACAAAGAGACAGACAGACAGACATATTCGTCAACCAAACCACCTTGACTGCAATACCAAAACGCATCCATCCATCTACCATGCACTCCCTAGATCCAACCCTCCTCAACTTTCCTAACCACTTTATGCCCGATAATACTTCTACATGAAACAAACCCCAACCCAACCCGACCCAGCTCTGCTCACTCCTCAGTAACTCAAAGACTAACAACCACCCGCATAGGACGAAGCAATCCTAACCTACAACCACCTGAACGAAGACCGGTCCAACCTCCTGGACAGTGTCGCCGCCGACCCAGCCACGAAGCCTCCCTACTTTTGGCACCACATTCGTCCTGAGCGACAAAGGTGGGGTATTCTTGAGATCGCCCGCAACGCAGGCCCATTGACTCGGCCGCTGTTCGCCCGTGGGGCGGTGGTGTCAAACGCTGTCAGTAGCTCCGCGACGGGAGCTACAGCTACAGCAGCAGCAGCAGGAGGAGGAGGAGTAGCAGGAAGCGATGCCCCTAGCGGTACTGGTGGAGGCGAGTATGGACCCAACTGGGTGGCTGGATGGTTGCTGTACAGCGTGTTTCGATCGCGGGATGTACGAAATAACCGGAATCGCAGACGTGGGGAGGATAGAGGTATGTTCTTTTTTTTTTTCTTTTTTCTTTTCTTTTCTTTTTTTTGCTTCTGTCCATCTTCATTTTCTCCAATCGCCTCGAAATCCTTGTCACCTAGGTAGAATCCCACCATTGTTGAGAAAGAGTGGTCATAGATGAAGAAATGTCTGGTTAGGAAATATTTGCAATTGCCAGACTAGACATGTCTATGTGCGGTGTCAAATATATACATTTATTCTGTACAAAAAATGATTATTAACAGATCATCTAGGCCGCTCAAGGTCGCCACAGAGACCAATGCAACCCCAGACACAGACAAACAGCGGTGTCGCGGGCAAGAAGGAATATTATGATCCAGTGCGGAACGGGTGACTGTGGCTAAGGTTGATGTGGATTTTTGGCGCAAGTCGGGGTCATCGACGAGACGGGAGGGAGGCTTGAGATACGAATCATGCGATAGCCTAAGTAGAATAGATATTTTCCAAAACCCAGGCCACTAGTCGTCAGTATCACCATCACTTTTTCGAGATCCGTTCTTCTGAGCGCGCTCCTGTTTCAATGCTTCCGTCACGCGCTCGTCATGCTCGTCTTTCATCTCATCCCACTCCTCGTCGTACTCGGCGGCAATTGACTTGATCTCCTTACGGAGCGAATTGCCCTCGTCAGTCAGCGATTCCCACAACCGCAGATCCACCCCTTTTCTTTCGTAGAGCTTCTTCTGGCGTGCGTTGATAGTAAAGTCGAGCGCAGACCGGTAGGAAATCTCGCGGTTATGATAGAGGAACCACAAATAACCACCCATCAGCGTCGACAGACTGACCAGATACGTGACGGGCTCCATCGTATCCCAGCCAAGATCGGTTTCAAATGTCAATTTGTACACCAGACACCACCAGGAGGCCAAGACACCAAACCCGCCCATGGCCACGCGCTGCGCTCCACGGTGTGCCAGCGCGTCGCATTCATGCTTGATGTCCGCAATGGTCTTGATCCTTTCGGATATCTTCCGCAGACGCATGCGCAGGAAATGTGTGCGTTCGTTGAATGAGGGGACCGCCACGTGAATCTGATGCTGCCCTACCGGGGCTCCTTCCACCGACACGATGAATTCACGCGCTCGTGCGGCGTCGCGGATAAAGTCCCCGATCTCGGTGGATTGTGACCATCGCACGAAGCGGTGCTCCAATGGCTTTTTGCCCGGTTCGCTTTGCCGCAGATACGTGTACGTGTCGTCTTCGGAGCGTTTCTCTGCGGCCGAGTTTCCCTCTATTTGCCCGAGCTCCTCTAACTTGCGTACTTCAGCCTCAGTACCTTCATAGAGCGCTTTCCTTGGCCGAATGGGGTTGTCCTCAAGCTGAAGCGCGATGAAAGAGACGCAGGGGGCTCGAGTTTGTCCATCTTTGGTCTTGATAGGGGGGATTTCGGCTTGAATGAGGCGCTCAAGGTGCGATAGAGGCTGTTGAGGATGGATGAGAAAAGCGATGGGTTCGATATCTTGCGACTGGCGTCAGCAGGGAGACCCTCGCGTGCTAGAGCTGGGAGGGAAAGACAAGAGCTGATTGCTTACCTTTGTGATCACGGTGATGTTTGGTTGTCAACGGAAGAAGTAGCTTGAACAATCTTGACGGCGTAGTCAAAAGTTTACCTGGGCATTGTAAGGCACCTAGACCATAGTTTGGTGACGGGGCAGGAGGATCCATACCTTGGGTCATTGCATCTCCAAGTTTATCATTACCTTTCTGGGTCTTGCCCGAACAAACACTTTCCTCGTCTTCCCGTGACCTCGCGTCCTTGATCTCGAGACGTTCCAGTTCTTGCCTCGACTTCTGTGAGCGACAAACATTTATACTGCTGAACCACCGTCTTCCTCCCGCATCTGCGACAATACTTGTAGCCCTTGTGTCATACTTGGCCGGCACATTGGGCCGGCACAGCCGCATTGGCGCTTGCACCACAGCAAACGAGACCGGTAGAGCAGGGAAACATAACTCGTAGCGGCTTCTCCATAGCAATTGAGGGGGAATTGACTTCGGAATTTGACCTATTACAGACCGCATATTGCGGTCAGGCTTGCGGACAGCAATTGACAAGGGTCATATATCGGGGAGGAACAGCGGGGGAGGAGTGCTCGTGATGCTGGGGAGTTCTGGAAACCAAATCAAGCTTTTCACAAGCAATGAAATAGGATAGGGGTTGGGTCCAAGTTCGACCGGGGGTGTGGATGAGGTTGATATCATGTTGGCTGGATTTGTTAAACTCATGCTGTCACTCTTCGGCCATTACGTGGATTGTGCCTTGACAACTGGAGGCCTCGGTACGTCATGATGTGTCAGCGGCTGTGGCGATACCCTTTAATGCCTCAGGCTGGAAGCTCATGGCTCTTGTCAGCAGTAACTTTATTAACGTAAACAACGGTTAGGCGAGCCACACGGTCAGGCGAGCCATCTGGTAATACTATACATGAGATACTATTTTGAACATAATATATGTCAACTACCAAGGTCTAGAAGAATTAGATTTATCTTATATAAGTTTTA